AACCAGAGTGTTAGACCTGCAATAGCAGCAGTATTATGGCTGCAGTGGACAGAGTATTGTGGCTGGAATAACTGGAGTGTTATACCTGTAATAACTGGAGTGTTATACCTGTAATAACTGGAGTGTTATACCTGCAATAGCTGCAGTATTGTGGCTGAAGTGGCTGGAGTATTATGGCTGAAATAACTGGAGCATTGTGGCTGAAATAACCAGAGCATTATAGCTACAATAACCGGAGCAGGATGGCTTCAATAACCATAGTGTTGTAGCCACAATGGCCAGAGCATTATACCTGAAATGGCCGGAGCATTGTGGCTAAAATAACCAGAGCATTATGCCTGCAATGGCTGGAGCATTGTACTTGTACCTGCAATACTCGGACCATTATACCTCCAATAACCGGAGCACTGTAGCTGCAATAACCGGACCATTATAGCTAAAAACACTGGACTATTATTGACATTCTAAATGCACAAGGCAGGCGGCCGCCCTGACACACACCTGGGGTATGGGCCGGAGCATTGCCTACCAGTTACCCAACCCCTACAGTGAGGCGGCCGCCAGGACATGGTCAGTCAACCGCCAGTCACCGCTGCCCTGACATCCTTGGGGTTTTGACCCATCTGCTGACCGGACATCCTCGGGGGTCATGTCCTGCACTATGTGGTCAAAACATCACCAGCCCTTTAGTACCTAACATCACACTGGTATAGCTATTCATCCCAAGGATGACTATAAACTACTTTGTCAGGTGTTTTACTGGAAACATGCATCACCAGCACAGCAGGCGCAACTCCTCAACAACTACGGCAAGCATTTTGTCACCCTGGATGCACTTCCGAGCTGGCACCCGAAGACAAAAACAGCTCTTGATTTCATGCACGCAGTTTATCTTGGTCAGTGTCTTCCCACATTCCGTCATCGCTTCTGAACACCTCTCCAGATATTATTCTCCATCTATTCAACACTGTTATATTTGACGGACAGTTGATGTCGGGTGTTGGTGGTCCAGACTCCGCCAAGACCCAATTTCAGGACATGATCAATTTAATTGCATGGCCTAGCCACATTACACAGCTACCAAAGAATGTGAGTCCTCCTCAAATGTTGGAATTAGTGTTCAATATTGCTCATATCATGACGTGGCGATTTATATTACTGTTTCCAAGGTTTTATCTACATATATAATCCTGTCGTAGTTAGCTGTAATCTTCACGTGATTGCCCTTCGGGCACCCTCCTCTTGTCCGGGACAAACACGCTGTGCGTTGTCGCGAGCCCGTGCAACCTCGAATTTTTACATCAAATTCATCACTCGCTCATTCCATTTCTGTTTTCCAGCTTGGCAAGAACCACTCGCTCAAGAAAGTGGATGAGTGGTGACACCTCATTACAATCACTCCGGTGCTATTGTAGTGGGCCTGGCGTGACAGTGGTGACAATATCCCTAGCATACCGCCCCCTCTTCCACCCAATACATTTGACCCTGGATTCTCTTGCAACCCACTCAAGCTCTACATAACCATCCTCCTCCTATGCACCGCTGTCCAGATCTTTTTGTCATGTGAGATATCAATGCACCAGGCCCACACTGCGCAAGACTTTCTCATGCAGTACTGCCAATGTTGCATTGCACTCGGCATCCTGCTTTGGCTGAACCACCATGCTTCAATGCACACTGCTGAGATGGTGGAGCACATCGGACCCATGTACACTTGGTGGGTCTTTGCTTTTGAGCACCTCAATGGAATGCTAGAACATGTCAAGCACAATGGACACAATGGTGGACAGATAGAGCTCACGCTCATGCAAGCATGGATCCAAACCCATTTCATTTACGAGTATCTACTTGGGCTACCAGATGATGCTCACAAAATGGAATGGTAGGGCCTCAACAACCTCATCAAGGCTCAGGCTCGCGAGCGGGGAGCTATGATGACAGAGATTGCCATATACCAGAGTGAAGCGGCCGAAGGTATGTTATCTCTGAGCTGCACCCTTTTTGCTTACTAGTTCTCTATAGATAATATACGTCTTCCAAGCCGCACAGCCAATTTGTTGACCTATGCACATATGAGAAGGCCCCCTACATCTATTGCTTACTTTTTGCACACTGCAAGAACATCTGGCTGGACCTCAGACTTGTCAGTGATTACATCTGCAAGCCAGGAACAACACCTTTTGTTTCCGCAAGGGCAGCTCAATCCCTCATATACATATGAAAGGACAGTATTTGATACAGCTGCACAACTAACTGTTGTACACAAGCAGACTCATATGCATTTATTTCTGATGGCGAGTCGCTTCATGTACCGGTACATATTCATTCTCTGTGGGCTGTGGGCGCTGGCAATAAACAACCGCACATTTGTGCAGTCGTTCAATGTCTCTTCTCAGATGACCGCATCCCCAAGTTTCCATGGGACATGTTGTAAGTGTTTTCAATTCTAAGTACTGTTTCTGCTCACATGTCTTATCTTACAGCTCATAGACACTTGGCATATTAGCAGACAAATATGCATCTCTCAAGGTTATCCCTGCAGCGGCTATTCAGTGCCCTGTAGCCCTCCTGCCCATCACACTCCACACACTCTGAGAACCACTGTTTGCAGCGGTGTCATTTGACCATGTAAGCCGGGACTTTTATTTTGGTGACATGCTGTCACCACTTGCTAATACTTTACATGATGATCAGGCGGGCACGGAGCCAGAAGAATACATGGACTGTGAGTATCACAAACGCCAACCCTGTCATCACTGACCTACACACTGTCAGAGCTCTCATTGTCTCCACCAGCAGTTGCCTTCGATGTGGGCACTGTTCACATTGGGCACCTTTTTACTATTTTTTTTTTGCCAGGTTTCTTCCTCCCAGCTCCCCCCTTCTCTACCCTTGCTCTCTTTTGGCGACTCATCTTCTTCTCCTCTTTCACACCCTCCATCTTTGCCCTCAGTTCCTCTGGATCATTCTCATCACCCCACAATTTACCGTTCCCAATCAGCCTTGCATCCGTGTTGTACTTCCTGTTCTCTGGCTTTTTCAACCACTTTGCATCAATCATCCATCACTGCACTTGTTGCCCAAACTTCTGGATGGATGGTATTTCCTGTTCCTTTGGCTCTCTCCATAGTCTAACCATATACTTCTTGCTGTCTAGGGGGTCAGGAAATGTGTCAAGTGCCTTGAAGAACTGCTTCAGCTAGACATCCCCGCCATCAGTATGTTCTCCATCTCAATGATCCATTGACATACCACTCTGATTGGTATGTCAGTGGATACAACACAAAGAAGTTTGTCACCTTCTTCTTCTCATCATCCCACCCGTCCTCATTATCTGACATCAGCCGTGTCTGTAGCACCTGCTTGAACTTGTTGGCTTTCCACTCTGATTTGTTTGGTAAGGCTTCAAATGTTCTCATTTGCACTTTCAGTTTCTGATTGTCAATGTCAGTACATTTCCCATTGAATGTTTGAGGTACGTCAAGTCTCACCCCATCCTGGCAAGTCTGATGTTTCTGCACCATCAGTGGTTTGGGGCCCATAGGCACCATTGTCTCTCCCTCTCCACCACTGCCTGCACCGCCCTCACCATCAGATTGTCCATCATCGTCTGCGCTTGCACCTTCCCCTTCCCCTTCCCCTGTGCCTGCATCCATATACCCTTGGCGAGTTGCTTGTACTTTGCAATAATACATTCACAAAGCTTGGTTTTGCCAAGCAACTTTGCTTGCAACACAGCTGCTGCGTTGACATTTGGCACGGTGTATCAGAGCCACTTGATAATAGTGTTGATGCTCTTCTCATTGTCAGGGTGCTTCCATGCCTCATCCCAGTGAAATTGCTGTAAGCATACCTTTTTCTTCGTCTTTTTCCCTCCCTTGCCATTATCCTGCTCATACTCCTCCATTTCCAGTGTCTTGTCACCAAATTCATCATTGGACTTGTCTGCCAGAGGCCAGTTGTCCTTGTCCTCTGGCCACAAAGGCAGAGACAACACTCTCAAGGTTGTACACCCCATCAATGTCTCGTAAGCAAGTGAAATGATACTCTGTGTCAAATGATCAACCAGGCTTACAACAGATATTACAACACTTACCAATACCTGAGGGTTGGAACCCTTTTTCTTTCTGGTGCATCATCGGCACCTGATTTCTTGCCCACTGACTCCTTTTCATTGTCCTTGGTATCTCCATCTGTCCCCTCTTCCTTCATCTTGTTGCTTGTCCTCTTCCTCGCCCTCTTCCCCGCTTTCATGGCTGCCTGGATTGCAGCCTGAACCTTCTCCTTGACCACCTGCATTGTCACCTCCATGTCCAACTCCTGCTGTGCATGCAGGCTCTTCAGCGCCTCCTGTACACCCGTCTTTATCATCTGGAGGCCCTTGTGAAGGACCTGGACCTCTTTTTGGATGCACACCATACCGGTTTTGAGCTTCATGACCTTGGAAAGTACCGCCGATAGGGACTGGCTGCTGGCATTTGCTCTCTGGACCAAAGGCAGCGTGCTTGGGCAAATACTGGTGGCTTGAGAGCTCTGGGTGCGCGGTGCAGGTGTGCTAATGGAAAACTCATTGGGATCTGCAGGGATTGTGAAGTCGCTCGCACTTGAAGACTGAAGGCCCACCGAGCTTGGAGTACCGATGCCTGAACCTTGCATAAACTTGTCCAAGGCCCATGGCAAGCCCAGGCCCACAAATTCAAGGCTGCGGTCATGGGGCCCTCTGCGTCACCATCTACAGATGACACTATTGCATGCGCGCCATTTGTGAAGAAGTTGTCGCTCAGAAAGTCGCTTGACGTAATCCCTGAAAGTGAGGATGCATCCATGGCAAAGACTTGAACACTCTCAACAATCTCTAGGCTACCCGCTCTTGCTGTTTATCTGTACATGCGCAGGTGACATGCAAGCATTGTTCTTTGTTAGTTGTTTTCATTAATCAATGTTGCTTCTATGTTACTATGAATGAAATTTGTGGAGGGATTCAAATTTGCTATAAAGCGAGGCACGATGTGCAATGCGCTAATGGGCGCCCTGCACTATGAGTAATTCAGGTTTATTGCTATCCTAATGCTGCATGCGTAATGCATATATATTGTGTTCATAATGTAGGTTAACATCAAAGCATAACAGGTGTCTAATGGCACATTAACCCAAAATGAGCTCAGAGCTCTATTTTGAGCATAATGCCTGCATAATTGCTATATGATCCATTATTATCTTCAAATTATGGCCATGCATAATTTGTGTCTTTACGCTGTGGATATGCATCAGTATAGCCTATTTCCTCTATTTCTGCCATCAGCTCATCTACATCCATTGTGTCATCAACAATTGAACCTTCTGATCCACTGTCATCAGGATCAGAGGCTGTAACAGGAACAGTGGCTGATGTTGCCATTGTTACACAAGCTGTGTTCAGAGTGGCTTCTGATGGATTCCATGAACAATCCATTGGCCATGCAGGAGTAATGATTGCCACTCCATTTCTCCACACTTGAATGCAAGCAGCAAACTGAGCCTATTTCAGCTTTAAATGATAAGAAGTAACATTATCTACAGAAATGAAAATGATTATCCAAACTTCATAATATAACACACTTGCAGTTTTTACGGCCTTTTCAATACCATTTCAAGTAGATCTTGCCCGTTTTTGAAGACAGCACTGCTCAATAGATAGTTGCTGAGTTTCTTCTTTGCAGCAATTGCGCATGAGGTGGCAAATGACATCACAGACAGAATTAGTAGCCAGCCAATCTGGTGGATGTGGCACATCCTCATGCAGGCCAACATCCTCCCATATATTATCATCAACATCAAGGTCAAAAATACCTTCCTTATTGATGTGATGAGGGAGCACAGCATTTTGTGGTGCATTACTCTGATGCTTTATGAGTTTAAGCTCTTGACACTGTGTTGTACCTCTGAACAAATGCAGTGATAGTTGGCTCCTGATGATTCACAGACTGGCTGGTGTGCTCATTGAGATGATGCTCTATAAAAATGGTCACTTATCTATAGAAGATGAAAAAATATAAAAAGCCCACCATTAACTGATGATATGCACACTCCAGTTTTGCCAGTTTAAACTTGCAATGATGAAGCTTGTCATGCAAGCAAGTTTTGACTGCAAGAGCTTTCATCTGGGTGAGTAAAAAGAGACTGCCTTGCAGCTTGCTGAGCTTGCATTGACCATTAATATCCAGTGCAGACTTCTGGCATTTAAGGGCATCCTCAAGTGATTTAGTATAGTTGTGCATATCATCCATATCAAGGTCAGCATTAACCACAAGAATATGAGTTGGATTGGCAAGCCTGTTCTTGCTATGGCAAAGAGTAATGATTCAAGTAAAGCCCTAGTGAGCCTGACCAGAAGTTTGCCCTAATTATGTAATGGTTAATTACATGGCACAGTCAGAGACATGAAACTCATAAGGAAGTGGCTTGGTTTGAACTTGCACTTGATCATGCCATTCTGACCTAAGTGTTTTGGCAGGAAGATCAATTGTGACTAGTGCATTATAAGCAGAGGATAGTCGCGTTTGAGCAGCTGTTCAGCAATGTGAGAGCCACAACCCATAGTTGTCCAGAATCTTTCATCCAGAATCTTTCATCCAGGTAGTTGATTTGAATATCAAGTGTAAACAGCCTCTGGTGGAACTTTACAGTAATCAGTATGCATATATCAACCAGTGGAGATGGAAAAACTTACACCTGTGACACAAAGTGAAGGAATGAGAAGTTTAAGGACATTCCAAAGGCGTTCACAACCTTCTCCATCTGACAACCCAAAGCCTATGCATTTATGGGGGTGACAAACAACTTGGCAAGCCCACTGATGACCATATGCATGAAAGACTGATACACCAAAGATGATGCAATCAAGAAGACTGGGAAGCAAGTTCCACTTGTGACAACTTCACTCCAGCTGGCATCCAATATCATAAAGTATGCCAACATGCATCTCCTTGGTAATATACTGGCACAACTGGTTGATGAGGGCCAAGGCATAGTGCTGCTTCTCACCAGGAGAAGTCATGTTGACAAGCCAAAGTACCTAATCATGTCAACACATCAAGGACATCAGGCCAGTATCAGAAAAAAGCAAGTGCTAGCTTTCTGCCTTTGTTCATCTGCAGCAACAAAGCTCTCCCCACATCCATCAAGGACAGAAGTGGGAATGTACATACCAGGCTCTACAAAGTCATCCTGGTTTGCACCATATGGACGACCTTGTTGTTTTTTGCACTTTGCATCAACAGCTGCAACAGTTGTCTCATCAATGAAGACAGAGTGGGTGGGATTGGGTGGATCATGGTTGTTGGACTCATGATGTGCACTAGACCACTTTTGAGCAAAACAGGCATCTATGCACACAATGCAATCAGGACTAAAAAGTGAGTAGTTGAGAAAAAAGTGATGATAGAGGCATACAGGTCTGCAGCTCCTCTGTCAGCATGCCAATCATCACCACCAAAGCAGAGTGGACAATGTTCTTGAAGACAGAGGCTGGGCTGATCAAGCTCTGAGCCCTGACACTGGCCATCAACAAGATTGTACAGGTGCTCTTGAGAAAGACACTCTAGCACATGATACCAGTGGTAGCTGCACTGAAACCTGCAGTGTAATAGATCCAATATTATATTAGTAAAGATTATCATGGAAACAACAGAGGTTCACCTTCATTGGAAGTTTATAGCCCATACCACGCAAGTATGCTTCCAGAGTGTCTGTCCATGCCGAGACATTGGGGGCAGTACACAATGCAAGCATTTCAATGAACCAGAGAACACAAAGATCAACAGCAAGAGTAGGAGGGGAAGGAGCACATGGGAAAAGGCCAGCTCTAAGCAAGCACTGAGCAGCACCAACACATGGGCATGTATTCATTTCAATCACTTTAAGGGCTACAAGGGTGAGCCTTAATAATAATAACACATAACAACAATAGCTTACCATCAAAAAAGACGCAAGTGATGGCAAGCGTGCACCCCACACAATCATGAGTGCATCGACATGCTGACTTCAGCTGACCCAAGTTACAGGGAGTACAGAGGTTTTCTATATCATGAAGGTGGCAACAATAAGGTTCAATAAGTGACAGCAAGAGAGTAGTCCATGCATGCCACTGGTTGGCATGCTTTGTATGATCAGACACATAAGTGCAGCAATGTGGTGAGCTGACAGACACAACCATTGTGTTGGAAGGCTGTGGTAATGATGGCTCAATATCATTGTAACCATCATTGTTATTGAGATCATGGTACACAGATGGGGGGCAAGGTAGTGGACTTGCAGAAGTAGTACTGTACTTTTTCAACCTTAGGTTTGTGGTATGAGATACCAGAGTTTAAATTGATTTTCCTTAACCATATGTTCCCCTCTTTAGGTTTGGAGAGCCTGCCTGGGGGTGGACAGTGTTTGTTCTCATGGAGCCGTGGCTGTCCCCCCTTGGGCAGCTGGACTGGGGGAACTGTTCCATTCTCATAACACCACGGTTGTATTCACCACGTGTTCAGGGACAATGCTTCCATGCCAACCAACCGGGTCAAAGATCAGGTATGCCACCAATTTATTGGCTTATTGCAGCTAATTCTTTGAAGTCTAAACCAGTCTAACTTCACTCAGTTCACCTGCAACCACCACACCACCCTCAACGCTTGTTAAACCACATGCAACCAACACACTCCCCATTGTTCCAGCTGCCTGCACTGCCATTGCTATCATACATCGTGCATCCACAGCCCTGCTATCAGGAATGCAGTTTCCTATTGTGGGCTTCTCTGTACCAGTAAGTGTCAGTTCTTCTTGCTCCCTGGTCCAATCTGAGCTCCCTCATTTGGTCTCCTCACCTCCTTCACTCAGGTTTATGATGATGGCAAAATATTCACAATTTTTCTGCATTTTTGCATGATACAGCAACAAGGTGAGCTCTAACAGCTTTCAATCTTTGTCTCATTGCATCATCCTTCTGTTTTAATCTGTTTCTCAGGACATGGATAAGTACTGCTTGAGTGCATAGTGGTGAGTGCATCCCCTCTCCTCTTCAATCTTCCCTTTCCTTAATCACCTACTCCATCCCTTTCCCTTCTCCCCTGACCCTCCATGTTGTACCATTGGGATTGCAATTTTGTCTCCAGTGTATGCATACCCAATTCCTTCCTCGGTTTAGTACCCAAACATGATCTCCCCATCAACAACTTTCTTGTTTTCCACTTGCCAGCCATGTCCCCGCCTTTGCTCACCCAGCCATCTCCCCTCAATGTCGTCAATGTCTTCTCTCCTCAAAACCCCGAGGCCAGTCCTTTTGACCCTACCACCATCCCCATCCCATCCATTGCCCCTTATCACGATTCCAAGTCCCTCGAGAAGCACTGGCGGTTTGGCGCACGTTCTCTCCATGTCGATGTCACCAGTGTCACTCGTTTCCCACCGCTCTGGCTTGCAACCTACTGGCAAGAAGTTTGGCCAGCCATCAAGGCTCATCCTCGCTGGCTACAAGCACATCAATGGACCTGCCGCTAGATTCAGAACTCCCCCATCCCCCCCATTTTTGCCCATATACCACCTGCTATCAGCGCTTTCTTCAAAGTCATTGGCCGGAATTGTTCTCTAGGCAGCTCACTTTGATTGCTGCAGCTGGTCGACATCTTCGCAGATGACTACCTCCCCAGAAACATCATTGATAACAGCGTAGTGTTTATCTGGGACTGGTCAGCTGGCTTCCCCACTTGCTGCAATGTGATCATCAACACTTTAAGTTTCCAGGTTTCATTCACCCACCCATTCCGTCAGATGGTTGACTGTGATCAGTTTGACTCTGCCAACGCCAGCCACCTTACCCATATCCACAACCTCGCCAACCAACTGCGCTCCGGTGGCTTCAACAGTGTTGTGCACCCCTTGCATGATGCTGATTGTGAACATTACATTGCTGCTTTCTTTGACATTTGTACTGGTCAGCTTCACGTGGGCAATTCCCTGGTTTGACACAGCTGTCCGCCTGTGGTTCAGGATGACAACCTGGACGGGTACAGCAACTTTGCCCACCAACTCAGACTGTACCTCCAGCCAGTTATCACCAATCTCCCCACATCTTTTCAAGATGACATATTCTCATGCAGGATTGTGACACTCAACACAATCAAGTGTGCTTTATTTGCGGCTGTCTGTCTGTGGTCACCCACCACAGGGTGTCCTGAGCAAGTAGAATGGGTGTTGCTCCTTGCAATGCATATGGAGAGTTCTTACAGTTTTGTAAGTCCCAATCATTGTTTTATTTCTTCAGATTTTTACTGATGCATCACTAGCATGATCTTGGCATACCTGATATCCTCATCACTGAGTGGCTGACTGGCGCTCATCTCTCCTACAGCCTCTCCCCACACATCCCACACTTTGACACCGACATCAACAGCAGCACTGACAGCTTAGCCAGCAGCAGTGATGAGTCCGAGTCGGATAACAACAAAGGCCCTTCCCCTCTCACTTCTTGTCCTCGCTTTCTGTCTGGTGCTGCTGCCATTGCTCTCCCAATCAAGCCTTGACTCATTCTTCTCAGTCATGAGTCGGGACAAGCTAGAAGCCAAGCAGCTGCGCACCAAGCCAGATCATGACATTGAATGTGAAGATGAGGCAAGGAACGCCAGCAATCACTCAAGGATCTCAAACACCAGAAATGCAAAGGGCCAAAGAGCAAGCAAAGAAAAGGCAGCGGCGGTGGAACAGGCGGGCCAGACTCAAGGTGCATTTTACCTATTTGTTATTTTGCTTCTATAAATACTGACACTTTTCTATCCTACTCAGGCTGCTACTTGTGCAGGTACCACAGCATCCAGCAACGCTGATGCTGCTGCAGCCACTGTACCTCAGACCGCCCCCAATCCATCCTTTGCCCTCCCACCTGTGATGGCTGAGACCTCACACCCTTACAGACAGTTCAGCAAGCTCCACTACTCGCAGTGCAACACTTGAGGCTGCAAGCGGGAGCATGAGCCGGTTGATGCCCAGCATTTCAACTGGATTCACCTGGTCATCTTTCAGATCGACTGGGCTGTGCAGGTTGTTGTATAGTCACCTCACACTATTGTCCACTACCTCCGCCTCTCCAACCCGTCACTTTTTGCGAACCTGCATCCTCAAGTTGTGGGCAGATGGATTGAGCACCTGGACAATGGACCACCAAGGTGGAAGGAGTCGGTTGTGCAGCGTGTTGGGACCAGCTACAAGCCTCATGGCTTGGTGACTTGGAGTGGCATTTTGGTATGTTCATTTTCTCTTGCAGTTTAATGTCTTACTAACATTGATTGCTTTATTTACAGGATCTTCACCCTGAGGCGGTTGTGGCCATCCTTGCACAGCTCCAGTACCTGCAAGCAGTAGGGATCCCGGTCACTGTGGCCACCATCCAGGTGATCATCCTTGCATGGATCAACCACCATGAACCCGAGCTCCTTCAAGTGCTAACACCGAACAAAAAACTGTTCATCTGCTTGGAGACCTTCATCAGAAAGTTTGTGTATGTCCACCTCAAGTGGGTCACCTACTCTTCCACATGCGCTGCCCAGAAGACACCTCAAAATACCAAGGAACAGATCTTCGATCTGTTCCTGCAGCTTGCTTTTTGAATCCGCAACATGGGTGTTTGCCACCCCATCCTCATCGTCAATTTTGACCAGGCGCAGATTGTCATGTTGGACACAGCAGCCAATACATTTGAGATTAAGGGATTGAGGCAGATCTCCATCCTCGGTAAGGAGGAGAAGTATGCCTTTATGGCTGTGGTTGGCATGTCAGCATCAGGTGATGTCCTCCTGACTCATTTTGTCTACCAGGGTGCTACCAAGTGCTCTGTTCCCGCCCCAAGTGCACCAGGCAAAGACAAAGCAAATAGCCAGGTTCATCTTTGCTTGGAACCTGAAGAATTATTGGTCCAACCTCACAACCATGGAACAGTATTTTGCCCTCATAATTGCCCCATATTTCACCCATCAAAAACAGCTCCTAGGGTACCCGGACGACCAGGAGTGTGTGGTCCTCCTTGATTGCTGGTCAGTCCACTGCAGTGAGGCCTTTTGCTTGTTGATCCAACATTGGTGGCCTTGGATTTGACTTAGCTACATCCCTGGGGGCACAACCAGCATCTGCCAGCCTTATGATGTCGGTATCCAGTGCCCTTACAAGCTTGCAATCAAAAAGGCCCAGCTTCAAGACTCCATCAACAAGGTGCTCAACCACCTCTCTTCCTCATCTGAGGCTAGCTTGCACTGTTTCCTCAACACTTGCATATCCACACTCAGGAACCAGTTGGTATTGTGGAGTCTCTAGGCCTACCACGCAATCAATCGCCCCGAGCTCGTTTAACAGGTATTTCTTTTGGATTTAATTACCAGCATTTTATCAGACACTAACTACACTTGTACAGGTTTTTGAGCACTGTGTAGTTCAAGGAGGGTTTAATCTCTCTTTCAAATCACTTAGAAGTCCAGCCGCCCACAGGATTCTGCGCGAGCTTGCTCTTGACTCTCCCGACAACTTCACATGCCTGTCGCAGTCGTTGGGCGAGAACAGTGGCATTGGCGAGGGCACCAAGACTCCCAACAATGATGCAGCCACAGACAATGAGCAAGCACCCTTTGAAAGTGAAGACAAGTTCAACAACAACAACTGGGTGGAGTCTACTGATGTTATGTCGTGGATCCTCCATTCAGGTGTTACTGCCAACTCTGTCTCCACTCCTGGAATGGCTGATGAGTTTGATGTCAACCTCGACAATCTTCAGGTGCCCAGAGCAGAGGAAACAAGGTGTGGGAAGCACCAGAGGGTTTCTAATAAATGCTATGACAGTTTCTCAGGCCATTAAATAGTTATGAACATGTATTTCATTGCATAGATCAAGAACACAAGCTCGGTTTTATGTTATACTATGTGTCTCCCCCAGATGTTTGGTTCGTGAAGGGGGGGGGACAGGGGGGTCAAACTTAAGGTTGAAAACCTACAGTAAACAGAGTCACATAGACCAATGGTTAAGAAGTGGTGGCCTTATGTGCTGTTGAGACAGAGTTCAAAGGATATCTGTATCTCCCTATGATTGAGCTAAGTCATGCAACATTCACATATATCACACTCAACTAACCTCCTAAGGCTACATAATCTGCAGTATCATCTCCATCCTTCTTTGAATGCTTGCGCTTTGGAACCTCAGGCATCAACTAAAACAGAATGATAAGCATCATTCATGTTATCATTGCAACAAAAACAAAACAAAATGAAATCTAAGTATAGTGTCCATGTGAATTGTGTACATGCAACAAAATTCAAAGAAAAGACTAAAGTACAATGTCAGTTCTGATGCCTACCCCTAACCCTGCACTAATCCATCAACAGCTTTTGGAAACAGTGTGGCAACACTGGTGAACAACCAAACTGGTTGAAGAACACTTGGACATAGATCTTGGTGATTGCAATACGCAAGCAAAACAAATGCAAGCAGCCCTGGTCAGTCAAACCGCCAATGGGTAAATGATTGTCCTTCATATATACATTGAGGCTGTTGGACAACCCAAGCCAGGCCCAAACAATGTCACAGATGGCATCAACAATGGCAGGAACATTGTCCAGAGTTCCACCGAAGGAGCATAGCTCCAATGAAGGGCATGTGTCAGGGCATGCCCCAAAGTGAGAGGGGAGGGTGAGAGCAAAAACCCCACAACGTGCAACAGCCATCTCACACATCCACAACTTTGGCTTGATGAGCTGATTGACAGCAATGAACTCAGCAGCAAAGCTGAGATTGAAGAGGCCCCACAGAAGCCATTGCATGAGCATGGGCTCAGGCTTCTGCATCTGCTCGTGGGTGATTGCTGTGCCACAAACAACAATGGAAGGGGCTTCACAACTGGCTCAAGTAATGTGAAGGACAGGATGCAGGAACTGAAGCATGCAGGCCTTGTTGTGCTTGCTACCAGAGCCATTGTCATCAGGGGTGCAGTCCCAAATGGAGCTGTTGAAGAAATCCTGCCAGTTCTGCCCCTTAGCCAGGAGTTTGGGAGGGCTGGTGTGGACATAATTGATCCACTGCTTGCGGATTGCTAGCCAGTTTGCAACATAACAGGAGAGGTGAAAGAAGTTGGTCACCCCACAGAATAGGGCAGGCTTGGGGGAAAAACAGCTGCTATTCATAGCAACATTGTGAATGCAGGAGAGGAACTTGTCGACTTCTTTCAATGTGACCCTTCAAGCATCAAATATGGCAGGCCAGAACTTGTGAGTCAACTTGGTCCACTTGTCATGCTGCTCTTTCTTGGGACCAGTGGAGGGGCAGGTATCTGAGATGATTATTAGAACAAAAGTAGTTGATTTTAAATGAGAATAGACTTACAGGGTGTCAAGCACTTGGACTTTGAAGGCTTTGAACAAGATGGCCCGGTCAAAGGCTCGGCCTTGGAGTTCAAAAACCTAACCAATAATGCCCCTTGCTTGAGGAGATCCTGGAGACCTGGACCAAGGTCATTGGCAGATATGCTGTGAATCTTGAACAACTCTAGGTCTTCATGGCTGTGACCGTAGCCGAAGCGTGCAGCAACAATGCAAAGGAGGGAGGGAGGGGGGGCCAATATGTAGAATGGGGTACTGCATGTCAACACCGTTCTTGTGGTAGTCTTTGATAACAATGTGAGGGTGGTTGATGTTGACAAGAGAGATGGAATTAAAGCTATTAGACCACTGGGTGCAGGAATGTGGGGCCTAGATAGAGATACCAGCAGCATAGAGGTCCTTGGTGTCAAATGGCTCTGTTGAGAAGCAGCCCATGTACATGGGTGAGGCACAAAAAATACCATCTTCTTTTTTGAGGTCTTCAATCTTGGTCCAATTGCAGGAGTAGAACCTGTTCTTCATGTAGAACCACCACTCTGTGAATGCCCAGTTGTCCATAACCCTGCACTGAAAGTCTGCAACATCAAGGATGATAGAGCGGAGGCTAGAGGGGAACAGCAAAAGCAGTCAAAAATGTCTTGGAGACAATGGATAGCATGCTGCATCCACAAACAATTGTTCTCCCTGACACTTGTAGAGTGTAAGTTGGTCCTGTGGGTGTGGGCAGTTGTTATCAGAGTCTGTGGCATGCACCATGCCTACAAAACACTAAATTCAAACATCTCTGGTACCTCCAGACACCTACACTCACCTCTGGACACCTCCACTCAGCTTTGTGTCAACTCTGGTGTCTTTGGAACCTCCAGAACCTCCAAAGGATCTACATTATTAACTCTCAACCTCACTATACATTCCAAGTATGTTTCCCTTAACAATATTCTCACCTTTACTTTGTGTATCATTCCATTCAACATTCCTACATCATTCCCACATTGTTTCCTTGTGTTTCTGATATCATAGTTAACACCTCCTATGTCATACCCTGCACCCTACTTCTGTACCTCGTAGCTGAGCTACGCTCCCCTTCACCCAACTACTATGACTTCATACTTAGGCTGTAGTATATATACTCCAAGGACAAAGAAATGTAAGTGACTTCATTGCATCACTACTTACAGTGTGCTAATGATACTGTGGTGTCTAGCATTTAACTCCAAATCAAGAATGGAACTGCAACTTTCATGGTCCATTCTGGAAAGCTCCTTGCTTTCATATATGGTAGTAAAACACCAGGTGTAATATTTGATCCAAATCACTCCTGGATGGAACTTTGCAACAGCTTCTTGCTGCTGTATGTATGCTTTTCATAAATGGCAGCCCTTTGAATTGCTAATGCTTCATCTTTCAGTTTCTTAAATGTCTGTTAATTGGTCTTAAGACCACTTTGAACACTGATTCTCTAGTGTCCTCCCACAGCAATTGTATGTTGATGGAGATGCTGAAGGTGCTTCAAGAGCACATTGCATACACAATGGTCATTGTCAGTGCACATCTCTTTCTTCTACCATGTCCCAAATTGCATTATAGATTCATTTTGTCATGTTCCCCATTTACCAATGGCCTTTAAATAATGGCAACTCTAGCTTCAAACACATGTACAGGTTCTTTATTGAGTGGCTCTGTAATGATATAATCAAGTCTCATGTTGATGTGATGCTAGCATGCATGAACAAGTAAGCCATTTTTTCTTAATATGCATCATGTTACTGAATCACACATATGAATGTCTTTGGTCACAAAGACAGTTATATAACAGGTGGATTACAATAACCTTGACACTTTTCAGGAGAGTAATAAAATAATGATTTTGAACTCTTTTAATGCCTCTCACCAAGCCAGGAGTTCCAGGATAGACTTACCTTCCATTGCACCCTATGATTGAAGACTGCTGACCTTAAAATTGACTTTGACAACAACATAGCACTGGAGACCATTGCTACCTGGAACACAGATAACAATGGAAGCAACAACAAGTTCATCAGGATTTTGACACATGTATTAACCACACTTTCCTGACTTTACCAGAGTGAACCTACTTTTCCAAAATTTGAAACCACAATTCTGCTACATTTGAGGGTCCAAATCAGTTTGAAAGACTCGTAGCTTACTCTTCATAATGAGATTTGCAGCCCCAATGTCACTGATGTGGTTTTCTAGCCAAATATTCTCCAGTAAAGAGCTGAAAATACCAAAAAAAAAAAAAAAAAAAAGTAGGTTCATCTCAGCAAAGGCAGGATAATGCTGGTAAAGCGGCTTGTTATTTTCCTGATGAAGCCCGTCTTGTTACCCTCAAAACCTTCAAAAGATGGCATTCTGAACATGTTCCCTTCTTCATTCTTTCAACCTCCATCAGCCAAGGCTGGTCATGCAAGTAAAAACAAGTACAGAGTGGTGGTCTACAATAACAGTGAGAAAACTGTGATTTTTTGACCACAAGTTCGTGATGGCATGGGAACAGAGTACCTTCCCAATTTGTATGTCCCACCTTTAAGTTCTACGGTCCCTCATGAGATGGGACAAAGTTTGCGTGTCCAGACTGAGCTGTCCCAGCCACGGGGTAAGTAGTGAACCTTGTGACCCTGAAGTGATCGAGGCTGACCTTGAATCTTGCTTAGATGCTAACACACCTTGTCCACCATACTGCACGTCAAGATGCTGAAGGTGTGTTTGCCCTCTGTGCTCATCTTTCTCTGACATTTCCACACAGCCTTATTCCTTGCGTTTATTGTGTTTTACACCTCATTTTCACTGTGTTTCTGCTAGTCCAAGGTGAGCCATCCATTTGTTATTCTTTTGGAGGTCTGATCACTTTGGAATGCACAAAAGGCTTGCTCATCTGTTGTTTTTTAACAGGATTCATCCATTCAGCAGACTCCTCTGTGCTCTCTTGTCTACAACTTTCTTCATTCCCTCAGAATTGCGCCCCCTTACCCATCACCATCTCGCCTCTTTAACCTCACACTCTCATCCTAAACAAGTCCTTTGATTCCCCATCCTACCCACCCATCATGTTCCCTGATCCCAATTTTGAGGCTGCAGTCAAGATACCCAATGAGGCTCTCAGCTTCCTAGTCTCTGACAAGTGAGTTACGATCATGTCTGACCCAGACCTTGTTATCGAAGCAATCTATACATTAGGGCTTCTATCTTCATTCTTTCCACAACAACTCTACCTGCCATCAACTCCCCCCCTTCCCGTCTTGTTGAAGGCAACCTATTCTCTACCCACGCTCCCCAACTTGCCCCATTCAACTACCTCTCCATCTCCATCCCCCTCTTTGCTTCGTGTTTTGACAAGGATCGCTTACAGTGGGAGTGGGGCCATGGTGCTCAAAGTCTTTGAGCCGAGGTCCATGGCATCATCGTCTATGCACCCCTATGGCTAGCATTGTGGTGGTTCTCAGTGGTGGAAGCTGCTCACATGAAGGCCAAGTGGGTGTCAGCTTGGGGTTGGGCCACCAGGAGGATCTTTTTGCAGCCTGCACCTCCCCCCTTCTCCCATTCCACCTGCTGTCAACGCGTTCTTCACAACTGTGAGCTGGACTGCTCAATTTGGTAGGCTCTCAGTCACTGAGCTCGCAGTTCTGCTCTCCGACCACTTCTCCTCCCCCACTCACCAATTCTGCTATTCCCGCCACAACTGCCAAGTACACACACCCATTCCAGTTGTTCAAGGAGCACCAGCACCCCAAAGGAACCTATCATGGTCACAAACACAAGCATGCTGCAACTGCCGCCAAGCGTTACAACTGGGTGCATCCGGTCATCTTCCAGCAGATCGACAATGCCGCCCAAGCTATAGGTGGTTCCTGGTCCCCAAAGGCAATTGTTGTCCACCTCCATCACTCCAACCTTCCCCAGTTCGTGTATCTTAGCCCTCAAGTCATTGGGCAGTGGATTAGGTGACCACTGAACGAGCCACCACACTGGAAGTCTGAAATCCTCGAGCGGGTTGCTGTGGGGAACATGCCTCAAAATTTAGTGGCTCGCAGCGAAATTTTGGTGTGTAGCTTTTCATCTCAATTTCATCGAAGCAAGCTAATTTTCTATTTACAGGAGAGGCACCCCAATCTCATGCAAGAGATCATAGAACAGCTCCACCACCTTTGTGCAGCCAGTGTCCTGCTCACTGTGGCTACAATTCACAGTATAATGATCGCCATGATCACCCACCACGCCCCTGAGCTCTTCCACACCACTGCCATTGACCACAAGCCCTTCCCCTGCTCTGATGCCTTTGTATGCAAGTTCATATACAATTGTCTCAACTGGGTCCCCCAACTCTCAACTCGCGCAGCACAGAAGATGCCAGAGGATGCTGAACAGCAAATCTATGAGCTATTCCTTCAGCTTGCCCTCTTCTTTTACGACTCCGGCATTCATCACCCACACCTCCTCATCAACTTTGACCAGACTCAAGTAGTCATGGCCGATAACTCAGCGAAGACATTTGATGTTAAAGCTAGGCACTGTTAGACCCTCCCTTGCTCGTGGTAGAAGCAAGTGTATTATGTACCTAGGCACTGTTAGACCTAGGTTTGTATGTAAGTTCTCTATCATGTATGATAAAATGGCGGCGGCTTACCCTCCCTTGCTCATGGTAGAAGCAAGTGAGGGAAGCCGAGTGGCTGAACTGCCTGTATAGTATCAAACTTCTATTAAGCTTCGGATCGGCGCATCATTGCCACACGCTCGCCACAACCGTGTCTTGTGGTGCCACTGGGATCTCTGAATCCTGACATTTGACATGCAGGGTTCATGTCAGGTTGACATCCTTGACAAGGAGGAGAAGAGGGCATTCACAGCTGTTGTTGGTGTCTCTGCATTGGGCAGCATCCTCCTCACCCAGTTTGTCTTCAAAGGGGCGACCGAGCGCTCCCTTCCCTCTCCGAAAGCACCACACCATGATGAGGCCTCTCACCTTGGCTTCCTCTATTGCTGCTGGAATCCTGATACGTACTGGTCAGATCTCAACGCCATGAGGCAATACTTCAATGTAATCGTCATTCCCTATTTTGCTGAGCAGAAGTGCCTCCTTGGGTACCCAGATGACCAGGAGTGCGCTGTTTTGCTCAACTGCTGGTCAGTACATCGTGGTCAGGCCTTTCATGACATGGTTTGCAAGGATTGGTTGTGGATCCGTCTTTTCTACGTCCTGGGTGGCACAACTGGCATCACACAGCCCTGCAACGTCAATGTGCAGCAGCCCTACAAGCTTGCAATCAAGAAGGCTCAAGTTCAGGACTCTGTTGATGAGGCTCTTCTACACCTGCACACTCACAACAACTCGGTGTCATTCTGGATGGACATTCACATTGGCACTCTGCGTGATTGTTCAGCTGCATGGGGAGTGCACGCCTGGAAGGCAATCAATCATCCCAAGCTGATTCTGAAGGTACTATTTCCTATTCTCTTATCTACAGCTCTTCTAACTTGTATCTATGTAGGCATGGGAGTGCTGTGAGGTTCAAGGCGGCCTCAGCCTCTCTTTTGAATCACCGACTGGCCTATCTGCCCTCCAGACTCTTTGTGATCTCCTTTGATCTGATTCCGCTGTATGGCATTGGATAGCTCCTTTCATCAAAAACTCCAAGGATCCACTTGGCGCTCAAGCTCAAGGCACTGATCAGATTTTGGACCAGCACAAACCTTTCCCGGAAGAGGACAATTTTAACAACGAGTTGTGGTTAGACCCTATAGATCTCATGCATCAGATCCTCAACCCTTCCCTTGATTCAGCGATTCAGCCTCTACACTGTCTGCTGCTGGTCCCGGTCTCATTGACAGTGTAGAACTGGACTTAGATGCTGTCCATGTGCCCAATTTGCAGGAAGGTAGGCAAGGGAAGCGCTGACGCATTACTAACCAGATGTACAAGGAGTTTGTTGACCACTAGGGTACTTGTTACTGTTCTACGTGCTTTGTTTGAATAAAAATCAGGTTCTATCTTGTTTCTACTACATGTCCCATGTATAAGTTTGCTATGGTCCCAAGATATGGGACTGTCCCACGTTTTAGGTTCTGTTCATGTCCAGATGAGACACAGGACAGAACTTGTGGTTGAAATCTTACAGTAAAGTTTTACTTGCTACCACCAAGGAGCTCACCACTGCTGCTCCTGTTGTTACAACAAAGAAGCAAAGGTGGTGAGGGGCGAGGCGGACGCAAGTCCAAGGGAGGACCTTCTAGCGGTGTTGTGGACCAGACTGGCAGACAGCATATTGGCACAAAAACAAGTGCATGCAGCCAGACTAAAGAAGCGGTGGGAGAGACTGTGGGGTGATTTGCCGAGGGCGCATCGCCTGGAACAATTGAAACTTAATGCAGGTGCCCAATCCTTTATAAGACTAACAGCTGATCTACCAAAGCAACAGACTAGCATCCTAGTGCTACTAAGTACACGGCATCTGCTGTTGAATGCCTACCTCCACAGGTTCAAGAGGGCAGAAGAACCTTTCTGCGATCACTGCAAAGATGTCGCAGAGGAGACAATTCACCACTATCTATTTGACTGCCCAGCATGGGGGAAGTCACGACACGTGCTCATTTGGGCACTAGGTTGTGACAAAGAATCGCTCGCAGTTCTGCTGACCAATCTGAAAGCCACACAACCGCTGTTGCGGTACATCAATGCGATGGGATGTTTCAAGAAGACCTTCGGGAACATATGCAGAAAGACATATTTGAACTACTAACATGTTATACTTGGGGCTTTGGCAGATGGGGACTAAGGAAAGGTGTGACGGTAGCTGAGAGGCATGAGAGACGGACACAGAGACGAGAGGAGTGAACGGACTAGGTGGTGTCCCATGGCTATTGCCCTCAGTGCAGACATCTGACGGGATGGCATGTACGGGCCCAGATTAACTTACATACCCGCAGATACTATTACACTTACATAGATTACAGTCCCTAGGACTTGGTACAGTAGTGTCTGTCATAGGGCTACCACTCTTTAGGACAATAATTGAGTCAACAACAACAAAGAAGCGACTGATGTCCCACAAGAACATTGTTGTGCCATTACCACTGCCATTACAACAGGTTGAAAAAAAAAACATCTGGTGGCACTCAACAACAACAGTGGACCCAAAAATGTCAAAAAACCTACCACTGGCTCTGCCACCAGTACATCAAAGAAGTGTTTGCCTGGTAGCACCAATATTATCCGAGTTGCTGTTGCCCAGGTACCTGGCTCCCCTTCTCAGTTTGGCAAACTTGTTTGTCATCCAAGATATATATTTTTTGAACATTTTGCAATCACAACAAACCGATAGCTGAATAGAAATACAGCAGCAGGGATGCACCTGCAGCCTCAACCAGCAAAGTGATTTTGGACAATAGCAACACCAATCTCACCTCAGCTGAAGAAGACATGCACCCCACCCTGCTCAGAACATATGCTAACACAAGGTTGAAGGCAAACCACATCACCACAGGGGATAAAGCACTGAAGAAAAAATATTTCTAGGTATGTTTTTTTATCTGTGCCTTGCTTGGCATCACTCATGCTTAGCTTTACTCTCCATGATCATTGTCTACTCACCTTCTCACGTGTACAAGTCCTTTTACTTTTACTTTTTTCAAACCCTCTCTTGCTCATGAACAAGCTAATAATTGTGTGCTCTAACTAACATGATAAATGCCTGCTCACATCAAAAACCTGTATGTCACTGTATACTCTTTTTGGACTCACTCTACTACTACTGCTACTCTGGTGTATTGCTGCTGTTTTTGTGTATTGTGTATCATTGCTGGTTGCTCTTACTGCTCTTGTGTATTGTTGTTGCTTATTGTCATGAAAACTAAATTCAATTATTGCTGCCTATGTATTGTAGTATAATACTATTCTCCTGTAATGCATTTTTTGTTATTGGAAATATGGTATCATATATAAGGAGTTATTATAAGGTCTACAATAATGATGCTGTTACAATATAAGACCTAAAATAGTGCTGATAGTGCATAAGAACCCAGATGTTTGGTGTAGCAATAAAACAGTCTGTATTTGTCTAAAAACAGTGTTGATAGCACATAAGAACTAAAATTAAGTACAGCTGTTGGTGATAGGTATTGAAGAAAAAACTCACCCCAGACTTTTAGTGTAGCAGTAGAACAGTCTGGGAACTTGAATACAAGAAGCATAGGTATAGTATGAAAATGGGCAATGAATTACTAGCAAACTAAAAAGATATATATGAAGGGGCTGGACCCTGATAAAGAAGAGAAACATATCAATGGAAACAAAAAAGTAAGATATGAAATATGGAAAGGTCAGCTGCTCTATAGTACAGACAAATTATAATAGATAAGGGTGTGGTACAGGCACCTAGATCCAGAGTCACCTATCCTTCCCACACTAATACAGTAATTAAACTGTCTGCTCTGCAGTTGATCGGACAGTCTATTTACTGTATCTCTCTCCTTAAAACATAGTCCGGTGGCCCAGGCCAGCTGCTGGGGTGAATTTGTAGCTATACTTGGTTGTAGAATCCTCGTAGCATCCTAGCCACTGTACAGTGAGTCATCCCTATTAGTCAAAGGGACACATCATTGGATTCTCAGGTGCTGCTGAATTGACAACACATCTCCCACCCATTATCCTGTTTCTATTACTCCCACTGCTACCCCATTGCTGCCCTGTGCATCATCCCATGGCCTTCCTGTTGTCATTGTCAACAATGGGGTCCCTCCTGCACCTCAATCACTTCTTAGTGTATTTCTACCATTCTTTGACATAGAATATGTTTTTATACCATTGCAGTATAATAAATAAGGCTTTTATAACATACTCTCTGCTAACATATCCCTTTCTGCCCTTTGAAAATTTAGCACAGTGTAAATAAGGGGAACAGGAATGATGTAAGCAACCGCAATGGGAATGGGAATGTGCTTGGTTTTTTAACCCTTTTGATTCTTCCATGGAGCCAGACCCTCAGGCCAAGCATTGATTGGCACAGGCACACCATTACTGTTTTCCCAGATCACTTCCCAGCTTATATCCACCCTCACTCCTCAAATCTACTGCCCTCAGCCTTCTATTTGCTACCCTTGCCCTTGTCATTGACACTCTCCTTGTTGTTGACAACCAAAAGTGTCAACAATAACTTTGGAGCCCTTTCAAGAATGGTACATACACCAATCTTGCTGTCTTGTTACTGTAGTTCTTTGTAGGTGCTTTTTTAGGTCTTTACCAAGTACACATTGTCCAGTCTCTTGGCTCAGGCTTTATCCAGAAACACTGCATCATTTTGTTTCTGGCATCCACACTTCCTGCCTCTCCCCCGCACTTCCTTCCCTCTCCCCCCACCTCCACCCTCTCCTGCTGTTGATGTTGTTGACGTAGACTACAACAACAAGGACTTGTTGTATCACAATAACTGTAGTTTTTTGACCACTTGATCATGGAGAAATGACTTCCTAATCTGGCCTGTCCCACTTTTTGGCTCACAGGTCAGGATTGACGCAGGACACATGGCTCATCAGGGGCTAATTGTCCCAAGGGACGTGTTGCGTCAGCATGGGACACCACTCAAACATTGCTCCTCCATTCCCTAGTATCAAGGGTAACTCAAGGAGATCATTGGTCAACAACATTTCTGATGGTGCATGTTACTATAGCTGACAATTCCCTTTGTTTGCAGGTTGTACAAGCCATGCTGCATTGGAGTGCAGTGGGCTTGACTTAGGTGTTGGCTGGCTGGCCAGCCTGCACTCTTTGCAACATCTGGCTTCTTGTATCGGGTCTAACCCCTTTTCCGATGAGTTTTTGGCTTTACTGAAACCATATCCCTGCTTAAATGATGCTGCAATATCAGATGCAGTGATTTTGGGTGGCAGAGACACACATGGGCATGGGTAACGGACTTGGTAATGGAGGTGAGTTTGACCTTCAAGATCTGTTTGCACAACATGAAGATATCGACAATGATACCTGGCTCCATTCTGAAGATGGCACAAATTCTTGATCTGGACGGCGTCAACACGATGGGTTTGTCTCAGTTGGGTCCGGGCTTAGCTGATGACCCAGACCTCAATGCTGACTTGATAGAAGTGCCGAGAGGGGATAAACTGTGTTGAGGCAAGCAATGCAAAGTTTCTACCAGAAAGTAAAATGAGTTCTTGGGCCATTAGATACTAGTCTTAGACATCTGTAAGGTTATTCAGCTGCCAGAGATTTGGCTTGTTCGGGCCAGGGAGAATCATGACCAGCATAGTTTCCTCAGCTAGATAGCATATCTGCCTGGGGTTGTTACAGATTATAACATAGAACACTCCTGTCAAGTGACAGTCGTGCTTCGTAGACTGAAACCTTGTGAATAGAGTGAGCCATGATCAATCAATAAATTGAGCTGAAAGAACACACGCACCAGTCGAGATTGAACTGCAGGACTAGCCCACACGGCAATGCAACAAACCGTTGATCTAGTTCTTGTACATCGACATCCTCAATGGCATCATTGGAGTGCCGCCGTCTCTGAAGCCCAGCCTGTATTGTATGCCATCCCCAGTCATCGTAAATGTCTGACATAGGCCTTGTTGAATTGTCGAACACTTCAAACCCAGTTGCAGCAGATGGAGGGACCCATCCTGGAGTGTCATCCGGTCCCCTCCAGTGCTGAAACTGCTCCCATTTACCCGGCTGAAGCATGACGTGTTGCAGTGCTCACTCGAGAGGAACATAGGGGACGATCTTGGTTGGCGTGCATTTGACCTGACCCTCACTAGTGCACTTTTCACAATATAGCATCCCAGGGCAGTCCAGTACAGCGCAAGATGGCATCTTGAGCTCCAGCAGATCCGAAGGATGATGGACAGCCCAGCAGTCAGGGCAGATAAACAAATAGACAATGAAGTTTGCTGTTGACAAACTGAGATGCTTGAGAACAGTTGGGAGAGTGACAGCAAAGTCCTCTAGACCAGCAAAGTTTATGCCAGCATGGTCACGACTGATGGCCATGAGAGTCGAACGAACACCTTTGAGCGTAAGCTGTACAGATTTATTGCTGTTGCCCATGAAGGCCACACCAACAAAGACACGGATGTATGCACTACGGATGAGATGGTGATCCTGGAAGGCTGGTGGGAGTTCATTGTGACAGACGTCTAGATCGTGAATTTCTTGGAGATTGAACCAGCCTTCATGCATGTTATTAAGACAATCAAGCATAACAAAGGGGTCATTGGCGCCAGCTTCAGTGCCTGATCCATCACATTCATGCAGATCTTCTTCATCCGTGAGATTTCCATCCGTGTTGCGGTGCATGTGACCTCCTGATTGAGACTGTAAAGTGGCTTCTTCGTTGGCCCTGTCACCATCGTCATCCGACCAAGCATCATGCGTATTTTCATCCTCGTCAGGCTGCTCAGGTCTTATTTCGTGTACTTGTGATTCATTAGGTTGAAATCTAGGTTGTGTGTTTGAACACTGAGGAAGTGATAGCTGTCGAAGCTCTTCCTGGCAGTTATGCAGAGTGTCTTCCTGCTGGTCCCTTCGCATGTGAGAGTTAGCCACGGGACGGTCTTGCAGCTTGAACCCTTGTGGATCAAGGCTACATCCCTGAGAACGACAAGTGCATTGATCAACAGGATAGTCCCTTTGTGCCATGTTGGATTAATTGATTGTTGGGCTGTAGATAGTGGCTTGATAGGGATGTGTGCAGTGCGTTTACGAGTCTAGAGCACTCATAGTACACCCAAGTGAACATGTCACAAAGGTCATGTGGACTAAAACTCAATGCTCGTCATCAAATACACGCTCAACATTCACTAATACAACATTCAATCAAAGTATGATTTGGTGCTTATTCTGAGCGTGACATGCCTTTTCCGGTTTTATATGATCTACCTTTGTTTTCAGTTTCGCTTTAACCTCTGTATACAGCCGATACTAGTATGGTCTGACCTCCTCTGGAGAATTTGTCTGAGGTCAGGCAAAATCGTGATTGGTTTGTGGCGAGTACATGGGAGGGTGACATTTGGGTTGGTTTGGTGGATAAGAATTGATTATATAATCCAATACCAACCACAAATCAGCGAGGACGGTGTTGAAATCAGAAGTCTGGCAATCGCGCTGGTCTGGCTAGGTACGGCAGTCCGGCGGCAAGTTGCGAGGGGTTTTGGGGTCTTAGTCAAAATCAAAACCATGGTCGGCATAATAATGTTCGTGGAGTTGAATGTACTTGGGTAGGTCAGGCCAGGGTAGTACATCCGAATCTTCGAGCCGCTGTGAGCATAGTATTTATGGCGATAGTTATGGCAGCATCCTAGAGCAGACATGAATGGTTGAGCATGATACAGGCTTTGAGAGCAAACAGAGACTCAGAGCAAACCTGCGCATGTCAGATTAACGACCTTTGTGAACTCGACGCCATCATGACATCGTCGAGGGTAAGGATAATGGCCCGGCACATCTTGTCATAGTCACGCATCTCCACACCCGTGTTGGTATGAGGGCACTGCGAATTTGTGCATACTAAGTGCATATAATAGTTGGTGTGTAAAGGGGTGCCTTGCCCAGTATATGAGGAGAGCTTTGGAATAGAAAGCAATGGGTTACTCATATATAGTACTTTAAATTGTCCCACCCATGCTCCTTATAGTTCTGCAATGATCTCTGGCCTCTTCTCTTTCCTCGAGCGGTGGTAGCGACCAGATGAGGCTTCAAAGACCCTGCCACATGATAGGAATGTACTGGGTTCGGATAGACGTGACCATGGATAGAAAGACCTGGTTGACATGTGGCAAATAGGTTGACGGGGTGGAGGCTGTCGACTTAGAAGTCCTTTGGTTGGATAATGCTGATATCTTCGCGAAAGTCGCGACAACATTCGATAAACTCGGTGATCTGCTCATATTCAAGCTGCTCAAACTGGGAATAATGCCGGGGGACACAGGGAATGGGAATGGGTTATAGATAAGATAAAGTACAGGAGGGCTAAGAAATCTGCGCGACGCGGCTAGATCACATGCAATTGACTTTTGTTTGGAGACCCCGCAACCGCGTCGTACCAACCGTACCTGCCGGACTGCGTCGCAGCTCGCGCAGCGCCAGACTTCCGGATTCAACAACTTTCTGAAATTAGCGGCCGATTATCCATTCGAAAGTCCGGTGTCAGTAATGTTATTGTAAGCCGCCATAATTTATATTATATCAGTCAACATATTTCCACGATGCCAGTACTTGTATCACTAAAAATGTACGATTATTAGTTGGCGAATGAAGCCTCCAAGAAAGCCTCAATCTCCTTCTTGTGTTGTGTCTACAGCTCACATGAGTAAAGCTCGTATCTGACTAATGATATGGTGCTCACCTTGCTACCGGTTGCCACAGAGCTGGTCGGCTCTCTGCCGGCATAGTGGGGATATTTACCCTTGTGGTGCTGGGTCTCGTTGGCAGCGGTGAGAATACGTGGGCCAACGTATGTCCATGCTCCGTTGTTCAATGGCTCCTCCTACGGAAGACAAAGCCATATCAGTACTTGACATCTCAAGACGAGCAAGCTACTTACTTGACACCAAAGTAAATCCGCATTGGGATATTGATCGAGGTGGGGAGTGACCTAACAAAACATGAATAGTTGTGCGAGACTCTGGACTGCAAATACGTACAAGATCATACGGGAATGGCGAAATCTGCTCAATGCGGCTGATAGCAATGTCCTTGATTCCTCTTTGTTCGCGAGCCTGGAGGAGGGTGTAGTACACCTGACCTATAGCACAATAAGTATGGGCAGCTATTCTCAGGAACGTGCACTTACCGGTGCACAGGATGTGACGTCTGATGTTCTCAGGCGCAACAAGGGAGTCAGGATGTGACTCGGGGATGTATCTCTCGAATTGAGTGTCACCGATCATCTCCGTCAGCTCCGAGCGGGCTTGTGGGTGACGGAGGAGCGATTTGGAGAAGAAGAGGATGAGCTGCTGGGCGTTAGCTATTGCCTGAAGAGAACATGGTTTGACGTACAGGTTTGCGGAAGTCACGATGAATCTGGCGTCGAAGAACATGGAACTAACAAGGACGAGTTCAAGAGGGATTCAATTCTTAGCGGACGAATAACAACTCACGTAGTTGGCTGGGGTCCTGTACAGCCAGCTTAGCATTTATAAGGGGACAAAAGGGTTAAACAGCACGTACGTTGGGTAAACGACCTGCATGTTACAGTCCTGGTGCTGACGCTCGATCTTCTCTGGTGTCGGGAAGATGTTTGGGTGGTCATCACAAAGTTGCAAGAATCTCTCAATCCTGCCACTGGAATGCTCCGGGCCTTGGCCGTCATAACCGTGCGGCAGGCTCATCACCAAGCCAGTGCGCTGAAGCCACTTCCTCTCACCAGCAGCGATAAACTGATCGATGATGCACTGCGCGTTATTTGCAAAGTCACCGAACTGCGCCTCCCAGACGGTGAGCGAGTCGGGCGAGACCAAGGAATAGCCGAGCTCGAAGCCAAGAGCGCCAAATTCCGACAGCGATGAGTTGCAGACGACAAAGCGAGCCTGGTTCGAGCCGAGGTTGTTCAGGGGAAGATACTGCTGCTCGTTTTGCTGATCATGAATGACAGCATGGCGCTGTGAGAACGTCCCACGTTCCACGTCTTGGCCGGAGACACGGACGTGAACCTTTTCAAGTGCCAATGAACCGATTGCAAGTGCCTCGGCGGTAGACCAGTCAATGTTCTGGCCCTCCTCTACGGTCTTGCCACGGTTGCTGAGAATACGAGCGAGATTCCGATGAGGAGTGAATCCCTGAGGGTAGGACGAGATGGCTTTGCCGACGCGCTTTAGAGTAGCTTCGTCGGAGCCGGTGGCACGGGTGGGAAGAGTCTCCTCAGCAAGCTGTCGGGGAGACGGGAAACCTTGCCATGACGCAGACAACCATTCCTTGCTAGTAGGAACATAGTCCTTCGCACCAGCCGCAGCCTTCTCAAGCATGCCCCACACCCACTTCTTGTGCTCCTCAATGTCCTTCTCGGTGAAGGTTCCACGGCCCACAAGGAACTTGGTATATTGCGTGAGGGGAGTGGGCTGCTTCTCGATGGCTTGGTACATCCTAGGCTGCGTGAAACTGGGTTGATCCGTCTCATTGTGACCATAGCGACGATAACAGACGATGTCGATGACGACGTCGCGCTTGTATTTGGCACGATAGTCCGCTGCCAGCTGACAGACGAAGTTGACGGCCTCGACGTTATCACCATTGACGTGGAAGATGGGGGCGTCGATGGACTTGGCAATGTCTGAGGGGTAGGGAGTCGAACGCGCAAAGCGAGGATCAGTGGTGAAACCAATTTGGTTGTTGACAATAAGATGGATGGTTCCGCCGGTTCCGTAGTGAGGCAAGTTGTGGAAGCCCATGGTCTCGTAAACAACACCCTGTCCAGCAAATGCGGCATCACCATGAAGGAGAACACCCATAGCCGTAGTGTGGCTAGACTCGTCCTGTTCGAAGTGCTGGATGGCCCTTGTCTTACCCAGGACAACGGGGTCCTCAGCTTCGAGGTGAGAGGGGTTGGCGACTAAGGAAAGGGAGACCTTCTTCCCGGAAGGAGTAGGCCGAACGTAGTTGGCGCCGAGATGGTACTTGACATCACCAGCCGGAGAGTCGTCCAATTCGGAACCAGAAAACTCGTTGAGAATGGCCTCGATAGGTTTGCGGATAACATTGGCGAGGACGTTAAGACGGCCACGGTGAGGCATACCAAGGGTGACATGCTTCACACCGTGGTCAACGGAACGGTCAATGAGAGCCTTCATACCAGGAATCAAAGCCTCGCAACCCTCCAAACCGAAACGCTTCTCGTTGGGGTACTTGCTTGCAATGAATTTCTCGAACGACTCGGACCAGATGAGGCGGTCTAAGATCATGCGCTTTTCCTCCACGGTGTAGTTCCACGGCTTCGGGATTTCAACGCGTTCCCGAATCCAGTCGCACTGCTCCTTGTCGGGGATGTGAACGTACTGAATACCGACCGCACCGCCTGAGTAAACGTGAATACGCTAAACGCACCTGAATTGACTGAAGGAGGACTTACAGTAAATCCGCTTCAGGGTCTTGATGATCTCTCCAAGAGACATGGTCTTGCGGTCTTCGGTGGCGAAATGAGGCAGGATACCGGGTCCAAGAGCAATTTGCTTGTCGAGGTCCCGCTCCGTGAAGCCATAACGGCTGAGCTCGAGCTCAGGAGGATGAACGTCGGCAAGGTCTGCGTCCAGAATACCAAGAGGGTCAAGTTCGGCAACGTGGTGACCCCGGACTTGATAAGCGCGAACGAGAAGTTGAACCTGAAAGCCTCGTGAGATAACCATAAAGCAAGACCAGCAGATCAAATACATACTTTTAAGTGGTCATCTAATTCTCCACCCCTGCCTGCATGAAGGGCAGGCGCACCGTCAGCGGGGGGCGCAACGAGGCCAGGAGGGGGCTGGAAAGCCTTGGCACTAGGAAGTCCTTTATCCATGCCAGAGAAGTAGGCGTCCCAAGAAACATGTACGGATTTTGGGTCCTGTCTCCAGTGCTTGTACATCTCCTCTGCATAGTAGGCATTTGTGCCGTTTGCGAAGGGGTCATTTGGTGACGGTGGACCCGAAGGAGTTGCGAGTGTGCGCCTAAGAGCGATCCTGCCTGCGCCCTTAGCGAGGGCATAGGGCAGACGACAAAGAGGCTGCCTTGCGAGCATGGTGGTTAGAGAGAGAGGGAGAAAGTGCAGATGGTCATTGACCGCGCCGGCCTTCAGACCGTGTCGCCTTCCGTCCGGGAACTGCCGCTTTTCGTCAGCCCGGGATGACGTCGGCCGAGACGTAAGTAACCGGTTGCGCGCTGCGGAAGCCGTCCTAAGCAGGCCCGGCCGCCTCGGGCCATCGTCGGTCCGTGGCCCATCTATGATGGTTTTGGCTGTAAGACTAAAATCACAATACTCGGGGAAATGCCGCTTGCAGCGGCGAAAACCTTGCTTGACGTTGGAGTTTGCACTGTAAACGATTTGCAAAACCCTGCCTATTCACTATGAAGCCAAAACGTAGACCTTAACAATCTCGAAGGAGCAAGTGCGCTGCACAGATGAAGTATGAAACAATTCCCTCCAGCATATGCGTTACGGTCAGGTCAAAGAGCGTTGTATCAACATACTGCGTATTATGGTACCTCATAGCCGTACCTGTGTCAAGACCTGTGTTCTCGCAACGTTCAGTGAAGAGCCTTGACTCGGAGTTCATCGTCATTAATCACCCCTTGCCATGCTATGGAGACCTTTTAGGACAAATCGGCCATTCGAAAGCACTATTCAACTAATCAGGTACCTCTCTTTATTGGTAGAAACTAAGGTAACACGTTAGAAACCTAGACACGCGCGTGAATGCAGAAAGTCTGAGGTTCAGCTACATCTATAGCGGGTATAAGTACGGGTGTACACAAAGCATCCGAGCCACAGTACTAGTAGTAGTAGTAAGTAGTATCGTAAGTGAGACGAGAAACAATTACCATGAGCTAGAGCAAGCAAGTAAGAGATGAGACAGAACAAAAGTATACTGAGACTCTATGCATCCGACGTGCCTCTGTGTGGCTTGCTAACCCAGCGCACTCCTCCTCAAACCTCGTCGAGGCCAAGTTCGCAAGCAAACTACTTGACTTTGGCCGAGGGGAGAACCTTTGTGAAGGCACTGGCAATCATTTCGTCAGCTGGGCAGTAGACGAGATGCTTGGGACAATAACCCAACAAATGCCAGTTAAATGATAACAAATGTCGATATGTTTTAATTGAGTGTGATATTGGTGGTCGTGAGCGAGCGCAATGGCTGACTGATTGTTGAAAAAGAGTTTGGTGGGCTCATCGGTGGCCCAATGACTTCTCGGACGAGAGAACGCAACCAGAGCGTCTTCTTGGCTGCGTGCATTGCGGCAACGTACTCGCTCTCAGTTGCCGAGAGCAATACAACCTCCTTCCACAGTGTCTGCTTCGATAAGGAACGCATAGCCGGAGACTGTCCGACGGTCTTCCGCCATGCTACCGTCGGCATCTCCATACCTGACGAGCTCACGCTGCAGATCGCCATACATGAACCAGAGCCCCTGCGTGCCTGTGAGATAGCGGAAACTCCGCTTGACCACGCCCCAATATGCATGGCCGGAGTTGGACGGAAGGTGAGAGACGGTGGCGACGGCAAACGTGATGTCCGGCCAGGTCGCCAGCGACATGTACATGAGTGAACCGACCGCCTCGCGGTACAGTACGCCTTGCATTACCGTTAGTATCTCTTCCGTCGCGCAAGGGGCCATGGTGGTCGTCAGGCGTGCATGTGGTTCCATGGGCATTGATACGAGCTTGAGCTCATCGAAACTGAAACGGCGGACGATGGAGGTGATGTACAACTGCTGGGAGAGGTGGATGGTGCGGGTTGCCCGGTCATGCTTGACTTCAATGCCCAAGAGCTAGTGCAACTCGCCGAGATCAGATACCTTGACATGCTCGCGCAGCTGGGCCTTGAGGCGGGCAATGAGAGCAAGGGAGGATGTAATGATCGTTCAATCATCGGCATGCACAACAACGATAAAGAGGGTGTTGGCATCCCGGCGATAGAACAAGCATGGAGCAGCGGTGAAGAGATTTGGGATATGGATAGTATTGTGTATGAAAGGGAAGATGTATTACACTTCTGGACTGCGTCGACGTTGTACTGGTGCTGACTTTGCCTACTTATTACTAGTGTCTAAAGGCTATACTTTACTTACCAACCTAGAATAGCGAGCTTTGTTTGTACTTATGTGGCAGGCGCGACGTTCCCACGCAATAAAGGGGGTGACAGAAACCTTGTCAAGCAAGGTAATTGGTGTCTACAGTTTTACATAATACGAGTACATGAGATACCAACGAGTGAAGTACAAGAATGACTGTAAATACAGTTCACCTTTCGGCCTCGCGCCAGCGCAGGACAGAATGGTGACCATGAATAAATCCAAAGTGCCCAAATGCTAGATAAGATAAACTACTTATGCGCGCGAACAACAGCCTTCGGCATCTTTGGTGGAGCTGAAGCTATGACGGTGTCATACGAAAGGTGAAGGTCCCGAATATTGGGACAGTTGTTGCAGAATGCAAACGTTCCCATCCACGACACCCGAGACGGCCGGTCTTGCGCAGGCGAGCTAACAAGACGTAGGCTTTCGATCGACTGCCATGCTTCAGCAAGAGCGTTTGCATCCGTATCGTCCAAATCGAAAATGCCGACACGATCCAAGATAAGGGTGCGCAATTTTGTGAACGAGAAGAGGACAGTGAGCCAAGTCGAAGATATGACATCGGTAGGACTGTCTTGCTCTGTTATCGTGGAAACTTCAAGAGTCTGAAGAGAAGTCCTCCAGGGAGTATTTTCCGATAATGCCGTGAACAGCTGCTGGAGATGCTCTGGAAGCACACTTGCGCATGTCGTCTGAATGCTCTCGACGGTTGGGGAAGAGATATTGTCGAACACTTCGCTGGCGGTCGCTAATGAGTCGCACGTAAGGGATATGTTTTTGATGCTGGGAAATCTACGACATGAAACCGCTTTGGAACGCAGGTCCACCTGCACGCCGCGTGCAAGACGAAATGTCACGTCCTCGAGCTCGTCAAGCGTCGACAAGTAAAGAAGGGCGTCTGGATGGATGACGGTGTGGTTATCGGTGACAAATGAGCGTAGATCGGAAAGATGTGAGATGGACGAGGACAACTGAGTCGGACAAGGACTGGTTATAGCTAACCGCCGAAGCCTCGGGCACATTGACAAGAGAGGCCGTAAGACGGCATCTGTGTCGTCAGCTTCAGGCAGCTCGATGGATAGTTCCACAAGGCGGCGGGTGACGAGAGTCTCAATGAAAGGGATGAACGCGTTAGAACGCTCTATGCGGCTGATGAGCGGTGCGTGGAGGTGAGTAATGTTGGGGAGAAGGTGTACAGGTGCGCAAGAGGAAAGGGCAAGGAGGATAGACCAGTGAGGGTGCCAATCTCTGCTCGAGGGAGCTATAGAGCCATGAGCCGTGGATATATGACGAATGCGAGGAGAATATATAAGAAGTCTCTGGATGTCAGCTGGAGTGATATCCCTAGTGAGGTGCTGAGGTAAACAAGGATATGAGTGTCATCATAGAGGCGACGAAACTTAGGGGCTTACTATCCAGTAGTCGTCTCGAATTTGCCAAGAATCTGTTGGCAGTGTATGCATGACGAGGGTGCCAAGAGAGTCTTGGGTGTGCCATAAATGATCGAGGGCGGGTGCACAGAATAAGCGAGAAACGAGAGCGCAAGAGAAGAGCGACGCGTTGTCTTGGAAGTGAGCAACGAAGGATAAGATGTTGCAGACGACATCGTAGTTGAGCTTCGAGGAAGCCATCTATGAAGGTGCTGAGAGCACTTGAGACGAGCATTCCCTTGGGGCTGGCTCTATCATATTTATACCGCTATAGGATGTCGAGCGCCCGAGGGTGACCATGGGCGAGATACGTTCTGTGCTCGGCCTAAAATTAAACACAGTGCAGCAAGACGTTGTCGAAGCGTGGGGAGGGCGAATGTCAAGGACGGGTGCAGTGGACGATGATTTGTATTGACTTGACAACGGCTAGCGCTGAATGTTTGAACGCTGTTGAGCTCTGCTCGTCGGTGTGGGAGGTCCAATAACATTACCAGGGGAACCGAGTCAGTGGTGAACAAGAAAGTCCCGTCAGTGCTAAAAATAAATCTAGCATCATGCCGATCCCCACGCGGGGCCGATAGGGGTAAAACTCTTTCTTCTTCACCACCGCTCACAATCTCACAGCTAAACCTCGGACCTACCCACTTGCATCAGTCTGTACAACATCACCTCCTGATAAGTCAGTGGGTGCCTCGCCAGCGTCTACTTTCTGACGCGTACATGCTGAGCATCCAGTCCAGAGTGGTACTCATCTATTTTTATCCTCTACAACTCACTGCCAGTATGTACGTTGACTGCAATCTCACCGTATCTCACCGTTCGCCATCATCCATCATGCCCGCCGCATCTCCTGTGTTTATCTACCTCGCCCACGGTTGCAGCTGGTTGCAGTCTCCAGAGTAAATTCTGGTGCATCACCTCTCTCATGGCGACCTTTCTTCGCTAGCCTATTTCTGTCCTTGTTCACTTGCCCATTCTTATTCAACCTCAGTCATCGTCGGAGACACACTCAAGGCGCAGCAATGTCCCATTGATGTTCATTATCATAAATCCGACACCGTGACCCAGCATCGAGGATGTACCCAGCGCTTCAATCATGCAGATCATGAATACCCACCTGCCACTCCTGACGTGGGAGTCGAGATAGATAGCGCGTCCCACCTTTAACGCGCCCGCATGCTGCTCAATCGTAACTGGGCCTGCTGCGTCGGTACTCGTGACATTCATCCGAGATTGCTGCCCCTGGCGTGGACCTGCGCGGACATAAGTGCTTTTCTGTGCATCTCTTTGTCGTCACGCCCGGGTCAACAGTCACCCAGGAAGCAGATACAATTTCCCGTCCCAACCCGACTCGACTTCCATGGCGCGCTGTGGACAGTAAGCCCTTTCAACGTTCAAGTCTGGACGTACGGTTAATCCAGCACCCGTTGATAAAGCGGCATCATACGGTCACTAATCCTTTCCCACCCAAGAGAAACTACCAGTTGAAAAAGCGATATTCTCCTTGATGGCCCGTCCCTTTGCTGACGCACGAAAGCGTCTGGTCTTGACTTCGACCTGACCATGTCTCCTAAGCCTAGCGGTTTACCGCCTGCCTCGCACTAGAACTCGGGTGGTTCAAATTCCTTACGAGTGGCGTACAGTTCAATGATCCCGATCAGCGGTCGGAAAGCATAGTCCATGACTACGTGTATTATGAACGAGTACATACTTGACCATATTCCTTCTACGAGTAGATCATCGTACTTAGTACGCTAAGCAAGGATCATTGCGCATCTGCATTACACCATGATCGACTTAGTCGCAAAAGTATGGCCATACAAGGCTCGTACTGGTTCTTGGCCCTTGACTCTTGAATCATATACGCCCGATGTTTACTCTCAACGGCTATGTACTCATGAAAGAGTAGGGAACGAACGAACAGTTATTTTGCCCAAACAACACAAGTCTCGTCATGTTAACCTCTCATGATCATTCCCAGATCAACAACAGACCGCATTTCCGATTTTATGAGGTGGCGCTCGGAGCCACCATGTCTGTGCCGAGCTCCCACTTGCGTCGTTGCCGAATTGGCCATGATCTCAGAGTTACATCATACTATTCTCATTAGCCCCAAGTCCTCCGAAACCCAACCCTGTACATCCCGTATATAAGGGAGGTCACTAGCATTGCAAGACCTCATCTTTTAATCCCAAACACTCCCAATAACAATTCACCAAGCTTCCTCGAACACCATCATGTCTCACGTTCAGACCGATCAGCGCCACTCTCTCGAGGGCAAGAACCTCAGCACACGTCAGACGGACTACACCGACCCGTCCTCCCAATCGAACCAGGGTATTAGGGATGGTCGGCCCGAAGGTATGTCATGGATGTCTTCATGATTTCTGTTCTTAAAGCGCCTGCTAACTTGGAATAGGTCGCCAGCCTGAGTCTGCCCCTATCCAGGTGGACACATATGTTGACAACGATGCAGCTGCTCCCCAACCTCCAGTCACCGCCTCGAGCACGCTCACTGGCGCGAATTCTGCCGAGGTGTCAGAGACCATTGGGAAACCAGGGCAAGGAATGTCCAGCAAAGAGTTACGTCACGATGGACAGCCAGGGCGGAAGCGCCATGCAGAGGGTGTTGACCAGTTTGGCACCCATGCACTCCCTTCGGAAGAGTCGGGTGTACAGTAATTCTTTCCTGGAGTAATTTGTATCAGTAGAGTAATTGCAAGCATAACTTCGGACCCTTCAGGGTGCACGACATGAGAACCTCCGCTTGTCTCCATGCATGATGGGCTTGGCAGGACAAAACCGGCTTCGTACTATAGAGTGTGGAAGTGTTCCACACATCGTAGCGCTGATTGACCTATGTTCATGTTCACGTGCCATAGCTGCTGGGCCAATAATGCCACCAAGATACCCAGTGGCCGCCGTGCAAACAACTTTAGTCAGTGAGGCTGTTCAGGGCTGATCACGAATTCGGAGTGTGGTAGAGCAAGGGTTATTACAAGGTGTGCTATTCGGAATTCGATTACCCTCCTCGCATATGGGTGATATGAGCTCCAGAGCTGGAGCGCTTCAGCTTCAGAGAGCAAACAGACCAAGCATGGTCTATACTTGGTGCATTGGTATGACCAAGCCATGAATGGTATGTAGAGAAGAATTACAGTATTGCATGGTGGAATGAGTTTGCAGAGCTACGGTGGAACTCGCGTCGAGAAGTCAATGATGTTGGGGAAAAGCTGTTACAAGGATAAGGTCGGGGTTCAAAATCTCTATCGCCGCAGACATGTGGCAACGCCCTCTCAAGGTTGTCTCAAGATCTCCAATACACCGCAAGACACAAATGGCCGGACAACAGACTCCTCGAGATCCGATTCATCCCCCTCTCCGAATCCCTCCTCAACATACATCTTATCCATCTCTTCTTCCTCGAGGCTTTTAGTATTTATTTCACCCGTATATACACTCGCCTAATTACACCCACCCAACCCGGCGGTAGCTTCACATTGCAAATATTCCATTGCCATGCAACGAGACCAGAACTCGGACAGGACAACACGCTCAAGCCTCGACGAGCAGCATTCCACAGACACCTACATTGACGCGTCTCCTACAGCGGATCGGCAGCCAAGCGCTGAAAGTCAATTACCTCAGTGTTCTGCACCAAATCCTGCACCATGCCCCAAGACATCGGACTCCGAACCTCCCTCACCGTCGCGCTTTAAGAGCCTGATTGCGCCTTTCAAACTTAGTCTTGTTCTCGAGAATAAGGGCAATGTTGCCCGCGACCACCTGGCTTCGGAGCGGACGTACCTAGCCTACGTCAGAACCAGCCTGGCTTGTTCGAGCGCCGGTGTCGGTACGTTACTACCCCTTCTCTACTAGCCTTCCCAATGAATACCGTATTTTCCAGCTCTTGTGCAACTTTTTACGCTTTCCGCCAACACGCTGAACACACCTGGAATAAACTTGGAGCAATGGGCACGGCCGTTAGGAGCGGTGATAATCCTCCTTGGCCTTTTGGTCCTTATCTACGGTTCGTCCCCTTCAATTCTCTCAAGTCTGTTTTGACAATGACTTGTTACTAGGGGTCGTCCGGTACTTTACAACGCAAGCCGCTCTCATTCGCGGCTACTATCCAATTGCCAGAAACTCTCTTACCGGCCTTGCCTTCGTGCTTGGGACCATCATAGGTGTTGTTTTTGGCATCCTCGTCGCCGGCACGAAGTATTAGGCAAGCACACCGTCTCAACACCCCCATTACTCTTGCGCTCAGCCTCGACATATGCGACACGGCTGCGGTTGATGTTCTCGCTGCAGTGGGCGACAACCTAGCGTTGTTACCAGCTCCTGGTTCGACTTCTTCATTATCCGGTGACATATAGGACGAAACATCTAGATCCAGTGGATCAGTATTTTGCAGCCTTGCAATTGGGTATTACCAGCTTTGCAATCCTACAGTTACCCCAGCATCATTGCATACACTCCAGGCTTGAGTTGATGCAACGCGGGTCAGGTAGCTACACAATACATACGGTAACTTGCTTTTAGATTTGAAGGGACTACTTATATCTCATATTTTCGTGATGAAATACACTTGTTATATGGATCCTAGGGAAGAAGTTGTCATGAAGGGAACGTATTCCGAGTGCTGCAGTGACCTAATGGCGCTGCAACAAACGAGTACATTTACCATTAATTCGATCGCTTACAGGATGACGAGTTTTGAGTCTGCTAGGGTTTGTCTCTCGTGACGTCATTTCCAAAACGTGGTATGTACGAGAGTACCAGTCCGGTCCGGGCATAATTGTCTCCTCGTAATGCAACTTCATCTACAATGTCCAATGCAACTCACCGTCGGTCGGTAGCTTCCATTGAGAGCGAACGTCATTGACAGGATGGTCTCCCGGTCACCTGCTCTGAAGATCTGAGGTTTCGGTGGCACCTCCCGTCGGACATCCGTCCTTCCTCGTGCGAGTCAGGCTGATCTCTCGTGGAAAGATTTCCCAAGAGTTTCGTGGGTGGACGAGGATCATGCATTCGTGTTAATGCCCAATCGTACTGTTTCTTGAAGTTCTTTCAGTCCCTCTCGCCATACTAGCCGATATGTCAGCCCCTAAAGTTGCTCTCATCACCGGCGCTTCGTCTGGTACGCCATTCTGCAGCAGTTGACTCCGTCTTCGTACTGCGATTACATCCTACTAACCAAACAATCGCCTGCACTAGGCATTGGTCGCTTGACTGCCATTAAGCTCTCCGAAGCAGGATGGACACTCGCTCTGACAGCTCGAAGGCTACCTGAACTAGAGCAAACCAAGACGGCCTGCACTAACTCTGACAAGCACGTCGTCGTGGCAGGCAGCATCTCAGACGAGTCCTTCGTCAAGGATTTGTTCTCCCAGGTCGTCACTAAGCTCGGCAGGCTGGACCTCTTGTTCAACGTCAGCACGCTACACTAGTGACGCAGTGCATTATTGACTCGGTTTAGAATGCCGGCATAAGTGACAACGGAACACCGCTCGACGAGATGTCATATGATTTGTTCTCTTCAGTTATCAATGTGAACTTGAATGCCTCCTTCCTCTGCACTCGCGAAGCATTCAAGCTTTTCAAGGCACAGAACCCAACAGGAGGTATGTCCTGCCTCGGCATATAGGGTGCATCCCGTAAAAATGTTGAAAACTGGCGTAATCAGGTAGAATCATCAACAACGGCTCTCTCGCTGCCCATGTTCCTCGCCCACATTCGATTGCATATGCGTGCTCTAAACACGCTATTTCAGGTCTCACCAAAGCTAGCGCGATTGAAGGCCGCAAATTCGACATTGCGGTCACTCAAATTGATATCGGTGATTAGACTCACTAATTCATCAAAAACTCGCTTTGCTGAAGGTTCGCTACGAAGGCAATGCACATACCTCCATGGCATCAGGTCACACTCTTGGTGCACTACAACCAGATGGGCGCAGGGTAGTCGAACCCACCTTTGATCCAATCCACGTCGCCGAGACAGTTGTGCATATTGCGGCGCTTCCGAACACCGTCAACGTGCTCAATATGAACATCATGTATGTGTATTTATTATGCAAGTCGTGTAATACAGGGATGTTAATTGGTTGATCAGGGCCACCGGAGTTCCCTACGCGGGCCGCGGCTGAGAGCATATAAAGGGCTGAGAACTTGTGGAGTTGGGTGCAAGTAGGGGATGAGGAAGTAGGAATGAAGTGGGAATGTGAGCTAGGATGATGCAAGTTGGAGAGTATGAATGTTCTCGGAAGAATGCAGTATACATATGTGATGCAAGTACGTGTATGGCTTGTTGTGCTAAGTACATTACCAGTGAGACACCGAGCCCAAAGGAAAGAGAAAAAACGTTCTGGTTGACGCGCGACAACCGATGGGTATCAAATAGCGAGAAACATAGCAAGATGGCTGAGAACGATTGCTATGCTGTTTTCAAATATCATGGAAAGTCTTCAGCGCTTAACGCTTAGAGACGAAGATGAATGTAATGACCGATCGGCGACCAAAAAAATGCGGATAATAACCGCGGAGCGAACTTCAGTTACCCTTGACAATGTGAGGTTGCTGATTTGTCATCTGATCCGTATTGCGATGTTTAGAAGAGGGAGGCCGACAAAGCCAACCTCCTGCTTCCCAGACGCGACCAGGCTTGTAGATCTCCAGCTTTCTCTGATTACGATCGAGGGTGCCTTTGAGTATGACACGAAGGCGGTCAAAATCGATTGGTTTTAAAAGCCAGCCGTCAAAGCCATAGCTGAGAAGCTCCCCGCGTTGATTTTCGAATAGGGAAGCAGAGACAGCGAAGATGGGTATGCGCCCGTTAAGCACTTGGGATTGACGACGTTGCTCCTCGGGAAGTTGGTCGGGTGGGGGACGAGTGGTCTCGTGCTTTCTGATTTGCTCGGTGGATTCAAAGCCATTTAAGATTGGCATTCTAAGTTAAGTCAGCTTTGACAGCTCCGCAACAGGATGTGGGACTGACTGGATATCCATGAGTATGCAGTCAAAACCATAGTCAGACTTGACTGTGTCAAGGCCCTCTTGGCCGTTAGTGGTCCCGACGACATCGTGGCCGTCCTTTTCTAGCCGTTTCGAGAGGATTTTTCGATTGATGTCATTATCCTTTAGACGATGATGTCAGTATTGCGTAGAGTCTAAAACACAAATACAGAACCTCCACGACGAGCACTCTCAGTGGTGGGAGAAACCCCGATCCAGTTTGGAGAGAATGAACCGACGTATGGGTTGTTTTCTTTTTGCTAGCAATATGCTTTGTGACGACGTCGTCGTCAACAGCCTGCAATCTCGCTGATGGCTCTGGCAACGCTGGTAGCATCCGATCACTTCCATGGTCGGACAGCGATCGACGATTTGGGGATAGTGACGAGCCGGTAAAAGCTTCAAAAATGTTGTCGATCTCGTTTCCTGAACTTTGGCTGTTGGTTCGTGACTGAAGACACAGCGATGAAGAGGACCGCGTCTGAGCGGACGACGACCCTGACGCATCCGAGCCGACATTCGACAGCTCCAAGGGAATTAGGAAAGAAAAGCGGCTTCCAACACCTACAGTGGATTCCACCCGCAGTTGTCCGCCTAATTGTTCGACTATCCTTGCCACCACAGCAAGACCCAAACCTGAGCACTTTATATCAGCAAACAATCTCTCCATATCCAGATACGAGACTAACCGACACCCGGAACAGGGTCCCGCGGGTCCGCAGATTCGACTTGTTCAAATTCCCGGAAGATGCTTTGAAGCTTGTCGGGAGGGATGCCGCACCCGGTATCCGCCACTACAATCTCGACGGCTGTCTGCGATGATCGCCGAAGTCCTTGAGGCTCCTCAAATGTACGACAGTGTACACTGACGGATCCCTTCGATGTATACTTGACTGTGTTCATGGTGAACGCTTTGTGCAAAATCGACATTTCCCAGTACTTACGTGCATTCGCTGTTAAGTTTGCAACCACGGTCTTGATCTTTTTGACATCACCGAGTACACCTTTGGGACCCTCCGAAGCGCTGACACGGAAATCAATGAGACGTCGGGCTGCCTCATTGCTATATATACGGGTAGCATCCTCAATAGCATTACGAAGGTTGAATGGCTCGTTGAACGATATTTCATTGCCGCTTTCCAGCCGGGTAAGGTCCTGCAGGTGATAGCATGAGAATCAATCCTGGATACCCTACTTCACACTCACTAGGAGATCGTTGATGGTGAACAGGAGATTCTGCAAAGCCAATGAGGATGTTCGATTCATCGAACCGGATTACTAGCTACATACCTTGGATGCCGTATGCGACCTTGACAAGTGATCCCGAGTCTCCCCGTCAAGCTGAGAGTTCATGGCCAACTCGAGGTAACTTGCCAGATATAAGTTATAAAGCATTGTAGGAAACATATCACTGACTTTATGATATGGTTCAATGGCGTCCGCACTACAAGGATAGCATAAGTAGATGTTTAAATTCTGCGTATCGAAGGCTTCACCTTCATGACTCGCGTTAGTTAAGAGAAGGTTGGTCAGGTTTGATGTTTGCAGAGCTGATTCCTTCTGACGCCAGACTTCGATGAACTAAGAAGACGGTCAACCTGGCATGAAGCGAAATCTGCCGTAATCGCCAACCTTTCCGTACAGCAGGGCAAGAACACCAGCGGTTTCAAGTTCTTCCTCAGTCCATGCTCGAGAACGACCAGCCACTGTCTCAGACCACGTCCTAAACGACTTGCGGGGTTCAAGACTCTTTGATGGAACCTTATTTGGTCTGCCTGCCCACTTCACGTTACGGGGCTGACCTTTCCGTAGCATCGCGATAAAGTCGTTACCCCCAGTTGACAGAGGGACGTACAACAGGCCAGCAATAACTTCGAGGCCGGTCGAAAGCTGCAAGTCGGGGAAATCCTTGACGAGTGCTTGAGATACTTGTATGGTACTTCATGATATAATTCAATCTCGAGGTCACGCCGAAAATGCAGGGGACATACTCGAATTGCTTTAGGCGAAGGTACTCGGCCACCGCCAGAATCTCCTGCCCATGAAGATTCGGCCCAAAGATTTTAGCACCCTCGCCGATAACGAGAATGCCGTAGTCAGCGTCAAATAAGGTGAGAAGGTCGTCCGCGTTCGAGACGATATATCCGCTTGAGCTATTGTCAGGTGTCATGGGGTTGATCTTAAGAAACCGATGATGAGCTCCGGAGGACTAAACGTGGATTTAAACATACTAATCTCCTTGTTTGCAAACGACGTGAATAACTCAGTCGCTCGATGTTCCGTGATATAGTTTGACTGAGCAAGCGGAGCATCTGCCGAACAGGAAAAGATACACGCATTCCGTGACTTCCATGGGAATGGCACGAAACTAAACCCCATAGTTGACCAAAGGCAATTACCGACTATAGTCTGTGTCAAGAACAGTGAATGGGCTCAGGTCAACGTATACTGACCACCGACAATGATGCTCGGACACCCATGTTCTCTAAATCTAGATATAAAAGATGAGCTGTATGTTACCTTCTACACGGTAGAGGAGACAAACATTTGATGTGTATAGGGCTCATGGCGCGCAAGTATGAGTGAGTCATGTCCTATATGGCTTGAATAGGAGGAATCAAGGCGAAAGCGCTTTACACACCAGAGGTGCCTTGAGATCATCTGTATGTCGTACAACGATGCGGGCTGTCGGTTGATCTCGGTCGTACAGCATACGTACTGTGTCTGCAAAGCGTCACGAATTACGAGATATGTGGATGACTGACAAAACTCACTGATAGTATACAACTGACGAGCCTAAAGGATAATGAATATCACGGTTTTAAAGGATGAACCTCTGAAGGCATGATACATACCTGGGCGGGAATATCGGACGCGGGAAAGTGGAGACCGTTATAAAGTTCATGTGTCTTACTCCAGTCCACAAGTTCCGCGACGACTTGACCGTTCCATACCTCATCAAACTGATAAACCATTACTCGATGAAACTGCGTTAGGTCCTTGATGATGCCGACTACGACCTTCAAGCACATATCCAAATCGGTGGTCGAGCCCAACTGTTCGTTAATCTGAGCCATAACTGCGAAAACATCCATCATGCCGACTCCAGTAGCTCCAGCCTTTCGTCGACCGCGTCTGTTGCGTCCCGGGCCCGTACTTGCTGGTGGATTAGACCGACTGGGGACCGAAGAAGACAAGCGACGCAGCCGTTCCAATGCGGGTATGGGCTTCGCATAGTTGGTTGTGCTCTCGAGGATATCTTCCGCTGACGGCTTCCATTCTTCATCTTCAGGATTTGTCTGCGCTACAGGTTCACTTGGCCATTGACTGACAGCAGTGAAGTTGTTAGCACCAACGACAGTGGACGTGCCAACATCAGCTGAGACCAAGGTTTCACTGGAAGCACCGGTGGAGTCGCTACCCGGAGTACTATCGGAAGGCGAGAAACTACCCGTAACAATGTCATTAGAGATAGGATAGAGAGCGTGCAGTGTGTCGAGCTCGAGCTCAAACTCAAGCACTATGAGGCCGGTTCCCGCTTTGGCTCCAGCATCAACTTCTGGTGAAAGCACTACAGGTGCTCGATGCAATGCACACCAGCAGGTCCACTCGCGCCGCCCTAGAGAACGATTGCTAGAGGCATCACCACTGCCAGGTTCACCCCAGCCACTGAGCAAAAAGACGTGGGGGCTATCCTCCTGACCATCAGCGTTTACATACGGTTCACTTAGGAACTGAATATTGTCCCAGAGAACATCCGCTTGGGTATCTGGCAGGGCATCGGTAAAACACTCCAACGAAAACAAGTACTTCGGAGATAGGCCAAGAATTTCGGTGGCATTCTATGGTAATAGTCATGATCAGAGCTCTCATGTTGCGAAAAACCTTACCTCTGACACTTGACGGACGAGCAATGTGCCTTTGTCAGGATCTTCGTCAACTGCAATCAGCACACCAAACCCCTGTATTGCCCCAGGGGTGCGGATAGGCTGTCGTATGTAGCGAAAAAAGTCAGTTCAGGATTAGAGTGCAGGTATGGCGCGGAGCGCACCTCATCTTCACATCGAGTGAGCTTTCCCTCTCTCCCGGTCACAACGTGATGGCCATTCTCATCCTCAACATGGTGGTACCGACTAGTGATCAGGCGTTCCTCGTCATACATTCGTGAGCTGCCGTGGGCTACACTTGAAAGCGACGACGACGGTGGGACGGAGGACGAACGGGTTATGGCGTTGCCATCATCAATCCGTTCCGCCCTGCCTTGAAAGTAGCCTCCAGGTTGTGATTGTTGTTGCACCCAGCTGGTGATTGCTGATGAACCGGAGGACGTTTCTCGATCACTCGGTGCTTGAGCCGGCGAGGAAGGTAGGGGCGGGAGGTGGACGTAGCCAAGCTCCGAGGAATTGAAACGATGTGAACTCTCCTCCGCGGAGATACTGAAGACACTCGAATCTGTAAAGGCATTCGCGGCAACTTGTGACAGCTGAGCTGGCCGCCTGCTGTTCATGGTGCCGGCGTATTCTGGATCGCTGTCGGGGGTCAATGGACGTGGGGGGACGGGTTCGCCCATCGGACCGGCAATAAAGCCCTCGGAGACAGGGGATGTGGAATCCGCAGTATTTACGGCCACTTGATTTGATTCCCCGTCTACGTCGTTATAGGGCAAGGGCCTGTACTGGACCTCTGGTGGCCGGACAGGGGCAACAGGGACTGGAGCTTCCGAGTGACTAACAGATAGGTTGGCGAGCGATTGGCGAAGGGCCTCTGACGATTCACACCCTGGAGGGGTAGAAAGGTTGGCATGCTGTGGGTCGTCTTGGTCTGCACCATTTGCTGGCTCTAGCTGAGAAGGATGTTCTGGATCAATGCTTGTGTTTGGACGAGGTTGTTTTGGAAACCAATGGAGTTCTGTCGTGACACCTGGACTTGGGTGATGTTCGTGCTGATGGGACCTTGATATGTTTAGGGCATGAGATGAGTGGGGGAGAAAACGAAGAGATGACATACTGGTCTTTGTTACGGTGTATGCCGCTGAAGAGGGATCTAATTGGATAGACGAACGAGGATGAGCTGTGAAGTGAAGGGGACGACGGGGGCTGTTTTTCTGAGTCTCCGTGTCCTGGTATGTTCGGAGTGTCGTCAGCCATCGCAGTTGTGTGCAGAGAAGGTCTGCGATCGTTTCGACCGTCAAATGTCGACTGGCGTTGGCCGTTCTACCCAATGTTTTATTAATACTACCGCATATTCCCAAAACACCAATCTCCTAAACGGGACGTTGCAACACCACCTCGGGCGCACGACGTCATCGATTCCAACTTTTACATCTTATCCCATTTCTTCACCCCTATTACGTACTGATCCGACCGGCCGTCAACGGGAGATTTGAAAAGTCGGACCGTATGCATATGTTCTACATTCCAAATGTTCGCCTCATCATCTCGTGCACCCCCTCGAGGAGACCGACACGGTCGTGCGAGCCGGCCAGTGTCTTGAGCCAGACTGCTCTTTCTCCAGATCCTTCGAATGTTTCTATCGTCCCGAAGCCGTCAATCGTCTCCCGCTTCACCAGCGAGTCACGCGCCACCTTCCGTTTCAGGACCTGTTCGCTGTTCGCGTTCCACTCTTCCAGCGTCCATGAGCTCATCGCCGCGTTTGAGGGTGCATCCACACCAGGCAAGAATGGCTCGAGGAGCACTCCAAACAACGCCTCCGAGTGCGCAGAACACACGTCCCAGTCGTTTTCAGCGTGCAGGATAAGAATAGGGATTTTGATTCGCTGGCACAGTACCCCATCTTATGTCAGTACCTCACGTTTACAACAACTACGTCAACCCTTGGGGGACAATGACCGGTAATTAGGCACAGCTTCACTTACAGAGATCTTGCTCATCGTGTTGAACTCATGCACTAGGAATCGCTTGTATGCATCTGTAATAGAAAACCATGCCCTTCATCAACCACACGCTTCATATCGCCGAAAGTCATCTCTCGCACCAGTTGCACCAGGGATCCACGTCAGTGGCAACATGAGTGGGAATGTGCCGAAGAAGTAATAGTTATCGATCAATCCTTGTAGCGTCGAAAACGGTGACATGAGCGTCAGACCCTTTGGCCGAATGCCTTCCGTTGATAGCTGGGCACCCAACGTCGCCGAGACCGCGGTACCTAAGCTGTGGCCCACGATCAGGATATCCTCTGCCCTTGCGCCCTGCGAGATGAGCCAATCCCATGCGGCACGCGCATCAGTAGCCAGACCGTCTTCAGACGGCTTGCCCTGGCTGTCGCCGAATCCGCGGTAGTCAATGGTGAAAACGTTGGCCCTCAGTCTCGACGTGAATGCAGAGTATTGCTGGACCCGAACATGAAAAGCACGCGTTGCAGCGTTTCCATGGAAAAACAGTATGGTCGGATACTCCTGGAGGGCCTTGGCGATGTTGGAAGAAGCAGCATCCTTAGCTGGAGGAAAATCGAGTTGCTGGTATAAAGGATCTGCGAGGATAAACCATGCACCAAGCGTCACGTTGTCGGGAGTCGTGATGTAGAGATTAGCAGCCTTGCCCGCTAGCCATGAGCGGCAAATGGAAGCAACGTTATAGTTGGGAGCACACTACCGGTATCATTTATACACGAACGTACGTGCTAGACCATACAGCTCTGGCTTATCAAGCTGGCCCTTCCATGGTATCCGTATCGCGTTCAGGAAGACGGCGCTGCGTTTGAGGTGGACTCAACGGGAATTCCAAGGTCAGTGACGGGTGTTTTGAGGCTACTCACTGTGTCTGGAAGTATGGCAGGGTGAGCAAAGCCAGGACGGCTACGTATACAGTACCAAAGGTGACGAGCCCGGTGCGGAGTGCAAGTAGCATCATCGACGGATGTACTAGCTTGAACAGAAGAAAGAATATTTCCAGGGGAAACACGGCGACGCGACAAGAACGGATACTGAGTTAACATGCACGGAGGTTGACCGTGAGGAGACTGAGGATTCCTTACATTATTCCGTCAACGACTGGCTTCTATGCGCCTTGGCTCGCTCTCTTGAGCCTCTTCCGTCAGGAACCCGCGGCCGTCGCTGCACCCACTTGCAATTGCTTGGAGAGCCATGGCAGTCTACAGCGAAGCCCAGGTCCTTGATCGGCCGCCCGAGTCCGGCGTCGCTGACAACTCCGTCAGAGAACACCCGGGCCTTTCCTCCGCGGATGCCTCCACTACTCTTCGCAACGGCTCCAATCGCAAGAGTCGCCTGCCTCGGTTCATTGCTAGACTCGGCGCTGGAATCAGGCAGGACGTCCGTGCTCGTGCGCCCTGGTATAGGCGGGATTGGACCGACGCTTGGAACTACCGTGTCGTACCCTCCACGGCGCTCATTTTCTTCGCAAAGTAAATCAGTCCATTGATCCCTTTTCAGTATGTCTTGTGTCTCACCAGATTTTCTCAGTGTCCTCCCCGGCATTGCATTCTCCTTAGACCTTATAGAAACGACCCAACAATACGGCGTTGCAGAAGTGCTCATATCATCATTCATGGCTGCCTTCGTTTTCTCTGTCTTTGGAGCCCAGCCGCTTACAATTGCGGGCGTCACTGGTCTGTAGACTGTCACTTGGCCTCGCTCCTAGCTCACATCCACACAGGGCCGATCACAGTTTTTAACAAGACAATTTACGACATCATAGAGAAGCAACCTAATCCACCTAATTACCTTCACTTTGTCGGCTGGGTCTATCTCTGGAGTGCCATCATCCACTGGGTTACTGCCATACTCAATTGTATGTCTAATTCTCTGAGGTATGCATTGACGTCACTAATGTCCATTCTCAGGGTGCAACTTCCTCAAGTATGTCACTCTTTTTTCATGTGACACTTTCGGCTTCTACGTCTCTTGGGTCTACCTCCAGTATGGCATCCAAGTCATCACCCGACAATTTTATACATCCCCAAGCACAGATGGCCCGCTCGTTAGCATCATCTGCGCCCTTCTCATGCTCGTCACGTCGTTCCTCTTTCAAGCGCTCTCCCAGACACCCTACTTTCATCGACACGTTCGTCGTTTCTTTGCTGACTATGGCATGCCCATCTCTCTCGTGGCTGCCACGGGCGTCGCATACTGGGGACGCTTCAATAAGACGGATCCCACCACGTTACCTGTAGGTGGTGCATTCCAAGCCGCCAATGGCAGAGAGTGGCTTGTCAGATTCTGGCAGCTAGAAGGCAAGTGGGTCGGCGTAGCCTTGCCTTTTGGCATCATCCTCTGGGTCCTGTTCTTTTTCGATCATAACGTTTCTGTGTGTATATTCCTATTCGGTGTGATTCAGAATTCAGATGGCTTATTTCTTTGACTCAGTCTCTTATCGCGCAAGGCTCGCAGTTCCCACTACGAAAACCGCCTGGTTTTCATTACGACTTTTTCTTGCTCGGAATCACCACTTTCATTGCTGGCCTCATCGGAGTTCCAGCTCCTAATGGGTTGATACCACAAGCTCCTATCCATACCACTTCACTACTTGTCATGGGCCGCCCAACTAAAAAAGATTTAGACGAGGAAGAACGTGTATCTGGCTCTCGTGCACCTGCAGAGGGAGAGAAAGGGTCGTATGATCCGGCGTTAGCGCAAGTTGAGGTTCCTGTAGCTGTGGTAGAGCAAAGAGTGTCCAACTTGGCACAAGGTGCTCTCTGCCTGGTCTTGCTCACCGGGCCCTTCTTGCACATCCTTAGTCTCATACCGAGAGGTGAGGCTTTTCTTTCTTTTCTTCTTTCATTATGACCTACAGTATTGATGTATGAACAGGGGTACTTGCCGGACTGTTGTACGCATTTACTAGTTCGTTCGTCTTCTCCGTTCTCACGCCCTTTCAGCTGGTTCATGGGTGCCGATGCCCTGCAAGGCAATGGAATTACCGTGAAGATTTTGTATCTGATCCGCGATAGGTCGCTCACACCCCCCGACGAACCGCTGCGCAAGGTGCGGAAATCGCGGCTTCTGCTTTTCATAGCAGTACAGCTTGTTGCCTTCGGGGCGACGTTCGCTATTACGCAGACCATAGGTCAGTCTACGGCTGCGATCATCGATCATTGCTTCAACGTTCTAACGAATCCCGTAGCCGCCATTGGATTCCCGGTGATAATTTTACTGCTGGTGCCTATCAGAACCATGCTCGTACCTCGCCTACCATTTACACCAGAGGAGATAGCCATTCTTGATGGCCCCACCGCCTCACCTTTCGTAAGTCTTCCCAGTGCCTTGCTTGATTGATCCTCTCACTAAGGATCATCAGACAATGGAATCTGTTGGCGGATCTCTTTAGCACATTTCGAGAGCTGCTATCAAGGAAATAATATGAGATACAAGCAAGGAGGCCCCCTCAAAATAGAAGCTCAGCGCACGTTTAGAACTCTCGTACTACTACAGACAAAGACGCTCAGTGCCTGTTCATTAGCAGCGCATACGCATGTCTACAAGTACCGCATTCACGCGTATATATCAGTGGCTTGTTCCTTCATTTGTGCCTTTCCCGCCTTATCCGAACAAGCCCGACGATGTTCCCAGCAGACATGTGCGCATGCGATCCCAGTGATCATCCGATCGATGTGGCCTGTCAAAAGCCAGCGTTTAGCGCACTGACTTCTCATGACGAGAGCTTCTCGGCCTTCCGCCGCGGGCATGCAGACACGTATATGTACAAGGATGCGCCCTCTGCGTCCCTTGGATCTCTTGTCCTGCTCCTCCCCCGAGTCGTAGGTGTGAAGGCCGATAGCCGATACTGGTGTGTATATGCATTGACTCTACACGGATTGTATTCCCAACTATTTGTACAGATCATCAACATGTCCAACGACGGTCAACTACTAGGTGTCGCGCTCATCATCCGACATGGTGATCGCCAGGAGTTTTGGCAGAATCCCGACACCTACAGCCCGACGGCTACCCAACTTACACCTTTAGGAAACGTTCGCTCCCCTCATTCTTGCCCTTCTAGCACGGCGAGCTGACATGCTTGATACTAGCAACAAGAGTTCCAGCTAGGGAGCACGCTGCGTTCTCTCTACCTGAACGCTTCCTCGCCTTCCTACATTGCTAACATCAGCACGGACTTGTTTGATCAAAACCAAATTTATGTTCGTGCAGACTTTGGCGGCGAAGACATGGTCATCTACGACTCGTGCGTTTCTGTGACGCAAGGAATGTGGCCGGTTACGTCTTCGAACAACATCACGATTGCGAACGGAACGACGATCGTAGCACCCTTGGGAGGGTACCAGGTAAGCCTTGTTTTACTACGCACTCGTACTACTGGGCAAGTCTCTTATCGGGTCTTAGTATGTTCCTGGTAAGCCGCACAAATTCTCCAGAAATATCATCCCTCGCTTACTCTCCATGAAGTCGACGCAGTCGATCCCGATGAAGACGTATCTCTGGAAGGTTTTGATGACTGTAACGTACGGAACGAACATCTGGATTATTTATCTCGTTTAAATTACTACTTTCAGACTTTCGATGATCATACGACAGCGTTTTATAACTCGACCGCTTTCCAACAAAAAGCTCAAGAAAGCGCTGACTTCCTGAATGCTCTGAAACCTTACCTTGGTGGACGATCTAACTCGCTGCAAAACATGGTCAGCCCACTGTTCATTATGCTTGAGGCTTTTTGACTGACTGCTGGTGAAGTGGAATGTAGGTGTAACAGAGTGGTCCGTGAGCTTGACTCACCGGTTACTAGATTTACGATTACGTGAATGTGCAAAGCGTACACAACTCTACTTTTGCCCAGGAACTTCCCTCCACATTCGAGGCACAGGCCCGGGACCTGGCAAACTGGCACGAGTATAATGTATTCAGTTCCTCCAACTTGGGTGGTATTGGAAACAGCAAGTCTAGTTCATATTGACACCAAGTGCGACTTTGTTGAAGCCTCTCCGCAGTCGCAGCCCAAGCTATGCTCCCTACGATTCTCGTCGATTTGAGCGACATTGCAAACTCTTCTAACCCGACTTTGCTCACGATCACTGAGATATCCTACAAACCTTTCCTCTCCCTTTTCAATATGACGGGAGTCGCTGCTCAGAACCCTGAACTGGCTGGTTTGGGTACGTTCTCCAGCCACAGCAACGGCCGCCAAATATGCTGACAATAGATCAGTCAACTATGCCGCCGCGGTGGCCCTCGAGGTCCGGCAATCCTCATCAGGGCAGCCTACGATCCGGTTTAACTTCAAGAACGGAACTGATGAAGACTTCGTAACCTACAACTTCCTCAACCAAAATGGTGACGTGCCGATGTCGACCTTCGTCGATAACCTCGCGGTATGCGCTGGTGTTTATTTGATTCTAATTCGCTTATATAACGCTGCATGTAGCCCTATGCCGTGAACACCACCGCAGACTGGTGTTCGGTCTGCTCTAATTCGCAAGACCGTGGATGCGCAGCCCTGACCCTTGCAGAAGACCAAGGTCGTGCATCGGCTCACACTCGCATCAGCCCCGTCGGCGCTGGATTCCTCGGCGCAGGCTTGACTGTCGCAGTTTCCCTACTGATGCTGGGCGCTCTCGCTTTCTTCGGATTCCTCTCGTTTGGTAAACGTCGCCACTCACGCAAAATCCACAGCGACGACGAGGTAAGGGACAAATTCAAATTATTTTTCTTTGCTTTCAAACTAACGCCATCCCCCTAGCTCGAGCTTAGGAAGTAAATGATATTATGATTCTTGAGTAAAAGAGATCTAGCATAGATTGTGCGCTAAAAGTTGTAATCAAAGCCCATGGGCATCCGTGTAGGTTAGTGCATATGCAAACATTGATGATTCTCTGGTGTCTCAAGATGTATTGTCGAGAGTCGTACCTCGCTCGCAGTTAGTCGCTGTCATCGTAATCCTGGTTTTCATGGAACATATCTGGAGTTATGTGTCAATCATATTCAAAAAAACGTGTAATGAGGGCTTTACCGCTGCTATTACTATCATCCGATTCTTCTTCATCTGGATAATCATTCCTGTAATACTCCTCGGCTGCGTTGGATGAACAAAGATCAGCTTTGGATTCGTGAGCGAGACACACCGTTGGAATCCTCATCCGCTTCATCATCCGGCTCAGATTCATCAGTGTCACTATCATACATGTCTGATGCAACAGGAGGAAGCCCTGACCTAGAGAGGGAGTACGGTCAGAGAAGGCGAGATCGCCGACCATTGACCACCTACAGCGTCGCGACGTTTGCAACGCTATTCCATTCGCTGAGAGTGGCGGGTCGTCGGTAGAAGACGTCCCAAACATATTCGTCTTGTGCCCCTTTGCTTATAGTAGGCCCAGGAGATGAAGTTGTTGACCGAGACATTATACCGGGAGCGTCGATCTCATTGACTAATCACGCATATTTGGCGTGCACATTGTCAATAAATGGGGAAACACTCACGCCTGAGGTAATCCTGGAGCATCGGGAGGAACTTCTCCATCTCGGGGTCTAAGGCAGGCTCATTCATTCCAGAATTGTCGAGGATAGCATCGTACATCTTGAGCCCATCTTTGGGCGGGAGATCCTTCGAGGATATAACCTTGGGCCTTCGAGAGGAGGTAAGAGATGTAGATATGGAGAACGATAAGTAAGAGCGTCACATACGGGCTAGTCATAAACCTTGAAGACTTGGGTTTCTCTTGCTCAGCGAGCGGCCGTACCTTGTAACGTCTCGAGGGTGTAGGTAATTGTTTCAGCGGAGGATTCTGAGGATCCTGCTGCGGTGAGACACGAGCATTGTCGAGCTGCGACGTAGATGTTTCTGGGGCATTGCTATATAATTGCGAGAGGCGAGACTGAAGGAAGTGAAATCCTTGCACATGAACTTGCTTGTCTTGTGGTGAGACTGGCGTTGACAAAACACACCTGGAGATCTTTCCGGAGTTGCTCATCCCGCCATGCGACCTCTTCCACCGTCTCGGCAAACTGGAAGACGTCGAGACCTTCACGCGTCTTCTTCCTCCTAGCCTTTGACTCGACGACTATGATAACGACGGTTTGTATTGAGCCATGATAGTTGGCTATCGTTCCCCTGGAGAACATACCTAGCGCATCCAGTGGCTCGTCAGTCCTTTTACGTTTGATACGAACGATAGTATATCCCTGTGGAGTTGAGGAGGTTATCGAAGTCATGAGATGGATGAACGTAACGCAGCCTGCTGCTGACCGTACCAGTACTGGATTAATCTTGGGAAACGTGGGGGTATATCTAAGATCATGTGACTGAGAATGACGTAGAACATACCAGCTCAAAGGCGAATTCATATCATAAAATCATAGCACGTATCGTTGGAATGTTCAGGCTACAATCGTTCCAATTCTGAGGAGTAGTCTTCCGTATCGTACAGTCACTCATACCACATTTGCTGCTAAAAACTACATTGTCCCAGTCAAGTCCCAGTTCACTCATCACCGACAGGTCCTTCTTCGCCTGGACTACCAGCCGTTCTCCAAGCAGCGAGGATGAGCTCGGCTACGTCGTCTATGTTCTGCCCGTGTTTCACGCTCGTGAATATGGTCGGCCCGTCACCCCGCATAAGCTTTGCGTCGCGCGACATCACTTCAAGCGACGCGTTCACATAAATGGCAATGTCGATCTACCAGAGTTTCTCAGCGAATGATTGTAGGGAAGGTACATTCTGCCCACCTTGTTGATGACAAGTAAGTCTGACTGCGAGATGCCGGGTCCACCTTTACGCGGGATTTTGTCGCCACCCTACATTTGATCATTTGGTTCGTGCCTGTAGATCATCGGCGACATCGACACTCACAGCAACGTCAATGACATATATAATGTAGTCCGCGAGCTCTCGAGAGTAGTTTGCAGCAAGGTTGTCACCTCCACTCTCTACGAAGAGGAGCTGGCAGCCATACTTGGCCTGGAGCGTCTCGAGTGCACCCATGTTGGCACTGATGTCCTCGCGGATCGCTGCATGTGGGCATCCTCCTGTCTCGATGGCGAGGATTCGGGATGCCGGGAGGGCTTTGTTCTTGATCAGAAACTCTTGATCTTCTCTGGTAAAGATGTCGTTTGTAACGGTAGCTTGATCAACATTGTATTAACCCGTATCAAGTAATAGAAGACGAGCATACCGATGTTATGCGTTTTGCGTAAACGCTGGCAGAGGGCAAGCGTAAGCGCCGTCTTGCCAGATCCAACAGGTCTAGGATCGCCAGGTGTCACGAAGACAATCGATGAGGAGGGACGGGTGTACGTACCCGCCTATGCCGACAGTGAAACCTCTCTCTTCGAAGTTACGAGATGAGTAGTCAGGCAGGTCTCTCTCCGCAAACTTGCCTACGGAAATATCGGAAATTAATCTATAATAAAGCAGGTGACAACAGATGGGGAACCTACCGGCATGGTCGAGATGCTCATGAGTATGACCATGCTCGTTGAGATCGTGCGAGTGCAGTACGCCTGCTGTCTCGTGCGCGTGAACGTGAGCACTCTGGCTTACAGCAGATGTTCCGAGGTTGTTGATAAACTGGGCGCTCATGTTGCGAAAAATGTTTCAGCCTGGTAAAGGATCTATCCTTGGAGTGCGAAAGGACAAAGGGATTATAGTCCTTACCCACCTATTAAAGTTATAGACGAAGCTTTTCTCACCTTACTGGAGGTCTAGAGGAGGACGGCACCCTACGGCACCGGTAGCTAAAGCATGCTTATCTATAAAAGCATCCGCTCGGTAACGTTGACGCGAGCCACGTGTTCTGGCTTGTGTCACTAGAACTTGTCTGGGGCGCATGAAACGGTCGAGCGCGTCGGCTCTCGTGGCTTATTCAAGCTCATCTGAAGATGACACAGTCAAACCAGAACAGAAGAAGAGGTAGGCATACGCACCACAACGTCGCTCGAAGCCATCATGACCTGTGTTTGTCAGGAAAAAGCTGCCATCTCTCCCGTCCTCCTTGACTCCAGTAGTGCCCGTTAATGACCCCGCTCTACACCAAGGAAGAACGCGCTCGACTCCCCATGTCGAAGGACAATTCGCCACTTACATTTATGTCCCACTCTTCCTAGATCCCAGGTCTCCTCTCGTTGCCCTCATTGATGACGTGTTGCACGTCGCAGCCAAAGACGTTCCCACCATACACCCTCTCGGTGTACCAGTCCAGGATGGTTCAGCAAGCTCCATCAAACCAAAAAAAGAGCTTCACATCTCCCTCTCGCGCCCTTTGTTCGTGAGAGCACACCAGCGCGAGGACATCAAGCGTGCCATATCTGCCGTCGCGCAATCCTACGCTCCGTGGGTTCGCCACCTCACCAGTCCCGCTGACGCTATATTAACGGAACATCCCGCTTTCACAGCTTCAACGCTTCTTTTGCCTCCTTTTCCGAGCTAAAAAACGATGACAGCACCCGAATATTTTTGGCTATGGAGATCGGCGCCGGACATGCAAGCGTGAGTTGACATATTCCGTCACTTTAGCATTGTGCCCCGAGGACCAATTTTTCTAATTCCGTCTTCTTTTCAAGTTGTCATCAATGTCCAACACCCTGTCACCCGCCCTGAGTGCCTTGAGGCAAAGCCAATATTATGCAGATCCGCGATTCCATGCCTCCATCGCATGGGCCCTCATTGACGCTAACGGCGCGGAAGATGATCAGGAGGGCGCGGAGGCGCCTGCTTGGGACGGCGACTCGCCACCACCATCAAGCAGTCATACCAACAACACAGCGCCGGGACGCCGCAAAATTTCTCGTATATCCCAATTCCCCCCGAGTCTTGTTCAAGGCATAAACCAGGCATTCGGATCGCGGCTTTCTTCCACTATTGTCGGCGCGTTTGAAGCAGATCGGATCTGTGCAAAGATAGGCAATCGCGTCCACTCATGGCGGCTACGAGGCGGCCTCCGTTGCTAAATTCACGGGGATCAGCGCTGCCTACCCAGCACGCTGTGCGGTCCGAGTGCCAACCATGGCGGTGTCAGGTCATCGAGACGACGGCGTTCAAACACTGTTCAAGCAAGCTGGCTGCCCAATTCGTCGTAGATTAGTCCCTATGATATCGGCTATATTTTGTTTTTTACGATCCGCATCCTTGCTCGGGGCGTATGACTATAGCAATATTTCTTGCACTCCCCGTCCGCTGATCAAAGATATTAGAAAGTTCCGCTTTCATGCTAGCCCTTCCCTTGGCCTTGGCCTCCGCCAGGCTCTCTCGTAACCAATCATACCGGTCTAGGATGATGAGACTTTCGATCAGCGGTCCGAGCAAACAGCGCAGGACGTGCAAAACACTCAGGCGTTGTTCCAGTCCCCGCCGCTCGTCGACGCTGATCTGAATTTGCCCCAGTTCGTCATCTTTCACATCCATCTTCTTCAATGCATGGGTGACAAATGTTTGCCAATCTCGATATGCTGCGTTATTGAGCTTTCCCAGTCGGCGATTCTGAATTGTCTCGCCGATGCCTTGCAAGCCTGGGTCATCCAATGCCCCGTCTACTTCGCTCGAATTCCTGAATCCCTGGTCGCGATTACGTTGTAAAACGATTTGCAATAGTGCCCGATAAACGACCTTCTTAATCGCGAGCTGGCAATCGTCGTATGCCTTGTCATCTCGCAACCACTGCGAGGGCACCTGCGCAGCCAGCTGTAGATGTGCCAACGACAGTCGGACCCGCCCGTTTTCCCCACGAAGAGCGCGCGAAAGCGGGAAATCTGAAAAGATACTAGCCGTTTCACTTCAATACACTTTACGTTCTCGCTACGACGCACCGCCCGCAGACATGAGGTTGTAACAGCAACCGACGATCACGAGAGCCCGCGGAGTCCAATTTGATTGCCCGTCGCTCCCAGAAATGTACTTGGATAAGAACGTTCGGACGACGTTGAGTGTGAGAGAGCCGCATGCGTGCAACGCGACGAGCAGCACAGGAACAGCGTCATGGGCACTGATATGGAGCTGGCTGTGAGAAGGGATGTGATGACTAGACTGCTCGAGCCAGCTGTTTATGGTGAAATTGAGCGTTTCGGGGGTAATGTGTGTCGTCCAGTGGGTCAAAGAGCCCTGGCAAGACTGCGCGACATTGCGATCATGGTGTCCAAGATCTGCTTCCTGTATATCTTTGTGTAGGATGCCGTCAGAATCTTGTCGGAGTTGTCCTATGGCATCTTTTGGGTCCCGCTTGTTTCGACGTTTCTCCTCCTTGGATTGCCATCGTTGTGCACCAGTCGTCTGAACCTCGTTGAAGTCCAGAGCGAGCACATGTAGTCCCAGGTCCTGCAGGCCACGCGAGAGGTACCCCTGGGCACAAGTTGTACCACAGTTATCACAACAAAAGGCAAGCAAACGACGCTAACCTGTCCTGAGCCAACATCAACGACATGACGAACGTCGCGCAACTCGTCGCAACCCAGAGTGTTAGAGATGCAAGACACCATCCGTTTAGACTCGTGCTCCTTCTTGGGGGACATGCCATGTGTTCTTCCGCTAAGAGAAGGACATGTCTCTGAAACACCAGAAATCCTTCCCATTGAGTTAACGGTGATAATTGAACACGACATAAACCCGTACCCCAGGCATCAGCGATAGAATGTGGAAGCCGATCTAGCTGCAGCTCGCAAATAGCATCGATTAGACGGAGGAGTTCCTTGGGAATGAGATCAAAATCTGGTAACGGCTGCAAGGGGTCCGCTTGAGCATGGCAGCGCGGAAGGCTTAGGGCAGATGAGCGCTCACAAGCGAATCGAGGACTGTTCCGCCTTGTCCTCGAAATTCTATCTGACCATTTGAACGCATATTATAGTATTGGAGGAGAGTAAGCCAAGGAGGGTGATCGTCGGGCATCCCGGCCCAATCCCACCAAGGGAGCCAGGATGCCGGTGTCTGGAAGTTGGACGCGGCGAGATCATTAGGATGAAGAGAGAGTAGACTAGAAGCCAGCGACGACGACAGACACGCCCATATTTCTTTTGTCTGCATCGGATTGCAGCCCGGTCAGCTCGGCGAACGTTGCTGAGGGGTGTCAAGGTTGTTGCCGATTTGAGATGCGTTTATGAAAGGTTGCGGTGGCATTCGTCATAGCATTCTATTGATTCTATTTATGTTTCACCGTTTTCCCCACAGGGCGTGTTGACGTTGGGTTGTGCCTAGCTATAGCGACGACAGCATGCCCTGCTATTTCCAGAAGCCAGCTTGAAACTGAGCTCGATTCCGTCTCTCCCTGCCCCGTTCAAGCTGGATCCGAGCAAGCGCTACCCATGGACTTCCTGCCCTCCTGGTCGATGCAGTCTGGTCTCCTCCTTCTCTTTGTAGCCCTTGCGTCCCTTGCCTTCATCATCCAGGACCTGCTCAAGCTCTTGCTAAGGCAGTATGTTTCTCCTCTTCGTAACCTCCGTGGTCCCCCCGTCTCTTCACGTCTCTTCGGCAACCTCAAAGAGATGTACAACCAAGAAAACACCGGCCTGCTTGCTGACTGGGAAGCAACGTACGGCCAGGTCTACGCTTACAAAGGCTTCTTTGGTGGCTCCCGTCTCATGGTAACCGATCTCAACGCATTATCCTACATTCTGGGAGAGCCAGACCTTTACCAGAAGCCCCGCTTCGTCCGAGATAACCTCGCAGCCATGGGTGCCGGCCACGAAGGCCTCCTCACCGTGGAAGGTGACACACACAGGCGGCAGGTGAGCCGACAGTACTGTGGCTGGCTTCAACACCTAACACAACATTCAGAAAAGAATCTTGGTAAGCGTTTTATAGAGGGCATACCGGCCGTGCTGCAATTCTGCGTAGGGACCTGCATTCGGTGGACCACAGATCAGAACATTGTACCCGGTTATATGGCAAAAGGCTTACCAAGTAAGTGTAGATCCTTGGTGGCTCATAACAGCTATTGAACTCGTTCAGCTGAAAATGATATGGCTCGATAAAATCACGAACAACGGTGATAAAGAGTCTTGTGAAGTTGACGTTCTGTATTGGCTCTCCAGAGTTGCGCTGGACATCATAGGGCTCGCCGGTGCGTCATACTTCTCGCTCGTTGATTCTGAGGCAGAAGGTCAACTCTGGTTAACAGGCTTCGGATACTCGTTTAATGCCCTCACTGAGCCAAACAACGTACTTTCGGAGGCATATGCTGCCATCTTTTCCAACGCTCGAAAGCTGCAAAGTAGGACCATATTCGAATCGTGGATACCTTTACTGCGGAAATTCGTAAGTCGCGGCACCCTCAGTCGCCCCAGCCTTTCGCTGAATCCCCGCGATGTAGCGCCACGAAAGTTCCGAGGAGAAAGAAGCCCAGGCTATTGTGAATCGTATCGGAAACGAGTTGATTGAGCAACGAAGGCTGGACTCCCTTGAGCAAGCGAGCAATACCCAGAGTTCAAAGTCGACGAATAAAGATCTTTTGAGCATCCTTGGTGGGTTCGATGGCTCTTGTGTACAGCCCTTCTAGCTTAAACTTACCACTACCACTCCATAGTTCAATCAAATCTTGCGGCGTCAGTAAATCAAGGCATGACTCTCCCTGAGGTTATGTGTCAGATTTCCACCTTTTTAATCGCCGGGCACGAAACCACCGCGTCGGCGCTCACCTGGTGCATGTACGCTCTTGCAAAGTCTCCTGCCAGTCAGCGCGCCCTCCGTCGCGCACTGCAGACCATCTCTCCCGAGTCGGAGACCCTGGACGACGAAGTGGACCGGCTACCCTACCTCGATTGGGTAGTCCGAGAAAGTCTACGGCTCCATGCCCCGATAACGTGGACGATGCGTGCGGCAATGAGCGACGATGAGATCCCGGTGCAGCAGCCCTACTTGGATAAACACGGCCGAGAGCGGACTTCTATATCACTGAAGAAGCACGACATTATCACCATTCCTATACAGGCAATCAATAAAAGCAAGGTATTATGGGGAGAGGACACCCTCACTTTCAGGTACGGATGGTGCCACACTCCCGGGTCGAAGTAGTACCTTCTCGTCCGCATTCTGATCCTCCACCAGACCTGAGCGCTGGGAACATCCCCCTGAGAAAATCAAGATGATCCATGGTCTTTATTCGAACACGATGACCTTTCTGACCGGACAACGCAGCTGTATCGGCTACAGACTTGCGCTCGCAGAGTAAGTTTAGAACAACACAGACTGAGGTTGCACCGGACTTCGCCTCGCGTTCTTTCCACGTCCAAAGCGTCAAGGTGATGAAAGGCGCCAGTTCCGGGTGTTCCTCTCGGCGCCTCCTTGCCTGCTGTTACTCGTGCGTTTGGATGGCCCCAAGCCGTCTTAATATCGATGCTCTGATGCCTCAATTTGTCGCGGCCTCATTCTAATCATTGATCATATCCATGCTGAATGAATCTTAACCTGGTAGGATAAAAATTCTTCTGTACGTCCTGGTTCGGGACATCGAGGTCTCCATAGATCCCACAATTAGTATCGACAAAACGTTCAGGTGAGCACGGTGCTACTACGCTATATACGGGTGCTACGCATGTTCGAGGTATTTCCTCGGACAATCGTGCCACTCGTTTATTCGATTCACGTATTCTGTGTGCTGACCGACGCATGGCACCCAGCATCGTTGCTCGACCCTCGGTTCAACCGGACAGGTCGCGTAACACGATGCCTTTGCTGCTGCGTGCAGTCCAGGCTGTCCAGCAGCCCTGATAGACTAACTATGTGAGGTAAACCCGCGACCCTGCAAGTGATCCAGAGATTTTTGCTGACTCTGGTCGTGTTGCGGTTATGTGTGCTGCGTACATACTCATAGCTCAGGGGTCTGTAATGAAATCCGAATTGGACGGAGGGCCGGGGATCCGACGAGTGTGATTGTGCGACTGTCGGGAGCCATCGCAAGGACGCAGTGACTTCTATTACCGAGTGGACCTTGTTCGCTACGAAGTCTATCTTTGATGTATGTAGCAAGGCAACCCTGTCTGATACGTTTGCTGGGGGAGATTTGAATTTCGTGACTCGACTGTTTGGACGTTCCTTGGAAAACCCCACCCCGATACTAGAACTTTGCATGGTTACAAATTCGCTCGTGTCACTCAGGGGGTAAGTACGCAGCTAGTCGCTCGTTGAGATCAAAGGAATGAATACATGGTATGTGACCAACATCTTCTGTGATAGTTGGTGCTGTGTTGCACTGCCCATACGTTCCCACCCCTCGAGATGTATGACGATCCGGCGTCTAGCCCCGCTGCACCAGCGATGGAGTCGGCAACTCGCGATGGGGTTCTCAGGAGAAGAGAAGGTGTTGCACAGAGATCAGCATATAGTGACATCTCATCAAGCGATCATCAATGCATCAGATTAGCTTCTCTGCGGCCGGCGACTCGAATTTCATCCAAAGGAAGACCAGGAACTTTCCATATCCGCCTCGGTTGCTATTACGGCACTTGTTCGCTTGTCGAGTTGTCAGGTCTATGGGCCGTCCCTTGCCAGGCGATTGATTGCGTCGACAAGTCCGTTGGCCCTGTCTAGCGAGCGCCTTGCAATTGACCTCGGGGCGGACGCGGGGTAAATCACGCAGCGAATGTATAGGGACAACCTCCACTTTCCCACTCGTCCGCAGTTTCCAGTCCGTCATATCCAAAAGGCCACGGAACCCATCGAAACGCCCACTCCTCTCTGCGCCACGCCTTGGAGATACAACCCGACAACAGAACACAAGGCTTGACCTATTTGGCACCCATTCTACATGCCCAGTAGCCTGGTGGGAGTAACATCGGGAATTCACTTCAGCGAGAACCGGTGCTTCCGACGCGAACAACTGCCGATAAAACCCTTTCTTTATACATCACAAAAACACCCCAGCGAAATGAGCACTAGCACGGTGATATCGTGATATCGTTCCTTCCACACCCACTACTGAAACATTACCACAGATCCTTTAAAGTAGGTCGTAGGTCAGTTAATATACTAATATTATTACATGAGATGGAATTTGAAAGAGCAACGTTGCGGAAGATAGTAAGCACATCGCCCGCGAGGGAAAAACCATTAATTAGTCATTAAGAGCCCGATAGGAATGTCCTTGGGATAGACCACCTTCACTGTAATAACCGTGCGCCTGCGAGTCGCTTGGATGCGGGGGCAGTCTGGTAGAACCATGAGAAGGGCTTGATACGTATTGCGAGGACATCGACGAGTGATGTTGGGGATACATCTGGGAATGATGGCCAGCAAGGTTTTGAGACCCATATGGGTTAGGCGGCAAGGTCGGTCCCGCGGAGATGGGCATGGTAGAGGAGAGATATTGATTGGAGTGGCCACCAGACTGACCATGCTGGGGACCATACGATAGCCCTGCCCTATTCTGGGATAGTTCCATACTATTACCTCCGTTATACGGGTGAGTGCCTCGACCAACAGGCTGCCCAAGCAGAGAACGGCTGTTGGGCCCCAGGTATTCGTTGCCAGCGGAGCCATGCTGTGTGGCGGGCATAGACTGTAAGGACATTGGGTGATACAACTGCAGACTGTCGTTGCCAGCTCCCGACTGACGACGGCCATTCATCGGGTCGCTCATGCTTGGGACAGCTGGCTGACGAGAACTAGGAGGGTATGGGGCGGACGTCGTCGGCGCTTGCTGCGCCTTGTGGATCGGGGCCAGAATTCGACGGCGAGCCTACGTATACAGTGAGAAAAGAGGATAAAAATGGGGAAAATAGTAGACACGCACGTTGATCATCCAGTTCGATACCTGGCTCATGCTCAGACCGGTAGCGTGGCAAAGTTGCTTTTTCTCCTCTTCGCTGGGGTATGGATGGTCAGAATGCCGATGAAGCCACGCCTTGAGGTAGTCGGTCGTCTCCTTGGGCAGCTTGCCTCGTTTACGCGTGGGGCGATCGACTAGTGTGGAGCCGCTAACGGGTCCTTGTTGAGGGGACCGAGAAATAGGCGTGCCTGACGAGACTGGAGCAGGAGCAAGCTGGGGAACCGGCGTCGGACTGGAGTTAGCATTGTAGGAGTTGCTGTTACCGGGCGGAAGGACATAATCCTGAGGGGGGAACGACCAGTCGTCGGGCTTACCCCCAGATCCGCCAGTAAACCCTCGACGCTCAGGTGGTCCGGAAATACGACCACCGTTGTTGCTGTAGGGAGGTGATGGGTTACTGCCGGCACTGAACGAACCGTGGCGAATAGAGTCGTCGTACTTCTGGCCATGGCCTCCGTTAGCATTATGCCCGGGGGTCGAACTGGGCCTGACGACGCCGCCAGGGGCGTTGTGCCAGGAGGGATGATCGGAATACGGTCCAGGGGGCCCTGGCGGGGCCGTGCCTTGAGAACGGGATTCTGAGACGGACTGCGAGGAAGCGAAGGCGGGAGAGGAGGAAACTTGGACACTAGCAGGGGCGGAACCGGGGAGCTGGGTATTGCCATAGGGAGAGGGCTCTCCGTAAGAATAATTAAGATGGGTATCTAGCCTGGGGCGACCGGAAGCTTTGTCGTCGCTGGACTGAGGGATATCTGAGGAAGGGAAATGATAAGAACCGACGTTAGGCTGTGCCCCGGGAGGGTTGGCTTTGCGGAGACTGGGAGAAGGGTATGGAGAGTGTCTGTGGCGTCCTTGGTTGGAGTCCGGGTTTATGGGGAGGGAGGATCGACGCATTTCGTTGCGGTAAGGATCATCGAGAGCTGCAAAAATGGAGGGCAACTGGATCTTTGTGTCAACGCCTGGTTCGACGGCTGACTTGTCGTTAGACTGATTGCTGGCAGCGTCCAACTGCCATTGGTCGTTGCTATCCGTGGGAGCGGGTCGATGCCGGGCCGGCTGTGGGGAGGAGGAGGGAGAGCGAACGCGCTTTTCGCCACGCGAGGGGACGCTGCTCTCGGTATCCGGGGCGGACGCAGTGGAGGTTGACATTCGACGGACAGAATAATCTGTTTGTGGGTCGGATGGGTGGCTGTGGGGGCCGGTTATAGCTTTTAGAAATGACGGGCAGAGTTGAAAATGAAAAGAGAGACGTACACGAGCTTTGGGGACGGAGCGCCGGCTGACAAGTCGTCGGAAGGGAGGGAAGACACGTCTGCCTTTGGGTCGACACTGTAGTTGACAGAAATAAAAAAAGAGAGTGGGCAAGCCGGTAAGCGAACGAGCAAGTGACGCAAGGGTGGGAGTTGACGGGAAGAAAAGAAGAAAGGAGACGGGTGTACATAGATGGACACCACCAGTCATCCATGCAATGACAGCGGCACCCGAGAGTGACAGATGATGACAGGCCACGATTGCAATCTGATCCCAGAGAGCCGAAAGGCACGCATTCACGTAAAGGAGAGAAGAAAGGAGAGACGGGACCCACAGGGATAGCTGGAGCTGGGCGACGTTGTATGAGCTGACGGGGAGCGACGCGGGAGACTTTGTCTCGATCATTTGGGTTTGCTGGGAGGGGAGAGGGGCGACCTACATGCAGAATGGAATGCTCCAAATATGAACGCCTCCTTTTAAAGGCAGCGTTCCGAGCCGGGAATTTGTACGGCGACGCTGCTTTGGAATTTATGAAATAAAAGATCGCTGCAGTGCGAGCACCTTAAATGTGGGAAGACACCCAGTTCCTTGCCGATCCTTGTCCCGTCAACTCAACGTTTTGTCATCCTTACACCCCGTTCCTGCCCTCCTGGCGCACAGTCGGTGGCGAATAAACACACAGTCACGGGAGGAACATCGATACCGCCTCCAGACCGTGCGTTCCTTTTCCCTTTTCCGATATCCCCTTGCATTCTGCGCCCCACCGCTTCCATTTCGGGTCATTTTGACGCAAACACGACGGCTGTGCCTTCGGCTTCAGTGAACCACAGAGTTTGAACTCAGCCAATCACCAACGCCTCGCCTCGAACTCGGTGCCGCACACCTCCGAGAAGCACTCGTGGTCTCGTGGGATCCATGTCACTTTCTCGACATCGTGCTCCCTCGTTTTGCGTCGCGCCCCTAGTCGCGCCCCTCGCGCCCCTCGCGTCACAAGCTCATTCGTCACAAGCTTCACAATCAGATGTACTTAGCCTCGGTCCAAAGCTTGTGATCCCCCCATCCTCCATCGCCATGCAACCTCTATCATGGTACGAAAATCAATTACAACGAACGAAGTTCCCGGATAAGGACAAATTGATTATCCTTCCCCAACCTCGAGGGACCCGAGTCTCAGATCCCCTCTGATTTGTTGACGCTTCAGGCACACGATACGCGGAGATCTCTCTACTCCCAATATGGACAGCACCTGTCCGTGGCCCGGGCGGGGACGCCGGGGATATTCTTCCACGATTAGGCCGGACAACCCCACGAAAGAATGTACATAGAAGCAGCCACATCCGCATGTTTTCTGTGAATTATGCTTCTTGTCGGGCCAGATCGACGACGAACTTCGCTCGGAATCGGCCCACCGTCCGAGTCGGAGTACGATTGTCTGTTTCTCGCGTTGCTGTTCATCACTTCCTCTTCTGCTCCGATCACGTCACCCTCCTCCTTCCGTTTGACGAAAATCAAGTCTCACGCCATTACAGCACACTAAAATTAAAACAAATGTATCGCTACTATCTCCAAGTCAATAGATCCCAAAAAACATCTTCACGTTGTCGAAGAAACCTGTCAACTCGCCACCGCCTTGGCCGTGATCTTCCCCCCGGCCTCGAGTCCTTGCAAGAGGTGATTAGCCTTTGTCCGTTCCTTTTCCGACACCTCGACACCATCCAGCATCCGTATCCGTGGGCATGCTCTCATCACCAGCCCTCGGTACGCGAGCCGCCCAACATAGGCATCATTAGGCAGGTCCTGACGAAACTTGGCGTCCAGCTCCTGCCATCCACGGCTCCCTTCCCCACGCTCTTTCTCACCACTCCGCGCTCGTTCCGCCTTGGCAGCGATCCCGCCTCCGCTCTCTGATGGCTGCAATGCCCCTGGTACATCTTTCACCAGCAACGGCAAATACCAGCCTAGCGTGCACGGGTTCATCCTACATCCGATACATCACCAGGTCAGCACAAGCCACAACGCTATTTTCAGAAGACAACAAAGAGAAGACTCGCCTGAAATCAAGCATTTCCGCATCAGGCATGCGTTGTAGAACGCGGATCAGCGATTTCGTGCCTTTTAGCCGAGACCCGATTAAGGTAAGCTTCTTGAGTCTTGTGAGACCCTCAAGAGGCTGCGCATCCTCCAAGAAGTTGTAGTTCAGGTTCAGCACCCGCAGATTCGGCGCTAATTTCGCCAGATCGCGCGGGAGACTGGTCAGCCGACACGCCGCCACCTCAAGATAGACCAGGTTGTAGCATGGCTCCGCGATAAACTCTGTTTTGAGTTTGTTCCCTTGTTGACGAGCCAACCGGTCAGCCCCCACATTTCGTGACGCAAACAGTCGAAAACTCTTACCAGACAAATAGAGTCGCTTGACATCACGAAACTGGCGCGTCGGTAAGTGACTGTATAGGCGCCCCATCAGAAGATCACATCGATGATCCAGGCACGACCGTTGAAGTATTCCGTCAATCTTAGCATCGCAGTTGATTCGAGGGAGACAAGAAGGGAGAAAAAAAGAGGGGGGAAATGAAGGACAAGAATGAACACTCACAGCTCTCGACAGCCTTGATTTCGCATGCTCAAATTCTCGAGTTTCGTCAGACGCTCCGCTTTCGTTAACGTCCCCAGCGAATTGTTGTCAGCGTATAACGTCCGAAGGTTTGGGAACAGCGATGCGTTCAACTGCTGGAGCCGGTTCCCGCTAACGCGCAAGATGCGAAGCCTAGGCATCGGCCCACCTGGATCCAGATGGTTCAGCGCATTATTGTCTGACAGGGGTGTAAAATGAATTCAGGAACGTAGAAGGACATTTGAATGATAGTGACGCACCGACGTTCAACGAGATCAAAGATGGCAGGTTTGATGACAGCCCCAACAGCCCTGTGATCTTATTCCTGCTGAGATTCAGCATCTCAAGCCTTGACCTGGAGAGTAGGTCCGAAATTCTCGGGGTCAGGGCAAGGGCAGAGGAAATGGAAAATATGATTTTACCAAGCGAATCTCGTGAAATCGACTTCCTGGAGCTGGTTCCCCTGCAGGCTGAGTTTGACTAGACCATTCATCTTCTCGAGCCCCGCCAAGCTGTCGATTTTGTTCCCGTCGGCTCGAAGTTCCCGTAAGTGCCGAAGACACTGGAGCTCTAGGCAAACAAGTTCAGCGGTTCCCCTCCAAACACTGCAACCAACGTCACTCACGCTTTAGGGAATCAATGTCATTGTGGCTAATGTCCAAACTCTCGAGGTTGACAAGGTGACTGAAGGACGTGACGCTTGTCAAACTAACGATGAAATGCCTGAGCGAACGTCAAGTCAAGTCAGAATTAACAGGACGTACACGTTTGACGCGACAGATAACGTCCGTACCGATGACGGGATGCCACTCAGCCACGAGAGTTGGTTAGAGTTTCTGTCAGTCAGCCAGCAGCAACACCGCGATCATCGGACGTCAGATAATTCACCCTTGGCGAAATGAACAAAGCACGACGCACAAGGAGAGACGATCGAGCTGTGGCAAGAATTCCTTGAGCCGCGCAACGCTGTCCAGCGCACGTTTTGATAAATCGATGAACGTGAGCTCCTCCCAGTAGGGCTCAAACGGCTGTATGTCCGTGATCACCTGGACAAGTCTGTCGTGCGCGACCCCAAACGACCATTCTGTAAGGAAGGTGGCGTTGGCATGGTCGTCAGCCGGTCTGTCTCTTTTCAATGACGACAAGTTCGGCAAACAGGGCGCGCCGGTCAGCTCCGCAGGCAGAATATCTTGCCCGATCCCAGATGCATCGTCTTCAATAAAGTCCACCAAGGGCGTTGGCTTCTGCACGTAAGCCGATTTTGTCGGCGAGCCGCATTCATCCTGGGCGCCACCCGCTGCAAATGAATACATCAGAAACATACAATTTTTTACTCAGAACCCGAGGGGACTCCACCTGAGCTCTCCAGCTCCTGCATCATGTTGGTAATGCGCTGCGTACGGGCCGAGGGCACGAACGACTGCGTAGCCGTGTGGTCGGACGCGCTCGACTCGCTATCCACCGGCTGACTGGTCAGCCCACGTATCGGCCCGTCGCGTTTGCCATCCGAGAAACTGACGGAACGACGGTTAGTCCTGTGTTGCATAGGTGTGCGGTACCTGTCACGGTTAGGGTCTTTCAGAGCTGAGACGGGCGTTGTGCTCCCACTCTTGAGAGCCGAGCGGGTTGGCATCGGCGTTCCCGAGACGGTAGCATACTTTCCCCCTGGAGGGAGAGGTACGGGGGTGTCATTGAAATGAAGGTGCCGTCGAGCGGAAGGCGCAGGTGTGGATGGAATGGTTGCTTGTGGTATTTGTGCCATAGATGCCTCATCTTCCGAGTCGAAGACCACCTGGACTGGTGCCGGTTCCATGGTGTCCCCGTCCGAGTCCGAATCAGTCGTCTGGTCGTCCGTGACTTCTGTGGCTTCATCCGGAGAAGGGATCTCAAGCCCTGCGAAAGAGTTGGCATCAAAAGAGAACGACGCGAGGTCGACTTCCTCGGGGTCCCCTTGCTCTTCATCCTCTTCCACCTCCTCTATTCGGCTCATGTCTGCTAGCTCTTCCTTCTCTTCCTCATCCTCCTCAGGTGCTACACCGCTATCGTTGAGACTGCGTGAGTCTCGAGAGTCGTGTTCAAAGCTCTCAATGTCTCTGAAAGGATCCTCGCTCTCTGGGTCTGTGACAGCGGTCTGGTCCCTCCCGTTGTCTGGCACCGGATGCATCGAGCTATCTCCAGCAGGGACTTTAACCCATTTCATTAGCTCTTTGTCATATACCATCTTGCCAACGCGGTCTGGTAGTGACGGAAGATCTGAAGGAGCTATCCGCGTCATCTGCACTGGCCCGGGGTGTTTAACGAACGAAGGTACACTGCTCGCCATCGTAGCCGTTCCGGACGCCGTGCTAGAGGAAACAAATCGATTCAAATCCACGTTTGTACCCGACCGCAACGATGGGTAGGAAGGCGCGTGAATTGCAAAATGCACGAGGGATTGTGGTGGCTGAGGTGGTGGCTCAGCTGGCTCTACTTCAGAGTTCGTCCGTGAATGGGCTGTTATCCGAATATCGGGAACGATAGCGTTATCAAGAGGCCGGTGAACACTGAGCTCAGTAGGGAATGGTGCCTCAATGGACATGTTGGACATGTCTTGAACCAGTCGGTGCTCAGAGTCATCTGGATTCTGACGGTACCGTGCCGACGTCCGCCGGGCACCGTTCTTCTTCGGCGAAGCCCTTGGCGAGCCCCGCCGACCGAGACTTGCATGTGACCATTTGCGAAGAGAACGGTTCTCCTTTTCGTCCGTAGACACGGAGCCGTTGCTGTGGTTTGCCCGACTCGGAGCACTATATTGAGTCTCGCTGGACAATGATCTCTTTGGCCCTTTGATGTCATTCTTGATCTGCTCCATGAGCGTCGCAGCCTCTTGACGATAAGCGAGAGATGAGTTACTGCCCGGTGTGTCAGACGAAGATGTCCGCGAGGAACTAAGTGGTTGGGGGTGGGGAGTGTTGGCTAAAAGACATGGGTTAGCGCCGCCAATGTAAGATTCAAGCACACGGCAACTGACTGTGTGGTCCTCGGCGCGCATCCCTCGGTGTTCTTGCATGTATTGCGGGAGTGGTGGGTCCAGGCGTAACAGAGATCGCAGAAAAGTCCCGAGCCTGTTTGATCTGCTGCATCAGCGAGCGTGATTCGCCGACATAGTCTTTTCTGCGAGCGTCAGGTCGGGTGATGATAGCGCCAGCGCCATCACCTTCTCCATAGTCACTGGCAGGACTGAGGCGCACGCGCTTGACGCTCCTTGAAGGCGCATCTTCAGAGGCTTCGGAAACTTTGGACAGCCGATTCGGACGGATAATCAAGGACGGAGACCTACTAGCCTCACCGCTCTCGCCTGATGGTGTAACGGCGATGGAGTCGACGATGGCAGATAGCTGTTCACGTGTGAAGGTGTCATACTGGAACTGAAACAATCGGAGGCGAGAGTCGGACGCGGGAGGCTTGGGACCAAACACGTCCTGATTGGGCGTACTGGGGGCTCGTCTGGCGGTCATGGGTCTGTGTGGTACCGAGAAGGTGAATTGGCCATTTGGAATAGAGGGCTTGGGTGTTGCTGAAGCGGCCGCGTTCGCAGTTGGGACTTGAAGGTGATTGGAATAAGATTGGCTAGACTCATCGGACTGCTTTGTTGGGTCGAACGCATTGGACAATCGGGATCGCACGGCGGGTTGGTAAGCATTGGAGGTAGAGCGCCTGGCAGCTGGGGGAGAGGGAGGGTCGAACATGCGCTCGAGAGCGAGGGGACTGAAGATGTCCTTCATGCCTGCCTTCTTGTCTCGTCCAGGGGTCTTTGGCAGCAAAGAGGCGGCTGGCATATCTTCGCGAATGAGAAAGGTCCCAATAGCTGCTTCCGACGCGGCAGGGGAGACAGAGCGAGGGCGCTGTTGGTCATTCTGTGACTGGTTGGAGGATGTTTGGAGGAAAGTAGGGAGGGGTTCGGTAAAGGAGATAGACTGGAAAGCGACCGAATTGTCGTCGGAGGCGTCTTGCTCAATCCATTCTTCGTCGAGGTCGTCTGTCTGCCATGCTGGGCGTGAGTTGCTGATGTCCGCCATGGTGTCCGCTGTAAAACGCTTGGGAGACTGGCAGCCGCCGCCCGGGATGCCGTAATGCGGTCTGAACACCGAGATTCACACGGTCAATCACATTTGAGGACGCGTTTAGGCACGTGATCGCGCAGATTCTGTGTGCACCTGTTTGGGTTGAGCAAGAAAAGCTCAAAGGTGGTGTAAGATGGAAAGGTGGGTGGCCGACTTGACCGGATGTCAGTGAGAGTCTGCAGGACGTCTCACACCTGTCAAGCCACCACCTCAGTCTCCATCCGTCGATCCTTCATTATGCGTGTCACAAGTCAAACTTCAAGCTTCAGCCTTCATCACAACTTGTCTCCGTCGACGTCGAGCGCGACACGGAGCACCGGAAAGCACCAGCCGGCGGCCAGTTAGACTAGCGACAGCTCCGGCAACTCAATCATTATCAGCATTCATCTCCCCGACGTTCCCCGACCGCGCCTCAAACTTTCCTCTCGCTTCTTCGACTTTAGTCGTCACCGTTATCACTTTTCACCAGCATCCGGCTTATTTTCGGTCCATTGGACTTCTGATCTAATTGTATCCGCCCCGTGAACATCTGATGTGCAGTCCTCGCGCTGGCAAATTCTCAATGCACGCCCAATTTACCCAAATTCGCCTCACCAACCGACTATCGGTGCAGCAGCCAGGCTTTAATATTGTATCCGATCTTATCCGAGCCTCGCAGCCCCGCTGGACAGTGCTAGGCCAGACCCTGACACGAGGCACTTCTTCGGAACCGCATCTTCCTCGCTCATCAGAACTTATGCACATCGATGGTTCTCCATGGGGCTTTATAATTGCCTACGGATATGAACAAGCAAATGGGCCACATGTCACTCACCATACAGGCAGACAGAAACCATCACAGACCATCACCGCCATCCTTTAGATCAATCCGAGATTGTCTGAGATCCGTATAACTTACGCACGGCATCAGATCTTCTTTCAAGCTTAAGCTCCTTCGGGGTTCTTAGAGTTCGATTAAACGCCATCTCGCCTCCGCACAGCCCATTTGCAAGCAATTGCAGTGTGTATGCATGAAGTGCATTCCGTTCTATTCCATCCATCCGATAATATGGCGCTGGCCGACGAGTCGTCCGAAACCCTGTGCTTTGTTTCTCATGGAGGCCGTCGTTTTCGGATGCCCAGCTGATACATTAGGTCTTTCTGTTATGCTGTACAGATGTTGCAATCTCGCGGAATCTCTAGAATGCTGGGTCATCCTCGTTGGCCCGTTCGGTGACATGATGATGTCTAGCTCAGCAAGCCTCCGGGGGACTTGAGTTGGCAAAGAACACGCATCATACGCCGGATGAACAACGGAACAAAGCCCCACGATTAAGGTACACCGTCCGCGTCATGCATACTTTCAGCCATACTTTCATTCCATTCCTTGTGCATACGTGCTTCCCTTTTTGCATCATATTCGCCTAATTTTATACACTAAAGTCGTATTATACACTGTTCTATCTCATGTCCATACCAGAAACCCCTCATGCCATTTGCAAAACATTGAGCTGCCAATGAACACGAGTCGCAGGCATTCCAAATCTTGCGCTAAATCATACTACAGTCGGAGCAGCTTGGGTTGTGGGTTCAGGCTGGGCCTCCGATCCCGCAGCAGGCGTAGCCGCAGCAGGGGCAGTGGCGCTGGAGCCCGCCGGGGCTGTACGAGGCTTGTGCTGATCTGCGATGCGGCGAGCCTCGCTGTGGATGTCGGTCACCTGCTTCGAGGTATTGGTGTAGAACGACAGCACACTCTTGCCCCACGGAGAGGCAATTGCCTTGGAGTAATACTGCTTAAAGCTTTGGTTAACTGGTCGCCTCGCTAGATTCTGCGAAGTTGTCTTACGTCGTGGGCGACTTTGGAATAACCTTTCTGCTCGTCGATGCTCTTGGCACGGCTGTGAGCCTGCTGGAACGTCTGTTGTACCTTGCCGCTGATGGTCTGGTTAGGACCGAGAGCCTTCTCGCCTGCAGTGGTATCAAACTGGTTGAAATAATTCAGGAAACGCTTCGAGATTCCCTGCTTGCCTGTTGAGAGGGAGCATAAATCAGGGTAGCACGGGAAATCAGAAGAGTCTCACTGTCGATATCGATGGCGCGCTGCAAAATGCCGTCGGACAGTGTGTATCCTCTTGCAAGGTACTCTGCAGCTACTACGCGGAGTTCAACATATGATTTGAAGTTCATGTTTAGAGCAAACTCACTGCCAGCTCTGGGTTTATCGGACTGGTCGATATGAGGCGCGCCTTCGTGATGCTCATCGGCGCTAGGCTCGGGATGTTGGGCATCGGAGGTAACTACGAGGGTTTCGCCTTCAAGGGTTCCACCGTTGAGCTATGGCCGTGATGATTTGAGCGGATTAAAATGTATAGAATCATATATTGAACTGACCATCAATGCGGTGTTGGCAGCCTGGTGCTTGGTAAAGTGGATAGTTGCGGATTGTTTACCGTCATCAGCTTTTTGGAGATCAATTTTCTCGATGCTAGAGCCATGGCTGAGTAACAGGTAACACGGTAGCAAGAAGCAAACTTACTTTCCACAGAAGCTGCCGCGAGATATGGATTGAGATCAAGAATAGGATCAGGGGTTGCTGGAACGCTCTTACCTGAAGAAGTCATGAAGACTGGTCTCGGTAGTGGTGGGAGCGATGCCTGAGACCTGCCAATGGATCAGAAGGCGAATTATTGTGTCTGTGTTAAAACACACACGTTGACTGTGGATTGAGACATGACGGAGGAGGAGGAGATGCGTTGATCAAGGGAGGAGGTTCGAGTGATGACATCAGGTACGGGTCGTGGGAAGAGGAAGCTGTATATGGCGATAGGGGCATGAGCATCATTATTATGCGGGGGAATAATGAGAGAATAATAAGAAAGACTTGTTAGTTAGTAGCTAGTTACAAGTTGCGGTCCCTGGCTGATGTCTCGCCGTCGTCCGGTTGGCTGTGTCTGATCCCCGCTCGCTGTGCTCACCGTGTTCGTCGTTCAACATGATGAGGGCACTTCACGCACTCCCAGAACCCCCAAGGTCTGCTCGTCAAAGCATCAGAGGCCTCCCACCTCTCCCGATAGCGAAGCCACAACCAGGGCCATCCCAACCAACCCAGCCAAGAGACTTTTGGATACCGCAAGTAACCGAGTCAGGTCAGGTAAGCCAGCCGCCCTCTTCCTCCTGCTCACCATCCCACACAACACAAACTCATGTCTGTCAGATTTACTACTCCAACACCCTCACCGGTCAAGTCGCGAGCGAACTCCCAACAGAGGCTGACGAGGACGAGCTGTCTAATGGTGGTCTTGCCGGACTGACCAGCTCTGTGACCAGCAGACGCGATTACGCTGGGACTGGATTAGGCCTCGTCAACGGCCCATACTTTGAAGAAGAGCCCCTGGTTACTGCAGACTTTCCCCACCCTTCCGTGTCCCCAGCGCCCCCAGCCAGATCCCCAGCACCGTACGCCCGAACGCCGACACTTACACCGCAGATAGACCAGTACACACCTTCAGGTCTATCCCTTCGCCGCGAACAGATTGAACGCCCAGATTCTGCCGCCGCTCAACCTTCTTTCGTTGCATCAGGCTCTGCACAGCAGTCTTCGCCTTTTATTGCTCCAGACGCTCCCATGGGCCGACCCCGTGCGTCGACGTTTGATGTGTCTGCTTCACCGCCACCACCTTCCTCGAACCGTCACAGCAATAGGGTGCCAGGCGTTCTCTTCGATTCTCTCACCGCGTCTATCCGCTCCCGCCCCTTCAGCCCGCCCGGAAGCGACCGCTCGAGCACTATTGGTCCGAGCGTCTCCAGGCGACCGTCCGACGGCGACTTGCAAATCAGTCTCCCACATGCTCCTCGCGCAAGCATGGTCAGAAAACGCTCTCGCCTCCCTGTGCCACTACCCAGTCTTCCAGATGTCCGCGAGCATCCATCGTCTTCAAGTTCGAGTCCGCTTCCGATTACCAGCACTCCTTCGAGCACCAGATCATACTCTAACGAGCCCACGTCCCTCATCAGTCTCTCGCTGCAAGATCGTGAACCTACCCCAATGCAGATCCTCAACAAGCCACCTCCGACCCTGCAGGGTGCCCTCTCCCCTGACGATCCCGAGCTTACCTCGGAGTTGCTCCACTTCACCCGCACCTGCATCCACGCCGTCGTCAACCACCTCCAGGACCACGGCGTGCCCCGCCAGCGAAGTGATGAGGACGCTGTCGACTCGATGATAAGCATTGTCATCTCCTCCATGCGCGATCTGCTCTACGTTTCCGGTCCTGGCTTCGGACCCATACCCTCCTCCGTCCTCCTTACCGCCGGATCTGACTCTCGAGACCAACGCAACTCCAGCACTGCATCTCAGACGCACCTCATCCCAGCACAGCGAAGAGCCATTGCGACATTGTCCAAGTTCGTCCTATCAGCACGTGCCGTTCTCAACGAAGGGCCGTGGCGCACGAGTTACTCGATCTCTCACCTGTTATCCGACGCCGAGGAACTCGAGCGGTCCGTGATGGAGTTCGTGCGGGTTGTACACCGATATAGGGACCGCGAAGTGCACGGCGATCAGGGGTTCAAGCGCCTGAACGGCTACCTTACTGCTCCGCATGCATCACCAGGGAAGGCGGGTGCGGGTGTAGGAGGAGGCTGGAAGGGATACGGGTGGGCGCACATGGATGATAACGAGGAAGCCCCTCGCCGGAGTTTGGACAACGTTACATTTCATGAATTTGGTCATTACATTTCCCTGGTCCAATCCAAGTCGTCAACGCTTGGTGATGTTATGTCAGACATGGAGCCAGGCAAGTCTTCTTCCCCGAGGAAAATTATTGGCGTCTGAACTGGCGTTTCTACTTCAGCTCCGGTCATTGCCGCAGCGCAGGCACTGGTGCAAGAGTTGTCATCACTACTCGACTTCCTCTCTGACGTACACATCGCACGCCACGTCGACATCAGCCCTGTACAAGAAGACAGGCTATCGGATGGTGCACAGTATGTCCGCCTTGTCGACAGAGCACGCGTCTTCGTTCGCTCGTTCGAGGCCAACACACAGGCTCTGTATGATGACAGTGCCCTCCTCTTTTCCACCGCGCAGCGTGTCAGTGACAGTCGGAAGGAAACCTACGACGAACTCGAGGCCATCAACGATTCGCTGGATTTTAATCTGCAGCTCGTCCGCCAGACGTTTGAGAACCTGCTGCGCGTTGGCCAGGAGCAGGCGGTTATATTGGAGCAGTCGCACAGGACACCGTTAGAGTGGCGGATGTCGCAGATATCAACTGGCAATTCACAGCGTAGTCTCGTGGATGCGTCACTCGACGACCCATTCGGCTCACAAGGTGACAGTCTCAACGGAACATCCGAACGGGATCGAAACAATACGGTCAACGATGGCGGGTCCTCGCCAATACCACCACCAGTCCCCAGTGCTTCCAGCAAACCCACATTCTTTAGCAACGCACCGTGGAAGTCGGAGGAAGACCTTGGTAAGAATTATGCTACCTTGTTGTTTGTCAATCATTAATAACCCTTTAGTCGGTGAATTGGGTAAAGCACGCTTGCCCCCGCGGGGAGAGAAAATTAAGAAGATCTTTGGTGACGATGCTCCCGAACACTACATCCTCGCCTCAAATGCCGACTCAAAACCCTGGTACCTCCGACCTAACTACGACTCACGCCAAATCCTCATTGATCCTGACGGCATTGTTCGAGGCGGTACCAAGCAGGCGCTTGTTGAAAGGCTGACCGCCCACGAATACTCAGGTGAGTCAAATCCACGTCAAATCAGGGAGCTATGCTAACGTATTCGGTCAGATTGGACCTTCAACAGAGCCTTCCTGATGACATTCAAATCCTTTATCTCTCTTGACGAGCTTTTCAAGCTTCTTGTTGAGCGTTTTTGGATCCAGCCACCACAGAGCCTAAATGCTGCAGAACTAGTTGACTGGCGTGAGCACAAGCAACACGTCATCCGTTCTCGGTTTGTGCATTTATCCTCCGGTATATTGAGGTTTCACGCTCATTTGTTGGCCTGGTAGAGTTATCAAGATTTTAAAAGCTATGGTTCAAGACGAGGAAATCTTGGAGAAGGACGACCTTTACATCCTTGACCGCATGCAAGATTTCGCTTCAAGAGAGGATGTCATGACATTTTGGGCCACAAAGCAGCTGTTGACTGCTATCAAGGAAGTGGTACGTGGACATCGCCCTTCGATATCGCATCTTTTTTCATGACGTCTCCCCGACAGCAACAAGGACGCGGGCGAAAACCTCAGCTTGCTGTGAACGTACCACCACCTCCGCCTATTGCTCCCAAAAAGATCGAACTGCTGGACATCGATCCAATGGAACTGGCTAGGCAGCTGACCATCACAGAGAGCCAGTTGTTCCAGCGAATACCGCCGTCAGAATGTCTGCAACGCTCTAAAGTACAAAAAACTGACTATCAGGATAACATCGCGAACTTTATTCGACGAAGTACGATGGTGAGGGCGAGCCATATGTGTCAAGCGATCATTTCTCACTTATCACACATTAGGTCACACATTGGGTGGAATATGCCATCTTGTCGAGGGACGACCCTCGTAAACGAGCGAGCGTTATGAAGCATATCATTCAAGTCGCCGATGTGTGTTCCATCTGATTATCTATACGTAGAGGTAATTGGCTCATTGCCTTTTCACCCACAGCGTTGCCGGTTCATTCAAAACTTCTCGACGATGCTGGCCATCACATCTGGGTTAAATTCCTCTGCCGTCCGGCGCCTCAAGCGTTCATGGGAGCAAGTCGGCGCCAAGTATATTTCCTTGCTGGACTCTTGCGAGACAAGTGGCAGTTCGTATAAGAACTTCAGTACATATCGCATTGCATTGGGCAAAGTCACCCCACCATGCATTCCTTTCCTTGGTGCGCTCACTGATGCGCCCATACCATTTTCTGTACTTACATCTTAATAGGTGTATTCTTGACTGCTCTGACACATGTCCAAGACGGCATGAAAGACAATCTGCCAGGTGATTTGGTCAACTTTGGAAAACGCCAGAAGGCCTCGGAGGTCATTCAGGAGCTACAAAGATACCAAATCAAGCCATACAACTTCCACCCACTCCCATCTGTCTTGGTGTACATCGACGATTGCCTAGGCCAGTTCAAGGACAAGGACGTTAGCGACACGTTTTGGAACCTCAGTCTCGAGCGCGAACCGCGGGAGAAGGAAGAAGAAAAGCTTGCACGACTGCTTCACGAGAGCGGTTTCTTCTAAGCGGTTCAGCCCCATATGCTTCCTCTCATCTCGGCCAACATACCAACATGGATCACACAGCGCAACATTACTCACGACTAATTACACTATTGCTATTTATATATGCTTTTGGCTCTTTGGCAGACACTACTGTAGCACCGGCAGGCCTGCTGCTCTTTTGCTGCATTACCACTGTACAGTCCTGTAATTTGGGTTAACATGCCACCTAGTTATGATACCCTTTCAGATTTTCTTGGGATATCAGTTTCTACCCTCGTCAACTTGCTCAAGCTTGCGGCTCCGGAGTCGCGTTATGCTAGTCTTTGATGATGTCATTCGTTTATTAGCCCCTATACTTAGCACATAGTCTTGGTCACCCGCAACAACGTTGTGCCTCTCTGGACCACCTTTCGTCCACTGGGTCGTTTCTGAGCAGCGGTAGTACTTAAAGCAGCTTCTACGAGCAACCAGGCTGCATCTTCGCTTTCTGTTGATACTTCAATCAGTCATCTTCTATTTGACGCATATACTCAGTCAACTTTCAAGTTACCAGAACCATCTTTGACTCTCATGGCCAATCAGCCTATCCCATTTACTCTGGCTGTCCCGAACTCTGATATCCAGCGTTTGCATGCCAAGTTAGAGTCTTCCACGCTCCCCAATGAGGTCGATGGCGCAGGCTGGGACTATGGCGCCCCTTTGGCCGACATCAAGAGGCTGGTCGAGCGTTGGAGGACTGGTTACGACTGGCGCAAAGTTGAACAGGAAATCAACGACACGTACCCGATGTTCACCATAGACGTTCCCGTGGACGGCTTTGGGACGCTGAACATCCACTACACCCACAAAGAGAGCAGCTGTCCGAATGCCATCCCTTTGCTTTTCGTGCATGGCTGTAAGTGCTCGGTCCCCCTCGATTGAGAATCAGGACAAAACTGCCGTCCATGCGACATAGGGCCAGGAAGCATTCTGGAAGTTGGCAAGCTGTTACCTCACCTTATCTCTGAGTCGCCAGAGCACCCTAGCTTCCATGTGGTAGCCTTCAGCTTGCCTGGGTTTGGCTTCTCAGAACCTCCGCTGAAGCGAGGATTCGCCACGGCACAGTATGCAGAGGTAAGTGCAAGCGGGCATGTCCACAGTGGGCCACCTTCAGTTAGTTTCTTCACAGGTCGGCCATAAACTGATGCTCGCGCTTGGTTACAATGAATACGGTTTGTTTTGCGACCCTCTTTCTGGGTGATGTGAAATTTGACAACTAGCACCACATATGCGCGTATATGCGATATTTTTGAAGTCACTCAGGGCGGTGATTTGGGATTTTGGGCAAGTTTTGTTTATTCACCGTCTCTTCCCTGAAAACTTACTGACAAGCTTTAGATCACCCGGATAATAGGCAAGAAATATGGTCCAAAACACAGCAAAGCGTGGCACACCAACTTCACCGTGTCAGTCCCTTCCGTCTCCCATACGTTATGGCATCACTGAAACCAGAGCAGCTCCGAGCCGCCGAAGTTCCTAGACACGCCGCTTCTCTACCTCCGTCACCTCGTAACGCCTTACACGGAACGCGAGAAAGCAAGCCTCGCCCGACAACGCGAATGGCTTGCCAGAGGGCGCGGTTACTTCGCCGAGCACAGCACCCAACCGCAAACGCTCGCTTACTCCCTCACCGACAGCCCCGTAGGGCTGCTCGCGTGGATTTACGAGAAGCTCGTCCGGTGGACAGACGACGACTACCAGTGGGACGACGACGAGGTGCTCACCTGGGTGTCGTGGTACTGGTTCTCCCGCGGGGGTCCCATGTCGTCGCTGCTCATCTACTACGAGATGGTGCACAATAGTGACCGCAAGTTTACCTCGGCGGAGGCGCCCAGTATTCCGATGGGCGTATCTCACTTCCCGAAGGAAGTCTTCCCCGCACCAAGAATGTAAGTGCGTACTTATATTGTTGTGTTAGGGAAGCTCATGCCTTCTAATTGCCAGTTGGACACACACGTCCGGAAATCTTGTTTTTGAGTCCGAACATGATCATGGCGGGCACTTTGCTGCGCACGAAAAACCGCTCGAACTCGTAGCCGACGTACGAAACATGTTCGGGAGAGGCGGACCAGCGTACAGCGTTGTGCCAGGTCGAACAGGCTATGCGTAACAATTTGACCCTGTATATAACAACGATACTCCAATTCAGCGAAGGGATTGTACTGTACATGAGCTGTACACAATCCTACAGAGCAAGATAGTCATATTGCATAGAGATATGGTAGCAATTAACAGTCCTAACCTCTGATCCACCAAGTCAAAAGGAAGGGGAGACAAAATCTAAACAAGTTCAATCAGAATATGGGGTAAACAACTTAACTATTTGCGCGTTTAAGAGGAGCAAAGTAAGATTGGAAGGACATTTCAGACGGCGGATAAACATCAAGGAACAGGATGGTGTCGCACTATGGACCTGCAGGCCAGCCCCGGCCACTGCATGCAGACATCAAGAAAGGCGGAGAGCAAGCAGGTTGTCAATAAAGGTGAGTGGATACTGCGCGACCAGCGGCGTGCTGCGTGCGTGCGCATACAGGTTGACCCGTTCGTTGGGAAACGTCTGGAGGTACGATAAATAAGTTTCAACCCTAAAGTCAACCCATCTACCGATTCGAGCAATAACAACAGTGCCCGCAGGCGGAGGAAATTTAAGAAAAGCAATCCACGGGCAGGGATGAGCAAGGGTATAATCTTGGCTCAGGGAATATGCAGGCGCGTAATGAGGATGAAGCGAAGGGGATGCTGGTATGGTGAGCGTGGGTGTAAAAAGTCCTTCTACCAATTCATACTGCTCTGCTGCAGAATAGGCGCAGAGATTGCACCCGGTGTAATGTTCCGTCGCTCGCGCATAGCCTGGCTGTACTGATCGTATTGTTCTTCGTCGGCACGAACACCCTGTTGACCTCGGATGTTGTCTTCAGCATAATAGAAGCTACGCCTGCGTTGGCCACCGATACTGTCTTGATCGAACGCCTGTCCATCGGGACGAGCTCCAGCGAGGTCGCCTGGGTCTGAAAGCCGTCTGTGTGCGAGCTCGCGGCGACGCTTGACAGCGCGGTAGGCGATGTAGGCAAGGACGATGAGTGCGATTCCACCAAGCGAGCTGCAGACGCCGATGATGGCATCGCGTCTGACACGAGACGAGTTCGAGTCACTCGAAGAGTTGCTTCCTTTGGGGCCGGATATGGAGGTGATAGCCAAAGCGGGATCGACACATGCAGCGAGCTCAAACGCGATGCCTGATTGGGCAGTGTAGAACTCGGAGTGTTCATCCGAAATCAAGCTGGCTAGGGTAGAGACCTGATCCTGTGGCAGGTATCCTTGCCAAATGGTAAGGAGCTGATCTACGTCCTGAGGCCCGTTGTACGTCGAGGGCTCGAACACACGAAGCTCATAGTTTATCACGCTGTCGGCTACAATCGTACAAGTTAGTACTCCGTCTCAAATTAGCTGAGAACCAACTCACATGATATACCGAGGGCAGTCGAAATGACACCAGGGAACCATTCGAAAATCTGGCCAGAGGCGTTCGAGTTTGTCGCAACCCAATCCCAGCTCAGACTCTGATTGAACAACACACTGATGAGTTCATCCGAGTCAGGTACCGTCGTCAGGTTGAGCGCAGGGTTGGGCAAAATAACCATAGGCAGGTTGCTTGGAAGTGGCGCAGAAGAGGGCCTGCTCGAGGGAGCGACCGACGTGAGTGATAATGTCGTCGAAGGTGCGTCAGGGTTAGTTTGCGTAACCGTCTGCGAGGGCTGCGTGTGCGTGTTGATCTGAAGCGATGACAGCGACGTAAGCCACTGCCAGCTGTTCGAGGAAGAACGAGTCGCAGTTGAACTGGGGACAGTGGTAGTCGGGCTCGTGCTCGTGGTGGGGAACGTAACGACTGATGAAGTTGTCTGCGACGGAAGTACATCGGTGGTCCGGGTAGGCGTAGACACAATGGACGACGACGGAGAAACCGTAGATGCAATGGACGACGGAGAAGCCGTAGACACAACGGAAACGGACGAGGTTGGCTGAGGAATGAGCGTCGTGCAGCCACCTAGGCCAAGCACTCCAGTGCAAGTGATGGTCGGAGAGGGTGCTGAAGAGGGAGACGACGAAGGAGACGAGCCAGGCGGAGTCGAAGTGACACTGCCACATCCACCCAGCCCTAATAACCCAGAACACGTAGTGCTAGGAGGAGGCGAACCACCACTGCTGCTGCTGCCAGAAGAGGTTGGAACGGGACCACAACCACCAAGGCCAAGCAAGCCGGTACAAGTCGTGCTAGGTGGAGGCGAACCACTACCGGAGGAAGCAGACGAAGTAGGCGCTGGGCCACATCCTCCGAGTCCAAGCAATCCGGTACAGGTTGTGCTAGGTGGAGGCGAACCACTACCGGAGGAAGCAGACGAAGTAGGCACTGGGCCACATCCTCCGAGTCCAAGCAATCCGGTACAGGTTGTGCTAGGTGGAGGCGAACCACTACCGGAGGAGGCAGACGAAGTGGGTGCGGGACCACAACCACCGAGGCCCAACAAACCAGTGCAAGTGGTGCTGGGAGGAGGCGAACCACTCTTGGATGTCGAGGTCGGAGCAGGCCCGCAGCCACCCAGACCAAGGAGGCCAGTGCACGTAGTAGTGGGAGCTGGTGCGCCAGAGGATGAGCCAGAAGCCGTAGACGCGGGGCCGCATCCACCCAAGCCAAGGAGTCCCGAGCAAGTTGTCATGGGAGCAGGGGCACCCGACGAAGAAGACCCGGAGGCCGTCGACACCGGGCCGCATCCGCCCAAGCCAAGAAGACCCGTGCACGTCGTCTTAGGAGCAGGTGCACCAGAGGAAGTGGACCCAGTAGAAGTCGGTACGGGACCGCATCCACCCAAGCCAAGAAGGCCAGTGCAAGTCGTCTTGGGGGCAGGAGCACCCGACGACGAAGACCCGGAGGCCGTCGACACCGGGCCGCATCCGCCCAAGCCAAGAAGACCCGTGCACGTCGTCTTAGGAGCAGGTGCGCCAGAGGAAGTGGACCCAGTGGACCCGGAGGACGTCGGTGCAGGACCGCATCCGCCTAAACCAAGCAAGCCAGTGCAAGTGGTGCTAGGAGCAGGCTTGCCTGAAGACCCTGACGACGTCGGCGCAGGGCCACATCCACCCAAACCAAGGAGACCGGTGCAAGTGGTGCTCGGTGCGGGCTTGCCCGAAGAGCCGGAGGAGGTAGGCGCGGGGCCGCATCCACCCAAGCCAAGCAGGCCGGTGCAAGTGGTGCTAGGAGCAGGCTTGGCTGAAGAGCCCGAGGAAGAAGTTGGAACGGCACCGCATCCACCAAGACCAAGGAGTCCCGAGCACGTCGTGCTTTGATCAGTCGGCGTGGCGGAAGCAGGTCCACAACCACCGAGTCCCAAAAGACCCGTGCACGTCGTCCGCTGGGCAGGTGCGGAGCTAGCGGATGAGGACTTGGGGGATGCAGACGACGCTGGTGACGACGACGATCCACAAAGCAAACCGAGACCAAGCAGACCGCATGGGGTGCTTGATGGAGCGGGGCTTGCTTTCGATGCGGGTGCAGATGTGGGCCGCTGTGGCGGTGTTGTAATCGTGCTGCTGGGAGGTGCGGTGGATGAGGATTCGCAACCAATTCCGAGGCCAAGGAGACCGCAATCGGACGAAGTGGGCGACGGTGACGCTGGAGAAGGGGAAGGGGATGAAGACGACCCCGTTTCGCTGGGTGCACAACCCAAGCCAAGACCGAGGAGACCACCGCACGACGACGAGGAGGGTGCCGGTGCTGGGGGAGCGGTCGTCGCAGGGGAGCTTGATGCTGGCTGGGGAGAGCTTGATTGAGACTCTGGAGAAGGGGAAGGAGATGGTGAGGGAGAAGACGATGTAGGGTCAAGGCATCCGAGGCCGAGGAGGCCACAGTCCTTGGAGGACGATGAGCTGTCTGCAGCGGGAGTGCTCACTGGCGGGAGGACAGAGGAGCTGCCCTTGGAGCTTGATCCCGAGTTGCTGGCTGCCGGACTGCTACTACTCGTACTGCTGCTGCCATCATCTCCGCCATCATCACCACCGCCTAGATATTCGCAGTGTCATGCGGTTTGTGAGAAAATAGGTCCCGATAGTCAACATTAGCCGACGATGATCAAAATAACACGTATCAGAACAATGCGCACCTAAAAGTCCACCAAGCAAACCGCCACCTCCATCATCGGGCATGGGCATTGGGGCCCTATGCTTGACTTGCCATGCGCGACGGGCATGGGCTACGCCGGACGCGGACGAGGAAAGGGTAGCATAGGCGGGGTTGGGTGCGAAGAGAAGAAGAGCAAATGCAAGAGAATATATAGACGAATACATAAAAGGTCCAGTCAGAGTTGGGTTGAGGAGTTACTGTTGACAGAGTGCTGGATAGCTAGGACAGCCCGACGATGGGGTATGACGAGCGAAGGGATGAACGAGCGTGGGCCGTTTTGGCAGAAGGGCAAAACGTGGTGAGGAGGTTGGGGACTGACTGCACTGGCGTAAGACCAGATGCAGCAGTCTAAGCGTTGTTTTATGGGATGTTGGGGGAGGGGAAAGAGGTCGACTGAGCGACGGTGGAGAACGAGGGGACGGGGAGAAAGAAGGGAAATGCGCAGGCAGAAACTCGCTTGGCGTATCACGGCAACGGGCACCAGATGATATAAATTGATGCTCTCGTCCTATTGGGCCCAGACGCTTCCTTTATTCCCTCCGTTGCTCTCTCATCACTCAAAAATATTCCATCCGTGCCTGTTTCACCCATCCTTATCACTCTCTAGACGCAAATCATAATGACCATTGGACGGACATGAGCTAGTCAACATGGTTGCAGTAATGCATATGGATCACAACTAGGAAAAAAATAGTGCTAGACGATACAGCTTAGATGAATCCGATCTAACAAAACATCCTCAATACAACTCTACAAATAATAGCTTTATTATAGATAACCCACCTTGTTTGCAACGTCCAACGCATCGTGATCTGCTGCCAGGCGGACGTACGCCTTCTTTTTGCCGTCCGGCCTACATGAACCATTAGTTCGCTCACAACAGACGCTGGTTGAGCCACAGCGCCACTCACCGAATGAGAGTGTTGATCTTGGCCGCCTGCACGTCGTACAGCTTCTTCACGGCGTCCTTGATCTGGCGCTTGTTCGACTTGATGTCGACAAGGAACACGAGCGTGTTGTGCTCCTCAATCTTCTTCATCGCCGACTCCGTGTTCACAGGCCTAAGCTCCCATCAGTATCATAATTTTTACTTTTGCCACAGTTAACGTACGCAACAATCGTCCGGAACTGGTCCATCCGGGGTGCATGGGGGATCGATTTCCGTGGGTACTTGGGCTCACGGGCGAGGCGGAGCGTCTTTGGTCGGTGGAAGGACACCGAGTAGCGGACCTTTCGTGACGAGTGAGAACGAGTGCCCTGGAGAGCGGCCTTCTTCGCGGCCTTAGCCTTGGCATCTTTTGAAGCATTCTTGGCTGGAAATCGATTGTCAGAAAGAGGAGTGTTGCTGTGCGGGGAGAAGAAGACGTACGCGCTGCAGCCTTACCCTTTGCCGTCTTGGTGGTGGCCATTTTTGAGTCCGTGTCTGAGAAAACACATATCAGCGTCCTGTTCTAGGGAAACGGGGCAGAAAACAGCGCGCTCCAGAGCCACAGGATGCAGAGGAAGTGTTGCGACGCGAAACAGATGTCCAGGATGGTTGAGATGCGAAACCATCCATAAGTCATAGGTACATCCATCGTTCGGGAGACGCATCCAACTCAATCCGCCAAAATGCGGCATTCCGTCTTGCATAATCCATCTCACAGGCATCCAGCGTGGCTCTGTGCGTGCTGAGAACGTCGAGGGGGTGCTCACCTTGATGTGTGCTAGCCGTTGTTCGTGGTGTGTACGACCCTCAACGGCTGGAGACGCTCTTTCGGCCTTTGCCGACGAAACCTCGGTGGCGATGCACTCGCGTCCACCCCTGGAACAGGGTTAGGTCTTCCATGAGCTCACACACCCCTGTCGTCAAAGAGACTCGTCTTGGAACATGGTGGCTTGGACGCAAAAAGAAAGGCACAATACAACAGTAGATACATCGGTCTCATTTTCACTCCGAAAGGAATCGATATAATCATACAGTCTAGAACGATTACATTTGCAGGCTAGTGAGAACGACAACAAAGCAACGCAGAGCAGTAGAGTATAATAAAAATACAGAGACTTGACAACTACTGAGCCTGGGCCTCCTGCAGTCGCCAAGATGAGCGAACACAAGCGATTGCCACGGGAGCAAGGAACAACGAACCTGGTCCACAAACTCCATCGCTTCCTCACGCTTGATCGTCCGGATCGAGCTGACCTTCTGGTTGTTGAAGAGCACACCGTAAAACTGGTCGGCCGTGACCAACATCTCCGGTCGGAAAGTAGTAGTGATAAACTGTGCTGACGACGCGAGAGACTGAATCATGTCTGGAGAGTGTATGAGTGAGTACTGTATGCGTTGGGACTGACTATCGACGTACGTGCGACTGCTGTACGATATTGTGCGTCCAAGTTGGCATCGATCTAGGGAATGTTCATCCTCTTGTCTCCGCAAGGCAAAGCGACTGAGGGCTCACCTCATCGAACAGATAGAATGGTGCAGGGTCACATTTTTGGATGGCGAACACCAAGGCCAGAGCCACAAGGGATTTCTGGCCACCAGACAATTGCTGTATCCGCAGGCCCTCGTCCACCTTCGAGTTGAAGGAAACCTGAAAAAAGGATGAAGTTATTCGCCAAAACTCATAGAGTTGACCGCACCTTGATGGACACTCCAGTGTAATTGTCAATTGTACTCTGCTGAGATTCGAGCACCTCCTCTGGCTCTGCCTCGTCCTGCATCACGTAAGACAAAGTTCGGGGAGGACAAGCGTATCATACCTGATCTATCCTCCGCTGTATTATCAATCGTCCCCTTCCAGCAGGCACCAGATTCTCGAACACCTCCTCAAAGTTGCTCGCGACCTGCTTGAACGTACGCTCGATGGCTTCATCCTTGCGCTGGTCGAGCACCTGCACGAGTTCCTCAATTGACTCAGCCGACTTTTCGAGGTCTTCACGACGCTGGATGAGCTGATCACGCTGCTTTGTGAACGAATTGTACTGCTCAAAGGCCTTTTTGTTCACGTGTGCAAACTTCTTCAGAGCTTCGTTGACGGCGTGCAACTTTTTAACAAGCTAAATGTAATATCATTAGACATGCGCTAAGTTGGCAGGAGTGAATGCCACTTACTCGATCCAGTTTTTCATTAGTGTACTTCTCAAACGCTTCTTCAGGAAGAACACCAAGGTCGCGAATATTGCGATTACATTCGTCTTTCCGCGACGAGAGCATCTGTTTCTTCGCAAGATATCGTTCGGTGTGTTTCTGTTGTCGAGTGACCGATCGCGCATCCTCTGTCTGTTGGTTCTGTGCCTTCTCAAGGGAAGAACGCAGCTCCTGCAGTTCGCTATTCAACGTCTCGATGTCCTTCTCTGCATCGCGAGCCCTTTTGATCAGAGTCTCGACAGCAAGATTGAGTGACCGCAGTTGCCGGGCACGGGCTTCCAACGTGTCCGCGGAGGAGGCTTCGCCGTCTTCATTCTCTCCGAGAGTGTCGATTTTGGCTTGTAGGTCACGTCTCCGCCGGCGAAGGCTCTCGTTTAGATCAATCTCCAACGCACTCTTGCGGCTGTCCAACTTTCAAAAGCGATCAGCATGCCTCAGAAAGAACTATGGACCAAAAATGCCTTACCTCTGCTCTGGACTTACTAATCTCAAGGGCCCTCTTGCGCCTGCGAGCGACCTCTTCTCCTAGAGAATCCATCAGCTCAGCCTCCTCGTTGGAAAGTGTTTGAGCCATTGGGCTGGCAAGCTCCTCCCGGTACCCTTTCAGTCGCGCTTGAACTGAAACAAGTTCTGTCTCCAAATCGAAGATATCGCCTGACAGTCTTGCTATACGCTCCCTTTGCCGCTCTGCCTCCCTCGCCAGCGAGTTCGTGTCGGACACTAGACTATCCCTTATTTCCTTCGCTTGTGACTGCTGAATCGACAATATCTGGAGCCTGCCCGTGATCTTCGTAATTTCCTGCTCTGTCTGGGTGATAGTCGCTTTGACCTCCTTCGAACGTGCCTTGTCCGCGTCATACTTGCTCCTCCAGGTCGCAACCGTCTTAGTCGCCTCAATACGTGACCGGCGAACATCGTGGTAGCCACCAGTCAGAGCACCCTTGCGGTCGACCTTATCACCATCCAGCGTGATTGTATTGATACCATGGCTTTTGACGTATGCTGCGGCGACGGTGAGATCACGGCAAACCCACGTCTTTCCAAACACTTGCTGGAACGCTTTCTGGTGTGCTGGGTTGAAGCGAAGCTTTTCTATGAGTGGGATAGCATCCTGGTTTTGAGGAACGGTGGGAGTTTTCGGCTTCAGTCGATTCAGTGGCATGAATGTAACACGTCCAGTCTTCTCCTTCATCATGATGTCGAGTACCTTCGATGCGGTTTCATCGGTATCAACCACGATGTGGAAAAGGCTTAGAGATGATGAGCTATAGTTCCCTACTTGTAAGCTTGCTGCTCACCTGTTGCCTGCCGTCAGCTCGATAGCCGTATTGAATGTTGGATCTGAAATTTCAAGAAGTCGATATAACGGCCCGTAGACGCCCTCGAGCTCGTACCGCTCGGCGATGCGATCAACGGCTCGCAGACCCATCCCAGTATCCTGCAAAACATTCAGCACGAGCACACGTTACAGGCAAAGATGTAACTGACCTTGTCCATCATGCCAGCTAAGCTACGCTCTGCAGTTCCCAGCTCCTCCCCAGCATGCCTGACAAGCCCGTCCAGCTTAGTGTCCTCTCTCCACAGCTCCTTCCGCCGCTCACTAAGTTCGCTTTGCTGGTCTTTCAAGCCGGACATCTCCTCTTGTAGTCCACGCAAACGATTGCGACCATCATCCGCGCGACCTTGAATACCCTCGATCTGGCGTTCGACGTCCTCCAGGGATTTCGTAGCTGTCGCTAGCTCATTCTGCGAGTTGACGAGAGACGATGCACGGGATTCCTGATAACTCGTCAAAGAGGCAATTTCTTGCTTCAGGAAGTTGTCGCGCTCGGTTTTGTTCCGGAACTTCTTGACGCGACCTTGTTTGGCGTGTAGCGCCTTCAAGCTAGCATCTGCCTCCTCCATTGCTCTCTTTTCAGCACTCTCTTGCTGATGATATTGCTCCCATTGGGGCAAGAGGTTGTTCAGTTCTTCTTCGCGTTCGCTGATTTGTTGTTCTACAGCAGCCAGGTTGCTTGTCAGAGTTGTTTGTCTATCCCCAGCTTGTTGACCAGCAGAACGGAGATCTTCCACGATACACTCCAACTCCGTCCGGGAGCGAACGAGGTCAGTCAGCTCTGTTTGGGCATCTTGACGGGTCGTATTCTGCGTTTCAACGTCATGCCTCTTCTGTGATATGGCTTGCTCTAGACGCTACGGTACGATGAGAGAAGCGAGCAACGGAAGTTAATAGTTGCCTAACCTTGATCTCTCGTTCGCGGCCATCAAATTGTTCACGGCGGACATTAGCACCATGTACTTCACCGCGCCGTTCTTCTTCAATTTCTTCCAAAGCTTCGCCAACTTCCTCTAATTCACGCTGATACACAGCATACTCCAAACACCGACGATCCTTGTCTTTCTCTTGGAATTCGCGGAGCTCCTCCTTCTCGTCTTCAAGTTCTGCGAGACGCGAGTTAATGTAGTCGAGCAACTCGTTAATCTTTGATCGTTTGGCGTCCGTGTCTGCCATGATTCGGAGTGATTCAGTGCGCCGTTGTTCGTATACCTTCGTCCCCGCCACCTCCTTCAGCAGAGCCAGGCGTTCATGATCTTTAGCGTTCGTGAGAGCAGTGATCTAAACAGTGGTTTAAGTATGCGGGTTACGGCGCCATTGAGTCAATCACATACTCGACCTTGAGGAACAATATAGTAGGGATTTGACTTGCTGAAACCGGCACTCTCCAAAAGGTTCATGACGTCTGCTTTGCTTACACTCTTCTTGTCCAAGCTATACTCGTCTTTCTTCAAGCCTATTGTGCGACGGAGAATGACTTCGTCCCGTCCAGTAGGAAAGCGGTTGTCGGAGTTGTCAAACACTATCTCAACTACAACATATACGATTGTGGGATGAGAACATTGAAACCGAAGCATGGGAGGACTGACCATAAGCAGACAATGTGGTCGTAACGGAAACACCTTCATGCAGTAGTACCTGACGTTCTTCTCGAGACATTGAGTTATATGCGTCGGATAACACGAATCGAATGGCTATGGCATGGTCAAGCGTATCGTCGAAAACACAGTGTTATGAACGCACCTGCAAAGAAGTTACTCTTCCCAGATCCATTACGTCCAACCACGACGTTGTGCCTCGGAGAAAAGGGTTCAATTTGGGTTTGGTCGCGATCTGGGCGGTAGCTCTTGGCTCAGCTTGAGTAACGTAGCATAGGCAAGAGGGTCTTACACGACTTGAAGCCTTGAATTGTTAACGTCTTGATGTACATTGTCGGTCCAAAGTACGCCCGTGGCTGTCAGGATAGCAATTGATTCCTTCGAACGGTCTCCAAGGCAAAGAAACGGTAAAAGGGTCAACTGCGCCGAGATCCTTGAGTGGACGCAGTTGTACGAGAGGAGGCAGGAGGCGCGCGACTCGACGCGTGTCACGTTTTCCCCATTCTGAAGCGCGTCGCGCGATTCATGTCAGCATCATGAAGTTGTCCAGATTGTCCATGTACGCGAGTAAAATCTGTTACTGGTTTCAAGACCACGCCCTTCTTCCGTAACGACACTATACAATTTTCTATCGACTGTATCCAACAGACCACTACCGCCATGGGTCAAAGATCGTCTTGTTGCACTTCCCAGTGTTAAACTCCTCATACGCTTTCGCAGCCTCGTCAATGCTAACCACCTTCTCGATCAAACTTCCATCTCCCCCAACGGTTCCAAAGATATCCTGTCTCCGCAGCAGCAAATCAAGTGCCATTGGCAACATAGCACGAACAGGGCAGCGGCCAAAGTCGAAGGACACATTCTTGTCGTATAGCTGACGACCTTGGAAAGGCATCATGGGCTCTTGGTGCACACCAATCGAGTGGATGCCTCCAAACGGCCGAACGACGTCGTATGCAAGAGTGAGTGCACTAGGATTTCCGACAACCTGTCCCGCGCGATTTGGTATGAATGGCACAACAGTCATCAGAATTTCGTACCTCGATAACCGCATTACAACCGATCCCTCCGGTCCATTCCTTTACCAGTGCCTTCCCTATCTCAATGTCTGCAACGACGTACTCACCAAACCCCTTCTCTGTCTTGGATATAATGGAGAAGATAGCCTCCATTCGTTTGCGACGCGCTTCAACAGGCTCAATGGCGACGACTTTGTACTTCAACTGTCGCGCCCCTAACATGTCGAGCAATGCGATTGATGCACACTGCAATGTATTTTAGCACATGCAAATCGTGCATGAAATGCTAGTAAATTACTGACCATCCCCACCGGGCCCAGCCCAACAACTGCAATCGTCAAGGCACGATCTTCAGGCAGCAACGTCAATGCTTCACTTTCTGCGCTGGCGCCAAGTGAGCTCAGCGGGTATGGCAAGCCGGTCGACATAGGCAAGAACTTGGGGTGACTGAGCGCTTGGAAGGCAGCAAAGACACCTGTCGGTAGGTTATCGCACAAGAGGAGCAGCGATGTGTCCGCAATACTGTTGATGTTACCCCTCATCGTCGAGGCCGCTTTCGCGATGCTGCTCAGATTATAGAGCGTCCCACCTGCGAATGGGACACGGACATATTGTGCTTGACCACCCGGAGTCGCCGGTGTACCGAAGAGCATGTTTCGCTCACAGCGGCAAGTGAAGCCAATCCGGCAGAAGCTGACATTCGGCCACTTGAGTATCTTGATTGCATTGACAGAAAAACAGACCTACTGGCATTCGCCGCACGACACGGTGAAGGGCGCTATTACCGTATCTCCGACTTTCAAGCTTGAGTACAGAGGAGGTCGTCGATCAGAGCCGGGTTTAAAGCTTTCACCCAGAGCTATGACTTCACCGAGGAATTCGTGACCACAGGTTAGACTTGAAAATGATATAAGGCCTCCAGTTGATTGCGTGTCTTTCTGAATGAATCCACACTTACACTTCATGAACATCTTCGTGGCCCCTGAATACATGCAGATCGCTACCGCACAAACCCGCGAGCTGAGTGATGACCGAAGTACATATTAACACGTCTGCAACGAATAGGTTAACCCGACAAAAGTGCTTACCCTAATTTTGACAATCGCATCGTCCGGGTGCTCTACTCTTTTCCAGAGGAGTCAGATCAAGAAACGTCCTGCATAAGAACTAAGGACATACTTCGGGATTGGAACTCTGTCAACGCGGATGTCAAAGGCAGGTGGGTGCGATCTCACAGCTTTCTGGGTGCCGTTCAGATCTGCAGACATGATGCAAGTTAAAGGAGGTCAAATAGGTTGGCTGCGAACAGGCCGTGTAGGACATCGATCGCTGCTATATTATTCATACGGACTCGGTCATAGTAGGCGGAACTCGACGATGATCACGCCGTCAATATTAATGACCCTGTCCCGTGCGACCGCAGGCTATGATTGACCCAATCTAAAACGAAACGTTTGGCATCACCGCCATGCTCGACGGACGCACGGCACACCTTATTGAGTCAAGTTGAGTTGGGCTCCAAGATCAGTATTGACGAGACTGGCAATTACAAAATTATGTACCGTAGGAGCTCGTGTGGGTTATGTATAAGAACGGTAGGGCTCGATATTAGCCCAATACGTTACGTGCCGCCAGGCATAAGAAAACTAGCATCAGCGATATTGGTCAAGAAACGCTCTATGACAGTTTTGCCTCGTCGTAGATTAATCAATGATATGCGCTCGTTGGGTAGATGAGCTTGATCCTTTGCAATGTGGTCAGTCAATTGGATCGATCCCACGAGCAAAGGCGACACGTACCGTACTCTGGCCCAAAGGTAAATGAAGGGCTTGACAACCGAACTCCTTCTCGAGGTTGGGTATAGACGGGATAGACTTGGTAAAATGGTGTCACTAATGAGTCAAAATGACGATCTCAGGAAACATGGGACTCACCCCTCCCTCTCTGATTCGCAGTGGCTCCTGACCCCACTCATCCCGAACTGCAGTCTCAAGCGCCTTGAACCACGGACCGTTCAAATCTCCGATCCACCAGTCTGCTGTTCTGTCGATGGTGACCTGTAAAAGCTTCAACAATGCATGACGCCCGATATGCCTCAGCTTTCGCACCTTCAGCTGGTTTGGTGATTGAAGTTGTCGGAAAGATTGCTCAAGGTGCTCAACGAGCGACTTGGTTATGGTAAATATGTCTTGATCGGGAACTAAACGAAGTGAAACTTTCGCATAAACCTTGCTTGGTATGACAGTGGAATCTAAGCGTGTTCAGCACAGAGAGTTACAGTACAAGCAAGAAACGTACTTCCAGGGCCTGATACGTTGATGCTATGCACGGTGCAGGCAGGCTCTCTCCACCGCGAGGAAAGTGTTTCCATAGGACGCTGAGCAACTTGAGAAAGTACATTATACATCTGTTTCTCATCTTCTACCATAGGCCGGACGCAGTCATCTGGGAATAAAGGTCGGCTCGATGAATGCCTACGTCTCAAGAAAGATTGAGTATCCTACAAAAATGTGGTACCGTGACTTTTCTCTGGCCATTACCAAGAGCAGCAAGCACTTGTATTCTGACATTACATTGAGTGTTTGCCAAGCAATAACGATGATGGAAAGAACCTTACAGGTCTTGCATCGGCTCAGATGCCGCGCCGCCCTCTATACCAGAGTGCAAATCCGGAGAAGTACTCGACACCTGGTTCAGGAGTAATCGTCAACCAGCCGCCTTCGCTCGCTAGGCAGGGACCACACCTCCACGGTACAGTGCACGACTCCTCTTAGACCGTATGTGATACACGGAGGTGATTCAGCGATCCACGTTGAGTTGCTATGGGGGAGGTGCTTCAGAGAATACTTTCATTATGGCAAGGATATGGTGTTACCTGACCAGTATTGCGTCAATGTCGCCTATCAGATGCTGTGATTTTCTTAGCCTATTTGAGCTCGAAAATATGGCAATGTATACCTTGTGCTTCTTTACTGCGTCCATGAATCCGCGACTACCATGCTCCTCTTCACCCTCAATCAGAAAAACGACGTCTACACCAAGAGCTCGTTGTCGTAAAAGGTCTGCGGCGGCGCACGCGACTGCGAGCACAGGCCCTTTGTCATCCGAGACGCCCCGTCCATACAGATAACCATTATGACCGGTGGCAGTGAATGGATCAGTCTTCCATCCCGCTGAAGGGGCAGGTATCACGTCGTAGTGGCTTTCATCCCAATGTCAAATTCCCGTTTATCATTATGAACTTCAGAAGAGCCTACCCATAGAACAGTAAACGCTTCTTGGGGTGTTTTCCTTGCGTGCCTACAAAAGTGGCGAGCACCAGTGGATTGACGCCTTCTTCGCATGGCAGCTGACTTTACCGTGAGCAACCAGTCAGCTTTATATAGGGCGGAGATTCTTCACCAGACCCGACTCTGCTCCTAGCTGATGCAGGCATTTCTTCAGCCATATCGCTGCCTGACGACAATCCTCCCGGTGAGCCGGATCCGAGCTGACACTGGGAATCGATACAAATGTCGATAACACATGAGTCAATGTGTCTGCGGATGCCCTTGAGTCGCGCGCATCCTCGCATAGATCTGAAAACCCCACCATTGCCAATTGTAGAGTCCTCTTTCTCATCGGCCCTGTCAGCTCCTGGTCTTGCCGGGAGAACACTGTTCCCTTTCTCAGGGGGTATTATGTCCCAAACCTGTAAACATGGACTGTTAGGTATCCATATAGGCGCCGAAGGGAGGACACACGTTGACAAAGCCATCATTTGCACCTGACACCATGAAGAAACCTTTATATTCGGAGAAGCGAGTGACCAGAGACGAGAGTATAATGCCATTGTGGGCTTTCCAAGATGCCGTACAGTCGAATGAAGCAGAGAAACGCTACAGTGTTCTTCAGGGTTGATGTCATCAGCGACATATGGATTACGCTTGCCTGAATTTGTCCATTCGCTGAGCATGTATACAGGTCTGTGTACATGAGCGAAAGGGAAAGGACGTCAACATTCTCCTGGACGATGAGGGTTCGAACCAGCGTCCTCGTTTCAGGGTCAAGAACCTTAACGTAACCGTCCTGGCAGCCTGCATAGATAATCTCGCGACGAGCAGCAAGAGACAAAACAGCGCCGTGCTGACACTCGTAGGTGTACACGAGTTTGAGACCAGTAGGAGAACACTCCCACATCTAAGTCGAATTTGTGAAGGTGAGAATTAGCACGGTGGCACTGCACGCACCTTTACGGTCTCGTCCCCGCTACCAGTAATCAAATTGATCATACCTAAGCCGGGGTACTCATCGTCTGAGCCTTCGCGATAGGAAGGCAGAAGTGCCATGCAATATATGTATCCATAATGCGCAGAATCAATGACGTTCGACGGCGGAATGTGCAAGGCTGAGCAGGAAATGGTCAGGCTCTCCGCAGAGGACTGTACCTCAACAGAGTTATTCGCGTATATGTCGGCCGGGCGGTGCTGGTACTGAGGGTAGCTATCGAAGAACTTGTGTGGCCTTCGGTTGGGCGTAGAGTTTCCTGATGTCACCTGCTGTTCGCTATGACAGCGCTTCATCTCCTGTGCGTTAAAACTGAACCATTGCAACGAAGTGTTTTGGCAACCGACATATACGGTTTGAAGAGAAGGGCTCCAGGCAAGCGAGAAGAGATCCCCAGCACCAGTTTCCAAGTAAGGGTGTAGCACATACAGGGGAGCAAGGGACTTTGTGGACCATATCTACAGCTTCGTGAAGACTGGCTGTGATTCGGAGCATGAGTTCTGACGCACCCTGACCGTGCTATCACCTGAGATGGACCATCATCAGTAACTGCCAATGATGAGACGGCAAATGTACTTACCTGCAGCACTGAAAAGCCAACACTTTTCCTTCGCGTACTCCAGTGCCAATACACTCGCGGTATGTCCGTTCAAGGTGGTTTTCAGGGTAAAACTCTGCTTGTCCCACACCTCGCATGCGTCTGAGACTCTGGTCTGTGCTGTCCAAGGTAGTTTAACGCGCGTACCTGTATTGTGGGACACTGTCCTCCAGTGAAGATGTGAGTGGCATCAGCCATGATGCACAAGACCGAGTTGTTCTCATTGCTCAGGGAATGAACGAGCTGAGGCAGAGGACCCGCACCGGGTATGTTACGACTGACGGAGGCTGGCCGATTCGGGATCACTGAAGCACCCATTGGGAGAAAAGAACATACGGTGGGGTATCCTGCCGGGTGGTAAGTTTGCCATCTTTTAAACGTCTAGACTCGTGGTACAAGCAAATGAATCGGGAAAAGCGATATTGCCTCAGGCTTTCTTGGGGAACGAATCCGCTGCCGGATCGAGTAGAGCTGGCGATAGAGATCCGCCTGTAAACTCAGCACCGATCTACACGTGTGGATAGCAAAGCAACGTTAGAGGTCAAAGCTAGTTGTCAGCGAGTGGGCAGATGTCTCGGAGGAGAATAAGGACGAAACGCGAGGTCAAGGGTTGGTGATTAGTATTTAATATGAAACCGCTATTCTGAAATCGCCGACAGATCTGCATGGACAAGTAGGATGAACTGATGTGAACGTTGAATGTATGCATCCACGACCAGACACGCTGCGTCGGAAGTCGTATCCGACATCCGCTGCCTGACTCGCACCAGAAACTCAGAGGCTGAGAGTGGCAAAACTTGCAATTGCCCAAGTTGCGTGACGCGTCGCGCAACCATTAAATTCCGTTCTGTTCGCGGTCTGCGGCTTTCTGTGACTTGATCGCTCCTTTCGTCATCTCATCAACCGACGCTCGTCAAATGGCGTCACCCAAAGCGGCCGAAGCCAAAGAAAAGGCGAGGATAAAGCCTTCAGGCTAAGGAGATCACGAATTGACAAATGTGTTGCAGGGAAATCAAGCTTTTAAGAGCGGGGACTACCCTGCAGCTATTGGACATTATACAACAGCCATTCTCGCAGACGCCAACGACCCAACGTTCCCACTAAACAGAGCTGCTGCCTATCTGAAGCTGGGCAAGTGCGTTTGAGACGCCAATTCTGCCTAGTCACGCAAGGGTACCAACTCGCGAGACAGGTTTAAAGATGCAGAACGGGATTGTAATACGGTCATCAAGTCAAGCCCTAAGAACCCCAAGGCGTACTATCGGCGTGGTCAAGCTCGACGCGGTCTGGAGAGATTAGACGATGCGTTGGCAGGTAAGTCCATTTCCCCTGGATGGGCAACACATAGGTGCAGACTTTGTTTAGACTACCAGAAGGCTTCGCAACTTCAGCCGGCAGATAGCTCTGCAAAGATGGAGATGGAAGCGATCCAAATTCTACAGAGTCAGCAAAAGAAGCCACGAACAGCAAAAGTTTGTCAAAGATCTTAGGGAATAAATCTGATCTTACAACAAAGTGTACAGGATATCGGCAGTACAAGTATCGGACTTGCATCTACTTCGGCTGAGGGTTCACATGCACATCCCAAACGGCGTCGCATACCAATAGAAATCGTTGAGCCCCAAGCGGAGCAGGAACATCCGAGTTCCTCTTCATTCGCGATAAATGTAGGACCAGCAGGACCAACTAAAGAAGACGGGCTTATTGAGGCGGTTTTTACTCGCTCGCTGACTCCTCAAGGCAAAGCATCGAAAGCATCGCCCACACCTCCCTCCAACCCCCCTCAAGAAACATCTCCGTCATCCTCGACCTCAAGAAATGGCGTGCCTACCCCAGCCCCTGTACGAGCAGGTGGCGGTATCTTCCGATCTTCCGGAGACCACACCTTATTCGATCCAAATAGACAAAACGGCACCCCCAAACAAACATCGTCTGCTGTCAAAGCCGCTGGAGAGTCTCGCCCGAGCCCAGCACCAACTCGGCCACCTATGACATTATTACAATTCACGAGATCTTGGGAAAACAACAAAGAAGATCGTCAGCGGTGGGAAACACTCAAGGTAGAGCATCCCCGATGCATGATAAACTCGTCAGTTTACAAACTGATCACCACCAACTAGACCGTACCACCTTCGGCAATCCCACAGCTATTCAAGACTTCGTTGGAACCCGCTTTCCTGGTGTCTATCCTACAAATGTTCCTGTCTGTTGCTGGATCTGCTTCGGAAGAGGAGCTCATGGAGATACGCGAGTACATGATTGCTCTTTCGAGAGCTCAACGGTTTAGCACGGTAATGTTGTTATTGAATAAGGAGGAGAAACAGCTGGTGAAGAAAGTTTGGGATAGCCTAGGAAATGTTAAGGATAAGGGTCACTGGAGTGTCGGTTGATGCTCATAACCGTAATAGTTTCAAATGCTCTAGTAACCATGGTCTTGATACACTGGAGCAAACGTTGCGAATGCTCGAGCGCTCGGATCTATGAGTCAACGACATGTTGTAAATTGTTGATGTAACAAGATGTAACACACGTGGAGGCCTCTTTCTATGACTTATGATCACTTCGCAAGATCAAGTACCATCCATGCCACCGATGGATCCACGTACTTATACATACCTGCATCTATAAGTAGTTTGAGGACCATGACGACATGGATCTCGGAGTGATTCTTGTTCAGCGTCGTCGGATCGGCCCGCGCTTCCAACAGCCATGCCTTATACCGGTAATAACCTCCGCCTTATAAATGCTTCTCTAGATTTCGGGACCCTGTCATGAATACCTCCCAGCTCCCGACGACGGACGAACATGAGATCAAGACCCTTAATACATTCAAGGCCAACCTTGCCAAGGATAACTTGTACATCCCCGCACGCGGCGACGCTCCCGCTTCCGCAGATGATATAACCCTCTTGTATGTGCTTGACCTCCTCTGAGTCCACCTAAGCCTTTTTAGGAGAAGATATAGTACTCAAACATTGTCTCAGACGCTTTCTTAGAGCACGCAAGCTAGATCAAGCCGGCGCCCACAAGCAATATGCCGCCGCAGACGCATGGCGACGTAAGCATGACGTCGACAATCTCTTCAAGAACTTCGATACCGACGAGATGGAGAATTCCCGCAAGTTCTATCCACGATGGACTGGAAGAAGAGATAAAGTAGGTCACCAACAGACCCATTGACCCTGTGATGCAAACCTCAGCCTCAGGATGGTCACCCCGTATATGTCTACCGGCTTGCGTCATTGGCCCCTGTGCAAGCAGAGCTCAACTCAGCTTCAGCGGAGCGCCGGTACCAGCGTATGTGCGTCCTGCTCGTGCCTCTCGTCCTTCATCCATCCTCATCTCAGAGTAGCGTTGCACTATATGAAGCAATGACTCATTTCGTGACACCGCTTTGCTCTCATCTCAAGCAACGCCCTATATATTCCACCACGAGCATAATAGATCTTGAGCAGGTTTCCTTGGGTTCTTTATGGTCCTTGAGAAGTCATTTGCAAGAAGCTTCGACGTTAGCCACTGCCAACTATCCTGAGACACTGCATCGGATTGCAGTAGTCAATTCACCATCTTTTTTCCCGACTATTTGGGGTTGGATCAAGGTAGATGATCTGACAGGCTCGTTCTACCAGTGTTCTAATTCGTGATAACACTACTATGGTAGAACTGGTTTGACGAAGGTACACGGAACAAGATCCACGTTCTCGGCAAGGACCCTGGGCCTGTACTTCGAAATCTGATTAATTCGAAGGATTTGCCTAAGGCATACGGGGGCGAGCTCGAGTGGAGATTTGAGGATAACCCCTCACTAGATGACGAGGCCAAAGAAGTTATCACTGAGATGCCCAGAGGTCCCTATATATTCAGAGAAGGCACCGTTCAGAAACCAAATTAAGCATGATGAACGGGGTATATGTTTGCACTGGAGTGGCTAAGAATAATTACAGAGTTGGGTCTAGGTATTATAGATATCGTCCATAACATACTGTCCTTCACAAAAAGCAAAAATAACAATAAGGAAATTGCAACGTGAGCAAGGGTTGAAATGTAATCATTCAAACTCGTCTTCTGGTTCCCTGCTGACGCCATCAGCGTTCCAAACTTCCAGAAACTACGTCGGTGAGTAATGGTAGTTATATATAATAAAAAAGCCTGGCTTACCGTTGTGCGCTGAGCTTCCATGTCCGTGTCACTCATAGCAGTCGTGACGAAAGGGAGCCGGTCCCAAATGATGGCATGTTGATGTCGTCGGACAGCAGGTTTGTCTCCAATGACACTTTTCTTTCCGATGACGAATTTGGAACATTTCCTACACGTAAGCTTAGCAATTAGTTTGAGGAAGTGGTATAGAACTGTTACTCTTCGGAAAGGCCGTAAAGATGCTTAAGGTGCGTTTTCAGAATCATGACCATCCCGATAATGATAGAGCTCCTCATGAGATCAACGTCGACTGTCCGTGCGTTGTTCGCTAAGGGGATATTTTTAGCGGCTGTAAGGTCTATGATTCTAAAGAGCTTACTTTGATCCTGACCTTGCTGAGGGTCCGACACCTCAGAACCCTGAATTTGTTCGATCATCACCATAGGGGCAGAAGTCCCGCGTAGCTGAGCAAGCAGGTTGGAAGGTGAAAGCGCCTCGACGATCTGCATGCCTGTCGTGGACAGAACAGATGTCAAAGACTTGATCACGGTCAAGACCTCCTCTTGAGTCTTGTACTCCAGCGCCGAGAAATTCTCGGCCATGTACCGCGCAAATTCAACGTCATCCTGTGGGAGTGTGTGTAAGTTTTAATAGTCTGTTTATGTATTACCCACCTGAGAAGACTTAAGCGAGCCAGATATGTCGAAAACCTTCAACAGAGCCCTCAACAGGTCCTGTCGAGTGTTTCGCTTTTCCCGAACTAGGGAATACCAACGCTGCAATAGTGCAACAGGGTCGGGTTGCGAACGATAACCTATTGTCGGTGTTAACCTCAGGCGACCCAAAGGAGCTTCATTTAGACCAACCGTGTGGAACGCCAGTAACAATTTTCTTCTGGTAGTCAAATGACCTCCGCGCGCTCACGATATAGCGTGCGTTGAGGAGGGACATATGCTTAGAATGCAAGACTGCGTGCAAGGCATTGGCTCGAGCACATAATTGTGCGGATGGGCTAGTCTCCAGTGCCACAATGTAAGGAAAAGACTGAATCGCGGAAACCGTCAGTATATTGTACAATTGATAAATGTACAATTTGCGGGATAGCTCACTTGAAGGGGGTGAGCCAGGCCCTGCTTGACTGTGAAGGTTAGAATGTCGACGGCCACACTCTGAATTTGATGATTTTGCGAAAGCACAGCCTCTAGGATGTAATCGATATAGCGTTGAACAATAGCAGAGCTGACACTACGAGGCTATTAGTTCAACATCACAAATAATAAGACCATGCATACCCAGAGTCAGCAAAACCATCTGTATTACCAACTAGCTCCTCCATATTGACAGACGAGTTGTTAGTCTTCTTCTGCGCATTCACTATGCAATGATGAGCCCTAATTTATTGGTTTTCAAGCATGGCTGTGCTCACGTTTCTCCTGAGCAGAGTGTTTAGCTGCCTCAGCTGCCAAGAAGTCATGCATAATCTTTAGCAGGCGGCCACGACTATCTTCGTCAGTTGACTGGAAGATGTCGTCCATAATGGTTGCGGAAGAGTCCACTGTCATGAGAGAAGGCTGAGCCCGGAACAAGAAGCCTGAAAAACACAGTGAGTGTGCGTCACGAGTAACCGAAGAGGGTACTTTACCGAGGCATTGCAGAACGCGGCCCTTCAGGCCAGCATTGTTGACCTTGCGATACAAGCGTAAAAGACTATCATAGATATGGAGAACAATAGAACCCTTGAATGTGAATGTAAGTAGCCTGATCAGCATAACATATGGAACGTGATCACCTGCGCCACGGTATCGAGATCCACGGTAAGTGCTGTAATAATTTAGCAGACACTTCTACAAGGTCTGAGCTTACTTACATTGATCTTCCTCGCGAAGGTGGTCGAAATCACAATGCTCTGCCAGCAGGGAGACGATGAAGATGAGAATAGACAAGGATTTTGCTTCCATCTGATTCATCTCTTGGTTCGCCGGACGATTGATGGCTTGCTGCAGTCTCACTGAAAAGACATGAGGCCACAAGTTAGGATATCACCAAGATGAAATACCAACGATTGCAAGATTTAAGTAACCCAACAAGACGAGTGAAGTCGTGAGTCAAGTGTTTGACCACCATACAGATACATGCTACAGCTTCTTGAAGGCCCTTGAAAAACGTTGGCAGCGAGTTCAGCGAGTCAAAATTGAGCTTACCGAGACACCACCCGCGCTGGATGGTTTAAGAATCATTGGCTGCAGAATTAGTTGTAGTTCCTGGCCAAACTTAACGGCAGTTTTGGGCATGTGAGGGATTGAAATTCGGAATATCTTTAGTAGGTAGTCGGAGATTGCCAGCTCCTCTGCCTGTTTGAGAAGTCCATGGATGAATATGGATGAAACACTAGAATTTGTTCGTACCGAAGTTGGGTTTTTGAGATAGGGTAGTAAAGTCGATGCGTTGGCTCCCGACAAGACATGGGGGTATGAGGTGGTAAACAGGTATATGGTTCGTATGCAAGTTTGAATGGTCTGTAAGTCACCATCAGTAATGTTCAATGGCAGAAATACGATACAAACTCACGAAGCCAGGCAGTTCGGTTGCGTCAACTAGTCCATCAATCAAAGTTTCACAAATTTCAGAATAGCTAGAGCGAAGCGAAGCAGTTTCTACGGTATCGTCCCCTTGGGCCATAATCCGATGTAGCATGTCCTCCAAAGGCGATTGGCGATCTTTGAAGTTAGCTGACACTCCCATAATAACCGATACTTTGGAGAGTAAAGGAGCCTTGTCGCCATTTGCACTTCTGGGTTTCGAGTTTGATGAACCTTGTCCGGCACCCTGAAACCAAAGCTCTTCGATGGTTTTAACGGCTAGATCCCTGACAGTTTCGTCCTCGTCAAGCATGCGAAGTACCATCCTAGTTGCAATGTCAATCCGACAACTCAGTGAATCTTCCACAAAGTAATATGCCCTCAGTAGTTTGATCACGCGCTTGCGGACGCCTAGGCCTGTATCCTGTGTGCATGGTTAAACCATATCACAACAGCTGGAGGATACAACAACATACTGCGATCCGCTCTGATATCCTCTTGTAATAGTCGCTAGCGACTTCGGGCGAATCTATCATGTATTTGCCAATCAACTCTACCGCGGCATCGCGCACAGCAGGCGAGCTATCAAGCAAATGACTTTCGATTGCTCGGCGCACATTTGCCTTGCGTCCAATTTAGGATAGTCCACTAATACGAAGAGAGGGGTACGAACCATTGCCAAGACGCTTGGATCACTTGTAACAATCTGGCCCAATGCTCGCAGCGCTTTCGTACGCATGAACACGGGCGGGGCATCAAGCGCAACCAAGATTACGTTGAGTATGGGGTTAAAAGAGCTGCGAAGTCCTTGAATAGTGCCAATTTCTTCTGCTAGCTGATCGATCCTAGCGACCTCCTCCTGTGACCTAGCAGACTATGAGCATCGAAAGAGTACTGAGACGCGTGGAGACGTCCTCACCCGACGTTGAAGACATCGACAGTGTGGTCCGTCCAGACACCCCGCAAAGCGTCTTTCAGTTTTGTGCACAAGACAGTTCGCTTATCCCTAACTGATTCTGGCTCGTCGTTGTCTTCGGCCTCCAAGATGACACACTGGTTCTTGAGCGCTGACGATAGCTCTTGACCCAATGTAGCTGCGGCGAGTTCTCTAGCACTCTAAAAGGGGGTTGAGGTTTAAGCCAATCAGTAAGCAACAAACTTACGTTGCACGCAGGATCATCCGACAACCTCTGACAGAGGTTAGACAGAATGTCCACATGCTTTGACAACAGCCGGTTTAGTTCATCTACGCTATGCTTCGCAACGATCTTGGAGTGGGGAAATTAGCTTAGGAGGTGAGCGATTCCAAAGCTTCTGACGCACCTCGTCCATAGGCTGGAGAGGCCGCTTTTTTCTATCATTTACTTTCAGCGCGCTCGATCGTATCCGTGCTGCAATAACGCCCAGATGATCTAGCGCAATGCTCTTAGCGCCATTAGTATCAGCTTGATTACTCGTCTTGACATCATCCAGCGTAGATATCTGCATGGTACAAAATTGAGTGCGGGTCAGATCCACTGACTACGTGGCATACCATGAATTTGCACAGGATTGTCAGTAAGAGACTAGCGGCAGGCCACTCGGGCCAGAAAAGCACAGAGAGCACGTCAGAAATGAGGCCATCGAGGATGCTGCGATATTCGGCCTCATTGGATGACTTTGTTTGTTTGCCTTTGCCGGACCTAAGAGCAATGAACTATACACTAATAAACATTCACTTGGGCTATACCTCTGCGTTAAGAACAGCACTACGGTCTTTGCAGCATTGGCGGCGGATTCCAGACCCCCACCGTACAATCGGATTTCCTAGGCGCAGTGATAAATAGATGGTGCTTGTGCAGCTGTACAATACCCCTACCTCGTCGTCGAGTTCATCTAATACTGGTTCGGGATGTTTTTCGTGAAAGCTATCGTTTCTTCGCATAGCAACATTACGCTGACGGTCCTTGTGTATTCTCCTAGCAGCAACTCGGACGTCGTGTGCTGACGTCTGAACGAGCTGTAGCAGCAGTGCTGAAACAGTTCGTATTGATCGACCGTCTCGGAGACTGAATATGGAAGTTGCCTCAGAGCACCGAATCAAACTAGCTGTGAGTAAGCTCACCGGAACTGGCTAGTCTTCTTGTTTGAGTCGGAAAGCTTGATGAGAGAAGTCAAGATCTCCTCAATTATCCACGACCGTTGGTCTTCATGTTTAGCAAAGATCTGGTTTTGGATCAAAGTTAGCGCATGCTAAAGTCGACAGGATAGAGGGCTCACACTACGAATCAACGACATCGCTTCCAGTCGCAAACCTCTCATGGCGCTCTTTCCAAGGATCTGGGCGACATTGTTATCCTTGCCCTTGCCTTCATTGTCTGGTAGTGACTCCACGACGAAAAAAGGCCCGATAGCGATATAGACCGTTTGAATGATGATGCTGTCAGACATGACTAAATTTTCACGGGAGATGAGGCTGTCGACACGAGGGAAGATCGCTGAAAGGGCCTGGAACAGTTCACCAAGTTCTCGACGGACCTCCCTAGACGATGGATGCAAGTTCTTCTGCAGAAGCAGCAGCTGAGGTGACGGTGGTGAACTTTGGCCAACGTACTCGAGGAACGCGTATACAACATTTTCAAGCTGGTTTTTGATTGCTCGTAGACACGTCGTGATCAGTTCTTCTGAGTAAAGCTTTGGTAAAGAACTCCGTTAACAAAACGCAATATTTAACAAGAGGAAGGCCACCAACCTGCTTGGTAAGGTCCTCGCCGGATAGGAGTGAAATGCAGCATTCGGCAGCTACTATACTGTCTTTAGCTATCTCAAGCTGTCTAACGACAAAGTTGCCGTCTACCCCGGCAAGTCTCTCGGCGCTGGAGGCTTTTGACTGTGAAGGTTCATCATCCACTTGCATGTCGTCCAGTTTTGGAGTACCTCTGGATCCCTCTCGTTGTGACGCGCTCGGCTTGGCGGCTTTTCTTGTTTTTGGTTTTCGCGGCGAAGTGAGAATTTCGGCATTTAAGGAAGTGAGACCAAAGGGATCAAGATCTTCTCCAGCTTTAACACTGCGCTCCAAGATCTTAAAAAGCCGCGCAAGAACGTTAGTCTCAACATCAGCCAAGCTACCCCATGTCCGAGGAGAGCCTGCTCCGCTAACAAGGCCATCTTTCATTGGACGTCTGAGACGTTTCGTTGGTCGAGCAAGCTGACTTATGTAATTTGTCAGCTTCCGAATGAGTCCAGTCTGGAGATGAGGTTGGTTGCAGTCTGGAGTCAGCGGCGAGAAGAAATTTTTCGGCAGTTCTGATATTTCCGTATCGGCTGGTAACGTATCTTCTGCCTCAAAAATATCCTCAATGAGCGCAGAGAATTTCTCAAGAGGAACTATGGCTGCCAGTTAGTGGCGTATATAACTGAATTTCAAGGGTATCCGTACCTCTTTCATCCCGATCGCCGGTGCGACGTGACGAATTAGGTTTATTACTATGGATGCGAGTCTTTGTAGGGGCTGGATCGTCTTCGACTGAGCCATATCCTCCTAGGTCATCAGGAGACGCCGGCCTCGGGCGTTGCGAAGAGCGCGAAGTAACTAGAGGTGGTCGCGATGGAATTTCCACATAAGCCATGATCTGCCGGGACTTCTGTGGGTGCGAGGCCTTTGGAACCAACGGCTTCTTCGGAGCATCTCTAAGCTGGCCCGACGCCATACGCTTAATGGATGGTGTGTCATGTCCCTCCTCTCGCTTCCGCTTTTGCGGAGAAGTCTGGTTGGACCAAGAAATGAAATTATTTGGCGTATGACGGGCAGGAGGAGGTAGAATGAGACGCTTCGGCGTCTCTGGTCTCACGTGTCCGGTTTTCTGATCTACAGGCGCCAGAATATCAAGTTCGTGTTCCATAGGTCTCTGAACATGGTTTTCCTGCTCTAGCACCTGGAGCCTTGATTGCAGGAAAGTGTCAAAAAATGCAGGTGACTCATCCGCGGTGGGCTTTGCTGGAGAATTGGGTTGCTGGTGCTGGCGATGGTATTCGTGCTGAGGCTGTGATTGTTGATATTGCTGTTGAGACTGTCGTTGTTGTTGTTGCTGCTGCTGCTGTTGCTGCTGTGCTGGAAACCCGAGAGCATGTGCAAGCGAGGAGGAGCTAGAATGCATGGCAGGAGGCGGAGGTGTGGGGTAGGCCGAGGCCGGACTGACGCGATGGAACACAGAACTAACAAATGCGGGAGGCTGGTAGGCTGACATAGTGCCATGCGACTGAGCCCATTGTGACGGTAAAGAATGATGCCCAGGCAGTTGGCTGGTTGAAGATGTGAGTGGAGCAGAAGAAGCTAAGAACTCCATACTCACGAATTTGCGAAACCTGTAGTCAAAACTCCAGCTGTTTGACCCCTGACATTGTCCCAGTACGCGCGATTGTCATTTGGCGTATGACGTGAAGAGAGATAATCCAGTTCGCGATTGTAGTTGGCATAAAGCGAAGACTGTCCAGTCGTGTCTTGGCTCGGGACGATGTAGCTATGGTTCATATATGCGGGTGTCGTAGCAGTGAGCGTAAGATTGCTCAAGTGTCGGGCCACTAAAAGATAGCGCATACATTAGACATTTATAGGTTGTTTATCAGTAGTATTACCATGTGACGATGGTGATGCAGACGCAGTTGGATACACGGCTAGCAAACTGTGGGCTTGGTGAACCGAGTCGGAATCCTGAGGCGCGAAGCGTGTGCCATTCGTGTCTGGAGATCCCTGTGGCCTCGAAGCATATTGATGTTGGGAATATTGTTGAGGATGGTGTTGAGGTGTTCGATGACTGGGGTAGCCCCATTGTGACTGTTGCCCGTTCATGTCATGGAACGTTGAAAGAGAGTTGAGCCCAAAATCAGTGGCACGTTCCTGCGCAGAAGCTCCTCGACCCGACTTGTGAATGAGAGCGCGCCTGGGGCACGCGCGCGGCACGCGTCACACTGGCAATGATTACGCGTGATGTCACGGCGGTAACTCCTGTCACTGAACGGAGCCCGATGCTATTCTTCCGGATTCCACATTGCCACAAAGGGCTGAGTTAGCATCCTCCATCATCGATGCATCCGTGAATCCATGACAGATGATAATTAACCATCATATCAGGAACGTGAACTTTCCGAACAGCAAATCATTGCAGTTAGCCGGACACAAGTTGAAGTAAAGAGAAACCCTAGCGTAGTACTACATAGTGAATTGCAGAGCGCCATATATCAAGTCTTCCTTCTCTTAGGTCCTCTGCCCTCAGCGGCATCGGTTTCCCGCTTCTGCTTCATCCCTGCTGCCCTCATTATCTCCTTCCGCTTCTCCTTGTCCTTCTCTATCCGCTTCTCATCATCCTTCTCGATCTTCTTCCGATGCACCTCTTTCCTCTCCTTCTGCTTCTCCCGTCTTCTTGCGACCTGATCCTTTCGTAGCGCCCGCACCTGCTGCAGAAGTGCGACTGCTTTCTTCTCCTCTGGCTCCATGATGACAGCTCGCTTCTGCATGTACGTCTGCCTTTGCTGCGGTTTCATGAGCTTGGGCTTTGATGCATAGGGTAAATCAGCCTGAAGTTTCTTCGGGACCTTCAGAGGATTGAAGCGGCGCGCAGGCCGGTCGATGAGCTTGTAGTGCGAGTTCACATTTTGAGGTGTTTTAAGTCCTTGCTCCCGGCGGACCTCTCCCGTCAGACGCATGCCTGACCAGTGGCCTTTATCCGAAAGCAGAAGGGAAGTGATGGGATTGTAGAAGGGTCTTGGCTGAATGGAGTACCATGCGCGCAAGAATACGATATCTGTTATCCATTCAGTATGGCTTCTAAACTCTTGCATTATTGTACTAACCACTCATGAGCACTTTGTCTTCAAAGGTCGCACGGAATGCCCCATCTGGTTTCGAGAGGGCCTTTTTCACCTGACCTCTGAGGCCAGATACAGTGCGGATGTTGGCGCCTTCAAACTTAGCAACTTCAAGAGCGCTGTTGAACATGTCTTTGATGAAGGCAGTGTTCTTGTAGATTTTGAAAGGGGTTCCAGTGAGCTTCAACTTCTTGACAATCTTGATGGACTTGTCGATGTCCAAGACAACGCCCGTAGCCGAGATCCTGAAGCCAGATGACTCTCCACTGAGCGAATTGAAGGCACAGAAGCCCGTGTTGGGTAACGAAACAGGGCCATAGAAGGTGGCATAACAATGCATGTGTTCTGGCGTATACTTTAACATTCGCATGCGAATCGAGTGATCGTCGAGAGAATAAATGGGAAGACTCTGGAACCGCCGCCAGCCCAACGAAAAAATCAGTGGATCATTGGTCTTGAGAGTCTTCGTGAACCACCTGTGACGCTTTATGCGAACTTGCAAATATCCGAACTGCTCTTCCGCAGCTAGCAGACCACCAACGAGGATTGGATAGGAGGGGTCAAAGTTCTTGATCATTTCGCAAGGGACATCTTCAAGCTCAATGCGAAGGTACATCCCAGGCCGGTAGCCCTCAATCTGAGCACGAGCCTCTGTTTCGATGCCTTCGAATTCAGCCTTGTTAAGCTGGAGCTGTTTAGCGATCTCGTCCTTCTTCTCGTCATAGAAGTCCATGCCAGAGTTTGAGGGCTCGTCGTACTGTTCGTCAAATTTACGCTTGAGCGCCTCCTTCTTGGCGGCTAAGGCTGCTTCTGGATCTTCTGTTAAGGCAGTCGCGGATGCATTTACGTCAGGCGCCTCCAGATCCACAAAGTCACCCCCTTCCGAATCTTCGTATTCGTTCTTGTCACCATCGTCGTGGTCGCCACCAGAATCGCCAGTGATGAACAGGTGCCGTATAGAGTCAAGAAGCTCTTCGTCCGACCATTGTTTGAGGTCTTCGGGATCAAGATCTTCCTTTGTCTTGTCAGTGTCATCCACGGTTGTCGCTGCACTGCGTAGCTGGAAGAAATCGCCGTCGTCCAGGTCGTCTTCTACCTCACGAGCTTCTGCGGAAGGATTGGTCTCCAACACTTGTCGCGGTGTTAAGGAGCTTGAATATATCAATGAGAACCAATCCTTTCGCCGATTTCTCCGACCCAAATTGAACGTTATTGCTGCTTTGGATGCGAGATTTGTCTTCCAAGCTGGTGCATCTTCGGTGTTGTCTTCTTCACCTTCGCAAACATTGACTTCCTCCACATCCACATCGCTATCCAAATCGTCATCGAAGCCCATATCAGAGTCGCTTTCTGCAAACACGACCTCGCCATTCTCTGCTTCACCAGAAGCGGGACCCATAGGACGAGAGACACGACGTAGGCTGCGACGACCTTCGGTCTCCAATATTGAGACACCAACCTTGGGACCTTTATCACTATCCTCCCCATCCGTATCCATGTCGTCTGAGCCGGCATCGGACCCCATCTCACTGCCGTCGTCTTCGTCACCGCCGAGATCCGATTCTTCTTCATCCCCCGCCTGTTCGTCCATTTCGTCGTCATCGCGGGCCAATACATTCAGAGGAAGCGACGATGAGCCTAACAGACGTATTTGGCTGCGGGCTACTCCCTCTTCTAACGTATTGGCTGCGTCTTGGAGGTCCATTACCATTTGTTCTCCTTCGCCTTGGGGCACTGAAAAGAACCAAGAGTTAGCATGTGCGTATAATGGATTATAGCATTCGTACCGCCATCGGCATCGCGCGAGAAACTACCCGGGACGTTCACGTAGACCGCGTCTTTATCATACGTTACACCGCCTACATCACTCATTGGCGCGTGAATGAGTAACTTCTTCTTTTCGCTCAGCTTCCTTCGCTTTTCTGAGTCCGCATCTGGAAAAGGGCAAGGATCTCCAAGCAACGAAACACTTCTCAGTGACATGTCGCCGACACCAGGAATGTGAACTCTAGAATTCTGCCGAAGGTTCGTCCCACGAAGATACCCGTACAAGGTCACCGTTCGATTGCACATGCCATCAGATGAGCGTATAAGCTCACGAGAGGTCATGTCTTCAATTCGATCGGCCAGCAAATATGGGTGTTGATTGCGGAAAACGAGAGGGCGGAACTTCATGACACTGATGAAGCGGGAGAGGTTGAGAATCTCGGTGTCCGGATAGCGGCCGTTGAGTACACCGGAAAGATAGAACAGTTTAGCACCCTGATAAATCTCCGTCCAGAAACGCTTCTTGAGCGTTTTTTTAGTAGAGCTAAGGGTCGCAGCCTTTTTGATGAGATCGAGGTGGGTCAGGATACCGATGACTTTTGGAAACCCATGAGACTGTAGTATATTCAGAAACTCAAATGTTTCCTTGAAGCAAGCACGAAAGTCAAGAGAATCCCTGGACTAGTGGTTCATATGCGCACCATTTCGAAGCCATACGAACCATCTATCATGAGGAGAACCAAGTCAGCGACCTTGCCAACGTCGATCATCGAATTAAGGTCATTATTGCATTCAACGAAGGTAAGTCTTCGTTTCTTCCCTGCAATGACGGTGATAGGGCCTTTTGCCTCGGATAGTGTTTGCTTAGAATAACGTCTAACCAAGCTTTTCAGCAAAGTCGTTTTGCCAACCCCTGGCGGACCAACAATAGCGACGATGATAGGCGGCGGCTCATCGTCGGGGGTGCGATTTACCAAAGGGACATGAAGACGAGTTTGGTCTCGCTCGGCGTTTCGTCTTCCCTGGCGGTCTGCATTTCTGCCAGACTTTGGGGCAAATGCCTGGAGGAGATTTATTGGTGTTTGGTGAGATGTCAAGGGGTGATCACGAGAAAGCGCACTTTTTCGTTAAACCCTTGCTTCTCTTTCCCTTTGCCCTTTTTCTCTGCCTTTTTGCCCGATTGCGCGGGCCTGTGGGCCTTGTTTGACTGTTCGTCCGCCATAATTTGGCCGTCGGCGTCAGGAGCGAGCTTGCCGGATTCCGCTGAAAAGTTATTGCATGCGACATCTTTCCTGATCGGCAGTAGCATCACGATGCACGTGACAGACGCGCCGCTAGTCCATGTGTTGTGGTTTGGTTACGCGCTTCGGCACTGTCTTGTTTTCTCCGCTCAGCCAACGCTCCCTTCCTTACCCGCTAGCCCTTGTTCTCCCCCTCCCTTTCTGCGTTACAAATGTCCGCTATGCCTCGCCGGACATCATACTCAGAGTTTAGCATTTTGGGCGACGAGCTCGAGAAGAACCGCATTGAGCTTGAGCACAACCTACAGCGAACCGACCTCTCCCTCCACCTCTCATCCCATGATGAACCTACCTACGACTCGATCGAGTACCCTAGACACGTATCCGAACCGTCCCAACAGTTCTCTGGCTTTCCATCCTATGACCACCATTCAAGAGACAGTCACCATGGCTGGTCATACCACAACGATGATGACGGCGTGAACCCGTACGCGGCTGAGACAATGTCTACCTTTGGACATCACGCGAGCGCAGTCACCATTGGGGCTGGTCTTGGTGGTCGAGGATCCCGGCGGGAGATTAGCATTTCTGGAGCGGAATACGACCCAGAACGTCCAGTGCAGGACATGATCGCCGGTTTTAGAAATCAGACTGGCATGGTTGACGCGCAAGAATACACCAAATCCAACATACAGGTTTGAACCCAAACATGGTGCTCAATTTCCTGCGCTAACCTTTCTTTAGATAGCCACTGGCTTTGACCCAAGGGCTGGCGACGTCGCTGATGACGTCGCGCCGTTCAGCCTAGCCAGCCGCTCTGCTGCATCTATCGCCACGCGCCTTCGTTCCCCCGCTCAATCAGAAGCATCGGACAGCGACTCGGACAAATCTCCAGGAAAGTCGCGGCCAAAGCTCTCCCAGACCCTCCAGCGGGTCGGCTTTTCGCCTAAACGTCCCCGAGGCACACAATCTCAGACGAACCAGCCACTTGCCTCTCAATCAAAGCAAGGCCCATCTTCTCACAATCGTAGAAACAAGGAAACTGCTACTCAGCCTCGAACAACTGATGCGTTACCTGAACATCCCATTCCTAGGCACCGTCAACCTGAAGTCATGGTTCAACCACCAACACCATCTGCTACAAACTCGGCGGGGTCAAGATTCACTAACATGGCTAAAGGTTTGGCCAAGGACGTTCGCAGTGAGCATGAGCGATGGCGGTTAGAAGCTGAGCGAGAACTGGCCCAAGCCGCGAAGGACCGTGCACGCTCTATGAAGGACATATCACAAAGAAACATCTGTTTACCTGACGTTACTGGGCTCACCAGCGCAGTCATTTCTCCCGCAAAACATACTCTTGGACGATACGCTATCAAGAATTCAATACGTCACAGAGATTTAGAAGGTAAGGATTCAATCAGCTGTGCTTATTGTGCGTGCTGACCTGGCACAGCCCAACTCGTGCAGTCATTGAACAACCTTCAGTCTAAACTTTCTCATTTGGAGGGTGAGAACGTAGAGGCACGGAAACGAGTACGGGACCTTGAGGACGAGTTAGAGCACTGCAAACGAGACGTTGCTCGAGAACGAGAGCGTGAACGGACCCGGGTGGATCGTCGCAATGCCAGTGCTGGTCCATCTGGACTTGGCAAAGTAAGCAGGCAGCCCATTATTCCAGAAGCTCAAGAAATATCCCGATATGAAGAGGCTCTGGAGGAGAAGCAAGGTATAGTGGGAATATCTCTCGCAGTGCCTTTTTTGAATTTTTATCCTTCAAAGCTTTGGAATCCCTCACTGGTTCTCTGCGCACGCATCTTTCCAGGGTCACTGAAGAACTTGCTTCTCAACGACAGCTCTTGACCGAGCTTCGTGTACTCCGTGATGCCGATGCTCAGGCACTTTTCCAGAAGTCACAGGAAATCGAGGCCCTAAGATCCGAGGTTGAACGGCTGGCGGGAGAAATCGAGGTTCTGAAAGGTGTTGTCGAAGATGGTCTTAATGAGCGCCGCTCGTTCATTGCTACCAAAACACCCGTTGAACAAACGAACAAACTCAACCGCGGTGATCGGAACAAACAACCCATGGTGGAAGATGCTAGTCTCTCGCTCAATGACTATTCGCTACCCCCTCGTCCGGTTGCCCCCGGAAATCGACGCGCTCCAGATGTCACAGCCTCCGAGCTGCATGCAGCCTCCGAGCCTACAACACGTCCTTTTATCGATGCCGAGGAAATGGAGCGCATCTCAGTCGAGCTCTCAGAGCGTCGCTCTGAACGTTCTTCATCCAGCATTGGAAGTCCTACTCAATCACCTCACGCTATATCTCGAGCTGGCTCTCGGGCAGGTTCACGCGCTAGCGTCCGACCGTCGTCACAGTTAGATGCGGAACACGACAGCGACGTTGATGGGATGTCCCTTGAAAATGAGCCGGCTCATCGTCAAGGATCGACTTCTCGTAGCCATACTCATCGCTCGAGTCGCGACACCCAAGAACCAGCTGCGACCACCTCTGCCGTTACTCAGGACCAAAGGCGCGTTTCGCACAAATACTCTAAAGGTCACGACAGGGCTGGTATACACGGCACGAAACACACTCACCATCACCACCACCGGGAGGGCCCCACGGCTTTCCCATCGATACGCGGTGGCCAGGTGGAGCGCCTGTTCTTCTCAGCGCCTGAGCACAACATGAAGACATGCCGTATGTGCCACAGACGACGATCCTCCCGTAAACGCCAAGATACTCCAGCCCACCCGAGGAATGATGATGAGGGCTTCGATGAGGAGACTGACGAGGAAACTGGTGGCCGTTCTTTTGCTCCCGGTCTGGAACCGTCAACATATGAGGAAGTAATGTCGTGCGACGAAATACCTCCGCAGACTGTGTTAACTCGCGTACTGGGGGAGCTCGAAGACGAGTTCTCTCATTACAAGGGGTGAGGACGCCGATTATATCTTCTGGCCTTTTTACTCACCAATTGGTACAGTGTATACATTGAGCTTGCGGATGAGTACAAGGGTATGTCTCCGATGATCAATGTGGCGAGGCGAAACATCGTTGCTCGTCACTTACAAGATGTGATCGACATGATGGAACAAAAGGTACTTGTTTTGCTAAGGTACATGTCACTGAGACTGACGGGCGATACCCAGGGAAACCAAATTGTCTCCTTGAGCGGATTGTTGGAGTTCAAAGATAAGCCCGAGTCCGGGAGGACTTCACAGCATCAACGTGTTCGCTTCTCTCGTATACCCTCGGAGTCCCGGTGACATACAGCTTTTTTTGCGGCCAATTTTTCTTTCTCCTACTAATCTCGACTATCATTGAACTTTTACACAATCCACAGCAAGTCATTTAGTACTACAATGTACCTACTATATTTATGGTTCCTTGCATCATACCGGCATTAGCTTACCTACTTTTGAACTCGCTAAAGTACTACATCCTTGGGAATAACATCCTCAAATTACCGTTAATAAGGAAATTAGTGTCATTTCTGTCCTTGTCAAAAGCACGTCCACCGGCGCTTGAGACCGGCGCTGCCGCCATGTACGGGGATTAGTTGATGTGAATTGGCTTCACCCTCCGCTTACCACGATGTTCAAAACTATTTGCATTAATGTCATCGCGACTGCGACGCGATGTGGATGATTCAGAGATACAGTTCTGGATGGATTCCGCAAACGTTCACAAGCGCCATGTGTCGGCGCCCAGACCCTTCTTCCTGTGCAAGGTGATCTTCTGGCTCGGAGACACTCAATATCAGTAGCACGGCAGATAAAATTTCAACAGCTTCAAGTTTTGAGATCCGTCCGAGATGTTAGCTAGCTGTTATTTGAACAGTCCGTTCCTTTTTCCCCATTGCAGTAACATTACCAAAGTCGCTAACCAGTACTTACTTAGTTCTTAGCTCTAATGCAGGTCCGTAGTGGTTAATGTTTACTCGGAGTGCGAGTGGACTTCGAAGATGTTCTACAACGACTCCTTGAGTTCCCGTCAGACGTATGTTCCATTTCAGAATGTTGATGTGGGATGTCAAAGAAATCCAGGCGGTGACGCCGCTGGCGTGCTATGGGCCGGATGTTATCGTCCGATAGCTAGGTCGAGTTTGCCACCACCTAAGTAGTACGAACGTGAAGACGTAAATAACTTTTTTGTGCGATTCATCTGGAAAGGTGCGGAGACGAAAATATCTTGACCGGGTATGCGCACTAAACATGCACTAAAAAAATCCGTAGTCCAGAACTGGACTGAGTACCGAGTCAGGTTTATCAAGAATGGGTGCACTTGTTCATCACGCCCGTATGTAATGGTGGCCGAGAGGAACTTCCCAGTAATGACAATGACCTTGCATTAAGTGATTGTTGATAACATCGAAGGAAAGCGCCGAGATATGGATGACCAGCGCTGGTACAGTTCAGCTCCCATGATGCATGAGTGGATAAGGGTAGGTGAGTATCTTGTAGCGCTGTCGGAGTGGGGCGACAGCCAGTGCTCGAGAGTCGTGTTGGTAAAACCGAAGCCTTGTACGTCTGTTCAGCCACAGGAACGGATAGACAGGTCCAGTAATCCCGGCGGCACCGGGTATACAAGACCTGTGCCGGTGACAGTCAGACGATCTAAAGCTTAAGATCGGGCAAACAGACCTGGTCAATTCGCAGCAACGGCGTCTTGTCGGCCTTGTCAGTAATTTACCTTGCACAGGTTTCGTTGGGCAAATTTTGTTTTACTCACCTCTGCAATATTGCCAAAAAGTTTTTTGAAAGGCATGAAAGCCAATCCAGACAGCTCAAGGGCTTTGGATCGGAAACCAACGGTCGAATTAAATTTCTAGAAATCATCCAAGCATCAAATGGACATACCTCGACAGCTTCAGGTAAGTCGGTGGAAACTGTGGATTTTTTTCCGACAACGAAACGTCGAGACGATGCCCGTCGCTAATGTTAACGAGCACATGAATATCTAGCATGAAGTGTCCCCAGTGTAGTGTCGTGACAATAATGGTACTATGCGCTGCCCAAACCCAAACGAGCTGTGATGAAAAATGCTCTACTCCTCGATAATGCCATATATACGTTGCATCCAAAAGGGGCCTCAAGTGCGGCTCAGTACAATAGTACAGACATCAAACTTTCTGAAGGCTTACCTACGGGGTCATCCGACTCATGGAACACGGTTGCCCATGATCCAACGACTCCAGCCGTCGAACGGACGCCACCAACTTGAACGCCGTCCACACTAAATATCGTCAGTGTAAATTCACACACAATAAGGCGGACATTCTACCTCCAGACCGGCTGATCTTGGTTACCAGCGCGCTAAAGACGCGATCAGTATGATCGTCTCGTTGAGAACATGAAGTAGACGCACGAAATGGAACCATATCTCATTATCGACGCTGATCTTCACGTATCCCACAATCGTGAAGTTGCCATCTAGTTCGCCGACGTAGTTAATTTGAGGATAGCCAGGGTGTTCTGGATCCTCTTCAATGCCGATGACACGGAAATACACCTCCGCATCATTGTAGGATTCCGCGATCTCGCCCGTCTCCAATAGTGAGGTATCGAGAGGGTCATCCTCAGATAACTACGGTCGAAACGTCAAAGCCTGATCCAGTCTGTCAACATAATTACTTACAGATGGGTCATTGTAGACTTGGGTAACAGGGTCAGAGGGTTATATCTCATCAAACAATATGCGAGCCTACCGAGGAGGTCCTGGTGGTCTATGAAGCAGTATGCCACCCGCCAGAGTCCCTCAACCCCCGCCCAATCGTGCTCCTGCGCAATATTCATCCCATTCGGAATGATGCTCTGACAGAAGTCGAGACTAAGCGGACATGGCTCGATGGAGACGTCCTCAATCTCGGTTGCTTCGCCTGCCTCGTCGGCGCCGACCAAGAAGAGAGCCATGGTGTGTTCAATGGCCCAGAGATGTCGCCAGTTCAGGAGGCCGCTGGAGTCCGTCCTGAACGGTCCCCAGCCATTTCGCTCACGATAATTGCGGAAGCTATACACGAACGCTCGGGAGTCGACCCTTGCACTAGTGTCGCCGTCGCGTTTGGTAAGACCGAGCCAGAAATGGAGCTTATACCGTAGTTGAAGCTCTTCTTCGGCGAGCTCCCACTGCTGGTGTGTCAGGAACTCGCCGTCTCGGAGTAGCTCCTTGAGCCATAGCGTGTTTCGGGAGTGGTGCTCGCTTTCCGCTGAAGGGATTGGAGGTAGGTATGAGACGAAGTCAAGGAGAGTTTGGATGATGATAAGTCGTTCGTCCGGCCTGCATACTGCAACGTTTTTCACGACCGTTCTTGCTCGGACAATTCTCTGCAACTCCTCCCGCCACTTTACTCTTGTACGCGGCTTGCCAAGATAGGAAACAGAGTATCGTGGGTCGTCGAACGCCTGGGCGAGATAACACGCGCGCCAGAAGTGGTCGTCTGTCCCGCCATATACGAGATCGTGGAAGTGGCGAGAGACCTGGGAGGCAACGGCGACATCTAGAGGATCGCAGATGACGAGGATATGTTCGAGGAGCTCGAGCGGGAGATCCGTAATCGCCGTGCCTCCCATTTTAGCTCCTCGGTGCCGGTACGTCAGCTTCAGCGTGAGCGCCACAGCTAGACAACACCTCAGACGGCGAGCTGGAAGGAAGTGTTAGTTGGTTGACGGGTGCAGGAGGGCTGGCCTGCGTCTTAAGAACCTGCTCGCGGCCCAGTGCCTGCGTGATGTGAGACCATGTTTCTCTTCGGCCTACTCAAAAATCTTTTTTACACTGCAGACTCGTGTTGTGGTCATATGGAGTCCGCCGCTGAATTGAGCGTGCTGCATCGCGGCAACTCACATCCGTCTTTAAGCAAGCAACGTCACTTTTTTTTTTCAGTGTCCAGCTCAATCCAGTTCTAAATGGTTACTGGTTAACGCTCAATACGAGAGGGTAAACAAAGCATTGAGATTGCAGAATGAACTAGGCTGAGTGCGTGTATGATGCCGGTGTTGGTAACAATGTGTTCTACCTAATGCTACAAATGCGAAGGCGCGCGATACGTGTAGAAGAGCAGCGAGACGTGCAAGAACAAAGATAACAAGTCAAAAGAAAGCGAAGGACACCTAAAATGAAGAAAATCAAAAGACAGTCCTTGTTTCGTGAATGTCCAAGAGCCTGTCGTGAGTAACGAGTTAATAAGTATAAATGCGAGTATAGAATGGACTAGAGTTGCGTGTGTAGCCAGAATTGCGTGTGTGTGATACTCTGTATTAGCGCGTACCGTGAATGCTTAAGTTGTGTGGTTGTCTTTTATAACGTGTAAATGATCATGATGTGTCCTTTCCCTTCCCAGCGGATATTGCGGGTGTTGATTTTGGTCGTTTACGACCGTCGTCCTCAGCGCCATCTTCGCAAAGCGTTTTCCACTCGTCAATAAGCTGTTGACCAACGGTGGGTTCGAGCTCCGTTCCATCCCTAGAAACCTTGATTTCCCGTTCGTGATTCCAGGGATTCCGAAGGTGCTTGGTTCGAAAGAACGGAAGCTTGTCCGTGCAAAGCCACTCGATCTTGAAGGCTTCGCCCCATCCGCCATCGCGGCCATCGTCTCCAGCTTCCGCTTCGTCCTTGTCCTTTGCCGCATATTCCTCGACCTTCTCTTCGTCTCCGTCGTTGTTCTCTTCCCGAACAGGCTGTAGCGACGGTATCCCAGCTTTCAGGCTTTCCGAGCTGACGCTCTTTTTCCTAAGTGCACGAAGCGGTGCATTCTTATCCAAAATTATTGGCTCTGTAGTAGGCTTCGCGCTGGCAATAGACTTATACCGAGAGATATCGCCGGTGCTGTACTTGAGAGGGATTGTTCCCCCAGACAGCGGCTGTCGCTGAGTATCAAGGACTGCAGGAGCGCTCGAACGCCCGAGAAGGCCAGCCGCAATGGAAGAAGGCCTAGAGTCGGCGCTTGTACGATTCGGGTCCGTCATAGAAGGGGGCGAGACAGGCAAAGGAGATTCCTCTACCATCCGATGCTCGGAAGGGTTGAAGTATGCGACTCGAGAACTACTGGGGGATCCTTGTACGCTTTCCTCCTTCGCTGAGAGCAGTTGCCGTCGGCCGTGCGCCGAGGTGAGCGAAGGGAGTGAAGACGGGGAGGAGTCGGCGCGAGAAGCCCAAGAGACACGGTGCTCTCCATGGAGAATACGTCCTGCCATCCTGTCCAGGCGTTAGTCGGGATCCTTTTGGAGCGTGTAAAACGTACTTGGCGAAGCCATAAAATTCGCCGCTTTTGTTTACACCGAAAATAAGATAAACATCTCTGCTGGTGCGATATGCCTGATCCAAGATTGCTTCGTTATGTTTTTGAGTCGCCCAGAGCCCACGCTCAACGCTCACATCCAAGTCGTACTGAAAAGAACCTTAGTGCAAAGTTTCGTCAACATCATAGCTCGATACTTACCTGAGTCAGGGACTTCAGGATGAAAAACCGTTTCGGGAAATGTCGAGTCAAAACACTGGACGTCGTAGACGCGTACGAACTTCCCGACTGACCCCTGGTGCTCGAAGGATAGATGGATCTCGATGCCTCATCGTCACTCGAAATTGACACAGAAGACATCTTTGGTAAAAGCGCCCCTGAATCGCCAATACTCGAGACACTAGACCTGTAACTTTCGGATTCAGACGAAGGTGCATTATCCATGGGGGTGGTGGCTTGGCGGTGTTGCTCTCTGACCCATCTCATGTGTACCCCCACTCCCCTCTGACCTCCAACACCTGCCCTCAGATCGTCTTCTTTTCTCCGGGCGCGACAAACCAACCGAGGGCAACGACGATCGTTTGGACGTAGTTGCTGGCCGTTATATCGAGTTATAGCACGACTTAAGTGATCTTCGGTATCAAAGTTGACGAAGGCGCAGTTCGAACGTGAGATCAAGAAGATTGACGTCACTCCGTCAGAGGGTGAGCCATTCTCTCCCCGAGGAGACTCTTTGAGGAAACCCCATAGCTCATCATGAGTTGCATCACTCGGGACGTTACCGACCCACATCACCCATTCTGAACGATAAGTTGGTGGATTAGGGTGATAGGCACGGCGCATCATGGGTCGCTCTCGTTCTATAGAAGGCTTCGCTAAACGCTCCAGCGCCCTGCTCGGCGAAACCGGCGTCCCAGGACCCTGGCTATTGGAAGCAGCAGATGACGCCTGACTTTCAACGAAAGCAGATGGAGAGAACGTTGCTGCTCGCCTGGGAGTAGTAGTCTGTACAGGATTGGGAACGGATGGTGCAGAGATCGTCGTAGGTTGTCCCGGTTGTGCATAGTCCCGAACAGTGAGGGGTGGGTAGTTCACGGGATAGGGATGTTGGTACTGCATCGACACTCCCTCGTTGAACTGAGGCACAGGAGAACCTTGAACATACCACCAGTACGGAGGAGAGAAATGCTGGGGTGCGTAAGAGTATGGACTGGAGGGACTTGGATACCGAAGAGCTTGAAACTGATTAGATGGTGTAGAGTAAGAACCCGAAAGGGGCGGTCCAGATGTCTGCTGCTGTGATGCCGGGTGTGGCGTATGCGAGGGAGACGATGGATAGAGGGAGGAGCCGCCACCATACGGAGAATGAGGGACATGTCCAACTTCACTGGCGTGAGACTGGTAAGAGTATAGCGGGCGCATATGTTGAAGCATCGGCTGGTAGCCCACGTGGGGATTTTGTTGGAGGACGTTGGAGTCCATCCCTCCATGTACACCAGGCGTAAATCCATGAGCGTGAGTATATGGATACGACTGGGCATTGGAAATCATGTTCATGGCCGGCTGAGAGGAAATCGTGTACTGTCCAGAATAGCCTGTTTGTTGCCCATATGAAGCGGTTGGATATGGCTGCTGATGGGGACTATTAGGAAATTGTAAGGGCGAAGGCAAGGGCCTCGACGAAGAAGACTGCTCATTTTCTGGAGGCGCGGACAAGGAAGGGTGGTAGGAATGAGCGAAGTTTTGCTGGTGTGGTGGATGAAGAGCAGCGGGCCGACGAGGTGGGTGCTGAGGTAGTTGAGTCTGGTTTGAGCGGCGACTCATGCCTGGCAAGAGAGAAGGATCAGACGCGAACGACGGTGGAGAGGGCCTGTCAGGGTGAAGGGAACCATCCCTGGACATGGAAGAACTGGTAGGCGAAGAACGAAGATCGGGCGACTGTGGTAGAGTTCGCGAAGGAACCAGAGGTAAAGGAGCGAAAGTCGCGAAGGGGTCATATAGCCCTAGAAATAATTTGTAAGTTTAGATCGTTGTGCGCGCGGATGCCGACGGAGACGTTATACCAGACCCGTTACCGTCAGGATAGATTGGATGAGCTGGTAATTAGAGTCAGAAATTCAGAAAATCAGCATGACCAGGAAGGGGGTATATGGAAAAGTCTAAAGAGAGACAGAGAGATCAGAAATGAAAGGACGGGAATAATATATATCCAAGACCACGGCGAGCAGCGAGAGGACGGGAGGATGTTAATCCTCGACCAAACGTTAGGTGAAAAAATGTGCATTGTGTATCTCAGATGCACGTGGACCACAAAAGACATCTTTTACCACGCGTCGCGGAAGCACAAACTGACAACGACAACATACCTTTTTCGGATCCGCGATCTGGCAGCTCTCCCAGACCGATGCCTATCCTCGTTGGTTGGCTCACTGCTGCAAGCGATGCATGGTAAAGCTGCGGCGTCGGCCTTGGGGTATTCTCGCCGGGTGGGTTGACTGGGACTTCGACAACAGCCATTGTTTCCTACGTTGGTATTAGTGGAAGATATGAATACTTTCCTGATTTAAGAAGGCTCGGTAAACTTCTCCAGTGGCTGTCAAGGACGTCGGGAACTTACCACAGGGCAAAGCGTCGTGTTTGGCTTTGGAGTTAGTCTGTCACGCGTCGCGGGTGTTGCGAAACGATGCACGAATGTCCTAGGAGACATAGTTCATTGGCAACCTTTTATTCCTCCCCCACCGACACAAAGGCCGTGAGAAGTATGTCGTCATGCTCCCTCCTATCTCGTCTGCTGGGTCCAAGGTGGGTACCTCTTACTCTATTGTCGGCCTTTCTGAACGCACCTAAACAGGGCGTCGTTACTGGAGAGCGGTACAGTTAACGTGAACCAGACGCCCATCATGATATCTCTTTACATTGGCAACCTTCAGTCAGCAAATTAGGACCACATTCACAAAGGTGTACTTGATCTCTTTTGTTTTAACTTGTCCTCAGCTTGCGATCGAGGATCTTGGATTCCTCTGTGCTTCCTATAAGTGGATAACTTATGGGGCTTTATGCTTTATGGGGAGAACTCCGGAGCCATACTATCGGACATGGTCCACTTTCGATCGCGACGATTCGCAAGCTTTCGCGAAGCTACCTCGAGACTTGCCGAAATGAACCGCGGGCTTGGCGCTTTTTAGGGAGGTGGCGAGTATTCCCAAGGCCATTTGTGGGCACCACCTCAAGAAACACCAACTGGAGCGGCGGCACCACGTTGTTATTTCGTCACCTTCATTTCGCCTTGGGAACTTTTAGGAAACGGTGCAAATCACGCTCATTTGGCTAAGTACCTCCGCACGCTGAAGCGCTGAAATGACTTCATTCTCAGGTCAGACCTGACAAACCCGCACCAAGCTCAGATAGCCTTGATGTCAACTAAGTACGACATCTATCCTGACACCATGTAGTGGAATCCTGCCGTCATGATGCACATCTGTGTTTCGTTTTCGTGACAATGTTGCAGTCTCAGTCACACGTACCGCGATAGTGACTGACTCAAAAGTTTGCGGAACCTTAGCGATAACATTTTTCCGTACATGCATATTATACACGCGCGACAACCGCAATTGATAATTGTGGAGGTGAACGAAATTTCCTGCAATGTCCAGAATTCGTCAGAGCTCTGAAGTGTCATCAGTAATGTTGGATGTTTCAATTCACGTGGTATCGTGACAAGAACTGCGGACCTGTGTTCTTCAGTATCAGATACGGTGCTCCAGCACGCTCCACCATAACCTAGTACCGGCGCCGGTTACGTTGGTCGCGTGTTCGACGGAACCGTTCACAAGATTTGGGGGATGCGCGTGCAAAATATGTCCTTGGTATAGGAAGAATAGCATGGGAGGATCGTCAATCGCTCGAGAGGGAAGGCCGGCCTCAGGCCTCAGGAATAGCCGCCTAAATTAGCCTGGTCCGCCGGGCCTATTATGGGGGTAGGGGCGACATTGTAGGGCCCGAATGTGCTGCCATTGACATGTACGATATATGTACGTACGGAGTCCTGATTTATGCTTACACCGTAAGAAGGGGCGCTTGTGTCGGTGATCAGCGCATCGTTAACCTCAGCGGTACTTGGTCTTCATGAACGTCAGCGCGCTAAACGAGCAATAAGCGCCCGTCGTCGCCCGCATCGAGAAACTCAAGCGTGCGGCCATCTCTAGGTGAAGTAAAGTTCATGAAGGTGGCCTTTGGCTTGCACATAGTTGCAACTGCTGCGATGGTCTGTCTTGGACATTGATGGGTAAACGGCATGTGTTCACTGCGCAGGGTCCCGCTTCAGCGTTGAGTTGCATTTGGAAGGGTAATACATCATCTTGCCTTGGTGGATCTCTGAGAAGGTTGGAAAAATAGCAGCACGATTGGACGATGTGTTTCCTGTACCTGTCGGGATCATTTGATGCCCCTGGCCTCTCTAACTTGGCCCGTGTGCAACATAACACCGAACGTTTGAGGTGGGAAGGTAGACGCACGGTCCAAACATCTCCGTCCTCATTGGCAAGGAATCGTGCCGGTGAGCTCAGTGATGGTCAAGGGTAATTTGGGCATGAAAGGGTGTGGTGCTGCCAGGCCGTTGTGGGCTTGCTACCATGCCTCGTCGACGTGGTGACCAGACGAGGTGTTTATATTCCCACGGTGGTTCCTCCTCTCCATCAGCGCAAGCTGGTGCAGCACATTCTCTGTGATCATCGCCTGGTGAGCCCACTCTCTGGTCCTCTGGCACTTGTCATATCTTACGAAGTATACGACCTACTCAACATTTCAGACTTGGCGGGGTCGATGGTTAGTCGTGTAAGCTGTAATGCCGCCTCGTCTGAATCATTCCACTTCCTCGAAGCGTCCTTTGTCTGCCATTTACCTCGGGCCTCAGCCCCCTTCCGGCTCGCAACCTCCTGATCTTCCTGAACCTCCGGAGAGTCCCAGCTCAGCGTCTTCCGCCTCGGGTCTACCTTCTCCACCGGCAACTAACTCGACGGGGAGCGGTTCTGTGGGCGACAACAGCACGAGTGCAGGAAGCGTCCGACAGCGGCCTGCTTCCACCTCGCAGATCAACATGCAGGCTAGAAGTTTCGACAAGTACGAAGGCAGAGATGGGGCTCGCCATGATGTTGACGATGACGATGACGATGACCACAACGGGGAAGATGAGACGGCTCGCTACGATCTCCGCCTATCTCTGGCTGGTAAGGGTGGTGATACTTCGGACTTGCAGAGGGTTAAAAGCTTGACGCAGAGGAATCGTCTGGTGAGTCAACTTTGATGTCCTAATCCCCTGCATCTCATTTCATCGTTTGTACACACCATTTCTCGATCGCATTCACTGTCTCATTCTGCAAAACCATGACTTCCTCCTCGGCGCATATATGCGAATTGTTCTTCAAATATCGAATGAGAATGCAGGCCATGGACAGATTGTCAACTTTTTCTCGCCTAAGCTCGCCATCACCGTCTCCATCAGGCCGTAGCTCAAGGTCCCCTCTACCTCCTCACAAACCATCAACTGCGCCCTCCGGGGTTTCCTCTCGTGTTCCATCCCATTCTCATAACTTGTCCCTGTCATCCCAGCACAGCTCGCAAACTCATTCTGGGTCAGAAACAGAACGAGAGCCCCCGCAAGTTTCCGGTCAAGGAGATTCCTATTCTTATGGCTCATCATCCCCAGAGCCAGAACTTCCTGCCCTGTCCAGAATTCGTGCCAACAGTCATGCAGCCCGCGAACGGAGAATATCAGCTCCCGCATCTCCCGGGAAAGCACTTGCATCAGCACGGCAACCCTCTCCAGGACCCTCCCGTACACCTCGGAAAAGAGTGTCTGTGGCCAGCGCGCTGTCGTCGCCTCCCGAGGAGAGATTTCGCCCACCCAGTAGCATAGCAAATGCAGCGCTGGCCGCTGTGGCTTCTTCTCGACGGAGTCCGACCTCAAGTGCATCACTCGGTAGGCGGTCGCGACAACCTTTACCCCAAGAATTCCGCAGAAACGATCAGGAGAGCCCAGAGGATGCGGTAAGTCGATTGCAATCATCTCTTCGCCATTGTTGAACTGTATTCTGCAGGGATCCGCCCCTGTCACGCCGTATCGAAGTCCACGTCGGGAGAGAAATGCTTCAGGGAGCTTCACTGACCCTCGGGATCAGAAGTCTTACGCAGACCCACAGTACTCTCCTCGTAGTACTCGGTTGAACCGCTCATCTACGATCCGTGAAGTAGCTCGTCAACCTCAGTCAAGGTGGGAGGACATGTCACCTGGAGACGCAAGTCAAGCAACCGACGTGGACGAAAGTCCTGCGGGCCGCCGGCAGTCGATGAGAGGTGGAAGCATGGAGAGTCCGCTGAATGCAGGAAGGCTTGCCAGTGCTGGGCTACGAGCTGCAGGGATTGGGATGCGTAGCGATCAGCCCAACCAGGACGTGTTTGGTCAAGCAAATGACCCAAATGGTGGCGTTCGACGGGCGCAGTCAGCCGCAGTCAAAAATAGCCCCAACAGGTCGCTGGAGTGGGAGGCAGACACTCGAAATGCTAAGGACGAGCGAAGTCGAGCGGCAGCAGTGTCGTCAGGGTCTCGCGAAAATGTTACTCCTTCCGATGGGGGCAGATCCGCTGGCAAGTTGCCTCGGCCCCCCACATCCATGGGAGGTCTCTACCCGGCGGTTGACGAAAGCGCTCAAAAGTCTCCGCTATCTCTTCACAGAAGGTTGGCAGACCGGGCCAGCGTCGGAGGTTCCCCGAGCATCCGCTCCATATCTCTCTCATCAACACATTCAGGGGCAGATACGCCGCCTCCAGAACGTACACGCCATGGCATCCTCACCCGCCGACATACCACCCTGACTCCTTCCAACGGCCCTCCCTCGGCAAAGGCTGAACATGCGCAAATATTACTGAACTCATTGTCCATGTTTGAGTCGATTCTTTCGCGCCTGCCCCAAGTGGACTCGGAGGCGGTTCCAGAACTTCGCCGTGACGCTCAAACCATTGTACATGCTTCTGAGCAGCTCAATCATCTCCTACGAGCAGGCAATTCTCGCGCTCTAGAAGAGCAAATAGCAGCTGAAGTCGATGGCGAACAAGCGTACGGGGCTGAAACTGGTGAGGTCTGGAGGAGGGTAGGGGGTGAATACCGCGAGTGCCTACGATGGAGCGACGAACTTGTGCGGTCGACGACAAACTTTCTTTTGGGCGCCGGGAAGCTCCTCAAGGAGAGCGCAGGAAACGAGTTTGGCCATTCCCGAACTGTCAGCTTGGACGAAGAATTTGTGCGCATTCGTACTCCGGAGGGCTCTCAAACTGGCCGAAGAAGCGAAGATGGTAGATCAAGTTCATTGTCTAGACGTAGCTGGGAACCAAACGCGCTACGTCGGGATAGTTTGGCAAGACGATCTCTACAATCTGACACCGACCATGGTCACCGACCGGTTTCCTCCCGTGACGAGGAACCCGAACAAGACACCAACTTGTCAAAACGGAGTTCCGTGCTTTCGTTGGCTTCCCGCCGATTGTTCTCGCCACGTGAACAACGTCAACAGCTAAGCGCCGAGTCTCCGCGAGCAAGCTTTTCCGATATCGCCCCTGACCGTGATCAAGATTATTCTCCATCCGCATCTCGCCATCCTCCTGACCGACCTCGACATGCACTAGCGATCCCCCCTCCTTTATCCACCCTTCCTTCTGAATCCATAATTGCTAAAATCGACCATGAAAAACCTTCTCGTCGGAAAACCTCGGTTGCATCCGTTTCCACCATCCGCGCTAATACACCAACCTTCCCCCTTTCTACCAACAACCCCACCACTGCCGTCACTCCCCACACAGTGTCAAATTCACCGGAAGCACAGCCCTTTCCACTCGCTCACGATGATTCGCCCGAATCCACACGGTCGCACGTCACCTTCTCTCGTCCCGCAGGCGTGACTGCCATGAGCGGCTTGCAGCAACACAGTCGCAAGCGCAATATTTCAACTACATCGATTGATGAAACCGACGACAGCCCTCTCCTTTCGGCGCGGTCTCAGCCCGCTACCACGGACGCAGGACGAGACAATCGTCGGCGGACTGTTGGTGTGCGTGCCTCTCGAGCCTCTCTTGACGGAGGGACCACCGGTATATCCCCCTCACAATCACATACATACAACCAAAGACGAGAGCGACGCCGACCAATAGCTGAAGTCTTCGCTTCATAGACTGGGACCTGCTGTACACATTACTTGTCCTTCGAGGTGAGGGCTCTTCTTTCCCTCTCACAAGTGCTACCGCTAATCCGATGTCCAGCATACCCGATGTGTGTAAACGATATTTAGCATTGTCATCATTACCTATGCACACTCCATCCTCCTCCCCATGCCATCACTGTCTCTCCTTAACTCTATTTTTTTTTGGCCATCTTGTCTTTTTCTTGATCTCTTGACCGGCCCTGCACATAACTTACTTAGTGTGCCATCACCGTCCTTGCCGTTTTTATTTGCAGTCACATAGTCCGTTTCTGCCACTGTCACTCTTTTTAATTTCTTAATCTCTCTCTCCTCTTTATTCTTGTCGTGTTGTATCCCAGGGGTTGTCGAGTCGCACGTAGTTTATGCCTGAGCTCAGAACCATGCACGCATATGAAAGCCCTACTCTCTGTCAAAAAGCATCATGGGTACATACTTGTTGCCTAGTATTATAGAGCTTCATAATCGCATGTTATATATTTTGCATTCACCATCCATTGAGCACCGCGGTCCGTCCGAATTCATAATGGATGAACTTCGACTCGAAGCGCTATTGGAGACTTTTTAGGGGTGCGAACTAGTCGAAATCATCCATTTCGTAACTTGGAACCGATGCACGGAAAGAAATTGGGAGTGTGAATATTTGTGCTGCAGTTGTTGGTGCAGGTTGGTGCAGGTTGGTGCCCATTATATTTACGTCAAGGGGTTTAGGAGCAAATCTCTCCGTCCGCTGCACCGCGCAAATCCTTGAGTTCACCTGCTTTCTCAAAGTTTCTCTCACACCCTTGAGATGTTCATCCCATAGGGGCCACACAGGGCCACACCAATATGTCGACCTCGGCTCGGACGATCGGAACGTTCACAGAAGCTGCAAAGCGGGCGAGGACCGCTCCATCCGGCTCCGTCGGGATGCACTAGATTGCGTCACATTCCTCCATGATGTCGGTTATGTTGAGAAAGTGGGGTTGGCCTCTGCCGAGGGCGTTGCCCACCAGGTCGGCGTCGCTTATCCCGCTGGCCAGATCGCCAAACGGGCCTTGGAGCTCCTTGGAGGCTGGGGCTTTGTTGGAGATCATGGTTTGAACTGGCCGCACGCCTATCGCCAGCCAAGCGGGGTCACAGGGTTGTCACAACCGGAGCACGCTTGTACTTACACTGTACCCGCTGTCACCCTCACCAGCAAGGGAATCCACGAGCGAGGTTCTTGCGGTGAATCACGCCCTCCATGTGAAATCTATCTCAATATCACTAGCATATTTCTCAAACCTCTTCATCAAGGCTAACGACAGGGGACGACTGAGAGGCTAATCGCAACATTGGGCTCAGCCGAGGTTGTTGTCAGGGCGTGTTGCATATGGAGCGCTGATGATAATGAAGACCAGCAACGAGGTTGACGTCGCGTGCGGGAGCATTGTGATCACAGGCGCGCCCCCACGTTGCTAGCTTTCCATGATATGGTGGGCAGACTCGGATATTATTACCAAGGTCTCGATAGCAACCCTTGTTCTCTTCTTTTCGCCTCCCCGGTAGACTCCCTCTTTCTCATTGTCTGGTGTTCTCACTGCAAGAGACGACGACGTAGACGTCCAGGCGCTCTCCTGCTCGTTAGAACGTCCCTCCTTTGCCCATCCAGGCAAACCACATTCATTTGTATCGACACTCTTTTTCTCCAGGCTTAAAGGCCTCAGAAGCTCTTTGTTGTAACAACGAGGTCACACCCCTCTGGATTTTGTATTCTCAACTGTTCAGACTGTAATCTCTCACCATGCAGCGCATCTCGAGGCATAACCGCGTCAAACGCGACTTTGGAAAGCGCTATCCCGGCCTCCTCGACGTTCCTCTCGTCAATGGTCTCACTTCGGCAGTCGGTTCGGACGTCCCAGCCGTCAGCCAACTCGCGACGGATCTCTCTCCTGTTCTGAACCCTTTGATTGGAGATAGCTCTACTCCAGCTCCGGCCCCGACTTCTAGTGGGGGTAGCTCTGGCGGCGGCAGCGGTGGAAATGGTAGCGGGAGCGACGGTGGAGGAAGTAGTGGCGGTGATGGTGGAGGAACTAGCAGTGGTAACGGTGAAGGAAATGGCGGCGGCGGTGGTGGCAACGGTAGTGGAGGCAGTACATCATCGGGTGGGGACGGAAATGGAGGCGGAAGTACCAGCGGTGATGGCTCTGGCAGCACCTCGCCCGCTGGAGGGAGTGGCAGCGGCAGTGGCGGAGCCGGTGGTAGTGGAAGCAGCAGTGCTAGCGCTGGTGGAGGCGGCGGCAACAGCAGCTCTCCCGCATCGGTATCCGTCACTAGTGATAATGGCACCTCTCCTGCCACGCAGACAGCCACCCCGTCAAGCTCTGGAAATGGCAATGGTGGTGGTTCAAGCTCCAGTGCCGTGCCAGCTCCTGCTAACGCAGGAGGTGCTCTTCCATCGAGCACCTCAAACACTGCTACCGTTGGCGGAGCTTCTCCTCAAGCATCTTCGATCCCGGTTGGTGCGACCACTGCCCCTGTTGGCGGAAACACTGCGACGTCCACCCTCATTGGCGGGTTTTCCACCGACCCCGCCGGGTCAACCCCATCATCGGGCGTGTCACCGATCCCTGAAGTCGCCGCCGCTAGCAAAGGTCTCTCCTCCGGCGCAATTGCAGGCATTGTTGTCGTCTGCATCCTCGCTGCCCTCGCCGCTCTCATCTTGTGCTTCCGCCGCCGTGCTATTGCTCGTCGCAGTGAACGTCGTAACAGATGGTGGCAAACTGGATACAACAACAACTCTTCTGGCAGCTTCTCCTTTGTACCAGGCAGTCATCGCAACTCTGCTGAACACAATGAGAATGTTGGTGGCAGAGCTTCCGCTCGCAGCAGCTTTGCTACCAACTTCGACCAGGGTATCATGTTCCACGTCCAAAGCCCCAGTGGCACTCACCCAGTTGTCCCCCCTGCCATGCCACCGATGGCTCAAATTGGCGAACGTAACTCTGTTCTAGTGCCTTCTGCCAGCGCCGCCGCCCGTAGGCAGTCGATGAATAGCATGACAAGCAACGGAAGCGATGAGGGCCAATACCTCGTCGCCTACGACCCGAACGACCAGGTACCCACCACGCCCATGTCCGTCCGCCCATTCTCCCCGACGGAGTCCTTCGCTTTCCCGAAGCCCCCCTCCGCCGGCGGTAAGAGCCGCCCCGTCTCCCCTTCCAGCTCTGGCTCGACCTTCATCACCGCCAATGCCGCCGTTTCCTATCCGCAGTCTCCTGCCTCGACCTTCATCCCCGGCCAACAGACTATGAACAAATACCCTGTGGCACCCGCTGCCTCCCTTGGCACCAAGTCTGTTTCCGGGAAGACCTCGCCGACTCCCTCGTTCGAAACCGCTGAGAATCCTTTCGAGGACCATGTTGAGAAGCCCGAGTTCCAGCCCATCGAGACCATCCGCCGCCCGTTCACGCCCTCGATGGAAGACGAGCTCACCGTCAAGCCAGGCGACACCGTCCGCATCATCAAGGTCTTCGATGACGGCTGGACGTTCGTCGAGAAGTTGGGAGCGAACCCAGCTGAGCGCAGCGAGCGCGAGCGCGGCCTTATCCCTGTTGACTGCCTGCGCGAGGCTGGTCAACCCCTCCCCACTTTCATTTCCGAGAAGCGCGTCAGCAGCTACGCTGGGGCTAACTTTGAGGGCCCCAACTACGAAGAGTTGCTTGCTCAGATCATGTCTGGCAACAACGCGCATGCGGCTTAAGTGATCCAGATTGAGGTAATCACCAATCTTTTTCTTTCTTTCTGTGATACAGTACTGAATTTGACGTCACTAGAAGAATACATGTGCCACTCCCTTATACAAGCTAATCCCGCTCATCGATCCGAATATTTCATCTCACTCTTTGGAAGGCCTGGAAGGAACAAAATACCAATATCTGGACTCGCGATATCCGGTCACCTCGTCGACAACAATATCCACGGGGTGTTTCCTCGGCGTACCTTTATTCTCTTCATATATGCTGTTCTGCTCTGCACATACCCTTTATTTCGTGGAGATTCCAGAACCGCATGCCGATACCGATTTGTTTGTTTGTTTTATCACTGCTTCATATATTTTTGGTTTTTTGGCATTTCTTGCTGTTCATAGTGTAATACCATCATTCTTTGTACCTTCGCGGTGGTATAGTAGTGGGTTTGCTGGCGGACCTAGCATGCCAGCACCGTACACTTTGTTGATTAATCAATCACTTTTTCTACTTCCATCGTAAGGCGATCAAGCGCACGGTTCGAATTCAAGGAAAGTGGTGAAATCATTTTATACAAGTGCTGTTCTACACCCAAAAAGCCCTCAGTGTTTCAGTACGTCCCATCTCCAAATATCAAACCCAGCTGGCTATCGATGAAGTCGCACTGCGCAACATGATACGGCTGCAGCGTCTCGGTCGTGTTAAGCACAAGCTCATTGTCGCCGGTGTACGGCGGCCACTCAACAAGAGCGCCCTCGTAGTTCGGGTTTCCATCCCACGCGAGTGATGTCCAGCGTTTTATCACCTCCTGAGTCGTCCACACCTGCTGCTCCGTCAGCGGCTGATACACATTGTCCGTCTCCGCCGTGCCGAACACCCAGTAGAGCTCGTCGGCGTGGCACACCTGCCCCGGGCACGTCGCCGGGTTAGCGGTCATCGGGTTGCCGAGGCCTACGCCGAAGAGGATCTTGTACGCGTTCCCTGGGTTCGTCGTGTTCGTCTCGAGGGAGGCGAGGTATGTCGACGGGCAATGCACGTAGTAGTCCGTCATCAGTTGCCCGAGCGTGAGCACCGTGCCCGAGATGTTGTGGCTCGAAGTGGCCGTCTCATACGGGTATAGTGTTGTCTGATTGAGGATTAAGTCGATGGCCGTGCTGTTGAAGTACATTGGGAGGTACTCCGCGTACGCCGAGGGCGGAGAGTCGGGGGAGAGAGAAGTGGGGAGGAAGTAACAATACTCGCATTGATTGGTGGCCCATATGGTTGGGACACGTGAGTAGTCACTGTCGAGAATGCTGTCTTTAATAACATTTAGGACGTAATCTCCGTCAACCGTTATCGACCAGGCGAGGTTCAAGTTGTATGACGCCATGACAATGTCCCCTGCAGACGTGTTGCGTACACACGACACCGCTTCTTCTGTCAAAGTTGTTGAAGAGTTTGATGCGCATCCCAGATACCTAGCGAGGCCGAGAGACTGGTTCAACGCAAGCTCGGGTGAGAAGAACGGGTTGCTTGTTCCAAAGTCAGACTCAAGGATGGCTGCACCTGGAAGACATCATCAGACGCAGTATCTAATGGTGTATGTCCAAACTTACTAAACAAGCCTTGCGTGTAGGCTGGATTCGTCCCCAGAAGATATCTTGTCATAGTTCCACCTGCAGATTCTCCATAGATGAGAACTCGCGTGGGCTTGGGGTACAGTCAGCAGGAGCTTGTAGTTTGGATCCAAGTAGACGTACATCACCGCCAAAGGCCTCGATGTTGTCTTGTACCCAGTGCAACGCAAGCAAAGCATCCTTCAAAGCCGCGTTGGACGCGTTGAACCACCCCAGAGCACTCAAACGGTAGTTGATCGTCACAACTACAACCCCGCCGTAGGAGGCCAAATTCGTTCCATCGTAGACATTGGACGTCGAGTTCCCAACGTAGCCTAGTTCACTCGTCTCATTGAAAGGGAACGGACCCGAGTCTCCGGTGTTCAGACCACCCCCGTGGACTCGAATGTATATTAGTCAATAAATATATGCAGCAAGTGACGGAGACTTACTGAAGAACATGACAGGCATTTTCGGGGCCGTGTCGTCGTGGCCCTCGTTAGACGCTACTACAGGCGAGTACACGTTCAACTGTAAGCAGTCTTCATATCCGTACAAAGTGTGGCCATTGTCTGCATCAGGCGGCTATGTCTATTCATCAGCATGATCCAGCGCGCTAGGCCGCGAAGCGTCGCATACCTGAGCACAGCGCTCTAAATATTGAGTAGCATCTCGAGTCGTATTTGCAGACACGTTGAGGGGAGTGGGAGGTAAGAACCTGGCATCCCCCGAAGGATCTTCAGCGTATTTGATACCTAGGAAGCGCCAAACGAATTTGTCTCGGAAGCCTCTGAGAATCCCGGCCGTATTGGTAGACACCTCGATCTGACGCGTCGTATCATAACTTGTGACATTTGAACGTGTCAATGGGGCAGAGTTTGTGCATAGAGCTGGTAAGCTCTGATTCGGGGTCAAAGTCGAACCAGTTTCAGACTCGGACGAGCTCAGGGAGAAGACAGCACATCCGTCTGATGAACAGAAAGTAAATTGGATGTCCAGAGGTTTGAAACTGACTGACCGACTGACCGCTTCCAGCAATCCACAAGTTTTCGGAGCTTCCCAGCGCAGCTCCGTGTCTATCAGATATCAGAGTGGAGGTCAGGTTTGCGGTCGTCAACCCGGCTGTACTGTTTGGAGCGGGAAGTAGTGATTCCATGAGCCCAGAACAAGCCGACTGCGCCTCAGCACAAGTCAATGCTCCATTCAGAAGCAACGCGCTGGCGCGATTTGGATTTGAGGGATTCAAATCATTGTTCGACACGATGACAACGTCGTAGCCGAGTGACTGGGAAAGGACAACTGGGGCAAGCACCCCAAGCACCGACGCGCCGAGCCAAATCCGAGAGAGTGGGCTAATGTCAAGCATGGTAGGACCAAGGAGCACAAGTCTATGCGCATCGAACGGTTCTTATAGACAGACGTAAGGGTTCAGGAGAAAGTGACTTCATGAACGCGCTTCTTGCAGCGGAGTCATGAGGGCGAAGTAGGAAGAGGCTCCCCGGCGTCATCTGCTCCAGCGTTCGCGTCCTTGGCCATAGAAACTCCATTTTAAAGCCTCCTGACTGCATCAGATGGTGCACTTTGGTTATTTTCATGCATCGAGGGAACCAAGAACGAGTAGAGGGAACGGGCGCGGGACTCCATACTGTGGAAAGCATTCAGTTTGCCCTTTCTCTTCCACAGTCAAATCCTCGGCCAAATCAGGCACGTGTTCGCTCAAAAGTAGGCGGCCAATCACTTTCGGAGGAATGCTTTGTCTCCGTCTAGAAATTTGGAAGCACATATGTTTAACTGGCACGCGGCAGAAATGATCTGCATTTGTGATTACATCGGGAGAAAGGGGAGAACCATACCCAGGTCATTTAGTTATTACAACACATGATAGAGCTTGCCTCGACGTGACCCGAGTTACAAAATAACCACCCTCATAGACCTTTCTCGAAGCTGAATCCCACCTCGTTTGTGAAAAAATCGCACTGCCCCACGTGGTACGGCTGCACGGTATTTGTTGCATTGATTACGAGTTCGTTATCGCCAGTGTACGGAGCCCATTGAATCGACGCGCCGACGTAGTTAGGGTTGCCAGTCCGGGCGAAGTTAGTCCACCGACTCATAACGTCGCGGGCTGTCGACAGCTGCACATCCGAGAATGGCTGATAAAGCCCATCCGTCTCTGCTGTCCCGAAAACCCAGTATAGCTCGTCCGCGTGACACACCTGACCAGGACACAGCTCGGTGTTGGGAGTAAGTGGAGAGCTCAGGCCTGTGGCAAAGACCGCCTTGTACGATGGTATTGGGTCGGTAACATTTGCCTCCAGGGAAGCGAGATACGCCATAGGGCAGTGTAAATCAAAGTCCGTGAGGATGCGCCCAACAGTTAAAACAGATCCAGATATGCCGTCTTCCGGAGGAGCAGTACTGTAGGGGAAAAGTGCTGTATCGTTCGTGATAGCCTGGACGACGGTTTGGTTGAAGAAAGCTCCGAGTTGCTGCGAGAACATTGCCACGCTGGAGTTTGCCGCGAAGGGGAGGAAATAGCAACCCTCGCACTCGTTCGACGCCCAGACTGTTGGCACTCGAGCCCACTGTCCTTCTTTCACGCTCGACGGAAAGTCTGTAAGAACGTAATCTCCATCAACGGTAACCATCCATGTGATACTCAAATCGAGGGAAGCCAAGGCAATGTCCGCTGCACTCTTGTTCTGAACACACGCAACGTCTGATGCAGACAGTGCCATTGACGTGTTGGAAGCGCACCCGAGACTTGTTGCGAGCGTCAATGATGTGTTCAGCGCAAGAACAGACGACTCAAAGACAGAGCCGATAGGTAGATCGGATTCCAAAATGGCACCACCTTGAAAAGGAGTCGTCAGGACCACCGTTAGTTGACAAAAGTGGAGGACACCTACTAAACAACCCTGATGTGTACTTGGGGTTGGTCCCAAGCAAGAAACGGACCATGATTGCTCCCGCCGACTCGCCAAAAATGGTCACCTTTGTTGACTTCCTTTACGAGTCAGAGGCTTCAACCAGACATTGGAAATGAACTTACATCGCCGCCAAATACCCCAATGTTATCTTGGACCCATTGTAGGGCCAAAAGGGAATCCTTTAGTGCCGCGTTGGATGCATTGAACCACCCAAAGGCCGTTAGACGATAATTGATAGTTACAAGGACAACACCGCCATAGGAGACGAGGTTTGTTCCATCGTAGACGTTCGATATAGAGTTGCCGACAAAGCCGTTCGACGTCATATTGTATGAAAATGGGCCACTATCGCCAGTGTTGAGAGCACCACCATGAACTGTACGACTGCTGAGAAGGGTCAAATTTCTATTTTGTCGAAAACCTTACTGAAAACCATCACAGGTAGCTTGTGTTCACTATCGGCATTTCCGTTAAATGACACCAACGGTGTATATATATTTAGTTGAAGGCAGTCTTCACTCGTATGAACGACGTGACCGTTATCTGCATCCGGAGCCTACATTCGTCAGTAAAGTCCGTCTATAAATAATAAATATTCCACCTGAGCGCAGTAGGGACCATACTCAAGGGCACTCCTGGTTGTGTTTGGTGCGACTTTTAGGGCGGTCGGAACTTGGAAGCGAGCATCGCCTGTTGTAGGTTCAGCAAACTTGATACCCAAAAAACGCCAGGAGAATTTATCGCGAAACCCTTGCAGAATTCCGGCGTTGCTTGTGGAGACCTGTATCTGGCGTGATGTATCGTAGGAAGTCACATTGGATCGTGCCAAAGGAGCGGAATTGGTGCATAGGGCTGAGAGTCGGTCGTCGTTTTCTTGCGATGGTTTGGGTTGAGCCACCAGCCGTTGTTGTGAGTCCAGCGAGAACACGTCGCATGTAGCTTGTAGAGGGAGAGCTGAGATCAACATCCCCCGTGGGAGTAAAGGTTTGTAAGGTACGCACAATTACCAGCTACCCAAATATTCTGAGATCGGTCAAGCGCCGCTCCATGTTTGTCCGAGGTTAGAGCTTGTACCAGTTCGCCTGCCGAGAACCCAGTGTTGTTAGGCGGTGGTAACAAGGACTCTTGAAGCAGGTCGCATGCATGTTGCGCTTCCGCGCATGTCAAGGCACCAGCCAGAAGCAATGCACTACCACGATTGGGGTTAGTCGAGTTAAGATCGTTGTTTGAGACGATGAGAACATCATAGGCAAAAGACTGAGTAGCAGTTGTGAGGGCAACTATGCCCGTGAACAAAGCCGAGAGAGAACGTCCTACTCGCATGTCTTGCTCAGAGAGCCCCAACGTATTAAGTCACAAAAAGCCCAAAGCAGTGGGCCTTATATACTGAAACTGTGAGCGTCGGCATGCATGGCCGCTCTGCATTACTCCGATGGTTGATGGCAAATTTGATGAGAACTAATCAGTACTGTCAGAGTAGGGAAGTCATATGGCCATTGTCAATAGGCTCGTGCGGACTATCCCACGCTTAAGTCACTCTCTCAGCAAGTCTCGGAGTTTCCCTTCCCCACTCCCCTCAGGGTTATCTCGCAATGAGTGTAGCTATGGCACAAAGGCTTCGCGTTGCAGTAGTCCAGTTCGCACCCAAGGTCAGTCAGTCAGTGTTCCTCGAGAATATTGATTGGAATCGTAAAGTTAGGTCAAGTACAGGCCAATATAACCAAGGCTCGAGAACTATGCGAAAGGTGCAGGCGATCTTGTCCAAACTCCTACGAGGACAACTGAACTCAAGGTCCAACAAGCTTAACTCCAGGATGTGCCGATCTAGTCTGTCTGCCGGAGATGATATTCTCCGGTACGTTACAGTCGACGCTATGCGGTGCACGAGGGGTGTCTTAACAGTCAACAACCCCTGGCAGGATACATATATAGAGACTCTGAAGCCATCCAGCCACACTTAGAACATCCAACCGAAGGCCCAACGTCTCTCTTCTGCTCAGAGCTTGCTCGACGCCTTAAATGCTACGTTACAGCTGGCTTCCCGGAACGCCTTGAGCGTCACGAATGGGTCCTACAGCCTCATCTCAGTCGAGAACAGTCGCGATCTCTTACCACCTCAGATCGGCCAGCTTGCGACTTCCTCATCGGCGCGAACAGCGCAGCCATATATAATCCTTCTGGCGAGCAGATTATCCACTACCGAAAGAGTAATTTATTTGATAATGATATTCCATGGGCCATACCAGGTAGGTTACCCGGATACTACCTGGAACTCTCCGCTCACAAACTGGGATCATATCTCCCTCAGGGCATGGGTTCAGTACACTGGCACTTCCGCCTCCTTTGGGACGTACAACACTTGCGATATGCAACGATCTCAATCCTCAGAAACCAGCTGTCTGGGAATCTTTGGTAGACGGGCCTTATGAACTTGCTCGGCACTGTGTCAGCGAAGGCACTCAAACGCTCATCCTCTTGAACGCGTGGCTACATCCAGACTCAAAGCGTGACTCGGATGACGGGGATGAGCCAGCCGTTATAGAGGAAGATGTTTCCGTACCCCAATTGCAAACCGTTAACTACTGGGCAATGCGTCTGCGACCTCTTTGGGCAGCCCCTGCACTGACATCCGATGTTGAATCTGCTACTACAAATGCTGGACGCGAAGTGATAGTAATTATATCCAATCGGTTTGGCAGCGACGGCAGTATGTCTTGCACATATCGAAGTTATCTTGAAAAACGTTAATTCAGACTAATCACTAGAGTTCACTTTTGGCGGCACGTCCGCTGCGTTCTCGCTCAAATATGGCAGCGATCGACCGCAAGCGCTAGATCTGATGGGCCAACGCGAGGAAGGAGCATGTCTTTGGAACATCCTTCGCGCAAATTGAACATTCCCCCGAATTCAAGAAATATACACTTCCACACGAACGCATCTGTATACCTAGAAACATGTATCACTGCTATCGCCTACTCTTCTTGCTCCATGCACTGCACGCCTCCCGGATTATACCTGCGCATTCCTGTGCATCCTCCTCATCAGTCGTCGTGCCGGCTGTTTCTGCCCAGAGACTATCATGCTTTCCCAAGAGCTCCACTGCCTGAACCTTCGACGACGCACGCTCCTCGTATCCGCCATCTGTCGCCGACATCATGTGAACAGCATATTCTAAGCGAGTCGCAACCTTCGCTAGCGTGCCGTTCCTTCGTTCAAGGTGAGTACGGCGGTGTTTTGCCCATCTTGGAAACGCACCTGTCGCTGTTTAAGGAAGGGGTATCTTTCAAAAATCTCCATCTTCGGTCTGTCATTAGATTGAAGAGTGCTTTCCGAATGTCTTGGTAACTACTTTCACGAAGGCCGATCTGGCAATGACAATGAGAAAATGTGTCCAGTTTCTGGGATCGTGAAGTTACCGATATTTTCTTGGAGAAGTCTGCCTCTAGCTCAGCCTTGATATTAGGAATGCCGATCTCAGTATCTTCTTAAGTCACCTGCATCAACACGAAACCTCAGAGATGAATAGTTAATGCGTACCTGACTTGGGTGATTCATCGACCCTTATTGGAATTTTTGTCGGAGGCGTCTGCCGACGCCTCATAGGCTTTGAAAACTTCACATCCTCCATGTCATCGCTAGTGTCGTCAATATCTGGGACTTCATCTTCAATCATCGAAGCTTCATCCGATTGACCAACGTGTTCGTCAGTCGCACATGTTTCTTCCGTCTTCATGAATGGAGTCTTGAACGGCTTTTTAAGGTTGATCTCAGACGAATGGGGCTTCGTGACTATAAACTGCCTTCAGTCGCACATACCAGACTTTAGCATCCAAGTAGCTACAGACCTATGGCAGGAGGCAACGCTTCGCTTGTTTTCGCTTTCTTATTACGCCGTTCAGAGTTACCTGGCTCAAATGCGGACCGTTTCGGCGCAGCAGAGTCGTGTGCGTCGTTGCTCCGGATTTGGCCCGCTTTACTCGCTGGCTTCTTAGAGCTATATTCAGCAAAAGTCAGCTCCTCGGACGTCAGCTCCTGTTTTCGCCGTCTTGTCTTTTCAGGGTATTTGCAGACCTGGACCAGGTATCAGCGGCTTGGACTTCTAAGATTGTGGTAGATAGCATTCATACATCGCACATCCCATCACAGTAGCTTTGTAGCTGATCGCGGTCAGAAATATCGACTACTTCGCCAAAATATCTACAGATCAGCTATACAGAACAGCGGTCAGTGTTAACGGACGTCCCTGCATACTAGGAAACTCACCACATGCCGGCAGATGTTGACGTTTTCAGCGAAGTCGATGAGCTGCAAACAAGATTATCAGCAGCACACGATTTATTCATAGCAAAGGTTCAGCATACAGTGCTGAAGCTGTTGATAGACCGCTGGCTCGGCTGCGGACCGTTCATTTCTTCAGCAGAGGTTTGGCGTTTGATGTGAGAATCTGCGACGAGTCTTTGGGCCTGATATGCATCTTCTCGTGCTGTGGGCATACGTGAGTTTCCAGTCCCTATATCAGCAATGCCCTACGCACAGTAATAAAGAATACAGCGCGACGCCTGTCAGGGAAGATGATGAGAATAAGTTCACATAAGAATATCAACTACGTACTGCGCCATCCCTTCCAGCTCGCCCTAGGAGCAGTGGTTTGAGAATGCGTACAAGGTTCAAAGGGATGGACTGTACCAGTCTCTTGGTAGTAGCCTGACATTGAGGTCAGCACATATTTTGGATTGCTGTGATATCTGACTGACCTTCTAAACTATGTGGTAAATCATAGTGGATGACATATCTTCGCAGCCTAAGTTAGAAAGCCGGACCTCCCCAGACAGCGGAGACGTACCTGACATCTGCTTTGTCTATGCCCATGCCAAAGGCTATGGTGGCACAAACCTTCGCTTAGCTTAGCAGCGGCTTTTCTTCAAGGTGTTAATAAGACGTACAACATCCACGCCCCCCTCTCCATTACCACCGTTCTCCCATTGCTTTAGAGTAGTGTCGAGGACATTAGACCTTTCACTTTGTGAGCGAAGTCATAACATGTAGATTAGTAGACGTGTACTTGATGCCACGGTGATACGGTCTAGCGCTCAAGCCCTTTCCTCGTAGGAATGCGGACAGATCGTCACATGTTGCCCTTGTTCGACAATATATGATGCCGGATGAAGGTCTCTCGCGCCGGCGGTAAAGAGTCGTAATGAAATCCAGCACCTCTGCCATCCGAGATAACGGGTCTACTCCTGACTTATACCGGACCTGGCAAGGATAATTGGACGAATGGCATAAATCCAATGAAAAGGCAATTACTTCATAGAAAAGATTGTCCCTGTTGAAGGGGTGTACAGCCTTGTACATATTCTGTTCGTCCATCCTCAGACTCCGAATAATGTCGCGCTGCACGCTGGAGGATATCGATAAGTAACTTGGAAGTTGTGATCCTCAGCGCTACTAACCTCGGCGTAGCAGTAGCTGTAAGAGCCATGACGGGTACCTCAGGAAAACGATCTCGAAAATGACCCAATTTTCGATATTCGGCTCGAAAGTCATGACCCCATTCCTGGACAAGGGTCAACTCGTTGTGTGGAGTATCCGTTTGACAGAGAGTTTACCGAAATGCAGTGAGCCTAGCGGAAACTTTAAGATATATTCTTATGCAAAGTGGTGGAGACCTACCTCGTCAACTACGAGTCTGTTGAGCTTGTGGTCGTCATACACCACTTGCAAGAGTCGCGTAATGTCCTTCGTGCAAAGTTTCTCAGGTGTAGCTAAAAGATTTGAGTCTTTGTTCACAAGACATTGTGGAAAGCATACTGTAGAGCAATCGATTCTGTGGATCTCCGTACACCAAGTCATCTATGATCTTGATTCATAGCAGGAAGTTTTAGGACGCAAGAGCTGGTAAGGATGTACGAACGTCTGACCTTCTGTCGTTCTTCGGGGGTGGAGTCCGACGTTAGAGCCATAGCGGGTATGTACTTGCGCTGAAGGCTGGCCACCTCTATTCATCCATTATTATCATCTGTACGTAAGCTGCACACATAATCTGACGCACGGTTCTTCATTAAGGCTGCGTCTCAGGTTCAGCTTGAGCAATTGTTTCGGTAGGAGAGTCATACCCAATAGTGGAGATACCACTAGCGTCACTCCGGACTGATACAATGAGCCCATTGATGAAGATGAAAGCGGTTATTGATACCTTTTCGGCCGATGCGGGAAGCTGAAAGCACAAGCTCTGGTGCAACAACATTAGGTCGCATAAATGCGCTTAAGAGTGGGTACACGGCTACCTTGCCCATTCCGGTCGGTGCGAGTACAAACACGTCTTTCCCTGTACACACCAGAGGAGTGAGGGCGTAACCATCGTAAACGCTAGGGAGACTGACCTGATATAGCAGCCTGGACAATTTCTCTTTGCTTTCCTTTGAATCCTGAATGGCCAAACGCTACAGAGTCTTAGTTGGGCTATAGCTCCAAGGGAAGAGATCGCACAGTTATCCAGCATCCTGAGAAGGATTTCACGCGTCATGCTCATTGTTGCGTTCAAGAGTGTCAACCCAGCAGGCAACATACCTTTCGCATTCTCGCATTTTCGTGGCAACATTGCGTATTAGGGTTCCGTCAACTGGCGAGCTTGCAAAGAGGTTGGCTGAGTATCATTGCAGCATATAGATGACACACACCTATGCCGATCACTATATTCAGCGTCTGACATCGTTGTCGACCTAAAGCACGCGCTTGGAACGCGCGCAAAACATACGCGTCACTGTCAAGTATTGCAAAAAGACGCGTCTCATGTGATGAGATGTATTCAGTCACGTGGCGCGTGACGGAGGATATAGTCGCGTACCATATGGCGCGACGTTGATTGAGGTGAGAACATGAACCTTTCTGAAGTGACACCGTGAGCCTGTCAATGATAGATGATAGATGGGCGCCTAGCCTTCACAGGATCCCTCTCAGGTCTCGCCCACCTCCTCCACCTGTCGCCAGGCCATGGCTAACCCAAACTCACGCTCCTTGCAGCACAAGTCCCGCAGCCAGCCTGCTCCGCTGGCCAAGGGACGCCCCAGGCAGCGGCCGGCCCAATCTGTAGATACCAATATCCTCTCCTACGACAGGACGGATCCCTTCTACGCCATCAATGTCCTCCGCAAGCTCCTTGGCTCCCTCCCTTCCCGTATCGGAGGCTGCCAGTTCAAGCTCACTCCAGAGGAGCATAAGCTCACACTTGGCCTCCTCACCATCGTGGAACCCTTCATTGGGCTTTCACCCTCCCGTCGTACCATCACCCGTCAACCCACGGAGATTCTTGACGGTATCATGTTTTATCTAGACAACAAACGCGATTTGCTTTCTCTTGCTCTTGCCTGCAAGCGCATGCATGGCGTCATCTTCCCCCGTCACTTCGAGTATCGCGTTATCCGTGCCAAACCCAGCTCTCTGAGAGTTTGGAACCACCTTATTGTTCACCGTTCCCTTGCTCGCAACGTCAGAAAGCTTGAAATCATGGATGAGCGCTCCGCCGAGCCTGAAGTCGTTCCCTCTGGTATTATGACCACCGATACTGATGTGGAATCATCCGACGATGAATTAGGCATGCATGTCAAGCAAGAGCGTCTCCTTGTCGCAGCCATCGCGAAGATGTCTTCTCTTCGCTCTTTCCAGTGGTCCTGCAATCATTCCCCTGTCGCCATCGACGCTGTTTGGCCTACCCTACTTAAATGCCAATCTATCAGTGAGGTTGAGATAAATGATAACCTGGTCTTCAGCTCTCGAAATGTGCCACTACCGAAAGATCCTCAGCGTATACCCGTTGTAAGCCGCACGATATCTCGTCTTACTTCACCTCTCATCGCCTTTAGATGCGAGATTTGAAGACCGTGGCTGTACATTCCACCAGACACATTTACGGATGCGCGAAAAATCCTCAGATGGCACGCATTAATGGAATGCTTACGAGCTGCCCTAACCTCGAGGTAGTATCGACTGCTTCGTGGCTATTGTTCGATAATTAATCTCACTGTAGACACTCAACATCGACTATGAGCATCGCCGCGGACAAGGCCAACAAAAGCCAACCGCTGACGAATTCTTCCTATGTTCTCGCTGGTCCGGCCTTCGCTCTCTCTCGCTCGTTAACTTGCGGTGCTCTACAGTCCACGGCCTGGACGCCGCTTCCACTTTCTTTGCCTCTCATTCCAATTTGGAGGTTTTGCACCTTGACTTCGGAGGCGAGATTGGATCCACCAACGGTGGTCCTCGGCTTACTCTCGAGCCCAACTCTCTCCCGAAGTTGCGCGAGTTGCACTGCAACCGAGAGGTTGCGTCTATCATTCTCTCGTGCCCTACCGACATGCCACGGCCGCTCGAGATCCTCAGAGGTGTACGCCTGAGCAATTCGCCCAGAGACCAGCCCTTCTTGGCGGGTGTCAAGTCTGTAACAAGCTCGCTGAAGCGCCTGGAGCTCGACGGCTATAACGATATCGACGACATCAAGGCGCTCGTCGAATGTGCCCCCAAGTTGACCTACCTCGATATCGGTAAGAAAACGAGCGAGATCGCCGTGCAGCAACCCCGACGCGGGGACAGTTCCACCAAGGTTTCTCCGGCTAACATCGCGTCCAACGTCATGGAATGGGGTCAGGTTCTCGAGTCACTTTCGGAGCTCGTCACTTTCCACGGCGTCAAGTTCTTCTACGAAGTCTCTAGCCTTACCTTGGCGACGCTTTCGAGTATACACCCTGCATCTCTTGCCCCATCCGAGCAAAGTCGCGTGCGCAAGAATGATCAAGCCGCAAGCTTTTTAGCATATAAATGCCCCAAGCTAAGGAGACTCGATCACTGGGACGAGGCAACTGGCAAGGTAATCGTGCTGCTGAGAGAAGCGAGCGACGTCAAGTGGGACATTAGGCGCAGTGTAAAAGCTTAGTCCACTAGAAGGTAGATATATTCTGCGAATGTCAACGTATGTATTATACGAATGACTGGCTTGGAGCCACTATACAGGTGATGCAAGTACTATACAACTTCAAGGTCCAATGGTCTATTGATGCTAATAATCGTACAGATATTTATGCCATGAAGTCAGATCACTCAGAACTGCTCACCAGCCTGACAATGCGTCAGATGATGGTTGTAGTGAAGGATAGTGGCAGCATACCTGGCGCGTCTCGCCCTTGGTTGCAAGATTGGGGTTCTTGGAAGCCTTGCCGGCCATCTTCTCAAGACCACCTATCGAACAACTGTTGAGTACAAGCCCACAAAATACGAAAATCTCGACAACATACCCATAATCTTCTCACCCATACCGGGCTTGCGGCCGGTCTGTGCGCCAGCGCCAGTTTCGTCGACGTTTCCACCAGCATTATCATCATAGTCGCGACCACCGCCGACGCCAGATCCAGTACCAGTGCCGCCAGCGCTCCTGCCCATATCAGAGCCGTAATTGTCGCCACTGTCGAACTGGCCCCTGCCTGAGCCGGCGAGATCGCCCGTGTCATTGCCGCGCCCACCGCTCATCATTGGATCCTGGCCTCCGATGCGCGAGGTGTCGGTGCCGCCCTGGCCGGCGCCGTAGTCACCTTGGCCGCCCATCCCACCGGCGCCAGTCTGGCCGGTGAGATCCCCTTGGTCGCCTTGGTTGCCGCCGGCGTAGCCGCCGGCGTAGCCGCCGGACTGGCCATATCCACTACCGCCATGGGAGCCAGAGTATGTGTTGTCGTCATCGACGTTGCGACCGCCGCCAGACTCGAAGTTGGCGGTGTCGTTATAGTTGCCTGGAAATTTGAGGCAAATTCAGAGGTAATCTAGAGATATTGCTAAGAGGTACTAACCGCGGGTACCGGTGTTGTTGTACTGGTCGTTGTTGTTGGAAGACATGATGGTTTACTGAGTGTCGAAGTTGATGTCGACTGGTGTTATAAAGCCCCTGTATATATGCAAGAAATCGGCGATGATGTATGCATGACGATCCATGACGATGCACCACAAAGTTGACGCAATGCCGAAAGTGCCGAATGATCAAGGGAGCCTAGTGGGGTGCCTGGAGTTTGTCAGTAGTTTACCTGGGCGTTGACTTGCGTTGACCTGGGCAACCCGGGGAGTAGGCGTCAAGTAGGCGTGGCTCGACTCCAACCATTACGCCTGCCATATTTAGTAAATTGTTTGGTATTATGTAGGTTCCCGAGCAACGATATCATTGCTGACCTTCTTCCACTTATGAAGTCTAACTTGAACGCAATTTCTTGGTTGCTGCCAGTATGACGTCCCCTGTTCCAACGACCTTGTTCCTCTGAGAGAAACTTCAAGGCCTAGCATGGAGAAAGGCCCTATCTGGCTGAACACATTCCAACGCGACTCACAGTTTCAGCTCCATTGAAGAGATCGATCCAAAAACAGGTGCTAGTATCACATGGTTTTGGAGTGCCTTTTCCTCCTTTCACTCTCACTCGCTGGACGCCGAGAGAGGAGGAGAGACCGTAAAATGAATGATTTCATGCCAAGGCTTCGCCTCCGCCGGTCATTCCACGACGTACGCTCGTGGTACTATCACTCGGTATCACGATCTCGTAGGGGCATGTTCAATAACCAGGGGCTTATGATCATGGAGTTCCTCAGCCATACCATTAGAAGTTCCAGAACGCAAACACGCTGAATGTAGAATTATCAAAATTTCGGCCACGGTGCCTTGAAAAAGCCTTAGACTTGAGCTTGAACGTGAACATATTTCTCAGAGAGCGACCCCAGAAAGTACGTGCAATGGCAATAGTACACCTAGTGTGCTGACCAGAAATATTTCACATGCTCCTTCCAAGTAAATCAACTGTCGACGTCAGAGCAGTCAAGGGATGCATGAACGCATGAGGTCATGGCCGGCGCCTCGCCTGTATCGGGGACCTAACTTGTGCGTTCACGCCACAAACAAAAAGGGCGCCGAACTCTTTCTTTAGACCAGAAACCTATGTGCAGCAGTTTGTCTCAAATATGCCCTAGCTCAAACGAGAAAGAACCTACACAGAATAGGACCTGCCTCGGCTACAATGGGATGAGAGAAAGGTTGGAGGCAAGCAAGGAAGCTTACTAAGAGGCGCTTTCAATATTTGGGATCTGGGAGTTAGTACATAGAACGACCTTTGTAGACGATGCCGATCACTCGTTTTGGGACATATTTTGAGCTGATCATACTACCTATCGGCGACATAGCATACGTTGAATCGCCTTTGAAGTAGAGTTCGCGGTCTTCTCTCGCCCACCTTCCGGGGCGGTCGGGCGAAGGAACGTTGAACTTCAGCTTCAGGGCTACCACAGATACATGGCATTAGCGCTCATGAGCTTGGGTTTCACGAAGGCAAGGTCAACCAAGATAAGGAACGAGCGTCACATATCTGAAACCCACCACACGGAGGGCGGGGCCATAGAGCGCGCGACTTTATACAACGGGCTACCACAGATACATGGCATTAGCGCTCATGAGCTTGGGTTTCACGAAGGCAAGGTCAACCAAGATAAGGAACGAGCGTCACATATCTGAAACCCACCACACGGAGGGCGGGGCCATAGAGCGCGCGACTTTATACAACGGTGATGAAGCCTTCCCAGAACTGTCTGAATCTTATCAGGGCGCTAGGTTCTCGGTCCGTGAAGTCGGTGCAGGCGCCCGAAAAGATCTCCCGCTCCAGCTCTTGCGGAACATTCTAGAGAACTAGAGAAACTCTATCAGAAACCCCGCAGCGCTCAGAGCGAATCTATCGCAAAACTCGTCTTCACCTGTCAAGAGAACTCATGGACAACCGACACAACGGCGAATTTATGCCGCGGCCGCGACTGTACGGACTCTCGGCTACTAGTCAACGGGCGCTTGAAGATAAGCGCCAGCAGGCGCCAAAACCGTTTCTAGCTCGAATCCCATCGTGAGCGCATATTTCTCGCTTCATACAATCATCACGCCGGCTGTCGTGGAGCTGTTTCACAGGAATTCGACTTCCTGGTCGTCAAACACCCGATATATTCTTAGCCCAACCTTGAGCTATACAGTTTATGTAGCCAAACCATAAAACCACGAGCCTACTAAGGCATGTCCGCCTCACATACTACTCCAACGCCAGCACTGATCTCGCTGGCAGAAGTCCCACAATGAGGCCCGTATTTATAGGCGCTTGACGAGCAAGGCTGCCTTTCTGTTCGTACGGTTCTTCTCTCTTGCCCTGCACCGGCGAAACACGGCGGCCGATGTCGGTCACTGCGCTTTCGCGATACGGTCGCCTGATCCTGGAGAGCTGGGACTGCGCAGGGGCAGGCTCTCCAGGGGGCAATGAGGGCTGCGGTGCGGCTGTCACCGATCTGACGGAGCGAGTTGGGCGCTCATCGGAGTGAGCGTCGAAAACGTGCAGTGCACACGAGGCTTGTATTGACCATAAGGAAAGCGCAGCCCTACGATCGGGAAGCAAGATGAAACTAGTGAATAATGTACTGTAAATTAAAGATGGTCAAACGAGCGTGTGTCAAGAAGCGAGATACCGGAGATGAACACAATACTGAGCCAAAAACAAATCCACAGCTGAAAACACAGACAGAGCAGAGCAGAATAATTGCTGTAGATGACCCTGGGTCAGCTGAGTTGTAAAATAGGATGACAGGGACATACCAGGGACAACAAGAGATGGTACAGGCGCTCCATATCATTGATTGCCGCCCGGCATCGACATCGAAGGCGGCTGATATGGACTCATGATATTGGCGAACCTCATTGGGGAGGAAGTAGTGCCCTCGTCCGGGGAAGCTGGAGACGGGGTGTATTGCGGGGGAGATGCCGAATGGGAGGTTCCACGTGTGTTGGGATCCGTCGTGGGAGGTCCCTGATATTCATGGATATCAAGCGATTCCCCGCCGGTGGCCATTACGCTCGAGCCAGAAACCTGCGTTGAGGCAGTATGCGTGGGATTAGGCGCCGCTTCATCTATGAAGCCTTCACGCGTCGATGTAGTGGGGTCGCAATCTTCTGGCAGGGCCGGTATTACAGCGGCGTGTCTACCACCTAGGGGTCTATGTCATATTTCATCGTATTCCGATATAAGGGAATTTGAAGGAGAGGGTGCATGAGAGTACATGCAAGAAGTGACCAATTTGTAGCTCTTATTCATTGTCGGCGTTTGGCACACTCCAATGGGGCACAGAAGACTCCTGCAGCCTGAACGAAATGTGAAACTCACCCGCCCTCGATAAAGTTCTGCCAAACGTAGTCCTTCAACTGATCCGCGCCTTGCAATTCTTGAATGAGATGTTTGATAGTGTTTTGTCCCAGTCCGAAGAAGTCCGGTCCTGAGACAGAATTGGAGTGCTGACGATTCCGGATAGCATTGGCCTGCTTGACTATACTCGACCATGCTCCCGTCGCGGTCCCTGCGATCACTGGGCGATCAGGGAGATCAGCACCGATAATCTTGAACTTCGGCCCATCGCCACCATCAAGGATTGAACAAGTATACACAACATCTGAGTTGGGGTCTGTCGTCGATAAGTATCTCCTAAGCGCCCGTGAGCAAAAGTGAGACGCCGGCGAGAACGGAAACCTTACTTACCTGGTGATCTCATATCCTACAGGGAATATATAACGTTCCGTGTGGAAATGCTCCCGTTTACATATCTCACCCAAGGAGATAACAGTAATAATACCAACATTCAGAGGAAGGAGGGGGCGCTTATTCTTGTCACGGGGGATGGTGGGGATGCTGTGAGTCTTCGATGTGACTGTATGCGCCTTCAGGCGCTTGGGCTTTCCTCGGCGCTGCACTTCAAATGTACGCGTCGCCAGCGATGGAGACGGAGGCTGTTGCACGATTGGAGGAGAAGAAACCAGAGACGGTGGACTAGCAGGGCCCGAGCTTTCGTGTCGAACCAAACCGTTTGTGTTGTTTGGTTCCGTGACAGGGACTTGTTCCGGCGGAGACATGGGCGAAGAATTGGGGGGAGACTGAGATTCTTTAGGTGCGGAGGGTGTGCCTTGTTCAGGATCCGAAGGAGGTCTGACGGGAGGCTTGATGCGCAGACGTGTACCCTGCTTGTCACGAACAATCACGGCTGACTGAACTGGAGGTTCATGGACCGGTGGAGAGTTAGAAGTTTCAAAGACCATCATAGGAGGTGCAGGCGTAGGTTGATGTGCTGGCACGGGAAGTTCTTTTCCCTTAGCTGTAGTGCGCGTCCGTTTGGTCGCGCGCCGCTCTCGTGCTTCATCCTCGGCGCGGTCGCGTTCCTCTTCCTGTACTCGCTTCTGTGCAGTAGGACCAAGATGCCGCGAGGATAGCAGAGGATCGGCCGAGTGGTCATCGGTCTCTTCCTCGACATGCGCCTGCTGAAGGTTGTTGTGAAAAGTGGCACGGGCACGCGAGGAGAGAAGAGAACGAGGATAGGCACTCGACATTCGAACGCCCCCGGGGCTACTGTTAGGCGCCGACTGTCCTCCCAGCTCGCCGACCTGATGTTCGAGTTCAATAATTCGATCGAGCAGGCAGCTACAGTGATAATGAGTAAAGTCGAACGAACGCGGTGGTGCTAACGCACTCTCGCTCTTCGGAGTGCTTGAGGTTCCGCTCCCCCGAGCGTTGAAGCTCCGTCAGAGTATCCTTGTATTTCTATTCCGGTTGGGTTGAACGCCAGGGCGGGAAACGAGGGAGAGCACTCACATTCTCGAGCTCGAAAAACCTCCTTTTCAACCTACTGTACTTCTCGTTTGTCTCCGCGTCGGCCGCATAGCCTCGTGGTGTTGACTGGGGCTGCTGATGAGCTGACTGGGGCAGCGGCAGCGGGGGAGGGCCCATGACGACGTCTCTGTCCGGAGGAGGAGGCATCGAGGAGGTCATCGACATACGGCGCCGAGACATGGCGGAAGGAGGTGGGTGGGTTCAAAAAGAGGAGAAGGGGAGTCGGGGCGACGAGGCGACAAGCGCGCGCAGACGCAACCCGAAGTCAACAAGACTCAAACAACTTGACACAGCCCATCCGGTGTTGGCGAGTCCAGTTCACAACCCCCGGGCGTCTGTCTATAGAGTACACGCCCGGTCCTGTCAAAACCTTACTCCGCTCAAATTGCCCTCCTCTTCCTTCTGTCTCTCTCAGGCCATGCTCTCTCCAACACATGCCACCTCCATTATCTACGCTCTGAGGTCTGCACACACAGGTGACTCGCACTCGTTACACGATTCTCATCAGCTGAAGTGGCGGCGACCGCCCGTGTCTGCCACGGCCCTCTTTCACATTCGGCTGAACAGCCTCCGAAACTTACACTACGCCTACCTTTTTGCCTAATCCGGAAACCTCTTGTAATAGTAATGACGCCACCACATTCAGTCGTTCCGCAGACTCTGAGCCCCTGTGGTGGAATGAACCGTGATGTATAGTACAGACATAAATTCCATGACCATGTAGACAAATATCGATCATCTATCAGTGTAAACAAGCTACAAGACTCGTGCCTAGCTGCAGTTTCGACTAATCTGGAAAGGTTAAGAATAAACGCAGGAGGCGCTATGTCAAATGATGATCCGATGCCAGTGTCAGGACGGAATGTTGTGGAATCAAGAAATGGCGCTTAGTCGGAGGCATCCTAATTTCCTGTTGCGTATCGGAGGATCACCAGAATTCCATCCGAGTGCGCAGAAAAAATGGCATCAACAAACGGCCCATCTTCTCGAGGTGGCGGTGGCGTTATCCGCTGCTGTCTCGAGTCCTGCGAGTGAAGGCCCCCACTGCGGTTGGAAGATGAGTTGGAACGTGCTGGCGGACTTTTCGAGCTACTCCATGCATCTCTGCGGCGCTGCGCCCCGTGCGTGGGTTGCGAGACACTTAATACGACGTTATGAACCATAGTCTACGGTCCGAGTCGTGAACGTACCTTGAATCCCTGCCTGAGCGACAAAGCCTGAATTTACCAAATCCGAAACCGCCGTCACTGGGCTGGCCGCGCTCGTTCACGCCCCACTGCTTAATCACGTCGATCCACTTCTTGACGGTCTCTTCGCTCTCTGGCATTACAAAGTCAGAGAAGCTTCGGCCCATGACAGTGGTCGTCTGCAACAGGAGGTCGTTGGAGCAGTAAATCACAGGGCAGCGAACAGAAAAACGCTCGAGGATGAGAGCAGTCCTCAAGGATTGGGATGGCATATGTGCAAACGTTATGACGGGCTCAAGCATGGTATCTGAAGCAGGTGCCGAGGCCAGCAGAGCAGAAGCTTGAGGGCTGGGTATTGGGCTAGGTGGCATTGGAGATGGGTCGCCCCAGCGCTGGTCGGCGGATAAATAACGCGGGCGGTCCATGTAGTGATTAGTTTTACTCACTCGAAGCTGGAAGTCTTGAGCAGTTTTGGTGATGACCTCGACTTCCTGTGCGGTAGAGGCGTTGTGCATCGCTTTAGCGCCTCGCTCGGCATACGATACGCTGCCCACAAGCACATTGTAGACGACTGTACGTGACTGCCAGACGCAGGAGTTTAGTGGCGGGTTTGGGGCCAAGAAAAAAGAGCCCTACGCACTATTGCACATAGTATGTATCCTTTGATGGGATCCTTGTGCTTCATCCTAAGGTAAGCCAAAACAGCGGCTTTGTCTTGTCGTATTGTGTCGCTATAACACAGAGAAAGCGGTGTGTAAGGGGGAACACAGATTGAACAAAACATACTAATGCATCTGCTTGACTTTGGGAAATTCCTCCGGGTGAACAAGCTCAAGGGCCGGGCGCCCAATAAGCTCTCGGGGTTCATACCCTGGTCAAGGGTTCTGAGATTTAGTATAGTGGTAGTAACCTGGAGTACGGAGACCGTACCAAGCAAGTCAGAAACAGATGGGGTGAGGAAAAGCCAGCGCGCCTATGACAGCATTCTGTCGGCGGGTGTAAATAAGGTAGAAGGTTAGAGGCCCACATTTTCGGAGAAATCGACGATCGAAACTAGATGACCGTCATCAAGTGGTCCATGATTGGGAGCAAAAGGGTGAGCTGATACTCACTGAAAGATAGTTGAGGGGTATTGGGATCCATAGTTTAAGGTATCAGTAGCAAGTGAATTGCGGGGAGATGAGGCTAGGGAGAGGGGTGCAATATGAGAACACGAGATAAGCTCATACAAAAGGAGGCTTTTGAGATCTGGGGAAGAGCCTGGAAGAGCGAAGAGGAGCGGCAGGTCTTTTTATCCATCCCGAGAATCGCAGACGCTAACTTGAACGTTTATGGAGTGCACCAGGTTTTGCGTAAAGATCAAGACCAATATTTGGGGCCTAATTATGCGAGCCTATGATTGTGATTGCATGCAGGTTGGCCTCTCTTGGGAAGTGCAGGGAACATTCATGTCCACTGGCAGGATGCGATGCCTGGATTCTGGAACGCATCATCATTCATGCATGCGCATTCATGTTTGGGCCATTGTTTGGCTCATAATCTATGCCGCTCGTGCGCAGGCGTTTTGTCACCTCCGACTCCTGCTCAATTCGACTGCTACCATATCACCTCTTGACATCTTCTTTTCTGTCCGAGTCCTAATAAAACCCAAAATTTGTCCGTGTGCCACCAGATTTACATACTGTACATACTTGGGCAGCACGGTCCCACGACGACTCACGGTTGCTCCCGCCGCACTGGCGCATCACCGAGGAACTCAATCTTGCCAAGGCTAATTTTGCTACTTCATTCACGCGCTCCTCTGTAATTGCTCCTCCCTTACATCTCGCCAGCAATGTGGTCCACAGCACGCACCGTTGCGGCAGGCGACATAGTGATAATTTGGCAGGTGCGTGGCTTTACACGGCAAAACCCCACAATGATCACGAAGACCGCCCTGACATCATTCGTGTACACCAGACTCGCGAATCCGTTCAACCCCTGCTGATTACACCAGGTAAAGATTTCAACAGCAAGTTCGGCTTCTACCCGCACTCGGACCTCATTGGCGTTCCGTATGGATCGAAGGTAGGGTCACGGAATGGAAAAGGGTTCATACACCTCCTGCGACCTACGCCCGAGCTGTGGACAATGGCGTTACCTCATCGTACTCAGATCTTGTACATCGCGGACATCTCCTTCATTACCTCATGGCTTGATATCAAACCAGGAAGCAAAGTTATCGAAGCCGGTACGTGACCCACGCCTCGCTAGCACAGATGAGCACGGAAGAGCCATGCCTCTGCTACCCGTCGATGTTTTGCACCCTCCGACTCGCCTGGCGCTTGAAATTGGGTCTTCGGATCGAGACCGGGTAAACTGGAGCCGAGCGAGCGGACCTGCTCACATAAGTATCGGTACAGATTAGCGCGGGCAACTAGATCTTGGTCTTATTTATGCCTATCTTACTTCTGCAGCTCGCTTGCCTTTTCGGTGCTGACAGACTTCTTGCCGACAGGTACGTGCGTCTTATTCACAAGCCTAAAAATGCCGCAATCGGGTGCTTCCCAGGAACTGGATCCGGCTCGTTCTCTCATTCTGTTGCAAGAACTGTCGGCGCAAGGGGGCATCTCTGGTCGTACGAATTTCACGAGGCCAGGGCCAACAAGGCGAGGTACGCGAAATCTTGAAAGGTCAACTCATCCAATTCTGTGTATACGAGTAACCTGTCACGCTAGGCAAGAATTTAGCGACCACGGTCTCGCCGATATCATCACGCTCACACATCGGAATGTATGCAAAGACGGCTTCACGGTCACCAACACAGTGGATTCAGGTACACGCTTAGCGTCAGGTTTAGACAAGAGATTTGAGTTTGCTGACATTCTCTTAAGTCTTTCTAGATCTTCCCGCTCCATGGGACGCCGTCGTCCACGCCAAAAATGCCATGCGTGTGAGCTTTTTTTTTTGCGCGTGGATGCCGCGTATGCTCACTTAATCTACACATTACTGAATAGAAAGACTGCACATCTCGCATCTGCTGCTTCAGTCCATGTATGGAGCAGGTCTTGCGCACTGTCAATGCTCTCAACGAGGCTGGGTTCACCGGTATGAAAATAAATATTATTCCAGGTCGGCCCTGACCACGAATAGATATCGCCATGTATGAGGTTCTGATACGACCTCATGAAGTGAATGAGATCACGATCCCAAAACTGGACGACATCGTCACCAAGCTAAAACAATCCGAGCAGAAACGAGAAGAAAAGCGCCTCAGGCAGATCGCCAATGCCGGTAAAAGGAAGCGCGAAGGAAGTTCTGAAAATGCCGTCGAAAACGGTGAAAATAAAAAAGCCAAGACAGACGGTGCAAACGTGACAGAATTGCACCGAACTTCAGAGTTGGAATCCACCTCTACTTCTGCCAAGGGAGTCGGGCCACAAGCTCTGCAAGGCGCCGATGACTCAGCCTCTGTTAACGGTGCAAAAGCGGTGTATGAAGTCCGTGGCCATACATCCTACCTCACCTTTGCACGGCTCGCTCCAATCGCAGATGAGGCCTGAGGCAAGCTGATCGCAACGAAGTAGATACGTAGTATGTCTACCGCAAAATGTATGCACAAAAGCTGCGTATTATTAAAGAATTGTAAGATAGGATCATGTCTGTGGTGTTATTCCGCCACCGCTCGCCGGTATGCTAGCTCTATTCCTTTCCCTTCTTTCAACTGACTAGCTGTCTTTGACGCACGAGGGCGCAAGACCCTTCCGGAAGGTGGCGTAGCAGCGGCTGGGGCCGCCTCGCCGCGTCGTTTGCGAGGCGTTGGCTCATCCTCCTTTGGCTTGTCGGACTCTGCATCACTTCCCTCGCTCGCGCGCTTCCTCTTTCCTCGGGCAGTTCGTGTACTTACTTTCTTCGTAGGAGCTGATGACCCTGGTGTGCTAACACCGCTTGCCACAGTAGCAACGGCAGCCCGTGATGAGAGCTCCTCGGGGCCAGCATGAGATATATCCTTGTGTGCGTGTGCCGCTTCTGCTAACGCCTGCATAGTGATCGGCACGCCAGACCTACTTTCATTTGGGAGATCGTCGACTCCCATTACGTCCACGGTGTCCTCAAGCTGCACCCCAGGCACCGGTTCTTCAGAAGACACGACCTCCGACTCGGACATCAAGATTGCCCTGCCATTGGTCTCTTGGACATGATCCACTTGTACGGGGTCAGCCCGGTGGCGCGACTTCGGCAAATGGTGCTGTTCTACCACATCATCTGCAGTGATCAGGAAACCGCCAGGCTGCTTCATGCCCTTGTAAACACCCCTTTCTGGCAATCTTTGGAGGTTCCTTACCTGCGGCTGGTCAATGGTCACCTGGATCGATGTGCCAGCGCTTTCTCCACCAATACCATTGTCCGCGTCCACATACTGCGCTTGCAGCCGTTGGCGAATACGAAGGCCTTGGACGAGTCGTACCCATCGCTTATGGACTTGATCTAACCTCTTTGCCTTCGCCTTTTCTTCGGCGTCTCCTTCAGCCGCTAAGAATGCCTGCAACGGAAGAAGAAATTATTATATTGAATTTGTTCCGCGGTAGATCGACGACGCACCTCCACAATGACAGCTTCGTTCTCGGCGGAAACGACGATGCCTTCAATTAAAGGAACGGCTCTACGCTTTCTAAATTCGAACCCCGTCTGTCATGACAGTTAGATCAACATTCTCGCGCAAAGCCGACTCGGACTCACCACAGCCTCAGCAAAATCAAAACCCAGCTTCCGTGCAATCTTGGCGACGCCTTTAACTGCACAGCGACAAAGTTAAGTTTCAATGTGGGCGAACGGCACGAGTAAAAATGAACCCACAGGGAATGTGGACACCGCCTGGTGGTAGCATGCTTGGAACGTATAAATCTATATTGCCGAAATCATTCTTTGGAACCTTGCCCTTCATCGAACTGTCAACACATCATCGTGGAGAGTGAACGCGGCAGACTCACGTTCTCAATTGGCGGGGGTTTGTACAAGTCCGTCTGGTTCCTCGCGTACAGCCCTTGGAGCACTTCCCCTTCTTCGCCATTATGGCCCCGTTCCATCGCCACCTCGATCTCACGTTGCTTCGCAATCGTCATAGCCCTTTGCTTGACCATCTTCATTGGTTGACAGCCTTCGCGTATCACTCTACCCTGGCGCATCCAGTTCTCGGCGGTCTTTAGGGAGACTACCGAAGATCGAGCATAAACAGGATCGCCTCTGAACTTTCCTAGTTCTACGGGCGGGTCGACGACCTCGTCACGTTTAAGATGACGCGAGAGGACATATCTACGAGAATCAAAGTTAGATCCGTAATTGAGGAAGATGAATTATTCCTCACAGGGGATGGTCTTTGAAACCAGCCAATGTGGTTGGCATGCCCTCGGTGAGTTGATGATTGCGCAGCTCGTCATCCTCGAGATCGTCTCTTTGCTGAAACAGACAGACACCAACGTCAGCTGGAAACGACCGCGAAGTAAGCGGACGCACCAATCGATAAGGCCGCGTTATCACTTGAATGACCCTTTCCCACCACTCTCTCCGGCCACGGCCTCCTGATGATGCACGAGCACCCTGTACCTTTGCAACCTTTGCAGTGTAGTCACGGGCGTACCGAGCGGTGACGTCGCGACCATAGCCATCTTCCTCTAACGCTATAACGTAAAGCATAATATTATCACGGCGCCGCGGCAGTTTGCTCTGACCTGAGGTCGAAGAGGGCGTCGGATCAAATACCTGTCGCTTTCCAATAATGCCGCGGATGGGGTCAATAGCTATCCACATCGAGTCCGCTCGAGAAAAGACTTCTGTCCAAAACACAGGAGGTGAAGTGGTCGGATCTGATGCTGCTATGAAGTCAGAAGCCAGTTAGAAAGCCAGCTCGATCGATGTACCTTGAGGTTTTGGAGGTCGCGGCTGTTGAGACTTGCTCTTGCGTAGCTTAACAACATGAGGCTTTGACATACCCTTTCGAGGTTTGATATTGTTCTTCATCGCGTCTTCATCTTCGTCAGTAGCTTTTGCTTTCCCTTTGCCCTTAATATCTGGTATCGGGATATCGACAGGCTCCATGTCTTCATCGTCCTCGCTTTCGTCCTCAATATTTGTAGCCTTCTCCTTGCTCTTTCCTTTCGCGGAAGGTTTCTTAGGAGCTTTCTTCTTGTCAGAGCTCGTCTTCCACGGAACACTCTGCAAGCTGACAACAAGCCTCGTCGGGATATCCAGCGCTCGGCACAGTGCAGTGAAGAGCTGTGAGCTCGTATCGCGCGAGCCGCGTCGCATAAGCAAATGTTTCATGAGGCTCTTCGGGCTTCTGATCATTTCCATGTCATCACGATTATATAGTTCTTCATCGTTGCCCGCCTCTGCCATCTCACGAGCCACATCTTCATATGTTCTGTTGACGATGTGACCTGTCCGGTCCACTGAGAAGTAGGTTTCTGCCCACCACGTCGCGATACGACCCACAGCGGATTCAAACATGCGCCCGCGCTTGGCACGCTCTGGCACGCGGGATTTGTGTATTATTGCAAGGTTGTCCTGGAGAGACATGGGGACCAACGACAACAAACGCGCCTATTCCGGCGACGACATGCGTTAGGTCAGGGGATATGACGCGCTCAGGGGAGGACGCACTTGCAAAGTCTCGTCATTCAGCCACTTGTTCCGTACCCTCGCGTTCGCCAGCATGCACACCGTGTGGATCTTGTGACATGTTACCCTTGTCATGCGCTCAGCATGTGAGATACCAGTACCAGCTTGCCTCCTGCGTGGCATCAGATGTGGGGGCGACACGAGACACCCGGCGGTCAAGAACCTACTTCGATCCCTCACCCTTCTTTGCTCGCGCACTAGGCAGGGTAATCTCAATGTTCTTCGGGGCCTCCAGCTGGACCTCTAATTCGCCGTATGGCTGCGGTAGTTCCGGCTCTTGTTGCCCGGGCACATCAACCTCTTCCCAGTCAAAATCCTCTTCGCTCGAGCTGTTGGCATCTTGAGCATCTCCCGTGGACATATGTGGGGGAAAACAGCTCTGATGATTGCAATTGAAGAGGTGAAACAAGTAAGCTCAGGAGATGGTCGTGGTAGGGACGCGAATTAGTCAGGGATCACTTGACTGACGCGGAGCCGCGTCAAGTCACGCTCGCGTCATTAATGAGTTGTGTGTCTTTGTTTGCCAAAGCCTTCTAATCCTAACACGAGCAAGCACAGCGCTAGTCCATCCCATTGTGCACTCGTTATTCGCGATCACTCGGTCCTGATTAAATGCATCATGTTGCATGCATTGGGGGCAAGAAGTAATAGGTGCTAATACAACAGCGATAATAAGGCAATAAGTAATAATCGTCATGCTCGTAATAGTTGCAACAACGGTCGGCGTCGATGCAGGGTATCAAATATTCTGTTCTTGTACAAAAAAGAGCAAAGTCGAGAGTAGAAAAGGCTAGACCCAGTTCTCAAACCCGTAATTGTAGATTGCCTTAGGCTTGTAGTTCAAAGGCTTGTACTCCATCCGCTCCTTGACGGTATAGTGGAAGTTCGGGTTGGGGTTCGGAATGTCCCTTCCCTTCCCAAGGTGGATACTGGAAAGTGATCAGCTGGGCAAAAAGGCTGAGCGTTCGATAAAACACGTACCTCCACTTCTTATGCCATTTGCCATCCGCACTCTGCCACGAGAAGGGAAGTGGAATAATTTCGAGCAACCACCATATTGGCTTTTCCTTGAGAGAGTCATGCAAGGGCGAGGTGGCGCTCCGGAACTCAGGTTCGTCCTCCGGGTTCTGTGACGGACTTGACTGACTCGGAGCTGGCGTTGTGCCATTACTAGCACCGTTACTATCGGGTTTAGTGCCGGTGTTGTTGGCGACCTTGAGTCCGACGCCTCGCTCGGTGATATGCAGCTTCGCCTGCTTCTCGGCTGACTTCACCTCCATTTCTTGATCCGTAACGACTGGGAACTTGGGAAGAGTGATGCGGTTCCGCAAGAGAGCCTCGTCATCGAAGCGAATACCAGTTTGAGCCATGACCACTTGCTCAACCATCCATCGAAGAGTGATTTCTGCAAGCGAGACCTTCACATCGTTGCCGACGTTACCGCCACCCACGTCTGTTATGCTAATCACAAATTTATCACGAGCATCAGAGCAGAAATGACATACCGCTATGGCACCCAGCAAACCACACCTCCAGCACATCTGTAGTCCAGGCGTGCATCTCGCCCATTGGCTGCCGATAATCCTCCACTGTGGCAATCGTCTCGATAGTCACATGTCGCCCTTCGCGTTCAATGATAGTCTCTTCGCGGACGATTTGCTGGGGTTCTTCAGTAATTTGCACATGTTTTGCCTCGAGATTCCGTTTCCGAGAGAAGATTGCGAAACGTCTCCGGCCAGGGCTTTTCTCCTTGAGTTTCTTGCCCCGGCTCTGGGCTTGACAGTCATCGGAAGGTGTCGGGGTGTCCGAAATGGGGATATTATACAGGTTTGGGCGGAATTTGGCACGGTGCTGCATTAGGAGGGTTCGTCAATGTCCTAGATCCACCTGAGATGGCATACACACTAACCTCGTCAAGAGAAAGCGCGTGTCTGAACGTCTTTACAGTTTGATTGGAATTGGTGAATGGCAGGCTCCTGCTCATGAGCACACCAGTGCTCTGCACGGTATCCCTGAAACGTTTCATTACAACCCAACCGATACACAAAGAAAGAGACGAATTACCACACGCCCACAAACTCCACCGAGACGGACCGAGAGAAGGTCTCCTTGAAGCCCTGGGCAAGATCAATGCCATTCTTGCGAGTGTCTTTGTATGCTTTGTAGGCAAAGCTGACTTGCTGCTCGTTTGACTTGGGCAATAGTCCGACCTAAACTCCCCAAACGTCTGTGTAAGTCCTGGGAGAAACCACACGTATGTGACAATATGCACACCTTCTCTAACATCCCGGCTAACGCACGCGCCGTGTATGCTCCACGCGAGAAGCCTAGATAATCGCGTTAGCCGCAACCCTTCATGACGTTAGATCTCTTCTCTAAATGACTCACCGAAAAGCATGATCTTGTCACCTGGGCGATAGTTATCCATGAGGAAGCTATAACCCTGCATGACGTGTTGATCCAGGTACCTTGGAATCGTCGCATTTAGCTGTTGGGAAATGATCAAAGCGCATACATCCACTCACCAAGCAAAGGCCTCGTCTAGGACCTTTCCGAGCCATCCGAGAAGTGGCGACACGACACCCGGCTGGAGGTATGTACCTACACCGGCCTTGGACGCAAGTCAGCACAGCGTCGGAATAAGATCTAGAACCGACGCGACGTACTTGGTAATAGGTCAGTTGTTCAGTTGAGTCTTTCTGAAGCAGACTGAAGAAGTTGACAACGTTCGTGTTCTACATGCCATGGTTGATAAATGAGAACTGCCAATCGTCACAATTGGGCTACGCTTACCGTGGCATCGTACTGTCCTGCTGTGCCGTCAAAGCAGAGGACGAGGTTGCGGCTCTTGCCTGTAGAATAGGCCGGAAGGCCAGCATCTGCGGTTGATACAGACATGTCGTGAAATAGAGGAAGGGAAGGAGAAAGTTCGTGAAGGGTCCTAATAGAGAGAGGATATACGGAAGGATCGAGGCAGAAACGTCAGTGGAATGCGGATGGAGCTGGGTATATACTTGGACGTTGGTGGATCAAAGAAGCATCGAACTCGAGAAATCCGAGAGGGGGGCGTGAGTGCGTTGGCATCCCCAGCGAAGGAATGCCCTCGGTATAAATCCGCGTGGGGGTACTGGATCAAAGACAGCCGGACGTGGAATCGAGACAAGCGCTTCCGTTGCACATGACACCGCCAGGTCACTTTCACAGCTCAACGTCAACGTTTAACAGCTTGGCGTACGATTGGCAGAAGACTAAGTGCAGCTTCTACAATGCCCATAATTGGGCCAACGTACGTACACTATGACAATATGCTACATAATTGCTCCCTGCGCCGTCGGCGTCAATCTATCGTCAAGGATAGCCTTGCACCTCCTGCGCCTCCTCCAGCACCGCTGCCATAAAGCCACCACTCAGTCTCTTTGTCCGGCGACAAATCAAGGAGCCTGCCCATTCAGTTTGCAGGCTGTTTCATTCTGATCAACGCCAGCTCCTCTAGAAGCGTATGATGCCTGTACGCTAGTCTGATGTCTGGGACGTTGGTCTGTGCACAGGGTTTCAATCAACCGATGCGGGCATTATTCACAAATGAAATAAGCGCCGACCTTATGGATATCATTGCCGGCGGCTCCTGGAAGGTACCATTCTTGTCCCAGCCAGTGACGCTTGACCTCCATCTCGAACCCACTCTGTATCACGGAATTACGGGCTAACTCCGCAAGAGAGCTTTGAGGAAGTTTGTAGATCTACAAAAGCAGTCAAATGCCAGACGCATAACGAGAAAATGGAATCTCTCACATGGGCTGCAACACTGTACTCCTCTAGCAACGGTTCCTGGTGGAGGAATCAGCCACCTGAGCTAACGCAACCCCACAGTGGAGCATCACGACTAACCTTGGTGAAATGGAATTGTAGGGGATCATCGGTGCTCAAACTAACGTTCAAGCCCGTCTTGAAGAAGTCCGGAAGCGGATTTCTCTCGTACGTCAAGAACAACGCGTTGTTGCTCAGTGGACTCATCGCGAGTCCGATCTGCTTGAGGTAAAATAGGTATTGCAGCGCAGGCACCTTGCGCAGCAAGATGCCGTGTGAGATGGAATGCGAAGTCAAGAACGCCGCCGTAAGATGATCAGTATCGCCAGCCTCGCCTGCGTGAGGACGGAGGACAAACGTGTCTTAGGGTGATATCAACACGCACGGCCACGTTCAGTACCGCAGACCACTCACTGAAACCCCTGGCCTGCCTCCAACTATTGAGACTGGCCATATTAGCATACATGTAATACATCCTGTGGACTTTGCCTCAGTAATGGGTTTGTGACGAGATACCAGACAACCTCACCAATACGAGTAAGGTGGATTTTGCTTGACGTCCCAAAGGCGGGGAAATGGAAATTTGCGGTGGAACCGCCGTTCCGCTTTTGACTCATCGTCAACGGAGTCAAAACCGATAACTCTCTGCAGGAAGACGTGGAGCTCTGGGTGAGACTTTGGGTCCTTCGTTACCTCAAACAGAGGACGGAACAGATCTTGGCAGTATAAGGGAGTGTTACTAAAGTGACGTCGAATAGACTCACTGACGACAATGTCTTCAAACGTCTGGACCGTCCCGCTCTCTTTGTATATGTGGTAAAGGCGGGGGACCTGGACGAGCCACCGCACGTTGTGGGAAAACAACTTGTTGTTGACGACCCATTTTGCGACGTTATCCCACTCATTTGCCGACCGAGCGTATACACTGACACGCCATTCGCAGTTCTATTGTATCAACCTTAAGCAAGCAAGCCTCACGGGTCTAGCAAGGTCCAAAATACGTACCTGGTATTTGCTCTGTTCTGTATCCGTCATGACCTCTGCAACACAAGATCAGATGAAGAGGGTGTCATGTCAAGTGGCGTGGACCTTACCTTTTGTAAGCTCCGCAAAATATTTCCCCTCTATCTTGTTGTCAATCTTCAAGAAGATTTCCCGTAAGCGAGATTCGCCGAGGGGGTTGTATTTTAGATTAAATTTGTCGAAACGATGGAATGAGTCCTGATGAGCGTGCATGTCAAGTGTGTCAATGGAAAGGTCGTATGCAGACAGCTTCAGAGATTCAAAAACTTGTTCAAGAGTCAAGTGTGCACCATCACGGTATATCACAACGTCCTGATAAATTTAGTTAGCTTCCTGAAAATAATTAGTATAAGGGCGTTGACCTGTGCATTGTGCTTCATCTTTGACTTGATGAAACGGAGTAGATGCTTCTGATTCATGCAGCTCGCCAAATGAACATGCGTGTCCACTTTTCGTACATTATAAAAGTCTCTGCATGACGTTAGAGCATGATTGGAAGGCGTTGAAAGAAAGTTCAAACCTATGAGGAACACTCTATGCGCACATTTAGTAACCAATGGATTTTTCTCGGGGAGACCAAATCCCACCTTCATATCCGCTAGTTCTTGATACTCGTTCAGAAGACTGTACATATCGAACTTGCTCGCTAAATATCGCAGTCTACGATATGCAAAGCTTTTTGCCGGACCATCTGCGATCGCGCCGAGAACGTAGTCGAGGTCCATAAAATACTCTCGGATGGTAGGGATGTCGAATACTGGCTTCCTGTCTTCTAAAAGAGAGAATAATTCTTGTGTAGTTTTGCAAATTATACTGACAGCCCAGTACTTACCTGCAGTCGATTTGTAAACCTGGTATACACCCTTGTCATCGATTTCGAAACTCCAGCTGCTCTGATCAGGGATCTCGCATTTAGCAAAATCAAACTCATCCATCCCGACATCATGTGAGCTATGAACATCAGGTCCCGAAGTCTTATCCTTAGATGCGAAGTGCCAGTGCGGAGGCGGCTTCCTCGGATAGAGCTTCCACGGCTTGTAGGGGCTCTTTGAGAGTTTAGCAGAGGAGTAACTCTTAACCTCAGGGTTCATGCCAGCTACGTCGGAAGCGCCATTGGCCAAGCCGTGGAAGTGACCATCGTGGTCGCGAGGACTGTCTCCGAGCCTCTGCAAGGATCTTCCAATATACTTGTCTCGGAGCTCAAGGCACTTCTGGAAGGACTGAAAGATCCGAGTGAGCTCAGCATTGGCCACCGAGTCGGCTGAGCAAGGGTTCTCAGCACTGGTGACGAAACGAGGAAGTTTGGGCGAGCATACTGTTCATCTTAGTCTCGGGCATAGGCTCCTGTTCGTCATCATCATAGAAGGGAGAAGGCCTGAGCTTCTCATCGCTCTGTTCAGGAGAAGCGACCTCTTGAAGGGCCGTCATCTTGAAGCTGCTACTGAGAGTAGCAGCTGGACCGCCGTGCTCGGACGGAGCAGACGAGACATCGGACGTACGACGCTGGGCCCAATATTTTCCTTCCATCTGATGCTCTTCAGATGGATCTGGAAGAGGACGCCATTCTTAAAGCTAAACGTACGTGTTGGAGACTCTTCTCGTCTGTATACCCATAGAAGCCATCCTTGGGCTCGGGAATGGTCACGCCAGAATGTGACTCGGTGAAGTCGCCAGACATGTTTGACTCCTGGCGCGTCATAGACTGACGAGAGGGTGTCTGGACATCAGAGGACTGATCACTGAGCTTGTATGAGCCGTTGGCTGCTGTAGCGGGGGACATGATGCTGGGTGAAGGGGAAGCAGGGATGCTACTTTAGCTTTAATCTAGAATTTGAGTCGTTGCATGGACAAGGCAATTGGATCCACAAGCTCGGGTCGAAGGCCGGATCCGATCTGTATTGTGTAATTGGCCAATGACGACGCCTGTAAATAGGATCAAACCGAGGTGATTATTCGCCCTTTTCCAGTCCACTTGCGCCTCCTCCACATCATTTAAAGTCCTCGTTCCTCCTAGACGTCGCCCAAGGTAACCCACTCAATCGCGGTCGCCCAAGACCACGCTTTTTTTTATTTCGCGCAATGGGCAACACCGCGTCTAACGCAAACAACCCACATCCGTCGCCTTCGATCAAGCGAGTAGACTCTCCTTCCAGCCGTTCCTCCAGCCACCAACAGTCCCAATCGCCCTCACCCACCCCGAGCCAGCCCCATCGTTCATTAAGAACGAAGAAAAGGTCGCTCGAACTCCCAGACCTCGCCTCCCTTTCCCTCTCACCCTATAATTCGGCCAACACCTCCCCTCATAGTCGCAGGCCGCCACAGACTTCTTCGCCTATTCCAATCCCCATTCCCAATAATGGTCAAAATGGGCAAATCAATAACGCGACGAACACAGGCACATCTCCCCGGGGCAGACAGATGCATCCACAACCGTACATCCCCAGGAACAACGATAGTAACCTCTCCACCGAGCTGTTAGATCAGCCGTCAACGCACATTCCCGTTCGCCGGGGCCACTACATCCGAGGTACCCATTACAGCTCAACTTATTCCATCCAGTCTCGTGGCTCGGCGAACCCAAGGATGCAGGAGCTCTATGTCGCTAGCCAGCAGGAGCCAGAACCTCCCGCTCAAGATGAGTTCGTCCAGGAGGTTGTTCAATCAACCATCCCCCTCGTGCTGCCAAAATCAGACGACGATCCAACTGCACTTCAATCGCCCTTCGACATCGACGAAAACGGGCAGCTCATCTCAAGACCTGGAGATACCCCTGAGGAACCGAGAGAGCCTATATCCGTCAAGATCATTTGGCGTGGTGGTGGAAAGAACGTGGTGTTGGCACGCGCTGGTGATGATAACTGGAAAGGGAGGCAGCCGATGCGGCGGAGGTGCGCTTCACAGTATCATTGCGTCCCGTTGGAGGCTGATTTCGCGCAGTGATTCGCAAGATGATCATTCCTGGTCAACTTATGTCTCCCTCATGCCGGGCACGCATCATATCAGATTCATTGTCGATAACCAGTGGCGACTCGCCGAAGATCTGCCAACAGCAGTTGACGACGAAGGCAGTCTCGCCAACTATGTTGCCGTCCCGATTTCGGGGCTCACCCCGCCATCCGGGGGCGCTGCTGCCGCTCAGCCCCCACCCGCTCAGTATCCTACATCAGCTGCAAAATACCTATCTTTCTGGTCAGAAAGCTCCGCCATGGGGACGGAGGTATTTACTCTCACAGATCCTGAGAGCTACAAGTCGGGATGGACAGATGAAATACCCCCGGAACTCGTCATAGCTGCACGAGAGGAGGAGGCTTATTTGGCGTACACCTCGGGCACTGATTACGAGCTCGGCACACATGACCATGTCCCTGCGCCGAACATCCCGCCTGCTCCTGCCCTTCCGAGGCATCTCGATAAACTCATTCTCAACTCCAAGGCTTCTGGTGGCAGGGGCCGCGATGGCAGGGATCGACAGCGAGAGCGGGATCGTGACCGTGATCGCGATCGCGACCGGGAACACCGACGCAGGCAAGGCCGGTCTATGCTGGGCATGGCGAGCTCTATCGCAGGCGACGTCCTCAGAGAAGACACGATTGCAGGCTCAGAAACCAAGCCTATCCCAATAACAACTGCGAGCGGCGCGGATGTCACTTTTCAACACCTGTCTGCGGCACAAATCTCGGCACAGACGCCGCTCGGTCTTGAGGGCCCCGGTCTCTCGGACGATGCAAGCGTCCTGCCAGTGCCATCTCATGTTGTGCTCCACCACCTAAGCACCAGCGCGATCCGCAACGGTGTCCTTGCCGTTGGAACCACGACACGGTATCGCAAGAAGGTTAGAATATTTTCACTGAAATTTCTTCACCCGGATGCTAATTACTTCTCTTGCAGTTCCTGACCACCATCTATTACAAGCCCACCTAAGAACCACTTGGTGCCCAGTGCCCACCTCTAAATTCAGATCTTCTCCGCTTGGTTTTTTACGCCATTGTACCACACATTGAGTCTCGTTGGCATTTGCCCTCCTGCGCTGTATCGATCTAGACACGTTTCCTTCTTTTATCCATCCACCCAGGTAGCCCCTCATTTGCTCGATTTGTTCTCCAATCAACATCACGTATCCCACGCCCACCCTGCTGCTACCTATCACGCTCCCATCTTGTCGAATCTGCCACACATGAAACATGGTATGGACCACCACCGATCATCATTGTCTGCCGCGTCCTTCCGCTACCACACTCTTGCCATGCTACCGTTACTTATAGACACATCCTGTATCTCCTCATTTGTTCGTTCTCGATAAACTGACAAAGGCAAGTAAATGTACGTAAACCACCCGATATACACACCACCTCTGGATATGCTTTCTTCCTGCTTTGACTATAACGCGTCTCCTCGAGACAATTTTCAGCGCGTACCCAGGCAACATCGTGTTTCCGCGCAATGGAGCTTGTGTGTGATTCGGAGTTCGAGATATACACATGTTGGTATTCAGGATCAGATATTCGTCTAAAATACAGGTGGACAACAGCGACTAGACAAGAGGCGTGAAGGGATTCATTAGTTGAGGCAGGACCATCAAGGTGCTTTGGCGGGCGAGCATGTGAGGGAAAAGAAGATATGCGACCGATTGAAGAGCAGGATAGGAGAGCGTGACCAATGTACAACATGCAAACCAGGATAATCCGATACAGAGAGTTCAGATAGAGCGACCCGGTCGCTCAGAAGGTGTTTGCCCAGACCTTGCAGTCGAATTTGGACGCCCGCGCCATGTCTATCCAAGGGTGTTTCTATGGTAAAAAAAAACACCCATTCAGTATCTTCACATAATATCAGGGTAACGATGGCGATGGGGTACGTACCAGTAGATCCTTTGGCGTCTTCCTGGCATCTGGGTCCTTGAACAGACAGCTGTCGACAAAGTCCTCTGCCTCCCCGGGGAAACGCCCCTCGGGCGTCAACCGCGGTGCGGGCTCGTTCACGATGTGCTGCAGGAGCTCGAGGATGCTCATCATCATGCCGCCGCCCTGCAAACTGACACCCTTGCTCTTTCTCCGGTCCTTCTTCTTGTCCTTTTCCCTCTTGTCGGCAAGCACGCTTTCTGGTGACAACGTCCCTTCAAGGTCGGAGAAGTTATCGTCGTCGTCAGGATCAGATTCGGAGAAGGGGAAGCGTCCAAGAGCGAGTTCGATCAGTGATATTCCCATCGACCAGACGTCCGATTTGACGGTATACTGAGCTCCTTGGATACGCTCCGGCTGTGGGGTATATGTGAGAACTCTGTATGTTGTCAGAGCGATAAAAAGTGAACCCACGCTCATATAGGTGGACGTGCCCACGAAGGTATCAGCAATGGAGTTGATGAGTTCGCCTGAGACACCAAAGTCGCAAATTTTGATTTGCCCCTCCGAGTTGCAGAGGATGTTGGATGGTTTGATGTCTGGGCACATGAGTACCGGTCAACGACACTACGTGAGCTCTTGACTTACCGCGATGTATTATCCGGTGGACGTCGTACAGGTAGGTCAGACCCTCGAGCACAGCAAGAGCGACCTTGCTGACAACCTCGATGTCGATCGCGCCAATCTTCTTGTAAATGCCATCGAGAGAGCCCTTGTCCATGAATTCCATACAGATGCAGATATTGGGGTCTGAAAGGAAAGCGCCATAGAAGGAGATGATGTATGGTGAATGACAGTCGTGCATGATATGCAGTTCTCGTAGAATCTGTTTCCGCACAGAGGGTTTCGCATCAATGAGAACGATCTAATGAAATGGACGTCAGCCGTGAGCCATTCGTCGCTATGCAAGCCGATGCACCTTCTTCGCCATTATCGTCTTGGTGGGTATGTGCTCGACCTTCTTGACACTGCCGCCGTTCCCTTGACCGAGCTCCTGGAGGTCTTTGAGGTCCTCGTTCCGGAGGTCGTAGCGCGTTTCAGCGTTCATGTCGAGGTTGGCGAGCGTATTGGACAAGGTAGTGTGATAAGTGTTTCGACGTCCAGAAGTCGACCCCGACGTGGGTGCAGACGGGAGGTTACTGTCCTGAGGGCCAGGAGCTTCCGAGTCGCCATTGGCTTGTGAGCCACCTATCTTGGGAGCTGCGAGAGTCATCGGCGGGGGACGTTTCTTAGTAGTAGGAGCGGCTCTTGTAGGCTTGGGCTCCTGCTCTTTGGGAGGTGCAGGTGCAGGTGCGGGTGCGGCATGGGCGACATCGAGCTGAAGGGCCTTGAAGTTGCGTTTCTTGCGGATCGGGGTGGTCGCCGCCATGTTCGACGACCTGGGCGCGTGTGGTGGGAGAGAAGAAGGATAAGGGAAGAGGAATCCAGCAACAGAGCTGGGATCGCTACCTGCCGTTACTTGACTTGCCTCACTCGAAATAAACCTCCATTCGTCCAAAACATTTCCTGCATAAACGCGCCTTTGTTTCCATAACAGGCTACTTTACCCTTAAAAGCGCTCTCATTCAGCCACAAAATTTGTTCTTGTGCGCCCACGCGCCCATCGATGCTTCGGGCGCTTAAAGGCGTCGGCTAGCAGATGAATCCCACACTCTTCAATGGCCCCAGCCAACGCGCCGGCGGTGATCGACAGGCACCCCAACGAGTCGATCTTCACCACCTTGACGCATCCTTGCGCCTTACAGTGCAGTTTAGTATCCAATTAGGTGCACTAGTAGTCAATATTATTCTCAATCATTGATAACGTGCAGTTCTGAGACCCGCCGACACCACACTATTGCACCTCATGAGAGCCACCGATTGATATGGATGATTGAAAATGAGGGGGATTTGATATATTACTAGCCTTCGCAGCGCAAGGCACGGACGGCTCACGTATTCAAGCGAGGAGACGGCACCTGGAGCCTGGCAACATATAGTAATGCCACCGTGACTGTGTCAGTTCCTTGCTTCAACACTATTAGCGCTCTGATCCGACAAGTAACATTGATTACTTACTGGCTACTAAGATTTGGATGTTGCACCTGATCTAGAGGTGTTTCACGGACGATATCCTAGCTGCAGACTGAACCGAGTTCAAAGTTTGCACCGCTCCTCATCAGTTTTCGACTATATGCGCATGATCTTCATACTATGTGTCGGCCAATGAAACTGAGCTAAAAGGGATTCCCCACATATGTCATGATTAGCGCGGCTGCTCGCGTGGCTTGAACCGATCGGCAACGGGATTTTGGCGTCATCTCTTCGTCCGAGACTTGGGCCCCCTAGTCAATCCCAGTCGCCATCCGCGTCGACAACAACATTTCCGTCGCTTCAAGCACCAAACGCGAATCACCCTGTTTCTTAATATCACTTATAGCCACCCTTCAGATGTTATTCTTCCCCTGGACGTCATTCGAATATGAATATTCCGACATGTCCGAAAGATCCATTTGTGACCAGAGATGACTCGGTCGCATCGTCCGAGACTTAAGAGCCGCATTCAATACCGTCTATCAGAGCACTCAGACGTACTCAAACGTACCATTACCTCAACAATGGATTCGACGGATACCATCGACCTAGCAGCGCGAACACCACTTCCCTACTCTTCCTCCGACGAGTCTCTTGCTTCCGAAAGGCTAGCCGATACTAGCGCCGAGGAAGGCCTGCGCAACAATGAATCGTCACTGGCCCCAGTGGATGGAGGGTTTGGCGCATGGTCATTTGTAGGCTTGGCGGGTCCAGTCTGATGAAAACAAATGGCTCACTTCCCCTAAGCTAGCCGGCGCATTCATGGTTGAAACCATCGTCTGGGGCTTCTCTATTGCCTACGGCTCATTCTTGAGCGAGTATCTTGCCGACACCAAGTATGCATCCCAGTCTTGGGCAGCAACAGGCTTGCCTCTCGTTGGTCCACTTTCTTCAGGGATTATGTACTGTTCAGGTATAGATCCCTCGCGCTTATCGTAATATTGTTGATACTGACAAGGCGTCAGGGTTCTTTCTTTACCCCACTATCGCCCGCTATCCGTTCGCTCGACGCCCAATGATGTGGGCTGGCACTGCTATCATGTTTCTGAGCTTATTCATTGCGAGCTATACTACCAAGGTAGCCAACATGTTGCCCCACTGAAACATGATTACTTATCGTCTCGTCAAGATCGTTGAGTTGATCATCCTGCAAGGGTGCCTTTATGGCATCGGCGGCGGTAAGATCGCTATCATCAAGAGTTTTGGGATATCGAGCTCACATGAATTGCAGCAATCGTTTATGCACCGACAATCTCATACTTGTCAGAATGGTTCGTCACAAGGCGTGGTATGGCGAATGGAGTCATCTTCGCAGGTACATGCTCTTTGCTGTGCCGAGTCTTTGCAGTGCAACTGAGCATGATTTGGATGATCGCTAGGCACGGCGGCGGGTGGTCTGCTGCTCCCTCTGATCGTCCCCCACTTGATCGCGTCCTACGGGATCCAGAAGGCACTCCGCATCCTCGCCATCGCGTCGACCATAGCACTTGTACCGGCGCTTCCTTTCATCAAAGGCCGCTTGCCTGAGTCTCGGGTCGCTGGCCCTAGGGCCCGATCCTCGGGCTATGGATGGATGCGCAACGAGACAGTGTGGTTTGTGCTCGCAGCAAACACTCTTCAAGGCTTCGGATACTTTGTTCCAACTGTCTGGCTCCCAAGTAAGCCGCGCTTATTCACCTTTGTTTGTTGAATTCTAACCATTGGAATGTTCTTTTGTAGCATTTGCATCAGACCTTGGTCTGAGCAGCGCGAATGCATCGCTCATGCTCGCACTCCTGAATGGTACATTATACTTTTGCGATTTAATCAATGTCTCGCTTACTGACTTTCACATGTGCTGTACAGGCTCCTCCGTCGTGGGTCGTATCGGGCTCGGCTACCTCTCAGACAGGACCGACCCATGGATTCTCGCCATGATAACCCTTTCCCTAGCTTCCGTATCGAGCTTTGTCCTCTGGGGTGTTCTTTCCAACTCCTTGGCAGGCCTTCTTGCATTCGGCATCGCATACGGAAGCATTGCGGGGGGTTGGTCGTCGCTGTGGACAGGCTTCATCAAACCCATTGCCAGTATGTAATTCATAAAACAGATCGTGGCCATAAGCTAACGGCAAGATTACCAGAGGACGACTTGACGCTTTCGACCTCCCTGTACGGCTACCTCCTCTTCTCTCGAGGTTTGGGAAATGTCTTGTCTACGCCTATCTCAACCTCGCTCTCCAGCGGATACGGCTCAGGCTCAGGCCAAAGGCACATCAAGACGGGTTTCGACGTTGCAGGTGGTAAATTTGAAAAGATGATTGTATATGTCGGAGCCTGTTTCGCAGGTGCCACATTGGTGGTTAGCACTCAGTGGGCGCTGCGCCGAATGAAGTCCAGCTCGTAGACGTCGCAGCTTTCTTTTCTACGACATATCTTTCAAAAAGAGTTCTACTCCATCTACAAAAAAACTCCAATTATTTCAAATATTCGTCTATATGTATTACGTGAATATACAATCAAAGCGCCATTCCGGATGGTTCCAGTTCATCATCAACCGACACATGTTCCAATTCGTGGAGATCGACATGCACATGTTCACCCTCACCCTCAGGCACCTCCGGGACTGTGTGCACAGAGCGCACAGAAGGAGGCATAGGAGAGTTGGGCAACGGGGTAACAGGTTCCTTTGGCTCAGTACCCGGGGCTGCAGCGGCAACGTCAGGCGATGTTGGAACCGACGTCGTACTCTGGACGCTCCCACGCGGCAACGAGAAACGGCTCGAGCGGTTGCTCCAGAAGGACTGAATACCAGCACCCCACGAGCTTAGTGACGAACGTACATCCGTCGTCCCGCTCGTGCTGGCGGGGCGCGAGGAAGACGAGCTGCCGACAGAGTCGCGAGAAACCTGCCGGGTCATACCAGGGTTAGGAGGATCAGACGGTGCTGAGACGAGCTCTGGCTCATCTAGCGCCTTCGTCGCATCGGGTGAGGTAGCTGGCGTGGCGCTGGAAAGAGTCGGGGTTGACGTTGCACTGGGGGATCGTTGTTGCCAACGCTCGCGTACGCCTTCGACGGCCTTGAAAAAGTTCGTCGAACCGGTGGTGATTGTCCGGCTGATTACCTCACGGGTAGGACCGAGCTGCTGCTCCAGCTTTAGATCCTGAATTCCTTCTGACAGACGGAGTCCAATGTCGGCGACCGCTGATGGTCTTTGAAGGCATGGGTGTCTGTCGCAAGGTCAAGTCGTACTCGCCATATCCTAGCATCTCAGACATACCGTGGTTCAACAATGTCAAACAAGGTAGGATCAGTGGTGCGGTCCCAGACTTCGTATGCCGATGTCTTCATGAATTCTACAATCCAAGCAGGGTTGAAGTCATCGGCGGACCTCGAATCGCCACCTACGCGATATCAGGAAGGCAAGGTTATCTATGTGTTCGCATCAGACTAACCTGTACCTCCGGTAATAATGACACCATTTCCTTTGCCTTTGGACAAGAAACTCTGGTATTTGATGCTGGACAATGCAGCAGCGACATATTCTTCGAACTATGCAACGCGTCAATAACCTTTTCTGTACAGGACGGACATACAGACCTTCGCGCGTAGATAGTCGTCACTACCTTTGAACCTTAAAAACTCCATGCGTCAAGTCTTGGATGGCATGAAGCGGGTCGTGACTCACCTCACGCTGGGAGTTGCGGGACCGTTGTCCCCCATAGACTCTGTGACATCTTTCACAATTTCGTCCATCCATTTTCGATCAGCGCCAGTCAGGGTAACAAGTCTCTCAAGCCTGGGATTTCTGAACTCAACCGTGCCAGTTTCGGTCTACAGTAAAAAAAAAGTTAGTGACTGATGAGCGAGCGCGCGACCTGTAATGTGAAACGCACATTTACGAGTAGATCAACCTCTTTTTGCTGCGTCACTATGGAGTTGGTACTTCCGCAAAGCCAGCTCTGCGAGTCCCGGAGCATGTCCATTTGATGAAGGGCGACATAAGGTTGGAAGAAAGCATCCTGCAACAAGGATAAGACATAAACCGACGTGAGCAGGTATGGATGATTCAGACCTTTCCAAACAAGTCAAGTGGGAGACCCATAAAAGCCATCATACTCTTTCGGTCTGACGTCTTCAAGGAGTTAGGTCGAGAGAGTGTAGGAGCTCGGGAGGCTAACGGAGGGGATCCACAATCCTCTAGGTTTTGCAATAATCCTTGTACAGAGAAATGTATCAGTAGATTGATTCCCCAAGTTCTTATAATAAATACCTGGTATCAGGGAGATAAGCGAATATTGATAGGTACACAGCCGCTCAACAGGAGGACCTGCAAACATAATCTACGGGAGAATGAGAACGCTATCGGTATGTCGACGCATAAACCAACCTTCTTCTGCAGGATCAATGTTTTCAGCAGAACGAGTGTTCTATGACGGAAAGTGTGCACAAGTTGTCGCCTGCATGGTTGAGCACACTAGCACAAAAGCAAGATAACGAGACACTCACAAACTTGTACCCATGTACAGTCCACTCTCAGTCAGCTGGCTGCGTAAGGAGTTTTCCAACGCCGTAGCAAAATCGCGCAAAATGTCTGTGGACGTGAAGTCTCTGGGGCAGGTATTCATGAGATTTCAAGGACTCCCTGAAAAGTTAATTAACATACCTCTGGTCGAAAAGCGCCCTAGTAACAACACCCAGCTTGTCCCTGAGAGCACAAGCTATAACTTTGAACTGCATAACCAAGATGTATGCTCGTGCTCTCACCGTATAGGTCCAAACACCGGTTTAGATGCAAGTACAACCACAGCTTTCTGGACAATAGATCGTGTCACATCTACGTCCTTGATGAGGAGAGCAGATGCGGCTATTTGGCGATTACAGCTACACTCTCTGTTAGGGTGCAGAAATTTGTTCTGGTAAGAAGAACTTACGATATACCGAATATGGTGGTGGGATTAGGAGACGATGGTACAAGGTGGAAATATGAATAATCTTCTTCGTACTAGACAGGACACTTAGCAAGAGAGCTATGGTAAACAAATAGTATCCCACCAGATGTGCACCATCAGGCAGCGCAAGGAATGGCAACATCCTGGCTACCTCCGCGTCTTCAAATATGTCACCTATGTGGAACTCAATCTTGGGTCCCACCTACAAATACGACATAGGATGAGTATCTGACGGTCATGATGAAGAACTATCTCACCAGATGGTTGAAGTCTACTAGGGCGACTCCTAGGACCAATGGTCCCGCTGGTGGCAGGACAAGCATGGACTCCGGGCGCGCCTTGCGCGAGTACGACGATGAAGATATGGACTCCGCGTCTTCAGGTGATAGCTGCGGTGGGGGGTATGTTGGCAACGGCGCGGTGGCCGAAGTTGCCTTCTCGTCCACATCCTTGAAAGAGAACGCGGCCGAGGGCGCAGCGGATGTAATAGAACTGGCCCGGCGTGGGTCGCCGTCTGCAAAGTTGAGGCTTTGGTCCTCGCTAACTTCGTCCGTCTCCGCGCCAAAGTCAATCTCGACAGAGTCGTGCTCATGGGCGTCCGCAAAGAAGTCTCGCGCTTGAAGAGGTAGATTTGTACTGGAGTGCGCGGGGGAACGGTTTGGTGACGAAAGGGCGACAGATCGTTGGGAAGCAGTCTCGGCGTCGTCGTGCTCGTGCTCAAGCTCGAGGATATGATGTGGCTTGTGTTCTATTCTGTGAACAACTTCTTCGTCCTTGTGAGGATGCTCATGCTCGTCATCGAGTTTGATTTCGTGGGTCTCATGCTCGTCACCGAGTTGGATTTCGTGAGTCTCATTGTCGGAGTCGTGATTATGAGTGTCGGTGGGATCGGACATGTGAGTCGCATGTGAGCCGAGAGGGACGGCAGTGTGAGGCGGGCTGAGAGCAACATCCTCCGTGTCTGACATAGTTGTCTAATGAATGGTGGTTGAAACGATGGATGGGTGGTGCGCAGTATATGAAAGGACAAGCCTGAACATGCAGCAAGCCTGGTAAGCTCTGGCAAGGCGACCAGACGCGGATCGCCTTTTGCCGCTGCTTAGTGTTTTCGATTCCAGTAACCTCCAGCTAGCTGTTCGGGCTCAGTATGCACGGGGAACGACTATCTTCCGTAAACTATAAAGTTCTGCCTATACAGGAGACTAGAGAAGTTGGTACGTATTTCCTCTCCATGCATAACAGACATGTAGGGGCACATGCATATGCAAAGCATTTATAGGGCATGCTTCAAATTGAAACATCTTTCCACGTTCTCGATGCCAGACCAACTGGTCTGCAATCGTCATGTTCTGCAATCATTCTCGCTCCTGTGCCTCGAGCCGTTTCTTAAACCGTTCAATCTTACAGCTTGGACAGGGAAATAACTAGAGGTTTACGTGTTCTAGTTGAACTCCGCACAGACGATCAGACCGTCGAGATCCAGCCCTCTAAACAGGCTGTACACTTGTACTAGATCATCAGGTGTCTGAGATGCGATCACAACGCCAGTGTAAGCAATTAGGACGGCTTCGTCGGACACCTGGACTCAAACGGTACGAGCATTCGCAAACAAATGCTTCTAAAATGTGCGTCGATTCCTCTCGCTTGCCTGGAAACTCTGCTGGGCAGGACCTCCTTCAAGTGGCTTGTTTGTGTCCCATTAGAGAACGCTTCGCGCGGTGATAACACTGGTCAAGAAACCGGAAAGTTTATTCTGGTAAGATGCTGGGACATATCGCACCCATTGAAACCTGGCAACGGTGGTGATGCGCTTCCGCGCTATGTGCCACCTTGCATCTTTTCCCAAGGCGTTAACGCTCTCCCCTGGGTGAAATAGATCCTGTATGTGATGCTCCCGAGGCTATAAACGTTGCAGCACTCCAGTGCTATTCGGTTCGTCTCCTGCCCGCCATTGCTCCCCTTGACGGGGTATGCTCCCATGTCCAACAACGTGACAGTGGACGACGAGGACCCGGGTATGGTGTATTCTCTGTCTTCCATCGCTCCGCAGTGGAATCCACTTGGAGAAAGGACAAGGCATAAAGGGAGTATTAATAAGGGTGGTGGTATACGGGGCGCGTTTGACGGGACTCTGACTGGAACAAGCGAAGCGGGCGCAACCGCCACCTTCTCTTTCAATGGTACGCTATTCATCAGGGAAGTTGCTCAAGTAACCCTGGTAATGACCATAGACTTAGGCACAGGTATCACAGTATACGGCGCATACGGCCCCATCCCGAATAACATTACTGGCGTTTCCACTACAACTCCACCCATCTCAAACTATACCATCGATAGTGGAACTCCTGTATCGTTTTCCGTCGACCTTTTCCCTACGGCAGCGGTTTTCGGCCAACAGTTCTTCGCTACGGATACCTTGAGTGGTGACGCCGAACACACACTCGTTATTACCAATGTTCAGGACGGAGCCTGGTTATGGATTGATGACCTCGTTTTTACTCCCTATGACGGTGCGTCCTCCTGTTCCTGGCCCATTGCCCACTTGCCATACGACCAACGAGCACATTGGTACCTGCAGCATCTCCAGTACCAACACCCAATCCCTCCGTTTCACCCTCACCAAGTGCCACCTTGTCGTCAAGTCATTTGTCTGCTGGGGGGATTGCCGGTGCTGTAATTGGGAGTCTAGCTGCCGTGATTTTGATAGTTGCGGCAGTCTACCGATATCAGTCGCGGCGGAAGCGAGACCTGCGTACAGGCGCATGGTTTTCTGGTTCAAAATGGACAATATCGCAGTGTACTTTGCCAAGATTTCTACGGTCAGACACAGCCACTATTTACCCATCGGACTCGATTAGTTCTCGCAACGTCCCCGTGGATCCACCGCGAAGTCTACCGCACAACCTTCCCCTTCTACCTACGCCAGCCATGGCGGAGCAACGCCAGTTGGTTCACTCTGATCATCAAAACCGGACTCCAATGCCTTACCCAGATCCTCATACGCCTTCTTCTGACATAATTCTGGCTAGAGGAGCGGATGACCATGACATACATGCAAGGAAACCCGGTGAATATCTTTACTAATTTACGGTACACATTTCTCTCGTCGATATTCGTATTTCTCTACCATTCCGCTTCCTTCCGTTTTGTACTCCGGGACCTTCTTGGGCACATATACACAGCGGGAATAGCCCGATAAGTTCTCGGGACTTATGGTGGAAGTATTGAAGACGTATTTTAACTTTGTTTTGCTGGAAAAGCGACACTTATGGTACTTAGCGGGGAGATATTCTGATTAAATTATCTTTTGTGACCAAATTGGCCGTGTCAAGTGTGAATCGCCAAAATTTATTCAAAATGCGTCCTTGGTAAGTTCCAAAATAAGTCTCGCTGTCCTGGCAAAATTTCATTATATTGCATCCACAATATTTCCACAATAAATTCTGAGAACTTATTGGGCTACTCCCCCTGTGTATATCCCCGTGTTTCGAACACTCACTTTCGAACACTCACCCCCTTCAGGTGACAACATTCCGCATTACAACCGCATTGAACTTCTTGGCATTTTGTCTTGCACGCTTGCTTGTACCATAGTTCTACGTCCTCGACAATTGTTTGACCAGAAAATTAGCAATCTCATCGAACTTGGCACCGAGTAGCTCTTCAGCATCAGGCACGTAATCGAACGAATGCTCTTTGCCCTCGACTTCCAGCAAAGTGACGTCCACGTCTGCCTGCTTCAGCAACACATACATATTTCGCGACTCTTGGATTAAGACGGCTGAGTCTTCGGTGCCGTGCGCCAGGTAAATCGGCGGCCAATCTCTCGACACACAGAACTGGGGACAAAGGCTCAGAGACTTCTCCGGAATGAGCTGTCGCGCCTTCTGCCAGACGTCTGCTCCAGGTCTACCAGGGCCAGTCTCGGAAGCCTGATCCACCAATGGTCTTAGCTGGACGCTCAAACTATCGGGCTCGTGCAGATCCGTGTAGTAGTCCACGAACTTTCCCATTTGAAGATATAGCCGCCCGAGGAGCATGCGTGAGTTAGCAGGGTATCCCGGGATGTGGTGCGTCTGTGAGTAATACGCGAGAGGCGAATCTGAAGTTGCGGGAAGATTGCCGAAAGGGTGCAGGAATTCTTCAAAGTCTTGGGGATCTAGCATCTCGCGGCCACGGAAGAAGGGTTTGGTCTTCGGCGTGAGGTAGTGAGGTGTCTGAGAAGCACAGCCAACCTCAGACAGAGAAGAGTACGCGCAGAAACGAGTGGGCTCACGATAAAGTCCCCACCCATCGCATATAATGCAACGACGGCTTTGGGCCGAGGTGTGGCGTGCATAGCTGCAAGATAAGCACACAGGCCACCTGCACTTGTCCCCGCTACCCCGAGAGCTTGAGCGTCGACACATACCCCAGACCGCGCTTGGGCCAGCTCGTCATTAAGACGCGTAGCAACAAAGGCAAATGCATCCTTGATGTCCTCTATCACATCGTGTCCTGTCGACGGTGGAATCAGCCGATAGTCGACGCTAATGAAAACGATGCCACGAGACGAGAGCCGTGCTGTCAAGATTTGAAGATGTCAGTATCAAGTTGGTATCAAGTTAACCGCGAACACGACCGCCCCTGTCTTGAGTCAACTGATCCACTGACTTTGCATCCACGTCGGAAGCCAACTCTTCCGATTTCCTACACCGAATCCACCGCCGTGAAAATAAACGACGGCGGGAACTTCTCGGCTACCACTGACTGCGACTCGGATGTCATGAGGCAGGTATACGTCAATGAGCTGTCGGAGAGCCCCGGTTCGCTTGTACTCAAAAGTTAAGGGAACAGTGCAAGCATCCATAGCGCTGTTTAAAAGAAGCTTCAGCGCTTCTTGGGAAGTGGCTATGCTTCTCAACAATCGTGCCACTAAGCACATTCGTCTCCTGGCGGATGCATCCAGCGAAGGTGATCAAAACTTATACAACGTGGTTACACGGGCCCGAGACAACAGCGATCCTCTATAGTACTTACAACTCGAGAGATCTTGTCTTGCTGGTCCAGTAAGAATACATCCACAAGGACAAGGTGGAGACATATACTACACCCATAACCGCATAATTTGCTTGCATCTTCTCCCAATACTCTATCCATGACCACGTCGGGGAATTGACTGCCTTGATAGCCTTCACTGCCCAATAAACACACAAGCCTACGTTGGCAGCGATAGCGACGGCAGTCATGAGTCTTTCTTTGCGTGCAACCATAGTCCTGCGAATGCGGTCAATCCGCACCATAATGGTCTGATCTGACGGAGGCCCCGCTGCACCAGCGGCATCGATCGCTGCAACCTCGGCGGGTGTCAAGGGCGCTGCAAGTGCTTGAGTGATGGGATATTATTCCACAGTCAAGGTGCACGCACTCAGATCTGCAACTTCCAAGTACTCTCTTAGATGCTCCTCGCTGCGGCTGGTTCTGAGGCGGGAATAAACTAAAACGAAGACTATGGCATGGTCATTGAACACTCACGTCACTATCGCTGCACCCTTGCTAAGCACCCACGCAAATATCATTTGCGTTGGCGTCGCCTTTCGTTGAGCAGCTGATTTAGCCAGGATTTTCCCAAGAGCTCCTTCTGGGTACTTTGTAATAGGGCTGTGTGGTTTTATTTAGTCCGGCTATATGAGACTTGAGAAAATCAACTAACTCCAAGCTGCTGTATGCTTGTACGACGATTCCATGTTCCGCACAGAGTTGCAGCAAGGATTTCTGAGACTCATAGTTGTACGGGTGGAGCTTTATCTGCGACAGGCGTCAGATATTTCACAAGTCATGAAAGAAGATAGCATTCACCTGATTTACGGCAGGTTTGACGTTAGCAACTTTGAGAAGCCTCTGCATCTCTTCGACCCCAAAGTTGCTGACGCCGATGCTCCTGACGAGAAATCAGTGTTCGCGCTACCACAAACAAGAGCTCGACCTACGACGCCAAACCGGTACGTTTGATTAACTCAAACTGAGCCCACCCGGCTGCATAGTCGTCCCCTAGGTACTCGGGGACATGCGACAAGTATAGGTTGACACTGTTCACGCCCAGCTATCAAAAGTGCATTAGCGATTTAGCCATTCATAGTGCATAGAACGTACTCGGGCAATACTGCTGTGAATGTTGTTCAGGATGTGCCCGCCTTCGCCGCACTTGGTTGTTATGAAGAGCTCAGAACGGGGAACGCCAGTTTCCTTGATGGCGAGCCCTACATATTGCTCTGTCTGATAGTCTGACGCAAAATGCGCTCTCTGATCAGGACATCGATGCCTGCTGTTGGTGCTGCATGGATGCTAACGCACTGTATGCGGTATCAAGGTGGTGAAAGCCAACGTCGATAGCTTGCTTCACATATTGAGTAATGTCATGGAATTTCATTGAAGATCCAGAGCCAAATGCGATGACAGGGAGCTTATCAAGCACTGGAGTCAGCGATGGACTGGTTTGATGCGTCTTGAAATCACCTCGTTGCCATCGTTGAGTTTGACCGTTCCAAAGGGCATGGAGGAGTAAGACAAGGATCGTGTGCTTCAAGCCCTGATTTTATCGCGTAGGCACATGCTCGGGTTGTGCTATGTTAGTTTTGCCATAAAAACAGCGCGGCCAGTGCGAGCCTTCCTGTGCGGGAGGTAGCGAGTGCTGTGTGCTATTCACGTCGAAAAGCCCACCCTTATCTCGGCCGAAGCGAGCATTGTTCGGCATTTCCCGACCGTCCTCAATGAGCACACGAGTGACCAGTCTGGGGTGATCAATGGGCTTCTTGGTCGGATGGAGGGGTCATTAGAGCATGCTGGGGTACTCTGACGGCCCGCACACAGAACCTCTGGATATCAAACCCCTTTCTCCCTCCGGCACCAGTTCTAGCACTGCGAGGCGGTCGGTTTCTGATAGTGCCAGCAGCTCGGATGCTCCCCCCAGGAAACGTCCAAGACACGACACATCCTCAAGCACTGCGTCCATAATGACGACCACGAGAGCGTTGACTGTCGAAGCGGACTCCAAGGCCAGTCTCGTAACAAGGGACTCGGACTTTTACTTCGACGATGGAAGCTGTGTGCTTCAGGTCGAGAACACCCTGTTCAATGTATGCATCTCGTGTCTACAACAAATGTTATGCTGGTTACAACCTTAACTCCTCGTCATCCCAGGTGCATCGCACGATGCTCAACAAAGACTCGTCATCATTTGGAGAGATGTTCCAGCTCCCACAGGGCTCCAAACCAGCGGAAGGCCAGACAGACGACAATCCCGTCTATCTGCCAGGAGACACCGCGGAGGAGTTCAGAAATTTCCTCTGGGCGTTATACGCACTGTGCGCACCAACCTGCGCTGCTTCTACCCCTCGCATCTCATCGACTGGTATTATAGGCCCTCCGAACTGATGACTATCAGTTCTGCGCAAATCGAGCTTGGACGCATAATTGACATTGCATCTGTGGCAAACAAGTACTCCTTCAGGACGACTGAGACGTGGGCGCTGGACGCAATTCGTCAGTTTACAGAGCGCAAACCCTCGGTGCTCATACCGGCTGCGTTCCCCACGCCATCAAGTTTGCCTGCTATGGGGAACAAGGACATCATCGCTCGACTCGTGAGGCTAGCACAGAAGTGCGGCCATGCTCGTCTCCTCGAGAGCATGGTCAACGTGTTAACTCATCGCATGAAGACATCCGTACAATTCGCTTACCTTGCCATGACACTGGGCGATGAATACGACATCCGTGGTCTCCGTGGTGCAGGCTACCTCGAGGTCCTTCTCAACGCCAACTTCGTCTGTTCTACGGACCACTCTTCAGGTGGCTTGGTAGAGGGGGACATTCAAACGGAGGCGGGGAAGAACCGCCTTGTCATCAGCTCCACCCAACGGTTGCGCCTCCTGTCGGGATACCAACGTCTGTCCAAGACATGGGATCGCCTACGTGCCAATGCACCTCAGTTCGACCACGTCCCTCCGTGCAGCGCAGAGTGGCATTCTCATGGGTGTACGCAAAGCTGGGTTGAGTTTTGGAAGGAGAAGACGCGCAGTGAAGCCGTGCTGTCTTTGTCCTCCGCAGATGTGTTGGGTCGCCTTGGAATTTTCGTCAAGGAGTTTGACAAGTGGGGCTCTGCGAACTTTATGCACCACGAGTGCAAGAACATTGCCCGTAGGTCCATACACGAGAAGATTAACTCGATCCGCGAAGCTCTCCCAGATTACTTCCACGAAGGAGGGGACTACTGATGCGAGGACACTTGTGGACTTTATTCGCTTTTCACTATGTTATTAGTATAATGTTTCAGTGCTACAATGGTATGGGGAGATAGATGAACTATTCTATGTTATACAGATGCTTTGGATTATGGACTTTTGGCTTTTCCTCTGCTTGCATTCTTGGCTGTCATAGCTGTCATTATACTGTCGTTCGTTGTGAGCATGGGATCAACTGCCTGCAATGTCCTGTTCCATGGGCCATCCGACAACGTTGGTGGTTCGGAGCTGCCTCCAATGTTCGCGTCCATCATATCACGCATGAGGTCGTCGACCTGGTCAGAGGTTGGAAGCTTTTCGAGACCGATGCGTGAGCCGCGCAAGAGCATCTGCTCGAACATCTCATCTTCGTCGAGCTGTTGAATCTGTGCACGGAAGCCATTTAGGATCTTGTGGAACAATACTAGGACAGATTCAAGAGCATAAGCGGAGTTTGGTCGTTGGGCGCTTGACGAGGGGCTTACCTTTCTCTTCCTCTGGGTTTTTGGGCTGTTGTATCAAGGGGTCCACGAGGTCGCGTTCGTTGTCCTTGGGCCCGTCGAGGTCGAGCTTTGACATCCACTTATGCTCGAATTCATCGTCAGAGAGTGCTGCATCGGACAGCGCGGTTTGATCTGGGCCATACTCCGTGCCTACAGAACTTGCCGGAGACGGAGGCCGGATGACGGGGGGCGCGTATGGCGGGTCGGCGGTATGGATGTGCTGAGCGTTGGGCATGACGGGGAGCAGATGTGAACTAGGAATAAATAAGAGCAACGCGATAGGATAGAAGACAGATCTATAGTCCGGGAGGCCCGGATGCTGCTTCGAGATCCTGACCAATTAATCCGCTGACACACGCGTCGCGCTCGAGGCAAGAGAAACGCGTACCAAATACAAGAAAACAACGCGTTAATTTCCTGGTTGATTAGCGCGTCTCGTCACGTCACAGATCACAGGATAACTGCTCGAGTGCTCTCCGGAAACCCAAGCAGCGCGTGCAAAATTCTCGTTCGAGTTCCATAATCTTCAGAATACTCTGAAACAGGGTGGACGAAAGGACCAACTGCGCGATAGAGATCAGGAAAACGAGGCGGCGAGTTTGCGTATTATACGCGTGTATCATTAATTTCGTGAGCACATGTCAGATGCTTAGTCAGGTGACGCGCTACTTAAAATGTGCGCGTCGCGTTTCGTCTTTCCTTCACCTCGTCCACCACCTCCCAGTCTCTCTTCCTTCACCTTGACCCCCTTGTACACTACCACACTCTCAGGGGACAAAACATCATGTCTTTTGTTTTCAAGCGCGGTACGTAATCCCCTCGCTTGTGTTTCGACTATGCGCTCATCGATGCTCGGTAACTTTTGCAGATGGGTAAGCGAACACGAGGCCTTCGTGCGATATGAACCAAAGCTAAAATCGACGCGTTTTCAGACGTCGGGAGACTGTCCAGTTTGACAAGGTAGCTCTTTCGCTACTCCTGACGCGTCGTATGCTCACAACTCGTAGATCACTGCACGCATCGCCAAGCTGTGCTACGGCTTGGACGCACGATATGTCGATACCATCGAGTAAGCAGCTTATCTCATGATCAAAACCGTTCTTCTCAGCCTTTCTATCAAGGGTGGCAAAGAAGGTGATCGCCGGTGTCTACCAGGGTGTCACCACCGTCGAGCTCGACGTACGCCATCCTTTATCTGTCCCCCTATTTCTTTATTGACTCCGGGTTAAGAACCTTGCCGCCGAGACCGCCGCTTACCTCACCACGAAACATCCCGACTACGCTATCCTTGCTGCGCGTATTGCCATCTCCAACCTCCACAAGGAAACGAAAAAGAGCTTCTCGCAAGTGACCAAGGATCTATATGAGTATGGTGCGTACTCATGTGTGAAACATCATACCGTAATTTGTCTGACCGATTCTCAGTTAACCCCAAGAACGGCAAGCTCGCCAGCATGGTCTCGAAAGAAACCTACGATATCGTTCAGGCCAATGCTGAACTGCTTGACTCTGCGATCATCTACAACCGTGACTTCAGCTACAACTAGTATGTTGATTCATGTCTTATTCGGGTATAATGACTGACCACATCTTAGCTTTGGCTTCAAAACTCTTGAGCGCTCGTACCTCCTGAGAATCAACGGCCGTGTCGCTGAGCGACCGCAGCACATGATCATGCGTGTCGCCATTGGCATTCATGGCGATGACATCGAGCATGTCCTCGAGACATACAACCTGATGTCCGAGCGCTTCTTCACCCACGCTTCGCCAACGCTCTTCAACGCCGGCACCCCTCACCCTCAGATGGCCTCCTGCTTCCTTGTCTGCATGAAGGATGACTCCATCGAAGGCATCTACGATACCCTCCGGCAATGTGCTATGATTAGTAAGACCGCTGGTGGTATCGGTATGAACATTCATTGCATTCGTGCAACGAAGTATGTGTATCCCAATAACCCTTCTTTCTCGTGCTAATCGCCCTATTAACAGCTCTTACATTGCTGGCACTAACGGTTATTCCAACGGCATTGTACCCATGCTTCGTGTCTTCGACTCGACAGCCCGTTATGTTGACCAAGGAGGCAACAAGCGCCCAGGTGCCTTCGCCATCTATATCGAGCCCTGGCACCCTGATATCTTGGACTTTTGTGACCTCCGGAAGAACCACGGTAAAGAAGAATCCCGCGCCCGTGACCTCTTCTATGCTTTATGGATCAACGACCTCTTGTAAGTTCATTGTCTTCAAGTTTATCGAGTGCTAGACTAACCTTGCAATCAGTATGAAACGGGTGGAGGCCGACGAGGACTGGTCCCTTTTCTGCCCTAATGAAGCTCCCGGTCTCGCTGACGTCTGGGGCGATGAATTTGAGACACTGTACTTGAAGTACGAGAAGGAGGGTCGTGCAAGGCGTACCATGCCCGCCCAGAAGCTCTGGTACTCTATCCTCGAATCTCAGATCGAGACCGGTGGTCCGTTCATGCTCTACAAGGACTCTGCGAATCGCAAGTCGAACCAGCAGAACCTCGGTACGATCAAGTCGTCCAACTTGTGCACTGAGATCATTGAGTACTCCTCGCCCGAGGAAACCGCCGTCTGCAACCTTGCCTCCCTCGCTCTCCCTACCTTTATCCGCGACGGCAAGTACGACTTCAAGACGCTGCACGATGTCTCCAAGGTTCTTACGTACAACTTGAACCGAATCATTGACCGAAACTACTACCCGGTCCCCGAAGCCGAGCGTTCAAACATGCGTCACCGTCCCATTGGTCTCGGCGTACAGGGTCTTGCGGATGCCTTCATGATTCTTCGCATGCCCTTCGACTCTCCCGAGGCTCGCAGGCTTAACTTGCAAATCTTCGAGACCATCTACCACGCCGCTCTCGAAGCCAGCAGTGAGCTTGCTGAGAAGCTTGGGCCCTACGAGACCTACAAGGGCAGTCCCGCTGAGCAAGGCCAGTTGCAGTACGATCTCTGGGGAGTTACCCCCACTGACCTCTGGGACTGGACTGAGCTCAAGGCCAAGATCGCTCGTCACGGTCTCAGGAACTCCCTCCTCGTCGCCCCCATGCCGACTGCCTCGACCAGTCAGATTCTCGGTAACAACGAGTGCTTCGAGCCCTATACGAGCAACATCTACACCCGCCGTGTGCTCGCTGGCGAGTTCCAGGTCGTCTGTCCCTGGCTCCTGCGCGACCTCGTCGAGCGTGACCTGTGGAACGATGACATGAAGAACATGATCATCGCGCACAACGGTTCGGTCGCCAATATTCCGTCCATCCCCGAAGATATCAAGCAGATCTACAAGACCGTCTGGGAGATCTCGCAGAAGGTCGTCATCGACCTCGCCGCCGACCGCGGCGCGTTCATCTGCCAGAGCCAGTCGCTCAACGTCCACCTGCAGGCGCCGACGCTCCGCCAGCTGACGAGCATGCACTTTTACGGCTGGAAGAAGGGTCTCAAGACGGGCATGTACTACCTCCGCACGCGCCCCGCCTCGCAGGCGATCCAGTTCACCATCGAGCAGAGCGTCATCCAGAATGCCAAGGCAGCGCAGAACGCCGCTGTCAAGGCGCCTGGCGCTGCCGCCGGCATCCCCACGCCTTCTGCATCGCCCTCGCCCGCACGCCCCGCCGCACGCCCCACTCAGGCTTCTGAGTCGGACGTGACGGAGGCACTGAGCAACCTCTCGGTCGCGGGGTCCTCGACGGCATCTGCCTCTATCGTGGAGACGACGGTCACGAGCACCTCCGTAGGAACTTCAGCCTCGGGCACACCTGGGTTGACTGAAGCTCAGGAGAAGGCGGCGGCCGAGGATCCCGAGTTTGCCGCTGCTCTGCAACGGCAGCGCGAGCGTCAAGAGGCTATCCTCGCATGCTCGATAGAAAACAAGGACGCGTGCCTCATGTGCTCTGGCTGAGAGTCGCTGGTCGTAGATGATGGTTCCCCTTCTGCTTCTTAGTCTCTCGTACATCGCACACCTACATGTCCACTCCTACCCATTGCATTTGATCTCGCTATCTTGTCTTACCTTGTCTCCAGTTCCCTCGTGTATGTCATAGAACCACTAATGAATGTATTCCATCTGAAATGACTGAAAAAGATACACGTCTGAGTATGGACAAGCGCTAGCAAGATAAATAATAGGCATATGTAAATGAATCGTCCGGCGAACGCAAATTACGTTCCTAGTGGGGTATGGTAACACAGGAATCTACACGGAATCATGCATGTGTCCCAGATAAAACGACAAAGGTGATACGGAAAAATACAGAATAATTACAAGCTACAGGGGCAGCAGGGGTCATAACACTACGGGGCAAGCTTTCTAAAATCTAGAAGCCCTGCTGGTCCGAGCGTTGTAAGTTCGTGATGTCGATCGTTCGATCACAGCCGGTTGACGGTAAGGATCGCGACGCGGCCGTCCTGTGCGATCTTGTGATTTACGCCTGCGAGCGGGTGAGCAGGGCATCGTGGAATGCAGAGGGGGATGGATCTGGAGAAGCCACCACGACGTACCTTTGTGTCCAGGCGCCAGTAGTCCCTCCCGCCATTCCACATCGACCTGCCACCACATGCCGTTCCAGTGCGTCACTCCGGCGGCGTTCTCGACGAGGAGGTCGCGCCCGATGTTGTAGCCGTCTGGTACGATCATGTGGTTCTTTGACGAGTTCTGCGTGAGGTTTGACATTAGTCAGTGGAACTGTGGGAGACAGTAGATGCGTCAAATGAACATACCTCTTCCTTGGAGACGCTAACCGGCGAAATTCCAAGTGAATGCAACGATGAGCGGTTTAATTTGGCATGCGTGTGCAACGGCGACTCACGCAAGGAACCATGCACCCGTGTCCGCATCTGTGCCGTTCTGCTTCCACGCTCGGAAGTGGTTGCCGCCTGCGATGCTCTCCCAGCAAGTTCCCCAGCGAGGGAAGTAGTATTGCCGCGCGAGAATATGCTCTCCCTTGCGCCCTTCGCCATCGCCCAGGTCGGCGTCGTGTATATGACCTATGTGCAACCCCAGACATTCCTCCGAGAAGCCTATTGACCTAATAAGAGGCGTGAGTACGCAGTGTCGGGAAGGTAAGGAGAGAAAGAAGAGGGGGTACGCACTTGTAGTAGGCGCGGAAACCGGGTTCGGTGAGGATGTATGGGTCGGACTCGTTGGAGATGATCACGTTCAATGGTTCTCCGGCCTTGGGGGTCGTGAACTAGACGCTTATGTGAGTAAGGCAACTGAGCCGAGTTGGTGTCTCGTGGAACTCACGTCGAGGAAGCGCCCGCCGTTGAGACGAGGATCTGCCCATCCGACCTCGTACTCACTTGGCTTGGCAAGTGCAGCGGGAGGGTTGGGATGCCGAAGATGGTCATAAGCGTCGAGGACAGCCTCCCATGCAGCCAAGGGAATGGTGAGGGAGAGAACGGGCGATGCACAAGCTGCTAGGAGAAGGTGAGCGGGGCGCATGACGGGAGAGATAAGGCGACCAGCGGCGAATCGAGCTGGCAGAGAAAGACAAGGGCGAGGAAAGGAGTGCCTGGGTAACGGACCGAGGATAAATAGCAGCGATCCTAAATAATAGCGGTGTGAGCTTGTTGCGGGGGCGCAACAGCACGGAAAGGGCGTGGCGTGTCGCGTCGGAACGCTGGCAAACGCACCAACGATTGATTTCGATTTCCTTCCGCGCCCCAGTCGGCAAACCTCAACCTGACAAGATGACGTCGTTTCCTGTCACTGCTCCGTCGGCTAGCGAAGCTCCAGTTTAAGTACTTTAGGTTTAGTATTTTTGAGATCGTGATCGTCTTCGAAGCAGGACATTGCATGGACTCGGTCATCTGCTCATTCCATCACCCATTCATTATCCGTTCTCAAACCCGTGGTGATTGACCGACTGGATTCTCACCAGCTGCAGATTTGCACGCCATCGTCTCGGTGCCTGACGTGGGGTTGGCACGTCTAAACACGTCTTCTCTTCTTACCATGCTACATATCCTTCGACATGCAACCTTATTCAGGCTAGCACAATTTTCCAGCAATCGAACTCTCATATGGCGGCCAGGTGACTTCCTCATAACCTGACTCGGGCCGTTCTGGAGTACGTATCGATCCCAATGTTTCTGGACTTATGTTGGTCAACTCTCTGGAATGATCGAGAGCCCTGCCTACAAACTACTGCTGCCTGATATCTGCAGGGCTTCGAGTACTGGTCTGTCGGGACCTAAGATCATCTTCAATTCATTCCTTGACCGAGTCTTCTGTTTCGGATTGCGTAACGCGAGCCCCTCGATGCATAGTAAAAATGACGTCTCTTCCGCTCTCCTAAAGCTCGGTGATTGGTATATATAGGTAAAGCAAAAATGTGGGGACTGGCAATTCAAAAAGCTCGCCGCTCCCAACCATGGCCAACCTAGCAGCCTGGCTAGCATCTGCTCGAACACTCGATCTCATCATAGCATCTCTCGCCGTTTGGCTTATGTCCTTGATCTTATGTGCAGATCATCCTCAACCCAATAGTAGACGACTCAAAGCGGAGGATCTTGCAGACACTCAGTTTGACTAGGCTGTGCCTGGCGCGAACGGACTTGTTGCCCGTGTAAGCTTAACCTTTCGTCACTTTTGCTGTGATCACTCATCTTATTGTAGAACATCCCGTGTCTGTACAAGGCCATCATAAAGTAGTTACCTCAAGTCGGAATGCTGGCTGTCCAGTATTGAGCAGGACGCGGGAACGTGAATTCTACCACATGTGTATTATATCATACATCAGGAACAGTGGTCTCAACATAAACGTTTATGTTGACCTCCTTGTCTTCAATGAGTGTTGACATAGGTGACTCGGAAGGAGTGCCATATGCATGTTCTTGCACCATAGTAGCCCCTATCCTGATGTACTGTTCGGACATATCCGAAGACCGGACATCCATGTGCAGTGCCGTTCAGTCGCGTCTCTTGATCGCGTCGCGTGTAATGACAGTCCCTCATTAGTCCCTCATTGACTCAAGGACGTACATTCATGGCCACGGACGCTCTTCGAGCTCAGGTTGCCGCAAAATGGCAGGAATCATTCAACCGCCTCAACCGGAGTGAGCCAGGGATAACGGGCCTGATGTCATTCAGTGAGGTAGGCATCTTCAGCTCCGTCAACGACAAGACGGTACACACCTCCTCCCCAAGGCTTGGAACATCGCGATAGAAGCACTGAGGCCAAAGGATTTAAGCATTTCCCCCACCGATACCACTTCTTCCCTCCAACGCTGGAACGCAGTCAAGCCGTCTAAGCAACAAGTTCGGAATGCGTTTGCGCTTGTGAACCAATGCAGGAAGCTTCCCCATCTGCTCGAGGTGTTCTTGGGTAAGCGCGAGAGCTTGGTATCCCTGCATGCATTTGAACGCCCTGGCAGAGGAGATGCGCAAGAAGCAACCCTTGATCACACGCGAGGTCATAATGTACATGGAGAGCTACGAGGTAGGCATTGTCGTGAACATGACCGTACATGAGGCTTCATTTGGCATTCTGAAAGAGCACCAACGACGTTCAAATTGTCACGAAACTCATCGGCAGACTAGTCGAGTGGTACGAAGCGTGGATGCCAAACCCAGAGTAAGGCGCAGCATGAGTGTATGCCCATCCCACAGCACTCAACGTTCCACTATCTAGACTAGGACTCGGGCCCATACCAACGACCACATATACCGCCTCTTTCCACACGTTTCTGTTCTCGATCCTTCCGCCCACCTTCTCAGCAGGGTTCAAAGCGCTAGTGGAAACCACCATCCGAAGTCCACCGCACACGTTCTCCCACCTATGGCCGATCTTTGAGTCCCTGGGCCTCATTGACCGTTACGAGACACTCATCGCCAGCGTTGGGTACGAGTTCATCGAGGCGCATGTGAAGGAGACCTGCCAGCAGCGGTGGGGACAGCCGTTGCTTCCCCAGCTCCGGACGTGGATGGCGGACACGGTGGTACCCTGGATGCTGTCACCTTACGCTCGCGGTGCAAAGAATGGTACTTTTCATGATGCCTCGTTTTGTGCTTGTCATTTGACTTGGATGTAGTTGACGAGGCGAAGGTGATGATGCAAGGCGTCGGATCACGCTTCGACTTCCACATGCACAAAACGTTGTGCGACCTTAGGTAAGTTATGAAGCTACTTCGAGAGGGGCTGTTCATGAGGCTTCATCAGAACGAGTGAAATATTCGGAATCATCGTTGACTATCCCGATTCTACCGGCGCGCTGCAAGACCTGAAGGTACCGATTTTGTGCTGCTGCCGAAATGTCACTGAACGATTCTATAGGAATGTATGAATCGAGTGGATCAGCGGTCCGACCTGGTGCACGCACTTCGGCAAACGTGAGTATCATTTCGTTAGGTGAAGAATGATGAACTGAGCAACGCCTTTCTTCAAGCAACAAGCGGCGTCTCCTACATCCAGGAGCGGATACAAAGGATATTCTCGCACAATACGTGTCTACAATCAAGTGTCTCCGTGTGATTGATCCCCCGGGTGTGCTTTTGTACAAAGTAGCGGATCCCATTCGCCGCTATCTGAGGTGAGGGAAATGGAGTCGAACGAACCAAATAGGCGTCTAAATGCGTTGCGTTTCAGAGAACGGCCGGATACAATCAGGTGTATTGTCGCTAGCTTGGTCGGCGATGGCGAAAGCGGGGATTCGTTAGTCGACGATAATGAACCTATTCAACCTCTCCAGCAGCCGGACGTTGAGAACTACACGGACCCGGAGTGGAATCCCGAACCCATCGATGCAGGGCCAGGTGAAGTGGCTGGCATTTGCTGACGCCCAGTACTGATGTTCTAATCTGAAGACTTCCGAGCGAACAAACCTAGCGATGTCATCAGCACACTTGTCAGTATCTATGATTCGAAGGACCTGTTCATCAAGGAGCTTCAGGTTTTGCTTGCGCAACGCCTGTTAGCTGTAACGGATGGTAACTATGACCGGGAGGTAGGGCGCAGCATTCGTTCTGCAAACTTTGTAGCTAAGGCACACACATATCAGCGTCGGAACGTTGAGATTCTCAAGATCAGATTCGGAGAACCGGCGCTGCAAGTTTGCGAAGTCATGTTGAAGGACATGGACGACTCGCGACGGACGGATCAACATGTCCAATCTCAAAAGACGGTGGGTTGTAGCCTCTTGCTATGCGGGAGGAGCAAGCTGACACGGCACGGGCAGAGCGACATGCATCCCACTATCATATCCCGTCACTTCTGGCCCACTCTTGAGACCAGCGACTTGAAGATGCCGGGCCAGTTCAAGGCGTACGTACTTACGGCCCCTAGGTCGGGATTCAGAGTTTGACTTGAGGTACCCTAGGCTCCAGGAACGGTACGCAAAAGAATATTCTGTCTTCAAGCCAGACAAGTACCTCAAGTGGCTTCCGAACCTTGGGCGCGTACATTTGGAGCTTGAGCTTGAGGATCGCACAGTGGACGCTGATGTGCCTCCGCTCGAGGCAGCGTTCATCGAGCTTTTCTCGGAGAAAGGTATGGGGGTTCATTGATGGTGGGAGCCACCCACTAAGCAGAATGATCCTTAGATGTATGGGCTGTCGATGATCTGATGTCCAAGGTTGGGACGGTGCCTCGAAGTGCCGCACTCAAAGCATTAGGTACATGGGTAGACTTGCACGTCCTGACGGAGGATTCCGAAGGCGTGTTCCGTCTGCTGAATGTCACGGAAGATACGGGAGCCAGGGCACCCGTGCCTAGACCAGGTGCGCTTTTCTGTCTAGAACTTTCCTTGCAATTTCTTTTCTTTCTTTTTTCTTCCTTGGAAACTGACCGATGCATACCGGTGTATAGGAGCGGAAGAAGAGTTACCCTCAATCATGAGCGTGCAGCAGCAACAAGCAGAACAAATGAAGGTTTACTGGAAGGTGTGTTCACGCCGTGACGGCATCACCCAAGTTGACAACACGAGTTGACTTGTTTCCGCAGTTCGTTGAAGGGATGTTAACGAACCTGGGTGCGCTTAGTCTGGATCGCATCCAGACCATGCTAAAGATCGCCCCTGGTTATGATCGGACCATTGAGCAACTTGCAGGGTTTATGGAGGCCGCACGCAGGGAAGGTCATGTTTCAGTCAAGGATGGGATGTGGAAGCTCGCTCGTTGACTCGTTTTACTAGTGTTTTACTTCATAAACAATGTGCCCTCGCTAGAAGTGAAAGAAAAAGAGTCGGGGTGACGCGCCCGATGCGTGCCGCTTGTTGGAGTAAAAAGGTTCCATGACCATCTGAATTCTGCTTCCACGGACCTAAGCGACGGAAGTGAAGTTGATCCCGGATCAATACATAATTGGTTCGAAAGAAGAGGTAAGAAGTATGTAAGAACGTGACATCCTTACGTTATGTCCGTTCAATGTACGGCAGGGCGCGTCGGGGCGCGTTTCAAGCCGCCATGGTCGCTGCGTGTTCTCGCCAAGAGCTGAACCCCAACAGACTCCAACCAATCCCCTTGCCTTAGTCTGTGCTTCTGGACGGGGTGCGGCGCCCGTTACTGGAAACTTGGATGCAAGAACATGACACGGTGAGTCGGGCGAGGCCTAGAAAGTGGTGCGCCGATGGCAACGTCGCGCCCTTCGCTTTCTCCATGTGACAGTTTGTTGAGCAATTATTGCAATCATGACATGCGGGGTCTATCCGGATCCGAATAACTGTGAAGCACCGGTACACCAAATTTCGATTCGCTGTGCACATATGATTTGGCGACCCTTGAGGGTCCACGAGCCCGAAGGGTATAAAACCAGGGCGAACTGGGGAAAAAATCTTCAGCACCACTCATTTTCTTTCTCTCACCTCACTCTCCTCACCTCGATCCACTATGACCCAGACTGAGCTTTGGTTGTCCTACCACCAGCGTTCGCGCTGCGACAAGCCCTCTGCGTCTCAGCTCATCGAGCTCGAGTTCGCCAACCAGAAGCTGGCCGACCTCGAGGACGTCCTCGACCACCTCTTCGCCCAGGGCTTCGTCGAGGCGAAGTACCGCTCGTTGACGTGGTGGGAGAAGCACGAAGGCCACAAGATTGGTGGCAGCACCGTCGTTGAGGAGCTCCTCAACAGCGGCGTCGGCAAGTGCCCTGAGAGCGCGCTCAGGCTCGTCATCGGTGAGGATACCTCCCCAAATTATGGGCCCGAATTTTATTGCTGACGTGTTCTTTTATTCATTAGCCGACCGTGCCCCCGCTGTGTGGTTCAGCTACGAGTACGTCCACAACCCCAACGAGATCGCTGCCTCGCAGCGCATCAAGCTCGATAGCCACGAGAAGCTCGAGCTCATTGGCCACCTCACCAACTACGTCTTCAAGCACGGCTACCTCTCGCCTGAGCTGAGGTCCCGTGTGTACTGGAAGGGCTCGTGCGGTACTCGCCTCGAGGAGAGCGCCAGGCTCGATGACCTCCTGTTCCGTGGTGATGGTGTCACTGAGACTAAGGGCCTTCGCCTGGTCATCGGTTAGTGTGCCGTACTCTTTTACCCGAGGTTTGTCTGACAATATACCGCAGACCATACCCCGGTCCTCCACGTCCCCGCTCGCCGGATCTGCGCTTAAATGCATGGCTTGATGACGACCCATGGCCTATGGTCGTGGAGTTTTTCAAAAATGCATGTATAATGTTGCTGGTCTTGCACAGCGTATTGCTCTATCTTCATATACTTTAGCATAGAACCTTTTTAGCACAGCTTAGGATTCGGTAATGAGATGGAATGATTGATGCCTGTTACACCTAAGCTGATGTGACTTTGAGTAAGCCGCTATGGAGCCGGAGGTGCGGCAAAGAGCGACGCGACGCGACGCGTTAGTGACGCGTTGTGGTGCAGATTCAGGGCCGGTGCGCTCGTGGTGTTGTCGGTGTCTCAGACATTTACCGGTTAGCGTATAGGATTAGGGCGCATTCCCACAGCACTACTGAGTATTACCCTCGAGCAATCAGTTGATTAACCCCTCAAGGCGACCCTTACTCTTCTCATCATCATCGTTCCCCTTTCTCCCTCGTCATGGGCAAACGCACATACTCAGCCCTGTCCCAGCCAAGGCTCTCTATGAGCGAGCTGGTCTGCAAGACCCTTGATCATGAAGTAACAGATATGCTCATCGACAAATGGCTTGAACACAGGAACGACGCATACTGGGATTGGTTTCAGGCAGTCCGTGAAAGAAAGCACGCTGCAAACGCTCTGAGACGTCAGATTGTCGTCTGGAATAAGGGCGAGTTCGTTCCAGAGAATGTCTTTTGCCGCACAGTCGATACAGGGCGCCTCATACCCCTCGATCGGACGTGGACCACCCACGTTTACCATCACAAGTCAATGCAGGATAGAAAGCTCTCCATGATGCCCGTCGTTTTCACTATGGTACGTCTCTCAGATGGATCAACTCTCATTGACAGCTCAATCATCGCCAGCTCCCTGAACTGATGCTACTAAGAGGCATGCACGATCACGGTTGCGACGACATCTACATCATCGTCACCGACATGAAACGACAAGAGATGGACGATGTCACGGAGTACTTCAAGCTCGTATGTCAACAGACAATAGGACGGACGTGCAAACCGAGCATGGAAAGGAAGATCCAGTATGAGCGTAAGCGCCCTGCCCTTGCTGTGAGCGCTCCTGTTCACGCGCGTCTCACCCAGACATGCGATTGAGTCACACCCTCCTCAAACAACGCCGAACGCCATGCTTCCCCCAAATTGATATCGCCTTCCGATCGATCCTCTATGAGAAAAAGCCGCCGTTTATAATCCTCTTCTCCCACCAGACAACGTCCTACTCTCAGATCCTCTTTACCCACCCCCTCTTCGTGCCATGCGAAGATATATTCTTTGATTTCCCGAGTGGTTGCCCAAACCCATGTTGCAACGACGACTGCGAGATGATCCGATTCCCAAGGCGAGGTGTAGAGGGTGCCGCTATACTTTCGTTAAAGCGGGGTCGGGGCTGGGGGAAGAAGGTCAAAGCGAAGGAGATGTGCAATTGGATCGACTGTGACGTCTGCTTCAGTGAAGAGATTGCCCATTCCAATTCGAGCTCAGAGGGTTCCCAGACCAGCGGAGAAAGCGTGGATACCTCCCTTTCGGGCAGCAACGGTCTCGTCTGTAGCAAGTGCAGGCTGGTGAAATACTGTTGCGCAGACCACCAAAGGAAGGACTGGGAAGAACATCGCCGAGTTTGTGCAAAACCAGCGGTCACCTCAGTTCAGGAGTCTACTGTATGAGATGGGGTTTGATCATGTCCGCTTCGAGTCTGCTTCGAGGTTGTATTATGTACCGTATCTTCTTGGGAGTCTTTGTTTGTAACGTTATTGTACGCATACCCGTACGTACATGCATGCATAATTCCTGCTTGTCCTTATATTCCCTGGCTTTTTTGAATTGTGTCAGTGAATCTGATAAGATAGTGACGGTCCCTATGATATCATCCTTAGTGGGTGACCTCAATGTTTCCGACGCATGCGCTTGACCTTCTCACTCTTCTAAGCTAACCATGTCTGTCCGTTACCTGACCGCTAAACTTGCTCAGCAGGTAAGCCGCCAGAGCCATGGAGACAAGGACAATGTGTTCACTCAGGTGGCTAGATCGATGAAGAGCTCATGAGTGCCGCTGGTGCTTTCAGTATCGACCAGGTACGTCGTGATGATGGGCTGGAAACACCCACTCAATGCATCAACATGTTCAACAGCTCATGGAGCTCGCTGGGCTCGCATGTGCTCAAACGCTCGCAACTGCCTACGGCAAGGATAAGCACTCTCGAGTCCTGGTATGCTGCGGCCCGGGGAACCAAGGTGGTGATGGACTTGTCGCCGCTCGTCATCTCAGTGAGCGCTCAGAATGAGGTCAACGGGATCTGACTTAGTGTTTCTCAGAAATGTTTGGCTATCAGCCTACGATCTATATGCCGAAGGTAACGCTGCTCAGAGCACATCTTAGATGTAAGGTTAACACCGGAGTAGCCAGGATCCAAGGATATTTACAAGGTGCACGCATCCATGATGTCGGCCGAATCGGTTACTCAAGGTCATTTCAGCGCTTAAAGCAACAATGCGATAATATGAAGATACACACCATTCCCCCAGAGGAATCCAACGATGCCCTTCCGAAGGCACTGAAGACATCAGACGTGATTCTTGACGCCATCTTCGGATTCTCCTTCAAGGGTCCAATCCGCCCACCGTTCGACGTCGCTCTCAAGAGCATCTCCGACTCGAAACTCCCCATTGTCTCCGTGGATATTCCCAGTGGTTGGGACGTTGAAAAGGGAAACATTGAAGGTGTAGGATTGGAACCAAGTGTACTTCTGAGCCTCACCGCGCCGAAGGAGGGCGTTCGGTCGTTCACCGGTAGACACTTCCTTGGTGGAAGATTCGTGCCACAGTACGTTCCTCGTTAGGATGATGGGGTGCTTCCGCGACTGACGATACATTGTAGATCGCTGGAGGAAAAGTTTGAGCTTAATCTTCCACCGTATCCGGGGTTCGACCAGATTGTCGAGCTTCCGTCGGCGCAGAGGCTGTAATGTTTACATTATGCGATGCTCTTGATAAATATTTGATGACATGTTGGAACCAAGAGTCGCATGGAAAACGATGATGAGTTCGTTTTCTTCAGCTTCAAGTTATAAAACGGGGGGGATACGAGGCGACTCGGAGAGTTTGTTTCCATCTCTTCACAGAAAGGCTGAGAGTTATTGGCGCCCCCACTTTTTTCAGGTAAAAAAAGAAGATGGATATCAGGCCAGGGGGGTGGTGTTGAGTAACCTCATGAGTTGATTGTCGTGAAAACAAAAACCTACGAGACAACGAGATGACATTTCTTGTTAACGTCACAGTATTGAGATGACATGTGACGTTGTCAGACGCGTCAGTCACATCACAACATGTCACGGACGCGTCTTGTGAGGGTTCCGAACTTCCACTCACCTAGCCTGTATACACCTGCACACCATCTATTTTCCATGGCTGAACTCCGACGAAAACTAGAGACCCTATGTGGAGGTGAGGAAACGGATACCTTCAAAGAGGCCTTCAATCTTTGGAACCTAGCCAAAACCAACACGGGTCCCGGGTCTGGCTACAATACTAAGGTTGGGCCCGATGGCTTGGTCGCTGTGTGTGCATATATTGCATCGCAAAAGTGAGTTTCATACATATTTATAAACCCATTTGTCTCATTTATCGTGATGTTCCGCAGTCAACACAATGATGATGTCGATGCGAGCACTGCTCGCAAAGTAGCGTGTGTCAGCGGGCAGACATTCCAACATGCGGTTGCCACTGTCCGAAAGGTCATTGCAGCCCATTCCTCCAGTCATTCGCATGAGCTAGACTATGATAGCTTGATCGAGGCTTATAGCTTGCAACTGAGCAACTCTGCTCTAAAGTGGATGGATGCGGCGGAAGACAAGATACCTACAGTCAAGATGACCAGGGAAAAACTGGGCCTCACTACGATCAAGTGCGCTGTGTTCCTGTGGGTGTGTCGAGTTATGGAGGTATGCACATAATACCATATATTCCGAGACTGATGACACTCATTGCTGAACAGGTCACTGACGTCACCGAGAAGCTGCTGGTGCAAAAAGAGCGCGCAGACCAACAAAAACTCCAGACTGTCCTCAAGATACTTGAGAAGAACGGTGATGAGCTGGCCGATGAAATCCGCGTCGCGCTCCAGATATCTCAGCCTTCCAGTTCAAGATCACCGAGCAAGTCCCCCTCGAAAGCAACGACGAGGTCGCCCACCAGGACGCCTGTCAAGTCCCCCATCAAGTCTCCAGTGAAATCGGCAATGAAGACAAGAGGACAAACCGCCACACCTTCGCGGTCTTCCACACTCAAACGAGCTATGTTTGCTCCGCCACGCGCCGGCGAGCTCGAAGATGACAGCGCCGCGTACCCTGAAACACCGACAAAGAGACGCCGCGTAGAACCACCGTCGAAGTCCACTGGGCGTGATTCACCATCAAAGACGCCCACAAACGATGCCAGTGACTCGACTGCGGCGTTTCGCCTTGCACTTAACGGCCATGCCCCTGCATCGGCGGCCGGCACAGCTGCTGCCTCTGAATCCGCGCCCACAACCCCTGTCACACCTCGACGCACAAAGGCTCGGAAGGAGGCTGAGCCGGCGACACCAGAGACACCGAAGATGCCAGAGAAGCCTCGGACCCGGTTCCGTCCCGTGTTTCTCGAGCATCGCCAGTGGCTGTCCCGAGGCCCTAAGGTCGAGGCATTGTGGAAACTCGCAGACGCGAAGCTTTATGGGACTCCGATAGCGATATGACGCTAGTAAGGCTGAGGCTTTCCCTTCCACAGATGTTTCCATCGCAATGCGAAATCCATGCTCGAGGAGACGAGGAACGAAGCGCTGGCTTCTTTCCTTTGATGGACCGGGCAATCCCAAGGGCGAAGTTGATCAGACCCTTTGCTTGTGTTTTGACTGGCAGTTCAGAATGACAAGCCGCCCATCGTTGACAATTTCATAGTTGGTTGGAACGTTCGTCCAGGAAGGGTCAGGTTGTTGTTCTCAAGGCCTCGTTGCATGCTTTGTTATCGCAAATGAACCTATTATGGAGCGATACCTAAATGTACACCTTTTCGTTAGGGTACATAGCTGTAGTTTGGGACTCTGATTGTTATTTTATGTCGAGGAAGGACTAGTACTAGGTTGTATCTTCCAAATAGTATTAGGGATCTGCCTGTACGGCGTCGTGTACAGGTATGAGCTGGAGTATGTCTAAGGGTTTAAGCTGGAACAAATGGGTCATGCAAGGTTCGGAATGTCCAAAATGTTGAATCTATAGGTTTCTTGTGTGAGAGCATGGCTGTGAAATGTGGCAAGCCTATGTCAAGCTCGTGGACTCAGGGGGTTCGCCATATATACTTCCCATAAACCAAACGCTGCGTCACGGCTGCTTTTAAACACTCCGGCCGCCGGCTCCGTGTTCGCAACCTCCACTGATCAGTCGTATTTCAGCACTCAGTAATAACGACCACTCGGTGAAGCGAGACGCAACATCCGTCTGAGCCATGCTCACGCTTTCTCGCCTTGTCCTTTTGGCAGCCCTGCCATTGGCATACGCCGTCCCGCCAACCGACATCATTCGACTTCTAGGTCCTCAGGGCGTGAACCTCTGGAGGCTCGACAAAGCTTCCCGCAAGGCTTCCAGCGTCGCTGATAACGTACAAGCGCCTGTCGCACATAACAATCACGCACAGATCACCTTCGGTAGTCCCGGCTTCGATAACGATGATGCGGTCACGTCGTCGTCGCAATATCCCGAGTTCCCGGACCAGTGGTTCAACCAGCCCGTCGACCACTTCTCGAACGACTCGGCGACGTTCGCGCAGCGCTACTGGGTCAATGCGCGGCATTACACGCCGGGAGCGGGTGGGCCGGTCATTGTGCTGGATGGAGGGGAGACAAGCGGAGAGGACAGGTTGCCTTTCCTCGACACTGGCATCGTCGAGATCCTGACGCGCGTGACGGGAGGCGTCGGCGTTGTCCTTGAGCATCGCTACTATGGTATGCTTTCTGTTGGTGCCTATCCAACCAACCTCGTTCAATGTGTTCTTTAGGGAAGTCCATCCCTGTGCCGAACTTCTCTACGGACAATCTAAGGTTCGTCCATGCTGTCCCTTCGCCAAGCTTGACCTAACCGTCACTATTCAAGATGGTTGAACAATGCCCAAGCCGCCGCAGACTCTGCCAATTTCATGGCTACCGTCAAGTTTGATGGTATTGACGAAGATCTTACTGCTCCGGAAGTCCCGTGGATATACTACGGTGTATGTATGCTATTCTGATGAGCTATGGTGTCTTGCTAATGGTGCATATAGGGCTCATACGCGGGTGCTCGTGCTGCGCATATGAGAGTTATGTACCCAGAACTCGTGTTTGGTGCTATTGCCTCCAGTGGTACGTCTTCTTAGTCAAGGCAATATGTATCTTAAACTGACGGCCTTGTAGCCGTCACCCACGCTTCTCTCTCGAACTGGGAATACATGGAAATCATTCGCACCGCTGCCGACCCGACATGCTCTCGTCATCTGGAGAACTCGATCCGTACCATCGACCATCTGCTTTCTATGCCTCATACGCGGCACGCGATCAAGGCCCTTTTTGCTCTCGGTGGTCTTGAACACGATGAGGATTTTGCGTCCTTGCTTGAGGTGAGTATTTTGCTCAGGTGATTTTTTCTCTCTGACTTTCTTGAAGGGCCCTCTTGGAGCCTGGCAATCGAAAAACTGGGACCCCGCCGTTAACAGCGAAGGCTTTGACGAATTCTGTGAGGCTTTGAATAAACCTATTCTCGGAAAGGTCCACGTTGCGGAGCTTCCTTATGAACACGAAGATCGTATGGTGGATCTTTCGGAGATCCTTCCTGGCCTCGCTGTGGACTTCTCAATCTTTAACTACGCCAAATATATCAGGGAGAATTACGTGTCAAGATGCGAGACCAACGTCGAAGAGGTGCGTTCAGCCAATTATTTCAACCTGACCGGTGTTGACGCTGATCCTTTCTCCCAGTGTTTTGGTACCTACGATGATTCTAAGTTCCAAGGTACCTCCCTGGACGAAGACTGGAGGCTTTGGCTCTTCCAGGTTTGCACGGAATGGGGGTACTTCTCGGTAGGTGAACAGATTATTATCCTGGTTCTTATCTCTAAACAACAATTCTAGACTGCGCCTCCGGATGAAGACCAACCTCGCATCGTGTCAAAACTGCTCACTCTCGAGTACGAGTCTAGAATCTGTCAACAGGTACGAACCTCAGTGGATGCACAGTATACGTCATGGCTCGTGGTCTGACGTGAATGTCGTCAATAGGCATACCCTCCCGGCAAACACATGGTTGTGCCCCCCATGCCCAACGTTACTGTCGTAAATGAACTGGGTGACTTTGCAATTGCAGCCGACAGACTTGCCATCATCGACGGAGAAGGCAAGTCATTTGCATCCGTTAGGCTCGGGGACTTCCATTACTGACACGGCATTCCGTCTTCTGTAGTTGATCCATGGAGACCATGCACGCCGCACAGCGAATATGCTGCTGACAGGGAAGATACCTTGATGAGGCCGTTCAAGCTCATACCCAGTGCGTTTTATCTCGCTGTTATCACTTGCTGTGAAAACGCAAGGCTAACATTAATTTGGTGAAACAGATGGTGTGCATCACTATGATGAATATGGACTAAAGAGCTTGGAGAATGAGCCCCCTGAAATTAGACAAATTCACGGCGAGATGATTGCGTTCGTGATGGAGTGGCTCAACAACTTTGATTTGAGCAAGAACGAATAAGACCTACTGTGTATTGACGTTACTATGTTTTCGGTTACTGTGTAAACATGATGAACATACATCCGGCAAACAAATCAGCGGTTGGCATAGCCCTACAAGATCAACGGTCTCAAGTCGGTGGTACGCGCGTACCTATGGTCATTGTTAGAAGGGGACCGGATGTGGTTGTCGGTGGGGTTTGTGAGAGCGGAGGAGATCTGAGATCCAAAGAGGAAAGGACCGAAGTGAGATCCATCAACAGTTCGCGCCACTCTTGGCGAAGCCGCAATTGGCGCTGGGCAGTTTCGGTGCGGTGCCTAGACTCGTGACCAGTCTCCCGAGACGCGTGCCTAAAGAGGCAACAGGCCATGGGGGCCTTCGCATCTGGGAGACTGGGAGATTTCGTCGACTCCCTGGCAGGGAGCCAACTGAGTTTGAATTTTGCCTCTGCCCGAGAGAAGATCGCCCCCGGATAAGGGAACTGAGCCCCTGAATTGCAGACGCGTCGCGTCTAAGTGCCGCTGCCTCCGAGGTCTATACTGTACATCGCTTCCTACATCGTCTCCCCCGACATCGCTACGTTATGAATATATTCGATCGATTCATCTTATCATTACTGTCCGATAATGCTCGTCAATCGCTCGGTGAGCTCTCCCCCACCTTCGTCGAGAGCCTGACACCTCAGCAAGCCAAGACTGTCTTCAAAGCCACAGCCTGATTCGATGCTCGGTATCTAGGCGAATGAAAAGTACGTCAGTTTCAGATCGAGGCCACTGTGATTATTATAGCTGGGAAGAACGTCGTAGTTCGCGCAGGAACAGGTAGTATAGCAAAACGCTTGCCATGATCCTGCCAATTCTCTTTGGCAATCCTTTGAAAATCGCGATCACTATCTCGCCTCTGAAACTCTTGCAAGCTAGTCATGTAAGTCTTTGTTTCGTCTAATCGATTCTTATGCTAAAGGGTAATCAGGTTTCAGAGTTTCAAAGTTTCGGCATCCCCACCATTCGAATAAACCAATATACCCCGGATGACAAGAACCTCTGGAAGGTATGTCTGCCGCTTGTCTCTGCTAGATCGCTTGCTAATCTACACAGGATATTCAACTTGGAGTCTATCGCAACATCATATGCGCCACCAAGCATTTTTTTAGATACGAAGGAGCCGTGTGAGGTCAAACGTCTCGACAAAAGTAGGTGTAGTTTCCCTGGTCGACTTGCAGAACAGCTTCGAAGATGCAGCCGTCATTTCTTTCCCCATAATAGAAAGTATATGTGGCATCGAATCATCCTCAAGCCTAGACTTCAGCTTTCTCTTCCAGAGAGGAATATCTCCGAGCATGTTCCAGAGAAATTCGGGTGCCCTGCCGCCTAGAAATTGAGTACAATAAGGCACGAGATAGGCTGGCTGAGACTTCGCCTGTAGAATCATAATCAAGACATCTGTAGCTGACTTGCCCGCCTTCGAGAACAGCTCCAGCCCAGTTTTGATGTAGGACTCCTCCAGAGAGCAACTAGAGCTGCGCTGAGAGATATGGAGATCGAGCGCTGTCATTTCCGTGTCAACCAGAGCCGTCGAAAGCTCCCTTAGTCTGATATCCTCAGAGAGCCATGCAGGGGGTGTTGTCCATTGCAGCGGCCGAAATACGGGCGGTAGAGGTGGTGGAGGCGGCTGGTAGTAGTTAGGATGAGGCCAGGGTAGTATATCTTACGTTCACGCAGGAGGGAGAGGGTGCAAATTGTTACATTTCATGGGCACGGCGCGTACAGAGCGCGACGCCGCCGACGCGACGCGAGACTACAAGTGCTCGATCGGCTGCGGTAATGCCGGCTTATCTAACCGATCTCCGACGCTTCTCGATGCTTCTTTACTGCCAATATTTAAACTCAGTTGGCTCCCTGCCAGGGAGTCGACGAAATCTCCCAGTCTCCCAGATGCGAAGGCCCCCATGGCCTGTTGCCTCTTTAGGCACGCGTCTCGGGAGACTGGTCACGAGTCTATGCGGTGCCAGAAGACGACAACCCTTGTCAACGCAATTGCACAATTGTCTCGATCGACGACAGCAGACGACAGCGCCGATGAAACCACCGAAAGCGGCATCTCAACCCAGCCTCAAGGCCGCTCTCCATCGATGGTTTCAGATCTTTTCAGATTCGCTGTTCTCTTCTCCATTTTTTGGCGTCTGAGTATGAGAACAAGGACCCTCACGATGTCCATGGAGCTGTGCCGGGCAGGGTGTACCTGAATGGACGAGCCAATAGGGAATCTGATCCTACGCAATCCGGCATCACTGCCCCATCTCTACAATAAGCACCAACACGGTTATGCATGTGCGCCTCCGTCGTACTCGTGCCGGACAACGATCATCATCAATGCCCCGTTATTATAAAGGGACAAACGCGTTTGTCGACCACTCCGCGTCAATCTTCCCCCTCCCCACCTCCGTGTCTCCTTCCCCTCTTCACATCCCGAAACTTTAGCCCAGCATGTCTTCGGGCTCAGGTTGGACCTCCCGCCTCTCCCTTCAGAGATACGACGAGCTATCGCCAGAAGAGCAGGTCAAGAAAGCGCAACATCGCGCAGAGCGCAAGCATGGACTCAAGCTCGTTATAGCCTTGCTTCTCCCCGTCTTCCTGGAGACCCTCGATTATACCTGTGAGTATCCTATGGATCCCACGCTAATGGGGCGCAACTGCTAATTCCTGATCGACCAATCCTTATAGTCATCTCCACCGCCCAAATCCATGTTGCTGTGAGTGATCAACTGATCAGTGGCGTTTTATCTTTTAATGACAAGGATGGTGTTAGTCTACATTCAACGATATCCCATGGCAAAGGTACGCCTGCCCGTGCCTCTACCATTGCAGTCCGAATTTGACTGTTTTTGTGTTTCCCCAGCTGGATCGGAACGTCTTATCTCCTCACCGCCTGGATCACGGTGCCGTTATGGACGACACTCGTAGTTGTGTTTGGACGATACCCTGCCCTGATGTTGTCGCTCATCGTATTCGGCGTCGGTAGTACGATAAGCGCGGCTGCGTTCGGTATGACTCAAGTGAACATTGGACGCGCAGTAGCTGGTATAGGTGGTTCTGGCATCCTGATGGTCAGTTTACCCTCTCTTTTGTTTGAGCTATTGTTTTGTCTGACAGCCGACACAATAGTCATACAGGATCATCGTCGCCGATCAGGGTGAAGCGATGCACCAGTCGGCTATTGTCATCATGTACGGTCTCGCCTTCGGAGTCGGACCCGTCGCCTCGGGTTTCCTCGTGGACCTCAATTTCCGGTGGATCTTCGGGTTCAAGTGCGTCATTAATGTTGTGTTTCGTGACAAGAGCGTTCTGACGTGTGCCGCCGGTCTAGCTTGCCGTTCGTCGCAGTGTCCATCGTACTGGCTTTCTTCTTTGTCCGTAACGTCGCCAAAGGCTCTGATCTCCCACGGTCGACTCTGGAGAGAATGTCCTTCCCCCAGAAGCTCATGATCTTCGACTGGGGCGGCGCTATACTCGCGTTTTGCGCCGGTATACTGCTTCTTCTTGCCCTCGCTTGGGGACCTCTCGATGGCTTCGTCACCGGACGCTTCTTTGGGACGCTCGCCGGCAGCATTGTCGTTTTCGCGGCATTTATGGGGTGGGAGCTCTTCCTGACCTCTCGCAGGGGCACAGATTCGCCACTCTCCTTCGTCATGCGCATCTTCCCTCTGGAGGTGTTCAAAGATATTACTGTCGTCGGGATGGAACTGGCAAACTTCGTCTCGGGCATGTCGCTTTATACACTGTTCTTCTTCATCGTCATCTACGGTGTCCTTGGCCAGAGCAAGTCTCTCAGCAAAGTGAATATTGAGCTGCTCTTCTATGTTCCCGGAATGGTAAGTTTAGGTCCTTGATCTGCGGGTTCAAGCGATTCTAATATAACCGTTTAGATGGGTGGACACATGATCGAGAGGGTTCTGCAAATCAGGAAAGCACAGGTGCGTCCGGGTCAGTGAAGGTGTGATGATGGGCTGATGGTACCTACAGCCCCGAGTTGCCGTTAGATTTGGCCTGATTAACACCGTCGTCGCCTACATCATTATGGCCATTGGCATGCAAAGCGACAGCAGTGGAATGCAAGCTGCGTATGTTTTCGGTTTGAGGATGTAACTCGTTCGACACTGACCGCCATTTTCAGGTCGTTGGTTCTGTTCGGTCTTGGTGGAGCCCTTACAATTGGACCGTGCATGGCGATGCTTAAAGCTGTGGAGCCCGACATGCAACAACGCGTTGCCCCCCTCATGCCCCTCGTAAGTCCTCTTCCTCTTGACCTCACGGCCCCGTGCTGACGCGATACAACAGTTCCGTTCGTTGGGTGGTTTCGTCGGACTCGCTCAGTCCTTCGTTATCATGAATGCCAAAGCCAACTCTGACATCAAATACAACGCATACGACAACCCGAGTTTGAATAGCACTGTCACTGACGAACTCAAGCGCTTTGCTCAATTGGGTGGCGTCGATTCACTGGACACATTCTTCGCTCTTGCACCAGAGATCCACGACATCGTGGAGAGCTCATACCGTACCGGCATCCACTGGTGTTTCTGGGCTTTGCTTCCGTACGCTGCGATCGCGCTCGCGGTATCCTTCTTCCTCGGGAAGGTCCCACCACCCGAGGAAGCCTCGTCAACAGAGCTGCTCTCTGGCAAGACCCAGAACGTCAACGAGTCGACGAGCACGCTCCCCGCTCAGCAAAACAGCCCTTACGGACAACAGAGCGGATACGCCCAGGCGCCCATCCCGGCCAGCCCCCAGCGGCCCGCAGGCGCATCGCTCACGCCGCACGACCGCGACTACAGCGAGACGCAGGAGCACGAGTGGGAAAACAGTGGCAGCGCGTACCAGGGCGCTGGCGGGATCGGCGGCGGAGCACCCTACGAGGATCCTTATGCTCGCAATCCGTTCCATGATCCCAAGTATCATCATCAGAACCAGGGTTTTGAAGAGATGAGGGTGTAAGGTCGCCGGGACTTGTCGAAAAGTTTTTAGAAGGAGCTATTGGTGGGGGAGTCGCATGGCCTAAGGAGGATGCAATAGGCAATGAAGATCTAGGCGGGCAGTTGTGGGGCCCTTCGGACAAGCATATATCGTACATATTGTTGCTAACTTTCCATTCAGTTAAGTTATAATGTTGTCTCTGTTTCCTTGCCATCTTGTACTGCGTACGGCTTGCAATTCACGAAAATGATGAATTCTGCAACCTGGAGTCATTTATGAACTCAGTGCGTCGGCTGTTTCAGTTGTGAGACATCTATTAGCCAAGCTTTTGTGGGATTTATACGCGGTACTACTAGTAGGACTCGAGGAGTGTCGAGGACGTGAAGGTTTGACGTATGATGTCACGAAATGGTCACTTCGCGTCTCGGAGCATTCCGAAGAGCGTGTTCGTCTCCACTCATTTCCTTTCAGATCAACGTCAGTTCCGAGCAGGCATTCATCGACATCCATTGTGCCACAAGGTCGAGCTCTAGAGCGCGTGGATGAGTCTGGGGCGTAGGCAGACTTGCGGCTCTTCTCTGAAAAGTTTGATCTCGGCTGCAAACATGCTAACCGTGGGCTCAACTTGCTGCGCAAAGAAGTGACCACATACAAGTGTCGTTGCAGTTCGCTGCAAAGATGGCTGGAACTTTGGTGATACAGACACCGATGATCGGGCGAGAAGTTCTAGCCGCTTGGCGATGACATGGGACACAGGCGTCATTCCCGGCGTCCTTCCTGCCTTCCTCCCATTTATGCGATTGGCGCATATATACCACACCCCTCGCTTCTCGCATTCCTCTTTACGATGTTCCTGCGGTCGACCGCGCTCGGCTCGTCAAACACCGTTGCTATTGTGTTTAGTCCCCATCTGAACCTCAGCGCGACGTTCATTCCAAACATACCTACAACCATCCACTTTCTCGGTCGCTTCGTCGCGCCCTTGAAGCATATACTCACCTTCCCATTCTTTCCATGAGATGGTTTCACCGCTCTCTACCAGCAACTTTCGTTTTACCAGCTAGCATGGCCAATGCGGCCCACTTGCGCATGTCCGGTACATCGCTCGACTTCAATGCGCGTCCTCAGAACTTGGCGTCCATGTCCGGCTCGTCAAATCTTAGCAATGTCGTCAATATGCGGTATACAGTCAATGCCACGCTGGGAGGAGAGTCGGTCACCCTCATGGTTGATACGGGCAGGTAAGCCACTGTGCTTTTGAGTGATCGCCTCGAAGAGCCTATTTATATCTCTGGCAGCTCGGATTTTATCGTGACGAAGCAGATTCCCTCCGCAAGCGTCGTGAATGAGCAGTACAATGTCACGATTGAGTATGGAATAGGGAAAGCTGCTGGTAAGTGAGTGACGCAATGAGTATATGCTTGTTGAGCTCATTGTCTCCGTAGGAGGAGTATATTCTGCTACTCTGGATCTCCTCGACACTTCTATTTCCAACCAGTACTATAGTGCGTGCGCTTCCCTGGATATGCTTTGAGTAATCTAACTGTGTTCCCAGTGTACGATCCGAGCTCGCAGGCAGCTGGCGGCACGGATGGTCTTCTTGGTCTCGGACCAGGCGAAGGCTCCATGATTCTTTCTCAAGCAAACAATAATGCAACTGCTAGTCCGCCGATCGATCGCATATTTGCCATAAACAACAACACGGACAACTATGTCGGGATACACCTCGGACGTAGCAACGACACAAACAATGCCTACCCCGGAGACCTCACAGTGGGCTCACCTCTTGCCGACTTCTCCAACGTCCTCAATCAGCCAAAGCTGGAGGTTACTCAAGTGCAACAGAGCATCCGCTCGTACCAGCACTGGCAGACCTATCTGGATCAGGATGGAATCAAGGGACCCGACGGCACGCGTATTCCCATGAAGTCCAGAGTGACTGGCTCTGAACACCCCAACAAGGCCAACGTCATGCTTGACACTGGCTACACCTTTCCACAAGTGCCCGCGTACGATATTCACGTCTGTTGGAGGTTGAAAATTAACTGATCATACTGTATTCCTAGTCATGTCGCCAAGGCTCTCTACCAGGACATACCAGGAGCTCAATTGCAGAATACTACCATCGCTTCGGGGCTCTTGTGGACGCTTCCATGTGATCAGAAAGTATCCGCTTCGTTTTACTTCGCGGGCGTAGAGTTCCCCATTCACCCGCTGGATCTCAACTTCAAGCCTGTGACCACGGACGTTGTGCCAGGCACGAATGTGGAGAATGCTATCTGTTATGGCGCAGTGAGTTGCGGATCCCTCAAACGTTCGAAATAGTAAACTGACATGAATTCAGTTCCAACCGTATGAAGGGAATCTCATGGTCGATGGAGTCATTGCCTACGACATGATTCTTGGGATGGCTTTTCGTAAGTTAACTGCCCCAAGCTGAGCAAGAATTATCTAATTCCCCCAAAGTAAGGAATGTGTATATGTCCATCAATTACGGCCCTCCCTCGAATCTCAACGGTGCCCCTACTCAGTCGTTCATCCAGCTACTCCCCATCACCAATGCCACGCAAGCCTGCGGGGAGTTCTATCAAGAACGCCAACCAGATGCCGACATTGATAGCCTGTGCAGCGACCCGACACCGTCGAAACTCAAGATCCCGGCATGGGAGATTGGCGTCATCGTCGCGGCATCCATGGTATTCCTTCTCACTATCTCGCTGTGCTTTGTCTGCTTCAGACGTTCCAAGCAGTTCAAACAGCTGAACTTGCCCAACAAGCGGCACCGCGGAAAGGGAATGTTTCCCCAATTCCGATAAAGACTAGGCATTTTTCACAATCATTATCAACTCTCAATCAGGACATCTATCGCTCAACACCTCAGTCGACGCTCATACATTCATTTTTTCACATCTATTTCTATTCCTTCTTCAAATCAACGTTGCATGGTTCCAATCATTCTCTCGTTTTGCATACCGTACGATCTTGCTTAATTGGCTTACTGTAGATTGGTTTTCATTCGCAATTCACAATTTCAGGAATATTCAGTGTACCCGGGCATCTTCGCATCTATTCACGATATCTCTGTATCATTATCTCACAACAAGGAACAGTTTTCGATACTTCTGAATCTACTCTGAATAATTTCCTTGATTTTGGCACAGACGACACATGTTTTGTCCAAGTGCTGAACGTGCTAACGTTATAATCCCTATTGGTCCTTTTTTTTTCAAAGCATTCCCTCTTCGTGTGAGTATTATACAACTATCCAAATTGCCACAAGTTGCTCACTGCTTTACTATTTCGCATCCCGATTCTCGAACTTTGGACCTTGACCCAAATTTGCTTGCCAAGCAGCATAATACGTGGTTAATCCGTCCACGACGCTGGCTTTTCGTGGCACCCAATCGACCAAAGCTCTCCCGGTGTATGGACGAAGCAACGTTGTGGTAGCGATTGCCCTCTCGAACGCTACGCAAGTCTCACTCAGAGCTGCTCATCATAGTGAAGAATACTACCAACGTACCATTGGAGGGTTCCTTGTAGTCAAAACCATGCGCACCAGTAACCTCGACGAGCTTCGCTAGGAGGTCATCGACCGACTCCGTCGACTGGTTCGCCCCATCGAAGACGAGACCACCCAAGATCTGCGCACGCTCCGCTACGCGCACATACAGATCCGCCAGATCGTCCGTGTGCACCGTCGCGATCCTCCCACCAACACTCCCCGGCCACACAAATCTCCCACCGGGCTGCAACGCCGCCTCGCTCGCCCGCCTGAACAGATCCGAGAACAAGGATCCGCTGCGCCCGTACACGAGCGACGGGCGGACCGCGATCCCTTTGAGCACCGTATCCTCGAGCACCTCTCTCTCGACCGACACGCGCCACGCCGTCAGCTCGATCGGGTTCGCGAGCGGCGACGTGTCGCTCACGACCTCCTTGCGGTCGTCCCCGTGCACCCACGTGCCGCCCGTTATGATGTACGCGAGCTTGGGTGCGCCGGGCGGGCGGGTCGCCTGCGCGGAGGCGCGCACCGTGCGGAACAAGGGCCCATGTGTCCCGTCGGCGCCCGCGAAGACGTCGATGACGACGTCCAGCGTTGGGACGAGGGCGATAAAAGCGGATGTGTCACTCGAGTCCCCGATCACTGGGATAACTGTTACGGCGGTTGAGTCACGAGATGAGCTTGAGTATGAACACGAAGGTCATCTCGACAATGACCTGCGGGAGGAGTAACGTACTTTCCTCGGCGGCGAGCTCCTTGGCCTTCTCCGTGGTCCGCGCTGCGCCATACACGATGTGGCCTGCCCGAGAGAGCGCCTTGCACACGGGAAATCCGACGAATCCAGTTGCTCTAGAGCCAAGAGTCGATCAAAAGTTGAGTGTTTGCGTCCAAAAAATGATTACCCTGTGACCAGAACCTTCATTGTCAAGATGAGAAGACGCAGAGACTTGACTATGAGGGAGGGTTCTTCGGCTCCCCTTCTTATACTCACTCTGTGAGATGCATGAGAACCTGTGTGACGCCGTTATCATTAGCCTGCCCGAGTAAGCAGATCTTCTTTTACGCATTCCAAATTTATCTGAATAGCTTCGACGGCGGACTGTGTGGGTGATTTCTTTTACCTGTGTCCAGCTGACGTGCACATTGCCACACGATATGTAAGGCTGTCTCATACACCTCGTAGTCAACGGTGAACTCCAAATCAGCGATGACCAAGCAGGTAGAAAAGCAAGTATGTGGTGCGAGCTAAGTCGTAGATCCTTTGCATTAATGGGGCTGTCGACTCGGGCGGGAGGCTTACATCGCCGATATTGATGCGTAAGCCCCTTGACTTGGTGGTGGAGGATTTGATCAATACGCGCTGTCCATGCCAAGTCCCTGCCCACTGCGCACGTAATATCTAACTCGTCAAGTTTTTGTAGGCTTCGTATTCAAGCCGCCAACAAAGAAGACTCACCAACTTTTATCTTCAGAGAAATCCGATAGCACCAGCTGGTGAAAGCCAGTGGCATCAATAAAGGATAAGTAGTCGGGTTCGTGCTTGATGACATGAATGACATCGTTAGCATTGTCGTATTTTTTCTCACGTTCTCCCATGTCATACAGCTTTACTGTATCATATGTGGGTCCAGAAGCCTGAGAACGCTTCAAGAAGATCGCGTTACTGTAACATTTCCACCCGAAGATCCGCAATTCAGTATCGCGACGGGATGTTCACTTGATGACAATGTCACGTCGGACAACGTCTCTAGTGTGCGTAATCAGAAGTTATTCAAGTCGCACCTTGCGTTATCCGCCGAACGACCCTTGGCCCGGAAATGACCACACTCGAAGCGGTGTCGGTGAAGGATCACTCAACGATGAACATGTCATTCGGTTTACAGAGGGGGTGGGGGACCGAAAGTATGGTCACGATGCCATCGTTTCCATTGAATTACTGGTCCGACGGAAACATGACGGGACTGCGATCCCAGGGCATTCGTCTGGACTCTGGCAGAGAATCGATAAGGTCGTCCAGGTCATCCGTGCCATCACCTTCTTCGTTTATTCTTGATTCCGAGTGTTCTGCTTTTAGAGACAGCGATGTTATTCGACACCCTGACGTCGACCACCCATTGTCCATGATATGCTGTCTAAACCACTCCTCCTGACTCGGACTGAAGCTAGTATCGCATCCGAAAACATCGAGTTCGTTTAAGGGAACGACCGGCCCTGATAACATGCCTATCCAGTCGTCCTCATCGGTCCACCAATCTGAAGGATGGGATTCCAAGGTAGCCCTGGGCCTGTATTTTACTGCGTGTTTGAAAGCGGCAGACGAGAATTTGCATTTGGGCCCCTGGATTGACAATGATTTCGTGTGGCATGCCAAGAAATCGTTTCCTTCTGGCCCGCCGTTGCCGAAAGCTTGAAGGAAGCCGTCGTCGAAACCAGCGCAGTCTGTGATAGAGACCTCTTTAGCGTCGCTATATCTGAGGACATTGACGAGAGTTCCCGAGTCGGCGATAGTTTCGAGATTGAGGTGATAATTCGCGCCGAAATGGAGCGGTTCTTCGACTGAGCAATTTTTCAGTGTGATCGTATTCAAGACCATCTCGAATGAGCTCGCCTCGGACACAGCAACGATGAAGTCACCCGGTATCGTGTCTAATGTCAGGTAATATATGCGGATGCTAAGCCCTTGAGGGATGGCGAGGTCAGGGAAGAATACAATGTTCCGCAACAAGATCGAGTTCAAGGTTTGGGAGGCTGGTGGGGTTTGGAGGGATAGCACGAGGTCCTTAGCAAGGATAACGTTCAGAGGATCCAAAGGTTGATATGGACCTAGCGAGAGATTGCAGTTCACGGACCGATCTTTCTTCTGCGGCCATGTGAATCCCCGGCGCGTTACGTCGATGAAAGTCTTCGGGTCGACGTACAGATCCGTCAAGGCGGGGCAAATGAGATCTTGAAGACCGTCAGCATCCTCCGTAGTGTCCGCGATCTCAGAGCGAAGCGCTAGAACCTGAAGTTCAGGAGCAGCTCCTCTCAAGTGGTTCACCGCCCCTACCACGGAGGATCTGTTTCTGAGATCAAGTCTAATGCTTCTGCAGCGGAAAAGATGAGGCCGGAGATGCGTTACAATGTACTCGACACGCGATCTTTCGTAGGCATCATCGGGGTGAGATCGTCCGTGGTGACGTTTCCGACGCGTGAGGCGCACGTCCAAAAGCTTGTCGTGCGACCAGGAGAAGTACTCTGGAGAGAAGGTGGAAGTGATGGGCTCGTCGACGAAGATAATGATCCTCGTCCAATACGCGACCTCGGTGGAGAGAACACCGCGCCAGTAGCTGGAGACAGAGGCGAAGCCAACGGGAAAGAGAGCAGCCAAAGCTGGCGGGTCTTTTCGCCATTTCCAGTACTTTGAGCTCCTACGATTAAGGACGTTTTTCTTCTCCGCCTGTGACATAAGTGTCGAGGTCAGCATGTCCTCGGAGACAAGACGCCGAGTCTCTCGATGCTCCTTGAAGACGAGGTCAAAGATCGGAAGAAGAAGCTCGAAAGGGAGATCTCTGGAGTATTCGAGGGGGTTCAAGCGGTTTTTTGTGTGTCTCTCGTGACTTTCACCAGAATTAACCTGTTCATAGATTGGCTCTATCATGTTGCGCTCGTTGGCGAATTCCTGAGATTAGATTTTAAAGGGTTCAGCGGGTAGCTACGCTCGAGAAAACGTCGAACTCACCATCTGAGAGAAAAGATTTGTGGATATCTACTGCCTTTTGATCACAAATCAATGTGGAAGCACTGAAGCAAGATTAGGCACGCCAAAAAAATGTCGGGAGTGTTATCGGAGCGTTGTCTGTTATTGCATAGGGGCCGAACACAGCCACGGCAAAGACAAAGTGTTGAACGTGACGCGTGGGCGAGAAGCGGGTCTGAACCGGCTCGTTTACACGGTCCCGTCACGACCAACCATCCTCGTCCCCAGGGAGCCCAGAGTTACTGCTGGCACGCTTACGAGCACATATAATTAACGAACATGTCAGCTCAGGTATTCCGAGCTGTGCGAGGTGAGCCCGCCCATTCTAAATGTTATGTCTAGCTCCTCATGCATCCATCGAACAGACAGGCTTAGGTCACGGAGAGCTCCTATAGCTGAGGACCATGGAGGCGGTCCAAGCAATTCCGAGCTTCACGTATGGCTTCGCATTCCCCACATCTTGGACGCCATCTGTGCCTATGTCAATGACGATTCATCCCTTGCGCGTTTGGCAAGAGTCTGCAGGGCATTCAACGAACCAGCACTTAGTGTCTTGTATGCTCACATCGAAGATATCCTCCTTTTCCTCCAGTGTCTCCCTCGGGACCTATGGACAATCAAGGGCCTCAAGAAGTATAAGAAATACAAAGAACTTGTGCGTGTCCATTGGTTAACACAACAGCCCTTTGTCTGATTGCCTCCCAGCGTTTCCGTCGAAAGATGACGCAGAGAGACTGGGACATCTTCGCAGTCAAGGCGGCCAGGGTCAAGGCCCTGGGGCCGCCGTTGTCCAACCCTTATCGCGGCCTTCATTGCGCACCAAGATATGACAATGACCCCACAGGCGTGCTATTTGTGCCTCACGATAGTGTTTTGGACGCACTCACGAAGCGTCCTATTCCAATACTGTTCCCAAATTTGCGAGTGCTCACAGGCGCCCTCCCAAACCCACTGTTTTCCGCTTTGCTGTCGCCCCAGCTTCGGCACTTGGATGTCACACACGAGAACATGGAAGTGTTCCTCAACAACGAGCCCTCACTCCCAGTTCTCTGTCCGTCGATTGAGTCGCTCCATATCTTGACATTCACGGGAGACGTCGAGAAGCCTTTCCCTACACCCCGCTTTATTCCTCAGTGGAGTTCCCTTCGTTCCCTCACTGGCAGTTTCTGCGTTGACTCAGCACTGTTGGACTACCTCAGAGGGTGCCAGAATCTTGACAAGCTAGAACTGTTTCCTTGATGGTCCTTATCACTCTATGGTGGTAACCAAATGCTAGCTCCGAGAGGTGGACTCGCTTACGCTTGCTTGATGCCAATTTTTGAGAGGATGTATCAGATGCCCATGATCTCCTGTTCTACCGGTGGCGCAGCAGCCCTCCAATTCGTACGGATGCTGCAAATCCGAAGCTGTGTACAAGAATCTGCACCGTCCTCACATCTGGTGTCGCCTCTGTCCCAGCTCATCTCTCATTCTGATCTCCAGTCAGTCCATATCACTCACAAATGCAAACGCTCCAATGGCAACTATCCTGCGTTATTTGAGGGCCTCCGCTGCTTATCTGTGTTCCACAACCTCACGTCATTCAGCGTTGAAGCTGAAACCCTTTATCCGGCCGAAGACAAGCTCAGCGGTGCCCAGCTCGGCAAGCTCGTCTCGTGCTGGCCTCGTCTTGAGACCCTGCGTGTAGTCGTCCGCGTGATTTCAACACAAATTTTGACGTCCTCGACCTCATCATAATTCTGCGTGTGTGCCCGACCCTCGAAAACGTTCTCGTGAATGTTTTGGTGAGGCCAGACGATGTATCGGTGATGTTTTCAATACTCGACGAGTTTGATTGCTTCGAGGACTTGGTGTGCTTATGCCTGGAGCATTATCCGGCGCGAAAAAAGGACGTGGAGTCTGTAGCACTCCTTCTTGCCAACCATGCTCCGCATTTGGCTCGCATGCACACGGAGGGTCGAGTTCAACGGGAGTTTTGGTAAAAAGCAGCGATGGAACAGCGCCGAAGCGCGAACACTGAAGGTCGGACAATCAATGATAGGACGAGGGTGTATTCTGGATGCGAAGGAGAGGAGATACAGGAGAGCGTAGATCAGGAGATAATCTAACTACTGAGCGAGCGAGCAGGTATAAAACAGAAAGAGCAACAGAATATCATAGGCGTCGTATCGAGTAATCTGCGTAGCAAGAATACGAGATAGAAATAGAAAGGCCCGTGGAAGCAAAACTCCGATCGTGTAGCGAATAGGAGGATTGGCGTGTGTGGAGCGATCGAGATGGAGTTGGTTTCGAAGCCGGCGGTATCTGGATCGAAGTGGTGTGGGCGTAGTAAGTCCGAGGCGTCGGGCTTACAAGCGATCGCGGCTGCTTCTTGTAAGTTGAACGATCCCCAGTTGAAATACAGGGTAGATACCAGTTTGCGTCATTAGATAGTGGGAACGTTTCCGCTGGGAACTGGTTTTATTTGCGTTGAAAATACTGAGGCCCTCAAGTTCGTTTTAAATAGTTAGTATGATGTCGCTGTATCGTTCAACTATGACTTCGATACCACGTCTCATAATACGTGGATGGAATCTACTTACACCAATTAGGAGAACTAGATCAGGTTATCAAGCGTTAAGCTTCGAACACAAAGGACATGGTCTGCAGTATGTCAAACGGGGGAATGTCTCAGAAGTTCAATACCCATGCAATATTATTGTAACACGAATGTAGAGAAACACATGACTAGAATATAAGAACCTTCGCCGGATGAGGGTGGTAGTAAGCTTGTGTAATCTGCAAGTACTCTGTTACCAGCTTCGGCGCGTTCAAATGAGTACATTTGGCTCTCGATAAAAGTAAAACAAAGTCTACACTGGTCGTAAATAGTAATCAAAAAGTCAATACTACACAAAGGTGTACATTTCCCTTGTCTACAAACGTATTCAAACATCCAACGCCTCCAAAATAATCTGCTCTGCCTTCTTCGACCTCGGCCTGATCTCGCACTCGAACGGCAGCGGCCGTCTAGATGCACACAAAGATTGAACGCCAAGCTCGCCACGGAACAAGAACAAAGACTCACATAGAGATCCCCGTCGAATACTCCCCGCTGACGGGCACCTCGCGCCCCTCCCCATCGAGCGCGGGACACACGTCGAATACGGCGAGAATGCTCGCTATCGCGGCCCACATCGTGGCCTCGGAGAGGAAGCGCCCCGGGCAGACGCGCCGCCCGAAGCCGAACTGCGGGTGCCCGGTGATCGCGTTCTGTTCGGGGAGGAGCTGGCCGGTGGACGGGTCGAGGTGCCGCGCAGGCTCGAAGACGTCTGCGGGGGGTTGATTGGGAGGGAGCGGGACACAGCGAACCATGGCCCTGAAATGTGTATGTTAGCGTCTCCGAGTCAACTGGAACGGAAGCCAGGGGAGAACGAACCAGACATTGGGCAGGACCATTGCGCCTGGCGCGATTCGAAAGTCATGAGTTCGTAAGAAGCATGGGGTAAGAGAGTGATGACCATACCCTTGGGAATAAAGTACCCTTCGAACACGTCGTCGCTTGACGTTGCGTGGGGCAAACCTTTGTCAAACACCCGTCAGTCACGATATCATACAGCAATGAATCGCACTCCTCACTCAGCGGAAGTATAATCTGCCAGCGCAGTACCTCGCGTATGATCGCTTCGATGTACGGCAGCGACGGGCGGTCCTCAAACGTCGGAAGGCGTCCGCCTCCCAGGACTGCGTCCATCTCCGCCTGCGCACGCCTTTGGACGTCGGGGTGCATCCGCATGGCAAGGATGAACGTGAACATGAACGAGGAGCTCTAGGAATGCCGCAAGCATCACCGTCATTAGCGTTTTACCGTCCGGATAATATGGTTAAGGAAGAGCAATACCGTGTCGAATCCGGCTTGCCAGAGAATACATCAGGTTTGCCCGTAGTAAAGACGATGAGTGAGACGTACGCACCCAGGAACACTGTTGATGCCATCGCCTTCATGGCTCGCTCCATTTCTGGCGTCAATTGCTTCTCGTCCACCTCAGTTAGCAGGTCAGAGACCATCGACCGTGATGCAGTGCCAGCCGCCTAGAACGGAGCGCGTCCCGCAACGTGTCAGCATTTCCAGAGATCCTCTCGGCTCAGAAGGGAGCTGACCATCTGTTGCTTAACGTACTCGAACGGGTCTTCAAGCGCGTGCCGTGCGAGCTCACGGCCCTTGACCGCGTCCCGCAGGAAGCCTGCACCCGGGAACCACGTTGGTAAACGCGTGACTAGGTGCTCCCCAATGCTCTTTAGTACCTCGAACGCGACGGACGGCCGCGGCTACTCACGGATAGGAAACGCGCCAAGCACGGCTGCGCGATGAGGGGGCAACGCGTCAATGAGCAGTTTTACCAGCTTCGCAGCACACTGAACAAGGTCGTCCGACCATGCGACGGCCTGGTAACCGTACGTGACCGCGAGGATGATCGAGGCTGTAAACCTGGTGGACAGGTCAGAGTTCGACAAAGCAGACATGAGAAGATCTCGAAGAGAAAACACACATTCGGAGATGAGGCTCAAACGATGCACTCCCCGGATTCTTCAAGAGGTCGCCGAGAAGAATATGAACTCGCTGAAGAATCAACGGTTGGTATGAGATACACGTCTCTGCGTGTAGAGTGTTGTGGAACAGCTTCCGGTGCAGCTTCCACTCGTCATCGTAGGGCAGGAATGCCGTGTTGAAGTCGGCACCAAACCTACATCGTGGAGCAACTATCAGTGCCATACATAGGTATAATAGAGCGAAGCAAAAGGGGTAGGGGGATTAGACACGCACAACTTGTTGGTGGGTACCTCTGGCCTGTCGCTGTATATGGCCGAACGCTGGTCGATCAAGGAGCGCACGACGCGTTCGGAGTTGAGCACAATCACATCCTGGCTGAAAAGCTTCATATACGCGATCTCGCCTGTCGCAGTCGAGCGACGCCGGAGGCTTGGGTCAGGGGATACCTCGGAAACAAGAAGTCTAGTACCGGGGGTGCACTCACCATACTGCTTCGTCCACTCCGTATATGTCTCCCAAGGTCTCCCGGGGTCGATGTCAAATATGTTGCCCACAAACGGGAGCCCTCTCGGGCCGGGTGGGAGGGGCAGCCCGCCGCGGGCTCTGCGCTTTCGCTTCTCAGAAAGCCAGTTGTAGGCCAAACACGCGCCCACAAGCGCACACGCGCAGTCGATCCACCGCAGGCCGTCGTTGAGCATGACTGCCACTATTCGGTTCGCCTGCTACCACTTGAGTGAAACGGGAGGGAAAGCAACCTGGCGAAAACCGTCGACACGTAGAGCGAAGCCTCCCTTCGTGAAGTCTTTTGAGGTGCGTAACGGGCGAAGTCTGTATCAAGGTCCGACCTGCTAGGAGCGAAAATCGTGGCGCGGGTCGCGAAGGGTCCCCGCCCCCGCGCGTTTCGGGTATTCGGCCCGGCCATCAGCACACTCTTCATCACGTCAAACCGCCGGGCATCAATCTGACTCGGGTCACATCTTGTCAGCCTGGCCGCAGTGGTTCAACAAAACTGTAGCCATGTGAAAAACTTGCAAAGCTTCACTAGAGACGCCTGGAGACGCGCGACCTTCATATTGGACGTTGTGGCTCATGGGCGCGTGTGGATCCATATTAATATTGTTGTCACCTGTCAAACGTCTCGGCTGCCAACATAGTCGCCGGATTTGCCGATCGACTTTTTTTACTGTAAATCTGATGCCAATAGTGTTTCATGTCGTAAAACATCGACCAATCTACACCATGACGCCTGTTCTTGGACATTGCAAATATCATGCCACTCTTTCATGTGCATCGTGAAACATCATGATGGACCGACTTTACACCGTAACATCTGAGCTTGAGAAGCTTGTTATACATTAATGGTCCTTCGATCTCCGCTTCTGAACCGCTCTCCGGCTTTGACTCTCAACTTTGAGTTACAGCTTCACCTTGAAATCCGAGTACGACATCGCAGATCCACACGAAATTTAGTTTGTTTCGGCATCCGTGAACGGGGTGGTCGCGAACCCGACCTGGGCGTTAGTCGTGTCAAATACGGTGTAAAACCTCTGGAGCCACCCAAAGCCGTCTGCGGAAGATATTCAGCACACAGGATTGCTCGGTGAAAGAGAGAGAAACGCACTGATGAAATCGAGGCCCTGCCCGCTGTTGGTACCCAGGTCGGAGACGATCAGGTAGATTGAGCCCTCGTTGCCGCCTAGGGTGCTGTTCAGCGCACGGGGCCAGATCTGCGCGTTGGGGGTCAGCTCGTAGCTGACCTAATAGCAGATGTTCAGTCACAAATTCTGATTAGTGTAATTTGCACGGGGAAAAATGACGCACTCCGCCAATATTGAAGAACAAGCTCTGAAGGTTGTTGTACTGCTCCTCAGTGATGGTGAGGAGGCCGGTCGTCCTGACACAAAACCGGGTAAGTGACGTTGACCAGCTTATGGCCGTTAGAGCTTACTTGTCCTCGGTCGCACCGGTTGCCTTCGTATAGGCCTGGAAGGCGTCTGCAGGACTGTTAGCTACAGATACTCTTGTTACATTGTACAAGGAAGCCTCACCAGTCGCGAGTAGCACCAAGGTCGTGCCAGTGTCGACAATACCAGCAGTGGTGTTCAGGATGGTATTACCGGTGCCGTAGGTGACATCTTGATCCACTCCCCAGTACTGAGCAGCATTTATCAGCAAAGTCAGAAGCTGTCAATCTGCAATGTTCACCCCCATAAACTTACGTGAGATGCAGGCGAGGTCGACGTGATGGGCACAAAATTGACATCCCCAGTGATTCTCCATGGAACAATCCGTCAACCCTTGGTCAACGCCTCAAACGTCACCCTATTAGAGAGCAGTACTCACTTGCTGTCGTCCACCCCACCAAAGTTGAGCTCGCCGTTGACAGCGTCGGTGGAGGTCGACGGCTCATAAGAGATGCCAATTGACTCCGTGGCAATCGTTCCCTGCGCGAACAGGTTATCCGTCACAGTGGGGACATTGCTCGTGTTTGACACGGTGCCTTGGGTGAGGTCGACGGGCCCAATGCTGTCGTATTGCGTCAGTCAGCTGTCTGTCTATATTTGTGATGCAAGGTCCATGAACCCACCCAATGATACCATCAACGTCGGAGAATCCCTGAGCAGAAGAAGCCACGCCGATGCTCTGGTTCCGGATGACGAGGTCTGAGCTCAAAGTGACGGTATCGGTGTCTAAAGATTATCTCAGCTCAGAAAGCTTCCGCTGAATCCGGGAACAGGACTCACACTCCTTGCCAGACATCTTTCCCGAGCCGTAAGACACATTCTGATTTTATCCCAATGTCAATCATATGGCATAGAAACGCAGAAGAACGTCTGGCTTACGATGGCGTTACCTGTGTTCTTGCTGGTGCTGGTCGGAGTATACTTCTTGCTCGCACCCACCCAAGTGTTCGAGCTCCCTGTTATCACAAGGCACAAGATTACCAAAGGTGTTAGTCAATCACGAGCATGTACCAGCATGTACATACCCGTATCGATCAACAGCGTATAATCCGTCGGAGGGCTCCCGACGCCCACAGACGCCGTATAAGTAACACCCGAATCTGTCACATCGACCAAGCTCCCCGAGCCCGATCCACCGCCTGCATTGCGCGCCAGAGGGCCATGGGCACCCACGCCGGAGAGGAACTTCTGTGCGCGAGCGCGATCCAGCCTGATCAGCTCCTTCGCGCCGCCTGAACCAATGTTAGCCGAGAAAGGCACTGAATAACCTGAAGTCATGTCGTTCGTCAAGGTGAGTCGGGATATAAACGCTGCACTGCTCAAAATCGAGGATGAGAGGAAGGCTGTTCAAAGGGGAGATGAGAGAGGGATGAAGGAAGGTCGAATTCAGCAATGCGGCAGCTTATATAGGTGAAGGAAGCAGCTCGTGATAAGGGCGAGATAGAGCCATTTGGAGAAGCTATGGAAGCAAAACGAGGAGAGGAGTGCCAATCGATCGTCATCATCGTGCTCCAGGGCTCGACGCAGTTCGGTTCGGCAGCCAGCACAAATACTAGTACCTACTTCGTTCAGCTTGTCGTCATCAAGAGAACTGTGGCAGCTTGGGGAGGAGAAACCTTGTTTGACACGCTGACAGCTGGAACGGAATCAGAATGCGTTAATATTTCCGTGCGCAGTCAGGGAGTTGGTGCTGGTGTTCGATCGTACCGCCGCGAGTTTACACCAGCGAAGAAGGAAGGTATCTTTAAGCCCTAAAGCAGATAGAAGACGTAAGGAATGTATCTTCTTGACATACAGATGACGCGCAGGTGTGGTAATCGCCTGGAGGCTATCAGAAAGACAATGAGTTCGATGCGATCAACGATCTGATCTCACTGATCTCAACGTCGATCCCCCCTCCGGTTGCCGCTTTTGTCACTGTGACCAAACTAAGCAGTACTGTGGTGGGGTCCCAGATCTGCTGATATTTGCTCCCGTGCACAGCTGTAGGCACACAGTTCGCTCATATTATTGGTGTTCCCTATCATTCTCCCTCTCATTAGCGACTGTGCTGTTTGTCTCACATCTGAAGTATTCCTCTCAATTGTACTGCATCATATTACATACATACAAAGTCCAACAATGACACTAAACACGCAAAACATTCTAATCTCAACCTGTAATGTACACACACAAGTCCATGCTCCGCCTCGCTATATTTCGCGTCTTCAGCTTACAGCTTCGCCATTACATTCGAACTCGAAATCGCAGACGCCGCAGGCAGTCAGTTGGTCTCCGCATCCGTGTACGAGGTAGTCGCGAACCCAAGCTGCGAGTTGCCGGTGTCGAACACGGTGTAGTACCTCTGCAGCCAGCCAAACCCATCTACAAGATCATCCTCAGCACACTGCACCGCATTGCGCTAGTCACACGGGCGAGACATAAACTCGACACGCACTGATAAAGTCAAGGCCCTGCCCGCTGCTCGTTCCCAGGTTAGACACGATCAGATAGATCGAGTCCTCGCTGCCGCCAAGGGTGCTGTTCAACGCCCGCGGCCAGATCTGCGCGTTCGCGGTGAACTCGTAGTTGACCTATAAAATCAAAGTGTTAGTAAGCAAGAGATGAATGAATCGATGGAGGAGAGAAATGCAAAGAGACGCACCCCGCCGATGTTGAAGTACAGGCTCTGGAGGCTGCTGTACTGCTCCTGGGTGATGGTGAGGAGCCCGGTTGTCCTAACGAGCCATCATCAGGTCAGCAAGCGCTCGTTAGCATCCAAGCGCATGATTGCAAGAACGCACTGATCCTCGGTGGCGCCGGTGGCGCTCACGTACGCCTGATAGGCGTCTGTAAAGGCTATCAGCGACGAAAACTCTCAATGCGTTTACCGAGACCTCACCAGAGGCAAGCATCAACAAGGTCGTGCCGGTGTCGACGATACCGGCAGTGGTGCTCAGGATGGTCGTCCCGCCGCTGCCGTACGTGACAGACTGGTTGACGCCCCAGTACTAAACAGAAAAAAAGATCAGCAGTCGTCACATCGCGACACTCGCAACCCCGAGCTCACGTTGGAGGCAGGCGACGTCGTCGTGAGCGGTGTAAAGTTGAGCTCCCCGGTGTACCTTCATAGTCAAATTTCATATCAGCCTCTAATCAAGGGCTCGTAAGATAACACGTACTTGGTGTTGTCCACCCCGCCAAAGGTGATCTCGCCGTTGGACACGTTGGCAGTCGACGACGGCTCATACGAGATGCCGAGCGAGTCCGACGTGATCTTGCCCTGCGAGTACAGATTGTCCGTCACGGTCGGGACCTCGGTCGTGTTCGACACGGTGCCCTGAGTGAGGTCGGCGGGACCGATGCTGGAGAGGGGAATATTCAATCAGCTTCCTGTCACTCGAGAGTGTGTGTGTGCGGCTGATCCACGCACCCGACGATGCCGTCAACGTCAGAGAACCCCTGCGCGGAGGAGGCCACGCCGATGCCCTGGTTTGTGATGACGAGGCTCGGGTTCAGCGTCACGGTGTCGGTGTCTAAACGTTATCTCATCTCAGAACGCTTCCTGATATGCTGTACTGGGAACTCACACTCCTCGCCGGACATCGTTCCTGAACCGTAAGACACGTTCTAAGTTTATCCCCACGTCAAACATGACGTGCAGACGCAGGAAAGAAAACACTTGACATACGATAGTGTTGCCCGTGTCCTTGCTGGTGCTCGTCGGCGTGTACTTCGTGCTCGCCCCCACCCAGGTGTTCGAGCTCCCTGCGATCAAAGGCGCGCACGTTACCAGATCAATCTCAGCACACTTACACCAACACGCACACACCTACCTGTATCAATCAACAGCGTATACTGCGTCGCAGGGCTCCCAACGCCCACAGACATCGTATACGTCACCCCTGAATCCGTCACATCAATCGTACTCCCGTTCCCCGTCGGCGCCGTACCCGAGCCCGTGCCCGCGGTGCCCGACCCGCCGCTCGGCTGCGCAGCATCACCAGCTCCTTTGTGGTGGTGGTGATGATGGTGGTGAGTGCGGAGGCGCTCGCGGTGGTGGCGGCGCTCACTGTGCGCCAGCGGGCCGTGGCTGCCCACGCCGGCGAGGAACTTCTGCGCGCGGGCGCGGTCCAGCTGGATCAGGTCCTTTGCGCCGCCCGAGCCGAGGCGCAGGCGGGTGGTGAAGGGCACCGAGCGGATGACGACGCTGCTGGACATGTCGTTTGTTGATATAAGATATAAGATGTTAGGTTACTGAAAAGTAAGCAAGAGTGTTCAGAGGATAACAAGAAAGAAAGGACTGGGGGAACATCGGGGCCCAAGAACGCGGGTGCTTATATAGAGATGGAGGGGGAGCAGCCCGTGATAAGCAAGAAATAGCACCGTCCTTCCACAGAACCTGGAGCAAAAGTGGGGGAGGAAAGCCAAACGAGCGTACGTCGTGCGAGTGCGTGCACCGGCGCTCGAGTAGGCCGGCTCAGCAGCCAACGTAACTCAACCTGTCGTCATCAGGAGCAAAAGCCTGGGGAAAGAGGAACCGTGTTCGGCACGCTGGCGGCGGCCTCGCTCGGTACACCCGCGGGACCAGAACGCGTCAACCTTAAGCTCAAAGTGTTTTTGATTCCGTGCGCAGTCGACGAGGTGGTGTTAAATGGCGTACCCCCGTCAAACACCGGCGGAGGTGGGATTCTTTGCGTGGCTAAAGCAGGGGAGCTGGAGACAGGGGTGACGCGCAGGTGTTGTGATCACACGGAGGCTATCAGAAAGACAAAGGCAGATTGTCCCGCGGGGCAGGAGCCGTCCAGTCTCTCGTTGTATGCTGCGCATCGAAGGTCGTCTGTGAACATTTCTCTGGCAACAATGGACGAGTATAATCGAAGGAGACGGCCGGGGCTCGGCAGACAAGGCGACTTCCATTCTGCTTCAGCAAAGGCACGACATCCACGTCTTTAGAGAAGGGTGAAAAGGAGGTAGTGTGCCTGCACTCGAGCCGAAACGTTGAGATAAGAGAGAAGCGACGGCTGACGAAGAGTCGAGAAGCATGCCCCAAGGCACAAATGCGCGTCTCCCCAGATCCAGAGCAGCTATTGGAGTGCCTGAACATTCCATAGGCTGTCGTCAGTTGTGATCAGAAAGACAGTGGATCCGGCATTTCTAGTTGGTTATTTATAGCCTTTGGGGGGTGGGATTAGCCTTCCATTACACCAAGTACGTAGCGTCCAGTCGTGGGCAGCTGTGCCAGTCCAGTGCAGGCCAGTGCAAAGACGGTACAGCCCAAGTTGCGGCAGCGTTTGTCGAGTCTCCGAGGTGAACGAGAACAAGCTGTGTCCATACACTCGCCGCCGGCTCCGCGCTGATAGCATATTTAGGCCGCCCCTAAATTCTCGCCAAAGCGGGAGAGCTCCTTCTGATTGCTGACGTTCGTAGGACTCATCACGCCGTCAGTAAATGTACATAATACGCATAGCTAAAAGTACAATATGGATACATGCAAACCCAAGCCATCAGAAAAGATTCAAGCATCGTCATCGTCGTCACATTATAAACCGTCGTTCCCAGCGTTGCCCCATAAGCCCCCAACCCGTTTACACGACATCGGTAAAATGGTCAGCCAGCGTCTCCTGGATCTCCTTCACCTTCCCACTCGTCGCACCCAGCGCGTTCTCCTTGCACCACGGCATCGCATCCAGCATGCCCTGCGTCGGAATCTCCCGCTCCACGAGCGCCTTGATCACGCTCTCGGCGAGCATCACCTTGCCCAGCACATCCGCATACTGCAGCGGCAGCACCTGCTTGCCCATATCGAGCGCAGACCGCCACAGCGCCGCCCACGCGGCATTGCACCGCACCTGCGCGCCGCCCGTGCACCGCGGGCTGTGCGCGAGCGCGGGCGGCTCCCCAGGCAGACGCTCCCACGCGCGCGCGAGCGAATAGTGCCCGGAGAGAAGGCGCACGCGCTGCGCGCGCGTGAGGAGCGGGTCCGCGTCCCACACGTCGCGCCCCTGGAGGAGCATCGCGTGGTACGCTGCGCCGAGCAGACCGCGCAGGTTGAGACGCTCCGCGAGGCCGAGCGCGAGGGCGACGTCGCGCGACGAGGCGAGGAGGCGCTTCCAGCGCAGTGTGGCGGCGTCGAGGAGCTCGCGCTGTTCGCAGAGGGAGGCGAGCTCGGTTACTTGCACGAGGCTTGGGGTGTCGGCGGCTTCGTCGAGCGGGGGCGAGTGCGAGGGGCGGGTGTAGAGCGCGGTGAGGGCGGCGAGGGCCCAGCCTTCGATGGAGCGGAACTCGTACTTGTGGGATATCTTGGCCAGGTTGAACAGCTGGGCATGGGACGAGCGGCCCGTTTGTGCGAGTGAGAACTCGTGAGGGCTTGAGATGGTTGAGCAGCCAACAATTGAAGAAAGGCTGTTTCACTCACAGAGAATAGAGCGCCCACAGAAGAGCACGGAATTCGTCAGCCGTGTCGCCTTGGAGGGTAATCGGGTTCTCGTCACTCTCTCCTTCAGGTCTGACTGCATTGGAGCCTCCGGCAGAATGGGAGCGCAAGTCGGAGTCGAGAGAGAACATGCTGTCGAACGTGGACTTGTCCTTGGTCAACGTGGACCTGTGAACCTGGCAAGCAATCAATCTCGACTTGTAGGCTGCATCGTGACTATGCACGAACCCGGAAGAGAGTGTTCTCAACGAGAAGCACAGTATTTCCATCTGAGATGTAGTACCTAGAGTCGCGGGAAGGAATGGGGATGGAGAGCTGAAGCTGCAACTTGGGTGTGCCAGGGCCGTCGTCGCCGGGGTGCATGAAGGTGTTGGGGAGGTAAGGCCCGACGTCTGCGTGGTAGTGCGGGGTGGACATGCAAGCTGCTCAGATCCGAGACGTCGACCCCGGACGTCGGCTGTTTGTTTGTTTTGCTGGTGGCTGCCTCTCACTGGCCGCCCGTCGCTCTCGGGCGGATGCTGGCCCGGTCAAGTACTCGCTCGGCGGTGTCTCCGGTTGGCGATCCGGCTGCGACCGGAAGCAATATTAATGTGAGATAAGATTAGAATCAGGGGCGGGGCGCTTTTGGATCGCGAGGAATGACGTAGCCTCTGTTCATCATGATGCGCACTGTCCTCTCTACCTTGGCTGATTACTCGAGCTCCCAGTCCATCTAATCTTCAGAAAAGGGTAAGTAAGCAGAGCTAAACTTATGGTGAAAACACAGCGACAATAGAGATGCGGTGCAGCTGCGGGATGGCAGCGGGACAGTGCTCACTGGGGCCGCAGCTGCATCATCGGCATGATTTGGAGTCCGCACACCACGTCCCAATGAGCGCTCTGAGCCTCGACGAGTATAAAAATATCCTTCCCCCTTTGACGCGTGCTCTCCCTACCTGAAACATACCCACTTCCCCTACCCCTACCTCCACTCCCCACTTCACTTACCAGCCTACCAACTATGGTTTCCTCAAAGACTTTCTCCATCGTACACTCAAACAAGACCCTCACATCTGCTTACGCGGAGAAACCAGACTCGTCTCCAGGCCACCTCGCAAAGACACTTTATGAGGAGCACCACATGAAGCTCCCGGGGTCTGGCGGCTACGCCGAGACCTTCGCCAGCATATTCAAGGGCGGAAATGCCAACGAGATGAAGCGCATTCAGAAGGAAGTCGATCCGTCTCCGGAGGACCTCGACAAGGTAGCGGATTGCGGCAACTTTGGCAGCAGACCGAGCGATCTTTTCCTAAAGGTGCGTGTTTATACCACTGTGCTAAGGTACGTGCTGAGATATGCATAGATGTACAACGACGTGCTCGAGACCCTCGAAGCAAATCCATGGGCTGGTCTATGCTCTCCACCCCTATTGGGATCTCGCGGTGTTGTGAACTTGTCCATCATCTCCGTGTGCGTGATACAATCATATCCTACCCAAATAACACGATATTGAGCGGTAAACCAAGATAGCATCCCCGACATCATGCAGCACCACTACGACTGCATCATCCGCGCCGAGCATGAGGTCTTCCTCGCCACCAACTTCTGGCAGTCCTCCAAATCCTCGCGCAAGATCAACGACGCCTTCATCGAGCTCTCCAAGCGCGCCGAGCGCCGCGGCCGCAAGGTCGTCGTCAAGATGCTCTACGACCGCGCCAACCTCAAGATGCTCACCGAGTCGCACGTCGTCGTCGACGACAAGGAGATGGCGAGCGCCGACGTGCAGCTCCCCGCGCGCGCCGAGATGCCCTGGCTCGAGTTCGAGCTCGTCAACTTCCACCAGCCTTTGTTGGGCACGTTCCACGCCAAGTTCCTCATCGTCGATCGCAGGATGGCGCTCCTCATGTCCAACAATATCCAGGACAGGCCGAACATGGAGATGATGACGCACCTCGAGGGCCCTGTTGTGGATGCGCTGTACGATATGGCGCTCATCAGCTGGTTTCGTCCGATGCACCCGCCGCTGCCGCTCCTCGCCCAGCCGTACGCGCCGCCCGCGGACGGGTACAAGTTCGGGATGGACAACGAGTTCTTCACAACGCGCAATCTCGATGGCTCCAGGGGCGCCGAGGTCTTCAAGAAGATGGCGGCCGAGGCGGGCGGCGTGCCCGACGGCCACGCGGGTGAGGGCCCCGAGGGCAAGCTCGCTACCACCGGCGACGAGGGCCAGAACAAGCCCTTCATCTCGGGCATGTACCAGACCATCACCGAGCACCTCAGTGAGTTCGCCCCTATCTCTCTTCCCTAAAGGAATGTGCGCTGACGCGTGCCCACAGACGCAGGCGACCAAGACACGCCCGCGACGGTCGAGTACGCCCCGCCGCGGCCGGACGACGAGTACACGCCGCACGTGCTGCACGCGCCGCATGAGGAGTGCCCGATGGTGCTCGTGAACCGCGCGCCGAACGGGAAGCCGGGCAACCCGGACAGCGGGCTGCACAACGCGCAGGACGCGGCGTGGCTCGCGGGCCTGCGCTTCGCGGAGCGGAGCGTGTTCATCCAGACCCCGACGTTCAACGCTGCGCCGGTCGTCGAGGGCGTGTTGAATGCGGTGAGGCGGGGTGTGGAGGTGACGCTGTATGTTGATGTTGGGTTTAATGATGGTGGTGAGGTGTTGCCTGGGCAGGGAGGCACGAATGAGGAGGTATCGAAGAAGATGTTTGCGCAGTTGAAAGAGGAGGAGAAGGATCGGCTGAAGATGTACTGGTATTGCGGTATGTGCACGTCACGTTCGAACGACTCTGAAGACACTAAGCATTATTTCTGCAGGCAAAGATCAGGTCAAGCCCCTGAATGCATCCCAGCAGAAACGCAACTGTCACGTACGTCCTTCACCTTTAATGATCCAGCAACCAACCAAAAAAATCTAAAATATCCACATACAACAGGTCAAAGTCATGATCATCGACGAGCACATCGGCATCCAGGGCAACGGCAACCAGGACACGCAGTCGTGGTACCACAGCCAGGAGGTGAACGTGATGCTCGACAGCGCGGCCGTGTGCGCCGAGTGGCGCGACGCGATCCGCCGCGTGCAGAACACGCACCTGCACCGGCTCGGGAACGACGGCGTGTACCGCGACACGGACGGGAACGTGCTCACGGACTCGACGGGCGTCGGGAGCGGGATCAAGGGCGTGATTAAGGGTATACAGGGGAGTATTGCGCGTGCGCGCGGGACGGGCGGGTTTTGATAGCTGTGTTTGTTGTCTGGGTCCCGTGGGTCTGCGGGGACGGGGGACATGCCGACAGATGGGACAGACTGAGGACGTGAGTTAGAAGGAGACAGATTATTGTATTCTAGCGCCAGTGTACCATTTGAGCTTTACAGACGGCTTTTTTCTAGCAATCCCATCGGCGGATTCGCCGTGGTGGAACTCGCCAAAAGATACAGAAACTGGTTGCTGATCAAACGGTCTAGTGGGTGACTTTCCGTGGGGTCTAGGATTTCAGATTTCTCCTCAAAGCTAATTTGTCGGAGTTTCGGCTAACCAAGCGAACTAGAATTTCAGACTTGCACGTCCGTGGGCTGCTTGCAATTCTAGATTGTATTTGAAATGACTATCCTCCAACTCGCTAAGTTGTTCTACTACTCAGCCCTTTCGAGCACGACATAGGGCTCATTAGGGCTCAACATGGGAAATTCATCCAGTATCAATAAATCAGATGATTTGTGGGGACTGATCTGTCCATTGCCGCATATACGGAACACCCGGCCTTTGGACCTGATAGGCCTGACCCCAGGACCCAGGTTGCCGTAACTCGCCGTGCGATATTTGCCTGGTGATGACAACGTGGCGATAGGACTCAACGATGTCGAAATTGTGACAGACCCAAGGGATAGTATCGGACATGCACATTAGAAAACGACTCTAGTCTACGTATCAGGTTTGTAGAAGCTATACGTTGCATTCAACAGGGTGTTATGAAGTTACAAACAGGGTGCAAGGGCGGTACTAGGTCCGCGTCGGACCGTCAGAGGCACCGGCCGTGTTACCCGCACCCTCGTGTTAGTGATGCAACAGACCGTATGTCATATTGCTGCTCGTAGAAGTCATCGGTGACATGAAGACATGCGGATCGTGGGCAGAGTTACCTGAAATTAAACGGGAAATGCCGTGATGCTCGGCGCTTGTGTGTACGGAGGCCCGCCCGATCCCTTTGCGACGTAGAGTCGTAGTATATGGTAAACAGGACACTCACGCCTTGGCCTCAACGTCCAACGCCCGCACTTTAAGCTTTAAGCTTTAAGTTTGCTTTAAGTCTCAGTTTCAGGGTCGCGCTAACGTCGTACAACTCCGAACAGGACGTACAAACATTACACTCTCGGCGATCCGATCAGGATCGCGCTGTCAATGGCGCCGTAACGGTCGCCATTTCCTGGCATGCTGTATAACAACTTTCACTTTCAGACGGTCTTCAGATTTCACGGTCGTGCTGGTGTCGTAACAGTCCGCTGTTACGAGCAGGGTGTACAACGAATTGCATTTTTACATCTCAACCTAAAGGTTGCGCTGACGCCGCAATGGGTCCACAAAATCTTCCAAACGGGCCCGGGCCCTGTAAAAACCTTTGCACTCAAGAAAGATGATTGGGTTCTCGTTTCGTATCTTACATACTACGATGCCTCTGCACATCACGAGGACCCAGTACGAACAATTGGGAGAAAGAAGTCCTCGCCGGTTTTGGCAACGCGCTGTTCACTGTCATTATCAGTAAACACCACTCGATGTATCCTCCCCGAAATTGTTCGTCCTTCTGTGTCCGTGATCAGTATAAAAGCCTCGCTCATTCCGAGCACTTCCGGCCAAAGCAAAAGTCTCATCTATACCTAGGTTCTTGCATGCAATGTCTTTCTTCCTCCCCACTGCACCCACTCCGGTTAGTGGTTCCTCATCGTTCACCAGCGTCACACTCATCATGTTGTAGATTCAGAACGGAAACTTTGTCTGCACCTACCCAGGTTGCACCTCGAGGTTTCGGCAGCGAAGAGGCGCCAGGAGCCACATCGAAGGCAGACAGCGCGTCTCCATTTGCAGAGTCGCCAGTGACGGGTACTGACTTTGGCGTTATGATAGCTTTGGAGTCAAGCGCTTCCAGTGCGCCAGCTGCCAATACTGTACATGCGACGGCTCGGCCATCCGCCGACACTGCAGGACCCAGCATCAGTGGACGCCTCTGGCACCACCCGCGTGGGTTGAAGTTCAGGTTCCTGGTAAGTCTCGGCGCGGGATTTCCTAGAAGAACCAGCTCATTCTGTAATTCGATGCAGAGTTGTGGACAATGTATTGCTCCAGAATCTGAAGAGCTATGGGATGCGAAATGGAGGAATATGATGTTTCAATGGTAGGGTTCAGGATGAGAGCCGCCGAGTGCTATCTGTAGTGATTAAATAGATGGACGCAGTAGTGAGACAAGTTGATGACATGCCATACAGTAAGGAGTACTCGGAGGGCCAGTCGGGTAATCTCACTTGAGTGTCACCGTCAGTGAATGCATGGTTCTGAGATGAATTGGCAATGTGGGCGATTGTGGGTGATGGACGCCACGGACGCGTTACGTTCCGATTTCCGATGCGCGCTTGATTTGGCAACATGACGGATGGAGCCGCCGACCAATCAGGAACCTCGACGCGGCTTGAGTCGTGGCCTTGAAGACGTTTCAGAGATAAAAGCTCGCCTCAAAAAGTACACAAAACGGCCTAGCTGCGCACCGACCTAGGCTGACTTAAGTGAGCACCAGGTAAGGATCGTCTTTCCTGTCGACCAGGGGAAGATGGATACACAGAAGAAAACATTGAGCGCTGGAAGTCATATATATCAAGTAATGAATGAGATGCACTCGCAGGCAGGAATGAGGTGACCACAATGGTATACGCCATAACTTAGCTTCGGTACCAGCCCTTGCCTCTACTCTACATTCACTCTAAGCCAACAAGGAATCCTCCGTTCACAGCTTCGCCCTGTCCCGCGTTCCTTCCTTCTGGTTGACGGCGAAAGGTATCGTGAGACACATCTGCTCGGCGACGGCGATGCAGTACTGCTTGTCGCGCCAACCCTCTGTGGGCGGTCTTGACGTATCGCCGACGTCGGAAGGAGCGGTCCAGACTTCGACGCGCGGGTTGTGTCGCCCCTGCGGATCACCGAGAAAGCGCGTTTCGCAAAACAGGCCGACTGTGCGCGCTGAGTGGTCTTTCGAGTCTCTAGCGGGCAGACGAGCTTTGAATTCGACGCTCATGACCATCGTAGGGTACCAGCTGATACATCAAAGGTTCTTCCGTTAGCTCACCAATGCCGTAGAAAGTACCCGACTGCCGCGACGCACCTCGACAGTTCACCCTGCGCCGCCGGTTCGCTCTTGGGCAGCAAGTTGGGTAAGTTCGTGAACATGTCCCCAAAGAACGGCATCGACGACGTCACGACCCTGTCCTCACCGTGCCTGAGCTGGCACCAGGCCGCCCAGTTCATGCCGCCTCCGCCGAGCTTCTCGCCCGCCGCGTTCGTGGATGCGTTGCGTTCGGGCGTCTCGTTGCGCTGCATGGTATCCTTGTCGAGGCTCCAGCTCACCCACGACTTGAAGGACCATGGGCGGCCCATCGTGTCGAACGCGTGCTCGGACGGATGCAGAGTCAAGGGAAGCCGGCGCGCATACGGTGAGGGCGGCTCAAGCGCAAGTCGGACGGGGGCGTTAGGGTCAGGAGTGAGGTCACCAAAGATGGCGTGTGCGGTGATCTTGACGGAGCCCTGCACAAAAGTTCGGAGGAAATGTATAAGTATCGGAATAGAACCAGGAGGGGAGACACTATGGGCATATTATGTGAAGAAGCTCACCTGCTGGATGAGCTCAGCCAGAAGATTGCTAAACCCTCTCCCAGTCTTCAAGACTTTGACGTGCACCTCGTATTCCGTCGCGCTCGTCGCTTGCAGGTAGTGTCCGGTGAGGTGTATCGGGTCCTTGTGCTTCGTGCTGGCCTGGTGATCTATGCATGCCTGAAGCAGAAGTCCAAGAGAGTAGCCTGTGTATAGGTCAGATCCTGGGACATGTTTTCCTCAGCCAAAGTTGGCTTGCCTCCCTGAGGAACACTGCCCGTATCAGAGGTTAACGTTCCAGAGAACCTGAAGAGTATAACTATCTGGACCTACTTACGACCCAATCACATATGTCTTATCAAACTTTCCCCGATAGACTTTCTTCCCATCCTGTATTGAAGACGTAATCGAGCCCTGTAATGCATCGCAAAGAGGCGCCATGGGTTGCAGGGAGTGAAAGCAGGGGACGTGTTGATGAAGTCGAGGTCAAGTTATAAGCTTTACTCCGGTGCGGGGAAACCGGCAATATATTGCCTGCCAATTACCGGCGCTGCCGTCGGATCGCCTCTTTCATGTGCAACACCCTCCCCTGTATCATACGGCATTGCTTGATAAGACAGAGTGCTTCTTTCGTGTCTTGACCTAATTACATCCCTATGTTATGAGGCTTGGGAGGCAACTTATTGTCGAAGAGATACAATTGCAATATTGACAATACATTATCATCTCGAGTTCATGAATGCGTATCATCAAAGTCAATACTCTAAATGCCAATGTTCGATGTCCATAAATGCGAGTCTACACCGGAGGCCGGGTTATGTTATACAAAACGATAAAACCCTCTCACCATCTCCTGACATGGTCTAGTATCCACCCTCGCCTTCCGCATCATATCGCCCATCTCACAAGCAGCTGCGATCGCTACCTTTTCCCAAAACTCCAATTGAACTCGGCCCTCCGTGTGTATGTGAGCCAAATGAGGAGCATGATTAGCCAGAATGAGCGCTACGGGCTCTACGTCCTTCTTCCGTGCCGTGGAATGTTCCAGGCACAAGCACACCAAGTTTTCGAAGCGCTCGGTCTCGTCGAGCATTGCAGACAACATTGCAGACAAAACCGACACGTCGTTTGGCTGGACCAAAACGTTCACGAGAACGTTTTTGAGAGTCGGGCATGCACGCAGAATTGTGACGAGGTCAAGGGCGTTGAGGAACGTGCTGAGATCCCACGGACGGCTGACGCGGAGGGTCTCAAGAAGGGGCCAGTGGGAAACGAGTTCGCTGAGCTGAGCACCAATGAGCTTGTCTTCGGTGGGATAGAGGGTTTCAATCTCGACGCTGAATGAGGTGAGGTTGTGGAACACAGATAAACAGCGGAGGCCCTCAAACAACGCAGGATAGTCGCCGTCAGAGCGTTCGCGTTTGTGGGTAATATGGAATGACTGGAGGTTAGAATGAGAGATGAGTTGGGACAGAGGCAACGCCAGAAATGAGATTGGGGCAGATTCTTGCACACTGCTTCGAATTTGCAGCGTCCGTACGACTGGAAGTGATTCCAGTGAAGGTTGCTGCATATCCGGCCGGAACAGAAGGTCAAGAGCGTCTGACACATCCTCATAAGTATCAGCATCAAGCGCAAGCGAATCAACTTCTCGGAGCTGGCATTCGGTGTCTGCCATAGGGCGATAAGGACCGTCAAGAAGACAGAGTTCTAACTTGCCAAGCTTTGGGCGCCCTCTCAGGTCGTTCAACAGTGCTGAGTCAACGCAGAAACCGCCGGTCAGGGAATGAAGGGAACTCCACTGCGGAATAAAGCGGGGCGCGGGGAAGGGTTTCCTGACGTCCTCCATGAGCGTCAAGATATGAAGCGACTCGACCAATGGACAGAGAACCGGAAGCGAGCGCTCGTTGTCGAGGAACATCTCCATGTTCTCGTGCGTGACATCCAAATGCCGAAGCTGGGGGGACAACAAAGCGGAAAACAATGGATTTGGGAGGGCGCCTGTGAGCTCTCGCAGATTTGGGAACAATACCGACGTCGGCCGCTTTGCAAAAGCGTCCATGACACTCTTGTGAGCCACGAGCTGCACCTTGAAGCCCCGGCGATATTGTGGTGCGGAATGAAGGTGGCGGTGTGGATCGGACAGAGGCGGTCCCAGAGTCTTCACCTTGGCCGTTTTGGCAGTAAGGACGTTCCACTCGCTCTCCTTCATCTTTCGACGGAAACGCTGTAACACAATGAAACACATAGATGATAGACCCGATTCGTGAGCACATACAAGTTCCGTCCGTTCTACCGGATGATAGCTGCACCATCCTTTGGCTTTTTTCTCGTCTTTCAACATCCAGAGGTCTTGAGGGAGGCATTGAAGAAGCTCAAGAACATCTTCAACGTGAGAATACAGCACGTTGATTGCGGGTTCGTTGAACGCTCTGCAGATTCTTGCTAAACGCGCGAGGGACGGTTCGTCATTGACGTAGGCACAGATGACCTCCAAGCTCCTCCAAGATGTCGGGAATACGAAGCCATGTATGTACCTCTGACTTGCTTGGGCCATTCTCATGGTCATCGGGAGTCGTGTGCGAGTTCAGCTTAGCTGTGCGAAAGACGTCAGGTCATAAGTTTGACAGAGGCCTCAGGCGGGGCAAGCTCACCTCGAACGCTTCGGAATATTTGGTGAGTTAGGTCCATCGAATTGTGCTGCGGTGGGAAGTTTTTCTAGCGGTTGCAGCATGCATTCTTATATGATAACTTGTCACCAATTCTCGGTACAGCATTGCCATGGTTATGATGGGCGCTGTTGGCTGTACAGTATCGTTGTGTTTCGCGGTTGACTCGGACATGAATGTATGATGCATCGCGTTCTAGTTGTGGCTGTACTCGACTCCTACGAGGCCCAACACTTTTCTGGCAAGCTTATCTTCTTGAAGTTGCTCAGCAAGCGCTTTTACTGTGGACAAGTTGTTCCTTCCGAAATCTACTCAATCTTAGGGAACTAACTACAATGTTTAAATACTATCAAACACATGAGGAAATATGCATGTAGGATAAATGACTATATCGTCGGATGAGTGCGGCAGGAAGCTTGCATGGTCTGCAAGCGCTCTGTGGCACTCAGTACTCAGGCTGGTGCCATATAAACCTCAGCGCTTCAACTTCAACACCTTTTCCATAAGTAGTTGCTGTATAAACTATCTCAACATCTATCGGCACATACCGGTATTTACTCTGCATTTCAACATAGGATCGTTCAGCTTACAAGCAGCCGCTGTCGCCACCTTTTCCCAAAAGTCTAACTGTATGCTTCCCTCCGTGTGTATGTGAGCCAAACAAGGAGTATACCGGGCAAGCGAGAGAGCTATGGGCTCCACGTCTATAGATCGTGCCGTGGAATGTTGCAAAGACAAGCAAATTAGATTATTGAAGCACTCGGACTCGTCGTGTGTCGCAGACAAGATAGCGATGTCCTCAGGCTCGACGACAACGTTTACAAGGACGTTCTTGAGCATTGGACACACACGGAGAATGGTGATTAGGTCGAGTGTAGAGATGGACGGGGTCATAGGGGCCCTGGGAGTCTGGGGCGACACGATGAATTGACGCAAACGAGTAATGCGCAGGGTTTCAAGAAGAGGCCAATGGGAAACAAGGCTGCTAAGCCAAGCTCCGCTGAAATCTTCATTAGGGTAGTAAACGTCAACGCTGAACGAGACGAGGTTGCGGAAGACAGATAGAGAGCAAAGGCTCTCATATAACGACGAACGGTCGTCATCAGACCGTGCGCATCCTTGGGTGATGTGAAATGTCCGGAGATCAGAATGAGAGATAAGTTCGGACAAGGGAGACAAGAGTAAGGAAGACGGGGCTGACTCCTGCTCATGGCTTCGAATGTATAAGGCACGTATAGCTGGAAGAGATGCTGATAAGGGTTGCTGAAGCGCGGGTCGAAACAGGAGCTCCATAGCACCTGATAAATGTTCATAAGAGTTGCCTGTAAGCATGAGCGAATCCACCTCCCGGAGCTGACTCTTGGTGTCTGACCTACGGCGCTCAAGAGGGTACAGAAGATATAGTTCCAAATGACGAAAGTCTGGCAACCCTCTGAGATAAGTCAATATTGTATGGTCCACGAATACGCCACTAAGGGAACGAAGGGAGGTCCACTGTGAGAGCAAATGGGACACAGGGCAAGGACTCCAGACTTCGCGATGAAACCTCAAACTATGGAGTGACTCGATTAACGGACAGAGTGCTGGTAACGTGGACTCGCTATCGAGGAAAGTCTCTATGTTGTCGTATATGACATCCAAGTGCCGAATCTGGGGAGATAGCAAAGCCAAGAACAGTTGGTCTGGGAGGGCGCCCGTGAGCACTCGCAGATTCGGGAACAGTATTGGAATAGGACGTCTAGTGAGCGTGTCGAAAACGCTCTCGTGGGGCACAAGTAGCGCCCCTGTGGAATTATTGTCATCGTCTCTTAGTGCGCAATGAAGGCCGCGATAAGGGTTGGACAATGGCGGCCCCAGAGCCTTGACCCTGGCCGCCTTCACAGCGAAGATGTCCCAGTCTCTCTGCGTCATCTTTCGACGGAAACGCTGGAAGGCAGTTAGATAAAGCACTGTTAGGTTAAGTAACGGGCTCGCACAAGTACTTGCTGTCCCTTATACTTCTTGAGGCCCTTTATTGCCCATAGATCCCGAGGGAGACACTGAAGGAAGAGGAGGATGCTTTCGAAATGAGTGTACAAGACACTAAGTGCTGGTTCGTTGAATGTCCTGCAGACTCTTGCCAAACGCGCAAGGGACGAATCGTCATTGACATAGACACAGATGTCCTCCAAGATGTGGGGAATGCGAAGCCATGCGTGAAGCTCGGAATTGCTCGGACTGCCTCCATGGTCATTAGCTATAGGAGCTCTTCGTGACCTGAGCCTGCCTGTTCAATGGACGCATGAGGAGCCAGACACAACATTTACAAGGGGCGGGCTCACCTCGCACAGCTCGGAGTACCTGAGCTGACAGGTTCATTGATAATACGTACTCATAAGCGTGTCAGCAGTAACTTGACCTCTGGGCTTTGGAGACGAGAATGGTCGCGGGTTGTGCTAGTCTCCCCTAGGCAGACCACAAGGAAGATGTAGTCGTTCCTTTATTTATAGGGTTGTGCAAGCGCGCGAATGTTTCCCGATTTGGGATGGTCACGTGACTTGATGCGAATAACGTCTTGGGAGGATTGCATCCCCACTTGTTTTCTAGTTTTCCCTCGTTTACGTCCACTACCTCTCTATAGCCAGCATCGTAGTATGCATCCAGCTCTCCTTATCAACGAAATCTTCCTTGTCATTTGTCAGTATGCATCCGATGACAAGCCCGCGCTCAACAGCCTCGCTCGTACTTGCAAACCGCTCTCAGATGTAGTACTCAACGAACTCTATGCGCACATCCACTCACTTCATCACCTGTTTATGTGCCTCCCTAGAGATCTGGTGCAAATAGAACGCCATGAGATCGTATGTACTCATGGCTCTGCTCACCAAGGGCCAACAGCTGAGCGATTCTTTCAGAATTTCAAACGTCCCATCCAAGCCTCCGACTGGGCTATCTTCCGCAGGTATGCCTACCGGGTTCGAACGCTTGAGACGAGACTCCACGACCCCACCAACCTCCGCGTAGGAGACAGCATCTCGCTCGTGATGCTCCACGTCAGCAATTCCCCTCTGCTTCCCTGCTTGCATACGTTACACTGGGAATGGAATCCCGCTTACAGGGCTCCACTTGTCGATATCGTCCGCGTGCTCGTGGGACCATCCCTGCGTATTGTTTCCCTGATACACATGGGACTCTCTGATCCTACAATCATACCGATGCTCGTAGGAAGAGCGCCTGCTCTACACAGTCTATCACTTAGCGAATTCTCTAGCTTTCGAGGAGAAGCACTTGATACGCTTCGGTTAGCATTAATCGAGAATTTGCCAAGGTTTGCTGGACTGAGAACCTTTGGCTATATGGATGGTCCTTACATTGAACCGCAGCTCATGTCAGTTTTTTCTCACCTTCCCATGCTGGAATCCCTCAGAATCCCCCAACCCGTGTACTGCGGCGATCCCGCCACCGATGGATCTTTCGCCCAGTTTTCAAAGCTCAGATATTTGTCCCTGCGCTGCAACGGCCATGCTACGTCTTGGAACAAATTCGTGGTCTTGGGCAAAGATGGCTTCCCATCTCTCGAAAGCCTCGACTTGACGTTTGAGGTCAACCTGATTCCATCTCGACTGCGAGACATTGCATCAGCTCTTGCCTCAAGTCCTATTTGTGAACTGACCCTGCATCCACCTTACACTACCCATCTGGATCGTGCGCTCACAAGGGACATCTTCCTTCCATTTACCCGCTTTACTCGGATGCAGAAAGTGCATCTTCATTGCGAAGGCGAGATGATCATCGACGACTCCCATATTGCGACGCTGGCTACCGCGTGGCCGGACCTTCGTCAACTGACGGTGAGAGCAGACAACGAGCAGAAACGTCCAGCATCGGGCGTCACTTTCAAAGGGCTTTGCACTTTAATCCGCAACTGTCGTCAGCTGCACACTCTCTGTCTTCCCCTCAACCTAGACAAGGACGCACTGAAGGACGTCTCTGGGTCTGAGCTCCCGCGCAACTACCTCGTCACGCGTGTGGACATCTGGGATTCGGACCTTGCGGACACAGATCACGTCGCGCGTTGCTTCTCGCAGATGTTTCCGCGGCTCGAAAGAATCGTTTGCATTGATAATCGTTGCGACAACAAGGCGTGGGCTACGGTCGAGAAGCTAGTGCGACTCGTCACATTGCGATGAGGGTGATGGAAGATAGGCATGGCAGGTGGACTTCGTTAGGTTTGGTACGTCTATCTGTCGAGCCGCCAAGGTGTGAGATATATGGCGAGAGCGCTGCTGCCTTTTGATTGAGCACGTGTCAAGGCTTGCAAGGAAGACTGCGATCTGAGTAAGTGGTGGTGCAGAAGGGTGGCGCGTGTCCGATGGTGTCCGATGCCGCAGGATGTGACTGGGGGAGAACGTGGCCGATGACGAGGATCATATAACGTGCACAGAAACTCCGATCAGATCTCCGTCCCACGTACGTATGTTCTGCCCCTGTTCTTTCTCCCGAAGGAGTCCGCAGCGCGCTTCAGTTTGTAAAGCAAGTCACGGGCTCCCGTCGACCACTGAAGTACTGACTGATGGTCGTCCGCGCTCGGAACACTTCTCCGCGGCTTGACGTTGTCGAGTACTCTCGGCATGCGTGCTGCATACGACTGCCTTGCTATAAAACCTGAAGTCAGAGAGGGAGCGGCCGACCAATAACAACGTCAACCTCATAGCACCCCAATCATATCATGTCCAACACTCAACCCAAGTTTCGCGTCGCCATCTGGTAAACTCTCTCTTTTGTATGCATCTTCATTTACGTTGATGCCATGACCCTCCAGCGGTGCTGGCATCGGCGGCCTCTTCCTTGCCACAGTCATTGCCAAGTTCTCGTCCAACATCAAGATCGACGTTTACGAAGCCCACGACGCCGTGACCACCGCCGGCGCTGGCATCTCCTTCCGCCCGCGCACGATGAGAATCGCAAAGGAGCTGGGTATCTATGATGATGTCGTCGCGGTCTCCACCTTCCCCCCGGAGCGAGACACACCGAGCCCCATATTCCGTGTCTCAGATATCAAGGAAGGCGGTTATGAATGGTTTGGAGAGAAAGCAAGAGGTGAGCGTGGCAATGTTTTGAGCGATGATCATGGTATGCTGAAGTTGGGGGTAGACAGTGCACCAGCGAGCATGCATCGCATGGACTTTGTCCGCGTGATCCAGAACCACCTGCCTAAGAGCTGCAACGTCCATCTCCAGAAGCGTGTTCAGAGCTATGCCGAAGCTGACAGCGGGGAGATCACGATTCACTTTGCCGACAGGACGACCGCGACCACTGATGTGCTTGTTGGTGCCGATGGTCTGCGCTCGAAGACGCGTCGCTGCATGTTCGAGACAGCGGCCAAGGTCGAGCCGCCCCCGTTCGACCGCTCACAGCTCTCCAAGTACACCGACACGAGCTACTCGGGGTACTCGATCTACCGGGACCTCATACCCATGAATAAGCTGCTGGCGCACTATCCTGACCACCCAGTCAAAAGTGCGATGTATATCGTGCGTTCTCCCTAATCTCTTATAACATCGCCTATTGAGCACACAGCTAACGACCATCGCCCTTGTGCTCCAGTTATGCGGCAAAGGCAAACACCTCGTTGGGTACACCATCAACGGCGGAGCGATGCTCAACTTCGCCGCCGTCACGTACGACCCGGCCCTCGAAGGGACCGACTACCCCGGACCCGACACGCGCTGGGTAGAGGACAGGCCCAAGCAGGAGATGCTCGACCTCTTTGACGACTACGAGCCCATGGGCCGCGCGTGGCTCGACCTGTCCGCGACGCCGAGCAGATGGGCGATCCACGTCGTGGGCAAGCTGCCCTTCTGGACGCGCGGGCGCGTCGCGATCATCGGTGACGCCGTACGTCAAGTTTTCCCTCGCCTCCTAACATATAATCGTCTGATGAACTAATCAATGCATGAACACCCCCAGGCCCACGCAGCAACACCCCACCTCGGCGCCGGCGCCGGCGCAGCCATCGAGGACGCCTGGCTCCTCGGGCGCTTGCTCGCGCACCCGCGCACGGCGCTCGCGGACGTCCCACGGGCGCTCGCGATTTTCGAAGGCATCTGCAAGCCCAACGCAGAGCGCGTGGCTGACAAGAGCATGGAGAATGGGAAGCTGTACGATTTCTACACCGAGGACCCGCTTCTCCAGCCGGGCGAGGACGAACGCAGCCCGGCGGCGCTCGAGCGCCGGAGGGAGAAACTTGTTAATGCGCGGCAAGCGATTGTTGATGCGGAGGACCCGCTGAAGCAGTGGGAGAGGGCGGAGGGCTTGTTGTTACAGGCTTGAAAGCTTGAGGATCGTATCTTCTTTCTGAGACCATGTAGTGGCAGGTTGACTCTTGCATGTATGATCGAAAACTCTTTCCAGACAATATCTCAAGGATAAAAAACCATCGCGCTTAAGCTTGCACGGATTCAAACCACTGCGGTTAACAAGGGTATATAAATTCTGCATCTCATGAAAAGAAACACAGTATACAGTATATACAGATTAGATATCATCGCGCCGCCGCGATACGTGCATACACTGAACAGCAAGCACTGAGCACAGGCACATAACGAGGGAACCAGCATCGCCGGTTCCCCATTATTAACATCCTTCCTCCCCCCCTCTCCCCTATGAGATCTGCAAACAAGGTCGTAACGGTCATGATAGATACTGCTAGATGGTGGGTGATAGATGCGATAGTCTGTTTTGTGATTATAGGCGATGGCCAAGGTGATATGATGTCGATGCAGAAAGATGCGTGGTGGGTGAGCCATGGTGGAGATGGTATGATGGTATGACCAGAGCAAACGAGAGCCGATTTTGCGCAAGACGGATAGATAAGAGAGAGAGGGAAAGGAAAGCCAGGCAGAAGACCCAAAACCAAGGATAAACCCCAGGAGAAAGGACACGTCCGTCGCCGCCGTTCGTCCCGCTTCCATCGCCATGCGACCGAGTCGATCTAGACGTCATCCTGGGAAGCCTGCACGACGACCATGCCCGTGCCGGTAGACCCGACAAGCATCGCCGCGCCAACGTCGCCGATCGTCTTGCGCACGAGGTGGACCTCGCTCGCGCCCCCGCCGAGCCCGCCGCCCTTGTGCTCCTCGACGAGCTTCTTGAGCTCCGCGTTGTGGTCCTCGATCGCGAGGCGGCGCGAGCGGCCGCACAGAACGAGGATGCGCGTCCGGGAGGACGCGAGGGACTCCTTGAGCTGCGAGACACGCGTGAGGATAGCGTGTAGGGGCAGGGGGGAGGCGAGCTCTTCAAACTCCATGCGCGAGAGCGCGGAGCGGAGGGCAGAGGACACGGGCGCGACGTTCTCGCCGTCCGAGTCCGCGTTGTCCTCTTCAGGCTGGGCAAAGCGCGCCCAGGCGACGCTGTCGGCTGTCTCGCTTTGAAGACGTGTTTGGGTTGTAGCATTTCCGTATACGGTATCCGGGAAGCCGCCGAAAGTCTGCAGCATAGTCAGCACCCTCATCCTACATGTCTATCTCAAGCAGGGAAACTCACCGAATGGATAGTCATCCCGTTGTCGCGAATATTCGACAACTCCTGATCGACCTTCTCGTCGCTTGCGAGCGCTGTCGCCGGCTGTGCCAAGTCCGCCTGCACGTCGCGCTTGCTCACACGCACGACCGTAGCCCTGACTTTAACGTTCGCACACAGCTGCGCGACGAACTCGAGCGCGAGCCGGTCGTCCGGGCCGCCAAAGAACGGCAAAAACACATGTGCAGAGCCACTCCCAATCGCAGCCGCCGTGCCGGACCCGAGACCAGCGTCGACCGCAAGGGCGATGTCCGTCCGTGCTTCCTTGAACACACTCCTGATGAACTGCGAGTGGATCGCACTCGCACCATGTGCACCCTCCGTGGAGTCGCCGTGCAAGCTGGCACCGAAGAACGCCTCGAAGGGGTTGTGTGCGAGCGCAGCCGCACGGGGCGTGGCGGGCGACAGGGCATCGTGATCCACGCTCGGTGGGGCCGGTGCAGCCGAGGGCGGGAGCCAGGGGAGGACAAGCAGCTGCGCGCCGTTGCGCTTTGCGTGGTCTGAGACGCGGTGCGCCAGATCGTCATAGGGGACGATAGAGAGCGCCGCAGAAACGGCCATGTCGTGCAGGGCGGCAAAGGTGCGGAAGATGGAGAGGAGGGGGTCAGTCCGTATGAGCTGGTCGGCGTGCGACGAACGCATCACAGCAGATGTACGGTCCGAAAGCTCGATGAGCCGAAGCGCGTCGATGATTACAGGTCGCCGCTTGCCTCCCGCTGGACTGGCGCCGCCGTCAACGTCAGGGGTGTCGAGATGGATAAGCTGAGTGAGCGACATGAGGGAGGGAATGTGCTCGAGCTTGTCGAGGACGACGGTGAGGCGATGGCGCCAGATACCATCGTCGGTGCGCTTCTTTTCCTCAAGGTCGGAGTCCGTGATGCCTTCGGAGTCGACAGCCAATGACCCTTGAGCATTGCGACGGCTAGAGGTCTGAAGCATTTCCGGGTATAGCCAAGTAACGAGAGGCGTGGTCATGAATGTGAGCACCACGGCTTCAAGAACGAACATCGAGAACACGCGCTACAAGAGTGTCAGCGAGGAGTATTGTCACATCAACTCAGTTCCATACCTGAGACAAAATGTTCGCTTGGAGACCGATATTGAGCACAATCAGCTCAACCAAGCTTGAGCGTTCGCGTCAGCTTGGGTGTATATTAGTTCAACTCCAAGGAGACCCACCCTTTGCAACTCATCAGCGCCCCGATAGTACTTGACTCTCGCCAGCTGAACCCTATCGCCCTTGCGCCCAACGTGCAACCTCCAAATTTACCGGAGAACGAGAGTGCCATAATGGCAATTGTAAAACCCCAAGTGATCCCTGAGATAATTCAGTATACGTAAGCCATGATAGTGGATGGTTATCATACCGTTGTCCAAAAGACCAAGGTTGGTGTTAAGTCCCGAAATCGTGAAGTACTGGTCCGCACGTTAGTCACGAACATGAAACACGGATCCGCCTGACTGACCAAGGGCAGGAATACAATCGTAACCATATCTTCAAGCTTTTCAGTCAAAGCGATGGAGAGACCTCCCTCTCGAGGTATGACCAGTCCAGCCAGGAAAGCACCTGGAGAGGTAACGGTCAGCTCCGCAAGAGTTTCCGGCGAGGGAAGAACACACCGAAAATAGCGTTTACACCAATGATGTCCGTAAAGAAAGCAGACGCGAACAGCACCAACATCGTTACCGTCATGAACACCATGGTCGGGCCATTGTCGATCGATCCCGTTACGCGGGCGAGGTAAAGCATGACGCGGCGCACAATGAAAAGCAGGAACAAGACAAACGCAAAGCAGACCATAAGGATCCACAGGGCGGTAAGTCCTGTACTCGCGTTCACGAGAGCCACGCTCAGAGCAAGCAGAATCCACCCGACGACGTCGTTGGCGACACCGGCTGAGAGCACGATGACACCGACTTGGGTGTCGAGCAGCTTGAGCTCGGTGAGGATACGGCAGAGGACGGGGAAAGCGGTGATCGAGTAGGCGACACCGGTGAACAGCATGAAGTACGTGAACTTGACGGAAGGGTCGATGAAGTGGTGGTACAGCGGGACAGACAGGCCTGCGCCGAGACCGAAGGGCAGGGCCATACCGGCGATGGCGATGACAGCGGACTTGGCACCATTGCGCTTGATGACGTCTCCGTTGATCTCGAGTCCGATGATGAAGAGGAAGAGACACAGGCCGATATCGGCAACGAGAGTGAGGTAAGGGAGAGACTCTTGAGGGAAGATGTGCTGTGTGAAGCCGGGAATGCGGCCGAACGCGGTGGGGCCTGCGGTCTCGCTATCAGCTTCACCCCGCCCTGATGAAGAGGTTCGCCCAATTCCGAGGACTGACCTAGAAGAATGCCTCCAAGAATTTCTGCGATGACCTTTGGCTGGCGAAGCTTCCTAAGAACGAGTGACAGCACCTGTGCCATCATCACGATGACGCCTGGACAACCGCGCATATAGTCAGCAAAGAACTAAAACGTGCATGAAACAGCCCTTGCGCACCAACTTGGATGATCCATAGCCGGAGAGGATCAGAGGAGGTGAAGGTTGCAGGATCTGTGCCAGTCAAGAGACCGCCCTGCCAAAACAAGATGGATATATCAGCCAACGAACGAATTGGAAAGGAGACTGTCAATTCCGACCTGGCCCTGGGCTTCCGCGCGCTTCGTGACGGCGCCGAACAGTTGAATGGTGTGTCCAGAGAAACTGGACATGGCGGAAGGAAGAAAACCTGCCTAGAGAGAGGCGACAGGGTGAAATTTGAGGGCAAGGCTATCAACCGGGGCTGCCGCAGAGAGACATTGTGGAGTATTTGAGGGATATCAAACAAATGGGCAGTTTGACAGTGAGACATGTGAAATAAATTCAGATGTCGCCCCTTTTTAGGCGAACTCCCCCGGTGGTGCTGGCATGTTTCGGTACTAGTTCGCCCAGGAGTTTGGATAAAAACTATGTTGACCCCACCTGACGTTCCCCTGGACCTATCCGACACCGCCCTACGCTCACTCGGATCGATACTACATCTCAGGACAAAGCCTGCAGTATCATAGTTCATCCTCTTGGCAATAACCTTCTGCTCACATTACCGGACGTATGTGGACACTGGACTCTGATGATTTCTTAGCCGAACATCACGGGGCAACACATGAAGACGTAATGTTCGACGTTCGACGTTGCCGCCGTGCCGTCAGGAAGTTCGAACTCAAGTCTGATACCCAGAGACTCCTGTGGCATTCAAATATTCGACTCTCCATCTCCAACCCGTCAACGGGAACATCCACAACTCTCGCTGTCTCGAAGCATTTGCGCCTCTCAAAGGCCGTCTGCACCACACCCTCATTCCATATCGTCTTATCTGCTCCATGCCACAGCGCGCTTCTCCAAGATACACACTATCTTCATCCTGGCCTGTGCGATCTCGCCCTTTGCCCACTTCGACATTGACCTTGACCTTGATTTGGGCTGGTCCGATCGTCACGGGAGCATAGAGATAGCGGGGATCAAGCAGGCTTTCAGCTATGACCCGACTTGTCCTGTGGTGAAGCACGATTGTCTCCTCGATAGAACGATTCATATATATCACGATGGTGAGTCATGGGATAGTGCTTGCGGGCAAGCCGCCGCACCGTGGTCATCCTTGCTCGCGGAGAGATACGCGCTTCTTTGATGATGACACTTCTTGTGCTATTCTTGGTGCCACCTGCAGCTGGAAGCGCCCGAACTTCGGCGACGCGTCGACGCGTGCATACACGCGGACTTGCCCTATCGCGCTTTCATCTTATAAATGAACTTCTCTCTTCTCTAGGCTCCCGCGTTCAGCTTGGGCTTCGTTTCTGGTCGAATTCTTTCATACTACATATTTGATTAATTCACAAACATAATGGTTAATTTAGGTGAAAGAATTCGACAACGGGTATTGATCTTCGCGCGGAAAAGTCACCTGTTTCATTCTCCTTCAAACAATTCGCAGTGGCTAACTCGATAAGATCACCGTTGATCATCCACCAGACTCACGTTCACCCCTCAGGTTACTTGACGCCCGTAAAACCAGCCAGACGCCACAATGCCTAAGCATTGCTCTACAGGCAGCAATGCCATGATCCCTCAGCCTAGATATGTGCCGTACGAGGTTCCCAGATCGTCAGGCGGAAGCAAAGCCACGGTGTCGAGCAAGGCGCCACTCTCGGTCAGCAGATCAACTTATGATCAACAATCGCCACCTCATCCTCACCCGCCCTCTGCCGCGCTCGAGCTGCACCCTATCATCCCTTCGTTGCCGGCTCGTTCACGCCGCTTAGCGCTCTTGGATACTCCATGCCCGCGACGAGGACGCATTGCCTCGCAGCATTGGGCTGTACGCCCAGATGGGTCGGTCCTTAGGGCCATACGGAGGATCATTGAGCGCATCAAGGGCAAGAGCGCGCCTCTCTCGAACCTAGAGCAAGGTGGCGCCCCGATTCGTCGTGAGACGTCGCTGCGACCCAACATCCACGATAGGTCGTCGACAGAGAATCGTTCTGAGTGCGCGCGAGGTGCGGTAGAGGTTCTCTTGGCGGTTTTTGTGTGCGGATTGAGAACGTGCTCACTCACAGACTGACTAACTGATATACAGGGGCAAAAGCAAACACGACGGATACCCGTGCGGCGCCGTCTCCCAGACACTGCGCGTCCTCCATAATAAGCACGTCGAAGGTAGCGCAATGGATCCGATTCACGCGCGGCCCCTTCCGAGGAGACGTAGCCCGGGTGATCGACCGTATACCACCAAACTTCACCTGGGCGTACGTCGTACCCCGGCTGAGTCCGAACGACCACGCCACCCTATCCAACACACCGCCCGCCCATGGTCTAGTCAACCTCAAACTTGACTGGGGCGGCGAACGCAAGCTCCTGCCGTACGCCCTCGCAGCTGACGCGTTCGGGCGCGCACGGATGGCTCGCGCGAGCGACTATTTTATGCTCGGGGGATGGCACTTCACGATGGATGGGTTCCTGATTATGGAAGCATCAGCTCGCGACTTTGAGGATGTTGTACGTCCTTCGGTAGATGAGGTTTCACTTTTCGGTCGGAAGCAACGTTGACGGCTAATATGAGAAATGCGGTATAAGTATATCGGGGTTGTCTGAACCAGTACGTGCACCAGCTGTATCGCGGGAATCTAGTCTAGCTAGGGTTTTGAATCGCTGCTTTTATCTGGCGGTGATGGCATGTATCGATTCATCTGGTGTTCATGATCAACTTTGGGAGACTACATATATCTTGGGTAGTTGTTTGCGAGAATATGTCTTAATACCATGTCTCATACAAACATGTGGGGTTTCATTAGCGCTCACTCAAATCGGATCAACACGTTCTTAGCTGCGAGAAGCAATTTTGGATTAATAACTTACAGTAATCAACGACTTGTTATCACTGCGAGTGAAGTTCATTGGCGAAGAGTAAATCCCTTGGTAAGTTTGGCCGGATTCTGCTTCGGGGTTCGGCCCGAGTCCGGCGTTCAGCTTGACGTGAGTCCACTGCACTGCGCGCTTGTTTTCTCCGCTCTCAACTACTTGTCGTCACTTCTCGAAGTGAGTTTGGTAAAACTGACCGTACACGAGTGAGGCACGGCACATCTGTGACCGCCAAATCATGTTGCTTCTCTCTTTCTCGAACCTCTAAACGTTTTGGGGTTGAAACGTTAAGACCAGACCGTGGCAATCTCCTCGTCCAATCCGACGCGTCCAACCTCCAACCTCTCGACCTACTAGTATCCAAACCTCACAGTCATCGTCAATTACGCTTCCAAACACCACATGTCCAACCTTCACAACACCACGACCGCGGCACCTGGATCCAGCTCGTCGACCACTCTGTCAAACGCGATCGGGGACGGAGTCCATCCGCCTAAGAGGCAAACCGCGCGGAAGTCGACAGGCGCGCGTCCACCGCGTCCGATACTACAGTCACCGAAGGCCGCGATATCCAAGTCTCCCAAGGTACCGAGGCCGCCTGTGAAGCCCAAAATTGGCCCGCCTCCGCCTCTGCCACCTTCGCCTCAGCAGAATCTGAATCCGAGTCGGACATCGACCTGGATGCCCGTGGAGGAAGACGATGCTATGGAGGTCATGGAATGGCCAGACTTTGAGTCCGAAGACATGGAGGACGAGCTGGCAGAGTCTGGGGCGGGCGGTGCGCCTCTCGGAACGGGACAGACATGCCAGCGGTGTCTTGAGCGTAGCGTTGAGTGCACATTCTTGACGGCGAAGAGACTGCCTTCCTCGTGCGACCAGTGCAGAGTAGTGAACTTCAAATGTTCTCTACGCAGGAAGATTATAAGGAAGTCGAAGCCTGACTCTTCGGGTGCGGCACCTGTGCAGAGCGGCTCGGGAGAGAGACCTATGTCCGCACGGGCAGCTCGCGAGCCTGAGGTGCCTCCACCACAGGCGGCGGCGACAACCTCTGTTCATGTAAGGTGCCAAACTCTCATAAGGTGTGACATATACTGATTCGTCCACAGGATATGCCCATGCCGCAAACGCCTATCACTGCTGGCCTCGAGCCTTTTATAGAGGCATTCTTAGGAAGAGTTGAGGACCGGGTCAGGAAGACAGTACGGGAGGAGCTGGAAGGATGGAAAGCGGAGCAGAAGAAAACGTAACATTGTTAGTCTGTAAGTTACAGTAACATGATGTGCGTGCACGTTTCCTCCGGTTTGCGTCTCCATGCTGAATGAGGTCACTTTAGTGCGGCGTACTCATGACTGTCTTGGGTATATCGTTGGGCTTCAGACGCCTTTTGTAACTTAACGATCTGGCGTAAGGATTGGTGGCTCGGGCTCCTTGCCCCTGAAAACGATGTTAAGCATGGATCCATCGACGTGACACTTCAATGCAGTGCCTCTGTGACCTCCAGGCTCATTCAACATGTCCAGAACTGTGTCTGCACATTGTTGTCTGGTGCGGAACGTTTGTACGTCCATGAAGGTGTCGACAGCTTCTCTCTGTTATAGTCCACCTTCGATCCGTATGCATGATTTGCTGTCACGCTATTTGCCTGCACGCGCAGCATCAGACGCAACGCTTGAAAAAAAGTCGTTTGCACAAGCCATTGGCTAGCTGGGTGCTACTACTCGCCTTCTGCTGCTTTCATTCTGTCATGCTAAGGAATAGGGGTGTTCACAGCCACATCGGTCGTTTCCGAATGCAACAAAAACCGAGTTCACCGAGTTGCCCCGTTTCAGCCATTTCTCTCACCAATTTCGCGTCAGCTCAGAAACGCTCTTATTGCGACGTAGATCTTCGGCCGTAACCTCGGTGATCGTTTCTGTGTGCATGTGTCATGGGGATCCTGCTGTTTGGAAAATAGTTCAATCTCTGGTTCAACCCATATGAGCGTCTTGTGCAGACATTCTCTGGCCAAATTTCCTCATTAAAAATCTGGAGCTAGGATAATGGCAGGGCGCTAGATTTTAATTTCGCGCGACAGCGGCACACAGGTCATCTGCCTTGTCTTACGTCTTCCATATTCTCCGTGAAGCTCTATTGATCTGGTTGTTTATACACGAAACTCAGACGTCGCTCATTTCCAATGCATTCACTCCAGTCAATCGCACACCCTAACCCAGGCGCATGGGTTTACCGAGAGGCAACCACGCAGATTTTCACTTAACCTCACTCTGCATGGCTATCTTAACACAAGTGGGTTCATATCAATCAACGCATCCGTGAAACGAGGCTGAAAATGGTGCACAGACATGAAACACCGGCCCACAGCGCTCGTGTCGTACTCGTACACTGCCCGTCGCGCTGAGCGCTGGGCGCTAATCCGAAGATCACAGGTTTGGAAAGTAACATCAGCTTCTTTCCACAGCCATTCGCCCTGTAGACGCCCTTCATGAGGCGACCCTCTCGCTCTATTGGTCGGTCCAACCAGGGTGTGGCATCGCAATCTGTTGTCTGGCAGGTTGGCTGCCATGCGGCTCTGCCTGCAGGACGTGCGTGAGGTCGTATATAAGAACGTGTTTGATGATCGCAAGATGGTCTACAACCACAATCTTTCTCCTTGCACCCTTCTGGCACTGATTCTGCCTTTGTTTTCCTCCCGTGTCCATGAAGCGCCTTTCCCTCACCCTCGGCCTGACGGCGCTCCTCAATGCCGTCGCTGCAGTTCACGTTCCCATGTCTGGACGACAGGTCGAACGATCGTCCCCGACGAGCCTTCGCAAAAGAACGAGCGTATCGGGCTCGACTGAGGTGGATAGTTACTACAACATGGCCTATTCGATCGACGTGACCTTGGGAGGAGTACCACTGTCACTGATGATAGACACTGGCAGGTATGAGTCATTCACTGCTGTTATCTCAGATCACGAATAGTCAAACTGACATCCTCTGAAGTTCTGATCTCTTTTCAAACACCAAGATTCAGAACGCGAACGACCAGCAGTACAGTGTGACCACCAATTACGCAGAGGGCGAATCTTCTGGTAAGCTGACATATACCGCTTCAAGTTCCCCAGCTTGACTAGCTGCTTCAGGCGAGATATACTCCGCAACGCTACACTTTGCCGACTATGTCATTCCTAACCAGTTCTTCGGTATGCTTTTAATACCTTGTTGAGACATTCGACGACCCCACTGACTGACCGTTCAGGGTACGCGCCCGATGCCCCAACCGCCGGTGAAAATGGCGGCGGAATCGTCGGCCTAGGCCCCGCGCTCGGCTCGCTCATTCGAACGAACGGCACCAACACCTCAGCGGCGGACCCTCCGCTAGACAGGATCTTCGTGATGGACAACACGACGGACAACTACGTCGCCATCCTCCTCGACCGCAGCGACGACCCGGACGACCCGTACCCCGGCGACCTCGCCGTTTGCGAGACTCTGACGCAGTACACGGCCGTCCGCGACCAGCCCAAGCTTGCTGTGTCCACCGACACGCAGCACTGGGGCACGTTCTTGGACCAGGATGGGCTGAAGCTTCCAAACGGGACGCGCATCGATATAAAGACGAACGTGACGCAGCCTACGACCTCCAATGCCACGGTCGTTTTCGACACTGGTTATACTTTCCCCCAGGTTCCTGGGTGCGAGCTCCCGTGTTCTTATGTTCTCAGCCAACAGATCGCTGACGTTCTTACCGGATGTGCGCAGTTATGTCTCCGACGCATTATATGGGAACATCACGGGTGCCAAATTCAACGTCAGCGACGAGGGTAGTTTCTGGGTCCTGCCGTGCGATGCTGAGATATCGGCTTCCTTCTACTTCTCCGGCATTGAGTTTCCCATCCATCCTTTGGACCTCAACATGGAGGTCGAGGAGGGCGTTTGTGTCGGGGCGGTGAGTTCATGTCTTTGATCGTGTCCACCGACGAGCCAATAACATGCCATGTTCAGTTCCAACCCTACGCTGTCGATCCTGCGCAAGTCGGGGGAGGGGAGGTCATATACGACATGATCCTCGGAATGGGTTTCCGTGAGTCGACATTGCAGTGCTATCGCAGCTCGCAGGCATCCATCTGACTCTTTCCCTCAATATGCAGTCAGAAACGCATACCTCCTTATCGACTTCGGCTCCCGAACCGACATTGACACGCCCTCGGACGGACCCGTGTTCATCCAGCTCTTATCCATCACCAACGCGACGGAGGCGTCTGAGGACTTCAAACAAGCGCGCGCGAACAGCAGCGGGACTGACACCGGCGACCTAAGTGAACTTGAAGGCGGAAGCGACGGCGACCTCAGCGACGAGGACTTTAGCGACGAAGACCTCAGCTCCTCGCGATACAAATCCGGCTCCTCCTCGTCGACGTCGCACAAAGCCAAGAAGCTCGCCGCATGGGTCATCGGCATCATCGTCGCCGCCATCGTCCTTGTCCTGCTGCTGGTGTGCGGCGCGTGCTACTGCTGCTTCTGCCGCCGGAAGCGCGGCGCGGCGAAGTCTGGGCCGGCGACGGAGTACAGGCAGTATATGCCTGGGTACGGCGCGCAGGAGGTGTACCGCCCGCTGAACGAGCCCTCGCCCCGCGGTGCGGAGGATATGGTGATCAAGTCTGCCGGGGGCGGTGTGCAGCCGAGCTACTCTGAGCAGCAATACAAGACCGCTTGGGACGCGCAGCATTAAGCTTAAGTGCAGTCCTGGTTTGGCTCTGGGCTTGTGGACGTTTGATTGATCGCTCTGCTGTTACTCTTTTTACTCTTTTTCTTGTGTACGATGGCGGTCTGATCTATACCGTATTATAATACCAATGTTTCCACTCATTCTTCGTTTCATCGTCGATAGCATGGACTTACCACAACTACTCTTTGTTGCATACCTCTGTAATGGCATAAGTAATCAGTGCGGACCCTGAGATGCTTGTTAAACGGTCCAAGTAGTTTAACTCAAAGTCACAGGAACCGACAGCAGTTTTACGCGTATGAGTTACTGTTGCGATTTATAGCTGAGGACTTGGAAGTAGGAGCGTAGCGCTGGCACGGCCACAAAGTCATCCAGTGACAGCTCAGTGTACAACTCCAACCATTTCGTCATAATGTACAGCCGAATGGTGCACTGCAAATCAGGAATAAATATTCATATAGACACATGTCATGTTTACAAGTCCAAGGTTTGAGTAGCTTTGTGTGATAGTGGAACGGGTGCTAACGCGAGTCTAAGGACGGGATCTGGTACGCTCGCGCTCCCACTTTTCGAGTTCCGCCTTCACGGATTTCTTGATCAGACCCTCCAGGCCTCCTATGATTGCCTTGACGAACGGCTCGAAGTCTCCATGAGTAGGCGGCTAAAGGAAGGAATCGAGTTGATGTACGAAGTATTAACAGTCGGAAAAGCTCAGCTCACCGGAGAACGCACCCTCTGAGTCCGCGCAGGAGCATTAATGGTCCCCGGGGCTGGCGGGGGCGGCTAAAGGAAGGAATCGAGTTGGTGTACGAAATAATAACAGTCGGAAAAGCTCAGCTCACCGGAGAACGCTCCCTCTGAGTGTGCGCACTGGGAGCATTGGTCCCCGGCGCTGGCCGGGGCCGACGGCCGCCCCGACCCCCTTCAGCGCGACTTCCGCGTCCCTTCCTGCGTGTCACCTCAGCTGCTATGGCCGTATGTCGTCCTCTTGGCAATGCATTAGAACACCCGCGGTGCCGTTTCCTACACTGATCGCAGGCAGTGGAGGTCGCTTTTGCGTTGAAGGACGTGCAGTTTATATTATCGAGAGCGCAGAGTTGACATTTTCCCGTAGGACGCCTTCGCGGTACGCTGCCGGGACCCGACCCGCCGGGGCCGCCCTCAGCAGAGTTGTCTTCGGGACCCAAAGACGGCGCGATGGTGACCGTGCGCGCGGTGTTTGCCATCGGCGGACGTGCGTCCAGCGTGGGTGGAGGCTGCGATTTTCGAACGGGAAGTGCGGGCACTTGCACGAAGGGACGGGGGCGGGATCCGCCCGTCGACTTGCGCGCGTATAGTTTCGCGCGGGGCCGATCTTGTGTGGGGTCAGGCGTCGAGACTGGCAGAGGACCAGTCTTCTTCCCTTTTCTGTGGCCGAGCGGGCCGTCGCTCGTATCTTTTGGCATGCAGAGATAGGGAGAGAATCTAAGCTATGGGGAGCGACTGGAGAGGGAATGACAATGAGAAATGGTGGGACGCTGGATTATAACTTCGCAACTGACGGGCGCTAAATTAAAGTTGCAGAGAGTTAGAACATAGTTTTCCAGCGCTCACATTATGATATATGAGCGTGAACGGCTTGTGCACGCGAACTGGTAATCTGCTAGTTTTGTTGACTTGTTCAACTTGAGATTCTCATGATACACTCACTTGGCCGATCATCGCCCCTGCAAACTTGAAGCCTCGCGTCTTGATCATGCGTTGGTGTGCCCTTTCCCCGCCAGAGCATTATGAGCATGTAGGGAGCTAAATTGTGGGGCTGCATTGGATACGGCGAACTCACGGCGACTGCAGCGAACTAGGCAGCGAGAGACCATCGAAGCACCAATCGGTTCTCGGCCTGTGCGTGATGCGGCTATGTCACGCTACGAGTTCTATCGGCAAAGCGCTGATTCCAAGTGTGGCTCAGCAGGATTCAGCTGCCAAGAAATATTGGTTCAGGCAGTGCAAGGTGAGCCAGAGAGTCGAGACGGCCGAAAGAGCTCGATGTCTACGGGAAGAGCGGGAGTCGGACCGGGCGGACCGATGTTAGGCAAGCGTCATATGGACAACTGTAGCCCTTGCTTCAAGTTGTCCTTGAGCTACAGACTTGGTGCGTATCGATATCGTCGAGCCAGTGTGTTATCACGACACAAAAACCATTGAAGAGTGGCCTGTCCGGGAACGAACGTGGGTCAGGACTAGGGTGAAGATTTTGTCCGATAGCAAGCTCGCTGTTGACCCACTGGAGTGCAGGAAGCCGTCCGGACCGCACGCACATTAATTCCCGGAACGTATATCATCCTCCATTTCCCTCCAAGGAGTCAATCCCGCTCCTCCCTCCCTCTCCTCTCCTCTTCACCACTCTAAAGGATGTCTGCTATACGGCGTGTGCTCAACCGCCGCACACTTGCCTACGCCGCTCTTGCAACTGGCGCTGGCGCTGGTGGCGGCTACTACTACCTCAACTCCGGCCCGGCCTACCCCCCTTCTACCCTCCAGTCTCGCCGTCCACCTCCACCATGGACGCCCCCCTCTCGCGAGGCCATGCTCGAGCAGCTTCGCGCGTCTGCATTAGACCCCAACGCCGAGTTCGATTTGCTGATTGTTGGAGGTGGAGCTACAGGCGCTGGTGTTGCTGTCGACGCTGCCACTCGTGGACTCCGCGTCGCGCTTGTTGAGCGAGACGATTTTAGTGCTGGTGCGTTTCCTCTTCGTCCGAGTCATCGGCGGTATCACACTCATGCGACGTCATTATCACCATTCATCAATACTCCTTTGATCGGCTCCATGGACTCCATGGTTCAACCCTCTTCCCGCTGATGACGGGTCTTGTGCGCCGTCGCGTCTTGGCGTCCTGCCGCACGCTATTTACACTCGGCATCGCACGCGCAGGTACATCCTCCAAGTCAACGAAACTGGTTCATGGAGGCGTGCGCTACCTCCAGAAGGCCGTCTTGGAGCTCGACTATGAGCAATACAAGCTCGTCCGAGAGGCGCTCCACGAGCGCCGCATCTTCCTGCACACCGCCCCGTATCTCTCGCACATGCTTCCTATCATGCTTCCCATTTACAAGTGCGTACGACATGTGTTCTAAGTCGGTGCACGAATGACCAGGACATTCCTTGCTCCTCATTGTATCACATGTTATATTGCGCCCGGCAGATACTGGCAGGTGCCGTACTACTGGATGGGTTGCAAGATGTACGACGTCCTCGCTGGCAAGGAGAATATGGAGTCGTCATATGTTATGAGCAAGGGCAAGGCACTCGAGACTTTCCCTATGCTCAAGAGCAATGGGCTTGTTGGTGCCATTGTCTACTATGACGGTGCGTTATCCAGATTGTATGCATATACATGACTCTGAGCTCGTAAATACAAAACCAGGCCAGCACAACGACTCGCGCATGAATGTCGCTCTCATCATGACTGCCGTCAAGCATGGTGCCATCGTTGCGAACCACTGTGAAGTCACCGACCTGCACAAGAACAGCGAAGGCAAGCTTGACGGCGCACGGGTCAAGGATGCTCTCACTGGCAAAGAGTGGAACGTCAAGGCCAAGGTATGTCCACAAGCCCCTATATATCAGCAAGCCGCACTCAGCAACTAACAATCACTTGCTCACCTGCAGGGCATCATCAACGCAACAGGCCCATTCAGCGACACCCTCCTGACGCTCGACAACCCCGCGCACAAGCCGGTCGTGCAGCCCTCGGCCGGTATCCACATCACGCTACCCAACTACTACGCGCCGCGCACGATGGGCCTGCTCGACCCCGCCACGTCCGACGGGCGCGTCATCTTCTTCCTGCCCTGGCAGGGCAACACCATCGCGGGGACGACGGACTCGCCCGCGCCGCTCGAGGCCGCGCCGCGCGCGGGCGAGGACGATATACGGTGGGTGCTCGAGGAGGTGAGGCGCTACCTTGCGCCGGATATCACTGTGCGCCGCGGGGACGTGCTCAGCGCGTGGAGCGGGCTGCGGCCGCTTGTGAGCGATCCGGCGGCGCAGGGGGGCACGGCGGGGCTCGTGCGCAACCATGTTGTGCATCTGAGCCCTGGGGGGTTGCTTACGATTGCGGGCGGTAAGTGGACGACGTACCGCGCGATGGCGGAGGAGACGGTCGATGCGGCGGTGAAGGCGTTTGGGCTGGAGAGCCGTGTTAAGAACGGGTGTGTTACGGAGGATGTAAGGCTGGTTGGGAGCGATGCGTGGAGCAGGAATATGTTTATTGGTCTGATTCAACGGGTGAGCGGTTAGGTTTTTCTGAAGGATGAGGTCGGCATACTGATCCAGGCGCGTAGTTTGGTCTCGAGACGGACGTGGCAAAGTACCTCTCGGACAATTACGGCGACCGCGCATGGACGGTTTGCTCGCTGTCTCACCCAACGGGCGAGGCATGGCCCTTGCATGGTATCCGCCTCAACCGCAACTACCCCTGTACGTTCCCTCTTCCCTCTTTCCCATCGTCACCCTAACATCTCTTCTCTGCACAGACATCGAAGCCGAGGTCCGCTACGCCGTCCGACACGAATACGCACAAACCGCCGTAGACGTCCTCGCGCGGCGCACACGCCTCGCATTCCTCAACTCGCGCACCGCGCTCGCCGCCGCCCCGCGCGTCGTCGACATCATGGCCTCCGAGCTCGGCTGGTCGCGCGCGCGCCGCGCCGCGGAGCTCCGCGCCGTGCACACCTTCCTCTGCAGCATGGGCATCCCCGCCGACGCGCCCCTGCCCGCGCTGCTCCCGCGCGGCGCGCTCGAGCACGCGTGGGACGGCGCGTGGCGCTTGGGTACGGGGGCGCTCGCGCTGGTTGGGCTCGGGACGGGCGGCGGCGCGTGGGCGAGGGGCCCGGGGGTGATGTATAGTCGGGCAAGGTACGATGCGGGCGAGGTCGAGGCGCTGCGCGAGCTGTTTGCGCGGCACGCGCATGTTGCGCCGGAGGCGGCGGGGGGTGCGGCGTCGGACGAGAAGGCGACGGCGGCGGCGGCGACGGCGGTGGAGGAGCAAGAGAAGGTAATCAGGAAGGAGGAGCTGCGCGATGTGCTCGGGGGGTTCCCTGGGTACGAGGGTATTCCGCCTGCGGACTATGAGTATGTGCTCGAGGAGGCGGGCTTTGCGCAGAGGCGGGATCTGGATCTTGACGAGTTCATCGAGGTGCGTTGGCCCGTGTTTATCCCAGCTGGAGGTGGTGCTGAATGGCGTGATGCAGATTTGCGGCTCGCTCAAGGAAGTTGCTTTTGCACCCCCGGTGTCGAACAAGGTCGAGCGTAAGCGGATACCGGTCGAGAAGAGCGGTGGTGGTGTCTAAGCTCTGCATCTGAAATATCCATTTAGCTGTACATACAACCCGTCCTTAGTGCGACGTCTCGAAAACTCACTGCTGCACCAGGATGGAACATCTCTGTTCCCCCCATAGACTGTCGCGATTGTACTTCGCCTGTAAATGCCGATTAATCTCTCTTAGGACGATACAGCATCTGGCTCTCGGGTACTCATGCGAAAGACATCTGCCTTTGCATTCGTATTGCGCACCGAGTAAACCAGCGACAATGCACAGACCGCTATAATAGGACACAGGCCATTTTTGTCATGTTCCTCTATTTAATAGGTTATTGGTCACCACAAACTAGAAGAATGCAATCCAGAAAAGAAGCAGCCTTGGTTGGTGTTACCTTACTAAACGATTGAAGTGACGTGACTAAACTTTGCCCTGGGGATTGACAGCCGTGCGAATGCGAAGTGGTCGAACTGCGAAGTCTTGGAGGTAGAAACAATTCTACAATCCAATCCTCGCGGTTGGTCGGCAAAGCTATCGGTGTTATTTTAACATGCGGATCATAGACAAGCAAGTGTACTTCTTACGGCCGACGCATCACGGATCGCGAGAGGAACAATGAGTCAGAGTAGGCCAGGTAGGCTCAGTTCGCGCTGACGAAGGTCGGTTCAGCTCCAAGTTAGGACGACTAAATTCATCCAGGATAGGCGAAGGATAACATCAAGAATAGGCCATGTGTCCGAGTAGCTCACGCGACCTCAGCCACAGAGTGGTATATAAAGGAAAGCATGGCAATTCATATAAAAGCATCTCCAGTTTCTCGACAGGCATCTCACAGCAAACTTCTACCTCCATCCTCAAGCTTCAAGCAGTAGCCCCTTCGTACATCATCATGTCTGTTGTTCCAAACAGCAAGAGCAGCATCTTTTCCCATATCGGAATGACCATGTTTCAGCCTCTTGAAAATACCCCCGGGCCGAGGTCTAAGGCCTATGACGAGTTCCCAGAGGGTTTCGAGCACCCCAAGAGCGGGTTTGATTTCCACAGTGAGTTGTCCCTGATGGCGCTTTGGTCTACAGCATGTTCACGTCCTGAACACCGTAAAGTCTATTACATTCAGAAGAACCCCGCGGCAGTGAAGTATGCCACGGAGCTTCACGGGCGTATCAGGAAGGAGTTCCCAGAGGTGGGATTTCCTTAATATTTCCTGCGATCTGTTTATGTAAGTAGCTGTACTCATGACGCCACAGCTCAAGATCTTTGCCATGAATGACGGGCCGGTTGGTGAGCCGAAACTCCTTTGTGCACCTGAGCAACCCGTAGTTTTTCAACCAAATACTAAAGGGCCGCACCCCACTGCCTCGTTCGAGGTGGACACGACCACCCCGCACGAGACTGGCGCGTTCTTCTCCTGGCTTGCGGTAAACCGTGGCCCGTGCGAGTAAGCCGCATGTGTTCAGCTCGTAGCATCATTGGCACTGACACCGTATATGATATCTTTGAGTGTCTTGGTTCACCCCAACACGAACGATACTTATAGGGACCACACGGAGCTAGCAACGTGGATGGGGAGACAGTGGCCAATTTATGACGACCTCCTTCGTGGCAATTGATGGTACATCTTGCTAGCAGCTATTCTATCTCGACACTGTCGTGTCTAACAGATACAATTCAGCAATTTGTTTGACTTGATATATCCTTCTTGCCAAGTGTGGTCGAGACGTACCTGCGCTATATCTGCTCGTTGAGGCCTTCTCTTTGCCTGGTACTACCACCCCAGAAACATGTGAGTCGCATACTTCCTCGCCCTCGGTAACGCTCTCGGGGATACCCTTTCGTCACGGTGTATCATACAAATCAAACGCGGGCTACATCCCGGAATTTTGCAGCTCCTGCGCAACTTCCTCAGCACGCGCAAATACACGAAGGTGTTTATCACTCGCAAAGCCGGCAAGTTCTCCGCTGACCACCCGCGTTTGTGCACTGGTTCTTCAACCTTTAAAAAAACGCGGTAGAATCAGTCCGAGGCTGAAGACGAACGAGAATTCGGTCCCGAGATGAACTAGTAGTTTCTGAACTCTGCATGTTCCTATCTGAAAGTGTCTATTTGGTTGTACATACAAATCGCCCTTCTTAATGCGACGTCTCGAGAACTCACCGCTCCACCAGGGTTGAATGACTTGGTTCTCCCCATAGACTGTCGCGGTTGCACATTACCTGTACCCACGCGAAAGAAATCTGCATTTGCATTCGTTCTTCGCATTGAACAAACCAGCGGTTGATGCACGGACCTCTGTGATATGACACAGTTCCTCTGAATTGTTGGTCACTGTAACGCGAGCCCCCTCCCGTGCCCGCTCTGGCGAAGGCGTTCTTGGTAAAGAAGAAGCCTTGATTGGTGTACTGTACCCTTACTAAACGAATGAAGTGAAGTGACTAAACATTTTCTAAGGAATTGGCAGCGGTGCGAATGCGAAGCCGTCAATTGGCGAAACTCTGGAGATGCGAACCGCTGAATCCCGACAACTCCGGAAAAGGAGTGCAGTTGTCCGTGGTTGTCCGGGGAAACAGCGACGGAGTGGTAAGTGCTGCTCACAGCCGTGGTCAGTCAAGTGCGCTTCTCGCGACCGACACATCACGGACAACGAGAAGAGGATTAGTCATGACTAAGCCAGTGTAGGTCAGGATGGGTCCACCCGTGGGCGGACCTGGGCGGGCGCTGACGTATCTTCTTCGGTTCACCTTCAAATTATCAGATATGGTGACTAAATCCCTTCAGGGGTGTGCGTAGGCGAAGGAGCGCGTCTATTCAGATCCTTGCCCTGTCGAGGGTCAGGCCATTGTTTGGCACTTCACGCGATCGCAACCAGCGAGTCTTGCTGTAACTAGCGAAGTATAATACTTGCATATAAGAATGCCTCTGGTTTCTCGACGGACATCTCACAACAGTGTTCTACATCCGTCCTCGCACAGCAACTTCTCCTCCGTACATCATCCATCATCATGTCCGAGTCCGTAAACAAATTCACCAAGAATGGACTATTTGACCACATCGGCCTAACCGTTGACGTGCCTTTTGAGAACACCCCGGCACCGAGGTCGAAGGCCTACGACGAGTTCCCGGAGGGTTTCGAGCACCCCAAGAGTGGCTTTGACTTCCATAGTGAGTCGCCGATGAGAGCAGCATTTTTGTCTACGGAATGTTCGTTTTTATATGTCGTATACAGTCTATTACATCCAGGAGAACCCCAAGGCTGTGAAATGCGCGAGGGAGCTTCACGCGCGTATCAGAAAGGAGTTCCCAGAGGTGGGCCTTCCAGTGCCATAGTTTGCTCTTGCAGGTCATTCAGCTCATCATGTTACAGCTCAAGATATTTGCCATGCATGACGTCCCAGTTGGTGAGACTAATTTCTTTGACATATATCTGAGAAAGTGCAGTTACTCACGACCATATTGCTGCAGGACCGCACCCCACCGCTCAGTTTGAGGTGGACACGACCACTCCGCACGAGACCGGTGCCTTCTTCTCCTGGCTCGCGGTGAACCGTGGCCTGTGCGAGTACGCCTTTTGCACTCGTCTCTAAGCTTATTGCGCTGACACAATGCGATAATTATTAGTGTCCTAGTTCATCCCAACACCAACGACACTTATGCCGACCATACGAGTCTGGCGACGTGGATGGGGAGGCAGTGGCCGATTTACGACGAAGTCCTTAATGGCGACTTGAAATACGACTGATGGTGTATCTTGCTAGCAGCCACTGTACCTTGTCTAACAAATTGAAATCAGAAACATGATAATTGGGTTATTTCTTTTCGTATGAGACTATCCAACACGTACCGGCGCGTCACATTCGTCTACTCAGTATTTCTCTTTACCTGGCAACACCACCCCTGAAACGTGCGAATCACATACCTCCTCGCCCTCTGGAACACTCTCGGGGATATCCGTCCGTTTGTCGTACAAATCATACACGGGTTGCATGCCGGATTTTTTCAGCTCCTGCGCGACTTCCTCAGCCCGTGCAAAGACACGAAGGAAATTGCCGCTCGTAAAGCCAGCAAGTTCCTCCGTCGCCCACCCGCGTTTGTGCAGCTCTGCAACCTTTACAATTCGGCCGATCAATCCGAAAAGAATCGCTGGCAAAAAGGAAGACGAACGAGAGCAGGGTATTTCGACACGTCCTCGAGGCCCTTGGGAACATTTGGGATGCCATCGAAGTCGCTGCCCATCCCCACACTGGAATAGACCATCAGAACAATTCCACATGTCGAGACGCGGCCCAGTGGGAACGAGGCTCACTGTTCCTTTCCTGTCACACTTGCAATGTGCTCGACATGATCTGCGACGCGTGCGACTGTCGCTTCGCCTTCTGGTGCAATAAACACCGGAACGAAGTTCACCTGCGCATGGGATCGGCTGAGTTTACATGAATCGCATACTTCTAATCGCATTTTTTCATCCGCGTGAACGCACCATTATGACCGCATCTTTTTGTCCCTCTCCGAAGCCGACCATGCGGAGGATGTCGTCTGGAAGGTTCCGCGCTACATCATGCACAGCGCGAGCGGAGGAGTGCGACCATATCACCGGCGCACGCGAGTGAAGCAGCGCCTGGCGCGCGGTGTCGTCTGAGACGTGCGAAATGTCGACGAGCATGCCGAGGCGGTTCATCTCATCGACGAGTTTCAGCCCAAGAGGGCTAGGAGGAGAGGACATGATGACAACAGCGTCGCATTATTAGCAAGAATAGAAGCGAGTATGTATGGAATCACACCTGAGACCGCCGTGTCTCGGAGGATGAGGCTCGATGGCTCCACCCGAGTCTGCGAACACATTGTGGCAGAAATGCGCAAGCGTCATGTATCGCACGCCAAGCTCGTAGTACTGCCGCACAACCGCGATCGAGTTACCGGCTTGATGAGCACTATGCACAAGCGGAAATGTTGGGACAAATTATTAATGAGCTTTATGACGGCTCCTTGACATGCTGAATTGAAATGGCCTACCCTTCTACGCCAAGCAGACTCGCAATTTTGCCTGCTGAGAAGGCGTCGCGTATGTCGCTCGCGGTAAGCGCGAAGCTGAACGTATCAGGATACTTGTCGATCAATCCGCGAGCGAGGTCGATTTGTTCAAGGGTATCTCTTTGCACAGGTCAGTCAGAGACGAGACCATGATACGAGAAAACGGGGTATATCACCGAACGCGCCATGTAGCGCCCAGGAAGTCATCACCTTCGGCCGCAGTGTCCGGACATGCAGTGTATACAGACCTATGCTCATTGAGTAAGGGTAACAGGCATGAACAACTATCGGATGAGGTTTTTACCAAAAGAACCCGCCGACATGCCCTTCACGCAGACGTGGGATATCGAGGTGGCAAGGCATCGCCCCCTCCAGATCAACGGCGGTGACATTGTTCTGGTACCCAACCGAGCGGATCAGCCAAGGCAAATCTACGAACGTGCGTTGTATGTTAGTATGTTGGCCCCTAGCGCTCGCAGGCCGCAGCAACGCTGAGCCGCACCGATGTGTGTATCCTGTCATAAATCAAGAGGGTGAGGAGGGCTCTGAGAACAGCACTTCCACGATGACACCCGAACACTTACAATAACAGGCGCAACACGTAAGACGTGCTCGACGGGATCTAGGACTGTGTTGTCCGTTCCTTGCAGCAACTGCCGATCGATCCAGCCTTTGGCGTCCTGCCAGTGCACCGTAATTGGTACCTGAGGGAACAGGCCAAGACTCTGGAATATGCTGCAAAGTAGGATTCCCTTGAGATATCCAGATGCGTTGATGAGCCAGCTATGCCGTGTTGCGCGCGAAGCCTTGGGCTTGCGAGTGTTGGCGGGTGTATGACCTTGTTTTTTTCCCTGAGAGCTCATGAGGGGATGATGAGTGTGGGATGGGAAGCAGCGGGGTGGGCCCGCTTCGTCATTGTTCCAACCCCAAGGGTGAGTCATGAATAAACACCGTACGGTGCGTAATCGCTGCGACGGCTGCGGCGCTCTCAAGGCGAAGGCAAATGCAGACAAAGATATGGTTTGAGCATCCGCGCATCAAGGACATGGGCTAATCATGATGTGACCATAGCCCATACTGTAGTCTATGATCAGTGGCATCTACGGCGCGAGGCTCGCTTGGAGCGCTCTGGCCTCCCCACCTTCCCCTCTTCAGCTTACGGCGTAGTAGCTCGCGGAGATGAATAGAGTAAGGTTATTGAGGGGTACCATGCGAACCCGCCAGTTTCGCTATCATCAGAGAAGGTGCAGATATCGTCACTCACCATTTCCTCTGGCACCATGATATCGACTTCGGATCACTCACACTTCTACTCCTTGAACCTCCACTACACACCCCTATTCTCTCCAGAGCCTCGAAAGATCCAGGCTTCCCGTTATTCCGCATCGTAAGGGTGCAAGCGCGAGTTCTAGCGGCCGTGAGGTGTGATGGCTATGCCCGTGGGTGTAGATACTGCTGAGTTGAGCATGTGATGCTCGCACGATAAGCAATCAAGCAATACTCTCTGAGCTTCTGGGTCAGCTGAGATAGTACTCGCGAAGCGAAATGAGGGGAATGCCAGCCTTGCCCGTCCTCGAGGCTCGACCGCCGCATCGGAGGAAAGTCAGCCCCTGTAAGCCCTGAAAGGAGGGCTGATGATAGGCACATCAGAAGCAAAACCTGCCTTCATCTATGTCCAAAATTGCGGGGAAAGCCCTCAAAAACTGGGGTTGATGGCGTTGACATCACAGCGCCGCAGAGCATGACGCGTGATGTTCGGGCATGGTGGTTTACGGAAGGTCGTACACGTTTTGTTCCAGAACAAACACGAATGGCGAGAAAGGTGTAGCGGCTCTGCCTGACGTATATCGGCTCGCAGGGGTCCAGGTGTGACGTGCATGGATGCGAAATGAGACCGTGGTTGAGCATGATGAAAGTTGGTCCACAGTCGATGTCGGGAATCGGGAGACCGGCCGTTTCGGGCCGAGTAAAGCTCTGTCTGTTGGTGTCAGTGGTAGAGACCAACACCGATCTGAGACGTGCACTCTCGACTTTCGAGCAGCAGTAGGCAGCAGCTGTGTCGACATGTCGATGCGGGTTGATAGGAAAGCTTGCCTTATTGCTTCTTCCACTTCCTTTGTCGTCGCTATCCTGGAAGTTCTGAGCTTGACCGAAAAGCGGCCACACACGGCTGTGGCTGCGACCCGGACGTCGCTCGGTCGATTAGTCAGTAGCATGAAAGCTCATCGCTTGAGATCAAAACTGTAGAAGAGCAGAAATTTTTGACCAGTAAACTGTAGGACAGAGCGACGTGCTGGACGAGACCTTGAACTTTACTTTTAAAGTTCTTACAGCTATTCCGCAAATCGGAAGATGCCGACCTCTACAACTTATCGACAGCTTGCTCTTATTTTGCTCTGCGACTCAACAGCATCCAATGGAGTTCTCGGTTTTACTCACACATCACAACGTGCATACAGCTACGCTCATGATTGAGTACTCCGCGATTATCTAGGGCTGACCGCCAAATTAACACTCGATGGTGCCATCCAACCCTAGTCAATATTATAATGCGTTGCAAACCTTCAGTTATGACGGAGGTGCCGCTACTTATATGCACCTTGCTTGAAGAACTTTTCGTGCGCCCGTAACCCAAGCTCAATGTCGATCCTCTACCAACGCGCAGGCCGACCTTACTCCTACATGTCTCGTCGTGTTTGAGGTCCCCGTTTGACGTTCTGCCGGCCATCAGGTGCGTACCTTATCTCTCATGACGGCGTCCCAGCAAATACCAGCAGCGATCATGCGTTATGGCGGCCGACGAACCCCACAACTCGTGTTTTCAGGTCGATCGACCTCATGATTCCTCCACGGCGCTAGCCAAGACGAGACAGACTTGATATCAAATGGAGGTACGCCTTCGTTTCGTTCACTGAGGGCAATGCCGACTGTTACACATCCTATGACTGAGTCGTACGCGGGGAACTCATGTCTGGCACATGCTGGTGGGTCATCCGCCCTTTCTCTCAGAGCGTGATGTCGTCATGATCGTCGTGCTGCTGTTTTACATGTCACATTAATCGCACTGTGGCCGTGATCAGTTGTCGTCGTCGCACGCAGATTGCTTATCGCCACGCATTAGCCTAACGCGTGCCGTGTTACAGGAGACTCGTGCGTCGCAGGAATTCGGACCGAATACGTTTTCTTTCAGATTGATGAAGGGAAACGTCCGGAGAGATCATCCTGATCAGTGAGGCCGTGAGCGAGTTCTCTGATTGTGGCTTCAATACAATATTGACAAGCTTCCATCATAGTCTGCTCGCCACCGGACCGAACCATACCGAAGCTTGCGTTCAATTTTCATTCACTTCTCGATGGCGGGCCGTGTTGAAATTATGGAGGAGCAACCGGTTTCACGTCGACCTCCAGTTGCAGGATGAGAGTGCGTTACGGTAAAATTAGCGGCGCAAGTTGGCGGTATACATTGGTGCGTATTCTACGATCAACGGACTATTGACGTTGTGTTATTTTCAGCGTTTTCTTGTCTTGAGCCATCCAGTATGTTGAGTCAATTGCTACTATGGTCCAGATAACTGATCTCCCGCGGAAGAAACTACGCCACACGATTTCCAAAACCAAAACTTGAGTAAGCTTGCCCCCACATCTCTCCACAACACGATGCTGAAGTCGTGACTCAGGAGCTCTCCGTTCCGGGTGCTTCGTTTCCAGGTTCTCGGAAGAGCGCACTCAGCGATTCATCTGCTTCAATATTTTAACCTTTGCATTTGAATGTTTCAAACTTTATCCGTTCTTCTCAGCTTCATCTCCTTCCAAGCCCTTGCCCAGCGTCAATTGATTCCACATGAGGCTCTCTATGGTTGCTATCTGGACGACGACCTCTCGGTATGGCTAGCTCGCCAGCGACACGCACACTAGGCTGGTCTAGTGCTCACATACGTGTTTGATCGCCCTGGTTGACGAACTGGAACGGGCCCGCTCTTCTTGTCGTCTGTTCTCCGTCAGCTGGATATTGAACTTGGAGATAGTCTTCGGTTATCCTCCGGGTAAATAATGCTCCTCACCTCCGTGATCTGCGACGCATTCTGTCGCGTCAAAGCTAAGCAGATGGTTTGCTCATTGCCAATGATAGCCTCTGTTCGAATGAAATAGCACCGGCGATACCCTGATTTTACATTAGGCTAATAACCCGAGTCTGCGCTACTTACGCCCTGCTTTGCTCGCGTGCTTCGTTTCCTTCTGGCCCTTATCGCACATCTGGGTCGTGGTCTTCAGGAGAAGAGCCCATTTTCTCGAGACAAGTGGCTCTGGATCTACTCTGACGATCATGTAGCAAAGGTGAAATGCGGTGGTCGAGCCTGTTCCTCATTGATACCAGCCTGGTAGCTCGTCGATCTCCCTCTTTCTCTCTGATCCCGCGCATACCGGTATGAAAAGCTGAATAGCACCTAACTGCACTTCGCGCGACGTCCTCCATTATTCCTCGTTAATGCTCTATAGCTGGCACTTAGTATATGCGAGTATCAGGTACGTGGACGCGTCCTGATGATGTCACCCCTCTCAAACCGTGCAATGCGTCTGCTGCGTGTACAACACGGCCGTATGTCGAGCTTCTGCAGCGACATACAGCATGACACAAAGAACATCTTACTTCTAATCGCACGTCATTTGCTCATTTGACACCTGGAACTCTCATTTTTCGAGGTACGTGAAGCCACACGCGTCAACTCCGTGGTGGGCTCGAATTGTTATCTTTCGGCCGAAGGCTTCTCTGTCCGCGAAAATCAGAGAATCTTGCTTTGAATTCGTGTCTGTCCTGTCGGGTTTGTGGTGCATGCTTCTGAGCGCGTCACGGGTCCTCGGGACCTGGTCGCGCAGCTGCCTGCAGGCATGACGCTCGCCAGTGCTGCATTTTCCTGACTACAAAATAAAATATAGTGACCATGCCAACACGTTCGCCGATGGTGACCTGGCTAATTATGAAAGCTGAGAATTCGTTTTGTCGCTGGGCGTATTGCAAGCGTACGGGTTCGCAGCAGTAAGCCAACAGGTTCCACTTTCTTACGAGACCTGCCCGTTGGAGGAAATTCGGTAAACCCTATTCGCTTCCGCGGCGCAGACCCGGCCTGCGCCGCGACACTATGGACGACTCGACGATTTGCGGTGTCAGAACACGCCTCCCCCATAATCTGTATCCCGGACGCCGCGACTAAATGAAAGCTGTACTTCCGTTGGCACGATAAGCTAAGCTAGAGGAATATACTAATAGCGGCCCGCCTCGTCGCAAAGAGCTGCCGGTTCCGGGTTCCTGGGTAACGTTACCGTGCTGGCGTGCTCCAAGAACTCATGGATGTACTCATGTTTTGATAAGAGCATTGTATTAGCATAAGATGGGTGCACTACCAGAAGTGAACGCAGCTGCTCCGATATTGAGACGTGCTTCCTTTCGCGATGGTGAGATTGATTGAGGCGAAACGGGAGGCTGGTCGGACAGCCGGTGGCTGAGGGTTGATGCGAGCTTATCTTGGTGGTGGATCTGCCTGGGGTTTGACCAACTTGGCTTCGTCCGGGGCACCCGATTTTACGTGTCCGAGTGTCCACAGAAGTACCGGCGAGCACTTCATTACTAGTGGGCGATAATAGATGCGGTCAATGTAGCCCCTGAGTCTTTGTTTATAGCGCCGGTGTATCAGGAAGCTGCGAGAGCGAACGATGGATCATGCCATTAATAAATCAACACGTACAACAAGAAGCATGTCCCGAGAAGCCTCCCCGGAGAGGGTCTTCTGTACGGATACAGATCAAGGCGGGCGATATCCTTCAAAGATGACCTGTTGGGACTGAGATTGGGCACCTGCGAGACAGGCAAGGGCTCTCGTCTCCGATCGGTCCTACCGCGGTCAGCAAGGAGGTGAGGGTGAGTCTCCCGCTTTCGTCGGTTTGCCGTTACATACCGCAAACGATCACCTTGGGCTGAACCGCTGAGGGCAAGGGACCAACCCGTGCTGATCTGAAGATACTGTACGGTCCAACAAGGTACACGCCCAGCCAGAACCAATATAGACGATAGCCGCAAGCAGCAGCAGCGATGGGTCGAACGTTCTGGAGTATTCGTTCGAATTTGAAGGTAGCCAACCTTGACCGAGAGGCGCATTTGAAGACGGCGACTATAGGACGGGCTCTGGTGCCTGCATGCCTTTCCTGCCCTGCGCGGTACACTCCCCGTGACCACCGGTGGCAGGCCTCCCCCTCGGATGTATCCGCAACGACGGTACGGGCTAAAATAGGCAAAGGGAGGTTATTGGCCCAAACAAAGGATATGTTTTCGCCGGGGAAATGGGGCGCAATTAGGGCTCTTTCAGGGCTGCCCCCTTCGAAAGGGAGATCGGGTGCGGAGAAAACGGGGGTGCGAGGTCGACGTCGCGATCGTGACTTCACAAGCCGTTTAGAAGACACTAGAATTTGGCAAGTACAGCGGTGTAGCACCCCAAAGTATGTAATGCGAGTCGTAGCGGGGGCTAGACTTGGGACTAGCACGCAAGGCTTTGAAAAGAGTAGGTATTCGATCATAGCACTTGTTCCTGCTCCACTGGCCCCCTTCACCGAAAAACGTGCAGACCGTTAATCGTGGAAAACGTGAGACTGTAGAAGTGCTAGTGAAGCCCAGCGAAGATCTAGCGCCGCCGTGTCTCCGACTTGCTCCGACGGGAGATTCCTCGGCCGTGCAAGTGAACTGAGATGGGTTTGTTGGACGTTTGTTGCGCCCTAGTAAAAGTTGTGAGAAAGCAGATAGCCCAAAACCTTGCTTCGGCGCCAATCGGAAAGCTTGTTTGTGGAGGGGACTGCCAGGTCAGTGGGGATGAAGCTACTGCTATCACGAGGCTGGTATGGGATCTGATGCACGCTGCGCTGGCGATGTAAGTGGCAAGGGAAGCGTGCCGGTTAGCGGTTCAGTGCATCAGAGCTGCCAGGGCATGTTTCGTGGCTCTGACTTCTGCTCACGTGACGTGGGGTCGCGGTGTGATTGGGTCCGTAGGTTCCAGATATGGGCAAGTGGTTGCGCCCCGTGTAGCTCGCCTCGTGTTGGACTCGAGGACACTTATTTCCCCCACTCGCCACCCTCCAGTCCCAACACGCGTCTTCCTGCTCCATATCAGACGCAGGACTGGACTGCGTGAGCCCGTGCGGGTCTACGAGGCTTCAAAGACCTACTGCTCGTGCGTTTATCGTCGCTGCGACAGGTACACATCTACCTCTCGCCCATATATCCCCTCACATGCTCACCATCTGGCTGGCAATCAGTCTCGTCTGGACCTTCCTCGTCGTCCCCACAGTCCCAGCCCTCTTCTTCGCACATACCCTCGCCCACGACTGCATAGTCAGTGCCCATCGCTACGACTCCTACGACACGCCCACCCGTTACGATCTCTTCACGATGAGAAACCCCTTCAAGCGCAGATCCACACAGGAGCCCGCTGTAGAATGTTCCATTCCCAAGACACCCTTCATACCGAGGCGGACACTCCTCCCAGAGGACAGTGCCACCCCTCGGCCGATGAGCAGACAGGCGCCGATGCACCCTCCCACCCCGATAAAGCCTACTTCTTCACTGAAGCAGCGCTCAGTGACACCAGCACCGCCCTCCTCAAGGCGGGACAGGTCGTCATCCTTCGGCCATGCAGCGTACGAGAGCGACGGAGAGGCTTTGACCATGAGAATGGGCAACAAAGCCGGGACATATTACGGGAGGCCATTGCCCCCCAGCACCCACCTAGGTGAGTCCCCTTGGTGTCATCGTCGCCGTTGACGATGTCAATGTCTTCGGTGTCTCCAGTAGTCCCTTTCATCGTCAACTGACGTCAACATTACCCAGGGTCAAGACGGCCTGCGACATCAGTCAACCTCCACTGGCAACTCCTGCCAAAGGTGCAAGGCCAGGCGAAATACCAGCTTCATTTCGATGTCGCCTTCCCCATCGACCTGATGCGATTCCACCGATTTTCGGGTGAGCATGTACGGCGGCTCGCCCCGGAGGACCATCACAAACTTGCTACAAGCGAACCACTCACCAAGATGGTCATCAAAGTCAAGCACTACCCGGACTGGGAGATCTTCGTGAAGCGGAGTTCGGGTATTCGGTGTCTGGACGTATTCCAGGCGATCTTCGAAGCGTTCAACACGCCATTGACGCCAGCAGAGAAACAAATGCTTGTTCCTTCGCATATGCGCGCGAGTGTCGAAGAAACATTTCGGCTGCGGTGTAAGGCCTGGCCGGGGTTACCGGACGCCGAGCTGGCCCACGGCTGGAAGCGCGTGGACGTACTGCAGCAGGCTACGCTTTTTCTGGGGCTCACGCAGCCTCAGGCCGGTGGGGATTGGATGTTGAATCTTGGCAGGTCCACATAGATTCCGTCTGCTTCACGGACACTTGCACGACTACTTGTACGCTATTGCGCACTGTACTACCTGGGTGAGCTTGGATTCCGCTGGCATCGCATATATGCACGTTACTCACCTGTACTTGTAGAACGGACTGTGTCCTTCCATATATTGATGCATCGCGCTCATTCGGCCAGCCACATGCCAACTGTCTCTCGCATTTGTACCATCATCGCACTCATCCCCACCAATGACACCATCACCACTCAAACGCAACGCAGGCGCATCCTTTGCGCTCACCTCGCCGCGTCCCTTTGCAGTTATTTTCATCATCGCATTCTCATCGTCATCGTCATCAATCGTCCATCCTCACGTTCGTATCGCAAGCTAGCTCTACATCATATAACATAAATATTTTAGTATCGTTTTTGTTTGCCACAGGGCGGAGATCGGACACCACCTACATACCTAGTACTATATAGCGTGCGTGCTGGGCCGCCCGTTTCACTTCCGGTCGGTGATATACCATCCGGGCGGCAGGCCGCACACGGGACTCGCCTCGCTACTGCCGAGCAGTGCGCGCGCTCGCCGCGCCTGCCTTTCGATAAACCCATACCCATACCTACTAGCTGCATCGTCGCCACATCCTCATGATATGCCCAATGCCATGCTCATGCTCACAGAATCGTTACACTCGATTTGCGACTGTAGGGTGAGAGAAGGGAACGAGGGAGGCGACGAGCATGGTTGCGAGAGAGAAAAAGGCGACGCAATTTTCTGTTGCTGGCGAGTCTATTGTAAAAATGTTCCTCAACGAGTCAACAAACGGAGCCTGTGACGGTCGCGCGAAGCACCGCCCGGTGGCGTTTCGGGGAGTCCCGATCGGTCAATTATTCCCACAGTTGGTCAGCGTGCTCGACGACGAGCTTGAGCTAAATGCTACGGTATCTTCGGTAATCAATTGCACGTCACTTTGCTCTCTTGTTGAATACTGGTATGCTTTTTCTTGCTTTACGACGAGCGTCGAGGAGGCAGGTAAGGCGCATCTACATCTAACCTTGAACCAAGTACTCTACCCACCGACCGGCAAGTCGCGGGCTCAACGTTCAACGTTCAGCATTCAATTAGCAACAGGCATTAACACTGGCAACGGCTCGATGTTTTTTGTTTGACAAGCACTGCTCTCACTTGGCTTCAGTATCAATACCTCATCCATTATGTCCAAGTCGACCGCGAAACACAACGGACAGCCAACAGTGCCAGGCTGCCCATTCTCATGAGCGCGTGACAATGCTGTACTGGGAATGGGTGACAAACTATCGTATAAGAGTGTATGCTGTTTGAATCTCCGGACGACCTTCTCGCTGCAGCACAACTCGAAGGACCTAACTCACCAAATAATTCGAAACGTTCGAGGTGAGCCTGTCCCGGGCACTGCGCCAGCCTTTTGCACCCAACACTTACTCAGATCGCAATCTTCCTTGCAAACCTCGACACGTGCTTGACCAAAGGACGGCAGCGCTCTCGCCGCGTTCTCTACGCATATCTCATTCCTTAGAGACTCGGCTGATAGACGTACGAAGCCTAACCAAGTCCACCTGCTGTGCCTATCTCCCATCACCTTCATCGCAATGTGACGAGTCGCACTAGCCTCTCGAACGTAGCCCACGCCTTGTTGTCGCAACGATTGTCGATGCAAAAGATTCTTTCGAGCCGCGGAAACATCTGCGAGAAGCAGCGGGCGACGTGATCTGTGTCCGCAACAGCCGAACCCCAGATGTCCATACGCGTGATGAGATAGTTGCGCGGAAGCTCGGACACAGGGGTGTCCGTCAATGGCTCCTGAACTAGGTCGAGGGGAAGACAGAATGTGTGTAGCTGACGACAGCCGCGGAGTAAAGTACAGAGCCCTTTGAATGTAACGCCCGATGTTAGACGTTTCTGCTCATTGTTTGCTATCATTATCAGCTGACGAAGGTCAGGCCACGCGGTGGCCAGCGTCGCAATGTGGGAGTCGTCGATAGCCATCTCGCCTTCGGAATGAAGATACACTTTCTGCATTTGAGTAAAGCGGGTAAATGGAAGGAAGATGTCCCCTGTGAGCGCATGATCTAGAGGAAGAGTGCAAGGTGGATGCAGGCTTAGTTCACAAATAGGACTTGACGCGAGAGCTGATGCAATGTCTTGCAATCGAGATGGAATCAAGTTGATCTCAAATGTCAAGTCGAGGCTTTCAAGAAATGGGAAGCCATCTTTGGATGAGACCACGAATTTGTTCCAAGACGTAGCATGGCCGTTGCCGCGCATGGACAAAGATCTGAGCTTTGAGAATTGCGTGAAAGATACATTGGTAGCGGGATCGTCGTAGTACAAGGGTTGGGAGAGTCTGAGGCATTCCAGCTTGGGAAGATGAGAAATAACTGACATGAGCTGCGGCTCAATGTAAGGGCCATCCAAATAGGCAAAGGTTATTAGTCCAGCAAACCTTGGCAGATTCTCGGTTAATATTGACTGAAGTGTATTGAGTATTTCTCCTCGAAAGCTAGAGAATCCGCTAAGTGATAGGCTGTGTAGAGCAGGCATCCTTTCAACGAGCATCGGTATGATTGTAGGATCAGAGAGTCCAATATGAATAAGGGAAACAACGCGCAGGGATGGTCCAACGAGCACGCGGACGATATCGACGAGCGGAGCCCTGTAAGCGGGATTCCATTCCCAGTGTAATGTGTGCAAGCAAGGAAGCAGAGGGGTGTCATTGGCACGAAGCATTGCGAGGGAGATACTCTCTCCTACGCGGAGGTTGGCAGGGTCGTGGAGCCTCGTCTCAAGCGTTCGAACACGGTAGGCATACCTGCGGAAGATAGCCCAGTCGGAGGTTTGGATGGGACGTTTGAAGTTCTGAAAGAATCACTTAGCTCTTGGTTCATAGGCGAAGCAACCCCATGATGCATGAGTACATACGATCTCATGGCGTTCTATTTGCACCAAATCTTTGGGGAGGCACATGAACAGGTGATGAAGCGAGTGGATGTGCGCATAGAGTTCGTCGAGTGCCACGTCTGAGAGCGGTTTGCAACTACGGGCGAGGCTGTTGAGCAAGGTCTTGTCATCGGATAGATACTGACAGATGATAAGGAAGATCTCGTCGATGAGGAGAGCTGGATGCATGCCGCGATGCCGGCAAGAGGTAGTGGACGTGAACAAGGGAAGACTAGAAAACAGGGGCTGAGCACAGCCACGATGCAATGTCACACCGTTGCCAAGGTTTGTACAGCCTACAGTACCCTACAGTACCTTTCCCTCTTATCCGCACACCATGCTGTATTTTGACCGAGTGACACGCCTCGCCATAAGAATGCGCACCGCTCATCTTACTTCGTGTCTAACAAACGAACACCAATGAACCTCGCCCTGCAGTTGCTCAAAGGCCACGTCAAAGGTGTTCGAGGTGAGCGAGGCACATCCGACTCACTGATCAACCCAAGGTGTTCTGACTCATTTCGAGCAGGCAAGCGTAGCTCGCATGAGTGTACAGCTCCGGTCGATCTCGAAGATGGTTCGAGCAATTCGGAACTACATCCATGGACCCGCATTCCGCACATCCTGGAGGCGATATGCGCGTACCTCAACGATATACCATCCTTAGCGCGTTTAGCAAGGGTATGCGTCGCGTTCAACGAGCCCACACTTGATGCCCTATATGCGAACATTGAAGACTTTATTGAATTCCTCAAGTGTCTCCCCCGAGACCTTTGGATCCTCAAGGATCTAAAGAAACCAAAGGAAACCTCGAGCGAATGCGACCCAGTGAAAGAGAAAGTACTTGTACGTTCTACGGTCCGTTATAGAACAATATACTCATTGAAACTGTGCCAGCATTTCCGTCGCAAGATGACACGAAACGACTGGGATAGCTTCATGAGCAAGTCTGTAAGAGTGAAGACCATGGGGCCGCCTTTGGCCAACGCGCATCGCACGCTACACTCCTCGCCCAAGTTAGTTCGAGGCTTGAGGGTGCAGTACAAGGTTGGCGAAAGTGTTCTGGGCGCATTCGCTGAGCGTCCTATCTCAATACCATTTCCAAAACTGCGGCAGCTCACGGGCGGCCTCCCGACGTCTGTGCTTTCGGCGGTCCTTTCTCCCAGCCTTCGACACCTAGACATTACATACAGCAATTTGGAGGACCTAGATGGCGATAGTGCTGCACTGGCAGCCCTCTGTCCCTCGCTCGAGTCACTCCATCTTGTGATGCCTTTCCCCGCTATACGCTCAGATCTCTTGTCTCAATACGTTCAGCGACTAGAGCACCTCCATTCACTCACCGGCTGGTTACCTGCCCCACAGACCATTCTTGAAATTCTCAGAGAGCGGTCGAAGCTTGGCGCTCTAGAACTCGTCCTCTTTCATGGCCATCATTACTCCACGCCGGACAAGGAAAGCCACCTCCATGAAGTAGACTCGCTCGCGCTCGAGGCTGACTCTTACGAGCACGTATTAATTGCTCTTGACATCATGTTCAAGAGTTCTCCTCAGCCATCATCCGGCTTGGAACCTCCGAGCTTTCCGGTAGTACGTAGTCTCAGCGTCAGAGCTGGTCTGAACGAATCCGCTCTGTACTCCCTCGTATCCCCTCTTCCCCGCCTTATCTCTCACTCGGCCCTCATGGATCTCCATATCACCCATATACTCATTCGCTCCGAAGACGACCATCCGCCGTTGCACGAGGCCCTACGTCAGTTAACCGTGTTTCATAATCTCACGGCTTTAACGGTCGAGGTTATTGAATCTTGCCCAGCCGAGGACCAGCTCAGCGGCTCCCAGCTCAGCGAGCTTGTTTCTCACTGGCCTCTCCTCGAGAAGCTTCGTATCATCCGCCCACGGGACTCCACGACAATGCTTCCCAAGGACCCGACGAGCATGCTCGACCTCGCGGCAATCTTGCGAGCATGCCCGCACCTCCGGAACGTCTACGTGGATGTGTTGGTTCACCCTGACGATGTCCTGGCCTTGTCCGAGATGCTCGATCCGTCGGAACGCTTCGAGAACCTGCGGTACCTGGCTTTACAGCACTACACGGCGCGGTACACGGATGTTGAGCCCATTGCTTACTTGTCCGCCAGCTGCGCTCCGTTTCTTGCACACATATATACATGGGGAACGTGGCAGAAAGAGTTTTGGAAGTTGGTGGCTGCTGCTGCTTCTGTGGACAGAGCGGTGAAGTGCCGGGTAGATATAAGGCCATGCAGAGAGATGACCGAAGGGCTGAACCGCTTTCCCTAGTCCCGAAGCACTGCCCATTACGGTTGGGCAACGTGCTCGACGACGAGCTCGAGCTACATACTACCGTACCTTCAAATGTTGTTCAAATGCACACTATTTCCTCCTGGTGACGCCCTCCAACGGGACTTAGAGTCGAGGACCATGCCTGCTCTGCAGGCGCATCCTCGTGAGTAGTGGAACAAAGCTCTGGGAACCTGAACTGGGGCCCGAGCCGATCGGCCCTCCGAGGCAACTCCACGTGTTGAAACGTTGAAACTTGGGCTGCGATATGCCATTCGCGCCTGGTCAGGTAGAGTGGATCAAGGAGAACGTGAAGGACTGGGATTGGCACGAGACAGAAGAGTACAATGCGTCGTATTCTCAGGATAGTGACGCGATCATGAGTCGAGGACTCGGGCGAAGATGAGGCTCCAGACGCCCTTGATGATGTGCTTGATTGTTTTGTTAAGCGGGAATTGGACACTGAGTCGGAGCAGGGATAGTACGACCAATAGTTGGCAATCTCAATGCTCTGCATATGCTGTCGCTTTTCATGTACATATCTTTTGGATGACTGAGTGAGTATGGCACTGTACAACAAGGGAAGTGAGTTATGTTCGGAAATGAAGCAATGGCCGATTCCAAGAATTTACGCGACGCGCGGCCGAGTAGTGTTGCCGCATTTGGCGAACTGGCTGGAACCAAGTCAATGAAACTTGTACTTGCACTTATTATCAGTCCGGATAACACGCCTCGTCGCTGTGTAGAGGCTAAAAACCGCGAAGATTAACACGTGGTCAGTCGGTATTGTGGCAAGAAAGGGTCTTTCAAGGAGTCGGTTTGAGCTGATTTCTCGAACCGCGGCAACACTACGGCCGAGGCTGTTGCTCACAACGCGACGACATGTCGACACCTTGAACGGTGACCTCAACCAACCGCCAAGTATCCATTTCCACTTCTGAATACGCATCCTTTGTCTCTGTTTGAGGTTCTGAACGACACGATTGCAGTAGTGCACGCCTACGGAGGGTGGAAACATTATTGAACATACATGTACGAGGACTGTATGGTGCGTCGCCCAGTTCTCTGATCTTTAGTCCCACTGACGTTTGCCCTCTCCGTCTTTGTCACCATCATCAGGTTGAAAAACATGGCAATGCCAAATGTAACGTTGAACGGTCCCGAGGATGGCCACAGGACCGGGCTCGAGAAAGAGCAGTTCTTCAGATGGGCATTTTCAGTGTTTGAGAATTTTAACAGAGCGTTAACGGCATCAAATGGGATGTTGTCCATTTCTAGTGTGTCGCCAAAGATATCTGACTCATGATTTGTTACTTGGGGTAAAATGAAGTCGGGATGGAAGAAAATGCTCCGCAATGAAATTGAGTCGATGTTCTGAATGTTCGCAAGGCAACGAATGAGGTCCACAGCGAGAACGCCATGCTGAGGATCCAAAGGTTGATACGGGCATAAAATGAGGTAGCTGTATCTGCGATTGCCTTCTTCGGGGGACCAGTCAAACCCGCGTTGCACCAAGTCAATAAGACTTTTCGCGTCGATGTGCAGATTAGTCAAATTAGGGCAGATGAGGTCTTGAAGCCCGTCAGCATCATCCACAGTGTCAGCGACCTCAGAGCAAAGCGCAAGTATACATAGACGGGGAGGGTCTCCCTTTAGGTGGTTCAGTGCCGCTACTACGGACGACCTACACTTGGCGTCGAGGCGAATAGTACGACAGCGGTGGAGATGGGGGCGCAAATGCATCATGATGTACTCCACACGATCCTTCTCGTGAGCATCGTCCGGATAAAGATTTCTGTCGTAGAACCGCCGACGTGTGATGCGTACGTCGATAATCTCGTCGCGCGACCACGCGAAGAACAGTGGAGAGAACGTTCCAGGAGTCAAAGGCTCGTCAACAAAGATCACGATCCTCGTCCAATAGGCAGCCTCCATAGAGAGGGCACGTTGCCAGTTGTGGAAGGCGGCGGCGCAAGACAAGGGGAAAAGAGCAGCAGACGGTGGCTCCATTTGCCATTTCCACCACCTCGAGTCTTCGGGGTCCGTCGCCGCTTTCCTTCGTTCCACTTCCTCAGGTTGTGGAGAGTATAAGATCCTGCGCCGAGGGCGCCGCTTCTCTCGTGATTGAGGAAACAGATATTCGAAGATTTGGTGCAGAACTTCACGGGGGAGGGGAGCGGATGGGCGACCGACTAGTGTGTCACTGCCACCTTGCTTCAGCATTCCGTGCTGGTCACGTCGGAACTCTGTCGAGCGTAAAATTTCACTACTTCTAGAGGCCTGCGTAATGCTATGGAAATACTGTCAAGCGATGAATATTACCATCAAAGACTGCCTGGGCTTTGACGATCGCATCCTTGAAGCCTTTGGGAGCATGGTACCCGACGACGGTGGAGGACATTTTACGAGCGGACATCTGAAGAGATTGATCATTACCGGCTCGACATGCCACTTTACTTTCCGATCCATTTGGAAGAACAGAGCAAGGAAACGGAACGCTGAGCTCTTTCAAGCCGTCAAAGGCCCTCCCTCAGGAAATCCTACTCCAAATTTTCGAGAATCTCTTCGACAAGCATCGAAAAAGGCGTCAACCCTTGTCCACAGGTCTCCTCACTCCCGATGAGCTGGCCACAAGGGAGGCTGCCACAGACCATAGAAATCCGAGGTATTGGAAATGGGAGAAGGAGTCCCCAACATCCCCTGGGTTCTTTCCATACTCCTTCTCTGCGGTCTGCAGCAATTGGCGACGTGCCCTTTCCATGGAGCCTGCTTTCTGGACAAGGGTAGTTATCTTCGTAGACGAGGCCCTCACGCCTGCGACATTTGCTCCTGAATGCTTCGCCTGGTCGCGCGATAGACTGGTCGACGTGCGTATTACGCGTCGGCGGCACCACAACGAGCCTCACCCTGCCGACATCCACGAGAGAGCGCGAGTGGGGCTCGTCATGTCGCATCTGCGTCCTCACCTCCATCGTTGCCGAACCATCTGAATCGACATCAAACTCAGATCATCCATAGTGGAGGCGTTGGCTCATATAAGGGGAGACCTTCCTTACCTTCGCATTCTATCACTCAGCTCTACCGTCACCGACACTACAGAGGACGCTGTTGGTCTTCACGATATCATTAGCCCCAGATTGGAGTATCTGGAGCTCGACGCGAAGAGTTTTGTAGATGCCAGAAAGCGAGGGTTCGACTGGTCTCAACGCGAAGGTAAAATTTCCGACTCGTTCTGGGCCCTTATCGGCCCCAAAACTCTCCTCTTTGGCGATCTCATCCGTGTTCTTCAAGAGCTACTGTGGTTGGTCGCGCTTTCATTGAGAGGTATCATCTTTCACCCGGACCTCGCCTTTGGCGAAAACCACCGCATCCTAGTCGCCGAATTAAGAGTAGACGACATCGCAGGCGAAGTTTTCAACGCTTTGGCAAAGGTTATGGACGATGGCGCAGTGAGGGTGCATTTCAGCAATTGCTCCTTCATGGAACCTCTCGACTTCTCGCGGAGCCACCGCCTCACCTTCAAAAACATCACTGAACACTGGAGCTTGGCGAATGCTATACATCGTAGTGACGCGAAAGAGGTTTATATTGTGGACTGTCCCGGTTTTGACGACAAATTCCTCGAGGCGTTTGGAAAGGAAGTACCGAATCCCATAGACGAAGATCAGTTCATTGGCGGTCCGGTCAAGTGCGAACGCTCAAGGTCCGTGGCTCAAGGTGCCGGTTCACGGGAACAGCCTTTCGACGGGCCGTTGAGTCGAGAGCAGATGCTGCGTTGGAGTCTCATCCTGAAAGCTGGTGGGAGGACGCGTTTGAAGACGACTATATCGATTTGAGCGACGAGCCGATCCTTCCTCTGAGGACCGTTCATATCTCCGAGTGCGATACATTCTTTACGGAACAGCAAGAGAAATGGCTCGAGGATAACGTCGAGCGTTGGCGCTGGAGGAAGCTGGTGCAGCGAGCATGCGTCCATTGCGGGCAGGAGGTCAGTGTTGGGGCACCGGCATCTGAGGGATACAAGTTCCCTGACGAACTGGATGATCGTATTGACAAGCTCCTAGCGATGGAACCTGACACGGATGACGAGGCGGAGTTACATACCTAGAGCACGGCGTCGGAGGGCGCGCAGTTGATGTTGACTTCGGCAACGTAACGCGAGACGCAGGTACAAACACCATTCATTGATTTTTTTGCCTGTTCCTCCCTGGGTCTGACTGAATGCTTGAGTCGACAGAATGACTCCGACCCTCTCCGACCGCGTCATGCCGCCGATTACTGTCGCCCAAAAAGTGTTTACCGCAGGGCCCGGATACCACAGGTCGTCGACATCGAACGATTCGCCGAGGCACGTTCGCGCAAAGGTGCATTTATTGAATAGAATCATACGTGATCCAATGGGGATTCCCGTTTGAGGCCCCTCCGAGTCTGTCGTCGCATTTTCACGATCCAGCGCCCTCAACCTGCGAGAACGGGACGTATTCAGTCTGTGGAGGTTAAAACCTGGAAACATTCTGCTGCTGAATGACAGTCTTTCCGTCCGGCTACTAGCCAACATGTCTACCGCATTCGTCATCATTTTGTTCAACTTAATCAATGGCGTCCGTCGCTCAGAGCAGACGGGGAACTCGCAGACGTTCTACTGCTTTTACGACACAGCATACCGCTCCGACACGACGTCGTCATCCCCCGCTCAGCTTCGTGTTTGTAGCCCTGTAGGAAGACAGGTCGTTTGAGATGACATGCTTGCGTTTGCCGTCGCTAAACGTCAATCAACTGCTTGGGTGCCGGAGAGCAGCGCCGGCGTGTCTTGTCCTAGCTTGCGTAGCATATCTTCACCAAGAATGTTCACTCATTTGCGTCTCTCATCTGGACGCTGAACGTACGTTTATTTAAAAGGTCATGTCTGGACCACTGAGACAGCCGCGTCGTGGTGTAAGGGTAGCATCGTGGCTGCGCCTAGACCACCGCATGTTTATCGCACGTTTACCTCGATATTTCGCTTTCGAAGACTTGAATACTCGCATTTTCGTAGTTATCCCTCGCAATCGATTGGCACTCGGTTCTCCCACTTCGGTGGTGAGCTTTGATCCCCTTTGAATCCGTACGAGTACTCCTCGTAGCCCTCACCGGCTTCGATACTTGCAACAGGGACATGTGTCGCTACAGATGGGTGGAGCTGAAGCGCTGAAGACTCACGGATCATAAGCTAACGAGGCACGGTGCTGAGCACACGATCGTCCACCAGAAGACACAGGTCGGATAGACGCATATTAAACCGCTGCTCGTCCAATTGAGATCACCGACGTATCCTGCAAAGGACGTAATTGCCCTCCATATGTAGGCCGGCATACCTACTCTTCGCCAGTCATGGTAGCCCACGTCACCCGACCCCACTGCACAGCAAACCACCGACCCAACCACGTTCCCAGGGTCAACCCAAAGGCTCGAGGTAGAGGCATGCAATGACACCGTCGAGAAGCTCCACAACCATGAGTCCGCCTCATTCCATCCAACACCGACCCGAGGGAACCCAAGGCTCAAACCGGGGGCTTGACGATCCCCCGACTGAGCTTATAAAACACAGTCGACGCGTCGTCCGCCGCGATCGCGAGGTAGAGCTCGTCGCCCGATTGCGTGCCAGATGCAGCCTGCTGCGCGGCGAGATCCGCGAACGCGTTGCGGAGCCTAGCGCAGCAGCAGCAGCAGCAGCGGGCAAGTGTCTTCGTGATCAGCCGGAAGAGAAAGAGAAAGGGAGGGGGATTCGCCGGATGGAGGGGATTCGAGAAGAGAGAACGCACCACCGTGTCGAGATCTCCTCGCTCAGCGAAACGGGGAGAACGACGCACGTCGCGCGCGGTGCGTCGGGGTCCTAATTAAGCGTGAAGCGTGGTCGGTCGATGCATCACGCGGTCAGCCAGAGGTCGGGTGACGGCGAGAGCGTAGTTCGTACGTACGGTGGGGGCCAAGGGACGCGTCCCGCGGATGGCGCCGCGCTGGCAGGATGGGACGTCCAGGAGCGCTATTTCGGTCCATTTCTGGGCTATAAGTAACGTAACGAAATGAAGTGGTGAGTAAGGAAGGTGGGATAGATGGGCAGGAGCGGGACGCAGCGTGCAGGCACGTAGACGAGGTCGGTGTTACGGTGAGTCACCGGGATTGAGATCGAGGGCAGTGACGAAAGGGATGACGGAGGCGGTATAGATAGCCAGATGGATCATGAGCATAAGAGGCGGAGGATGGTGATCAGCAGGGGGAAACACAGCCGGAGATCAGCACGGCGAGCTTACCGAGGACGATGTCGTTGTAGGCCTGGAAGAGCGGGCCGGAGGACTGCGGGTACTTGGAGAGGAAGGGGGCGAGGGCTGCGTGCTATGCAATGCGGTGCCGTGGATCGAGGCGTTGGGCAGATAGGGCACACGAAGATGAGGAGGAGAGCGTGGTGCGCAGTCGGTGGATTCAGATGCGCTGAATCGGTGCAAGGCTGTGAGATGCTGCGGGACGTACTGAGGGGTGGTTTTGCATCTGTGCTGAGTTTTGGTGTCGTTTTGCGATCTTTCTGCTCTCTCGTGGAGATCAGCGAGAGTGGGTCGTTGTATAATTTGGTACGTCCAATGTTCGGTCCCACTGCGCTCGCGCAGGATGAAAGGGTCGAGAAGGCTGGAGTGATGCGGGAGGATGAGGCCGAGGAACAGAGCGATAACCCTCGCAGTCACAAGAATAGTCATAGGGATGTACGCCGGCGCTTTTACGGCCCCGATGCGTCATTCGTGTTCACTCGCCCCAAACCAAAAGCTAACTGCCTGCCACTCGGCACGAACACCCTTCCCTGAGAGCACGGAAGGATCGTCAGACAACTACATGTGCCTCATGTCAAGCTCTTACTTGTATAGCTAGTGACTTGTTTATCGCCCGCCAAGTGTTTCAGACAGGTGTTGAATCTCTGATGCATCTTGATCCAACAGGATGCAACACTTGTTCTTCCCACAGCTGGACGGGGTAGAGCTCGGCAAAGCGAAAACTTCAAGCATTCGAAGCACATCTTCGTGGCATCGACACACCTTCGCGCTCGGCGCTCCTGATCAACATTCCGTGGTTTGATCCTGCCGACGCGACGCAGGACAAGGTTTGTCGGCTCGCAATGGCAATAATAGCGGTCTCTAAGGAGGCCCGTCGTGTCTTCCCTCTCAGGCTGCCGCTCCAACGGCCTCCAAAACGATGACGCCCTCCTCGCTCCTTCCGTGCGTGCACCCTCCACCGAGGGTTGAGCTGGGCTGCTTGTAGGTCAGGCACGCATGCATGCTTATTGGGGCGCCGGGCACACAAGGAGACCCGCCGATTTGCCTCATCGGGAGCGGGTGCCGTCCGGATGCGGTAAGGATGACGGGCGACGCCAGACTAATTATAGAACGATGATGCTGATGGCTGCTGTGGCGCAGCACTGGTGGCACTGGCATTCCCATTTCCCTCTTCCCCCCTTCCCCACGTGTGCACACACCGCAGTCTGCGCGCGCGCATATAAACCTCCGATTCGTCTTGGTTCCCTCTTTGAACTTTACACCCACCGCTAGCTCAGTTGTCGCATACCTCCTCCACTCGAGCTTGAAACTATGCAGCCCGCCAACAATATGACTACTGCCCAGCCCCAGGCTGCCGCCTCGATGAGTGAGTGCCCTTTTTCATTCTGGTCGCGTTGCTACAAGAGTATTGATGGGACGCTTCTCCCCCTTCATCTAGGCGTGACGAGCCCCGCCCCCGTTAACAACGCCCAGCAGCAACACCACCACGACCAGAAGGCAAGCCGCATCCGCGGCGGCGGTGCTGGCAAGGTGCGTTCGCCTCGCCTTCCTTCATGGCGTTGACCGCTCATGCGCGCGTCGCTCTCTGTCTGTGTAGGACTGCTTCCTCGGCGCGCTCGAGTGCTTCCTCTGCTTCGAGTGCTGCAAGGACTGCTGCGAGTGCTGCGCCGACATCATCTGTGCGTCCCCCTCCTCTATTGCTCTCCTCTTTCCCCGTCCCCTCTGCCCCCCTGCCCTCTGCCCTGTAATTATATGTGGTATTGGTGATGCTGACTGTATGCCGCCTGTATATAGGCTGCCCCTGCGAGATGTGCTGCTAAACGCGCCAGCCACCCTGCTTCCTTCACTCGCCCCCTGAACTCGAACTCTATCTACACTGCATATATGTTACACGCGCGCGTGTCTGTGGTATAAGTACATAAACCTGACTATTGTGTTGTTGTTGTGCAGAGTGTAGACTGGTGTGTTGCCGGAGTCAAGTATGTTAGCGTGAATTACATTGCCTTTGTACTTTATTTTATTTTGTCTTGTGATACACATTTGTGCTTGCTTGAGGCGAATTTTCATTGTGGTCTTTGTTACTTTGTGTGTGTTTGGGTCCAATGAGCATGGCCTGAACCTCTCATGCGTGTTTGATGGTTTGAAGCATGGTGAAATGTGGTGCCGGGCTCTGCACAGGCATGTGCATACGGTACCTCCGTTGCGTAGCTTATGACGTTGGATCCATCTTGACCCGTCGAGGACAGGCACCTACAGCCTCAGGCACTCGCAGTGTGATCGTACACACACAGCGCTCGGCTCTTAGATTAGTTTGCTCTCATCACGTCACGACTGACGTACAGCCAGAAAGCTAGCAGGCCGGAATCCACAAATACAGCTACATAATTATACGAGGTAATATCTCAAACGACGCGAGCACTAATTAATAGTGTAACATATCATACAGCGATCCCACTGTCGCGCTCCATCCGCCGCCGCTTGCGTTCCTGCTCCTCGATGATGAGGCGCTCCGCCGCCGTCATCGGTGCCGCGCGCTTGACGCCCGCAGACGACTTCTCCTCGACGCCAGAGGAGGATTCTGTGGGTGCCTTGGGCTTGGACGATCCGGCGGTCTTGAATATGTTCTGACGCTTGAGCGGGTTCGCGCCGGGCTTGAGCGCGGTGCCTGCGGCTGGCTTGAGTGCGCCGCCGAGCTTGAAGCCGCCGCCTAGCGAGGGTGCGCTTGCTGGTGGAGGGCTTGTTTGGGCTGATAAAGAGGCGTCGGCGGGTGGTGATGCGGACTTGGAGGCGGCGGGTTTGGCGCTGAGCGATAGTACGACTTTTTCTGCGCCTTCTTCCCGCTTCAGCCCCACTTCCTTCCTCCCTTCCTCCCCGCTGCCGCTGCCCCCGCCCGACGCGCCAGCTCCACCCCCCTCTGCGGCCCCCTCCTCCCCCTCCTCTCGCTTCGCGCGCTCGATCTGCTCGGCAATGAGCATGCGCTCGCGCGCCTCGTCGCCCATAGTCGCGCGCTCCTTCTTGATGCTTGCCTCCTGGCGCGCGAGGGCCTTGGGGGAGGAGTCGATCCAGGCGATGAACCAGCCTTTATCGGTCTCGTCGACGCGGGCGACGCCGGTGCGCCCGAGGTGCTTGCAGAACTCGGTGAGCGTGACCCAGCGGGTGGCGTTCATGTGCAGGTGGGCCTTGTCTTGGATGAATTCTTGGTAGACGCGGTTGGCGAAGACGCGGTTTGTGCCGAATCTGTTTCATGCCATGCCATAGAGCGCAGCAATCAGAATGCATGCATGTATGCGTGTACATGAGATGAGAAGAGAAGGGGGAGACGCACCGTCTACTAAGGAGATGCACAAAGTCGTGCTGGAACTGCATCGAGAAGTCGGCGATGTGCTTGCCCGCGTGCTCGCCGACGACGAGCATCTGGCGGAGATGGGACTCGGACTGGGCGTGGCACTTGAAGCCGTTCTCGTCGCGGCACTGTTTCTGGCAGACCTGGCAGTACCAGCGGAGGCGCTGGAGCCCCTTGGACTTCATCTTGTTTGCGAGGTATTTGGCTGTTCCGGCTGTGTGTGATCGTTAGTGGGAATTGCATGGAGGGCGAAGGAGGGGGTTACCTTCGGCGCGGGGCATGGTGGGCAGATGAGTGGGTGGTGAGTGGGGATGAGTGAGTGGTGGTGGTGGTCGAGAGGCAAGATCGAGAGGACTGGAGGGGATGACTAAGCTATCTGCGTGTAGGCCATGACAGCTTTCCCACGGGATCTTGCCTCCGCGACGTTGACAGGTCCTTCCCCGGACCGTCAACAATCTACTCGTCATCCCCCACAGAGAAACATGGCGCTGAGCGAAAAGGCAAAGGGAAAGCTGCGCGCACAGGAGGGCGATGAAACGTGGGCGGAACGAGACGGGGGCTGCGACCTCACCGTGCGGTTCACCGAGGGCCTGCCTGACCTCGTCATCCACCTCGCGCCTGCCCATACTGTGCGCGATGTCAAGACCCACGTATGCCTCCTACGTCTCTCTCCCTTCTCGCTGAGCTTACGTGGAATTGCAGATCGTGGAAGCCCGCCCTGAGCTCGCAGACCGCCGCTTGCGGCTCATCCACGCCGGCCGGCTCCTTACGGACGGCACGATCCTCTACGCGTGGCTGCGCTCCCTCGAGGAGCGCCAGATGCGCGCGACGCGCCCTGGATCGCCTGTGCCTCCTCGTGGTGGCGGCGGTGGTAGAGAGTCCACCGATAAGCCCTCATCCAATACGCCGGCTGCGGCCGACCGCACTAGCGTGCCTGCGCCGTCGAACGCGTGGCTGCATTGTTCGGTGGGGCCCAAGATCGAGAAGGAGGCGAAGGTGGTGAAGAAGGCTGGGAAGATGGACGCACCAAGAGGAGGGGGCGCGGAGGGCAGGGAAGCGGATGGGGCAGAAGGAGAAGAAGAGACGGAGACGCAGCAGCCGCAGCTGCAGCCGCTCCGCGGGTTCGACCAGCTCGTCGACGCGGGCTTCTCGCGGGAGGATATCGCGGGCATGCGGCGGCAGTTTCACGCATCGAGCCCGTTTGGCACGATGGGCGACGCCGAGGGCGAGTACGAGCCCGATGAAGAGCGTGCGTTTCCGTTTGTCCCTGTGACGTGCCTCGTCCGCTGACGGTTCTTATCGTGGCGTCTGCGGCTCGCCAGTCGACGAACACGCGCGGGCACTCGAGGAACAGTGGATCGACTCGCTCGACAACGGGCTCGGCGACACCCCGCCGCCCATGTCGGGCACGGCGTCCGCGCAGACGACGGTGATATATGGTATTTTGCATGGGTTCTTTTACCCTTTTTCGCAGCTGCTCTTTACCGGGACCGCGAAGCCGCCTGTGTTCTGGGAAGACGGGAGCGTGCACGAGGAGCCGGAGAGTGTCGTGTTTGGGTGAGTGGCGATGTGGCTCTACGTTGTTCTTGTCGTGTTCGGCTCGTTGGTTGATTGGGTACGTTTGGTGTAGGCAGGTGATGTCGACTGGAATTATGCTTGGTTTTGTGCTGAATGTTCTGTTTGGAACGTGGAGGTATCTCCTGGACACATCATAGCGATTCGATGAGGAACGTTCCGTAATACGATACCTGGACGTTCTCAGCAAGGATTTCCTCTCTCTGTGGTTCCACAAGCCACATCCTTACATACATTGTACATACTCGCATTCATAGTACGCGTAATACAGCCTCCACTGATGAAAGGCGTGTATGATCTAAGCGAGCCCCGTGGATGGGAAGGTTGAGGCGCGCATCCATTTGTAGACGCGCGATCTAAAATTTAGATCAGCTCTTCGGCTCTCCTTTTGTTCTCCTCCACGACCTTCACGACCGCCACCACCACCACCTTCCCCTCCTCCTTTATTTTCTTCGTCGTCGCCTGCTCTCATCGCTCTCCCATAGATATCAAAAAGCAAGCACCCATCTTGCACCGCTTTGCACTCTCACCCACCCAACAATTTAACTAAAAGCAAACGCATACGCAAGAGAGAAACGAGATGGATCTCCAATCGCTATCGAACCTCTTCGCGTCGACGTTCAGCGGCGACCCGAACGTCCAGAAGGCGAGCGAGCTTCAGATCCGCAAGGTCAGCACCGCGGCGCCGTTATCGGACGCGTTATCTGCCCCCACTTGTTGATGTTGGTGATGCTGACGTACCGCCCCTGCACACCGTGTACAGCTCGGCCGCGAGGAGGGCATGATCACCGCCTGCCTCCAGATCATCGCGAGCAACGAGGTCGACCTGTGCGTTTTCCCCCTCTATCGGCCTTCTTCATTTCATGACCTTACTAAATCCCCACCCACCCGCGCGTGCCGCTCAACAGGACCGTGCGCCAGGCGTGCGCCGTGTACCTCAAGAACCGGATCCACACCTCGTGGACAATCGACGCGGCGCGCGCGCGCCCCGAGCAGGTGCCCATCCCGCCGTCGGACCGCGAGGCGTGCAAGCGCGCGGTGCTGCGCCTCCTCGCGGGCGCGCCGTCGTCGCGCGTGCGCGCGCAGCTCGCGAGCGCGCTCAAGGACCTTGTCTCGGCCGAGTTCCCGGCGCAGTGGCCGGCGCTGCTTGATGAGGTCAAGGCGCTGCTCGCGAGCGGGGACGTGCAGGAGGTCAGCGCGGGCTGTGTGGCGTGTTTGGAGGTTATTAGGGCGTTCCGGTGGGTTTCTTTTCGTCGTGTACCCGTATGCACAGTGTTGGTCTTATGGAATGTGCTGATGCGGGCGCTGCTCCGACGCGGTCGCGCTTGGTTCACAGGTTCCGCCAGAAGAACGACATCATGCCCGGGATCGTGGCCACGATTCTGCCGACGCTCGTGGGGATCGCGACGCAGCTGCTCACGCAGCCGCCGACGGCGGCGTCGTCGAACGAGATCCCGTTCATGCTGCACACGATCCTCAAGACATACAAGACGTCGCTCATCGTGAACCTGTCCCCACACCAGCAGAGCGCCGAGTCGCTCGTCCCCTGGGGCCGCCTCTTCTTCCAGGTGATCAACCTCCAGATCCCAGCGGACGCGGTGCCCGCCGACGAGGAGGACCGGGAGAAGTGCGAGTGGTGGAAGGCGAAAAAGTGGGCGTATGGCACGCTGGGTCGGCTGTTCCACCGGTACGTGCTCCCGTCGCTCAGTCAACCTTTCCCTTTTTCTCGTCTCACCTCTGTCTGCGCGATTTTGTAGATACGGAAACCCGTCGCAGCTGCCGTCCCCGCGCCAGAAGGAGTATGGCAACTTCGCGGACCACTTTGCGCGCTCGTTCGCGCCTGAGATTTTGAGCGTGTATCTCCGCCAGGTCGAGCTGTTCGTCAGCGGCCAGGCGTGGCTCTCCCGCAAGTGCCAGTACCAGATCTTCTCGTACTTCACCGAGTGGTGCGTCGGCTCTTTTTTCTCGCCTTTATGTTTGATGCTGATAAGATAATGCAGTATCAAGCCCAAGAGCACGTGGGTGCTGCTCAAGCCGCACGCGCAGGACCTCGTTGAGAAGTTTGTCTTCCCCCATCTCACTTTCGATACGAACAAGCAGAACATGTGGGAGAGCGACCCCGTTGATTATGTCCGCACGACCGTCGGTAGGTTCTACCTTCCTCCTTCCCCATATTGCCATATCCGGTGTGCTCATATCATTCTCACCATGCTCCCTGCCTGCTCTTTGCGATGTGATTCCGGTGTGTGGTCATACGCACGTCGTACAAAGACGAGTACGAGGACTTCTCGAGCCCCGTGTCGGGCGCGACGTCCTTCCTGCTCTCGCTCGCGTCAAATCGGACCAAGACGACGTTCCTGCCGATCCTCTCCTTCGTCAACTCCGTGCTTGGCTCGTAAGTTCCTCTCGGAGAAAGCATGCGCTGCGTGGCGAAGAGCTGACCTGGGCTTGGGTGCATAATAGGAACGCGGCTCCGCCGCAGCGCTTTGGTGCGCTGAACATGATTGCGGTTCTTGGGCCGTTTATCATGCGCCATCCGGAGGTGAAGGATAATATGGAGCAGTTCATGCTCAACCATGTTCTGCAGGAGTTTCAGGCGCAGGAGCCGTACCTCCGCTCGATCGTACGTCATTGTCCCCTCTTTGTCCTTCCGCTTGGGGTTGCTGACGACGTGAACGTGTTGTGTTGGTGTAGGCATGCGAGGTTGTGGGCACGGTGGTGAAGAACGGTATTACGTGGTCGAACGAGGAGAATCTGCTCAAGTTCTCGCGTGGTGTCGCTGGGGCGTTGAACGACCCGGAGATGCCGGTGCGCGTTCAGGCGGCGCTGGCTCTGACTGAGCTGATTGTTGTTAATGAGAGCGGTATGGGACTGGGTTTCTCTTTTTTCCATGTTCAGTGCTGATGGTTTGTCTCTGCAGTGCGGACGGCTGTCGCTCCCGAGGTTGCGAAGGTTATTCAGGATCTGCTCAAGCTCTCGGACGAGACGGATCTCGATATCCTGAACCACTCGATGGAGACGATGGTCGACCATTTCCAGACTGAGTTGCTGCCCGTTGCGACGCAGCTCACCGCACGCCTTGTGCGTTTTCTCTTCCTCTTCGCCTTGCCTTGCCTTAACTGAGCTGGCTAACGCTCACTTGCTGTGCTCTAACAGTGCGAATCGTACATGCGTCTGGCGCGCGAGACTATCGCCCAGGGCACCGACGATCTCCCCGAGAACATCGACGTGGACAACCTCGAGAGCGATGCGGAGGACGACAAGGTGTACGCTGCGATGGGTGTCGCCAAGACGATCTGCACGGTCGTGACGGCGGCCGAGTCCTCCCCTGAGCTGCTTGCGCAGATCCAGGAGGTGGTCATTCCGATCATCCGGTTCACGCTTGAGAAGAAGCTTCTTTGTATGTTTCTATCTTTTGGTTTGGGACGTGGATGTTGATGCGCTGGTGCGGTCAGACCTCTTCGACAATATGTATGAGCTCGTGGATAGTCTCACTTTCAGGCTGCATAGCATTACCCAGAACATGTGGCCTATCTTTGAGTTGACGTACTCGCTCTTCAAGGGTGAAGCTGTTGACTTCCTCGATGGTGAGTTCGCTACTTTTGAGTGCACGGGATGATTTTGATGGCGTGTTTGCAGAGATGCTTCCGTCGCTGGATAACTTCGTCTCATACGGCGGCGACATGTTCAAGGCGCGCGCCGACTACCGCCAGAAGGCGGTCGACATCTACTGCACGTCGCTCAAGAGCGATGCGCTCGGTGAGAATGATCGTGTCAATGGATGCAAGCTCGCCGAGTCGCTCCTGCTTAACCTTCGTGGTCACATGGACGACGTGAGTTGACCCGTTATATCGACGTCATAACGCTGTGTTTAATCTGGGACTCTCGCAGCTCCTGTCGGACATCGTCTCGACCGCACTCGACCACTTTGAGCGCGAAGAGACACGCGCCTTCCGGCTCGCTAACCTCGAGACGCTCATCAACGCGGTCCTGTACAATGCCCCTGCGGCGCTGCACTACATCGAAGCGCGCCGGCCCGGCCTTTCGCGCACGTTCTTCGATGCCTGGTTCAAGGCCATAAACTCCGACAATGGCCTGCCGCGCGTGCACGACAAGAAGTTGAGCGTTCTCGCGCTCTGCGCGCTTATGGAAGTCGAGAGCTCGCAGGTACCTGAGAACCTCAGGGACGGCTGGCCGGCGATTGTCGGCGGAGCGCTGAAGATCTTTAGGAGCCTTCCCAAGGCTGTGTCCAGTAAGCGTATTTCCGTGGGCAAGGAAGGTCACCGGTCACGGCTGAATGATGTCTTGTAGAGCGCAAGGAGCTGGAGACGTCGCTTTCGGAATACGAGTCCGATGACGACGATGACGACGCCAACATTCTGAATCTCGAGGGTGCCGAAGACGAGGACGTGTGGGACGAGGACTCGGCGTACCTCGAGATGCTCGCCAACGAGGGCGCTCGTCTACGCGAAAAGTCGGAGAAGCTCGAGAAAGGCGAGGACGTGTCGGATTCGGAGAGCGTCGAGAGCGATATCGAGGAGGAGCTCGGGTTCTTTAGCCCGCTGGACCAGGTCAATCCGTACACGTCGTTCAAGCAGGCTCTCGCCAGTGCGTGTCTTGTCCTTCTTTGCTCTCCTGTTCTTGTGTCGCGAGTGTCGTGGTGTGAAAACTGACGGGCTTTCTCTTGTGTAGCGTTCCAGTCGCAGAACGGCGTCCTGCACGGTGCCTCGATGTCCCTGCTCGACGTGGAGCAGCAGGCGGCGCTTATGGAGGTGATGCGCCAGGCCGATCTGCCTGCCGAGGTAACCGCTTGAATTGTACGGCCGAGTCTGCCGTGAATACTTGTTGCGGACGCTCAGTGTTCTTTTCATCGTAACGCCTGCTCTTCTTGTTTCCAATACCATTCTGTAATGCATCACCCGAGAATCATGTTTGCTCTGTTATTGTTTCTATATTCTGTTATACGTTTTTACTTTATACAAGTTCGCGATATGCACCGTTTGAGAGAACAGTCAATGGGTCGTGGAAAGTTAACCGCGTTTCTTCTGATCGGAGGGAGGCTTGGGTCAATATTTTGCAGCCTCCACCTGACGATCTGCAAGTTGCGCATGTGTCAGTAGTCTCCCTCGCAAACCTCAACACGTGCCTGCCTAGAACGGGCGGTGGCCCAAATAAAGTCTCAGCGGTATTGGCCAGCGAATGAGATTGGTTCACACCGATGCCGAGTTTCTCAAGTTGTAATTTGTCAACGCGCGAGCTTGGGAGCGAGGCGACGAAGGTTTAGAGATTTGTCTTGAACGACGCCGCGGGTTTGGTTCACAAGCCCCTCGATAAAAACACAGACAAACATTGTATATTGTTACACACATTTGCTACACAAGTTGATACCCAAATCGTGTACAAGGCCCAAAAAAAACTTTTCCTGTGTGTTCTATGAAGAACACGCGTTGGCTAGTACCCTAGAAGAAACACACATTTTCTACACGAAGAAGTTTCCCAGACACCAAAATGAACGATGAAACGTGACGAACATGAAACTAATCGTTAAACCCGCATTCTTCTCCAAAACTAATCCACGAGCTCATTCGCGCTGGCACCTTGACGAGGCTTGCAACCAGCTAGCGCGGACGTGTTCGCTAGGCGCTGCCGGGAGGCGGCGCTTAGAGGGCCAGGAGGAGGAGGAGGACGGTCAACCCGAGGGTGTCGAGGACACCAACGATGCTGCCGAGGAGGGGCGTGAGGGCGAAGAGCAGGCCGGCGACGAGGCCGAGGACGACGAAGAGGATCTTGTAGACGAGGATTCTGTAGCAGCGCGTCAGGAACGGCATTGGCGAGTGGGATATGAGGCCTAGCACTTACCCGACGGCGTACAGGAGCGGGATCAGGATGGCGAGCAGGTCGGCACCGACGATGGCGAGCACAACACCGATAGCCTTGAAGAGCAGCTAATAAAACGGAAATACGTTGTAAGCTTGCTGTGCAAAAGGTGGGAATCGGGGGAAACGCGTACGATCAGGTCGGCAGCGATGAGCGCGGCGAGAGCGCCGACAGAGAGGATCTCGGAGCCATCCTCGGAGAGGAGAAGCTCGTTCTGGGAGACACCCTGGCTCTTGAGGCCGTTGACCGAGGTCAGCGCGTTGTTGAGCGGCGCGGAGATCTGCGAGATGATGGGCGTGATGGTTGCCTGCGTCGCGTTGTCGGAGTTAAGGTAGACTGCACGTAAAACGATTGACAGGGGGGATGACGTGAAATGAAAAGATCGACGCGTCAGCGATGCATCATAGGACACTGGTCAAGGTACTGACGTAGAGACTGGGCGAGCGGCGCGATCTCGGTGAACGCGGTGCTGAAGATAGCCGCGATCGACGTGGTCGACTGCCGAGCAACAACCTTGGACTCCTCAGCCACAGGGACTGCGACGGAGAAAGCAGCGAGCGCCGCGGTGCAGACAATAGAGACGGTGCTGAAGAAACGCATGATGAACGAGGAGTGGGTTTCTTGGGAAGGGCTCTTTGAAAAGCTGGGAGTGCTGGAGGTCGACTGGAGCCGATGAGGATTGTTGTTCGAAAACCAGGCCAGCTTTTATACGTTTACGAGCCCACCAAGGACGCCCATGCATAGGGACATGAGCCGTCGGAGGCTCGCGGATGAGCCACATACATGTGCCCGGTGTAAGTCCTGATGGTGTGAGTCCAAGTCGTGGAAAATAGAACAAAAACGATGAACACTCCGGTGCCGCATGCACGCAAAGTCTGTGCAATCCCTGTCCAGGCCCCCCGAAAGATCCTGATCTGAGAGTCATCTGATGGCTTGAAGTCAATTCTCCAAGAGGTGATATGAGAGACGTGTTACGCAATAGTATGACAAGAACCAAAGGACCTTGCTGTGGAGCCGCGTCAGGGGCCTCCATATACTTGCACTACAAATCGCTTCCCGGTCGGGATTCGACACCACAGTGTCAGGTCCGTGTTGCGTCAAACTTCGTTCGACGACAGATGACATATGGCAAAATCACGTCGCACGCCTATCCTGAGTGAGCCCAATGATCCTGTACGTCCGGAATGTGAGCGTCACATTGGAGCGCTAACATAAACGCACGAACTCGGAGGTCAGCGGAGGTCAGCCTCAGAACAATGAATTGGCGCGAGCTGGCGAAACCATTACCCGTCTGATGGCCCTAGGCACGATGAGAGATTTCCTCGACGGAATGTAGCAGGATACACAGCCTATTTGACGTGAATATGGGACCCGAGCACGAATGAAATCATGCATGACAAGAGAATGTACGGATGGAGGTTTGAGCGAGTGCGAAGATATCATTATGGGGTGAGAGCGGCTGCGATAAGAATAGCATTTCCAGACATGTGTCCCGGCGGTCGATAAAACTTCTTCGTTGTTTGGGCACTCGAGTTCGAGAAGGCCACCAATAAGAGCCCGAGAAAGCCATTTCGCTTCTCGAGGGGAACGTGCCTGACTCTGGGGCGAGAGGGGTCGAGATTGGAGTCAACGCACCACCCAGTGGGCGTGTCAAGCACGTTCTTGAGGAGCCAGAACATCATTTCCGTGTCTTCCGTACCTGTCTGTAAGTAGGCACATCCGCGGATGGAAGCCTTTTCCTCTCAAAGGAGCCCTAAACCTTCGTATACCCGAGGGGAACACATACCTAGCCCATTTTTATCGCCAGTAGCGCACAAGAACCGACCCTCCACGAGTTCGCTCCTCTGTCGTGCTCTGATCAATTCAAACACCCGTCAAGCCTCAACGTTCTGGCAAAACAATCTGGTTGCGCGACAGACCCTACCATTCATTTGCTGGAAGAGCTCATCTGGTAAAGAGTGAGGCTCAACAGAAACTGGGCCATATGTTCCTGATTGCTCTCACCTCCGTTCATCTTGTGAGTTTACCAAAGGGGCCTAGACGAATAACTTGATACACTGTTATCTGATGTTCGCACTACCTGTCATTCATGCGAATGACAAGCGAATGAACGTGGAAATAGGAAGAGAGAAACACAGGTCGCCCGCAATCGCATACACTGTCGATCAGCAGCAAGATATTGACCATGCTGGTCGGCTACAGGTTTCGCGAGAAGTACATCCAGCCTATAAGGGGGGTACTTCTTACGCGAGAGACTGTACATTTTATTAGCTATGCTACCAATGATGTTGATGAAAAGCGTCAGTAGAAGCCGAACGGTGGTACAGAGACAAAGTATTGCCGAACCGGGTCAACCATACTGATTTTGTCGGCAGCAAGAACTAAGATGAAACCCTTTGTATTCGCATAAGACGCCATCCAAGGCGTAGGCTCTAGACATCTGGTTCGTTATGGCGTAAAGATTGAGCATAGGGACAACTGGTCGCACAAGTCAATTACCTCACCTTCGGAACCATTCAATGAGAACGTTTAATGCAGATCAGACATACTCCCCAATCCAGCAGCACAGACTGTGAGGGTACCACTAGACCAAAAGCCCGTTTCACCTGCAACAAGGGGCCCGAGTTAAGGAAAAGCAGTGAAAAGCAATGTCGGTGGCTGACCATGACCAGCGCTGTGTATTTAGGAAAGCAATTCAGTATCTCAACCCCGGCCAAAGGCGCAGAGAAGTTGTATATGGTACAATGGGCTCTAGGTCATAATTAGAACTCACCACATGCATCGTACGCCTGGATGGGCGATATTACATAGCGAAATGCTGCCCGAAGGCCTCCGCGACCTACCGGTGGCACAGCCCCACAGTTGGCCGTCACCGCTCAGCACGGCGCTCGGTAAGACAGCCGCTGAGAACAATACTGCCAAGACATCGACAATGCAAGCAGTGTCCCTTTCAAGTGATCGCTGTTAGACGGAGGATGAAAACGCTCGATGCCGTATGATCGTGCTTTTTTGAAGAGTAGAAGTAGAGTATGATCACCCTCATCACCTCGAGTCTAGCCAGAGAAGCAGAGCAAGCACATGTAGCAGCACCCTTTCAAACTCCAAGGTTTTACGGAGGTAAGAATCCCCGTCGGATGGTAGTGCTTGCAGCGAGCTTAGATCTGTAAGTGCAGTTTAGTTGTCGGTCCGTAGTCCCCGTCGGAGAAAGACGCAAGAGCGATGGCCTCCCGTCCCAATCTCTTGCTGAAGAAGCCTCGAGCTGTACATCCCAGGTGCTTCATCGATAGACGCCTCGCGTCTACACGGAGACATCAACGCGGTCCGTCGATGAGCGGAGCTTGAAGGTTTCGTCCCCCGTTCATATCACGGGTAAACCCGTTGATATTCCCACGCGCAGGAGTCAGCGGACCTGGGCATTGAACTCGAGCTGGACGGGGAACTCAAAAGAGCTCGACGCCTAGAACATCGCTGCAACTTTCCTTGTAACTCATAAAAAAAGCGTAAGTTTTTCTCGGGAACTACCTCACATGCGTATCATATAGTAAATAAGTAGATATGATCCAGATAGAAGCGAAAGAAAAAATAAAACTAAGATCAAGCTAAGATAGATGCTCACTAGTAGTCTCCCCCCCTTTGACTTATGCGGATGCAGCCTCAACCTCCTGGACACGGTGCTCCTCGAGCCACTTGCGCGTCACATCGTCCCACACGACGAGCGGCACCTTCACCTGTCCAGACGAAATGTTCATCGTCTTGATCTTCCACTCACGGTACTCGCCGAAAGTACCCGGTTGGAGCACGTGCACACTAGGCACAGCAATCTTCCCTGCGTTGCTGTCCTTGAGATAGTTCTCGTTCGCGGACTGTAGGAACTTGTGCAGCTTGGCAGGGATAACGCTTGCTTCGCCGGCTAGACATAAATGAGAACGAGTAAGCCATGGGGTGCCTGTAGCAGTGGAACGGTGCTTACGGATGTCTTTCTGCGTCTCAGTGTAGAACGCATAACGGGGCGTAGTGTATCGGTAGTCAGGCATCACGCAGAACTCGGAGACGTTTCCGAGTTCCTTCGAGACGGACTGTACGGCAGCGGACAACTGGGCCTCCGTGGTGATCTCATTCGCAAGACGGATGTGCACACTGTTAGGAAGCGGGCGATCAGTTACTTGTTCTATTCTTGGAGGAGATGGCGAGGGTGCTTACTTGCGACGCTGTAACGACGGCAGGTAGTCAGCGACAATCAGCGTGATTGCGACAGCGAAAGGAAGGGCCAATGACGAAGAAAGGAGTGCATGTGACGACGGAAGTAAAGACTCACCTCGAGGTAGTGGATGATAGGCTGACCGTCACGAGGATCGTAACCCACGATCTCGACGATGTCACCAAGGCGGTATCTCCAGAAGCCGTCCCGGGTGGTCAGAACGACCTCGTACTTCTTGCCAATCTTAGCTTCCCACTAGACACGGAGGAACGTCGGACACCGAGGTGCAGGCAACCGGCGAGCAAAGTACCGAAGAGAATGCACACGATCAGCGTTGCCCCAGCCAATCGAGATAATGGAATCCTACCGCTGGTGAGAGGCCGCTCGCGTTTTCAGGCGCGTCGATGTCCAGGTACTCGATGATATCATCGGAGCCGACGACCTTGTACAGGCTCTTGTCCTTTGCGTCGTATGCAAGGGCGAGGAACGCCTCGCTACAGTTGATACCGAGCGTGCGGAGGTTCACCTCGGGGCCCATATAGTGCGTGATCTTGTGAAGCCATCAGCCACATGTTCGTGAATTCACCATCCGTGCAATGACCGCATTGCACATACCTCGGGGAGCACACTGCCGAACGAGCCACTGGAGATCGCGACGACGATGGAAAGCCCGGGCCAGAGCCTCCTGAGCCAGCCTTCCTCCTCCGTGTTGTTCGTGATCTTGCGCAGCTCCGCAGCACGCTCCGGGTCCGCTTTCCAAAATTGCTGCGGCAACCAGATGGTAAGAAGTCAAGCAAAGCGAGATTGGACTAAGCGGCAGGCGCACCATGAGGTTGTCGTGAACATGGTCAGTTCCAGGCAGGTCAGGAATAGTGCCCTTCTCGATGCAGTCCACCATCACATCGTACTGCTCGATCAACACTCTGCACAGGTCACGGAAGATAGTCGAGAACATCGTGTTGATGAGCTCGGTTTGGCGTTCAGCGAGCGCGAAGAGGCCGTGCATGAACAGGAACGACTTGTAATCGGGAATAAAAGAGCCGGCGAGCGGTGAGGTGTTGATGGGGACTAGACCAGGATATCAGCATGGATGCGCGCGACGAACAGAAAGTTGGTCCCTTACCCTTGATCTTCTGGTAGAACTGGTCTTTGGGTTGATGCTACCATCATTGCGTGAGCTGTGCACTGAGAACTGATAGTCGACGCGCGAACATACCATCCCGATGTGCATGCGGATCGTGCCGGAGGACATCAAACACACGGGCATGTGCGCGACGGGCTCGTCCTTCTCGTCAACTGGCGCGACGACCTCCCGGTATCCAAGCGAGTAGACGACGCAGTTCTTCCCTCCAGTCTTGCTGACGGGGTTCGACGCGGCCATCGTCTGCGCCGTCGATGTCGACATGTGCTTCGGGTGCTGGTACTTGGGGAAGTGCTTCGTCGCGCCCCCGGACGTGCCAGACGAGTGAGCAATGAAGAAGGGCATACCCGGGGCCATCAGGTTCTCTACGTCCGCCGCCTTGCATGGCTTCTCGAAGAATCGTGACACGAATGGCTGGTAGTGCTTGTACTCGCTGAGCTCAACGTTGGAGTTGAAGACCTCGAAGAGGTCCTCGGGGAGCTTGGAGTAATCTTCGGTGCTGAGGGCTTTGCGGAACGAGGACAAAGTGTCCGATTCCTTGAAGAACGTCGAAACAGAGTTCGTGGAGACGAGGTAGGAAAGCACGGTGTCGGATCGTTTGCGAAGTGCTGCGAGAAGCTCAGGCGAGAGCTCGGTAACGGGGGCGGGGGCGTTTTCGATGTTCATTTCGGGCGGAGCGTACTCGGTGTCTTGGGAGGCCATTGTAGAATAGTTAGGGAGAGGGTGTATGGTAGAAGACGTAGGAGAGATAGTGGAGGTGTGCAATTAAATGAAATATTCTGGTGTCTTTGTATAAAAGGGCAATCGCCAGCGCTGAGCGCGGGCTGTGCGGAACCCAGGCACGCTCCTCTGAGTCCCCATCTCTGGAAGAAGTTGCATCTGCAGGTGAAAAGCCGCAAGCCGGTGCTCCGAGTTGGCGGCACTGACTAACGAGTTGATCATTGCAACCGTAGGCATCAAAGATTTTGATTTACATCTATGGTTCCTGTCTTTGGCTGTATACTGGCTGTATCGCGTCCCTTTTGACGGCAGTGTGTGGGCGAGACGTTTCCCTTCATCATCGTATCGGAGGCAGACTTTAGGGTTCTTGGCACCAACCAGAGGCTATTTTTAGCTCAAACATGTCCGTGCCATCGCAACAGGGAGGAGGAAAGAGACCGACTTAGTGAGCTCGATGTACGGTCCTATAGAGAGACCCCACAAGTGGTTACATCCTGCACAATTCATGCAATCATGATCATCATGGTGGTGGCATCGAATAGTCTTCTGGGGTGATCGGTGCCAGGAAAAGGAATGAAATCATAGTATTGATGGGTTCTGCTGCCATAGCCTGTCATAAAACGAACGGCCCGTGAGAATTTCAATTGCTTACCCCTTTATGCCAGTAATCCCCTTTGCCAATCGACTGCCTGCTGGATACCTATCGTGTAGCTCTACCCTTATGAGCATTGTCAAGTATACGCTGAGTGGAACAAACCGCGGCGGCCACCCTGAATTCTTCAAACATCCGAAGCAAACTCCCGAGCTTGACACCGAGAACCATGGCGGATGCTCTGCCAAGACTCGCTGTGCAGAGCTGTGATGTTCGTAGTCCAGGGGAATGATCGACCTGGTGTCAGTACGAGAGGATGGAGCCTGATAGAGCCTAGAGCCACGGCAGTAGACGGCAACAGACATGCTCAGACATGACTGTAGACGGCACTAGTCTGCTTTCGCCTGATGGCAGCGGCGAAGGGACCGTACGTGAACGACAAGGCCCGGATCAAATTAGTACCACGGTTTGAGAATAGGGCTGTCCAACTTGAAGGGTTCGTGCGCAAAGTGTTTCTTGAACCTCGATGATCAACTAACGGAACCGATGCAACAAGGTACGCTGCAACGACCTCGATATGATAATTCGGAAGCAAGGATCGTCAGACGTTCCTCGCGAAGGAAGCACATTTGTCTATTTGATACCTATAAGATGGGTTAGAAATCGTATAATCGTGTTCAAAGTACCGACTTACAGAGCAACACCGCTCCACAGAGCAATAAGCTCCTGCAGGAATACATCCACGATAGCACAATACATACTCATAACCAATTATTGACATACCGATCGCAGATAAATACCAAAATAACAAAATCATCGTCACTCCTTCGCACTCGCGTTCCTCGTTCACGAGTCTACAGACGCGGGGCCGACGACCTCGCGTAATTCTCGCTCTTCGAGGAACTTGCGCGTGGCCTCTTCCCAGACGACGAGCGGCACCTTGACTTGCCCCGACGAGATCCCGAGCGACCTGATCTTCCAGTCGCGGAACTCGGCGAACGTGCCCTTCTTGAGAATGTGCACCGTCGGCACACCGAGCTTGCCCGTCCGGTTCTCATAGTCGTAGTTCGAGTTTGCGGCCTTGAGAGCCGCATGCACCCTCTCCGGTACGTGGCTCGCGTCGTCCGCTGGTGATGGGATCGCAAACATTCAGTAAGACGGGGGTTTGCGGTTTTAAGAGAGAGCAGCAGGCGCGGGCTTACGGAGGTTGTTCTGTGTTTCAACCCAATAACCATACCGAGCTCGGGTAGCGCGGTAGTCGCCCATAACGCAGAACTCGGCGACTGTGCCCAGATCCTTGGACACGGTCATGATAGCGCCAGTCAGCTCGCTCTCCGTCGTGATCTCACTAGCGAGACGGATACATGAGCTGCAAGAAGGCGATGAGACATTTAGGTGAGCAAGCAAGGAGATCATTTGCTCACTTGCGACGCTGTAAGGAAGACGAGGAATTAGCGCTGATCGGTCAACCGCGCTGAGGCTAATTATAAGAGAGCTTACCTCGAGGTAGTGAATGATGGGCTGGCCATCTCGGGGATCGAAGCCCACGACTTCAACGACGTCGCCGAGGCGGTATCGCCAGAAACCGTCGCGGGTAGTCAGAATGACCTCATACTTCTTGCCAACCTGCACTTCCCACTACGAGCGCATTGGAGTCAGTAACATCAAAGGAACATGTGTATGAAGGTGTTTCTTACGGCAGACAAGAGCCCTTTCGCGTTCTCCGGCAGGTCAATATCGAGATACTCGATGATCTCATCCGTCCCGACAACCTTGTACAAGCTTGGGTCCTTGCTGTCGTACGCAAGCGCCAGGAACGCCTCGCTGCAGTTGATACCAAGCGTGCGCAGTTGAACGTCGGGACCCATATGATGTTTCATCTGAGAATGGTAACCCCCTATCAGAGCCCGCCACTTGCTATCAGCGCGAAAGACGGGCACGTACCTCGGGCAGCACACTGCTGAAAGGACCACTCGAGATGGCGACGACTATAGCGAGCTTAGGGAAAACACGCTTGAGCCATCCCGGCTGGGTGGTGTCGTTCCCGATTGTGCGCAGCTCTTGCGCGCGCTCAGGGTTTGCTGACCAGTATTGCTGCATTACGCCAGTCAGTGACTGCTCCGTGTCGAGGAAAGGGCGCATAGGCAGACGTACCATGAGATTGTCCTTGACATGTGCGATGCCATCCATGTCGGGGAGTGTGCCCTTCTCGATGCAGTCCACCACTTCGTCGAAGCGCTCAATGAGAGCGGTATAAAAGTCACGGAAGAGAGTCGAGAACATCGTGTTGATGAGCTCGGTGTTGCGCTCAGCCAGCGCGAACAGGCCGTGAATGAACATGAAGGACTTGTAGTTGGGGATAAACGATGCACCAAGCGGCGCAGTGTTGACGGGCACTAGACAGATAAGATACGTGATGAGTCTATGGCAATCTGATCATCGCATCCCCATTCTTACCTTTCATCTTCTGGTAGAACGCGTCTCTCGGCTGATCCTAGGCCCGAGAATCAGATCGATGCGCATACATTGACGTGAGTGGCGGCGTACCATTCCAGTGTGCATGCGAATGGTGCCCGAAGACATCAAGCACACCGTGATATGCTTCGCAACCTCCCCGTTCTCGTCCAGCGGCTTCACGACATCCATGTACCCAAGCGAGTAAACGACGCAGTTCTTACCTCCCGTCTTGCTGGTCGGGTTCGACGCGGCCATCGTCTGCGCTGTCGACGTCGACATGTGCTTCGGGTGCTGGTACTTGGGGAAATGCTTCGTCTTGCCGCCCGAGGTGCCAGACGAGTGCGCGATGAAATACGGCAGGCCGGGAGCCATCAGGTTCTCGACGTCGGCGACCTTGACGTCCTTCTGGAAGAATCGGTCGACGAACGGAAGGTAGTCGTTATATTCGGAGAGCTCGACGGTCTTGCTAAACAGATCGTCTACATCGTCGGGCACCTGTCCATCGAGAGCGTCGCGGAAGGCAGCCAGCGGCTCATACTCGTTGAAGAATATCGACTTGGAGTTCGTCGCGACCAGGTACGAGAGCACAGTGTGTGACCGCTTGCGGAGAGATTCCGCGAGCTCAGGGGTGAGCTCGGTAATGGGTGTCGGTGAGTCCTCGTAGTTGAGGACAGGGGGCACATAATCAAGTTCGCCAGAGGAGGCCATCGCAGAGGTCTAGGGATTAAAAGGTGGAAGGATGAGGAGGAAAGCGAGAGACTCCGCACATCAGGCGGGACGCTTAAGACGGTCGGCGTCTCTTGGCTGCTTCGGCCAAGAAGCTCCAAGAAGGTGATGGCCAGAACAACATTCTCGGTGTAACGTTTTGCAGGCACTGTGGAGGACTCACTGCCCGCGATTGGCAGATGAACTTGGCATCGCTAAGGCTTTCCCCAGAAATCGTGCCTGTGTCGTAGTGTTCTTGGCAAGTTAGGTAGATATAAGTATGAACCTCTCGAACTCTTGCCGAGCATCCTGTGGCATGAAGCTTTAGTAAACGTTATGTCATGGGCACAAGTTCGAGTTGCATTGGATAGAGAAAGAGACCTTGCAGTGAGCGCTCCTGCGGCGATATATACTTCGGATCCGCACTGGCAGTGGATATATGCGTCGGGATAACTTCTACTCTGAGATAGGCTGAGCTTCGATTCGAGTTTCGGAACGAACTCTTCCTTCCTAATCCACATACTCAGGCCCAGGGGTTGAAGTGTTTCGGCTTGGGGCGGCTTGGCAAAACCAGAGCACCTGCATCAGTATCGATCTCCGAGACGGGTCCGATCAGCGCATTGTAAACGCCTGTAATCGTGCATAGGCAATCGTATTGACGGAAAGTATCCAGAAAATCCTCCAGTACCGATCCAAGTCAAGGCGTTCAAGAGACAACTGCCAGAGTTCTTCGTGACGGCGGACTTAGAAGCCCAAGGCTTCCTCACCGGCGGGATCGCAAAGGAGCCAGCCCCCAGAGGTGTTAGAAGCCTGCAGAAGTCGTCCGATAGATCGATCGCGCTACTCGCATCCGGCGGGTTTGCGGCATTCGACATACATAGCTGCAGCGTCCAGGTGACCGACTCGAAACATCTTGGCCCTGCCTACAATCTTTTGCCTGCTGTGCCGCATGCATACAAGGAGAAGAAAAAACAAAGACCGACGCCGTACTCGGCATGTTGTTCTTGGCAGAGCTGGCGTAGAAATATCCGGCTCAGCGTTCAAGCGATCGCAACGTAGGCTATCAACGTTTCAACCGGAGTAAAAGGCTTAAGAATAAGACGAAGAGGATCCGTCTGGAGGTGATCATCAAGAGGAACAATTGAAAGGACAGACTTTGGCATGAAGAGGGCTGTCTGGAGGTGATCATCAAGAGCAACAATTGGAAGGAAAAACGTCGCGTCGCGTCAAGGCTTGAAGCAACGCGTTTGCCAAGTAACAAGTACAGTACACCGACGCCCCACGGGCCCGGGTTTAGCCGGAAATGCACCTGATCAGATGCTGATTGGCTACATGCACACACTTGTATGTTGCCGATCTTGGCGGTCGCGCACGACCTATGCAAGGCACGCTCACCACTACCTCGTTCCTGACCGGGATCGGTGACTGAAACAAGAAACATGTTGCTATGTAGATGCTAATTAAGGGCCGATGGTGATGCGACGTATGCAGCAGTGCTCACGCATGCGAAACCAAGCCTATAGCTAAATAATCTAGATAAACGTCATTTATCCAATATCAATGAACAAACCCGCCTCCGCCCTTCTCTTCTCCAGCCGTCTCGTGCAAAAGTGCGATAAATACCGCCGTGGCCAGATAGACGCCAACGCTCATGTACACCGGGAACGCCCGGTTGATAACGAGCAGAATGCCACCGAGAATCGGCGCGATCATTCCGCCACTGTTCAATGTCCGGGGTCAGCAGAGGCTATTGCACCACAATACGATCAAGAAACGTCGGACGTACATCCGTGAAAGCGCTGACGCGATGCCACACGCCGTGCCTCGTATTTTTGTGCCAAATAGCTCAGGCGTCCACCCGTACAACACGGCGTACATAGTCTAAGAGATTAGACCCGTCAGCCCCTTCGCCCGCAACACGATGGTAGGAAGATGGAGCACTTACGGTCGCACTGAGACTAATGGCAGCAGAGCTGACGCGCACTGCGAGCGGCGACGTAACCTGCGCAAACACCACGCAGAAGAACGCTGTTATAAGCGTCGACGACAGCAATGAGCCCCGTCGACCAAGCCGGGTTTCTACCATATACGCGCCTAGCTAGATGGCCGCCATAAGTGATTCAGCGCCATATCTCATTTTGAAGCAGATCGAAACCCGTACCAAAGCACCCGGCGTCCCACCAAGGGTGAAGATCACCACGTCCCACAACGTGTCTTCTAACGACTTTTCAGTCTCAACCTCCGGCCCACCAGCCGTCTCTAGCAATTTTGGTAGATATACGTTAAACATCGTATATGCTGACCAAAAAACGTCAGCATCTCTTCATGTACATCTTTCAGGGAACCAAGCATACCTAGCGACATGCAAAGCCACACCCCCCACATAAGCACAGTCGTGCGCAGCCACTCGGGCGCCAGCACCATCGCGATGCGATCGAGCCACGCAAGCAGCGGTCGGCGGATCCACCGCGGCAGCACGCCCGCATGCTTTTGGATCTCGTACGACACGATAGACGACGAACGCGCCCGTATCGACGGCCTCCCTGACATCCGCGACCGGGTTGGCCGTGGCCTCGCCGGCGGGGGGTCGTCATCGTCCACCTTGGGAGATGCAGACATGCCTTGGGGCGGTACCTCGGACACGGGCGTGACATAGGCGTGCGAGCCGAGCCCATTGGGCGACTCGCCCGTCGAGCTGTAGTCCTTCGCTGTGTCCCCGTTCCGCGGCACCTCGTGGCTACTCGACGGAGTCGAAGTTGTCGCATCGGCATCAAAGAGCGTCTCGACGTTACGAGAGTTGAGGAACGGTGCCCGCTCGCTCGCTTCGCCGCCCTCAGGGGTGCGAGGCGGGGAGGTTGACTGCCTGGGCCGGTCGTCGACATCTTCAAGGTCGAACTGCATCTCATCCCCATTGAAGCGGGAGATCAGCTGCAGCGACTCGAGAGCTTCCTGGTGTCGACCGGCATGAACGAGGTATCGTGGCGATTCGTGCAAACGGAAGAAGACTATTCGTGCCAGGAACATAACGAGCGTCTACAGATTATGACAATCAGCACCATGGTGATATGGGCAAAAACGTGGGCCATACGATGGTACCGAGCACGGCAAGCATATATTGCCAGCCCTTGTTGTCATGTGGAATATCGCATGCGGCGCCAGGCTTGCAGGAATATTGTGGGACAACGATGAGGCCGACAACTGCAGCAACGACTGATCCAAAGGAGAAAAATACGGACAGGGCGGTGACGAGGTATTGCTTGCCCTTGGGCATGTGCTCGAGGAGAAGCGTGCCATCAGTCGGCATAGACCCCTGTTTCAGTCAATCAGAAGAAACACCACGAGGATTACAATCGACGCTTACGCCAACGGCACTCCCAAGGAAAAAGAAGACGGCACATAGTGCGCGAAAGGACGAAACCCACGCAGCGAGGTAGCCAAACAAGGACGTAAAGAACAACGTCGCATTGAATGCTTTGCTTCGTCCCAGCATGTCAGAGCCTGCGAGAAAGAGTCGTCAGAAAAAAATAAGCGAGATCAAACACGTTGCTCACATGTGCCCCATCCCACCGCTCCAAACATCATCCCAGCGAACATGGACGATGAAAGTGTGCCGATGTACGCGTCGGACACTGAGACCAAACTGTGAAATGCAAAATCAAAGAAAGGGATAGAGGCGCACCGTTATAATGTTGTTGCACTCTTGGTAGGATAATTGCGACGGCTTGTATCCACATCTACGTCGGCAGTTAGCACTGGGAAGCGACATCAAGAGACGCGCGTACGTTATCCGCCAACCAGCCTAGTGGGGGAAGGTTAGTATATACAGGAAGGGTGGGGCTCGCATGCGAGGCGCTCATCGGGCTCGAGCGCAACATGGGGAACGGGGAACAGAGCATAGAATGTGGAGGGGATGTTGCGGGTGTGAGCCAAGCGCAGCTACTCAAACTCACCGAACCCGCAGAGTGAGAGCAACGTCCATTGATAGCTCCCTGGCACGCATATAGTCAGTCAGTAAAGCAAGTATGGAGAGTCAACAACGACGGTGCGCACCCATGCCTATCTTGTCAATGGTCCTGTCGAGCGGTGTCCGATCGTCGAGGTCGTCATAGACCTCGTCGCCTTGCTCTCCATCAGCCTCGACATCGTTGAAGTAACTCATCCTCCGATCGTCTTCCCAGAAACCAGATGCGCGGGGAGTGACTGACGCCATGGCGTCTTGAGGTAGGGTGCTATATAGAGAGCCAGAGTGACAGTAGTAGAATGCTACCCGTCCGGATAGAGCGGTCCTGGCACCTCCTAGCCTGGGTAGATCCCGAGCGGCGGTGCACCAAAGCGGGGGAGATGACAGACGCGTTTAGTAATCTCCTAGCTGACTCGCAATCCTATTGGTTCAAAACAAAGCGCCGCTTACCGGTGTAGTCACCGCCAGCCAAGATTACAGAGAACAGTTCGGACACACGGCGCGCGATACGAAGAATATTCCCTTTTGTCTCAGCATCTATTGCGGTAGGCCTCCAAGCGGGGTCTCCAAAACACACTTTTAGCAATGATTCGCACCACGCGAAATCACTGTGTGAGCACCCTCCTCTTCTATTCTGATCATGACTTGAACGTGATTTGTTTTATCTCACAGTGCCATAAGAACTCAGAGTGACGAGCCATCTCCTTCTACGAGTAGCTCCTATCCCAGCGTGGCAACGATGTGACCTCTGAAATTTTACATCCTACATAGTAATACTACACCAAAGCACGAGTCAGATACACAAAGCTATCTACCATACAGCCCGTATCTGCATATCTGCCACAAACACACGGATAGACGATACCAGTGGCCGTTTCACCTCCATCATTGTCGCGGATATAACAAGAATAGTGGTCCAATACATGTCCACCTGGAGAACATAGAAAAAGCCGGTGAGGAACCCACTTGCGCGAGCCCGGAGGCGTCTACAGCACAGAAGAAAAAAGCCTCTTATCGCAAGGTCCCCGTTTAACATCAGCCTCTAAACCTTCCACTGCCTCTCTCACCTGCACCACCATAAGTCGCCGGACCTGCGTTTCACCCTCACGCTAAAAGCGCAGCCACCTCGGCGGGCGTGTCGAACTTGCCGTACCGCCTATGCCGCACGGCAGGGTGCGGCATCGTGAAGATCACCGTCGCGACCTCCTCGAGCGCCCGCGTGTCCTCGAGAAACGCATCGATCCCGTGGCTCTGGTACGGCACCACCTCGATCACGAACTTCTCCTCCTTCCCCTCCTCGCCCGTGCCGGCGGTTTTCTGCTGCGCGGCGAGCCACTTGCGCCACTTCTCCGCTGCGTCCTTCCAGATCCACGGGCGGAGGTCCGTGAGCGTGACGCGCCGCAGCTGGGACCACGCCCCCACCCCCGGCACGCTGCGGCCGCGTCGGTCGAGCGGGATCGACTCGGCCAATCGTGTGGCAGCGAGGAGCGCGTCCGCAAAGTTGCGCACATCGTTGCCCGCGAGGGTGAGGGAGGACACCTGCGGGAAGCGGTACACGAACAGCTCCGCGGGCAGATGCGAGTCCGTCACTCCGCCGAGCACGAGCGTGCGCAGGAGAGGGAACTTGGGTCCTCCGCCCGGATTGCTGAACTGCGAGAGCATGTCGACGATCGGTGCCTCTGAATTCTGGTAGTTCTCTAAGAGAATGTGGAGGTGCCGGAGCTGGGGCGCGGATATGCCCCGGAAGAGGTACCAGTGATACCCATTCCACCCTTCGTACGTGTCCACGATCATCGTCTCCAGACTTGGCACCTCCACAGTTCGCAGCTGCGGGCTGCCCCATACCGACTCGAAATCAATGACAGGACCTGACAGTCGGAGGTACTCGAGCTGGGGAACAGTGGATAATAGACCGCGGAGCGTGTCCCAGTCCATGAGCGCCGGATAGTCTGTGAACACACTAGCACGAAGTGTCAACGACGACAAACCGAGCGCGCCAAAGTTCCAGTTGAAGTTACTGATGCACTCCAAGTCGAGTACCGCGAGCCTCGGTGCGCCAGTGAACATCTGCGACAACTGCGACGGGCCGTCCCAGCAGCACTCTGACGACATGTCCACATGCGTCAGCACGGGCAGCTCCATAGCGCTAATCTTGGTGGCAAGCGCCCGCGTCATCTTGCGCTGGTTGGCGTACAGCGACAGCCTGTGCCACCGCCCGATGGAAGCATAAATGGCGTCGATGTGCTGCAGAATGCCTCCAGGAGCGACAGAGCAGTCGTCACATCTTGAGGTGTTGACCTCAATGTGAAGAGGGCAATTCCCGGACCTGTCCACGTACGCTATGGTACGCTCGATGGATTGGTCGGGCATGATCCGGATGAAGTTCCACATGAGCGGTGCGCAGAGGACGACGGTCCGCCAGCGGCTGCATACATGCGACAAGACCTCCTCCCACCGGTACGCGAGAGGGCGAAGATGCACAGACAAGTCCTCGACGAGATACCGGTGTGATGTCTGTCCCCATTCGAAGATCGCCAGAAGGAGTTCATCAGGAAGCCTGTTCAGCGCACTGTCGAGCGAAGCCCCCGTGCTTTCAGCACCGTCGCACACTGGCGGGGTCTCGAGAAGAGCTTTGTGCATGCTCAAAGGGAGTCCTCCCATACTGTAGAGTACAAGGCAAGCATGAGCGAGTCGCGAGCTATCTCCAAAGTATTTGTTGCTGACCGATTCGTCGCTTGCTTTAGGGCTATAATGCACAGTCACAGTCACTAAAACAAATAGACAACGAGGTCAAGCGCGAGACTGACTGGACACAACAGCCTGGGTCCGAGGAAAGCGAGTTCTCGTTGGTGGGAGCGTCGACGTATCCACCGAGCGTCTGACTATAGCCCGGCTCTCAGCGGCCGCTGGCGATGAAGTCTAACCTCGAACGTCCAATAGAGGTCGTGATCGTGATGCGTTCCGTCTATTGAGAGGAGTTACGAAGGAGTGGTTAAGGTTTGACGTGTTGGGCCTCCGAAGGCCGCGGATTGACGTCACGGACGCAATATTATTGCAGAGCAGTGCCGGTGAGAGAGATGAGGCGAAGTTCTCGTCAAACGATCGAGGTGTCTTTGCAGCTCTCGGTAAGATATGCGTACCCAGAGGTGCTGTCCCATGTAAGTCATATATGTGGGCTGAGGGAGCTTATCTGATGCTCCGTCCGCCTCAAGGCAGTAGAACGTACGGATCTTCGTATATCCTTCGGTCTTATGCGGCGTCGACGTTGACGTCGTCCGAAGGCTGCGATGTCTGAGAACGGATAAGTTATAGCCAAATGTCATGCTCGGTATCGTTTTAAGGCTCTCGGCAAGCCCACCGTGGTCCAGACTCAGCTCTATGCGCTATCTTCTCGACGAAGGGCAAATAGAAGAACATTCTAGCCGAGGATGTGCGGTATACCAGCACGTACAACTAATATCCGTACCTGTTGTTTCGCTATGACTTCGTTACATCGACAAAGCCAACCATCAACGTTCAACGGCGGCCCCTTCTACGCCACTGTGCTCCAGGTGATTCTGCCTCGTCATCCTTATCGGGTTCCATAGTGAGGAGGTCGTCGATGCGATCATCTAGTTCATCAGGGAACTTGTATCCCTCAGCTGGCATTGACTCGACACCGACCTCCTGCTCGTGATGGACCCGTGCTCGTTTCCCCAGCTTCCTCCAACGCCAACGTTGGATGTTACGCTTAAGCCACTCATCTTGTTGCTCCGTAAAGAATGAATCGCACTCGCAGATACGGATCGCTTCCAAAGGAAGGATCGGCTCGTCGCTCAAATCGATATAGTCATCTTCAAGCGCGTCCTCCCACCAGCTTTCAGAATGTGACCGCAACGCAGCCTGTGCCCTCGACTCGATGGCCTGCCGAAAGGCGGTTCCCGTGAATCGGCACCTTGAGCCATAGATATTGAAGTCTTCCACTTGACCGCCGATAAACCGCCCCCTATCTTCAGGATCCGGTACTTCCTTTCCAAAGGTCTCAAGGAACTTGTCGTTGAAGCCGGGACAGTCCACAATAGAAACCTCCTTCGCGTTACTATGATACATAGCATTTGCCAAGCTCCGGTGATCAGTGATGTTTTGGAAGGTGAGGCGGTAGCTCCGCAAGAGGTCGAGTGGTTCTGGGAAGGAGCAATTGCTGAAATGCACTGTCTCTGTGTCGTCCATAACCTTTGCTAAAGCATTGAAAGCTTCGCCTGCGATGTCATCTACTGTTAATTCGCTGACCGAGATGTGGTGATCTTTGCCGAAGGTGAGGTCGGGATGGAAGGTGATGCCTCTCAGTGAAAGCATGGCCAGCCGCCGTATCTTTTGAAGAATATGGATGAGATCGCCAACGAGGATGCCCTCGTGAGAGTTTGATTTTGAGGGCTGATAAGGGCCCACAGCCAGTCGGCAATGACCATCATCGCGTTCGCGCGGAAACCAGTCGAACCCTTGCTTTCCGGCATCTACAAAACTCTTCGCGTCGAGCTCCAGATATTCCAATCTGGGGCTAACGATATCACGAAGGTCGACAGCGTCCTCTGTAGTGTCTGTGACAGTAGAGCTGAGTGATAGAATATGAAGGTAAGGAAGGTCTCCTCTTATGTGAGCCAACGCTTCCACTATGGATGATCTGAATTTGATGTCGATTCGGATGGTTCGGCAACGATGGAGGTGAGGACGCAGATGCGACATAATGAGCCTCACTCGCGCCCTCTCGTGGATGTCGTCAGGGTGAGGCCCATCGTGATGCCGCCGACGCGTAATACGCATGTCGATTAGTCTATCACGCGACCAGGCGAAACATTCAGGGGCGAATGTTTCAGGCGTGAGGACCTCGTCTACGAAGACAACCACTCTTGTCCAGAAAGCAGGTTCCATGGAAAGGGCACTTCGCCAATTGCTGCAGACAGCGGAGAAGGAGTACGGAAAGAAACCGGGTGATGTTGGGGACTCCTTCTCCCATTTCCAGTGCCTCCCATTTCTGCAGTCTGTGGCAGTGAAGGGAATCCTGTACGATTGGCGTCTCTTTCGATGCTCGTTGAAGAGATTCTCAAAAATTTGGAGTAGGATTTCATACGGAAGGGCCTTTGACGGTTTGAAAGAGTTTATCTTTCCATTGCCTTGGTACTCCGTCTGGGATGAACCGGAAAGACCGTCGGAAGGCGCTTGAAAATAATGTGCTTGAGGTTCCTGTATATTCGTCACGGTGAATGATCGTCATACGCGTAATTTCGGTGGGCGACAGCTCTAAGCAGACAACCAAACGCACCATTACGATCAATTTTGCCATACAGAAGGGGCGGTTACTACCTCACGGCTACTGACGTGTGCCATCAAGCAATGGACGGATGTCGACGTTGAAGGGACGAGAAAATAGGTGCGTACTCGGAGGTGCGCGCGTGCCCCAAGCTCGTGTCCAACGCGTCGCGCCTCAAGCACAGCCACAGCAGGGCCACTTCCACCCTTCCACGTCCACTGGGTTAACGTTAACGTCCGCCGAGACTCCACTGCAACTTCAATGGCCACAAAAGCAGGATTATCATAAGCTCTAAGCAGTACTTGTATGTGATAGAGCGTGCCAAAAGTCACGTCAGAATAAGCGGCCAGAATAACTGCATGATGAATATTCTAACTACTGTAGTAGATGATGGTCTTGCTCTAACCAACGCACCTCCTGGGACACATATATACACTATCATTTGACTCCGTAGCCCAATCTGGCTCCACAGCTACCAGCTCGTTGATGTGATCGTCCAGCTCGTCTGGGAACTTGTACTCGTCGACCCCAGCTAACTCGGCATCGGCTTCTTGGGATGTAGACGTCGCATCATGCTGGTCACCTAGTCCACTCCACGAAAAGTACTCCAAGTTAGACTTGTACCACTTCTCTTGGCTCTCTGTGAAAGCGGTATCGCAATTCCAAATGTCAACGCTCCTTAAAGGATATATCGGCTCGTCCTCCATATCAATCGGACCACCCTTATCATATGCATCTTTCCACCAGGCTTCGGGACGAGACCGAAAAGCAGTCTGCTTCCTTGACTCTATGGCATGCTGGAGAGAGGTCGAAGTAAAGTGGCATGTCGAGCCAGTAACGGTCAGTCTCTTCAGATGTCCGCTCGTAAAGTGTCCTCCGCCGTTGTCCGGTACTATGCCCCCAAAGGCTTCAAGGAAACGGTCGTCGAAGCCCAGACAGTCTTTGATGGTAATATCCATCGCTTGACAGTATTCCATGGCATTAAGCAGACCTCCAGTAGTAGTGAAATTTTCAAATGTAACGTTGAACGGTCCCGAGGACAGCCACCGGACCGGGCTCGAGAAAGAGCAGTTCTTCAGATGGGCGTTTTCAGTGTTTGAGAATTTTAACAGAGCGTTAACGGCATCAAATGGGATGTCGTCCATTTCTAGTGTGTCGCCGAATATGTCAAACTCATAATTTGTTGTTGAAGGTAAGGTGAAGTCGGGACGGAAGACAATGCTCCGTAATGAAAGCGAGTCGATGTTCTGAATGTTCGCAAGGCAACGAATGAGGTCCACAGCAAGAACGCCATGCTGAGGATCCAAAGGCCGATACGGGCATAAAGTGAGGTAGCGGTATCTGCGGCTGCCTTCTTCGGGGGACCAGTCAAACCCGCGACGCCCCGAGTCAATAAGACTCTTCGCGTCGATGTGCAGATAAGTCAAATTAAGACAGACGAGATCTTGAAGACCGTCCGCATCCTCCACGGTATCGGCGACCTCAGAGCAAAGCGCAAGGATACGAAGACGAGGAGCGTCTCCCTTTAGGTGGCTGAGCGCCGCTACTATGGACGATCTGCACTTTGCGTCAATGCGAATGGTACGACAGCGGTGGAGGTGAGGATGCAGATGCGTCATTATGTATTCCACACGGTCCTTCTCGTGAGCATCGTCCGGATAAATATTTCTGTCGTAGAAGCGCCGACGCGTGATGCGCACGTCGATAATCTCGTCGCGCGACCAAGCGAAGAACAGTGGGGAGAACGTTGCAGGAGTCAAAGGCTCGTCGACAAAGATCACGATCCTCGTCCAATAGGCAGCCTCCATAGAGAGGGCACATTGCCAGCTGTGGGAGACGGCGGCGCAAGACAAGGGGAAAAGAGCAGCCGATGGTGGCTCCATTTGCCACTTCCACCACCTCGAGTCTTTGGGGTTTGTCGCCGCCTCCCTCCGTTCCACTTCCTCAGGCGGTGGGGAGTCTAAGATCGTACGCAGAGGGCGGCGCTTCTCTCGTAGTTGAGGAAACAGATATTCGAAGATTTCGTGCAGAACTTCACGGGGGAGTGGAGCAGATGGGCGACCAACTAGTGTGCCACTGCCACCTATTCCGTGCTGGTCACGCCGGAACTCTGTCGAGCGTACGTTACCATGTTTTTGAACCTGATGATGGTAACAAAGACGAAGAAGGCAAACGTCAGTGGGACTAGAGATCAGGGAACTGGACGACGCACCATACAGTCCTCCTGCGTGTATGTTCAACAACCTTTTGACCCTCCGTAGACGCGTACCGCTGCTATCTTGCCGTTCAGAACCACAAGCAGAGACAACAGATACGTCTAGGAAATGAGACTTGGTGGCTGGTCGAGGTCACTGCTCAAGGTGTCGTCGCGTCGTGAGCAACAGCCTCGGTCGCGCGTCGCGTAAACTCTCGGAATCGGCATTGCTTCATTTCCGAACATAACTCACTTTCTTTATCATAATATTGAGAAATGCTTGTAGCAGTGCTCGCTTTCCGGCAACTAATAAACTCTTCGCGTCGAGCTCCAGATAATCCAATCCAGTGCCAACGATAGTGTGAAGGCGACAGCATCTTCTGTACTGTCGGTGACAGTAGAACTGAGTGATATAATATGATATAAAACATGTCTCCTCTTATGTGGTGCTCGCCAAGTTCACGTTAAAGCGTCGTTACAGTAAGCACAACCACCTCAGCCCTGCAACGAATGCAGACTGATAAAATACAGTATACCAAGCAGAGAATGTCACTCAGACCTTTAACAGAAACTCTTCCGCTCTCTCCCACTGTTTCAACGGATCCTCTGCCTCAGTAACCGCCCGCCGAGCCCGTATAACCTTCTCCTTGCGGCGTTCGAGTGCCGCCGGACTGCGTTCATCCTCGCCTGCGTGGAGAAGCGGGTCCGCGGTGTAAAAGCCAAACATCAGCCCGGTCTCCATGCTCTTATCCGCGACGCGCTCCGCATTCGGCTTGCAGATCCCCTCAAAAATCTTGAGCGCACGAGGGACATCCGCGAGCGTTGTGCGCGGGTGTGCGAGCAGGCGCCCGAGGAGCCAGGCGTCCTCGATGGCTTGGCCTGCGCCCGCGCCGAGGTGGAATGTCGCTGCGTGAGCCTAGAGATTTTATTTGTTTAGCTAGATTCAAAAAGTTATAGTGTGGAGAAGAGGAAGAAGACACACAGCGTCACCCATGATCGCTACGTGCCCACGCGTCCAGAAGGGCAACTTGGCCATGACGTGGACTGCCCATCCACTTGGCTTCTCGCATAGATCGATGCACGCGCGTGCGAGGGGCTCGAAATCGCAGAAAAGGTCGGATAGCTCCTCTTTGGGCACGTCCTCAACCCAGTGCCGGTCCAGCCCCGGAAAGTCCGTCCCTACGAGGGCTGAGTGGTAAACAACACCAGCAAAGTTGAGCATCGCCCCGTTATTGATGGTATACCCGACTAGGTTTTTACCCTTTCCGCAAAACTGGAGCAACAGGACCGACCGTGAGCTCTGTGCTGCATACGGGGTAATACGAGTGCTCGAAAAGGACGTACAAGGCACAGTGCATCCCTGACTGGATGGTCCGGGCAGCGCGCCAGTAGCTTATCCATCGGTATAATCTCCCGATAGACCGAGTACCCCGAGTACCTCGTATCAGTGTACCTGGATAACTGCGAGCGATCAAACAGCGCAGGCTCAACCTTCGCTGCCGTCTCGAACATGCAGCGTCGCGTCTTCGAGCGCAGACCGTCAGCTCCGACGAGCACGTCGGTCATCGCGGTCGTACCGTCGGCGAAGTAGATCGTGATCTCTCCACTCTCTGATTCTGTGTAGGTCTCGATACGCTTCTGTAGATGGATGTTGCAGTCCCTGGACAGCCGGCTCTGTACCACACGGACAAAGTCCATGCGATGCATGCTTGCCGGGGTGCTGTCTATTCGCGCCTTCAAGACACCAAGATCATCGCTCAGAAAAGCACCATGCTCACCAGCGTCATGCTCCCCAAACCACTCATATCCCCCCTCCTTGATATCGGAGATACGGAAGACGGGGCTCGGTGTGTCTCGTTCTGGTGGGAAGGTGGTGATCGCCAGAATATCGTCGTGGATGCCCAGCGCCTTCGCAATGTTCAGCATGCGCGGACGGAAAGAGATGCTCGCGCCGGCGGTGGTCACTGTGTCATGGGCTTCGTAGATATCGAGTTTGATGTCGGACGAGAACTTCCCGATAACTGCAGCGAGGACGAGGCCGCCGACGCCAGCACCGCTAAAGGTGATCAGTTTCAGTGCGAATTCGACCTCATACAAGGCATAAAACAAAGCTTAGGGCTTACCAAATGGCAACGCGAAACTTGGGTTGAGTGTCGGTCATGGGATGAGTGAGATGGACTATACTTAGTTTATGCAGCTGATGTTAGTATCAATCAACCATTCCCTCTCTGTCCTCGATCTTTACGATGGACTGCACGAACACGATCCCCAGCATGTCGAGAGAATTCATCGACTCAAGAAGAAGGGATGTGTGGGCATGAGTTAGTGGCCGATGGATGCCCTTGGCTTGCTTGCGAAGTTACTAGTGTGAAGAACCGTGCATCGAGGAGACGGAGTAAAGTTAGGGGCAGAACGGACCATTTACGGGATCGTGGGAGTTTCTACCCACGTTAAGCGATCCTCGTCATCAACCGCCCCTCTTCTCTTGTGCGCCATCGCATGGACAAGGCTCCTATACGCCAGCGTTCTGTGCATTCTATTTCACCAATCTGACATTTACCTGGTTGCTTCGGATTTATACTCAAGTTGCACACCCTACTCGACTACCGGTGGACGCTGGTTGACGTTTCTTACGGGCAAAGTGATATCGTACACCAACCGTCTCAAGCCTGTACCAACATCTCCTCAGCCCTCTCCCACTGTTGTATCGGGTCCTCAATCTCATCTATCGCGATCCTGTTAGCCTCCCCTTTCTCCCAACGCAGCCTCAGCGCTTCCGGACTACGCTCGCTCTCGCAGTCTGGCCCCGCGAGCGGGTCGTCCCCTGGTGCGCAGAAGTTGAACAGCTTCCCGTTGTGGACGCTCGCCTCCGCCAGGCGCTCCGCATATGGCTTGCAGATCTCCTCAAATATCTTGAGCGCGCGCGGGACGTCAGCGGGTGTCGCGATGTGTGGATGCGCGAGCAGCCGACCGAGCAGCCAGGCGTCGTCAATCGCTTGGCCGGCGCCGGCGCCGAGGTGCGGAGTAGTTGCGTGGGCCTATGCGCAAGCATGGGTGTCAGGGATATGCATAGTGAGTGAAATAAATGAAATGAAGATCTACCGCATCACCGAGAATCACGACGTGCCCGCGCGTCCAGAAGGGAAGCGGGCCCACGACGTGGACTGCCCACCTACTCGGCTTCTCGCACAGTTCGACTAGGGACCGCGCGAGCGGCTCGAAGTGCGAGAACTTGTCGAGCACGTCTTCTTTCGATGTGTCCCCGACCCACCGCTCGCCTGGATAGGGTGTGTCCTCCAGTTCGGGGTCGAACGTGTTGGCAACTAGGTTCAGGACTGCGCCGCCTTTGATCCCGTATACGACAACGGCCCTACGTTTACCGGCCATCTAGAAATGTGTGGAACTCAGATCAGGAGTTGTGCTCACAAAAGTCAGAGGTGACGCACCATGCACATGGCAGTTTTGGCCGGATGATCAGGGTAGCGCGCAAGCACTTTTTCCATGGGTATAAGTTCTCGATTCATCGAGAATCCAGACCACCTTGCGTCGGTGTACTTGGAAAGTTGCGAGACATCAAACAGAGGCGGCTCGACCTTTGCCGCCGTCTCGAACATGGTGCGCCTCGTGTGCGAGCGCAATCCGTCAGCACCAACAAGCACATCAGCCGTCACGCTTGTTCCGTCTTCGAAGTGCATCGTGATTTCTCCATTGTCAGACTCATTGTAAGTCCTCAGGCGCTTTGAGAGGTGAATCTCGCAATACTCGGGAAGATGAGCCTGGATTACACGGACAAAATCCATGCGATGCATACTAGCTCGTCCGATTCCTGCAGAGATGGCCCTATGGTAAGCTATTTGCATCTTGCTGCTGACGAACATATGGAGCCTCACCTTGATGACTCGAACTCTCGGAGAACCACTCAAACCCACCCTCCTTTATGTCCGAGATACGGCTGACAAAACCCGGAGCTGTCCTCTCCGAGTCCAACGGAAAAGTAACGACGGCAGCAATTTCGTCGTAGATGCCCAACTGCTTGGCGATGTTAAGCGTGCGTTGGCGGAAGGAGATGCCCGCGCCGGCGGTGGCAACGGCATCGTGGGCCTCGTAGATGTCGAGTGCGATGTCTGAGGAGAACTTGCCAATCACCACGGCGAGAAGGAGCCCGCCGATACCTGCGCCGCTGGAAAGACGATTTAGTATTGCAAGATGCCTAACAGTCAAACAAGATAGGCTGATCCTTACCAGATGGCGACGCGAAGTCTTGGTTGAGTACTAGACATGTCTGTGGTAGGTGTGGATTAGTATGTAGATTGGGCTTGGAAGCTTTCGATGTTATTGGTGGTGCTCAAATCAAAGAGGCTCGAGAGTTCCTTTATACCAGCATAGAGCCCATTAATGGCATATGCCAAAGCACGCTGACCATCACAGAATCACCGACGTCCCGTTGTTTCTCTCGATCAATTTCGAGAAGCCGCACTGAGGGCTGGACATACCATACATGTCAATGATAGTTGCTTGTGCGTCATATGGGCTGTGTCATCGACGATGCGGCCCGATGCTTTTAGTGGCTTTCAGTGACGCGTGTGCCCGATTCTTGCGATGTCGGACGGATGCTTACTAGGAGGCACCAACTCCTGTGGGTGTTATGTAGTATCAGCTAGAAGGTGATGTAGCGCATTTATGGTGGCTCTGATGGTCGACGAAGCACGGCGAGATGAGATGAAGGAGGGGCACACATGTCATGCATATTAATGCATACAGTGATACACTGCGATGAGCTCTCGATGAGCTGGCTATAAGTAGGGCCGAAAAAGTTCCGTCCAAAAAGGAGGAGCTAGTTCGAGACTAACACTACGATAAATGTTAGTCGCATCGTAGTATGATCGTTGTTGCCAACGGTTTCGGGACGTCATAGTGTGTGCCTAATCCTAGACCTGTGGCATGGATGTGATGGATACTGGCGCGCTAGCAATGTTAACAGTCAACTAGAGCTAGAGGACTGAGAAAGAAGGTGAGGGGTTCGATTATTGTGCGGCTCTGGTCAGTGAACCAGTGAAGCACGTCAACAAACGAATTCGAAGATGGCCGCGCGCGTCGACGCCTCAGCAACGCTGACTACATGCGACGCGAATAGGCGTGGCGTAACGATACTCTGCAGGCGTTAGCCGAGCGCGCGCTCGATCGACCGCTCCCAGCACGCTTCCAGGGGAACGCGTCGGACTCACGATGGCAGGCAACCAACACGGGCGCCCACGACGTCTTTGGCCCTCTTCTCTCAGCTCTAGAGACTTGCTGAGCATCCCTCACGCATAACAAGGATGAAGGTCGCAGTCGTCGGTTCTGGTGTCTCTGGTCTTGCGGCTACTTGGGTTCGTGCACATCAGTTTATATCCAATCGCCCACTCACCGTTGAGTAGGCTTTGAATGAGCATAGCGACCATGAGGTCCACCTTTACGAGTCTGACTCTCGCACGGGTGGACATGCAAATACGTACCAATTCATGCCTCAGGACGTCAAGTCACCCAAGAAAGTGGACGTCGACACGTACGTACAAACCCATCCCAGTGTTCGATCCGTGACATGCTAACGCGACAAGTGATCCAACAGCGGCTTCGTACGCGTACTTCGTATCTTACCATGCGCATATACTCACCATGTGCATCCAGATCGTTTTCAATCCATCCACATACCCCAATTTCATCAACTTCCTCAACCTCCACCCCGACATCACCATCCTTCCCACCGAGATGACCTTCTCTGTGTCACGAGACAACGGCTTGTTTGAGTGGGCCGGTAATAATCTCTCTACTGTCTTCTGCCAGCCGTATCGCCTTCTTGACCCAAACATGTGGCGGCTCGTGTATGACGTCCTGCGCTTTAACGCTTGTTCGCGGAGGGCTATCACTCGTGGAGCTAGTGGCCAGGAGCTATCTATAGGAGAATACCTCGAGAGAGAAGGATACTCAGATTCGTTTCGCGATAACTACCTTATAGTGGGTGCTTCTTCTCCGTTCGCGTGAGTGAGTGACTGTACTAATCTTCTCGAAGCCCATGACAGCCGCAATATGGAGCACGCCACCGGACAAGTGCTCCCTAGACTTCCCTGCCGACACTTTGGTGTGTTCTATCATGAATTGCACAGAGTATATGCGCTAACACCGATCTAGATCCAATTCCTGAGCAACCACCACCTGCTCCAAGTCACGGGGAAGCCCTCCTGGCTCACGATCGACGGTGGAAGGTACCCTAATTTCCCCTCCTCCCCTTCCCCTTTCTCTGCGTGATAATAAAACACACTTACTTATTAACGCGGCAGCCGCAAGTACGTCGACGCAATCATCAGCAAGCTCCCTCCATCACAGCTGCACATCAACACGCCCGTTGTGGCGCTCAGCACACGCGGGAGCTCCGCTGAACCGGGACCAGTGGAGCTCAGGACTGCAGATGGGCGCACGGAGATATACGACCGCGTTATCCTGGCATGCCACTCGGACACGGCTCTGGCCATCCTCAATGCCGGCGAGGGTGTGACGTCCGAAGAGAAGAAGATCCTGGGCCGCTTCTCGTGGAACCGCAACGAGGTCGTGTTGCATTCCGATCCCAAGGTGCGTAGACAGATACCTGGCATCTCTGAGGCGATTTGCTGCTTTTTTGCGGCTGGATAGATCGATAGGAAGCTAATATGTGCATAGTTCATACCGCGCAGCCGCATTGCGCGGGCGTGCTGGAATTATTTGACCTTCTCTGAGGTGGACGAGAAGGGAATGCGCAAGACGAACGTCGACAAGGTGTCCCTGTGAGTGTTCTTCTTTGCCATCCTGATCCGTGTGTAAGCAGATAGCTCATGCCGTTGCTTCGCAGAACCTGTCAGCACCCCTTCTTTCTTCGCTTCCTCGGGCGCAAGCTTACTCATGAAACCGGCTTTTAGATGATATGAACGAACTGCAGCACATCTCGGAGAAAGATCACGGCCTCATCCTCGTTACACTTAATCCACCGTCGGAGCCCGACCCCGCACGAACGATCACCCGCGTCAAGTACGACCACCCCATCATCGACGCAAAGGTCCGTCCGTCAACGACATCTCTGCCCTTCCCTCCCTTTCTCCTTCTCTCCCCTTTCACAACCTACAACATGAACGCAGCCCTGACTATCTCCGTAGGCCGTCCTCTCCCAAACCGAGATCTCCACCATCCAGAACTCGCGCGGCATCGCCTACGCGGGCGCCTGGCTGCGCTACGGTTTCCACGAGGACGGCTTCCTGTCCGGGCTGCGCGCCGCGACCGAGCACGTCCCCGGCGCGCGCCTCCCGTTCGTGGTCCAGACGCCCGGCCGCAGACCGGACGAAGTGTTCGCTGCGTCCTTGTTCGACCTCTTCGAGGGCACGGGCCTGCGCGTAGTCGTCGGCACGGTGCTCGCGCTGGGGCTGAGGGTGCTGCAGGTGTTTGCGAGACCGTTCTGTTCAAAGATTGCGACCATGTAGAGCGAAATAATTGGATCGATTGCAAGAGGCTACTGTTTAGAGCTGCTAGATGGTATTCTATGGGAACTCAACAACGTGAATGAGATATACAGTGAGACTCGTCCGACGTTATTGCCAGACAAAAAACTATGAGCTAGGCGATACAGGCAGGTACAGCATATGCTACGAAAAGCAGTGACCGTAAACCTGGTAAGGAAAAATTTGAAGCAAATGAACAGATAACTGGATTGGAGGAAGGGGAAAATTGGAGTGGATGAGTATGCGAAATGCAAGAAATGCAAGTAACATGCGACGATGCAAAATGATTGATGGCATAGATGGATAGGGGAAAGCAAACGGTCTTTAAAAGCAAAAATCCTCTTCGACAATATAATTTGCCTCACGGCTTCTGGTCCGGGAGGTCAAAGGTCACCCTCCTGTCCTCGTCTTCTCCTGCCTCGTTCGGTGAGGTAGGCGCCGAGTAATACGACGGCGACGACGGCGACGTGGGAGACTGCTGCGCCTCAAGGAACGATGACTGCCGCGGCGTGCTCGTCCCGCTCCGGGGGTGGTCCATATCCGCAAAGCGCACAGACCGCGTTGGACTCGCCTCGCGCGAGCGGCCGACGAGCGGTGTCGCACCGTCCAGCCGGAGACTCTCGATGCGCCGGTGGCGTGCACTCAAGTTGCGGTGTGAGGAATCGGGCCGCAGGATTGTGGACCGGCCACGGCGGTCGTCGTCTTCTGCGCCTGCGGTCGATGGTCGGGTGCGGGACCCTTCGGCGACGTCTTCGTTGGATGGAGGCGAGACCATAAGGCGGTGCGCGTTGCCCGAAAACGATGGGCCGCCAACTGCGCCGGCGGTCGGCCGACGGCGCATGCGTTTGCCGATTCCGATTCCAATGGGCTTGCTCTTGCCCGAGCGCGATTTCTTGCGCGAAGGAGAGCCGGGTGAGCGGGGTCGAGGCGAGCTGTCGCTCGAAGCGACAGAGCTCGGGCGATCTTTCCCTCTGCCATTGCCACTGGCATCACCGTCGCTCTTGTCCGAGGCCCATCCATCGTCATCGTCTTGGACAACATCCTCACCTGGTACATGCGCATCGGGCATACCAAGCATCTCTGCAGCGCGATGCTCGAGCGCGACAGCGTCCTTCAGGACAGTATTCTCGACGTGTTCAAGCTCCTTGTGCCCATTATTCTGAGCATGTCGGAGGCGATCAAGGTAGGCGCGTGCACTTTGTTTGGCAGCACCCTCCTTAGTGCGGAACGCGTGGCGGACCTCCTCACCAGTTGAACAATACGCATTGCGCACCACTTCGACCTCGACCTACAAAATCATGAGCACCAGTCGCGACCAAGAACAAAAGATAAGACATACCTCTTCTCCGGGTCCACCAGGACGACGTTCGATGATCCTATCCGGACCTTCTTTCCACTCCGCCAATATCTCGTCCCCTTGTGGGAGGTTCTCCTCCTTCATCGCCTCCTCATCTTCCTTCTTCTCCAGCTCCGCCCTCGTCGCCTCACTTCCCTCCTCATTGATCGGTTCCTTCGCAATATCCTCGTTATCCTTGACGGGGCTTGGGGTGCTCGTGCTCGTGCTCGCGCGCTTAGAAGCTCGCTCCTCCCACGATGCCTTCTCATCGACCGACAGGCCCGCGTCTCCCCGTTCGGCTGCACCTACAGCGTCACCGTCGCGGTTGATCACAATATCCTCACCACGGGTAACATGACGAGTCTGTTGAGTCCAATCAGGTCCAGTGGCGTGGCGCGACCAGGTGCGCGAAGAGACAGAGTGGACACGTCGCCCGAGCGAGAAGCTTGGAATCGAGAGACCATGCACAGCAATACTGCAAAGCACCATGAACGCGACGATAGGTTGGATCGTGGCGGCAAGGAACTCCGTCTGATCCGCTGGTGGGTCAGAAGGTCGGGGTAGCATCATCGCAGCAAGTGTCGAGATGTACACGGCGCCTGAATAGAGCTTATTAGTCAATGTGAGATGAGCATACACATATGGAACGTACCAATTCCCATGGGTCCAAAATGCCCACTAAACACGGCTTCGCGGAACGTCTTAATGTCCGGTATGAACTTGTACATAGCAATTATGATTGGCAACCTCTTGAGAAGGAGAACCAAAATGCCGATCACAATGAGCCGCCAGACGCTGAGAGTGAGCGTCTCATTCGTAAAGTCGTTAAAGGGCATCCATGCACCGACGTATACAAACGCGGCAACGTTAAACAGCAAATCAATGACGGAACTGAACACGGATTCCTCGGTCTGTCGGTTGAAGAAACCGTCCCATGCGAACGCGGTGCCGCACGAAAACGCCGCAAGAAGGTCGTCGGAGCCAAGCATCGTCATGATCCCAATCGTGAGCATAGCCAGAGACAGGTACTGGGCGACGTATGATTGACGATCGATGAGGTCATTGCGTTCGCAGAACTTCATGAGATGCCTGAAGGCAAAGCCCAGAACTGCACCAAACACCACAGCGAAGACGATCTCGTCTAACAAACATCAGTGCATGCGCTTGGCGGAAGTGGAAAGTAGTACGTACAAAGCCACAAGGTCAGAAACCAGTCTTCAACCGCACGCCCAGTAGAGGTGTCGATTATGAGATATATCGCAATGTACAAGAACGGATAGGCAGCGCCGTCATTGCATCCGCTCTCTGCTGCCAATAAGTATCTGATATGTGCAGGGACGTGTTTATCAGCATACTTCCCGCCGACGACGGCAGCAGCGAGAATAGGATCTGTGGGCGTAAGGCATGCCGCTACTGCCAAGCTCGACAGAAAATTGAGGCCGGGTATCAATGCATATATCAAGCCGGCCGAGACGAACCACCCCTTTATGCAGAATCGGCATGGTCAGTCACGCGATTCAGGTACGAGATTGCAAGTACTCACGTAGGTCATGACTGGTCCCAGGAGGAAGAATAGACTCTTCCAGTGTTTCTTCATGTAGGCCTTGGGCAACTCGACGCCGATGGCGAACACACCAATAGCAAGAACGACACGAGTAACCTCGAGCGTGATCTGATTGGTAGTCTCCGGATTGTTACCGCCCCATCCTCGGGGGTCAAATATTCCAGCACCATAAGGGCCTATGCCAAGAAGCGTTAGTCGGGAAAGTCCGACCGTTGAGCTCCACAAATATCACAGGAAGCTCACCGATTATCACCCCAAAAAGAAACGCCCAACAGGCCTCGCCAATGTACAACTAGCAGACACAAGACGATGATGAGCAGAGGAAGGGAGAACAGGGATGTGTTGGTGCTCACCTTCTCCCTTATGAATAGGGAGAACATGCCAAACTGAGCATTCGGACGTCAGGCCGGAGTTCCGGTGCCGCGAGTGAGCGAATAAACGTACGATGACGACGAAGCCTCCCAGACAGGCATAGGCAATGTGTGGAATAGTAATATCGAGCTAGAAGTCGGTGAGGGATGGTCAGTTCGGTTCCGAACTGGAAAGCTCCAGGCCAAGAACTTACTGGTCGAAACAGCATGGTGTCATATGATTGCTCCTGGATCGTCTAAAGTGGCTCTTGAGATGCGTAAAGCGGTCGTCAAAGTAGTGGAGTACGTGAAACGAGCGCCTGCAAAAAGGGCAGTAAGGAAACTGCAAGGTAGAGGAGAAGCAGAAAGGAGGAAGAGGTGGGGAACAACGACAGGGCTTGACCATGTCGCGGCAATGTAATCCAAGCCAGGCACCGTAGAAACGGTAAGCATATTTGCTTATGTCAGCGACAAAGGCAGTGCTTATCTCCCTAACTTACCCTAACCTCCTACTGTAAGCCCTCGTCCTTGTCAACGTCCCACCGTGTTGGACTCGCTGTATGCACGACTGAACCTTGCAGCTGTGCAGGACAAGACGTGTACAAACGTTCGCCACAAAACCCGCAGGTCTTCTGCTTTATGGGAGACCCGCCGTGACGGGGTGTGTGGTCCCCGCGGCACATCTAGATCTCAGGATTCAGACAGCCCGTCGGTGATGCCGAGATGACATGACCTACCGTAAGTTGAACGCGGGCCCACGAAAGCCCACGACCTCTCCGTTTCCCTGGCTCCTCTTTCCTTCCTCTTCACACCGTATAACTTAGTCGCACGTGCAGAGCTCGCGACGCTGCCCAGACTGCTGCCCTACACGGTCATCAATGTGCACAGATACTCAGTTTGAAGAGAGCGCCGACACACCTTTGGGTATTTTGGGCAGACAAAATGATCGGTTAGAAGCCGTCTTGGCTCACCCCGCGTCCCCGGATATCGCTCCGGACCCATAGCCGCCCGCCGCTCTATGTTCGCAACCTTAACTCAACCTGAACGGTACCCATGGAACCACAGTGAGTATTTATGCCTTTCGCAAAGGTGAGCATCACAGCACACAGGATTCGATATTATGACTTACTGCCTAAGTTAAAGTCGGCGCCCGCGAGTTCCGACGTTGATACTGCAATACATGCGCCATGACTAGACGTCCGGTGGGCACTTCATATCATACGTTATATGCGTTATTGACGCCTCATGTTACAACGCCGTTGCCCAGCACTTCCCGATAAGCAGGTGACCTGCGCTGGTTTTCTCATGTGCCTGGGCTGAATCTGCAACGAGCAAAGCCACAGTGTCTCGATCGAATCCCTACCACATCATATGCCGTCTCCGGCGCAGGCAGAACATGCCAGGCATACCATGAGGCGAGCATGTGAAGGTACGATGTATGCAAAGCTGGCTAAAGGATACATATATGTCCTAGCGCCATGATATCTATGCGGTTTTAGTGCTGCTGAGTCCGGTGTCTGAACTTCAGCGTCCTCTCTGTGATCAGCCGGTAAAACATGCGTCCACACATCCTTGTTCTCTAAGGCTACTTTGATTGGGAAGAGGACGACGGCCATCAACCATTATTGCCAAAGCATATCTGACAAACTCGCGTCCAGAGCGTACGAGCTTGTCGGACCAAGGGCATTTTGCAATCTGCAGAATGAAAACACCACGGACCGTTTGCCGGGCAACAGGGTGTTGCTAAGTGGGGAAGTATGGGCGTCCTCGACACCAATCTATATGTCTGCCACCATCTTTGGTGCCTGGTCTGAAACTTTGACTTGTTTAGCTTGTCCGAAGCGGTCGGGCGTCCGACACTGGTCAATGGTCTTTCATCAACGTTCCATTTGAGAAAAGGTTTTGGGCTAGATGTATGTCTATCAATCAGACCTCCACCAGGCCGGCGGTGAGTTTCTAATCTAATCGTTGCAACGTCCCCCTTCTCCAATATCAATTACCCACTTTCACTTAAACCATTCACGGACATCTGAGGTCCTGCCGTTTTCTCAACACTGCGTATGTCGCGACTTCGCTCGCTTCTCAGTTCACACTATCCAACGACCGTTCTGAGCCATATCGTGGGGATGGGTATGCGTTCATGCCAGGTTACGTCACCGGACTAGATATTTCTCAGAACTGATCGACTGCGACGAATCTTCAGTGGCCAGAACTTCAAGACGCGATACATTGCTTTTGAGCGGCGTTGTGGAAGGATACATCAAGACATTTAAAAATACACACGACCCACTTTCGACTTCACAATCTCGAACGCAGCCTGTATGTCGGTGCGGGACCGCGATTGAGATAATAGCAACGCTTGACAGCGCGTGAGGCCCACTCACGGGTCGAATTGCAGGTTGTCAGAGCACGATTTGAACTCTTCCAGCGTCTTCGTGAGCTGATCGATTTTCCACTGCACACCTTCCACCACACCCGGGCCGAGCGGGAGGCGCACGAACGGTCGGCCCAGGTTGATGACATCATACATCGCTCTCACGCCCTTTCTGGGGTCCGCGTAAGTCTCTTTCATTTCGTCCGCCGTCCGCGACGTCGACGTCCGCAGCTGCACCGACGGCAGGCTTGGGTTGGTGTATGCGGGGTGGGGTTTAACCCCGCTGTCGTTTGTTGATAGCCCGGTGAGGAACCATCCCGGCTCTATCAAAGCGACCTGTGGTGACCCTGTCAGCAGTGTGATGCTCCTGATCTCGGCGTTCACTCTTACTTTGATGTTCCAGGCGGGATCTAGTTCCATCGCTACTGCTTCACATAGGCCTTCTAGCGCTGCAGAAGGTCAACATCTCAAATAATAAGTGGTGCTGGATGTACAGTACTCACCGAATTTCCTAGTGAATCTCATTGAAGGTTACCCCAAAACATCAAATAAAGTCTATACTCACGCAGCACAGTAATGTCCATCAGCAGGGAGAGATTTGATGCCGCCCAGGCTGGTAATGTGTGCGATCGTTCCCCCAGGCCGGTCACCATTTTCCTCGCGGAAGAAACGCACAGCATGCCGGGTGACACGCTCGGCACCCCAGAAATTGATGTCCATCATCCATCTTGCTTTTGCGTCAGGCACTGCCTCGACCTCGCCCACAAGCCCGACGCCGGCGCTATTGAACATGACGTCAAGCCGTCCAAAGTGCAACTTTGCCGTCGCGAATGCGGCCGCGACCTGATCTGCGTTTGTGATGTCCATGGCCACGGCTTGTATGCGGTCGGCAGGATAAGTGGACACGAGCTGCTCTAGCCCACCCACGACGCGGTCAGCGACAACCGCCTTCTCCCCGGAGTCCAGAACGTGTTCTGCCATCGCTCGTCCGAAGCCGGACGCTGCACCTAAGACTGTTTACGAGCGACGACGCTGATAATCAGTGGCGGTAGATGGATCCGATGGAGTTGGAAGCGTACTGAGCCACACCCTGTCCTTGTTATCAGCCATGATGAGAGAGTGAGGTGAAAGGGGGGTCCTCAGTCCTCGGCCGAAGTTGACTTTTTATGAGTGGACGTAGCGCTCAACGGCAAGGCGCTGCTCCAGAACGGGGACGTTCTATGCTTCCTGTCATACATGGCAGGCTACCTTCATTCCACTATGGTTAAGGATCGGTTCAACGAGCACGGCGAATAGAAACGTCCTGTTGAATGGAAGGGGTGGGCCAGAACGTTCCCAGCGGAGATGGTCAAACCCCTGCTAGACGCGTTCATCTTCTTATCCTTGCCCATTGCAGACCTTTGTTGAGAATAGGGGTCATTGGATGGAAAGGTGGTGCCGAACAGTGCCGAACTGGCGATGACGTAGTGTTGCGAGGTACGAGCGCTACAGCTCGCTGACCTCTCAACGTAACTTTGAAGAACCAAATTTAAGTTGCGATGACCCTTGAATATTAATCGGAAGCTGCTCCAACCGCGGGGATAATGGGCGCAGCTAAGTAGCACAAGATCACAAAATTAGTAGGCTGGGACCATACGCGATGTTACATCTAGCGACGTGTCACCTGAGTGATGTCACAGCTTACATACGGGGCCTCACCTCGCAAATTCCGCCATCAAGGTTCTGTTCGAGACCTAGACTTCATATGCTGACGCTTCAATACTGTAACGAAAAACAGCCGACAAGCAACTGCTAACTGATAAACTCCTCGGACTTCCAGCACCAAGATAGTAAGATTATGGTCAGCACACTGTAAGCATGCGGTAATATCAGCAGCTGCTTATGAGCGCTGCAGCCTAAAGCAGCAGGCTTTCTTAGAAGGTGCATGACGTGACTGATTGGCTCCCGACGAAGCCCTGATGGTACTGATGATGTTTGCATAACCCGGTTTTTGAGTTAGCCGACTTGCCAACATTCGCTCTTCAGCTCGTCAGCGCTTCAGCTCCAAGATGACGAAAACGTGTGGACGTCCGAACGTGTTCCACCGGCGCACTTCACGACTGACCGAGGTCAGGGTTGTGACGCCGGCGGTCGATCGCCCGACGACAGGGCTCACCGTCAGAAAAGTCGAAGCCACATTCCTTGGGCATGTGAACTTGATTGAAGGTGTAAGCAGCACACTAGTTATCGTGACGCGTTTGGAAGTCAATGTCAACGTCGGTCGAATCAGGCACACTGACCACGCGTGACAACTTTGCATCTTTGTTTCCGCCTCTGTCAGAAAGCTTCCAGCGAGATGCCTCCCGGGACGATCACCCAAGCTTTTAACATCGGCGCCTCGATCACCGGGAACATCACCTTTGTCGAGGCTGTAGCCTATTTTCCTCGTTGAGAAATGGATTCGAAACGAGGTAGCGGAGGGTAGCAGTCTCCGAGCATGGCGGATCGGCTCGGATTGGGCAGCCTTCTCTGTCGCTTGGTCGGACGAACAAGCGCTGGTTGTTATTATGACATCTTTCGGGGAAAACGGCACAAAGTGATTCCCCCTGAGAAGAGATGGTAAAGTCCTCTCACGAACAACCATTTGTAGTGCTCGTTGGTTGATTATGCCCCATGAGTAAACCCCGAACATATGGATGATCAAGAGTGTGCTTGCTAGGATGTAAGTCGTTATCGCTGTCCGCGAGGCGTTCCTGTCCCTTTTATCGCGCCAAGCTAGATACTCGGTCCAAGAGGTACTTTGGCATGACTTGGGTATCTTTTCCAACGGTGAGCCTGGCTTCCCGTACTCTTCCTAGACCGTAGTGAAAGTTCTGCGCAGAGAACCGCTTCGTGGATCTCTCTACAGGGACGACCACAAGAGAAAGGTTTAAAGATTACCGAACCCCAGAGAACGAATCCACCAGGACCAATTCGTGCGTGCTTCGTGGGTGGACACTGGGCACATTGATGCACAGCCGGGACTAGCGGGGTCCCGGGACAACCGCGGACAACCAAGGAAAGTAATAGAGCTTAGTTCTTTAGTTATCACTTATCTGACACATCAATGTAGTTACTGACCGTGGACGGAATCAATAATCTCATTAATGAATCGGGACATCGGGATCTCGAAGTCTCGTCCGTAGTGGTCGCTGAACCGCTTCAGGAGTTTACGACATGGCCATCCTGTGGGAGCGCGAGTCGGCATAGTCCTCTTCCTGCCTGGATACAACAGAAATCACCGCTTTTGCCCCGAGGCACAGACCACAGTTAAATAAAGTGAAGCAGTCGATCCGTCAATACCTCGTCCACAGCTTAGCTCTAAGCTTCCTTCTACGATGTCATCCGAGCTATCCTTGACGTTCTCCATCTCTGAACTCCTTCGCTTCTGCGTATCTTTCGGTTCGGCCAACGACCCGTCCAGCCTTCGACTGGACCCAGCACCGACCGACCTCAGCCACCTCGCTTCTCCTGAACTCGATGCCCTGCCCCTAGCAATCAAGATAGAGACCTTAGTGGTCGACGGACAGCGAAGACTTCGCGTCCGTGCGGGACAGAAGGAAGAAGCCATCCCATGCAAACCGTTGCCTACCCCTATGCCCACTCAACCATCGACGCCTCTCCTCGACGCTTGGGCCGCTCCTTCAACGTCGACTCCAACCGCGTACATCCCACCACAGCCTCAGCTCGATAACATGAACTTCCCTACCACACACCACCAAACAGGTACGACTAAGCCATACGCTATCCTACTTCTACGACTGACAGGTCCTCATCAATAGACATATTCTCATGCCCTGACATGTTCTTTGACACGGCTGCCATGTTTTGTGAGCCCTCGGTGCCATATCTATCCGAGTCGACAGCTGCATACGATTATTTATCCGGTACGCAGTCTCCAGATTCACATACACGAGGACCTCCCACTGACGCGACTGAGTTAGAACAACCCAAGATCCATGATTCCCTGATTGACGCCTCGAAACTGTCCAACTATTCCAATGGTGGGACGCATTGCCTTCCTCGCCAATAGTCATTCCGCTGACGTGGCTTCGCAGATTCCCCCTCGAATCACGGACTCGTCGTCCACATTCCAGAACACGATCCCGCGGCCGACTGTGCCTCACCTGTGTGCTCGCCCGCATCCAGCTGTCACAACGGCGAATCGGCGGAGACCCGCAACGAAACAACTGAGCCCGTCGGCCCCAAACGTCGGCCACTCCGTTTCCCCTGTCTGCACGATGGCTGCCCCCGCAAGTTTTCAAGCGAGGTACGCACCGCATCGTCTCCACCAGAGCCATGATGTAACTCATCATTTAATTTATCATCACAGTACACGCTCAATCTTCACATGACGACGCATCAGTATAGAGACAAACCGAAGGTTCGCTATCCCTGCGAAATGGGCTGCTCCGAGACTTTCTCGCGACAGCATGACCGCCTTCGGCATGAGGTTGCCAAGCACGGCAGGATGTGTCAGTGGTTCTGCAGCCGCTGTAGACGCGTCTTCTCCAGGCAGTCTACTCGGGATAAGCACCGCTGCTCTGATGTCGCCGGACCCATGCAAAGTGAATCACCCGTTCAGCAGGCACAATAAAGATATGTTTTCTTTTTCTATTTCACGATTTGTACGCCGCCGTCCGCTTGAAGCGGATACACTGTTCCGCATCATTATATCATCTTTTGGATTAGGACTCTTACACGATTGATTTCACTTGTATCTGTACCATCATACGCACATTAACGTCTCACACCGATAGATAAAACATGATCATAGGGATTATGACGCAGCTTCCGGCTGTTCCGGTTCTATGTAGCGTATTGGCTTATAGGAAGAACTATGTACTAGGTTAATAGAGGGCGAATTTTGGGCGCCATCAACCAGTGTTATCGGCAAAGCTTCCGCCTGTCTAAGGGAGCCAAGATCTGATTCCGTTGCCATACTCTCGGAAGCATGTTGTCAAAATAGCATCCTCGTATGTGCTGTATCCGACCGCCGGGGATAAATATTACCTCAATATGAGGTCACCAGTTGTTACGGCAAAGTAATGTCGACTTTAGACATACATACGAGGCCTACACCGGTGCAGCGCCAAGGCTTCGACATGTCCTATTAACGATGCAGGCCTTCGCGGGCATGGGGCTTGATAGCGATCACATACGACTCCACGCCGGAAATGCTTATCAAAAGTATCGCGGTGCGGAACGTTTTGTAGTCTCGTATAGGACATTTTTGATCAGCGTCAATCAGTAGACATAAGGACAATCTTCGCCGCTCGGTGCCTAGATTCCTGTTTGGCCAGAGATCGAAGCTAGAAGGTTGGTCATCGATCATCCACGCTCGCTTATGAGCCGTTAAACCCATATCATAAACAAACGTACGAACAACTACGAACAATCGGCCTTGCCGGGTTAAAGTTGGCTGTCAGAGAGTTACCCAATCAAGGCGACTGGGGCCTGGGCCTGGCAGGCCTGGGTTACGGTACCAAAGATCTCGTTGGATGGTTACTAAGGATTTGCATCGGCGGCGCGTGTACATACCGGCTGAGTGCGAACGTCGGCCATCCACTGCCAGCCACTGCCTACCCATGCATATGTACAGCTTATTCAAACGTCAGGCGTCACGAACAACGCATCTTGTGAAGAGCGATGGGTGCTTATATCATACGACTTGCCAGCTAACAATCACTATGCCGACTAAAGTTAAGGTATCAACGCTTCTGTGGCCGTGAATCATTTCTTCACGTTTCTTTTCGCTACGCTCTTCTCGCTCCGGACCCGTCCCTTCTTTTGAAAATGAGCAGGTGCGGACTTCTTCATCGTCGACTGTTTTCGCGCACGTTCACGGTCCTTCGCGTGGCTTGCGTCCTTCGCTGAGAGGGCATTCCCGGCCTTCTTCTTCGCCAGCCTGCGTGCGCGTCGATCGGAGTCAGTGGCTTTGACTTTCTTGCGCTCCTCCTTGCTCAAGTGTGCGAGCTTAGAACCGAGATTAGGATCGCCTTTCGGCATCGAATCAGCCTTTGATGGTCTCGTGGGCTTCGACAACTTGTCATCCCCGATCGACATCTTCCCTGCAGGTGCATCGCGGGGTGAGGCCGCGGGGGCGGTCTTGCATCGTTGTACTCTCAACTTGCGTTTTGCGAACTTGAGTCGTGATACGTCCATCGCAAGGATCTCATCCACGCAAACGCGATCCTGAGAAATGACGTCATGAGCGCCGATAGATCCTCGGGAGAGTAAGATGAAAACATACCGCGAACTGAACATACGCGAAGCCTTTGCCAAGTTGGGTTTGGCCGTCGCGAACAATGCGCACTCGGTTAACCCATTGCCCCGCATTGCTGTCAGCAGCCGTCTCGGATGGAGGCGGTCCCCTTTCAGAGCTCACCAGACCTTCAAAGAAGACGCGAAGGTCATCCTCCTTGCTCTCGAAATCAAGGTTCCCGACGAAGATGGTAAGCCTCGGATCACCAGCCCCTGTTGCGTGGGATTTATCTAAAGACGCATCCGATGAGAGCGGAGCAGCAGCGTCCACGCGAATCATGCGTTCCATGAAGATGGTTCCATTGCACTTTTCTACTGCGACGCGCGCAGCCTTGTAAGGTTCGAGAACAGGGGGCAACGGTGGGAGGTTCGAGGGTCGCGAAGAAGCAGGGATAGGATGCGCGAACACGATGTAGGCGTTGACCGAGTCCGCGATGGGATGGAATTGCTGGTTGATGAACGCAATCTTCTTCTTTTGAGCGGGGGTCAGGAATTTTTTCTCATCTGCTTTCTCGTCGTCTTTCCCCGAAGACGTTCGCCATGATGCTGCACGGTCCTTGTCGTGCTGCCGGGCCTTGGTAGGTGTCGGCTTCGCGGAATCATCGGGTAATTTGCTAGTCGGGACCTGAAAAGCAACGGACCGGAACCGCGACGACTCGATCTTAGCGGTAGGCACGAGCGAGAGGATGTGTTTGTGTAGCTGTTTCTGTAAAGGCTGTCGGAAGTTAGGATCGTCCGCTCCGGCCAAAATGGAGTACAATGAAAGTAAGGCACTCACTCGTTTTTGGGCCACGTCCTTGGGTAGGTTCCCTACGAAAATCGTACGCGAGCTCCGTTGTTCGGCCGTCTCCCCCGGTGGCACAAACCTCTCCTTTCGGGAGCGTGCATCTGTTGCGATAGGTTTCGTCTTCTGAAGCGTTTCGTGGACTGGCGGAACGGCATCTTCATCGACACCCTCCGCGCCCGATGCATCCATGCTAGCGTCCCCGAAACCATCGGCGTCGTGATCCTCATCCACATCCATGGCATCCTCGTCCGGCTCTGATTCCGACCCCTCAGATGCATCGTCACTCCCTTTGCCCTGTTTCAGCGATACAGAAGCACTCGAATCGGACTGTGCGCCAGATTCGGATTCTTCCTCAGGAGGAGTTGGTTGCCTCTGAGGCGGGCTCGATGTTCGCTTTTGCTTTTTCGACGTTGATTGGCTGCTAGTTTGCAGTGCACGTTTCTTCTTCATTACGTTGGTAGAGGTAGTAGAGGTACCCTGAGCACCTGTAGGCTATGTCAATTCGGGTGAATTGTTATCAAAATGACACGATGAGGCATCCTTACCTGCGTGACTTTGAAGAGGTCATCGAGTCCTGCGTCGATAGACTTTTTCTTCTTTGATGCTTTCGAACCAAGCAGAAGCGTGGAGAGGCTCATTGCGAGACTTGTAGAGACCAGAAATCAGCTAGCAGTAGGCTGACGGCTCGTCGCGGTCGTTGAGAGATATGAGCCACTCGAGCTCAGAGCGTAACGCGTAAAAGTACTGTGATCGAGGAGGACAACGCCGCGGCTGCCGAAACTGGCAAGGGTTTCATAATGGCACAATGGGCGGGCACTAATAGGGGCGTTTGGCACAGTGGTAGCGCGTATGCTTTGCATTAAAATTGCGAACTTGCATAAGGTCGTGGGCTCGAATCCCACAACGTCCATTTTGTTTTATCTCCGTGTACAAGCGTGCTAAGCCACTGTAAACTCATTGCTTGAGAGACGCTGTGTATATCTTACTAATTAACCCTACCACAAAGAAATCCTGGAGTGCAATCACATTAAAGTGACCTCCGTCAGCTCATGACCTGTTACCAACCACAAGCAGTGGTTGTCACCTCATTAATAAGTATACCATCTAGCTTCACCAGCAACACTACGGAGGGTGAAGATATACTGCTGCTTTTTGTCACCGGACGTCACAAGAGCCTATAACATCTCCCAGTCCTCGAACACGCCCTCGCTGAACCTGAAGAAACTGATGTTACCATGATCGACCGCGGCTACAATCACCGTTTTCTTTCCCGCCTTGAGGGCGGGGAATGGATTTGGCGGTTGGCTCTTCTTCTTTGTCGGCATGTCCGAATGGACAATATGACAGCTCGAAGGAACGAGGCGGTGCCAGAGCTTGCCGAACCAAGAAGTGCCAGCCGCTGATCCGGAGGGCGCCAGACGAGAGTCGCTCGGTGCCACGTCACTCAGCTTCGCTATGTCCGCCGGGGTTGTGGAGGCTTCGTTGTGGCCCTTAGCAGGTCCCGTGTTTCGTTTTCGAGGGCGAGGCGCTCCGTGTTCGGGCAAGCCCGAGAACAGGACCGAGAGTTCATGTATCGTAGGCGCACATGTGGTTCGCGCACTATTTGCCGAGAGCGTGGCGCATCATAGGAACTGTCAGGCTTCAAAGTGTTAAAGGAAGAACGAGCAGAAGCACTCACTTGACGACCGCCATACAGAAGTCTGGCTGTCCGGGTGCAGATTTCCGGAATGGGGTCGAAGGTTTGTAGACGTTATAAAACACATGGTACGGTGACTTTCCACCAGGTGTAGACTTCTCCTTATCGGAGATTTTGGCCTTTTTCGAGTTGAAAGCTGCATACAAAGGCACGCTATGGCCAGCAGGTACAATTCTCAGCGAGCGAAGTATCGAATCTGCGCCGATCCGATACCTATCAGCACATCAACGCATCACTGAGCTTATCAGCTTACTGTATGTCCAGTCATGTTTGAATCTCCATGATCGAGACACAGCGATAGACCACATTGTCTTCTGACGGCTCACTGATTTCCCCCATATAGCCATAATGAAACCTCTGATTTGTGCAATAAAGCGTGTTACCAGCGAGCTAGATTGGCTGCCCTGCTTGGGACACAAAAGCGGCGGTATTGGATAATCCGGTGTCGGCGGAGAAGTGCGAGTCACGACATATCCTAGTCGACGAAGGTACGCGAACACCTGGGAGAGTGGCATGAGCCATATGTCCGGGAAAAAATACAGGACTATCCGGGCCGTGCTGACCTGGTATTTCTCCAGGGACAGATCTTCCCTCCCTACTAACTCAGAGTAAGCTTGCTGTACGGACATAGGCGCGCCGCCTATCTTCGCGTCCAAGTCTCCGCTGTGCAGTTCGGGGATATCCAGCTCGGCAGCGTGTTTCCAGCAGAGCATGGTGCCGCGCTCGATGAGATAAAGCGTCTCTTCTGGGAGTAACTCCAAGCGTTTGTGGAGTTTCGTAGATCCATCGTCGCTAAGCACAGGACGGGGAGCCGAGTGGCCCATGACGGAGAAGTGGACACCACGATTCAGGGTTACCTGCGTGCGCGAGATGTCGGGGTACCAAATACCGTAGCTTATCGACTTGCTAGGCAGAAGTTCAGGCCTAATTCACGCGTCAGAGCGAAGAGGGGACGCGCCTGGACACAGTACGTTCAGCGCGGAGCGTGTCAAACATGGCGTTGCGGGCACGATCGAGGACGTGCATCTGGAGACCAGAGCCGCCGCCTGGGGCTGGCTCGAACTCTTTCTCGCCACGTTTTGGTATGACTGGCCGAGCAGAACGTAAGGTAGATCTAAGGTTGGGTTAATTGACAAATCATAACACAGGTGGCTTTCGTGCTCACTGGAGTTTGGTCCAGTCAAGTCCTCCATCCTCGTCCCCAGATGACAAGTCGTCTACATCGCCCTGACTGTTTTGCTTCTCTGCAAGAGCTGGTTTGAACAGCGCGTCATCCATGGTTCCTTGTTCCTTGGCTGACTGATTTTTAGTGAAGTAAACAAAGGGATTGATGGTGCGGAGGAGTCGAGTCGATGATCGTCACAAAGGGCGGTCATTCACGTGATATGAAAAGTAGATCCCAGGCCCGGAGCCCAAGACCAGCATAAACGATGATGCAACTTGCTTTCCACCACCACCTCTAGCCTCCGCATCTCCATCTACTTCACTCTTCACTACCTGCTGAGCGAGAAAACACTATGGCCGAGTTCAAACCCACAGTTCTGCAGTGTCTCGCCGTGCGTCTGCCTCGTGTTGAGGAAAGTGGTGATAACCTTGCATCTCTAGCTAGGCTGGGGGGATAGCTGGCACTGCCTTTGATTCGGTCTTCTTCCCTCTCGACACGCTCAAGACCCGCCTTCAGTCTTCGCAAGGGTTTAAGCGGTCAGGTGGATTCAGCGGCATTTATCGGGGGATAGGAAGTGTACTTGTTCTAACGGGTGTAACTAGTAAGTTTTGATGTCACCACTTGCGCTTCGAGCTTCGAGTCCAACTTGTTACCTACTGCATAGATGCAGCATTCTTCGCCACCTATGAGGGAATGAAACGGACTCTGCCATTGCAAGGGCATCCTCTCAATCACCTCATGTCCGCCTCAGTTGCGGAAGTGGTATGTGTCCTCTCGAATCTATCTCCTTGTCCGAGAACCGTTTGACGTGTCATCCACAGGTAGGCGCATGCTTTCGCGTCCCATCCGAAGTCGTGAAGACCAGAACCCAGACGTTCGCTTATGGTCCTCTCGCCTCAAATTCTCTTGCGACCGCTCGACTAGTCTGGAAGATCGATGGATGGGGAGGCTTCTACTGTGGTTTTACCGCAACGGTTATCCGAGAAGTGCGTCTTGATGCTAACCATGCCCTCCCGGTTGCTGGCGTGCTCACACTTTTTAAGATACCTTTCACCTCCTTTCAGTTCCCTATGTATGAGTTCTTCAAGTGGCGGCTAGCCCGCTATCTGGGTCGCATCTCCGATGACGACGCAAAGGGGCCCTCAAGTCAGCAGAGACCACCACTTCACGCTTACGAGGCCGCGATGTGTGCTTCTCTCTCGGGGAGTATAGCGGCTGCGCTCACAACCCCCCTTGACGTGGTCAAGACTCGAGTAATGTTAGATCTAAACCTCGAGGTGAGAACAAAATCTTGGAAGGGTTTATCTTCTAATTTCACACATCTGCAATGAAAACCTATAGGACTCCGTGACTCACGCGAGACGACCCAAAATCTCTCTTCTGAGGCGGTTCGTTGGAATTTACAAGGAAGAAGGTTTACGCAAACTGTACTCCGGGACACTCCCCAGAACTGCTTGGGTTGCTTGCGGAGGTGCAATTTTCCTTGGGACCTACGAATGGGTGTTACGGACTCTAAATACCATGAGCCGACCATAAACTGATTGTTCCTATTCGCCCCTAAGATTCTCGTGCCTCACAGACTGCTTATTTTAGAGTTACAGCGCTTGGTACGTACATACTATTACAACTTACAACAAACATAGATGTATAAACAGACCGAACAATGCATACCCTAATGAGTCACAGAGGATGTTTGTGATCAGCAAGCACTAGCCTGGCCGACATCTACTGGAAGGTGCATCATTCAAGTCCACTTTCGTATTTGTGTCCATTCATCACTTAATCTTTCGGCTCCCTTCGGTGCTTACGATAATTCTCCAGGTATTCTTCAGGGTCCTCCAGCGAATGCTCGAACGGGCGCGTAAGCGGTTCAATACCTTCGCCATAGGCAGCAAGCAACTCCAAGCGCCTCTTCGTCGCAGGTCTCGTCGTGTTGACGCTGTACAGCTTGATGCGATGGCAAGATGACGTCACATGGAGATCCCAGCTGTCAGGGAAAGCGGTAAGCAACCTCAGTTCGGGAGATCGAAGAATGGTCTGATGCGTACTTCCAGGCCGATCGCACAAACGTCGGCTCGGTGTTATTGGAGGAGTCCCAGGTACGGACGCAAAACTCGAGCCATCCCTCGGCGTCTACAGGTAAATCGATTTTCCAGAGCCTCCAAGCGTGGAAATGCTAAACGATGCCTTCAGTTACGACGTTTCCAGCATACTGCACCATCCAGCTTACTTTATCTGTCAAATCATTCTCCTCGACAGCATACCAAACGTGGCCACTGCATGTCCGGGTCAATCTCAGCTTCCGGACGTCGACAACTTAATGAACGCTTACCCATCAGGCGAGACTTCAACACGCTCGACCCAGTTTCCTCCACCGCTGTAGCTCCATCCCTCCAGGTGAATTTTCCCGTCATGGACGATCACTGACTTGTCTGACGGCTTGATTATGGCACTCCTACATCCGGATTGAGATCGCTCTCTGAGAAGTCAGAGGAGGTATCACTCACGAGACAGGCATGTTCTGTATGGAGAACCCATTCGAATACTTCACGTTTTGCTTGCCAAGTTGAGACGTGTAGTAAAGGTACTCTTGTCTTTGGACCGGACCCATACTTGGCTCTTTCAACGCATTGATCTTGTACACCCACTTGCAGCTGCGCGCGCCGATGTAGCCGGTGACGACGAGCCGCAGTGGGGCACCGTGGATCTTGGGCAGGGGCTTGCCGTTCATCTCCCACGCAAGCAGCACTTCTTCATTCGCGCGGACTTTGCGCCAGGGGACGGAGACGGCGTAGTTGAAGACGTCTCCTTTCCTAGAAGACATGGATCAGCGGAACATCGAGAGACACGGGTAAGGGACTCGCTTGAAGTAGGTGTCGGCGCCAATGAATTCGAGGTGCTCGCATACCGGGAGAACGCCGCCGCACGCGTGTTTGAGCACTTTCTTCAGTGGCACTCCGCGATAAACTGCTGTGCCTCTGACAAACTTGGTGAGTAAAGGTTTTTGAGCTATTCAAGCAAACTCACATGGCACCTTCACCCCAAGGCGCATTGATTAGTTCGTCACCATCACCTGGGTACTCCCTGATCTGCTCGATGCGACGAGTACCGCTGCACTGAAGCGTGACGGTCACCTCGGCTTGTCTGAACGCTTGATGAGCTTTGACTCCAATCTCAGAAGGTGGCTGACTTACGGGAATTTGGATTCATCCTTGAGGTCTTTCAACGACAATTTCACTGGTTTGTTGACAAGACCGCCGATCTCCAGCTCGAATACGTCGTCTGGAATCGCTGGAATGCCGCCGTGGTTCCTCACGCTTGCAGCCGTGTCAACTTTCTGACACTAGAGTTACGTCATCGTGATGAACGCGACTCACAAATGGTACATGTTATCCGTAACCTTGCCTTGCAAGAGCTGGTCGCGGCGCGTCTCGCCGTTGTAAGGGAAGTCAAGGAGGTGGATAAGGTCGGGTTTCTCCTTCTGGACGATATCCCAGCTGTGATCGACGATGTACTTCAGACCAAGCGCCTCGTGGTATTCCTTCCATCGATGCCCGATCAGGATTGGGTTAGTATCTGGAAGCGGTACGAACTGAAACTCTGAACACCATATGCGATCTCTCGTCAGTCCAGCACTAATCACTAAGGTGAAGATCTAGTGCTGACCTGGGATAGGAGTAAATTTGTTCCGCTTGAGGACCTCACTAGCTATAGCTTTCTTGTCAGGATAGTTCTCCCACTCGACATATCTGCGTGGGTAAATACATTGTCTTTATTGATTGTCTACACACAGGCTTACCCCGACCATCCTTGTTTCTCCTCGGCGAAGAGCTGGTTCAGGGGCACACCGTTGTATTCTGCGATCGAGGGCATGGGAGATGAATGCTCAAGCCGTCAGTGTCTTGTGCGGAGCTTTATATTTCTTTCGGCACCCCTGATTCTTATCTTGCCGTCTGAAGGTCTAGAAACAAAGTCTTAGCCGCTAACGCTCGAGCAATTACCCAGCGAATGTGTGGGACAGGGAGATTGGAGCTGATGATTCGTGCTAAGACTTAGATAGGCTCCCCATCAACGTCATCTGACTGGCGATGATATATTTATGTATACAAGCAACGTGTATTCACAGAATCGCCGTCATAGACCTAGCCGTGGGTTCCCTAGGGGCGGAAAACTGATGCAGCCCGCAAACACATGATGTTCCTAAGGCACCCGAGTGTAGCGCCTGAGACCTGATCCGAGCATACTGAGTTATTCACGATGCGAATGATTGGCTGACGATGCTACTTGGTATGTTATACAGTGTGGTTGTAGATTGTGGGTATTAGCTAGCATGGGAGCGAGAGGAAGGCTTTCTTAGGCATGATAAGTAAATAAGGAGGTGGTAGATGCGACGAAGCAGTACGCTGTAAACATTGCTACGCGTTACATAGACATCTCTCTGACGTGAAGTTTGTTACGAAGGGCGCACATAATATCGTCGTCAGGACGGGACGTGAGGAGAAACTTGACATTCGGTGATAGACTCGGGACCTCGTGGGAGAGGATGGACAGAAGTGCCTGCCTTCGCTCGCTTCCTATCTCCTCACAAAGGTCCAAGCGGTCCAGAACGATAAGAATGGGTCCAATGTCGAGGTATTGTTTATCGAGCGGGAAACACGGCGCTATAAACTCTTGAAATTGCTCCAGGATAGACGAAGTCCTGCAGATGGCGCGACGCCCCTTAATGTTCGAATGTAAGATAGCCCGTAGCTCCTCATCGAGGTCTGCGAGATCCCGCGCTATTGTGCTGAACATATACGTGGGGTCCGTTGATTCCTGGAAGAAGAACGATGATCCGAGCCGTCCGAGTGTATCAAAATGGTACGCGATCGTATGCGCTAGCGTGGAGTTCGCTGAGGATGAGGCGTCTGACCCAGTCAGCAGGAAGACAGTCTCCCCAGAGTGATCAGACATAGCCCATTGACATATCTTCTGCGCGACGACAGTGTTGTAAGAACTGGAATCAATCTTTCCTCTGTCATACCGCACACGATCGGCGTACGGCATGTCATTCAGGTCCATAACCATACCTGAAAGGGACGATTAGCTACGTATATCTCCTTTCGAGCAACACTTACCAACGCATTTGGCCATGCCCAGGGTGCGAATTACCATCTTAGCGATGGCGTTCATTACCCTAGTCTTAAAACAGATCGCAAGCTCCTTGAGCTTTTGCTCGTGTCGAGTGATAGCTCGATCAATGTCAGAAGCAAGATTATTCCAGTGACGTTCCGCTATAGCCGATATCAGATTGGAGAATGCCGCGACCAAGTTCGAACACTGCTTACCAAAGCCTTGCTTGGCGTAAGCTTGGATGAAAAGGCTGCATTCAATGCTCTGCGCCGCTAATGCTTCGATAGCGGACTTGACAGAGCCAATGTCGAGGTCAGGCTTGTCGAGGATGATGTTGTACACTTCGCTAAGTGTATCTACAAGGTTAAGTATTCTTGCATCGCGGTCCATTTGAGCTATAAGAATCTACGGAGGCCAATGAGTAAACATCACTACTGCCACGAGGAAGACGCGAAGATTACATTGACCGCTCCTTTCAAGGTGTAGAAAGCAAGTTTTGTGGATAGATGCGCCTGTTATCAAAGGAAAAACACAGAGAGAAAGGTCAGAACGGGTACGCCCAGGTACTCTAAGGCAAGAAGCACCTGCGCAAATGGCTCCGTGACACGAGATAGTGCTTCGGCCTTAACGAGAAGAGACTTCAAGACCACCTGGCCATGCGTTTCTGCGTCTCGAAACTCCTCGGCCGCTCGCTGTGCTCTGGCTACCGCTGACCTAAGGTCGCGAGACGCTTCGTGGCGAAGTCCAGCGGGGGAGAATGACTTTGAGGGGTTAGTCGGTTGTCCCTCGCTTTGCTTTTGGGAACGGAGAGTTGTCATTGACGGGGCTCTCGCGAGATTGCTGGTGCGGGACAAAGTGGTCGTAGCGGTAATGGTGAACTCGATCTCAGCCCCCGTGTGCCGGAAGGAAGATGCGCCGCTCAGTGGTCGTCGAATGACCGTCTGCCAGGTCTGGGTGCCGTGCTCATCACAGATATCATGCTGTGGCTTGTTATACGGGTCGAGAAGGAGGGTGCCCAAGGGTGCCCGCATGCCGCCGTAATAGTGGTGATAGTCCGACCAGACTTGGAGATCGATGTCGATGTTCCCGCAAACGTCGTAGCTGCCAGAAGTGATTGTCACGTCAGAGGGTGCGTCCGACAACATAGTGTTCATCGAACAACTCACAAGGAATCTATACAATCCCAATGAAAGTTGCCATCGTAGAACTGCGCTGCCGCCTTCCTAAGTGTCTTCCCGATTTGGACTTTCAAGATGAAATTATGGGTGAGATGAAGAAAATGCGAAAATTCGGGGAGACCAAGAGCAATGACATCTAAATCGAAGGGGCGCAAGTGTCAGTAAGGTGCGCTGATAAGTGGGAAAGTCATGTCGAACGTACTTGTCACTTGCACAAAAAGTCGAGGTGACGAGCCAATACTTAGCAAGGCTTGGCTGCATAATCGGATCAGCCGCTTCCATCGTATATGTGCTAAGCACCAACCTGCAATGGCGTCGGCAAAAATCAGAAACAGGGGGATTCATGACGAGTCACAGTTGACGAACGGAGGTTGCAAGTCGAAGACTGACTTTATTCCCGTCACAACGTGCCCATTTGCATCACTTCCACCGAGGGAGTTTTAATTTTTCGGACCTAAGTGTGCATGTGTAAAAGTCGAGGATGTTGGGCAGCCAAAGTGTGGGGTGGTATAAAGAGACCGAGCGTCTAGCGTTTTGGGCGCCTAGTTTGGCGCCTAATAAATCAGGTCCATGATCCCCTTCACATAGTAGAGTAGTTTGGGGTGTATCTCGATCCTGCATATGAAGGATACAGGTTTTACTTGCATGGATAGTCGAACACGAGATTTCCCGTAAGTTGGCAGTTCTATAAAACTCACAATGTTGCATCAATATTTTCAGCGTAGCACATTGGTGCAGACAACTGAGCGACGGTACGTTAGCGCGCACTCTTCGGACCGTAGCAAAGCATCCATGCCGACTTCACCTGCATGGCCTGATTCTTGATGGTAACGTTGACATTCGCACGGCAGGCACGCCCAGTTGGTCGCCCTCCGTGGAAGTGCTGGGTTATCAAAATGACGTCCATCGTGAGCAGGCAGTATATGATGTCAAACAGGGTCCGAAACGTTCAGAACTAGGGCACGCAGCATGAATAGATTCCGAGGACAACGAACAAGCGCCGGAACGTTCGCCATGTGCTGGAAATGAACACCAATCGCACAGTTCCGAGCTATCGTGGATCGATAACAATCAACTCTCCAATGCACGCTTCATGCCTCCTCCCCTTCTGTGACGGGCGTGGAGCTTCCACCCATGCTTCTTCTATACCGCTCAAGTAAGCTTGAAGAACGGCGTGTGTCCGTTGCGGCAGCACCCTTCTCATTCTCTACGACTTGGCGTTCGTGCTGCTCTCGTGCTCGCCGCCGGCTCAGAGTTTCTTCCTTGTCAGGAGAGCCAGCGGTGAGCAAGCACCAGAAGATGGACAAGGAAACAATGGCGCAGGCAACGCCAGTAGGCACCTTCGTCGGGGTATCCGTCTGGTCAAAGCACATGATCAACAGTGCAGCCAGGAAGAGAAACAGACTGTTCGTGGAGCCATCAACACCTGTTTTACTCAATGTATGGGGCGGGAGCGCCTCACCTCCACATCAGGAAGACGTAAGGCAGACTGCAGATGATCGCGAGTCTCTCAATGCCGTGTGATTCGCGAAAGATACGCTCCAGTATGATGACCTATCACAAGAGTATGACGGACGTGAGCAATCTCAAACGGGACAAGGCGCGGAGGGCTCACAGCTTTGAGTGGCACATCAGCACCTTTAGCGCGGTATTGTTTGAAAATGGCGAGTCCAACAATGATGCTTCCGGCGCTCATGATGAGCGAGCAGTACGTGAGGATGGTCACAGCGGCGTTGTCGCTGAAGTCCAGGAAGGGGACACTCGTGCTGAGAAGCACAGTCGCCTGAAACAAGTGTTAGTCAAACCTGGCTTGTGCCGCTCCGACTTACGAATAAGATTCGTCCTACCAGCAAGTTCGAATCACGGATGCTTGAGTTCACCTTGGTCACGAACGCATCGTATCGGGCGGGACTAAACTGGTGACGGAACGCGTGGAGTTCTTCTGCATAGACCTGTGCAGAACGAAGAGTTAAGGGCGCGAAGAGGACCATCGCCCAGGGACGCTGATATGTGGGAGGCTTCTGCTCGTCTTCTACTCTGTACGCGTGGAAATATTCATAGTTTTGTCCATAGTGGCTCCTCCATAGGCCCCGCGCTATACCGGATCGTCAATGATGAGCGCATGGGTGGATCTGATACTTACCATGAAGATGCATGAAGCTCGCTAAATACAGCCATGAGCACGTCGTACCGTTGTGTATGTCTTACAGGCGTACCAACAATCCACGACGAGTGTAAATCGGCCCTGCCTGTTCCTGAGCCTTCGTCTGTGATCAGAATTGAGTTCTGATTTGTATCGTCGGCAAGGGAGAATCCTTACGAGGAAGTTCTTTGACTATGTTAGTCATTCTCTCCAGGTCCTCAGCGTTATAAGGAGACGTAGTGACTTTGGATATTGCGACGTCTGTGGATGGTAAGCGCCGTATTTTGCGCGCTGAGTGTATGCGACTTGCCTGCCGATGCGTGCAAGAGATTCGCAGCGAGCTCGGCTCTAAGCTCCGTGGATACAGCAAGCGTGCTGGGAAATAGTTGGCAGTGCTTCCTGTGGGGGCATTGAGAATTTACTGAATCATGAATCATGAGACGGTCAGGACTATCTTATGTAGATTGTGAGAGGGCTTTACATACTTCCAGGCATATTTTCGAGATCAGCTACCAGTACTGTGCTTCGGTACCTAGCAAAGACTCAGACATCGGCACAGACCACGAGATATCACCAACATGAGCTGCTTTGGTCGACGTGTTCACAGCCAGCTGATAAGCAGTCGAACTCAAAGCTGTCCACCCAAGACACCGCCCTGGCGTCGTTGCTCGCGAAGTAGTAACCGAGACCTTGTTCACCGCTGGGAGCGTTGCCCAGCGCTATATACCATTTGCTGCCATCGTCTGTGGACATTTTGGAGCGCTGCGACAGGAATAACTCTGTTAGGCGCCGGGCGGAGTCGCATAATTCTGCGCATATATCGCGCACTGTGGCATCTAGGTACGTGCAGAGGCGCTAAGGACGTTTACGGGCGATAAGCAACGGCCATGTATGCACTCATCCTTTCCTCAAGTGCTATCCGCGACTCACCATGTCGTGATTATATAAGTAATGCCCGCCAGCCGGGTGCTTGTATCTTGCCCACCCGGCGGGTATTGGTGCCGGAGTACTGCTGCAGCTGCATTAGACAATGCGATATCCGGGAGGGAATAGAGAACAGCTACCTAGGGCCGCTTGTTGTACCTGGCAGTACTGGCGCCTCGAATCTATGCTTGGCGTCCCGAAGGGGGCTGTCGTCGGTGGTTGAGGTAAGGGTCAGTTTTAGGTTAAAACCCGCGAAGATGCCGAGGCGCACAAAGAACGATGCCGGTCGTTGGCTCTCGCCAGAGCTGTGGGGGTTGTAGGATGTAACTTGGGGATACCCATGAGTGCGCTGTTGCGGTTTGGACGAATGCGGAGTGCTTGCGGACACCCGATGAGCTTTAGAGCCGTGGCGGTGGTGGAGGATGGAGAGGTTGGTACGCCATCACGCTGTGGGCGTCTCCTCTGATATATATGTTCACGATAGAACGTGGGTGAGGCATGTAGGCCTGCTGGAGCGAGCGCTCGCGACCTCGATGAGATACCTGAGTTATCTGTGAAGATGGACTACGATGCCCTCCGAGGTATAGGGGGTGCAAGTTGGATGTAAGTAAGCGAGCGTAAGCATGGACGCGAGCGGCGAGCCTGGCCGTGACAGAGCTAAATGAGCGGGACCACGCGCGTCGCGCGACCAAACACACATCCTTGCATCCTGACCGCCCCCCAACACCACCGTAACAATTTATCAGACAGGGCGAGACAATCGTGGGCATCTCGTGCTCTCTTGTCTCTATGTTGCTATGTCGCTCAAACTCTGTCTGCGTCTCTCAGGCTGCTTCACCTCATTGCATCTAGGGTTCTGCCTCTTCAACGTTTTGCTTCTGTGCTCGAATGGGAAACATTGGCAACTTCGCAAGGTAAACTTTGGCTCTATTTAGACCCTGAGAGGAACACAGATGCAACGTTGTGCATCTCCTTGCGCGCACAGTCAGCGCGCTTGGCCCGACGATCAGGCTCCTGATGCATTATGCTATTCTGTCATGGTGAACCTGATTCCCGTCCTTCCGGGATCATATTAGATCAGCAAAACAATCTTTGTCGTGACCTGTGGCGACCACCGAGCGCGCCTGAGCATATGCTTGTGGTGTGGTATAAAGCTCAGCTGTGTTGCAATAAACGCCATTCCAATCTCGCCCGTTTCTCCCCCTCTCGCGGCTCGTCTCTCGTCTGGCTCCAAGCGTATACGACGCGCTTGTCCCCCACCTTCCTTTGATAACTAAACTCAAAAATAAGTCGTGAAATGCTGCGCCTCCTCCCCGCCGTGGTGGCCTTCCTCTCTTTCACCCAGGGCGCCGTCTCCCTCCGCCCTCAACACCACACCCGCGCCGCGCACGACCTCACCATCCGTGCTGACGCGCTCGCCAGCGCGAAGGCGGATGTCGAGAGCTTCCTGGGCTCAGACAAGGGCGACATGATCCGCTCTGCGATGTTCTCCTCCATTAGAACTAGGTACGCATTAAATCCAATCCCCCAAAGTCCACTTCTGTCGGACACTGATGGTCACACCGATAGCTGGGAGCAGGGCACCGCTGCTGGCGGCGTTCTCGAGTACGACAACCCCGAGTACTCCGTGTTTGGCAGCGCACCTTTTTCCAACAATGGTGCCGAGACGCCTCTGATCCCGCTGCAGTTCGCTCTGAGCGCTGCTGTGCGTCAGACCGCTGATGGGCGGTTGAGCCAAAATATTGGTGATGCGCTCGATGGCGCCGCTCTTGATGGCGCCTCTTCTGGCTCTGTTGTTCTTATGGGCACCTTCACGGACGTCGACCGCAAGGAGTACTGGGCTAACGCGTCTGCGCGTGAACTCGACTATGTATGCGGATAAGGTTTTTCTTGTTTCGCCTGTTGAACGGGCACTCATACAACCGTGAATTGATAGGTCCTCAATGTCGCTCCCCGCACTTCCACCGGTGCGATCTCACACCGCGCCGACTCGAAGCAATACTGGTCAGCTGCCCTTTCTGCTGACTTTGAAGGTTTTTTGATGCTGATCGGCGACCACAGGGCGGATGGCGTCTACATGGGCTTCCCCTTCATCGCATACTACGGCGCTGTCACGAGCAACCAGACGCTCCTCCAGATCGCGTACGACCAGTGCCGTCTCTACCGCGACGCGCTGCTCATCGACGGGCCCACCGGCAAGCTCTGGGCGCACATCTACGACGACAGCACGAAGACATGGAGCGACGAGGGCATCTGGGGAACCGGTCGGTGGTCTCGGGCTCTGTACTATCGGACGTTCTGCCTGCTGACCGGTTACATGTTTTAACAGGTAACGCCTGGGCCGCGCTCGGTATTCTGCGTGTTGCTGTGACGATCGAGAAGACGGAGCATGCGCAGCACATGACGAACCAGACGACCGAGCTCTATGCATGGGTCAAGGAGATCCTCGACGGCGAGTTTGCCGCCATCGTACGTACCCTCTCTCGTTTGCCGCTCTCCACTCCTCCCCGAGCTTATTCGTGCTCTCGACAAAAAAATAGAACGACGACAACCTCTTCCCCGACTACATCACCGGCGGCCCCAACTTCTCCGACGCCGCGACGTCCGCTGCGCTCGCCTCGGTCGCGTTCCGCGCCGCGACGCTGCACCCCGAGACGTTCGGGCTGAACTACACGCTCAAGGCCGACAAGGTGCGCCAGGCGGTGCTCGACAACCTCACGGAGCTCGGCACGATCAGCCCGATCGTCGACCCGCTCGTGTGGGACCAGGTCGGGACGCTGTCGACGGAGTCGCAGGCGTTCGGGCTGATGATGGTCGCCGCGTGGAGAGACTGGGTATTCCCTCTCTGATTGCGTTGAGGGCGATTGTGCTGTGCAGCCATATAGTATTTAATCAACGTCTTTGGTGGTATTTTTAGCTAATTTATGATAGTGGCCGTTTACTACTTATTGAGTCTGCACGGCGAGAGTGAACGTGTAGTAGTCTATCTAACGTGAATAGCAGCGTTTTGTTAGCGTGACGAGCACGCGGGTGTGAGTGAGCAATGGATTCCGATTGGGTTTCCCACCCTCAATTGCAAGGACCACCGAGCTTGGCCATTGCAAATTTGTATTTCCGGATAGCAATGGGGCTCGTTAGTATGAGCTGGGCTTAAGCCTGGCTGGTGGTGTATGCATTTGTGCTGGATGTAAGACATGGCGAATTTACGATGTCATTCAGCGATGCTCTTCAGTACAACTTAGATGTCATCTCGGCGGAGGGCAAGGATGGAGGGGGTGTAGAGATGGTGAGATGGCGAGTTGACGTGTGGGGATTGTTGCCGTGATGGGTGCGTGTATTGTGATTTCGGGTGCACCACACGCTCCAGCTAAACCTTGCCCTCGTCCCCAACGCTGCACCCGTCCCCAGCCAGTCCACAGGCGTATACCCTAGCCCAGCCAGCATTCCACACCCGCCGCTGACGACGCCGCACTAGACGCGCCTGCCCTCCACCCCCGCTTCCTTCCGCCGCCATGGCCCCCAGTCTCAAGCAGCGTCTCGCCGCGCTGTCGACTGCCGCCACCTCCCAGCCCCCTTTCTCGCAGGACGCCGACCTCTTTTCGCCAGGCGGTAGACGCAAGATATTCAACGCGCCGTGGCGCCGCAACACCCAAGACTCCTCCGGCGGCGAGGAGTTGTCCGGCAGAACACACGACAGGGTTCAAGATGTGATGGACAAGGTCATCTTCCAGGCCGGCGTTGATTACGAGTTCGTCTCTTTTCATCGTCTGCACCTCTCCGTTGCCCTTACATCTGCGCTTTGATAACAGAACACGACCGATGTACGCGAATGGCTTCAGTGATCTAGAGCCGTGTGCTGATAGTTAATGTAGGGTTATAATGAACGCATCAGGCCTTCCTGACCCCAAGGAAGTGTCGTATGATATTCTGCTGACGTGAGTGTACTCTTGAAGTATCTAACAAGCTCATCCTCTAAACGCACTTCTAGACGGATACTGTCCTACCTCGACCTGTATGGTGCGCATACACCGGTGTCATCACAGCACATCGAGGCTCACTAGCATCCAGTGGAGTCCGACTACACCGTCGTGTTCTTTGCCGCGGGAGGTCGCCATACTCCGAGCTGGAATTGGGTCTGGAAGGCATACCGCAGCCTGAGCCGCAAATACCGCAAGAACCTCAAACGTCTGGTGAGTAGCATAATTTGCAACTGTGGGGCTATCTGACTGATATCCGGTAGTACATTGTCCATTCTTCCTTCTTCTCGAAGAGTATGTTTTCCTTGCTTGCGTCATCGTAGTGTGTATTGATCCCATCTGCAGTGCTTTTCTCCCTCGCTGGTGCCATCATAAGGTGCCATCATCCGCGACTCCACCATTCTGATCTAACACCACGCCACACAGTCCCAAGTTCTTCCGCAAGATCGAGTATATAAGCACTCTTTCCGAGCTCGCGCGGCACGTTCCCTTGACTCAGATCGACGTGCCGCCTGCCGTCTACCAGTACGCATCGTCCCCGATTTGAAACGCTCTATCTTACATCTGAATTCTGCTCTAGGGAGAACTCGAAGCAAGAGAGACAGATTACCCTTCCCACTCCACATCGCTCGAATGTATTCGGTGTGCCTTTGGAGGAAATTATGGGCTACGATGGCGAGAAAGGCGGGATACCACGTGTCGTGAAGGATGCTATACAATATCTACGAGAGTTTGGTGAGTCTTTTCACATGATACTCCAACAGGTTCCTGACTATTCATCGCGCGTATTAGGCCTCAACGAGGACGGTCTATTCCGTCGGTCGCCAAACTCTGTGCTCCTGAAGCAGGTGCAAGATGCGTATGACCGAGGTACGCATTCATCGAGGAAAATGGTGGTTGCCATCTGATCATGTGGTCCAGGTCAAGTCGTGTCTCTTGAGACCTTCAATGATCCTGCGCTGGCTTCCGTGCTCATCAAGAAGTACTTGCGCGACCTTCCGCAGCCCATATTCCCCGAGCACCTATACCCAACTATCAGACGGTGTCCCCAATCCGCGGACGAGCAAGATATGGCCGGCGTGGAGTACATCAGGAACCTTCTCCTCCCGCAGCTCGCTCCGTGCACATACATTCTCCTCAGCAACGTTATCCGTGCGTACCGAGGTCCTGGTCCGAGAAAGCACAACCTGACCGTTCCATCATAGATCTCATGCACGACGTCTCCCTCCGCGCATCTCAAAACCGCATGGACGCACACAACCTCGCCGTCGTTCTCACCCCCAACCTCGTCGCGGGCCAAAACCCCATGCGCGACGTAATGATGTGCGCCGTCCCCGGTCCCTCCCTCGCCTCCACCTCCGCCCCCACCATCGCCGCCTCCCTATCGCCCTCCTCCTCCTCATCCAGCGGCTCCCCCGCGACCGCCTCGTCCTCGCCCACGCTCGTCGGCGACGCCGTCGAGGGGCGCAACACGCTCGGGAGCGTCGTCAAGCTGTGCATCACGCGGTACTACGAGATCTTCGACGAGGTGCGCGATCCTTCCGAGCCCGTGCGGCGGCCGCGCGGGGCGTCCTCCGAGTCTCCTTCACCGACGCCAACACTTTCATCAGCGTCTTATGCCTCGGGGTCGCTCGACAAGGCGGGGGTGATGAACGGAGCGGGGGGTGGGGGTGGGGTGAACGGGTACGGGGCAAGCGGGTACGGGGCGAGCGGGGCGCCGGTCGTGGGCTCGCGGCGGCGGCCGCAGACGACGACGAACGAGACGGATCCGGCGGACCCGATGAACAGGCTGAGCACGGGGAGCTGGGTGAACGCGGGCGGGCGGCCGTTGAGCTATGGGTCGGATGGGGAGATCGACGATTCGATGCTGGTCATGCCGATTGGACCGGGGGGTGCCGCTGGGGGTGGGGATGGGGACGCGGCGGCGGGAGGGTTTGCGCGGGAGAACGGGAACGGGGCCGCGGGGAACGGGTCGGAGATCACGGTGAAGGGGAGGGCAGTGATGGAGGAGCGGGCGGGTGGAGGTGCATGGGATACTTGGGGCCGTTCGGCGTCGGCATCAGCGCAGGCGCAGGCGTCGAGCTCAAATTCGAACTCGAATGCTACGACGCCAACGCAGACGCATCCGGGCCCGGTGACGTTTCCGTACAAGCCACGGCAGCGCAAGGCCTCGGCTCCCGCTCCCGTTCGCACCGGCCCCGGCTCTGGCATGGGCAGCAGCATGCACGGCGCCCTCCAGAGCCCAGGCTCCATATCAGCAGCGAGCTCAGGCGCTCCCTCGCCCTCGCCAGGGGGAACATACACATTCTCATACGCATCCTACACGTCCTCGCGGAGCAAAACGAAGACCAAGGCGCGGTCGACGATCAGCATCGACCGCGGGTCGCACGCGCTCGGGAGCGGGCGGGGCTCGATCTCGATCGGGCGCGGGGCGCTGCGCAAGGCGGCGGGGGCGGGGGTGGAGGCGGTGGGGATTACGGCGTCGGGGTTTTTTACGCCCGAGGGGGCGCCGCCTGTGCCGGCGGTGCCGTCTGGGCGGGTGGGGTGATGATTTCGATGAGGGGTGGAGGGTGGGGGTTTACGATTTGATTTGATTTGATTTTTATTTGTAGGGTGTTTTTTTTTGGTTCGGTTCGGTTCTCGTGAAGCGTGCATGTGGTTGACGGGTGCAGAGAGACTGCTGGGAGGGGTGGGGGTTTTGACGGAACTTGGGTGTGGGATGTGGGATCGGGGACATCGGGTGTGCTTTTTCGTTCTTCGATTTTTACTGATCTCTTTCTTTCTTTCGCGCTCTCTTGTTGCTTGTATGCTCGACTTTCTGGTAATATGCAGGATGGATTCTAGACCTTTTACTTGACTGCGGCTGAGCGGTTGCTTGAACCTCGCTTTTTGGCGGTCGCTGGCTGGCTATTGCCATTGCCATTGCCAATGCCCATTGGCGCGGGCACTTCGGGGGAGATTAGCGAGACGGAGAGATTGCAGACTCTGCGTTGCTGCCCCCTGGACTCCCTGACGATCGAGTGGTAGGTGCCGCAAGTCTTCGGTTTGGAAGGTTGCTTTTCTGTTTCTAGTTTCTGCCACAAAAGAGCAGCAGGAGCGCATGGGGGTGTTGCTGGGCAACCGGGGCTGCTGCGGATGCGATGCGTTCTTCCTGTCGTCCTGGCTACTTACGCGTCTTTGTCCCCAGAGACGAACAAGAACTGAAGCTGGAAGTCTCCGTTCGTGGGAAATCCGTAATTGTGGTGGGAACGGATCGCGTCGTTGGGCCAATCCGACGGCTCATTCGTGGTCCCCTCGTCGTCTGGGCCATGCAGAAAACCGTGCGGAACAGGTTCTGCTTCTGTTTTCCACTCCACTGTCGGTCGTCACGAGAGTACTTGTGCACTTCTTGCGTGGCAGCCAACGCGAGAGAGTGAGAGACGCGAAAAACATATTGGTTTTTTTCAACTTGAACTTGCCCGCTTCGCAACGTTGCAACGACTACTCCACTCGAGAACCATGGTCGCTGTTCCTAATCCGGCGGATACCCATTGTGCCCCCTATCGTAATGGCTCTGGTTCTGGTTGCCCCAGGTATAAGAAGGGGTCCGTTCCGGCGAGACGAAGCGGTCTCTCTCTTCAAGCTCCCTCTCGCTCTCTGACACTGCACGACTGCGTCGAGTAGCGTCTGTTTGGAACTGGTTTCCTCTTTTCTCTCTTCTCTGTTTTCCATCCATCAACTCTCGGGATCGGCGAACTCCATTCTTTCCATCCGTCCTCGCTCTCTAGCTCGGCCTAGCTAGCTTCGCTCTTATTTTTCTTTTTCGTTCCCACTACACGCGTATCTTCTTCAGCACTGGTTGTTTTTCTTCGCAACAAAATCCAGCACGACGTTGTTTGTTTTTCTGATAAGAAGATGATCCTCTCTCGTGCTCTCTGCGCGCTGGCGCTTACCGTCGCTGCGTCTGCGGCGCCCCTCGCGAGCGTCAAGCGTGACGTTGACGCGTCCCTCGTCCCTGCTTTTGGCATTCAGGCGGGTACCAACCCCGATGGTGAGTTTACCGTGTGCTTGCGCACCAAAGTATGTCTTGACTAATTCTGCTCTACAGGCACAGGCAACTGCGACGGTGTCACAGGCGCCAACGGCCAGGCCGTCCAGATCCCCTGCCAATGCCCTCCGTCGAACCAGACTTTCCTCGCCGTACGTACCTCGTCTCTTGCTCGCCTCCCTTCCTCGTACTTACTCACCTCCCGCTCGCCAGTCCCTCAACGCCAACGTCGCCGCAGGCCAGGCCGTGAACAACCCCTCCGTCAAGGTCGCTTTCCCGACCGACGACAGCACCGCGTCGCAGCTCGCGCGCCTCAACGCCGCCACCGTCACACTGCAGAACCTCAACGGCACAGGCGTCGGCTGCCCGCAGGCGGCGACGACCTGGTCCGCGCTGCAGCAGAAGATCTCCGCGGGGGGCACCAACGCATCCAACGCGGCGCGCCAGGCGGCATCGCAGGCTGGCACGCCCGCGCCCGCGCCCGCGCCTCCGGCCGCTGCTGGCGGTAACGCCTCTGCGAGCTCCAACTCCTCGTCCGCAGGCCCGGCTGCGATCAGCAAAGTTGTTCTTCTCAACCCGGACGGCAAGAACTCGAACGCGTCTGCATCGTCTGGGGCCGGCTCCGTCTCTAGCTACGGCGCTAGCTCTGGTGCGGGTGGAGAGGCCTCGAACTCGAGCTGCTCCGCCGGTGCTGGCTCTGGCTCTGGCTCGACCTCGTCGGCGTGCATGCAGTGCATGATGAGCATGATGAGCGCCGGCTATGGGTCCTCGTCGTCGGGTATGGCTGGTGGCATGGCCTCGGGCATGATGGGCTCCAACGCATCTTCGTCTGGCATGGCCTCCGGCATGACGGGCGCGGGCTCCAACTCCTCCGCGTCGGGCATGGCATCCGGTATGATGGGCAGCAACTCCTCCGCATCCGGCATGATGGGCGCAGGCAGCAACTCCTCCGCGTCGGGCATGATGTCGGGCAGCATGTCCTCGGGCATGATGGGCTCCATGTCGAGCATGAACGCGACGATGGCCTCGCCTGCGTGCATGCAGTGCATGCAGGGCATGATGAGCCAGATGGGCATGTCGGGCGCTGGTTATAACTCCTCTTCGTCCTCTGGCATGGCCTCCGGCTCGATGGGAGGTTCAATGTCCTCGGGCTCGATGGGCGCTGGCTCCAATTCCTCTTCATCCGGCTCCATGGGCGGCTCCTCCAACTCCTCGTCCTCTGGCATGGCCTCTGGGATGATGAGCGGCTCCCAGTCATCGGGCATGTCCTCTGGTTCAATGGGCGCGGGCTCCAACTCCTCTTCCTCCGGCATGATGGGCGGCTCGTCCAACTCCTCCATGGCCGGCGGCGCCTCGTCCGGCACGCAGTGCTCCAACGCGACGATGTCCGCCTGCTCCGCGTGCGCGTCCAGCGCGGACCCCGCGTCGTGCATGGCGTGCATGGGCGGCATGATGAGCGCGGGCGCGTCTATGACGGGCATGTCCCCCGCCGCGTCGTCGTCCTGCTCCGCGTGCATGATGGGCGCGTGCTCCATGGCCGCTGGCAACTCCTCTTCCTCGGGCATGGGCTCGGGCATGGCTTCCGGTCAGATGGGCGCGGGCTCCAACGCGACGTCGTCTTCGTCGGGCATGATGGCTGGTGGCATGGCGGGCGGCATGGAGTCGTCGTGCCAGGCGTGCATGGCTGCGGGCGCGAGCATGGGCATGTCTTCGTCCAACTCTAGCAGCGCTGGGTGCTCCGCTGGTGCGGGCTCCAACTCGACGTCGACCAGTGGTTCCGGCTCCGGCAAAGACAAGGGCAGCAAGGGCAAGGATAAGGGCAAGGACAAGATGGGCGCCGCTGGACAGATGGGCGCTGGTGCTGGTCAGATGGCTGGCAACAGCACTTCTTCGACCGGTGCCAGTGGTCAGATGGCTGGCAACAGCACCTCTTCGGCCGGTGCTGGTGCTGGACAGGGCCAGATGGGCGGTGATAGTGGCAAGAAGATGAGTGGCGGGATGATGGGCGCTGGCGCTGGCGGCCAGATGGCCGGCGGCGACTCGAAGTCGGGCAAGGACAAGGGCAGCAAGAACAGCGGACAGATGGCGGGTGGCATGGCGGGCAGCAACAGCACGTCTGGTGCTGCTGGCGCGGCCGGCAGTAACAGCACGATGGGTGCGACGGGCGAGGCTGGTGGCAACAGCACTTCGGGCGGCTCAGGCTCCTCTGCGCAGCCCGCCGCAGCTGCTGGCGAGGTGCGCGTCGCGACCTTTGCCGACCGTGTGCGCCGTTCGCGCGCGCACATGCTTCACTGAGCGTTTTCCAGAGTCGGTTTGAGTTGACTTACCGTATACCTGCTTATTGGACGCTTGTCGCTGTTTCGGGTTTCTTGACTGTGTACATGTACTATGCTTCGTTCTACTTGTCGTCGCTAGGTTGATACTTTGAAATGGACTTCGTTCTCCGAGAATTGGTAGCGCATTGTTGAGATGATGATCCAACAACTAAGACGGAAGCAAATTGCGTTGTGACGTATGTATGTCGAGCCAGGCAGCCGGCGCTTGTTCACCTCAACGTGCCTTACAGCGTTGGTGCACGTGTCTTGGCCGTCTATCTCCATCGCACCCATGAAGTGCAGTGCTGAGTTTCGGAGAGCCTGAGAGTGTCCTGCTCAACGTTTGATGCGTCTCATCAGAGCTGAACGCTTTTTACAAATCCTTTTTATTTTCTGAACTGAACTGCCCGTGCCTTGCGCGCTAAATCTCTCCCACTTTGGCAGGATGGATCCCATGTATCCTAGCCAACGTTGCTTTGTCCATATGCATATCTCGGTGCTTCAACACCGAGCACGTTTCCTTCTTCCGGTCTCGTCTTCGCTAACATGGTTCAGCGATGTCATCGCCGATGTCAATACACCTTCCGAACACGGCCCGGGGTGTTTCAACAGGATCACACCCATCGTGATGAGCAACAGCATCAGAGGCAATGACACAGCTCGCAACTCGGGTGTTCTCGATGTATGTTGGACCACCAATTCAAAGAAGCCCGAGCCACGACTTCGAGAACCCCACGACTCTTGTCCTCTCCATTGGTGAGATCGCTGACCTAAGATAACACCGCTGCCTCCGCTGTTCATTCTATCCCGGCTTCTGGTCTATATATGCGCACGCTGTTTCACTCCATGTCTCACTCACTAGTTCGCTCTTCATTCCCTCCCATGACCCTCGACGCCCTCCCCATCGAGCTCCTGCACAAAGTCATTGCCTTTCTGGACATCGACGATGTGCTCACCTTACGCCAGGTGCGTAGCATGCCTCCCGCTCCATGCTAACTTTACTTAGTTTGCTTCATTGTCTAGGTCTCTCCATACTTGGACGCCTCAACCTACGACAACAGATCATGGAAGAGAATCTACAGCTCCAGCCGCTTCCCTCGACCCCCTCTCCCCTCCGCAGACCACAGCAGAGACACCCTCGAACGCATTCTGCGCCAGAGCAGCGCCGTGCACCGAAACATGATCGTCGCACCCAAACTTAGCTCAACACGCGCCATCCAAGTGTCCGGCGACAGATCGCCACTCTTGCTCGGCGGACGATGGCTGCTCACCCGCTCGCCGAAACAAATTCTTTGTCGTGACCTGGACGCATCGCCCGCCGCAGAAGGAGATCGGTTTCCGCCATCTGTCATATATCAACCAGAGAACGGGAGCGTGGGCGCGTTCACCTGCGCGGAGGTCACAGGATATGATGGGAAACACCACGCGTTCATCGTGTTCATCGAGAGAACCACTAGCCTTTCGTGAGATGTCCTTCTCTTTTAGCTGTGTGCCTTGCGACTTATGCTGCTATAGCGTGGTGGTGCTGCAGATGCAGGGCGGCTGCAACGCCAGTCTGCATCGACCGTACTTCAAAGAGATATACCGTCGACAAGGGCCCTCGCGCTTCGTCACCACTGAATGGGACCCGCCATCAGTCGTCGAAGCGATCATTAGTCCTTCAGCTTTGCTCATCACATGGTCGAGCAGCCGGTACCGTTACGTCATCCTCGACATCGACACCTCGCAAGAAGTGCGGAGGTCTCCCGAAGGCGTTGTCGTGCCACCTCAGCTGGACAACATTGAGGTACGAGCTCGGCATGCGTTCATGCCCCGTGGTTTGCTACTACTAACCCGACACCGCCTTGGGCAGGATCATCCTCAGGTCGACGCATGCGTGCCCCCAGAGTGCTTCTCGCAGAGCTACAGTCTTACGAGTTCGCATCTCCTCGTCGTACGGACGTACACCGAAACGACCGCGTCCGAGGGCCGATCAGAGAAGACGCGGATCGATGCGACGCCCTTGGCTGCTCTCATCGGCGCCGAGAGGACTCCTCCGTCCGCATCGTTCGGTGTAGTCGACGGCACGTTGCGGAACCTGCGGCTCTTGCGTGACTCTGCCGTAGATCTTGAGACTGGGATGTCCAGCGTCTTCGTGCTGGCTTCTCGCGAGAACGAATCTCGGCTTCCCGACTCGCCGCCGACGCTAGTTGCTGCTCGTCTTCTTATTCCCTCGGCTGCGTCTACAGCGCCGATCAGCATACAGCTGATAGAGATCGAGGGCATGAGCGACTTTACCTCTAGCAGTCTGGTCGTCCCTCCATCTGTGAACGGCTCGACACGCATCCTGTACAGCGACGAAGGAACTCCGTGGCATCCCAAGTTCGAGGTTGGTGCCCTGGCCGTCGTTCACGATGAGGATACTGGCGCAGTCAGATGCACAGCGAACACTGTAGCTTCTTCTGTGCGGTTCTTTGGCGGCCTCGAGGCTGAGAACAAGAGATGGAGTCTTGTCGATGCGGATCCGATTCGGGGTAGAGTGTGCTTCGTCGAGGATGAACTGAACCGGAGAGCACGAAGGAATAGCATCATCAGCATGGTTCACATATGTGACTTTGTAGAAATATCTAGCCCGATGTATACCTAGCAGCCATTGTAGCATACGACTTGTCTTGTTCGAACCACAGAGACTTTGCAGATCACGGGTGTGAGAGTGAAAGCCCCTATCTTGACTTGTGCCAAAACGGTGCTGACATCGGCAATTTCCGGTCACAAAATTTCTGGCCAGCTGCTCGTGCCGGGGACAGACAGGGAGGCGCCGGCAACAGGACCGTTGTACACTAACCTTTAGTTTGAAAGGTTCTCAAAAGTTACCAAGATGGTAACGCACGCACTCTTCGAGTCGGCGTCGGGGTACGCTATATTCAAGGTCAAGCTCCATGAAGATATCGGGACGAACACGCAGGCGATGCAGGACAGCATCGACGACCTCTCCAAGTTCGCCAAAATGGTCACTCTTGTCAGCTTTTCGCCTTTCAAGAGCGCAGCAGACGCTTTGGAGAACATCAATGATGTGTCGGAAGGTGCGTCTATCCTAGTGATCTCATACAGGAGTATCGCTGAGCTCGATGCTTGCAGGTTTGATCACCGAGCACCTGCGATCCATCCTCGAGCTCAACCTGTCCAAATCCCAGAAGGCTTCAAAGATCAGCCTCGCTGTCTTCGACTCTGGCCTTGCCTCTAACATCAAGGACACCCTGAACATCGGCTGCGACACCTCTGAGATCTCGCAAACCATCATCCGCGGTATCCGCCAGCACGCCGCCAAGCTGCTCACCGGCCTCGAGGCGAACGACCTCTCCAAGGCGCAGCTCGGGCTCGGGCACAGCTACTCCCGCGCGAAGCTGAAGTTCAACGTGAACCGCGTCGACAACATGATCATCCAGGCCTCGGCGCTGCTCGACCAGCTCGACAAGGACGTGAACCTGTTCGCGATGCGCGTGCGCGAGTGGTACGGCTACCACTTCCCCGAGCTCGCGAAGCTCGTCGCGGACAACTACGCGTACGCGCGCGTCGCGCTCTTCGTCGGGGACAAGGACACGCTCGACGAGGCTCGGCTCCCCGACCTCGCGCGCATCCTCGAGGACGACGCGACCGCCGCGCAGAACGTGCTCGACGCCGCGCGCGGGTCGATGGGCAGCGCGCTCTCGGACGTGGACATGCTGAACATCTCGGCGTTCGCGCAGCGCGTGATCAGCATCGCGGACTACCGCCGCTCGCTCGTCGCGTATCTGAGCGAGAAGATGAACCAGGTGGCGCCGAGCTTGACGGCGCTGCTCGGGGAGCGCATCGGCGCGCGGCTTATTAGCCATGCGGGGAGCTTGACGAACTTGAGCAAGTATCCCGCGAGCACGGTGCAGATTCTCGGGGCGGAGAAGGCGCTGTTCCGCGCGCTGAAGACGAAGGGTAATACGCCAAAGGTATGTTTTCGAGAATTATGTACTGCTTTTTATACTTATCATATTATTCCAGTATGGCCTGCTTTACCACTCGTCATTCATCGGCCGTGCCGGACCCAAGCACAAGGGCCGGATATCACGATTCCTCGCCAACAAGTGCTCCATTGCCTCGCGTATCGACTGCTACACTGGTAAGAAATGTGCAACTCATAATACTTTTATTTTTTCTAATTATCACCACAGACAACCCTACCCCCAAGTTCGGTGTCGCCCTCCGCGAGCAGGTCGAGGAGCGCCTCACCTTCTTCGAGACCGGTGCGCCACCATCAAAGAACGCAGATGCGATCCGCAAGGTCCTGGACAGCCTCGACCTCGAGGATGACGATGAGGAGGACGAGGATGCCGAGCCCGCGTTGCCGCTGATCGAGGCTGAGCCCCCGAAGAAGAAGGGCAAGAAGGATAAGAAGGAGAAAAAGGATAAGAAGCGGAAGGCGGACGAGATGGAGGTGGATGAGGACGAGGAGACCGAGAGCGAGCCGGTGAAGAAGGTGAAGCTGTCGAAGGAGGAGAAGAAGGCGCTGAAGAAGGCGGCGAAGAAGGAGGCGAAGAAGGTCGCAAAGGAGGCTGAGGACGCGGGTGATGGCGAGGTGAGTAGTCTTGACGTTGCTTTTATTTGTTGTGGTGCTGATGCTCTATCAGTCGAAAAAGGAGAAGAAAAAGAAGGAGAAGAAGCAAAAGGACAAGTCATGAGGCGATCGTCTACGTGTCTATGTTTTTTATGTATGCTCCTGTCTTACTGCTTCTCATGCTTATTTGCTTCCCGAACATCTGTAAACTTTAACATGTTCAACATGCTTCCATGATGAGATTAGTGGAAGGTAACGAATAGCAAAACACTTGCTTGTGACTGGTGGAGCCAGACCTCAGGACCAATCACCGTTCTCCTCGAACTGGGATCATCGAATCAAACTTATCGTTTTCGGGCGGGCAGCACCATAGCCGAGATTCAGCAATGGGCGCAGTAGCCCGTGGTCGAGGTGCAGTCTGGTGTAGTCGAGAAGGGACAAGACAGCAATCATCCCTAAACTCCTTTCATGTCATCCCATTTCCGAACTGACATGGCCATGGAACACCTATAGAGCTGTTCGACCAGTCTGTAATAGCAGACGAGAAATTTATTAATCGCGGATTCTCCACGCCCTGGGGACAGCCTGGGACAACGACAACGCACTTGGAAATTGAAATCGCATGTCACCGACTAAAACTTACCCCGCCTCGGGTATTAGGATGTGTAAGCTGTCAAGCACGTTTTCGACATCTCAGTTGCGGATCCTTGCTGATCGTTTCTTTCTCCCCAACCGCGGCGACGCGACAGGGCCCCGCAACCTCGTCAGCGTGGTTACGTGGTAAATCTGACAATGTCTACGAAGCGCGAAACTCAGATACAAGGGTTGTCGGCTAGGTCGGGTTATGTAGGTCGAAGGCAGTCGGTCGAGGATATGCGGACGTCAGGGCAGGTCAGGGCGCTTGCTATGCAGTGCCTTACACATACTGTGTGCTGGCAATCTCTGGCAGTATAGCTTAGGCCTGCTTAGGCTCTCATAGGCTGGCGTGTGCGGATCATTGACACTGATGTTGGCTTTAGTGTGACGCAATCACCGAGGTAAAAACTCTGCAGATCTCCATGTGGCTTCGTAGAGATTTTTGGGTTTGCGAGCTGTCCGGAGAGTAGGTTATTGGTGAGCAGCGCGGCTCTTTGATGACCTGGTCAAAACCAGTGGTTAGTAGTATGAGGATCGCATAGATTAGAGCAGAGGCGGTGCGGGGGACGCATGCATATCTCAGGGATATCTCGACTCCTCGGCGCAGCCCGAAGCTGATTCTGGAGTTGAAGGACTGAAAGTCCGAATGGATTTGGCGAAGATGGTGTCCGAACCTGCAGGGGAAGGTGGAAGGATCGCGTCCAACTAGTCTTCTAGCTAGTACGTAGTCCTACTTATCACGTGAGGATGTGTGGGTACAAATATTCGCGAGCTTTGCCTCGGGGGCTCTTTGATTCTAAAGTCCATCACTGATTTCTTGCTTGCGCATGTGCTCCTGCCGTGCCGCGCCCTTGGGCCTGGAAACAATGTCAAATGTCCAAGGGATCTTTGTTTATGCGGATCGAATAAACAGGGATTTCAATGGGACGGGCGACTGCCATAACCATCAGGACCCCCGAATGCCCCTATTGAAGTCCGAGGTTGACCCACGACCCCAGCCCAACCCAGCCCCGGGTTTTTCTTCGTCTGGGTGCCCCCCAGACCCCGGGTATCCTACCCTGGACATAGGCCTAAGGCCAATCCAAACCCCGGGTTCTACCCTGGACATCAGAAGCCCAAATTTGGGATCTGTGAAGGCCAAAATCGCATTTTTCGCCCTAGGAGCGCAAGCAGAGGCGAGTATTACTTTACTGACACGACATATACTACTAATTTAATGTTTTCGAAATCTGACAAAATATGGGTTCGAACCCGAGACCTCGCGAAAATAATTACACGATGGAACAATTATACCGTTGCACCACAGTGGCTTACTCGATGTTGCCCCGTTGCTGTATATGACTAGCTACCTCGAGTTCACTGGTACCCCCTGCTTTTACCCAACTTCGCGGGCAATTGCTATGCCTATGGTCGCTATAGGTCAATGATTAGGAATATTCTTGTGTTTGTATGGCTATAGACAATCTGAGAAATCTGTTTTACTGCTATTTTCTAAACCATCTTCTGCCTGGTGCTGAGAAAATATATTGAAAATCTATAACAGTTGCGCGGGTTAGGTATCATTTAAGGCACTGGATCGTGGGATATAACCCTAAATGTTGATAAATGGTTCAATTCTACTCAGATTAGGAAGACTTCATCTCAAACCCTTAAATCTACCCTGATAACAAGGAAAAGGTCTTGAGTATTTGTCCGATCCTTCCCTGAATATGGAAACTTTAGGGTCCTCGTATGGATTATACCGACCCCAGCCCCGGGTTCTACCCCTGACATCGGCCTACGAGGCCTGCCCGCCCCGGGTTTTACCCTCGACATCTGGCCCAAAACTTGGACCAAACCCTGGGTCCTACCCCGGAGGTCGGGCGCTGACGCGCCCTCAAACCCCGGGTCCCAACCCTGGACTTCCATAGGGGCATTCAGGGGTCCTCTGCCATACGAGCCAGGACATGCCCCGAGAAAAATGGCGAGGTACGGTATAAGTGACAGCGAGTGAACATCCCGACTCGGAACGCCCAACGAATCTGAAGTTTGTGAAGACTCGAAGGTCAGGACAAGGTCAGGAGGGCAAATTTGAACTGCATCCAGTTGGCGGCGCATACATGTCTACTTCATGGTGCAGGAACAATAGATTGACAATAGAAGACATGGTTCCGATGGAGCCACACTACGCCTCTACGAATGAAGTGACTTGACTGAGTGAGCACGTTCCACTCCAATCTACATCGGTTTCTCACCGATTGTGACGGTGGGCTGAATATAGAGGCATACAATAGGTGTCCACTTCGTTGCAGTGCTGTTCCTTCTTATATGGTCAAATTAGACTTTCTGGTTGCACTTTCTGAATCTCACAAAGCTGGGCTGAAGAAAATCACGCGGTGGGCAGCTCAAATTCAACGAGCATACGTCAAACATGTCATCCTGAAGGAGAACGAGTTGAAAGGTAATGTCACTTCTCGAAACTTTCCGAGATGCCCAAGTTGATTGCTCGATCAGTAGTCCGCAGCATCTTTGAATGATGTTGACATGTTCATGGGGCTGCTGTAAAATGCTTTTGGCTACCGCGAGGGTTCAATCCGCCAACGTATGGAGCACTAGGTAAGTCGGCGTTTGCCCCGATTCTAGCAGTTCCGATGTTTGATCCATTATCTTCATTTTCGACCCCACAAGCATGGAAGCGTGATGATGAGCCCGGCGTTGGCTCCATCGTACTGTGTCGGCAAACTCTAATCATTCTCGATCGGGGCTTGTTGTTTTCCTATTTTCAGTAGCGCCTTAACATAAACACCATCTCGCTTCTTGTGAAGGCCCGACCTGAAGCTGTCAGAGAACGTCAGAAAACGACAGCAGGCGACAACTATGTAGAAAAGCTTCTCTGTCGCTTGGGGAGGGCATTGGGGTCCGGCAGGGCCGGTAACCGGTCTGACGTCGCACAAAGATCTACGGACTCGGGATGGCCTCGGCCAAGGGTAACTTGTCTGGCTGCTCTCGAATTTCCAGGTGGACAATGTTCTGATGCCCCGAAATCTTGAGGAGGCGCGCTTACAAGGCCATTGCCAGGTTACAGCTGGTTACAGACTCTATCAGCCGGCGACCGATCCATGATAGGGACCACGTATTTCGGTACCCAGCCTGCGAACCCCAATCGGGAGCCGGAGCGCTTCATATGCTCCGCTAACAGATTAGGAAACTGTCATACACGCGTGGCTCGCTTACGGTGCGGAGGCAAGTGGGCGAGTCGCGTCCCTGGCTCCTCAATTCCGGATCGTGATAACAACCACAGATGGCTACTGGCGCCCAGGGGCTTAATATATACGCGACCAGGTGGGGTGCTCCGGACCTACTTCAAGTTTTCTGGGACCACGACTGTTGCTTCAGCCCGACCCCCCTACACTTCTGTCGCACTGCAGTAGGTCGTGTTCCCAAAATCCGCGTCGGGGGCACACTGTCGACGTTCTTGGCTGCTTATCTCGAGTCCGCGACGCCTCCCCACACCGAACGCTGTGCAGGTCCTTCGGCCTTCGGTGTACACCGTCCTTCCGTCCAAGCCCTCAGCAAGCATCCTTTATTAGTTCGCGAGTCGTAACTTTTCCGCTCTTTACTGCCCCATCGCTCTCGTTCCTCGACGCGACAATCATGACGGACATTCTTGTGGGCATCAAGTTTGACAATACGTTAGGCGCCCTGTTCGTCGGCTTCGCTGCGTCTGCCGTGTACGTGACCTGTCATCGACGTCGAGATGTTGACTCACCTAGGTTTCGCTCTCAGAGGCTTCGGTATCTTCACAACACAGGTAGCTGCTTTAAGTGGGTCATTTTGAGTTCTGGCTGACAGTGTCACAGGTGTGGACATACTACGGGAAATACCCTGGAGACAAGCTCGCATATAAGCTTCTCGTGCGTTTCAACATTCTCGCTGTCTGCGCAGCCCACTAAGCGTATCATTAACTGCAGGTACTTGCTCTATGGTACGTCAAGTTTTTGCGATCGCGTGATGGATGGGTTCTAACCAGCACTCTATTAGGTTGTTGGAGGCTGGCCATCAAGCCTTAGTAGGGCATACAGTGTACTATTACAGCGTAAGGTACGTTGACGTTCTCTCACAGCAGTCGATTGAGTTGTTGATGCACTTTCTTGACGTTGACAGCAACTACTTGAATCCAGTTCCACTGCTCCTGGGTAAGCCTGCATGGTATGTGGACATCTATGCCAAACCTTGCATTATCCTCACTCCATGGTTACAGGAGCTTGGTCGTAAGTCTTCCCATGCAACGCTTCAAAGAAGCCTGATCTTTATTGTCAATTTCCTTTTCAAGATTCAGCTCGCCGTCGGTGTAAGTACAGGGTCCAGACTTTCAGGGCATCCAGGAGGCTAACGACAGCTCGCCAGGCATTGGTCGGCACTGTTGTGAAAGTGTAGGTGCTTCCATTGTGTTCAAGGAGATCACCGGCTGATACGGGCGGTCCCAGAGCGTTTTGTGTCAGAGTCTGGCGCTGTAAGTATCCACAACACAACGCACACGAGCGGCATTATCCTCACCCCGAATCTAGTCAGCTACCGCAATTGGCCCCTTACGATCTTTTTGGTGCGTGTTCCTACGTTCAAGCGGAGATCACGGGCCTAATGTGTTGGACAACAGCTCTTCCTGACGCTGGCACAAATGGGTGGGTTTGTCCGCTCCTCGGACATAGATTTCACCAACCAATGGATCCTCTCCTCGACCGCTTATTATAGGCCTTGCCGTCAGTAAGTCATCCGCCGCTGAATTTCTTGTTTGCGGTTCTGACGGCCCGGTTACTATAGCTTTTACCGTTGAAGCGTACTTGCCTGTTTCCTTTTCGGCGCCACGGCGTCGCATACATCTTGCTTACTACTGCTACACTCTTCCAGATTCAATATCCCGTCCTTGGAAAAGCTCACCGATATTAGGGTAAATGATAGTCCACTGTTTCCGATCACCCATTCTGATGGTAGTCCACCTCAGGTCGTGGGGAGCGTTGATCTGGGGCTCGCAGTCGCCAACGATGTGTGCATCGCGGCGGCGCTTTGCTACTATCTGCAGAGTATGCGCAGGGCACATACGCGCTCTACGTGTGTTCTATTCCACTCAAGTCAATGAAGCAACCTACTAATATTGATGGAATGAAGTGCGGACAGTCTTATCAACAGGCTAACTCTGTATGCCGTCAACACTGGCATCCTTACAAGGTGTGGGAAGGGCGTTAGACTTCGGTCTATTATTATGGCTAATCTCCTTGATTATTTCAGCGCTTGCAGTCTTACCACTCTGGTGCTCGTGAGTGTGTTTCATCCTTGTGGATTGGGGTTGTTTCTGACGTTTGAGCGTGATCGCAGTACAATTTGATGCCCCAAAACTTCATCTTCATCGGATTCTATTTCGTGCTGAGCAAGTGTGAGTATCGGGTCCGAGTGTGATCACGCGCATATGCTAACGGCAGCCTCCAGTGTATGGCATATCTTTCCTAGCAACGTGAGTATTACTCAAAAGGCATACGTGGCACGGAGGCTGATTCCGTCTTCGTGGGTCCGTGTGGCGGAACAGGATGAACACACGCCAGATCATCCGCGGCCGCGGCACTGACAGGCAGGGTGGCAAGACGACGTCATTTCGCATGGTGGGCCAGGAGAATACGCTTGGGCTTCCGATGCAGCTCCCCGAATATGAGACGACTGCATCGAAGGTACGTCCGCTGGCTTAAACTATGATGACGTCAGCTTACCAGTAGACTCTTTGAACAGTATTCTGACACTGGTTCCCCCACAAAGGTGAAGGTTACTAGCCATATAGTTCGGACAGAGTCACTGATTTCGAAGAAACAACCCAAAGTCGGCCATGCAGATCGAAGTTGGCGTTAAGACCGATGTTGTAGTAAGTGGCGGTTGTGGCTCTGCACATTTTGAGCTGAAGCTGACGGGAACCGGCGTTCGCAGCATCACTACGGCGATGCTTGGTAATTCCGTCGTGGATATTATCCACTTACTTGAGGACCCAACTCAGCACAGATTCGCGCAAACATCGTCCCTGGACTCCGCCATTCAAGTCATTGCTTTCAACTCCCTATTGTACAAGTTCGCTGTCTTTCTCCGGTTCCAGCCCATCTGCTCCCCTTTGTTGTCTGTTACCTAAGTAACTTATCTAGTCGCATCTGTATTCCTCAGTCTGCTGGCAGTGGCAGCAGACCTCACGCTCAACCCGCTTCCTTCACATCGAATCATCCGCTCTTTACTCGGCTAAACTGATTCGCTTCTTCGATGTTTCTTTTCTCTGTTTTCCTTATGCTCGTCGGGCTGCTCCTTCGTTTCAAGCTGTCTATGGGCTGAACCAGATTCTTTGCTTGTTGCACCACCACCATCATTTGTATAGTAATTCTTGAACGGCAATGTATTAGACTTTCATTGATCCTCTGAACTCATTGGCACTTCTGGCTTCCGACTGTGAGCTGAGTCCAAGCCGCGATCTTCAGGCATGATCGCCCAATTTGGCTCCGTCATTGGGCGGCGCGATGTCACGGTAGCGGCCTCGTCTCGGTCAAGCCCGACACGCGACATGCGTGGGAAGCTGTGAATGACGTCGAGCACGGTCTGACCAGCCTGGAGGCTGGAGCACGCTTTGGCACCTTCTGGCACGCTGTCCTGCGGTACTCCATTGTGTAGCAGGTGGCCGCCTAGAGAATTTGCCGCGCTTGCCCAGGCACCTCGTCATTCTTCGTTCTTCTATTCTGCATCTCCTCGATTCTCATCCAATCCTGTCTGAGCCAACTCACCGAGAGCGGTCCTCTGCATATTGGCCAAGTCACGGGTACTCCAAGGACGCGTGAACGCGTGAAACATCGCAGTCATAGGACCTCAACTTCGATACCAACGCACAAGTAGTCGGTCGAGGCCTAGACGAGCAGGATGGGTATAAACAAGCCTCAAACGACCATGGGTCCCCTCGACGGCTTGCCTTCCTTCCACGAGAAGTCCGACGCGCCCTCCAGACATCCCAATAGCACCATGCCGCCCTTCGGTGACAAGCCAGACGCGACCACTCGTCCGCGCAAGCCATCATGGATGTTACTCGCCCTGTTCTCTATGCTATGTGTCCTGGCTTCGCCTGTCAGGCCGTTCTCGTGGACGTTTGCACCCTCCGAGGGTGCGTTAACCTCGAGCGTTGATGTCCGCGCGGAAGACGCATCGTCGAACACGACCTTGTTCGACAGTGGAAGGACGACCGACGTGCAGTGGGACGGATATAGCTTGTGGCTCAAGGGACAGAGGGTGTTCATCAAGTATGTATGCTGTTTCCATTGGCGCGTCCGAAGCTAACCTAGATCCACTCACTAGCTCTGGAGAGTTTCACACCTTCCGTCTGCCTGTTCCCGACCTCTGGCGTGACATACTCCATAAGTTCAAGGCGGCAGGGTTCAACACCATCAGCGTTTACACGCACATGGCCCTGCTGAACCCGGCTCCTGGTGTCCTTGACTTCGATGACTGGCGTGCCATCCAGCCCCTGTATGACATAGCGAAGGAAGTAGGCATCTTCGTCATCTTGCGTCCTGGTACGTCAAATGTGTTGAATGAATAAGACGAGTATGACTAACAACTACACCTGAAGGTCCCTACATCAATGCCGAAACAACGGCAGGTGGTATCGCACATTGGCTCACCTCGACGGTCAATGGTACACTCCGCACCAACGAGACGGACTGGTACGATTCGTGGCAGGACTATATGCATGGTATAGTCAACAACACCGTCGGGTACCAGATCAACGAAGGTGGACCGGTCATTGGTACGATTCCTTCCCTTACAATAAACGGATGCTCTCTTACTACGAAACTGCTCAACAGCTGTTCAAGTTGGTGAGTGCGTTCTTGAAAATCCCATCATATCATACTCATAAATCCCTAGATAATGAATATTCTCAAAGCCCTGACCCTCGTGCTGAATACTTCGTGCAACTTGAGGCCTTTTTCAACTCGACCGGTATCGTTGTTCCTCTGACGGGGAATGACGCGGGAATGGGATACAATTTTGCCACCGGAACCGTGAGTTTATGTTCAGCCGAAAATTTCTTGCTTCTAACGTTTGCTCTCAGGGTGCCGTCGAGATTTATGGGTATGAAAGGATCATAGCTGACATCGTATGAAGCTAATATTTTTCTAGCTTGGACAATTATCCTCAGTTCTTTGACTGCTCAAACCCTGAGAAATGGAACCCTGTAATTGAATATCATACCTATCACGAAGGTATTTCCTGAGCTGAAAGTGCCTTACAAAGAGACTTAAGAATTCGCCAGATCTCAACCCGTGGCAACCCTATTACTTCCCTGAGGTTTGTTTTAGGTTTGATAAAATGGTGACTCCGCCTCAACGTTTTGCAGTTCCAAGGTGGTGCTTTCGATGCATGGGGTCCCTCTTCTCCTGGTATGTTAGAAAACTTCTGTTTTATTTATTGCCTCACTGAAAGAAACGCCTTACTAGGTTACGATAACTGCCGTGTCCTGACCGGTGCTGATTTCGAAAACGTTTTCTACTTGGACGTTTGGGCGGCAAATGCCAAGATGATCAGCTATTATATGCTTTACGGGTAAATATTTAATTTATTGAAACGACTAAGGCAGGGCTAAGAAATGCGTAGCGGAACATCATGGGGAGGCCTTCCTTTCCCCGGAGTCTACAGTAAGTACGTTTATTGTGGAAGAGAATCATTACTGATCGTCTATCCAGCGTCCTATGACTACGGTAGTGCCGTCGCAGAAAACCGAGTGTTGTCGTACAAGTATCCTGAGCTCAAGCGTCAGGGCTTGTTCTTGCGCAGCTCTCCCGATTTTTACAAGACGGACTGGGTTGGCAATAGCACCGCCGGTGCTGTCACTGTCTCCAACCCGGATGCCTACGTGACTTACCTCCGTAACCCCGATAGTTCGGCTTCGTTCTACATTGCTAGGCAGAACGATTCCACCTCAACGTGAGCTCTGATCCATGACTCACTTTCTATTGAACCTTTCTCATGATTGCTGCCTACCTAGCGATACGACGGCTTTCAAGCTCAATGTCACCACCTCTACCGGTGCTCTCGAGGTTCCTCAGGTAGCCTCCAACATCACTCTATCCGGTCGCCAGTCCAAGATCATCTTCACGGACTATACCTTCGGTACCTCGTCCAAGATCCTGTGGTCCACTGCTCAGATCATGTATGCTGGTCGCATCGGAGACAGGGATGTCGTTCTCCTCTACGGTGACTCTGATCAAGAGCATGAGACCGCTGTCTTTTTCACCGGCACGCCATACATGCAAGCGAACTCGAGCGACGTTACTACTACGTCTGCTTCGGGGAGCAACGCGACTGTCGTCAACTTCCTTCCAGGCGTCCAGGGTCTCATCACTGTTTACGACTCCACCGAGCAGCTCGTGTTATTCGCGGACACTGTCACAGCAGGAGACTTCTGGTCGCCCGATGTCCCCTCTAGCGACAGCTCCGATGCTTTCGGTGCCTACTGGCAATTCGGAACGAACACGTCCGTCCTTGTCGGCGGCCCCTACCTTGTCCGCAACGCTACTATCGACGGCTCGACGCTCGCATTGTTCGGTGACCTGAATGACACTGTCAGCCTGACTGTCATCACGCCGCCCTCTGTCAACACCATCACTTGGAACGGTGCTCAGCTCTCTGTGGACTCTTCGGCGACGAGCAGTCTGACACACGTCGGTGGCTTCGTCGGCCAGCTGTCGCTCTCCTCGAGCGCCTCGGGCATCAGTGTTCCGCAATTGTCGGGCTGGAAATACGCAGACAGTTTGCCCGAGATCCAGAGCAACTTCTCCGATGCCAGTTGGACGCTCGCGAACCACACGACGACGGTCATTCCCTTCCCACCTTACTATGGCGATGGCCGTATCCTGTACGGGTGTGACTACGGATAGTAAGTTTATTTTTTCTGCGTTCCTGGGGATCAAGAGGATGCTGATGGTGATTGACTATGTTTAGCTGCGAGAACATCAATCTCTGGCGCGGCCACTTCAATGCCTCGCAGGACACGCAGTCGATGAACCTGTCCATCAACGGCGGAGAAGGTGAGCATCTCCAAATAGCCTTTGCGTTCTAATCATTACTTACAACAAATTGCCTTTTTTCTCAGCGTTCGCTGCCAGCGTCTGGATTAACGATGTATTCTTGAGCACCTCTTACGGCAAGTGAGTGATGATCTACCTGTAATTTTTTCTTGGATAATTTTAACGATGCTATCATAGTTCCACGAATAACCAAAACTCCATTGTCGAGACGGACCAGAAGTTCAACTTCCCTGAAGGCTCCCTCAACATTGGAGACGACAATGTCGTCACTGTTGTTCAGGTACGAAATTATCGCGCGGTGGGCACGTAAATTCTGACGCCGATATCAGGACAACATGGGCCTGGACGAATCTGGATGTATGTGGAATTGCTGTTATTCCCAAGGTCCATGGTGCTGATAGCAGATGTAGCCACCGGCAACGAAGAAAAATCGCCTCGCGGTATCCGTGGCTTCGTCCTTAACACTGGTGAATTCGGTGACTGGTACGTCCAGGGCAAGATCGGAGGTTACACCAAGTACGCGAAACTCGTCTCCTCTCACTGGTGTCCCGACTTAAGCGGAATTACAGCTATCCCGACAAAGTACGCGGCCTGCTCAACGAGGGCGGCCTCTATGGTGAGCGCGCCGGCTGGCACCTGCCAGGCTTCGACACGTCCTCTTGGGAGTCGCGCGACCTCTCGCAAGGTCTTCCCAACAGCACTGCTGGCGTGGGCTTCTTCGTCATGACTTTCGACCTGAACATTCCTGCCGGATACGACGTGCCCATCTCTTTCAATTTCGAGAATGAGCTTGGTCAGGCATACCGCGCAAGGCTGTTCGTCAATGGATGGATGATGGGTCAGCGGGTGGCCAACCTTGGGTGCGTTGTGGAATGTCTACTTTGACGTTTGATTAGAAGACTCACGGCTGCGGTTTTAGACCTCAATACCAGTTCCCCGTGCACCAAGGCATTCTCAACTACAGCGGCACCAAGTGAGTGCATAGGCTCGATCGTTTTTTTGCACCAGTTGACGATACTTCTTCAGCACTGTTGCCGTCGCCCTCTGGGCCATGGAGTCTTCCGCCGTCACGCCGACGCTCAACCTCACTATTCAAGGCGTATATGAGGGTGGTGTCGGTAACATCGCGCTCAACAACCCTGCCTGGTCTGCCACAGGCAGAGAGACGAGCGCATAAAGGGACTGCTCTTGACATTTTTTCCTTGCTGTGACATTTGTTGAACATTTGCAAATCCTTGTATAAATCTTGTACTTCCGAAATATACTGCGTTGCATCTCAAAAAGTAATTTCCCGCCCCTTCTTCATTCGAAGGCAATGCTGAAACCGGTTTCAATCTCCACCCCCACCTATGAGAACGAAATGGCTGAACGAGTGTGACATGTGCACAGCCAGACACGTGTCAAGCGTGATACTGCTGAAGATTGAAGTAACGTCACGTTGTGTCACACAGTTGACCCGATGCGCGAATTTCCCAATAGCCTTTCGTTGACTTTCATCGTGACGTCTCCAGGTTTACGCATGTTCAGCACACACTCGTGGTGAGCCATCTCCCTGGAGCGTATTCTTTGCGGATCATGCAACAATGAGAAACTTGCGATCATCCGCAGTCTGTCTTACGTCTTTCTCAGCAAATGTAAGGAAGCTCAGGTCACAATTGTACAGCACCACAGGTATTGGTGCGTCGCACAAGGATGTTTACCGGCGTTGCTTGTGCCCAAGTCATTGTCTCCGACGATCTCCTTGTGCTCTCCCATTGCTGGTTCTCTTGACCAAAAAGGAGCTCCGAGTCAAGTGTCAGTGCGAGCACGATCCTGGGGACACAGTTGATGGTTCAAGCGATGCATGCCGTTCTTTGGCTTGATCGGTGCATGGCAAGCGTGTGTAGGAGCTACAGCACCCTGAAGGACGTTAGGAGCCGCCTCAGGAAACCATCGCTGATCGTTATCGACTCATAGGACGCAGCTCAGCGCTCCGCACGGAGTTACCCATCTTCAAGGCGCTGTGAAAGCTGAACGTTCCGGCGTCTACCCTTCACGGCTTCTGTTCTTCATGACCCTCACGTTATAACCTCTGAGCGTTTGGGCTTATTTGTCTGGCCTATTACATTTCCTCATCAGAGAAGCCTACGCGATCTTGGGGCTTGACTCTCCTCCCAATTTAACGGGCTGTGTTCACGGGCTCCTCGGTCTATAAACATACCAAAGAGGTAACCCCAGCATCTAAGAAAGGATGCCCTATGCACTAGGTGGATGGTACTTTAATGATAAGTCCACATCTATGGGCTCCCCCCTTCTCGTGCGCGAGGGCATGAGGATGTTCAGACAGGCGGCTCTTAGCGCTAAAATCCGGTGCATCAGACTTCCCGGTGTCCTCGAGTCTTCCGCATGTTCGCTAGACGACCATAAAGTACGTGAAATTGATCTTTGCCGTGATGTAATAAGCGCAAATGTACACAGCTGCCATGTGTCCTTTACGGCAATAAAACTGGGATCTGGGATGTCCAAAGTACGTCCACCGCCTTCCCCGCCATGACTTGTCGCTTTCCCGACCTCTGCCATCACTATAGGTAAGTGCAATGGTGATAGCCTGCTCATTCAGCTTGAAGCATTAACCGAACTTTCAGCTATGGATCATCCTCCGGCTCCTTCCAGCGTTCTGTGAAGATATCGAGTAGGCCTCCGTTGTCTCGAAAACAACACATCGACTCACCGCATGTTATCTTCTCAGACGTCGTTGCCCACCATCTGCCTGAAGTCTCGCACTTCTTTCATCTCTCTCACGACTTCGAACTGAGAATTCAAGTTGGGCGAAGTATAAGGAAGTTAACTGAACAGCTTCGAATCGGGGATTATGTTTGGAGTGACCCCCAATACTTGTGAGTTTCATGTTATTGGCCTTCGTCTTGCCGCTTATGTGATTCAGTTCCGACGTATATGAAGATGCCGGCCTTGATCTACAGTTTTGGTCCAGCAACGGGCACTACTACGGAGGTTGGAAGTGCACGTTGCGCTCGCTTGTTGACCACACCCTCAAGTGCGACGACTCACCATGCGAAGAACATGGGACTCGGACATGGCAGGCGATCATTCGCCGACCGCTTGCAGGTGCCTCTTTCTACCGGCAAGTGGGGGCTGACGTTGAGTTTACGCTCTCCGTTACGACACCCATGTCTGGAAAGCTTGCCAGAACCTCATCGATATTATCTTTGCATTCTAAGAAAGAAGTATTCGCCGCATCCGACCTGACTTCAAATGCGTATGAAACCGACGTACCCCATCTTGGGGCTCACCTAGCCGTTGACATAGCGGTCAGCAACTTAAAACAAGTCGCCAAGGAGTTTTCGCAGGTTACCCAATCTAATATTCTGGCCGCATTGAAGTCACTTCTCATCAAGGTTGAGGCGCTCTCCCGGCTAGTGGAACCTTTTGCTCAAGTACGTCATTTCTCGGTTCGTCAATGATATTTTTGAGGCTGATTGATTCTATTTAGATTCACATATCCACGAAGCTCGCGTTTTACACTCTGAAGGGCGCGGTCGGGGTACGCATACTACTCGCGTCTGTATTGTGTTGACTGATTCCATTGCAGGTCATTTTAGCCCAAATGGATCGCGATTCGAGAATGGTCAGCCTAATCGACACGATAGCCGACGTGTACAATCTTATTCTCGATCGTCCATTCTTCAATGTTGCCTCCGTCGAAGCCGTTGTTAAGGATCTGGCGACCCAGACATTGGAGTGTAGCCACTTCATCCTAGAGTATTTTAGGCAGAGCTTCGGTGAGCCACCATGCCTGATCGGAACTAATCACTCCCTCTCAGTCTAACTACGATCTAAGGCGAGCGCCAGTGGCGTTATCTGGCCTCAAACATAGACCGAGCCATTGCAGGATATGAGCAGAGCTTCAGGGGACTCGGGGAAAGGCTAAAGACTCGGGTTGAGTTCGCTACCGCTAAGACGGTGGTACGCACTCTGGGTCGGGTCGAGGACGTCGGTTAGTCCTCAGGCTACTAAGATGCCTATGACATGAGACTGATGTTGCGGTAGCCATGAACATTGACCTGAACGATATGCCGTACGCCAGTGACGCACGTTACGACAGGTCACATGTCGACTTTTCTTCCTGCGATGCCATGGTATTGCAGAAAATATGCCAATGGGTAAACTCGTCCAATGGCTCGGAGGAGAGCGTACTCTTGCTGACAGGACTCGGCTCCCCTCCCGAGGCCACCCTATCCCACACAGTGGCCCATTTCTTTGACTACTTCGAGCGTCTCGGGTCATCGTTCTTCTTCGGAAACACAGTAGAAACCAAATACATGTTCACGACCATTGCCCGCGATCTCGCTGACCTCGACGACGGGCTGCGAGCTACGCTCTACCGTATTATCAAGCGCCGACGCTGCGTAAGGCGGACCTCGTCTATCCTGGAGCAGTTTCAGGAGTTCGTGGTACCGTGCTTCCCACCTCCAAGTCCCGCATCATGCGTCAACGTGGGGCCTATCCTCATTGTGTTGGATCGCCTAGACCAATGCAGCGTGATTGGTAGCAAGCAAAGGCAAGCCATTCTGACCATCTTGGCCAAGGAGGTCCCGAAATTATCTTCAAATGTAAAATTCTTGGTCACGTCGAGTCGAGACGAGGACATCATTCAAGCTCTTCGAAATCAACCTCATGTTAGGGAGATGTATGTATAGGTCGCAGCGAGCTCTCGTTCCCTCATACACGTCCATTATCGCCTGGACTCTTTCTGCTTATGTGCATCAATATGTGTTAACTAGTCCCTACTTACGTCAACTTGTACTTCACACAATGTTCACTGTACAACTCCAATTACGATTCATACCTTGTAAACTGTGGCAATATCAATTACGACCTCTCAATGGTATCGTCGATGAAAGTTTCAAGTCTGAAAGCTCACTGTCCCCCAAGACTACGATCGTGATGGACGCAGGTTGAGCTCTACTGGCGCAACCGTATCTATCCCAGCCGGTATACCTTCTTCGTCTTTCCTGCTGCGACTAGCATCCGTCCCCCATGACTCATCTCCACTGGCAGCCGACCATGCAGTGCCGCGCTCTGTCCTACGCGCAAACTGAATGGGCTCTGTGAAACACAGCTCCCCTTTGTGCGTCCAAGCGCGACCCATTGTAACTCGCAGGATGATCAGCTGGGGAGTGAGTGCCTATGTATACACCGTTTAGCTCGAGCATGATCATCAAGGATGCCGACGCACCATGAAGGCAGCCCACAGCTGGCTGAGCGTATACTCGAATCCGGATCTCCTGGCATACAATACGATGAACGCGATTCCGGCTGCGGCCGCCGGCGACGCGCTCTCGATGAGCATGGTGGCGATTCCCGTGTATGGTTGCTGCCCTGCGGCAGCTCCACCCCGGTATGTGGGCACGCTCGCAAATGCGTCGCGCATACGGATGTCCATTAGGAGGAGGAGGCGCAAGGCGATGAGAAGCGTGACGAGGACGTTGAAGGAGACGGTGAGCGCGATGTAGTGTACACCGATCTCCGCGGGCACCCCGGTGTAGATGTTCGCGGCGAGGGCAGATTCGATGAATGAAGCGATGCCAAGGCCTGTATCGAGTTGTGTAAGCCATTCACAAGCGATGGCACGGACAGCCACGAACCTGTCGCCGCAAGAAAGACCAAGGCGGGCAAGAGAGAGATCAAGACGACCGAGTTCCATATGATAAAGCAACGATAGAGCTAAGCAATCCTTCAGTAGCTTGACATATGAATACCTCATTGAACTTACCAGAAAGAGATTGACGAGTACGTCAGTGAACACGACCGCCGCTCCGTTCAGCGTAGCGGCCCAGGAAGCCGCATGAGCCGCCAGGTACGCTGCTGGGCCACCTGGGTAATTCGGGTTCTCTACCAACATCTGTTGCCATTCAAATGATTTTGTCACAATAACTATCGTCACCGCGAGCAGCACCAGCCCTCCATATGCGACGTAGATAATTTGTTCTCGCGTCCGCCGCGGATCCTGGACAATGTAATACAGTGACCGGAGGAACATGTTCGCTTGTGTGCCTGTTGGGTCCAATTGAGCTGTTGTTCATCGTGTAAGGCAGGACGCACCGTAGACGATGGAGGTCATCACAACGCCGATGTAGAACGAACGCTCGAACACAAGCTCCGCGCTAGCCATAGCGAATAATCTGTCTCGTCTGGGCTGAAGCAGCCGACGCAGTTTGAGATGAGGGGGTCGTCTGGGAAGAATGGAAAGCAAAAGCCTTGCACGAAGGCATCATCTCTTCCTGATAAACCCATCGCTAAGCGCTAAGCTGCCGAACGCACACAGCCCTACACAGCCGAAGCTCTCTTCCCCATGGTGCGACCGCAGGAACGAGCTAAGTGCGAAAGATATAGGCAGTGGGTGGACCATCATTGGACGATTTTTATTATTAGGGACAAGACACGCCGCGCTACGCTCCGGCACTTTCTATCGACGTTAGCAATATTAATGGCTCGAGCTCACACCGCTACAGCATATCACAATTTTCCCGAGGGCTTAGCTGAGGACAAAAACGCACCATAGATAATTGTACGTATCACCAACAAAGTGTCGTTCTACCACGTTCGGGATTTGTTCGGGATAAGCATCGCAGGCCAAGCTCAAAAAGGAAAACCCCATATCAAAACGTCAAACAAATGTCAACAAAAGCCTACCATAATTTTGAAGATACGAGTTATTGCATTAGCGTCCGACGTCCAATCGTTGGTCGATATGCGACCAACGGGTGCCTTTTCTTGTGGCCTGGGATAATCATACATGCGGAACCTCCCCTCCCCAGGGCTCATTAACATTACAAACCATGCTGAGTAAGTTACGAAGTAGTAAGCAGGTGTACGGTACGGAAACGGGTACACTATAGACAGATGAGCAGGAGAACAAGGCCAGAAGCGGGTACAAGTACACAGTAGGGTATGCAAAATGGCGAGAAGAATGTTCCATTGAGGGGTCTGACGATGCAAGACAGTGTCAATTGGGCCAATGGGGAGTCGGATGCTCGCTAAAGGAGCAGCATGAACCGGACGATCGTAAGGTTTGAGTTCGGTGACATGAACAACAGTGTATAGCGATGCTGAGAGCGAGGATTGCGTCAAGGTGCTTGACAGCGTCTAGGCTCGATCGTATGCCAAAAGAGCAACAAGCAACCGCTGGTGCTGACGAATGTCCCGCCTGAGCTCCTTCCTCTGTTCCTGCTTGCGAAGACGCATCCCGTAGTCCGCGAACGCCTGCTTAATCTGCATGGCTTTGTTGCGCTGATCGGCAGCCACCAGCTGGGGCTGCTGTAGTCGATCGATTAGGTCGTCCAACGCGCTGTCGACGTCCAGCAAGGGACTATCCGGAGGTGAGAGGGGAGTTCTCTTCGCGTTATGGCGCGAGACGTTGCTTTTGGCAGCGTCCTTGTGCTTCTGGACGACAAGCTTGACCGTTCTCAGCTTCTTACCCGATGTTCGGATGTCCTCCTTAAGGGAGGTGTGTTTCTTCGGCGCCACCTTGAGCGCAGGCTTCAGTATAGGCCTGAGTTTCGGCCCCGGAGTCGAGTCGAGCGCAGCTCCAGCCGTGGGACTAGAAGGCGTTGACAGCTTTCTTGCGGGCGGAAGCTTGATGGTCAGGGGCTCAGTCTGAGCTTCTGATGGTGTCGGCAGAATAAATCGGATCCGCTTCACCCGAGGGGTAACCTGAAAACATAGGAAAGTACGTCAATGACGCCCGAGGCAGCTCTACACGACAACGTACCTCGTCTTCGTCGGCTCCACGTGTATCTTCATCGTCATCTCGAGAAAGTTTGCGTTTTCGTGGCGCGGGAGGTGGGGTCGGAGCACGACGTCGCGGGGGAGTTTTGAGTGTCGACTGGGGCGCATGGGAATGAGAGGGGCAAGGTGGTGCAGTGGGACTTCTAAAATGAGCAGACGATTCCTCGTTCCCTTCGTCTTCGTCAGGGTTGGTCTTGGGTCTAGGAGAAGCAAGCCGGACTTTTGAGCAGCTAGGCTTCCCGACAACAATGGGAACTTTGACGCGAGAGTGATTTGTAGGTGTAGTCGTAGCCGTAGGGGCGGATGACGCGTCGGTGAGTGGCGTAGCCTGTATCTATGGTCAATTCTCGATCACTGTGTGGCACACGACTGATGCACGTACCAAGAGCGCAGAATCAATGGCCTTGTTCATTGAGGAAGATACGTTCTTCCCGTTAATGGACAGAGAAACGAAGCCATTTGTCAGCGTCTCCAAGTCATTAACTACTGCAGTGGGGGTTGTGGTGGACGACGATGACTCGAGGTCGTCCTCGTCGACATCCGAACCCGAGTCCAGAGTGTTGGACTCTATATCTATGATCTAGAATGCAGATTGGTTGAGAAAAGACCAGTGGCACGCGTCTCAGATGGAGTACTCACCGGGACTGAGTCCCGCCAACACGCAAACGCGTCATCAGAGACAGGCCTGAGCCTGCCATCTCGCAGCTTCTTGCTAGCGTCCTTCATGGTTGAAGAACGCATTCTCGCTTCGGGGGTGTACAGACAATCGTGGTGGTGAAGAGAAAAGATGAGGGATGGTGGACACAGCAGGTCCAAGGGTGCGGGTGCGCGCTAGGGCTGGTCCAAGCCCGCCACAGGTACCGGCGGCGTCACGAAGGGGAGCGGGCGTCGGAGATGGTTTCTAGAATGTGAGATCGCCATGTGGCAAGGTGACTGATTCCCTGCGAGATGCTTATGAAATGCTCTGCAGTTGCCAAGTTGTGGGCGCGTCGGTGTCCAGGCGATTGTTCCTGCTTGCTCGAAAGAGAGGACAATAGCAACAAGACCCCCAAAAACGTATTTTGCGTCGCGTATTTGCAAAGAACAAAAGGACCCCCGAATATCAGTACTGAGGCATGGTGCCGACCCCTCCGAAAATGTCCGTATAAAGGGTGTCAAAACCCAGACTCCAAACCAGTCGGTCAGACGGGATGACGCGGCGCCGGAGTTGCCTTTTTTGGAACTTGTTCCAAGGTCATTCGTCTGACCGACTGGCAACACTTGCCCGTTTTAGATTTTCCCACCCGCCAAAAAGCGGCGATTTGGGGGTCACTTGGCAGATGGGAAAATCTTCGGCAGGGCA